AAACCCGAAACCCGAAACCCGAAACCCGAAACCCTAAACCCGAAACCCTAAACCCTAAACCCTAAACCCTAAACCCTAAACCCTAAACCCTAAACCCTAAACCCTAAACCCTAAACCCTAAACCCTAAACCCTAAACCCTAAACCCTAAACCCTAAACCCTAAACCCTAAACCCTAAACCCTAAACCCTAAACCCTAAACCCTAAACCCTAAACCCTAAACCCGAAACCCGAAACCCGAAACCCGAAACCCGAAACCCGAAACCCGAAACCCGAAACCCTAAACCCGAAACCCGAAACCCTAAACCCGAAACCCTAAACCCTAAACCCTAAACCCTAAACCCTAAACCCTAAACCCTAAACCCTTCGCCAATCACTGCTCCCATCGTCTTCTCCAGATAAGAAGATATGTTTACCATGATGTCATACGTCTCGTCGATGCCGATAAGCTCATGGACTGCGCTCATGTCCAGTCTTACACTACCAACAGCGCGAAAGTGGTGTTCTTGAAACAGAGGCCTCAGACGCGACCGCCGCGGGCTTCCGGCAACCTCTGCATCACTTGCGACCGGAATCTGCAGGAATCCTCTCTTTTCTGCTGCATCTCCTGCAAGCTTCAGCACATTCTCAAAACTAGGTGCAAACTTTCCAACTACCTTCGCAAGTGTGAATTCATGGCGCTGCCGGAACCGGCTTTGGACGACGGTCAAATGACCCCCGACTCGGTTCTGGAGCGGTCCGAGCGGCAGCGGCGGCGTCGGCGGAGGTGGGTTAATGGAGTGTCCACACCTGAGTTGTACGGCAACGATGGAGGTGGTGGTGAAGAAGAAGATGAGCAGCAGTAGCCGGTCGGGTTTAAAACCAATTTCCCGGCCGGTTTATGAGATTTCCGAGTCAATGATGAACCGGAGAAAGAGTACGCCGCGCCGATCTCCGCTCATTTGATTTGAGCGGTGGTTTGATGACAATGAGGGGAAAAGTAGTGATGGGTGAGGGGCAAATCCGGAATTTCAAATCATGATAGTAGTAGTATGAGTAGTATGGGCATTTTAGGGAAATTACTAACCCTCCCAAATTTTGTAGATTACTACACTAGTTTCCCTTCTTTTTGTCTTTTTCATAGACCCTTAAAATGACATATAAATATATATCTCTAAATGACCCTTAAAAGAAAAAAAAAAAACCCTGAACCCTGAACTCTAAACCCTAAACCCTAAACCCTAAATACCAGAAGCTTCGTTAGAAAAATCAACCTTCTAGCGGCTTCAGTAGGAAAATGGCACCTCCCGTCTCCACAAGAATTTCCATGAATGATTTGAAAATGTTGTGTTGGAATGTGAGAGGTATTGGCAATACTCTCTCCCAAAAACATATTCACTATATTTGCAAAAGAGAAAAGATTCAAGTTCTGGTTATTCTTGAGCCTATGGTGACTCCAGACTCTAATTATTTCTGCCGCAGATTAGGTTTCAAGCAGCTGTGGTCTAATAAATCCAACAAGATTTGGATTTTCCTTGATAATAATTTTACGAATGTTGTTGATATTGATCATGATCAAATTCTTCATATCAAGATATCTTCGCCAAGGCTATCTGCTCATTTCTTCCTTTCTGGGATTTATGCCAAATGCAGCATCACTCAGAGAATAGAACTTTAGGAGGTGATTAAAGCTATTGCTCATGACTTGACTGCGAACCCGTGGATTCTTGGGGGAGATTTTAATGTCATCTCTGATATCTCTGAACGTGATGGCCCTGGTAGACCTAAAATCCGGTATGCTAGAGATTTTAGTGATGCTATTTTGGAAGCTAACCTCATAGATGCGGGTTTCATTGGCTCCCCATTTACTTGGACTAACAACAGAGTTTGGGAAAGGCTTGATAGAGTGATTTACAATAACGCCTGGATGGATCTTTGTTCTACCACGACAACCCTTCACCTCTCTCGGAATGTTTCAGATCACTCCCCTCTCCTCATTTCAATTAAGCTTAATGCTCAGAGGCCTCAGTCGGCTTTTCGATTCCAACACATGTGGATTAAGCACCATAACTTCATGGAAGCTGTGGAAAATAGCTGGAATGCTCCTTCGGGTTGTTTTGGGCAACTTAACCTCCATGCTAAGCTTAAAAGGCTTAAACTTCACCTCAAAGACTGGAACAAGTCGGTTTCTGGAAATATTTTTGCTATCCTTGCCAATGCTGAGTTTAAAGCTGTTGAGAGTGAATTGGTCTATGACACAAATCGTTCCCAAGCCAATCTTATCGAAAAAAATAGATTTCTCGCAGAACTTACAAAGGCTATCAGTATGGAAGAGGCTTTTTGGAAACAGAAATCAGCTTGCAAGTGGATTCTTGAAGGAGAAAGAAACTCAAAATTCTTCCACAGTATGGTCAAAAGGAAAAGAATCAGATCTCAGATCTTCTCTATCTCTGATCATGGTGAGCCTGTTACTAATCCTTCGGATATAGCATCCTCTGCTACAAACCACTTCAGCTCTCTTCTTACCCAAAATCAGCAGGAAAGGCCTCCATATGATTTGGATTGGAATGATCCTTGTATCACGAAGAGAATTACCAGATGAACGCGATCCCTACTATTGATGAAATTAGAGATGTGGTTTTTTCCATGAACTCTGATAGCGCTGCTGGTCCCGATGGGTTCTCGGCTCTCTTTTTCCAACACTATTGGAGCGTTGTTAAAAATGATGTGCATAATGTTGTTGTTGAATTCTTCTATGGTGTCCCTATGCCACGAAGCTTCACATCCACAACCATTGTCCTTATTCCTAAGGTGGAGAACCCGGGGGAATGGAGCGAATATAGGCCGATTAGCCTTTGCAATGTCACCAATAAAATTGTCTCTAAGTTGGTTAATATGCGTCTTGCCAAGTTCCTCCCTAAGATTGTTTCTCCTAATCAAAGTGGCTTTGTTAAGGGCAGGTCTATTTACGACAACATCGTCATGGCCATGGAAATGGTGCATGATCTCAACTGGCGCCACAAGCTTTACAATGTCATACTCAAACTCGATATGAGTAAAGCCTACGATAGACTGGACTGGAATTTCCTCCGTGCTATCCTTTCTCAATTTGGTTTCAATGAAGGTGTGGTTCAGCTGATTAGTAACTGTTTTTCGAATTGCTGGTTCTCAATTCTCATCAATGGCAAATTGGAAGGTTTCTTTAAATCTTCAAGAGGCCTAAGACAAGGTGAAGCCCTCTCACCTGCTCTCTTTATTATTGCTGCTGAGTTTTTATCAAGAAGCTTGAACAGGTTGTTCCTTGAAAAAAATGCGATGTATTTTCAAACCAAGGGAAGAGTTAAGCTCACTCATCTGTCTTATGCTGATGACATTATCATTTTCACCTCCTTTGATACTTCTGGTCTTGATAATATTTTGAAGTTCCTTGATGACTATGAATCCATATTGGGCCAAAGAATCAACAAGGACAAAAGCTCTATTATATTGCCGAAGCTCTGCCCAGCGGCCATCCAAAGAGATCTGATTTGCAGAACTGGTTTCAACATTGCGGAGCTTCCAATCAACTACCTTGGTGCCCCTCTCTTTGTGGGCAACAAAAGAGCGGTCCTTTATGAGGGATTATTGGAAAAAGTTAAAAAAAAGGATTATGAGTTGGGATCACACAACTCTCTCCCATGGAGGCAGACTGGAGTTAATCAAATCTGTGTTGTCTTCTATGCCGATCTTCTTGATTCAGATTTTACAGCCCCCAAAGTCTACTGTGCATGTATTCGAACAGCTCCTCGCCAGGTTTTTCTGGGGATCTTATAACTCCAGACGGAGGAAACACTGGGTTTCTTGGTCTAAAATCTGCAGACCTAAAGAGGAAGGCGGCCTTGGTATTAGGAGGCTCGAAGATGTCATCAAAGCGTTCTCATTTAAACTTTGGTGGAGATTGAGACAACAGAATTCATTATGGGCTAATATGATGGAACAAAAGTACTATCGGGGGTTCTTCCCAGGACATACACAAATTAAGGCTCATGATAGTTCTGTTTGGAAACGCCTTTGTAACATTCGGCAAGAGGCGCAGAAGAAAATCTATTGGGTCCTGGGGCAGGGTTCTTGCTCTTTTTGGCATGACCATTGGTGTAGAGATCAACCCCTGGCCAATCTCGTGGCTGGGAACAAACCCCATAGGGTTATGCACAACTTATGGCTTGATGGAAACTGCGACATCTCCCTCCTATCCACAATTGTTCCTCATCATCTTATTTCTTCTATTACTTCCGTCCTTATCAATTCTGACAAAGATGTCCTTATTTGGAAGGATTCCTCCTCTGGTCTTTTTTCAATCTCTTCGATCTGGAATAGAGTTCGTAGCGTCAGTCCTAGGAGTCTTATTTTCAACCAAATTTGGAACCCTATGCTTACTCCTACGATATCTGTCTTTCTTTGGCGCCTTCTTCTGGGTAAGATCCCTCTTGATTCATCTCTTCAGAAACTAGGTATAAGCCTTGCCTCTAAATGTCAATGTTGTCGGAATGTGGAAACGGTTGAGAATCTCTTTACGATTGGGATGCAATCTTCTAAGGTGTAGAGGTATTTCTACAGTTTATTTCATTTAACCCCCTTAAACTCTAATTATATACAGCAGTTGCTACTTTATTGGAGAACCTTTACATCGCAGTCACACAAATTTCATGTCAGATATATTATCCCTATGCTGATCCTTTGGTTCATTTGGACCGAAAGAAATGATGCAAAACACCGTGCTACTAATTCTCTTTTTACAGGATCATTTCAAAAGTTATATACCATTTGCAAACTTTACAATTTGCTAAAAAATGGAAGCGCAATCACTGGTTGGGAGACCTCAATACCGCTGCCCAACTTGGTATCCCTCAAACTCACATGTCGAGAAGATATCAAGCTGTCACATGGAGAAAACCTGCGCTTGAATAGTTCAAGCTGAATTCCGATGGTGCCTCGCGTGGAAATCCTAGCGCTAGAGGTGCGGGTGGTCTTATTAGGGACCATAATGGCTGTTTATTGTTTGGCTTTTCAGGAACCCCTCAAAAATTCTACCAACATGTACGCGGAGCTTTATGCTATCTGGCGTGGGCTTGAACTGGTTGCAGAACGGAACCTCCAGCCAATCTGGATTGAAACGGATTATATGCCGTGCTACCGCATCATTCAAAATGCTGCCCCGCCTTGTGGCCCCTGGGACCGCCTTGATGGCACACCTGAACTAAACCCTGATCTATTTGACCCACAATTTTCATTTTGAACATTTAATTTCTCATGTACTACAATTTTATCCATGTCGATATAGATACAATCATACAAACCACGTACATGATGCTCAAATATCAATGCAAAGTCGCATGCCTTCACTACAAATTCTTCAGCACCATAGTAAATGTACACACTTGAACCAAATTGCAAGAAATGGTCCTAACTGAAAATATAAACCTCGTCATATCCCTTCCTGCAAAAGCAAAACCATAAGAAAACATATAAGAATAATAAAGATAAAGAAAGAAAGAAAAAAACGATTGATGATGATGGTGGTGAAACAAACAAATAAATACAAGGGCTTGAACTATCATGCACAAACTCGTGAGGGAAAAAATAATAAAATAAATAAATAATTTCAGAACCGAACAATTACCCAGCCTTTCCACAGTAAGTAAGACCATAGTTGTATATGAGGTTGTCGAGCACTTCTTGAATCAATGGTCTGTTCTTAGACATCCTAGCTTCCCTGTGATTAAAAGTAATCAATGCTAAATCATTAAAAATATATGAGATATGGCCTGAATCACTTCACATATGAAGCCAGAGGTGTGGATAAAATCTACAAGGATTGAAAACACTTGAATTTAGATATATGCAGCATAATGACTTTCATTCAGGTGTAGAGACAGAGCAGAGTACCATCCTTAATGTTACAAAAGATATATTGAGTGAGAACATCAAACAAGTATAATTTAATTAAGACGCTACCTCACAAAAAAATTGGCAACATTTTGAGTTACTTGAACAGCATCCTCAGAGTGTGGGATTCTGGATAAGCCCCATTCAAAAGCATTTTTCTGCGGCAAGGACATTGTAGCATTCATTTGTTGCAAGAAATGTTCTAACACTAAAGAATAAATACATACTTTAAAAACCATGAGAAATATTGATAAATATATCTACATATCTAATAAAAACCAAGGTTCCAAGCAACATATGTAAAATAAGACTAAAGATGATTTCTACAGATTCAGAGACCACCTGAATATTGGATTCATTTCATCAACAGAAAGGTTCTAATACTTCAAAGAATTATTTATGGAAGCATAAACTTGTAGTAAATGGATTATATTGCATGGATGAATACTCAGATCCTTCCTTGGATCTTGCCTAAATTAACATCTTGCTAACATACTTCTTTTGAAATTCACAACTTTTGGATGGAAACATAGGAGATGAAAATGAAGTACCATGCCACAGATGTGATAGAAATATGGAGTGTCACAAAACAAGATCAATTTGAACTACTAACTAACAGGTAAATTTAAACCACAAATTATCAGTCTGCTGACAATAACCTTCCCACCAAATTCACGACTACAAAAGTCAACATAAAGAGAAACAAACAATAGATTTCTGTTTTTGCGTTCTCAAAGCTACTTTCCAAACCTTGCAAGGTCATGGTTCACATGTTCGGTAAAAACTTCTTTGAAATATTTTTAAAAAAATGTAAATAATCCACTAAAATTTACAAAGCTTGAAAATAACCTCTGGTATTATTATGAGGAAAATAGGACTTCATAAAATAAATAAATAAAATATCAGGTTCTTTGCATATTTATGTTTTATGAGATATTTTCAACTGTAAATATGAAAGAAAACAAAATCGGAAAGAGCATGAAGTTATGATTAAAAAGAAAACGGAGTCTTAACAAATGCTTGTGTATTGACGACGGAGATGAGCTTAAGCCTGTTGTTCGTGGGTTTAGATATTATTTACTTGCTTTTCTATTAATATATTATATTTTGAGTTGGCTTGTCTTTTAATTATTGGATTGACTTATTTTATATTTAGTAAGTAGGGTTTAGATAATAGTATTTAAAGAGGAACTAGGGTTTGAGACTATCATTCTGAAATTTTGAAATAAAGTAGTTGTCGGGCTTTGGGCAAACGGTTGGTACCGTTATATTGTTTTTAGGCAAACGATTGATATCGTTTAATTTTTCTTATCCTTTATTTTGTTTCTATCAATTGGTCCGACCTGCCGGATCCCAATCCCGTCCTCATTGTAACAACACGATCAACAGCTGAGCGACAGGATAAACTTGAGGCTGCTCGAGCCGAGATGAAGGATTCTCGCTGAATTCAACTAGCAGAGATCATGGCGACTCTCGTTGAATTCTCAAAAGTGATTTTGAAACCCTCTGGATCGCAACAATCGGCGACAGACCACTATGCGGAGGATAGCGCGATAGCGGAGAGTGGCACACCACTGCCTTCGGCAAACCCGCCACACTAACCAACTCAGCCGTCACCGGCCGTTGTGCCACTGCAGCTGGCGATTAACTCACGATCGCAGATGGGCCCTGTGCAACTTCTATCCTTCAATGGTTCAAATCCGATAGGATGGTTGGCCCGCGCCAATCAACAGCTTGAAATTCATAACACCAGTCCGGAGATGAAGATGCCTACAGCCGTGGTGGCCATGGAAGAATCTGCATTGTACTGGTGAACCTGGTTACGCTCTCGCAAACCGAGGCCGACATGGGAAGAATTTTCGCAAACGTTGGTGGCAAGATTTGATATGCGTTTGAGGGCAGTCTTTTTGAACAATTGGCAGATATTAAACATGAGAAATAGGTGGATGACTACGTATAGTTATTTGTTCAATTGGCTAGCCAAGTTCCGAGTTTGACAGATACCCACGATTTGGGCTACTTTATGAAAGGTCTAAAGGACTCGATTCAAAGCTCCCTCCGCCTTCTTCGGCCCAGAGACTTAGAGACAACCATGGAATTGTCTAGAGACATTGAGAATAATCTTAAGTGCAAGTTGACAGTCACCCATATCAAAATTTGAACAGTTCGACACCGCACGCAAGCTCCATGTCCCGACCAAACAACATGATTAGAGTTTCAACAATAGGGGTCGACCACAACGGATCTATTAGCAAACCTGTCGGTCATCATTCTGTGGCCCGATTGGAGACAACTAGCCAGTTAGCAGCCCGGAATCAATTTAACCATCTCTCACCCCAAGAATCTGTTGAATTGTGAGCCAAAGAACTTTGTTTTCACTGCAAGAAACCATACACCCCAAAACATGAATGCCCTCTCAAACAATTGCGAGTCTTGATAGCTGAAGAAGACAAAGAGGTCTTAGATATTCAACAGTTTGAATTTTATGTACCGACGGGGCATGAAGATTGGATGGGAGAGCGAGGAGATCCATCGATTGAAGAGGGGACCTTAGCATTTTTCTTTGTAGAGGGTTTTCCGAGCCAACGGACTATGTGGTTGCATGGAATTGTAGAAGAAGGAAGGTAACAATACTAATTGATAATGGCATTGGTCACAATCTTATATCTTTTTTCTTAGTGTCTACTCTACGATTACCAACCGAACGTACAAAAAGATTTAGAGTTCGGTTAGGTGATGGATAAAGATAGGAATCCAAAACATTATGCCGGGATGTTATGGTCTTATTACAAGGTTGTGAGGTAATAACCAATTGTTTTATGTTTCGCTTCGAGTGTGTTGATATTATTTTTGGTATAGCTTGGTTAGCCACGTTGGACGATGTTCAAACAAATTGGGAAGCTCTTACTATGTCTTTTGAATGGAAAGGCAATCAAGTAGTGCTGACAGGCGACCAAAGCCTAACTCAAAAGACGTGGGATCGATCATGTGAGGGAGGAAAACAAGAGGAAGATCAAAGCTTATTCCAGTTCTCATACTTCGACCTTGGGGACAAGGTCGATTTGAAGAGGGATGAAATTGATAAAAAAAAAAGCAAAGAAAACTAAGTCTTGACAAATGCTTGTGTATTGACGACGGGGATGGACTTAAGCCTGCTGTTCGTGGGTTTAGATATTATTTACTTGCTTTTCTATTAATATATTATATTTTGAGTAAGATTTGTCTTTTAGTTATTCGGTTGACTATTTTATATTTAGTAAGGTTTAGGTAATAGTATTTAAAGAGGAACTAGGATTTGAGACTATTATTCTGAAACTTCGGAATAAAGTAGCCGTCAGGCTTGGGCAAACGGTTGATACCGTTTGATTGTTCTTGGGCAAACGATTGATTATCGTTTGATTTTTCTTGTCCTTTATTTCGTTTCTATCAAAATATTTTAGGGAGATGGGTTATATTAATCCTAATTTTCTGCACCAGCTTGAAAGGTGATGTGAAGTATTAGAGGTCATGCACTCCTTTGAATACAATTTCTAAGTATACATAGGCTTCAAAGTTCAAATTATGGATGGAAACCAATGGGCATACTAGAAATTACTTGATTTCAAAATATTGAACAATCACAATAAATCTACAAATGCTCTTACAAGAAAATTTGTAGTTAGCCAAAGCAGTGCTAACAGAAGAACATATAACTTCCGTAGTTGCTGCAGTGCAACTGAGAATACCTTTTTCTGACTGGGAAAACAGAATACCAATTTTTAATATGTACTTTTAAAAATCAGTCCCTTACAAGATGTACCTAATGAATATAGACTCAAAACAAAAATATGTGTTTGTATTTAATCTAGTTAGATTAATGTCATGTCAGTTAGGATTATGAAGCCATGGATTCATGACAAGTTAGCAGGACAAGCACTGCATCTCTGGATGGAAAATTCTAACAAAAAAATCTCCTAAACATGTATATGCTTTCCAATCTGTTTTGGGAAAGTAAGGAGATTTCTTCGATGGTAAAATTTAGCTACAGAGATTTAGAAGTGTTAAACAACACATTACTGAACATTGACCAAAATAAAATATTCAGAGTGGTTTCCATAGTAGTAAGCTTGTTATAAATTGTTCCAATTGATCTAGTATTGTGCTTCCTCTATTAATGGATTTATAATTAATATGTTATTAGTGGAGCATCGACTAGCATCATAAAGTCCCTAATATTGCCAACAGGTAATGAGCCACCTTTTGAAATTAAAAATCTAAATTAACGTCAAGACCAAAAATACCTCTGGATGCCATTGAACAGCAGTGACAGGATATCTCTGTGCCTGAACTGTTGAAACATAGGTCTGATACAATCAAACAGATATGTGATTAAAAATAATGCACCAACCACTTTTGGTGTACTCGAACTATTCTAAGATATGCTTTGAATTTGAATAATTAATCCAGAAAGGTGATTTCTTATCCTTAGATACCTTGCCATCTTCATCTGTACTTGTGGTTAGAATGTTGAAGAAACTACATAGACTCCCAGTCTTTTGGAACTTTTCAGGTGATATTCCATACTGCAAAAATTTACCATATGAGGAATAACTTGCAGACAGGCCCAGTTTGTCTAGAACGAAATAGGAAAAATGCTGCATATATCTAATAAGTCAAAAGAAAATATATTAAGGGTGTGTTTGTTTGGGGGTTTAGATTTTGAGTTGGGATTTGAATAGTAAAATTTTGAATTTGAATAGTTGTATGATAGTGATATAAATAGGTGTTGATGTGATGTTTTGAATGTAAAATTGATTTTTAAGTATAATATAAAAAATGAAAAATAGGTGTTTGATTTGATATTGGGGAGGGGGGGGAAATGGGATAAATAGTGGAAATCTAATCCAATCCCCCAAACAAACACACCCTAAATGAACGCCCACAAGATGTTAATATGTGAGAATTTCAACAAGTTACACTACAAGACATGGACCAAAAATACAACAGGCCAAGCAGATGAATTTAGCAACCCTAATTCCCTAAATATGAATTTGCTACCACATTCATTTTGTATCTCATGTTTTAGATTCACTGCGGACTATAAGTCTGCAGGCCTAGCAGATGAATTTAGCAACCCTAATTCCATAAATATGAATTTGCTACCACATTCATTTTGTATCTCATGTTTTAGATTCACTGCAGACTCTATAAGTCCCAAAAAAGCATTAGGGTACTGGTACAAACCTTAGAATTTGGTAATGCCAGATAAGCACCTCCAGGTCATGAACATTGTCAATGCAAATATGCGGAACAGTAATCAATAAGAAAGTTTGATGCTAAACAAATTACCTTTATTAAATAAGGCAGGGAAGAATGAATCCTTCATTTTGTGAGATACAAGATGGCATAAGGAATGGTACTTTCCTACTTAACTTCAGCCAAGTCAGGTAGGTATAAAGAAGGAAGAAGTGACAAAGCAAGCAGAAGAAAAAAGGGGAAGAAGAAGAATAATAACAGCAAGTACTTGCAAGATAAGCATAAATAAATAAGCACACACGGACATGCAGTGAATTCTCAAACACCATATAGAAACTAGTACTCTGATACCTACAGATTGAGTGGGGAAGAGTTCAAATCTGAGGTTACAGTTGCTCACGTTAAGACAGCAGACAATTATTATAGAAATTAGGGTGGAGAAATAATGGCATCCATCCTAAGCATATGTTCACTTGAATGAATTAAAACTTGTTATTCAACATTAAAAAAATAATAATAAATTCTTATTAATGAACTGATTCATTGGATTATTAATCTTATCCAATGTATTTGGTCTCAGTTAAAATAGTCATAAGAATTCATTATCCAATGACACAAAGTATATAGCTCAATACACTCACAATGTCTCATCATAGCCTATATACCCTCTTGCTGACTGTAGCATATTGCTATTACTGCTAACTCTCTTAGTCCTGTGATCATCACAGTTCTTGTATCTTCCAACTATCATGCTATGAACATGAAGAAGATGTTGACAGTGTGTTCAACTGCTCTCTGGTATGTTGTTTATCATAGCTTGGACAAGTGCTCATTGTTGTCTAATTGCTTAGCACTTCGAGTCCAAGTTGAAATTTATTTATAAAACCCCATTTGCTCAACTCATTAAAGGATGTACGAAATAAATTAACATATAGAAAACTGACATTGTAATACAAGTAGATATTCTAGCTTTTACACCATGCATGACAATGTCCCTAGTCTTCCAACCTCAATCCAAGACATAACCACGAACAGCTTGTCTTCCACAAACACAAATAAACATCTAAATACTAATCACATAAAAATACAAACATTGAAAAGAGTACTTACACGATGATTTTGCATCACAAGGCATTCAGTACTCAGCTTCTTTAGTAAAACTGGAGGAAATCTGCAAATCAACATCAATCCATCTTTGATAAATCAAATTAAGATGAGAAAAGTAATTTCATGAAACATTTTATTTATTTATTTATTTATTTATTTAGAGAAAAAAAAAAGTATTACATAAAGATAAACAAGAGTACATAGAATAGTTGAGAGACTTTTGTGAGCAAAACTAGGGAAGCATTTAGGGAGCTCTATTCATAGACACTAGAACCAGGAAGAAAACTCTTTGCCACCCCAAGCACTGCATTTAGTAAAACATCCAGGAGTATAATGAAAAGAGAGTAGTGAGCATCTATAAATGGATTGGCACATCCTATTAATATTATTAATAAATTTCTAAGGAGTTAATGCACCTTGGATTTAACCGGTGGCATAAAAAGAGTAGCACTCAACAACTATCTTAAGGATGGAGCAGCCATAATAGTCCTTATAGTAGGCAATTACAAATCTGAACAATGACCAACACTCTCATTTTACTCTCTAATACCAATAGATTTGGAGAGAATAAAGAGGATATCCCATTATGGTCTCTAACTACAGAACCAATACCAGTAGAAATGGAAATGGGACGAGTATTGCAAGAAACGAGACTTGCCCCCAACCCTCCAGGTAACTCGAGTAGATCCTTAATCTTATTAATTTTCCCCTTTTTCTATTTCTAAAAACAAATCACTTTGTATAAATTTAATTTATACTAACACTACAATGCATATATAAGCAGAGAATAATAAAAACCAACAAATACTAAAAGAAAAAAAATCATAAGTTCCACTACCCCAAAGAAAAGTGCATTAGTATAAACATTGTCGTGCTTCTTTAATATAAATTTACTAAATTTGGAAAAACCATATCATACGCCATTATCATATCAACTAGAAGATATGACCATTAATAGTCCATGGAGGTTTAGCATGGAAAAACCATCATCCAAATGAAAGGTAATAGCAACACCAGAAAAGAGGCAAAGGGGTGGAATAATAATTAATCAACAATTTACTTTTTCAGTATTCACAATTTCTACTACCTCTCAAATACAGTTTCATTTAAGTTGACATTTTGTAGAAACTGCAGTTTAGAGGCTTGATCCCTGGCATTAAATCTTTCCAAGATGCTTCTGTCCTGTAACCAATAGAAAATAAAAAATAAAAATATTTTACCTTTGGTGAATTGTATGTTAAAAGTCAAATAAAATTTTATTTAATTAATATGTAAACTAAACGTAGAGCAAAGTGACAAGACAATCTATGCAAATCTCTATCTCAATGTAGCCTTCATCTATTGATGAGCTTCAATAGTGCAGAGCACTAAGTAAAACATCATGTGTAGACATGCACGCCAAGAGTACTGATCCACACTCTCCATCAAAATCAAGAGGATACTTTCATAGCTCTAAAAGATGAAAAAAATCTAAGAATATAGCATTGTTTATAACAAAACATAAACTATCTGGTTAACAGAGATCTCTCTTTCTTCATACTGTTTACCTTCTCACATATAGAAAGAAGACCGTGTAGTGGGGAGGAAAAAAGCATGACCTGAACATGAAGATGAACTCATTTTGCGAGACAGATTACCTGACTAACGATTACTGTTAACAACTCAAATCCTAAGCATATGGCAAGCAAAGGGAAATGTTCTCCAGCATCATTCTTCTTCAGACTTCTCTGCCCAAAACAGTTACCAAAAACTTTTAAGAAATGTTACCATTCTTTCACTATCTTATTTTCTTGTACATGGCACATTCAAAATTGAAATCCATATGATAATAGCAACCAATTAAGAGTATGTAGGATTCAAAAATTGAACCTGAACCAGAACTAGTAGCAAGCAAAGTAAACAGTCAATCAGGCAGCATGATGGATGGTAATGAGAAATATATTGCCAACTATTAGAAAATTTGAACTGAGTTTTTATCCAGATTACTCAAAAATTAAAACATAACAGTTTCTATTCGAAATGGATGCTTAGATGCTCATGAATGTATACCTTAAAAATAGACTCAACAACATCAGCGTAGCGTCCACTTTTGGCCGAACCTCCTGTGAAGATCACTCCATTAACCAAATTAAGTTTCTGCGACAAATGTTAAAAAGTAAATGCAGCAGCAATTTCAAGGAACTTCAATCCTGGACTACCTTATAATATAAAGTGTGCTACCTAAGGTGATGTTGTATCAACATTACAAATGACTGATAAGTGATAACCTTAACACATTTGTAACACCTTTAGTGCAAAGGATATCCTCATTCTGAAAGCAGTGAACACATTTCAACTGAAGGGGATGTGGCAAGACAATGCAGAGAAACACCAGTGCATACAAGATATAAAGACTACACAGTTAGTACAAATTGAGCACAAACTCAATTGTGATACCCCAACTTTTAAAAAGTAGTACAATACTTCCCTCATCCCAAGTAAGTAATTAGTAGGGCAGCACTAAAATAAGAAATTCAAATTTTGGAAAAACGAAATCAGGAATTTTACTATTCACTGGTAGCTGGTGACTTGCTAGAGATGGAGGCCAGAACTACCGGCAAACAATACCAGAGTTGGTTGGTGGGAGGTGGCACAGGAAACTGAGTGAAATTTGTAGGAGGATAGGAACCGAGGAAGGCATGTGAACTGAACCATGCAACCTGAGTTCAACCGAGTCATGTGGACAAGCTGCGCTAAATAACAAGTTCAAGGATGCAAGCTCATTTTAAGTACACCTACAACATGCAGAGTCAAGAGGAGCGAGCTTCAAGGAATTGACATTATGCAAGCTCGCATGGATTTAGAAGTAATTAGCTTGCATGGAATTGTTAATTAGCAAATCATATGGGAACCATTATAATTGCTAATGGAAGCTTAAATCTTCATGTCTGAGCTGAAACATTTAAAAACATTCTCAATATTTGATAGGCCAAATTCAGTAAATGATATACTGTTGGAATCCTCTCATTGTATTATACTTAAACGTAAAATATGGTAACCATTGGAATAGGAACAAAGTACAACCACTTCGGAAATAGGACAACTACCTGCTTATTACTACTACAATAGTAGGCAGTGAATTTCGGTGGCTTATAATTTATAAATTACTGATCTGATTTATGTGCATAATATACCATTGCAGCAAATGCGATGAATACTCTGATTATGTAAAATATCAGGATGAACTAAATTTGCATAAGAATGCAGTAATGCTCAGGTGCTGCCAGTCACAACAGTGTTGAGGTAGAACTTCCTGATCTTGGCATGTTTGGCCCATTCAGTAATCGGAACATATAAGCATATAACTGAACGTAATGGGTAAAATATGAATATTTCTAATTCGTTTGATGCAGTCTTAGTAGCAATTGAGCGATGCAAGAGTTGTAGCCTTTGTTTGTTTAGCCTTTCAGATTTCTTGCACTATGCCTAGATATTTTTTATTAATCAATATTATGTAACATTTTATTTGAGTATATTTTATTGAAATATAGTTTTCTTCAACATGCATTTTATATTTATTTTTAATAAAATAAATTGTAACATATCCCAAAACCCATCCAAATATCATCTCATAACATCTCATTAATAAAATATATATCAAAAAAATTCCAAACCCCATCCAAGCAAACCCATAATGATTGTGTAGGCTTGTATTGACTGAATAAGACAATAACTCCCATTGATGAGGGGTGAGGGGGTTGTCACAAAAAGTGAGGATACTGAAAAATCAACTTATCAAAGTAAAGGTAGAAAGCTTCATCGTAAAACGAGTAGATTAGAGTTATAATATGGATAAACATATTTATATATACAAGGCCATCAATGAAGAATCAAAATTGAATTATATGTTTCCTACTTCCTGTCCCTAATATATCCTTTTACTATTCCCAGATCCCATTCCTACAATTTCTTATTCGTATAGAAAATAAACTATGAGAGGGGTTGATTTGCAGATGAGTAATTAAAATATCATCTTGCTTTCATCCTTCCCCTTCATAGTACAAGGGAAACTTTTTATGAAGTCTTGCAACAATTGAGTGGTAGTTCATACTCTCTCTTACATCCTGATATTTCTTCATTTAGCTCTCAATGTAATCTATCACTCTTCAACAATACATGTATAATTTTCTCTGTAGATACAGTCTGTGTGTGTGTGATAGTATTGGGGATTGAAACATCGCGGACAAAGGATCTCCTCATCCCAACTTTTTGATCAAAAACTTGACTCAAGTTTATCAATAGGTAGGCAGTTCTCATCCAATTAAACAAATGACTAAAATGTATTTGAACATGGTTGAATTAATTATTTTTTTGCTTGAGCATGAATACTTAATTTCTAGTTATGTTTTGGTAAAAGAGATAAATTTGCCATTCGCGATAGTTGAATTGAACTCACTCATCTTCATAAACAATTGAGTCTTCATGTGTGTGAATTAACTCATTAAATATAATGAATGAGCCATCAAGCTTTAACAAACTGAAACTTAAGCTAATGAGTAGCCCATTTCTAGCTAGTAGTGCTACCCTCCCTCATTTTTGACAAGGTTCAAATTAAAACTTTCAACCATGCAGCTAAAAATTAGCATCCCTGTTTTTCATGTTGAAATGATAAATCATTTGGTTAGCATTGCAATATTTCAAGTCAATTATAAGCCTTCTGATTATATTCTTATATAATATAAAAGATTATTTATAATTAGAAAAATTCAACACATTTAATTAGTAAGTTACAGAATAAAAATTAAAATATTTGCGATAGATTATTTGGTTCATAACTCATAATAACAAATGATTAATCTACAAATTATCTCTTCCTAAATTGTAAGCTACAAAAAGTAAAAATATTTACTTGAATATATGTGTTCTTTTGGAGTTTCATTTTTACTTTATATTTTGGTTTTTGTTTGAATAGTAGTTTGTATACAATATTTTGTGAAAAAAATAATATATTTCTATTAAAAATAGGAATAATTGCATAGTAATAAAACTAAAATCAAGCTCTATATTCTTTTTTATTACTATAATTTTTTACTAAATACAAAACATAGAAAGTACAAAAACAAGATAGATTCATATAGTATCAATACTAAGTTAAAAAGAAAATGTGAATATATTTTTAGTGTGTACTTGAATGTGCAGTACTAAGTTAAAAACAAAATTGTAAATCTATTTAAGTGTATACTTCAACACAGCTTTGATAGAAACTTATAATTATAGATTGAAATATGACAAACAAAAGGTCCATTCGTGAGACCTTTCAGGTGTTAAACAATAATTTATTGAAACTTTGAAGTAGAGCTACATATATTTGAGTTGTCTTCAAATGCAAAGAAAGAATGGCTTAACACTAGGAACAAATATCAATAGTTGTTCCAATCAAACTCTTTTTTTTTTTTTTTTTTATCAATTTTGATCTCATTAAAAAATAATTATCAAAACTAATTTTATATAAAAAAAATTAAATTTATTTTTTATTCCACCGTAGAAATTTCAACGGAATATGCTGATATGATTGTAATGTGAGCGGAGGTGGCATATGATTCAGATATAACACGACCGTGTTTAAATATTATCACATTCCCCATCTCTCCTTATCCAAACACTTATGTGTTCAACCTAAACATGCCCGTTTTCATGGACGCGTTTGATATGTGAATTTATACCCCCTCCTTGCGGTGGACGGAATGACAGTGGCTCCAGCGATCTTATCAGACAACAAATTATCCTCTGAAATGGCCACCGAAACAGCCTCAAACAGCTTCTTCCCGATTGGCCCAAACACTTTCATCCAAATCCAAACCCAAACCCTTATACCCTTTAATCCCAATCCAAAATCTTTAGCCCAACATGTCCCCAGAAAGGGGGTTTTTGTAGTCAAGACAAGCGTGTTTGGATAAGGAGATGGAGGATGTGATGAATGTTTAAACACGGAAACATTCTATGTAACAAGGCCGAGGCCGTGTTTGTTCGAATCAAGACGCCACTCCAGCTTTCATTACAAAAGGGGATGGCCCTGGGCCCGGACGAGAGGAGAGCCAGGGCAAGCCCAATATAAATGGAGGTCGTTATATATTTATACTACATATAATATTTATATATAGAACTTATTTGATAGCTTGATGGTGTGATGAAATTTTATAATGGTGAAGTCATAGGTTTTTGTTTTGTAGGCCTCTCAAAAGTCAATAGAGGTGAACACAGTTCGAATATTTATAAATATGCAGGTATTTTAAACCGAAACTGAACCGAAATCAAATATAATTATTAATATAAATTTTAAGATTTTAAGATATAATAATATAAATATAATTAGGTAACCAACCGAAAAATATCAAAAACCAAAATTGAAATGACCAAATATCAATATACAATAGTATTCGAACCAAATTTGTTCGATTAACCAAAAAAAATTTATTCGATTCAATTCGGTTCAGCAATTCGTCGGCGGTTCAGTTCAATATTTTTCTCCATCCCTAAAAGTGAGGACCGGCCTTGAAGACCGCCATGTGTATAGATTTATTTTTTGTATGAAACTTAATTTTGATAATTATTTTTTAATGAAATCAAAAAGTGTTTGATTGAACTATGCTGGCGGCTAAAGTGCTAATTTAACTTCAGAGTTTAGGGTTTAGGGTCTAGAAAATATTATTAGAATCGACTTCTTTTCATCGGCAACAGCAAGTTCAACATGATCATTGGCGCATTTCTAACCGCAGTAATGACTAGAAAAACGAAAGATCTGGATGCAAAATCAAAAGTGGAGGAAAATTTTAAAAGAATTGGACCTTGTAGATAACCTCCTCAGGCTCATTGTAGATTAATGGAATAACCCTAGCTCCAGCAGATTCAACAAACTTCACATAAGAAGCAGCTATGTACGACGCATTAGTAGCGTTGGTAAGCCTGCCTGAGGCGCCATCCCCTGGATGGCTCAGAATTCCCACGACGGGGCGATAATTGATACTAGGATCCTCCGCGGGACACCTTGGAACTGCCTCAAAAGAATCGACCTCCCACGGCATGAGAATCGTCGCAGCGGTAGATTGAGCATTGGCGGAGACACTGACCTCCTTGGAAAGAGCAAAAAGGAGGGGAATCCAGAAGAAACCTAGCATATTGGAAGAGGAAACTGCGCCAGCGGCGATTGAGGAGAGGGAAGCAACGGGAAGGAAGAAGTAAATTTATCGTCCCGTGTGGGTGTGGACTTAAATACTTTTTCTTTTTTTTTTTTTTTTAATCGGATGTGTGGACTATATTTATTTTTTTAAATAAAGAAGTAACTTAAAGTCATACGCAAATTGTTACCCTCATTCAAACTTTGAATGTCTTTTTTATTTTATTTGTCACAACTTCAAGGCCAATCTATACATAAAATGCCATTAAAAAATAAAAGAACTCCACGACCCGGCAGACTGGTATCGAAAGGCAACAAGAATTTATAATAAGTACACAACAACACAACAGTCTATCTCAAATACACTTGACATTGAACAACAATAGTAGCACCTATACGGAACCCGGGGGCCACCACAAACGCCACGCATGGATTGGCATCGCCGCGGCTGCTTGTAGTGCTTGCATCCAAGGCTTCCTCGCTCAAGCTCTCCATGTAGACCTCGGAGAATCGGACCCCTTTCTTCACCTGGAAGATCTCCACCGTCGGATCAAAAGATAAGGCCAGGCAATGCAACAACCACACGTCCTTCGCCATCTCGATGAACGCATTCACGAACGGCGTATCGGGCATCTCTCCTCCCGAGCTCACCATGTTCCTCTGGTCCAAGTTGCCGAAGATTGCTGCTTCCATCTTCGAATGCACGAGCCTCAGGTACTTGCTCCGGCAAAACTGTGCGAACGCCGTGCCGGGCTTCCAGGCACCGAGGTGGCCATCACGCACGGACGCCATTTCCATGAACCAGTAGTCAAAGAGATGATGTCGCAGCAACTGGGGAGGGGAAATTGATTCCATCGGGCAGCCGAATCCGTCGAACATGTGCTGGCACACGAACGACTCGAATGCAAAACAAATGTGGCTTGATTTCCAAAATGGGGTCCCGGGCACAATCGACCTCGCCGCGGCTTCCAAATCCCAGTCGGTGGACTCCTGGATTTCTGCGACCAGCATACGCACAAAGGCTCGTATTGATTTCACTGCAAGTTTATGATACATGATGAAGTGGGAGGGGCTGCTGCTGATAAGGTGGGAATGCCTATGGGACTGGGAATGGAATGGTCGTCGTCGTCGGCTAGCGGGGTCGGGCACAGTCCCGGTCCCAGTCCCAGTCTCAGTCACAGAGTGGGCCGGTGCGCACAAGTTCGCTCTCCGCTCAAGCAATCTGTTTTCGCCAACGGCTTCCGCTAATTTCTCCTTAAGAAAGGTTATTTCTGAGTCTTTGAGCCGGAGCTCGAACTCCAGCTTCTTCCCGGTGACCTGGTATGTCTTGAGGAGACTCTTCTGCTCCCGAATTTCAGACAGCAGCAGCGCCGTGCCCGGAGGAGGTGTCTTGTCGTCGAGGAGGTTGTTTTTTAGGTATGCTTGCTTCAATTCAGACAGGCTTTTGAGCTCCGAGACAATTGCTTCATCTGCTATCTGGATTCCTTCGCCATCGTACGGAGACTGCGAGAACTGCAGCTGTGCATACGCTGCCTTCACCGTCGATATGCTAGCAAACAACTTGGCAAGAAAGGCTTCCCGGCGGGCCCTAGTACTACACACCAGACCCTCCTCATCTTTGGCTTTCTTGGACGCAGTCTTCTGCTGAATGCACGATGAAAACAACAGCAGATGAAATAACAAACACCGAATAATCCTGAGATGGGATCAGTATTAGGCTATAAGCTATTAATTAGTACATCACGCATTGCACCTTATCTGTCGGCCGGAAGACACCACGCTCCGATGCAGCACCCGTCACAGCCCTGATATGCATGACCTTGGCGAATGCCCGAGCCAGGCGGCTCTTCCGCGGCGTAGCCACTGTGGAGTCCATCTGAACTTAGGAAAGCCAAAAAGCTGCAAAGAATGCAATATAATGTAGTATTGTTGCGGGGCGATGATGAGCGAGCACAGCGACTGAGTACCAACAAAAGAACGAAAAGCTAGTAGGCGCTTTAATTTTATCTCATGGATCGAGGGGGTTAAAGTTGCGAGAGAAATTTTTCTCGGGATGCTGGCAAAAGTGGGCTCTCAAACGGCAGGAAAGGAAAACGAAGAGGGAGGGAGATGCACTGTGCATAAATAGATCAGTAGTGTATCTAGTTGGAGAAAGGGCATAAAGTGCGAGGGGCCCCTGTCGGCTAATGACAAAATTAGCATAAAGAAGAAGATGAGGACATTCTGGTGTGGGGTAGACGATGAGATCAAGAATCTGGGAATGTGCCTGCCAAAGCCTAACTGGGATGATGAACAAATGGGCGATTTGGTAATTGAAGTGAAGGCACAATGTTTGACAAAAACAAATTCTTTAACTACTTGTGCGCAAATTCTTTAACTACTTGTCCTTGCGCAGCCACAAACATATATTGGCTGAGTTCTAGCCCCTTCAGAAAACATGGGATTGTTAGGAAAAAAAAAGGTTGAACATAATAAAAATTAAAGTTAAAAGATACATTTTTTATATGATGTTTAATATAAAAGAAATTAAATAGAAGACTCACTTACAGTATTTTATTCATACATCCTTACTCAATACAATATATATATGGTTATATTCAAACTCCTCAATATCTCCAAATCATCCGTCCCAGAAATCCTCATGTTATCATGGATCAATCAACAAAATATAAGATTGACAGGCCCGTTGGTTAATTTATAATATGAAAATCGCTTAATTAAACACACGTAGCAATCATATATTGATGCCAAGTGTTGCAAAGGAAAGCACCGTGCATCTAAAAAGTCCAAACTAACCACATAAAACACACACGCACATACACAAGGAGGAGCAACACCAGACACGAAACGTCCAACATGCAATTGAAGTACGCCACGTATGAAGAACCGATCGACCCACCCGCCCCCATAAATCAGATATTGTACTTAACACACACGCACATGAAGTTGTTGCTTATTCAAGTTTCACAAACAATGGGTTCCTCGAGGCTGAACACCTCACATTATATTTTTTCTTTATAGTACGTGAGCCCTATAAATTATATCTATAAGTCACATTAGCCAAACCGAATAACATGGTGTGATAGACAAAACCCTGATGCGTCAGAGTTTAAATTCATGACCAAAAGGTCACGAGTCCATCCTCATCTCATACGGACTACAAGCATCTATCTTTTTAACCATACGTATACCAGCTCTCACGTCAGCAAGAAATAATTTAACATCCAAAGGGCCCATCATAAATATGATGAGCAACGCACTACGATCCAACGGACAGAAATGACGCAACACAAGCTAAGCCAAGAGAACTCCAACAACCGCAGCAGAAATGCATCAGATACGGACCCAGCAAAATTTACTGCTGACTCACGTGACAGCTGCAACTTCAGCCGGCCCATCTACACCCCCACTGCTCAGTCACGTGACCAAGAGCCGGTCGGCGGAAGTGCACACGGCACTCGAATTTTTACGGGCAAACAGAAACGAGGAGTAGACTACTGTTTTGAATAAACGCAACACGTTTAATCTTTTGGACCGGAGAATTAGAAACACGCTTTTACCTTCACAGAGCGAGCGCCCACTGAGATTTTGATGCAGAATTTGCAGATAACCAAATTGTTGAAATGCGTATCGCACCCTGAAATCAAAGACTTCATTAATAAGAATCATATTCTCAAATATTTATGTTTGGTGGATTCAGAAGAAAGCGAAAGAATCTAATAATGGAAAGAGAGGGTGAGAATCAACTCAACCCACAAAAGGCGACGGCACAGCTCAACGGTCAGTAATCGACAGAGTGCAGAGGTTTTGGAAGAAAGTTGCTGGTATCGAGCTATCTCATCTCAACGCGTTGGAAAAGTCCCATGGTTGCGAGGCACGCTTTTTGTTTTCCGGTTTGTGGTTTGGACTTTGGAACAAGGAATGGGAATGGGAAATGGGAATGGGATTTGGTAGTTTGGCGCATCCGTCAAACATGCTATGCAATCATATAACAGGGTGTATATATATATATATATATATCACTTTCGTTTGATTGTATTTTGAAATATTTCAAAATTAATAAAATTTTAAATTAAAATTGTGTATAGCTCAGATTTTAAAAAATATATAAAAATAGAAATTTTTATTTTTAAAAAAAATAATAATATTTTTTTATAAAAAGAAAAACAGAAATAAATTATGATTGAAAAAAAAATGAAAATAAATTTAAATAAAATAGAGAATACAATATAAATATTATATATTTTTTAAGAATACAAAATATTTTTATTATAAACAACTAAAATAAAATATGATAATTTTTTATTATAATATACAATGAAAATTAATATTAGAAAACACAACCTAACAAAGGTGAATACTTCGTGGGGAAATGCTTGCCTTTTGTTATCGAAGAGATTCCTCTCTTCTCGTCTCATTTCACAAACACTAACATCATCAACCTTGCCAGTTGCCGCACAAGTTAGGACCTTCTTTATCGAAGTGAAATTTTTTTCCTAAACGGAGATTGTCTCACGTTGCCTCTATGGTAAGTTATTAAATAAAAAAAAAAAATCCAAAATTACGAGAAGAAATTGGAGAGGTGTTTTCCCTTTAAAAATAGAGCCATTGTACCGAAGAAGATAGTATCCACAAAATACCATTTCCCTTGCCCAAACAGGCGTTTTTTCATTTTGCCATTAAGAGCAATTGGCTGAAAATTCATTTTTCAATCATGCATGCATATTGCAGAATAAGTCATCTTTGTCTCTGCTTGTCTGTTGCACGGGCCAGTACAAAACAAACTACATTTTAACTAGCACGGCGGTGCGGTCGATCGGTGATATTGGACTAACCTCTGACCCAGAGAAAATGATACAATCTCTTACAACATCATGTCTCTTCCTCAGACAACATCAGCTTTCTTTCATAGGAAAGCTAGTCCGATTTGCTAGCAGCCTACAGTTTCATTGTCCTACATCCGGTGTTCAATCATGTTTCCATGGTCGTTTATGCACTTCAAGTCTCCATTGCATTCTTCCAAAGTCGAAGAGTTGTTGTAAGAAAGCAGATTATTTCCTGCATCGGAACATTCTTCCCCTTGACAAGTTCCCCCCACATTGGCGATGGCAACATCATTGCATGGTCCTGCTTCACACAAACCACACCAAAGAAATCAATATATACTGTGGTATATATAAAGCGAAACAAAAGCTTTTGCACGGCACAATTCACACAAACCACACCAAACAAATCAATATATACTGCGGTATATATAAAGCAAAATATATAGTGAGAAGCTCACCACTTGTTTTGTCCATTGCCTGGTTCCCGAATAATGTTTTCTTCAGCCAGACAGAACCGGGGAACACCATCAGGTTGATTTTACTAAGCTTACGCCTATCGTCTTCTTGCAAGGGTTGGAACCCAAAGCCAACCGTCCAGGTGTGCACCAATGTTGGTATAGCAGATATTACAAGCATTTCAACCTTCAATGATTTCAACATCTAAACCCACAAGTGATTGAGGTTAGTACTGCAGAGGCAACAATTGGGTGAAACTTAGAATAACACAATTGAACGCTTGAAATGCAATTAATTCAAAACAATACAATAGTTTTGAATTATATTCAATACTAATCAAACACAGAAAATTAAATATGGAAATGAATTTGGTCTAACTTTATAGGTTTCACTTTTTGAAAATGATTAAATCCCCAAACATTCCATTTCAAGTTAAAACTTAGAATGCTTAGTTTGGCACAATATTACTCTACTTATTATATATCAAGAAATTGTTGGAGCAAAACCCAAATGACTTACCTCTTCAATAGAGTTAATAAGGCGTCGGCACATACCCTGGCGACGATATTTGCTGCAAGTGGCAATTAAAGGCAACTCTGCAACTGTTACTCCATGTATTCTATACATCATAGCAATCCATCTCATATTAGAAACAAATTGTACACAGCTTAACTGCAGCAAGAAAGATGAGGATTCTCGGGCATAGTCCCCTAGACAAAAGAGGTTTTACCTTATGGATGCTACAGAAATAACAACATCATCTTTCTCCAAAACCACAGTATAAAAGCCACAGTAATTCAGACGGGCATATTGTGATCTGAAAGAAGCAAGCATCGTATTTCTTCAGTTTATGACAATAAATATGTGTATAGGCATATACAGACAACACAACACAACACACTCTCTCTCCTAATATCTTAGATTAAGGAGACTGTAATTAAGAGATCCCCAGTCCCCACAGCTATTTTTCCATTATGTTTAGAATATTCTCAGTCAATATGGAACAGAGATAGCACTGCAGTGGAGTTTCACATCCAAAACCAAGTTATATAGTTCGAGCATACAGCTTCCTAACAGCATGACATCCTTCATAATATATTGTAATATACTTACAAAGATTAGCAACTGCAATAAAAGGATAATGAGAAGCTGGTGAGAAAAATTACTCAATGAAACTCATGACCTGCCTTTGATGGTTCATTTCAAATAGAACCAAGAGAGGCTTCTGCTTCGATGGTTGTTTTCTATGAAATCTTAATTCCAACGCAAATTTAAAAGAATTGGTTGATGTATATACGCCAAAAATATCATACAGTATTCTTAATTTCATGTTATGATACATTAGGAACTGACTTACAAAATAAATCAAATCAAATCAAATGAATAGAAACAGTCATAATTTTCTTCCTTAAGCCAATAAATACTTCACTGCTCTAATGCCCTGAATGAAGAAACAGTCAGCACGGATGTGCTTCCAGAAATTCAAAAATGAATATTTACTTTGAAGTGATTTCTGTTGTGCAAATGAATATGGAAGAAATGCAGTTAAGTCTAGGCAGGAGCAAATACCATGAGAAAAAGTACAACCATATCTCCCACTAATCGCACAAGGGAAAAAAGTGCCTATTTTAGTACTTACCCCCAATTATATATTACTTGAGGTATCATATCTACTCCTGTTTTAGTATCCACCATAGGGAGAAAGCATTCCTCCATAATCGTGATTGCAACAGACAACTTTGAGTTGCATTCTGCATTTAGAGCAACGTTGTGTACTGCAGAATTAGCATTATGGTCGGTAGAAATGCACCGTAAAAGAGTCCAGGAGATGTCATCAGGTAGAAGATTTCTCAATCCAATGCGAGATTGGAGGCTTGTGTAAACCTGCATTAGGAATTAAGCTTATTATAAGATGTGCAATGTTACACATAAAGTGAAAAGAGGATATCCTTAATGATCAATACAATCTTTCATCTGGCAAATAGTTTTTCATAGTTTATAATAATAGCTAAAAATATAGTGCATGGCTACCTCACAGAAGTAAAGATATAATGCATTGTTTCAACGTGTTTTCTTTATCTCATACAACAAAACTACCCCAAAGTAATAATGCAAAGACAAATTCCACAAACTGTCTATCTGGCTAAAGTGTTGAATATTATGTATTTCCATTGTATTTAACTGGAGTGCCATATTAATAGGGCAAAAGTAAAATACTGAACCTGGAAAGAAAATCAGATATAAATCTCTTATAACTAAGATGGCTTACATAGGTAACAAAATATTCTCTCAAATTCTAAAGGTGGCAAATCAATTTTCTATTCTAAACTAAATTTTCAACATGACGTGCACACAAACATGTAGCCATGCATATATGGTTATGCATATGTAGGATAACAAATGGTTTTAAGACCAAGTTAGATATAGTAAATACTTTTGAGACAAATCTGGCTATTTGTACCCATGACTGACAATTATGTATCACTGTTGTAGGTGCCATATTTGCAGGGAATCAAATTAGTTATGTTATCAATCATGCAATCAAGGTTCAAATATGGTGCATAATTTGAAATAAATATACAGCATACTGAGCATAGGACATTATTACTATATTTTTTCTAAAGTTAGAAACAAAAAGAGAAGACCCAATAGAGGGCAACTCAATCATCACGTCGGCACCAACCAATACATTTCTTTCTGCTTTCTTTCATCTATTTTTCAAAACTAGTTCCAACAGCATCTCTGTATTCAAACAGAATATCATAAAAAATCTAGCTATCCTTTTGGCTTAAAAAAGGGCCTTTCTGAACTTCCTAACTTAATGAATTTCTAACCTAATTGTTCTCTCTGCAGGAGGTTAAGTAATCAAATCACCTTGATTGGCATAGGTTTCAAAGCATTGAACTACATTCAATCAATAAATAGAATACCAGCACGTTCAACCTAATCAAAACATTAACTCCTTGATTTCCAGCAAGTCGAGGACACCCTGATATCCAACATGCAATGTGAAAGTATTTCTAAAGTTCATAATCCACTCAATATTGGGATGTAGGTGAAGCATTCATGCAAAATCTTGAATAATAAGACTTCAGAAACAAAGTGAGAAATGGTGTAATTTAAGTCCTAATATGGCGCATCAGTATACATTTATTTTATAGGCCACATTACGTCAACGAATGGAAATGCCCTGGCACTTGATTGATCAAGGGATTTGATGTAACGCATTACATGATTGCATAAAGTAAACATGGTAATAGAAAATAATACATCATTGATTCCTACAAGATTTATATTGGTGAAAACGTACACAACTTACTAATAAGTAAGTAAAGGAGGGCCAGAAAGATTCTATTCTCCTCACAATTTGCTATATTACATGCATTTCGTACTGTAGTTCTTCGATTATAATAAAATTAGATGTGATGCCAGATTCTACATGTAATAGATTTCTCACAATTGACCAATTAGAAAGTCATTAGATTTTTAAAAACAAGACCAAGCTAATTTTGCAATCTCATTTATGTTACTTTTTTCTTATTTATTTATTTATTGAGCAATTGCAGGGTTACTTCACTGTTTCCATCGACCTTAGTTCTATATCTCTATTTCCTAATCTAAATATATTTTCTTTCCAAGAAAGAAAAAAAGTCAACTTTTACAAAATGCAAGCAATAGGTGGATTGGGCTATTATTAAGGAAAGTGTAATGCTTACCATTCGACAGCTATCTCCACAGAACCACGTGTCTAAGTCTGTTTCAACAGGAAGACCTTTCTGTTGTCTGCATTTCTCATGATCTGTAAGACTAAGCAATTAGATTTTTGTCCAGAATGGATAAGAAATAACAAAATGGACCACTCTTTTAGGTAAAATGATCAAGGGCGCCTCTTACTCTATTCAAGCAACTTTCACAGCAGATTAGAAATTAAAAAAAAAAAAGTACATTTACTCCGTAAAATACTTTTTTATTTCAATTGAATACATAACTATATATATTACAATCATAAGCAGCTTGAAAAATACATACACATCTTCTACCAATCAAATAAAAACATTTCCTGTAGCAACCTGAAAACAAAGTCAGAGATACCTCAGGTTGGTCAACAATCCATTTGTCAGAAAAAATTTCACAAAACAATCCCAAAATGTGATTCAAACATTATCCCAGTAATTCAATAATTATTCGCACTACCATGAAGAAGAAACAGCAAACTAACATAAATAATACACACTCTCATTTTGTTAAAACATATGAAAATCAACAAATGTGGAAGCTGCCAAGACACTACAGCAAAGAATAATAAAACTTCCTGCATCATTATTATGGAACAATAAAAAGACAGAAGCTGAATGGATTGATTCCACATAAGAATATCTAACAAAATAAACACATTCAGAGGAAAATTACATTTTTCCTCGCATTGAGAGCATTTCAGAGATCCAGGTAAAAGTGAAGTTTCTTTCTCCTTTACTGCATCCTCACAAATTTGGCATCGACATTGCGGGCAATACCAGTTTCCCTCTGGTAGCACCTGAAATGAGCATTAAAATAATTAGTTTATTCAGTCTATCCAATGGTGGAAGTAGCATAACAACACCAGAAGCATAAAAACATGGCGGGCATACAAGTGACACAAACTTTCAAGAAATAATTAGTTTATTCAGTCTATCCAATGGTGGAAGTAGCATAACAACACCAGAAGCATAAAAACATGGCGGGCATACAAGTGACACAAACTTTCAAGAAATCTGGTTGCTTGTGATCAGCAGATACAAATAACATGATTCACATTATTAATGGGTGGATGAATCTTGCCTCAATAGCAATTTAAAAAATAAGGCAGATATTAGTATTCATCGTGTGACAGATATTTGATATTAAAAAAAAAAAAAAAAAAAAAAAAAAAAAAAAAAAGGATATCTTAATGAGATTGATCTCAACCAAACCTAAAAGTAGAAGACTACAGCATTTATTCTAATAGGGTCAAGAGTGATAAACATCCTCTGGCCTTGTATTAAAGTAGTTAAAATTAATTGCACACATGCACAATACCACATAATCACATATTACACTGCAACTCAAAAAAATAAAATAAAATAAAATCTAATAGAGGATTGAACATCAGATGATGTGATATTCCCATTCTTTTAGGATTCAATGATAAGAACTCGAGGTAATAGCAAAAATATGATATGTAGAGCGTTGGTTGACTCCCGTATGTATATATATAAATAAATTATATGTATCCCTAATAGCTTAAGCTTTTAACTGATGTGGTCATTTACATCATCTAACATGGTATCATAATTATGGTACCCGTATTAGGTATTGATCCTAAGATTTTAAGATTATATCTCGAAAGAGAAGTGTTGAATATTGTCCCACATTAAAAAAAAAAGTGGGAATTCCCCTTATTTATTGAGTAAAGGGCTACGCCACTTAATACCAATTGATTTTAGGTTAATAAATGAATGAAGAACTGCATGTTTAATATTATTTCAGAGAAACTATGGATCCAATAAAGGAAAAGCTGATGCAAGAGAAGGAGCCAATTAAAGATTTCTGAAGGTTTACAATTATTATCCATGCCTAGTGATAGGTTGGAATCTAACAAAATTCAAGTTACAAAATTAAACTTGAAATGCTAAGATGCTCTATCCAGTACAAATTAGGCAGTATGAACATCCAGAAAAAATTTTAATATTCATCAATCATTTAAATAATGTCATCAATATATCACTAAAGTACAAATCATCACATTGCGTGAAGACTATAGAATGTAAATTACAAAAAGCAAACCAGCTAAAGAAGTTAATTTAAAGGCATCAAATAACATAAAGACGGACCTGTTCAAATAAGCATGCAAGATGGAAAGCAGATGGACAGTTATCACAGCATATCAATTCACCAACATCACCACAGCGACCGCAGCTATCATCATTTAGATCATTTTCATCGCCTTGATCATTTTTAGGGTTTACTTTTCTAGCCTTGCATTCAGAAGACCATGCTTCGAGCTGACACAAAGCAAATGGCTTGCCAGACTCCATGTAAAGATTCATGCAAGGTCGATTAAACCTAAAGCCAGCATGGTTCTTGAATTCTGAGATGGAAAACACCATATTGCAGCACTTGCATAAGATCCCTTCCCTGGTAACTAATCCATCTTTTATTACAGCATCATCTTTCACATTTCGGTACTGGATTACTTCATTCAGAGAAACAACTCTAGCATGCAGCAACCATGACAGTATTGTTCTTGATCTGATCGCGTACCAGTTTTCTTCTGCTAAATGCTTTGTATTCTTTTTAAGACTTCTGGGAAGCAACTTGCAGCTGCCTTTGGGAGCCTTACGTTTCTTCGAGGGTTTGGAGTTGCTGGTGGACCATTTTCCAGGGCCTTTGCAGGTTTTTGTTTTAATAATGGCAGAAACTAAGAGATCGTCATCTTTAAGGCGACAAGCTTTGGCTTTCTTAGATCCCCAGCTAGCACTGCTTATTTCACCTACGTCGCAAAGGTCTTTTCCATCAACCTGATTTCCAATAAGTCCCATTTCAGATAGCTTTCTTGATTTTTTATGAGCCTTCTTGATGTAGCCATCCTCCTCATTTTTTGTTTGGTCAATATGACAAATTGTATTACTACCCAGCAGCGGGATCATAGTCTCGGGCCCTCCATGCAACTGTGGTGATCCTGGAGTGATTGGAACATCAAAAAGATCCTGATTAGTGTCATCATATCCCCAACCTTGCACGGCCATTGAGTTAAGTGCGCTTTTTTCTGATCCAGAGATTTTCTTCTGGTGTGTGGTAGCATAGTCTGCATCCGATGGCATAAGTAAGCTTCTCTTGCCTTTTACAGTTTTTCCTTCTTTCAGCAAGCGAATTGACTTTTCAATGAAAACAACATTCGCAAAAGGATCCAGAAGGCACCATAAATGAGCCATGGAAATAGTAGTTTCTAAAACAGCTAGGTTTTCATCAATTTTTTTAAATGTGCAGGACAAATCAGTCCACAACTCTGTCATATCAGTCCACTGCATGCAATCACTTGTCTGCGAGAAATAAATTGCATCCACCGACAAGCTCTCACCACACATACACCAAGCCCGATGAAATTCACGAATTGGTCTTCCTTCAGGTGACTTGTAAACATACTCCCCTATACCATTATATTTGCTATTCCTTCTGCGCCTTCCAATCACCCATCCCGCTGCTATAAACAAACGGTTTATATGATACCTGAGAAGAGGCCGAGGATCATTTTTTATATCTTTTGGCATAGCTAATTCTTCATCATCCAGTTTCACAAAACAGGAATCCTTCCACTTTGGTTTTGTCAGTCGATGAGCTGGTGAATTATTTTCCGCAGGGATTAACACGTCAGAAACGGGCAGCTTGTTTGCACAGCTCTCCTGAGAAACAGGCGAAGTAACAGTTCTACTTGGGGTCACTTTCTGGTCACTGTTATCTAAACTCAAAACATTGTTCTCAGAGCTACCTGTACCGCTAATTTCACATCGTCTGTCTAAATAGATTGATGGCCTCAGCTCATAAATACCGGACATAACACCCTCGCCAGAAGATTCTACTAGATGATATGTTAAAGAGCGGCAAACAGTGCCAGAACTTTTTTGGGATATACCTGACATAATTCCTTCTGGAAGAGCAGATGGAGTGGGATGATCCCCCAAAACTGGTTTCGCTTCCAGCTGATCCCCAACAGATAATTTCACCTCATGCTCAATTTTTACTGATAATGTGGAGTCAACAGGGAGATTCTCTGATGGATGGTTTCCTGAAAATCCTTCTTTTTCATAATTATCTTGACTGGTTAATGAGGATTTCCCACTTCTTGAGCTAAGATACATGTTGGTTTCTTTAATAAATTCACTGTCTATTCTAGCAGTGTCAGAAAGAATAAATTCCTTTTGCTTGCTATGATCACATCCGAAGAAAACCTCACCAAATATTCTTTGCTCATCCACAGATCCTTCAAAGCCATCATCATGCAAATTCTCAATTTCTCTGCTGAATAACACCAATGAGGATTCGACCATTATATGGCCTCTCAAAGCTTATCTTTAATAAATGAGTACCCAAGACAACAACCTGTACTTCACTGCAAAATAATTTTGGGCTATCACAATGCAACAAAAGCATGCAAGGGGAGAGGGCGGAGGTCTAGAAATTGTGACATCTTCCATGATTACCATGAGATTTGTGGAAAGGCGGTGAAAATGACAGGAAGAATATAGGGGTATATAAAGCTAAATTTCTCATTATCAAGCAAACTCATATAACTAAATCAAACCAAAATATATTAGTGCCTATAGCCAATCATTCAGGCAAGAGGGTAGCAACAGGGAATGGCTGTGTAAGGAGTCATTAGGAGATATTTTTTCCATAGTTGTCAATAGCGCGCAATAGCGGTGTAGCATAGCGGAAAGGCACTCTGCTGCTACGGCCGCTCTGCAATTCTGCGTAAACGCAATAGCAATGTAGCAGCCTGTAGCAGCACTCCGCTATGTTACGCTATACCGCTATTGTAGCTTATTAGTTTATTTTTTAGTAGGTAATAATTGAAATCTAACTTTAACTTATAAAATGTACTTTTTTATTATAAAATAGACAAAAAAAATATTTATCTTAAATCTTAATTAAATTTTTAAATTCATTTCGAAAAAAGAAACAAATTAGAAAGCCAAAAAATGCAAAATGTTTATATCAAGGATAACCAACATTTGTTAGATCATTATGGTAGCAATGATGTGATTGGCTCTATTGTTTTGAATGATTCTAATGAGTGGTTAATTAAAGAAGTTGATAATGCGGAGGATAAGTTAGTCTTTGACAATAATAATTTGACTAGGGGAGTTATTGATGCTAATAGGTCTTTTATCTACACTAAGATACAAACATCAATGCATCAATGAGAAAGAAAACTATAGGTACTTCTAAATATAAAAAGGGAAATGATATTATACAAGGTGACGAACATACAATTGAATAAATTGATAATAATAAAGAGGAGGAAAAAAATATATAGACAAAAGTAATTAAACAGTGAAGATGATGAAAATGAGGAATCAAATTTTTTATGAGATTTTGAATCTGATTAGCTTTGATATATCTCTATTACACAATAGTGATCTAATTTTTTTTTGCTTATATAACTATCCAATATTTATGATCATATATATATATATATTTTGACATTTTATTGGTTTTGGTGATAATTATGAAATTAATTTATAGGTTTTTCTTATGTATTTTTTTTATAATTTTGTATATATAATAATTTAATATATATATTCTTAAATATTTAAATAGCGGTCATACCGCTATCGGCTATCCCCTATAGCATTTTAGATATTGACCGCTACGCACCGCTATCCGTGATTGACAACTATGATTTTTTCTTACCAAACTTCCAACGATAAAAATAAGGAAAAAGTGAAAAATGACCAAATTTAAATAATGTCATGTTTCCTAAGTGCATTCTCTTGTGTGACAAATTAATCATGGATATCACAGATTAGCCATAAATTAAGACGCCATGAATTTAGGATGAACATGTTGTAATAGAAGATATTTCTTATTTGGTGCAATTTTCTCTCTCCATTCAGAGGCGCTAAATCTTAAATAAGGGTGTACAGTTCAGTGCTAGTCTGCTAGATTCTACCAAAACTGATCTATCCCAATCATATTTTACATCACCAATGACCAGTTGAAAAGCGTAAATACCATCGTGCCACGTGGTGAATAGATTGACAAGTTGAGATGCCCTAACTTAAGGAAGTTCACATAGTAACGAAACTAATATGGCGCAATTTCTGCCAACCATGTGAACATATAAAAATGTAATAAGTGCATACAATGTAAAAGTAGATTGTATAATAAATAATCTACTCCAATTCTCTTCTTAGTATCCAAACACTCCAAGAATGACCAACCGAAAAAGGTTAAATCTAGTCAAGCCACACAGAGAACAGATTTCCAAGCTTACTTGCCAAAAAAAGATGGCATATCTCTTAAATGTCATTTTAAAGCACCAAAGCATCATATAAATTTAACAGAATTACCTCAAACCATCATACATAAATGGCATATCTGAACAGACAGGCAGTAATGAACCTATAAACAGAAGGCACACATCAACAGACAACATAAGATTAAATAGGCAATGCAAATGGAGAGTGACGAGCAAATATCACTCAAGCTAAGTCATACTAATCATGTCTGTAATCTACAATCGGAGTAAAAAAAAGAAAAGTAACATATCAAATAGCACCAGGTATGCAAACTCGGAAAAAAAAAAAAAAAAAGAGTAACATTAAGCAAGAGTCCCAGACTCTTTCAATGAATCACTACTTCATAAAGAAGTACTATGAAAAAGAAATGAAATTCAGATAAGAAAATGCACCCGATTACCCGCAACAAAGAAGCCTCAGATACAAAACCCACCAAATCAAATCAAATGAACTCCACCGATTTGAGGGAAGAAACACAAACCACGAAAAACCCACCAAATCGAAGAGAATAAAGTTCGAAATCCTCACCTCTACATTTGCATCCGATGGAAATTAAAAGTTAGGGTTCCTCCCCCGAATCTCCAACTTCGCCCTCGAGAAATAAAGAGCAGAAAACACAAACGATGGGCAGCTCGACAGGCGCAGTGCGAAGGTACCGCTTGGAACTAGAAACCCACGAAGAGAAAGGGGGAGGGCTTTTTGGTGGAATGAGCGAACGGCGCTCGTAATCACTACAGTTGTCAAGCATTAAGCATTGGCATGGCCAGCTCGCTCTCCCCTTTTATTAACCCTCTCTGGCACGGTCGCTCGCTCAATATTGGTCCTATTTGTACTACATGTCGTTAATTATCCGATAATAAAAGCCCTTTGCATTCCGTGTTAGGGTGTCTGTTTAGTGTTTTATGAAGTACTATTTGTTTAAAGAAATGTAACATGAAAATAATACTATTTTATAATAAATAATTAGTTTTTTAATAATGGAATATATTATATGTTCCCAAACTTAATTCGACTCAATTTGATTCCGTAAGTCGATTACACAATTAGCAAATACATTACACAAATCATAGAAGATAAAAAAGATGAAACATACAATTTGTTCGCTGAGTCTGAGTCTTACCAATCGTGACCTACATCAAGTAACAATTTCGGATTCATTTACTATCAGTAATTATTTTAATACAATTGTTTTTCAAATAAAAAATGCCTAAATAAGAATAAATTATGATGCATCCATTATGCTTGGTTGATTGTGTTTTTACTGTCGAGATTACTCAAATTGGTTTTTGCAATCCCATTCGAGTTTGAGAGGGTGTCTCGAAAGATTTTCGATATATAGTTTTAAATTTGTTAAATTTTAATTTAGATTTTGTCGTATCCATTAGATTACGTTATTTAGATTTGAGTCAATAGAGTCCATATATAAGTCTTATTTTGACGATCAACGCAAGTTTTAGAGTTTTCGCAAAATATTTTAACATTTTCCTAAAAACTTTCTTGTGAAAATTCAATGAGACTAGACTCAATCTCAATCTTTTTATTTCAAGTTTCCACCATAAAGTTTTTTAAAAAATGAATGAATTTTTTTTTTCCGAAGAAATCAAAAACAATATTGTAAGAAAAACTCACAAAAATTTACACATAAAATCAACTGTTCTTTCTTGAATTATGTGGAATTTTTCTCATGCTATTTTTTCTTTTAATGATCTGTTTGTGTCGAATTAGCTCAATCCCCTTTTTCTAATATGGTATCCCATTCTCCTAAAATTTGATCTCAAACCCCAAAAATACCGAAGGTAAGAGACCAAAAGAGGAAAAAAACCAAAAAAAAAAAAAAAAAAACTATTTCCATAATTTCTTTCACTTGACCCGTGATTCTCTCTCAATCAATCTCAAAATCAATCTATATAAGTTTTTCTTATAAATCTCCAAAATTCCGTCCAAAATCACATATATATATATATATCCAATTATATTCCAAATTCGAATAAAAATATCGACAATTATTTTATTCAATAAACATCAATCAATCGATCAAACGTTATTCAAACAACCATCAAATGATATATATCAGCTAAAATATATTTGAACATTATATTTTTATTGATATTTATTAAAAATTATAAGTAAAAAGCTATTGAAATAATAAATTATCATCATTAAAAAAATAATAATAAGGTAAAATTGCTCATAATTCTCACGTGGTTTTAAAATTCAGCGTATTTTCCATAAACTTAAAAAATTGTATTACGTTCCCTTATACTTTAAAAACAGTTGTAGATAAAAAATCATCTTCTTATCATAAAAAAAAAATGTAAAAAGTAGTTTAATGCAACATTTTTTAAAAATATAAAGGAGTGAATGCAATTTTTAAGTACATGAAGGATTATGCTAAATTTCGAAATCACATGAGAGTTATGGATAATTTTGCCAAAAGACTTATATACTTGCTTCTGAAATTTTTTTCTTAAAAAGATTCCTGAACGGTTGAAAGTTAAATCCATACGCAACGTGTAATGCCTTGCTAAGAGCACAAACAATGGCTCACGGCAGTAAAAGCTTCCATTACACATTTGTCAAATGACATGTTCAACTTTGATTTTAAATCTATCGATAGTTGTTTTCAAATTGCTATAGTGGCTCCGCAATTCATCATCCTCTAGTCGAATTATATCAAAACACAAGATGATCGTGTGTAAACTTCACATGGATGTGTTTATGCAGAAGAAGAGAAAGAACTAAAAACCACCAAAATAATCTATACTGAAACCCTAAATTTGTTAAAATTATCCAACAAATTTTTTAAAAATAATAATAATAATTTGTCCAACAATTTTACAAGCAAAATTGAAGTTTTTTAGAAGAAGAGAGAGAAATGCAAATTACTTCGCATATAAGAAGAGAATGACAACAGGGTTGCGGTGGAAGGCAAGATGGCGGAGGAGGCAAGCCGATAGCCGTGGTGGTTGAAGAAGAAGAAGGAGAGTAGGTCGGCGGGCGATGACCTGTGAGCGGCGGTGACGGGCTTGGGGAAGAAGAGAGAGAGAATAAATGAGGAAAGAGAAAACATGGAGGAAAGAATTGAGCGACTCGGCTAGGATTGAGCTTAGCCTACACCGGGTTTAGTTGATTTTGTATCGAAATTTCAGTTATAAAAATAAGGCCAATGCATGAGTTTTATCTCGATGGAAGAGAGATAATGCCTCCACAAATTGAAGAAAGATTTCGACATGTGAGCTACTATGTATGCTCTAAAAAATAATAGTCGCTATTAGAACTACTAAGCAAATACCAACTAAAGAAACTAATTTTCATCAATAACTAAGATTGCATTACAAAAAAAAAAATGTTTTTGTAATGAATTTTTCATGACGAAGTTGACTTCCATAGCTATTAGCAATCGAAAGTTATACATCACTTATAACCCACCAAATTAGCAATGGAGTTGTATTATATCTTCAATTTACAATGCAATTCGAGACTTAATAAAGTTTTATCGTGAATTCTAAATTAAAATTCAGTATTAAAATCTTTCATCATCATTTTGCGAACACACCCGAGAACACAATGGAGGCAACAAGCGGAGGTACGGACAGCCAGTGGCGGAACTAGGATCAAGTTAGAGGGGGACTATTTTTTTAAACTAACAAAATACTCTCCCGGTCTCGAAACAATAATGACATTTGAGTTTGGCTCGGAATTAAGAAATAATAATATTATGTTTAAAATGAAGATAAAATAGATAGGAAAAAAACTAAAATATCATTAATAGTGTATTTGCGACATTTATATAAAAATAATAAAAAATATATAAATAATTTTATGATGATATGATTATTTATGAAAATAAAATTATTATTTTTAGACGAAAACAAAATAAATTATTATTTTAAAATGGAAGAAATATATTTTATATGTCTATTTATTGTCCAACTAATTTTATCTTTCTAATTGTTATATTTTAAAAATATTACAAAATAATATTTAAGATAGTTTTATTTCCTATATATATAGACCTGTCAAAACGGGTTAGTAGGGCGGATTGACTCACAACCCACCATAATCCGCAAATAAGCGGGTTGTTTGCGGGCCAACCCGCGGCGGGGCAGATCAAAATTTCATCAACCCAATCCAACCCACCGGCAAGTGGCGAGCTAAGTGGGTTAGCCCACGGGCTTTTTAAAAATATTAAAAGAATATTAATATTTTAAATATTTTCGTAATTAATATTTAAAATTTGTTAAAAATAGTTTTATTGTAAAATTTAAATAATAAATATTTTAAAATAAATAACATAATATAAAAATTCTCAATTCTAAATATTATTAGTTGGTGTATTTTAAAAATAATAATAATAAGAAATACTCGATTTTAAAAATAAATCATAATTAATTTTATGAATTTGTAAAATTATAAAATAATAATATGAAAGACGAACAAAACAAATGATGAAAAAACGAAACAAATAACACTGACATGGATAATGGAATTAGAGAAGAAAAACAACATGTAAGACAATATTGATAATTTATTTAAACTAATGATAATATAAATTTTATTTTATTAACTTAAAATATTTCTTTTTAGTAGTAGATTAAAAAGAATCATATCTTATTTATTAAATAACATGTACATGATGATTTTGATATTTTTTACTCTTCGTACGTTATTTATAAATTAATTGTATTTATAATGATATATTTGTAATTTATATAAAATTAAAATATATTCTGATATTAATATTTGATTAGTTTTATTATAATTTTTTAACGTGACCGTAAGAAATTGTAAAAAAATAAATTTAGTTAGACGGATGAATACTAATTATTATATTTACTTGACCCGCGGGCTAACCTGCCCCACTACGGGTTAATCCACCGTCAACCTGCGGCTTATGCGGGTTGGCCCATTTAGGCCTGCATTTTAACGGGCTTAAAATATCACAACCCAATCTTCCTTAAAAGTAAGACGGGGCGGACCAACCCGACGGGCTCAACACATTTTGACGGCTCTAACTATATATTGTAAAAATTCATTTTTGAATTTTTATAAAATAAAAAATAATAATACATATTTATTAGAAAAAAAAATTATAATTAAAATTATTATTAGTATTATTATTTATTCCAATCATTTTTTCTATATTTATATATATATTTAAAAATATATAAAAATAAATAAATAAATTAAAGGAGGATGGGGTGGGGGAAGGGGGCCTGCAGCCCAACATTGCTCCTTAATAGATTCGCCCCTGCGGACAGCAACGGCGACTTCTATTTATGTAAATTGACGGAGATATTGACTGCAACAATGAAAATAACATCAATTGTTTCAAAAATGATATGTAGATTTTATTTATGTATTTAAAAACTATTTACCGTTGGACCGCCGACAATGATGCCCGCCGGCGGGCCGTCTTTCTCGTCGTCTCCTCTCCTTTTTTTTTTTTTTTTTTTTTTTTATTTTTTATTTTTAAAAATCTAAAAATCAAAGTACTTTGTTATTTTGTTATTTTTTATTTGTTAAAAATATTATATTTTACTAATATTATTTCAATGGTAGTCAATAAAACATCTGTTAATTTTGTATTTTTTTGGATGAATGTGTTATTATTTTTTGTATTTAATTATTAATTTTTTTGGATAGATAAAATATACATATTATATTGTATTAAAATGTATATATATAATATATTTTTATAATAATTGTGAAAAATTTGTACCATTCAAAAATAAATTGAATAAACAAATTCAAAGTTTTTTTTAAAAGAAAATTGTTAGTGATCAATAGTAAAAATATTATAGCAATATAGTTTTTTATCATTGATACAATTTTTTTTATCAATTTGTATTTATCCGTAACATCGGAGACTACATATAATTTATTAAGAAAATTTCTTCCAAATAAAAAAAATATTAATATATATATAATCAATATGAGCATGCAGTGATATTATATACTTCGTCCGTTTCAATTCAAAGTATTTTCTTCGTTATTCAATTGTGTGTTCATTTGACCGACCACAAATTATAAGATAATAAGTAAAAATAAATATTTTTACCTTTTTGGATAAAAAAAGAAAAGAAAAAATGTGGTATTTATTCCTAAAAAGGAAAGAAGAATAAATTTAGATGAAAAAAAAAAGAAAAGAAAAAAAAGAAAATGAGAAAAGATTTGGACGACAGATGCTTATTATTTTTTATCATTTTTGTCAATCTCACTTCAAACTATTTATTTTTTATTTTTTAGAAAGTAATCACACAATAATACCAAAATACCTTTAACGTTATTTAAATTGCAAATATACCATTACACGTGCATTATATATAAAGTGAAAGGACAATCCACTCAATAGAATCATTAAAAAAAAATATCTAATTAGTTACAATATCTTTAACTTCGAAATATTTTTACAGTTAAAACGTGTCATTTAGCAACAAAAATTATTATTTTTTCGCTAAAAATAAAATATGTACTAGAAAATTAATTCCGTCGTTAAAATATTTTTGCTAAAAATTTTATTTTCATAGAAAAAATGTTTCAGTTATAAAATTATTTTTCATATTTTGTTGCTAAAACTGTTTTGTTATGAATTTTAATTTTATAGTAAAAAAACTTTAGTTACGAAATCATATTTTCATAACTATATAATTTTTCTTAATTTTCATTGCAAAAAACTTATTTTATTTGTTACGAAAGTCATATTCGTCACAAAAAAAATATTTACTAACGTGGTATAAGCTTCGTGGCAAAACTATTTTTGCTATGAATTATTATATTTTGCTACAAATTTATTTTAGCTAAATTTCAATTTATTCTATATTTATTTATTTTTTTTTTGTAGTGAATTAAGCAATGCAAGGCTAAGGCAGCATTAATGAATGATTAGTACGTGCTCAATAGTATATAGTATTAGTTAAGCCAGCATTACCAAATCATGAATGAGAGTAATGCATGCATGGTCCCAAGCAAATTGCCTTTAATTATTTGTAATTAATTAATTGAAGGAAACCTGCTGCGGCTTCTGATCATTCCATGAATATGAATGCATGCCTCCTCCACTAATATACCATCTTCTTTTTCCTCCCACCACCGCCCCCCTTCAAATTCCACGACGACTCACACCTGATCTCCAGCTTAAGCTTAAGATCAAGATCAAGAGTAGTATGGCCATCTCCACGACGAACGAACCCAGAGCAGCCCACACGAAGATTGTCCGCCTCCAATCCCACAACACCCTTTTCATCAGAGGCAACTCAGTTGCTATCTCCAAAGACCCGCCATATATTTGGGGCACACCATCAGCTGAACGGCTGCTGCTGCTGCTGCACCGCCTCTGCATCTGAAACTCGGCTCTTGGTTCTAGGGTTATTCGGAACCAGCTACTGGCGGCGGGCGGCTGTCGACGACGTTGATCGTATGCTTGCGTGATCAGTGCGGCAGGCGGCACTGTAACTTCTAGGGTCTGGACTTGGGACTTGAAGCCCATTAGGATTGGCACGCTGTGGAGTAGCGCCTCCATGGTGCGGATTGCGTTGCTCTTGTATCGCAGCATCGTGGGCTGGCTCCAGTTTGAGGTCACTAATTCTCTCTTGGTAGACAACCAGCTCTCCACTCGAACCTAGCTTATTATATAATCCAGTATATTATTCCACAACACAGAAACTTACATACATCAGACCAGACCCGGCCACAAACCATTAATTAAAAGTTTTTGCAATTAGAAAGCTAGCTAGGCATGAAATATATATATACATACTCAACGATACATTACTATTATGATGATGATGACGACATATACAGAGATAAATTAATACATGCTTGGAAGTTAATCAAATATTAACACATATATATTGTACCTACCTGAAATATACCAAGGTTTCTATTGTACTCGGATTCAGGCAATGTCAAAGAAACAGTAATCCACAGCTTATGATGAGAGGGGATGGTGGTCTTGAAAACTGCTGGGCGGCGGTTGGACGAAGAATCAGGTGGTGGTGGTGCATGAACAGCAGCTGCAGGGCTGCTCCTGGTGTAGTCGAAGCTCAGAGCTTCCCTGGCGTGCACGGACCTCTCCACCACAGTCCCCATTAGGATCCCGCTTATTGTGAACCCCACAATCAGAAGCCCCACCAGCAGCATCCATGTGCAGACGGCGCACACCAGCCCCCGAGACAACCTCGCTGCGCACCTCATCCACAAAGAGGTAATCCCTGCATTACTGCAGCAGCCGGTCGGCGCCCTCCTCGCTCTCAGAGTCTTTCGGACAGTTCGTACCAGCGCCTGGAATGGGGACACTACTGCGCACATCACACAAGTTAAGTTGAGGAAGCAGCGGCTGCTGTTGCTGCAAATGGGGAGGAGTAGCGTGAGGAAGAACCGGAGGAACAGGGTGAGCTGATACCCCGCGAGTTTGAATAGCAAGGCAGCCAAGCTAGTAATTATCACAGTGCCAATATTAGTATTAGTATCACTGCTACTTATAAGTGGAAAGTTTTTGACATCTTCTTCAGGCTTAGGGTCGAAGAATAACTTCTTACAGAGCGGCAGCTTGTTGCGCTGTTTCGGATCATGATTGGGACTAGAAGGGGGATCGAAATTGGACAAATCCAACGGTCCGGATTTTCGGGACAGGAGCAGCTTCTCTGCTGCATGGATTAGCAATGAATCCTTGATGATATTTCCTTCAAAAAACCCTGCAGTGCTGCTGCTGTTAATGTTGTTGTAATCACCAAATGGGAATAACGATGGTGCATCCACCTCGTAGTTTTCATCCTCAATTTTTGTTGCTGCTGCTGCAAGAACCGGGTCGCCCATTTTATATATATATATATATAGGATTGGTTTCGTTTCGTTTCGAGCGATGGATTGATGGTGTATATATAGCTGTCTGGCCGGTGTAAGAAATTATGAAATGTGTCTTCAGCGCAAATTGGATTTAATTAATTTCTAGCGTGAGGCAATCACTTTATAGAAAGAAATTGATCAGAGACGCCGCGAGCTAGTGGGGAAATTTAAAGCATCTTCTTGGGATGCTAAAGACAAGTGGCTAATCTACATTGTCTTTTAGCGATGAAGTTGTGTACGTGGATATACGTATATACGTATATAAAGCAGATATATATATATATACACCCGTAAGTTGCAAGGCAATTCCTCGACGCTGACAAGAAACTTGCTACAATATGCACAACATCACAAGATGCACCGGGCAAAGTAGTGCGTATATTAGTTCTTTATAAAATAAAGAGTAAACTGTTTTTTTTAGTCCCGACCTTTTTATCATTTTAGTCCTGTAAGTGGAGCTTGTCGCAAACTAGTCCAATAAGTGAAAAACTTTCGCTATTTTAGTTCTCCGGCGCCGGAGACGCCCGCATGGCTCGCCGGAGGTGACGTGTCCGCCAGGTGTCCCGCCAGGTCAGCGACACTTGACGGACATGTGGATTTATTTTTTATTTTGTTATTTTTTTATAATTTTTTTAATTGGACCAAATAAAAAAAATTAAAAAAATACAAATAGAATTTAAAATAAATTAAAAATAAGTTCTAAAAAAAATGGAAAAAAAATAAAAAAAATCCACGTGTCTAGGACATGTGGATTTATTTTTTATTTTGTTATTTTTTTATAATTTTTTTAATTGGACCAAATAAAAAAAATTAAAAAAATACAAATAGAATTTAAAATAAATTAAAAATAAGTTCTAAAAAAAATGGAAAAAAAATAAAAAAAATCCATGTGTCCGCCAGGTCAGCGACACCTGGCGGACACGTCACCTCCGGCGAGCCACGCGGGCATCTTCGGCGCCGGAGGACTAAAAAACAACAAAAATTTTTCACTCATGGGACTAGTTTGCAACAGCTCCACTTACGGGACTAAAATGATAAGGGGTCCAATTACGGGATTAAAAAAAGAGTTTACCCTAAAATAAAATAAAATACAAATGAAAGATCTTTTCTTACCTTATATACAAACACTCTAACGAACCGGGCCTAATACAGTCCAAAGCAAATCCAAACTCATAAGCTCTATGGAAACAAAATAGGATAGCTAAATAAACAAAATAGGGATAAATTAAATCTAGTGGATAAACATTAACTGGATTCAAGGGCGGAACTTCCAGATATTGAAGGCTACTCTAATTGAACCATACTAAATTTGGACCACTCGTAATATTTTAATTTTGATTTTAAATAATAAAATTTTAAATTAAAAGATTTATTTAATATGATATAAATATGCATATGATGTTTTAATATAAAATTTAATTTTATTGTAATATAATAAATAAAAAATAAATATTTAATTTAATATTTTTAGAAAAAATATTAAAATAGTAAAATCGAAAATAAAGTTGTAAACACACCCAATTTTGATCGATGTTATTTGAGGGTCAATCAGGAGCAATCACAACACACAGATTTTTTAAAATATTTCAGGAAGTGATCTTCCGTGCACCTTAAATAGTGATCTTGGTAGAAAAAATAGTGATGTGAGTAGCAAAAGTAGTGACAAATAGATTATTATTTGCTAAAATAAAGATAGCCTCAAGTCACCTGCTACGCATAGTTCATATAATGTGATTTGTCTGTCAGATCGTCACTTTCGGATAGCAGCAACGGATTTCCACATCATTAAAATAATAATAATAATAATAATAATAATAAAATTATGGATGTACAATGTTGTTTACTATAAATTGATTGTCCATAAATTTAACGGACGAAAAAAAATAAAGATAATTATATAATTTTGGTAGATGAAGAGAGCAATATTTTGTATTGAATTATTAATGTATTATTAGTAAATAAAATATATATTATATTATGTTAATGTGTATATTAAAAGTTTTTTAATAATATTTATAGAGAATTATGTATTTAAAAATAAAACTCAATTATTGAAATCAAAATTGTAACATAAATAAGACAAATTTGAGATTTCATGGTGAGGACCAAAACTAAAATCTTATTGAATTGTTTGTTATCCTGGCCGTCCTTAAAAATATCATATATACTTTGATATTTGAAGACAAATTTTGTTTGATTATCATATCTCCCACTATACATTCAATTTATTTTCCAAAATATTACATCACATAGGATTCATTCAAAAATTGTTTATTTATATCTCTTCAATAAATAAATATATTTATATACATTCAAAACTCTTTGTTTATTAGTAAAATTAATTTATGTTTATTATAAATAAATATTTATATATTTTTATTTATTTATATTATATAAAATTTTATTATTTATAAAATAGTATTCATATAATATATATTTTATTAATATATAGTCACTAAAATAATTAAATGCACATTTTAATTTTTTAAATCTTATATATTACATCATATATTAAATATTAATTAAATAAATCAACTGCAACCCAACTCTCACCTCAAGAATTTAATTGGTAATAAGCACACTATCTTATATGTAGTTTGTATGTAACTTTTTTGGAGAAATAAATCGAGGTGAGTTATCCAAACGAAATAAGTGGGAGCAGAATAAGTGAATCATTCAAAAAAGAATATTTTTTTTTTTTTTGTGTGTGTGTGAATAATTCCATCACCAAAAGTGTTCACTTTGATTGGAAAACATGTCTGAATAATGATTGAATAGCATCAACCGATTGTTGAATGAATGATCTCACAAAGTACTATGAGAACTAATTAATTGTTTGAAAACTGAAATGAAGTTAAAATTCACTCTATTTAACCATCCGAGTTGGTAATTCAAAAAAAATAGGAACGATAGCTTTGTAGGCTTTCTTGAGGAAATTACAATATATTGGTATGAGTTTATACTACGGATGTGTTAGAATCTTAGTTGGGATAAATAATTTTTTTGTGTGTTTTAATACTTACTAATTTTGTGTTGGTAACCACTAAATTACACTTTTGGTATTTGTTAATTAATTTTGTTATTTGAAATCGTGTTCGTGTTACTATTAGTTTTATAGGGTGAATTTGTGAAAGTAAATCTTATGAATAAATTTTAAAAGTTATAAATGAGTATTATTATTATTATTATTATTATTATGATTATTATTATTTTGATTTAGTTAAATCATTTTTGGAGCTTTAGGGTCTAAACGATTATTTATACGTAAATCCTATCCTTAAACCATAGGCTCCAATTATAGATAATTGTGTAATGTTCAGGTAAATCCTAGTTCTAAATCGATGGGCTAACAAAAGTAACGGATAGCTGCTATAAGATCATGTCACACACTTCAATGCATTATTTCTCATTTTGATTTGTTTTCGAATTACAATATTTACATGGCGTCTTATACTGTTACTTTTATTATAAATATACCTCGTCAAACAAGAATAATTATATATATGTAAATAAAAAATAAAAAAATGACTAGATACATATGTTCGAATCTATTTATCATTGCACTGCTCGAAGATAAATACTTTAAAATAAATAAACGGTATAAAATACAATATTACTACAATATATAATGCACTCATAGTAGTTGGGAATTAATTCATTGTTAATCCATGTAGTTTTAGATTTGTCTAGGTGGTGTGTAAAATGGGGTTACAACCCTCACTTGTGGTATTTAAATGAATACGGTTTGCAATCTTATTCTTTATATATATATATATATATATATATATTCTTTATTTTTTCAGGTTTTACATTTATTGTGTTTTTACGTAAGAGGGTTGCAGGGTTTAGGGTTTACGGAGGACGAGAAGATCCATGGTACAATCACATCTCAATTCTCACGGCCATGAAAGAAGGTACAATCACATCTCAAATGCTGCAAATTTAATTATCTAGAAAGTAAGTATGATACATGTATTCAAATACGGATATGAATATAAGCTGTGCAATTAAAATTTAGTGGTATGTGTTTGGATCATTGGATGCCTAGCTATTTTGTGCAAGATTTTTTTCTTCAATTAAAAAAACTAATAATAATAAAAAACACACAAAATAAATTGATTTTAGAAAGCAAAAAGATATGACCGATAGATGGTGTCTCCATCCAAACTCTGAAAGTATGAGAAAGGTTTTAAAGTCAATGTGTATTTATCATTTTGGTGACGATTGAATCATACTCTTTAGCCGCTAGCATGCATGTAATTCAAGTGAGTGAATACGTCTGGTTGGATTATATTGCGGGCTAAGGTATGACGGGCCGAGGCCGACTTCACTTAAGTCATTCATTCTCCTGTCAAGTGTCAACTGCATTTGATATATATATATATATATATATATTTATTCTTTTTTTTAAAAAAAAGAAAAACTGATTAAAATCAATAGACATTCCTTAATCGGTCCAATTTAAAAATGGTCTGAGCCACACGGGAAGGGATCACCAGCCCCCTCCCTTCCTGCCCCACCTCACATAAATACATATACATTCATATGTATAGTGTATATATATCATATATATATATGTATATGTGTATGTATACATGCACATATATATATATATATATACACAGATATACACTATATATGTGGTGTGGCGTAGGGAGGGGGACTGGCGATCTCCTCCCGCGCGAACCTATCCGAAGCAGTTTATTTCATCATCATTATATTTGATCAGATATTATTATAATTAGAAAAAATTATTTTAATCTTATTTATTATTATTATTATTTTAAAGTTTTGATTCGATTTAAATTAAAATTAATCAAATTTAGTTTTATATTAACCAAATTATGTTAAAAACTGACTAAGCTCTACCACTAATCAATACAACCTTATTCTGACAGTCATATTTATATTGGTGTTCTAACGGTAGTACTTTTAAGATGACCATGTTTAGAACAGTCACATAAACAGTGCTTCTAGATTTGGTGTTCAAGACAAGCTGAGTTTGTTGTTCAAGTTATGGGCGAACAAAGAAATCGAATGTTGAATCAAATTGAATTGAACCAAATTTTTGATTAAGCGAACAAATTTAGTTCAAATATAAATACTACATATTTAATATTTATTCGACTCGATTCAATTTTAATTTTTAATATTTTTTGGTTAACCAAACTTTTATTTATATATTTATATTATTATGATTTAGATTTTATATTAATATAATTATATTATATTCTATTTCATTTAGTCTCTCATTGGAATATCTATAGATATTTTTATTTAATTATTTTTTTAGTATATTTTTAATATTTCGATTCCGTTCAAAACTACCTGAATATTTGCATGCAAATATACTTCAGTTCAAGCCATGTTAATTGTCTAAGTCACTAAAGATGAGTTTTGGTGCTGAATTTGAATTCAGCCTGGTGCTTATACTTGGAAAATAATTACATATAAGTAATTACATAAATTTGAATTAATATAAGTTTTAAAGCCTCTACAAAAATGAAGCAGGTAAAGCTTGGACGGTCACGATTGCACCCCCGCCCCGCCATCCAGGACATCCATAGCAGCAGCAGGCAACGGGCCATACATCTCATCTTAACCTTATCCGCCGACTCGGTTCATTTCATTTCCGGCTGGGCAGGGCAGGGTAGGGCAGAGTTTGTTCTCACAGTACCAGCACTATCGACGCAGCGCAGCAATCCCACCAGTGGCGCAGATGGCCGTGCACTTGGCAACGACGCCCTTGTTTCTGGGCACCAAACCTTCTCAGACACCATCATCATCCTTCACCAGAACTCCCTTCCTCGGCTTGCCCCTCGCCTCTTCATCCAGGCCGCCGTACGCTCGCGTCGACAACGTGTCCAGGATTCTCTGCCAGGACAAGGATAAGGCCGCTCTCGTGCCGGCAGAGCAGCAATGGATGTTTGATTGCATCACTGGCCCGGTAAGAAATTTGTCGCCATTTCATTGCTGTAATTCCATTGAAATATAGTCCTAGTATTTCGAGTTGGATTGGTTGGCACCATCTTAGCATCGCATGGATTGAGCTGGAGTTCAAATTGATTGGCTTAGTTTTGTTGACCTGACCATGTCTCAAGCTGATGATGAGTGCCTATCTTGATATCAGCTCAAGTCAGTTGCAGCTCTATGACTCGGACACTATGTTAGATGATATGAATAACCATCTTGCCTAAAAGCTTAAGCTATTAGCTATATACATCACTTATTTATCACTTATTTATATATCAACGGGAGTCAACCAGCAAGCACATTAGAGCTAATTAGGATTTTTTATAAATACTCGGCTAGGGCTTTAATATTTAGGATTTAATAATTCAGAGTTTTAAAACCAACCTTTTCACTTGGGGGCAGGGAGGTAGAAATCCCTGTATTTAACTTGTTTTCTTTAATTCCTTTGTAATGATATATATATATATGTATTTTCATGACAATTGTTCAACTTGCTGGATTCACTGCCACGAGCTTGAAACAGATCAACCACCCCTGAGCAGGAGCTGAACTTCCACTGCCTCCCACTGCTGCTATTGCAGAAAGATGCTTCTGGTTCTATATTTGTTTTGTCACTGACACTGCCTTCTGATGCCCTTTCCAGTCACAGTTGCCATCACTTCTCTACATTGTTGGACACTGCCCGCCCGAGGATAAGGCTATTTTTAAGAGAATGAGAATATTAGAAATAATACTACAGGGTTTAAGGGCATTTGGTTACTAGGTTTGTAAAGATAAGTAGCTACTAGCTAGTGTTAATATTTAGGAGTAATGGGTTGATTCTTTTTGGAACTGTCCTTTCAGCTTAGGATAATTAGAATATTCCTATAGGACAAAGAAGAAATTCATGTATTTCATTTGTGTTGTTTAATTCCTTAATGATAAAATAATTATCTTTGTAACTCCTGTAGCCTATTGGCTTATATCCTTTTATCTTGTCTATGTAGACCATCCATCCTCTGAAACTCATAGTACTCGAATGTGATTTTTTACTTCTAATCTAAGATGGATATTGGTCTAGTAGATGCAATACAACCTTATGTTGACAACTTTATAATACGTGACAAAACTTCATGAACGTCTACCCTTTAACTTTATTAGATCATTTAATTGCTAAATTCACCTTCTATCTCAAATATGGGCTATTTTCTATTGATTGCTTCCTGTTGAGCACTTATTTTTCGAAACTTTCTCTAATTTAGTACTATGTTAGTTTGAAGAATTGGTTGTTTATTGTGCAAATGATAGATTTTAAGTTTAGAATTAAGTTATACTATGATGTCTTTTGAACTACATATCCCCTTAAACTCCAAATCTTATCTGGTACATATGCATTTGAAAGTATAGGAAATGTTGACGAGGTTAGTGTTATGACAGTGAATAATAGCTTTCTATCAATTCAAGGTCAGCTAAATGCTTCAAGACTTGCTGGTTGTGTCTTGTATATTCTGTTTTGTTAGTGTTTTTAATTTTCAACATATTTTTGTTTACTCAGCTAAAACTTTCCTAGTGTATGCAAATATCTAGCATTTCAGCGAGTTGAGATAGTATGCTTCTTATGCTGTTGTTTTGTGTCTTAGGATGTTTTGAATAAAACATGGTATCCCAAAGCCTCAGACCATGTTAACACAGATAAGCCTTGGTATGTCGTGGATGCAACCGACAAGATTCTAGGAAGATTGGCTTCAACTATAGCCATTCACATCAGGGGAAAAAATCTGGCAACATACACTCCTAGTGTGGACATGGGAGCATTTGTTGTAGTGGTATGCTGAATGTGACACCAATGATTTTTTGCTTACTTCATATTATTTTGTTTGTAGGTCAGCTTCTTTTCTTTCGTGAATTCCTAGGGTTAAGACTGGCTATTTTCCTGTTTAAAAATACATTCAAAGTACTCGCTTCAAATTACTGGCTTTAGGAGAGGTCTTTTGTAGAATATAAAGTGTTATCTCATTTGAACAGTTTGAATCTCATTTTCTCATTACTATTATACGTCTAGGATATAATGTGCACGCATAAAAGATCATATTTCAATGGGCATTAAGCTCAAAGTACCAAAGCATTGTCTTATGATTTGGATTGTTGCTCTCATTAAGTCAAAATGAGTTAATAACTTTGTCTATGTTACTGGTTGGATCAGGAAACAAATCTTCGTAAACTAATATACTTTCTAAATTTTGGTGTAACATGAAAATATGTCTGGGTTTCGAGAAACAATTGATTCAGGAACAACTTCGGGATTCAACTCTCTCTACAAGTAGCTGTTTTCTGCATTTTGATGAATCTATTATGTAAGACTGCGACAGATGTTCGTATGTGTCTCTTCTAACATGTTCTCTGATTACTCCTATATCAATAATTATAGTTGTGCATTGAGATGGCATTATGAATGTTCTTGCTGTTTAAATTTGAGTGACATGTGATAAGATTATGACTTGATACTTGAGGTATTATGACCAGTTTTCATCTGATCTCTTTTGTTGTTGTCTCTCTCTCTCTCTCTCTAATTCTTCTTATTATTAGACAGGTGGTGCTTTTTTTTTCTTTTAATTCTCTCTCTTTTAATTATTATATATATATGTATATGCAAGATAAAGTAAACACTGACTTTGTTGATTTATCCACTGGTGTCATCGTAGTGTCCTGTGTTTGCTAAAGATAACTTCTTCCATCCCGACTTAAAGTACCCATTTGTTTTTTTTATCATAGAGATTAAGAAATAATAATATCTTATTGGTTACTTGAATTGTATAAGATGATTTTGATATTTTTCCTTATAAGTGTAAAGAAATTTGAACGGACTCACGAAAATGGTACGTTTAGGGGGGACAGAGGGAAAGCTATTCTTTGATTCTATTCAGTACCTCATAGGAAAGCAAAAGTGATTTTTTAAAGTTTTAAAATTGCTTTCTTATATAGGTCAATGCTGAGAAGGTTGCTGTATCTGGAAAGAAAAGGACGCAGAAACTCTACAGAAGGCATTCTGGACAACCAGGTGGAATGAAAGTGGAAACTTTCGACCAGCTTCAGAAAAGAATTCCTGAACGAATAATTGAGCATGCTGTCCGAGGGATGCTTCCTAAAGGACGTGTAAGTCTCCTCTTCTGCAAACCTCTATTTTTACCATATCATGATATTAATGAAAATACAAACTGCTGGTTTATATATATTTTTTACTTTATTTTCTTCTATCATTTGCTTTCTACCAGCAGGGTGAGACAGATTAGACTCAGGAATTTTTTGTAAAAGGAAGCTTGAAAATTTTTCTAGTTCAACTCAGATCTGAATGGTTCCGAACCATTTTGAGGAATTATATGGAGGAATTATACCCGTGATATATATCTGAATTGAAAATTGTAATTCTGATTATAAATATTACAAACTAGTAGATATATTATTATATTTTGTACACTAAACTTTATGGAGATGGGTAAAATAAGATCAAGGCATTATGCAGTACTGTCACGATGTAAATATATATATATGTATGTATATATAGAAAGATATATTGTTATCCTTGGTTGTGTTTCATGGATAATCAGTCAATTAGTGTCGTTGGTTGCAGCTTGGAAGATCATTGTTCAACCATCTCAAGGTTTACACGGGTCCAAACCACCCCCATGAAGCTCAGAAACCCATTGACTTGCCCTTGAGGGATAAGAGGATACAAAAACAGGCATGAATAATTGTTGCCCCGCATGTTGTCTCCGTGAGAAAACAAACTGTTGAGGAGGCTACTTTTGGGCTTTTTAAATTATTTGCGCTTTTCTTGTAATTGAATATAGCAGTGGCAGTTTTATGATGTGCGATCTTAGCATGTGTTGGCTTTTCTTTTTTTTGGTTTGCAATCTCTCCCCTCATCCCTCTTCAGTCAGTCGTATTAACTTCCTTCCTGGCTCCTGCATCCGCTGCTGGCATTTCTCCTTCCATTCCAACGCAGAGTTGCAGAGTGAGTGAGAAGGATAAATGCCCTGCTGCAAGCAACTTTCAAGCTTTGGGGGTATGGTGGGACATACAAGCCTGTGCACATGATAGTAAGTGAAACACAAATTTAACTCTCAGTTCTTCAAGTGCTACGCACGCTGAGTACAACAGACTAAAGGCTAGTAGATATATAGAAAAACAACCCATGCATCTGTTTGTATTTGAAAATATATGATTCATTTATTTATTAGGATATAGTAATAGTTTAAATAGGAAAGCAATATTACATCTGGCATATATATGTATATATATCTATACATAGATACTACATACATATAAATCTACACTAGTAGTAGTGCTACTACTACAGCCTTATTTATGCCGTTACTGTTACCATAACCACAACGAACTTATAACTACAGAGCCAGCCAGACAAACAGACAGACAGGGCAACAAAACCACAAAGTAATAAGCAAACACTGAGGCGGTAATATCTCAATTACAGTCGAAGTCGAAGTCACACTGATTTACCGACCGACCATATAGGCTCATCAGTCTGTACAGCTGACACTAGATTTATCGTCAACCCAGTCCATACAACAACAGTGTATAGCGTGAGATTCACAAAGGACTAACAAGCTCTTACATGAGATTTGTCCCGTTCACAATACTTACAACTACTACTACTACTACACAAGGACATTAAAAGAAGTGACAGAGAGGGGTATTTACAGCTCCACAGCCGAGGCCATATCCACTCCACAAAACAGAACAGCTACGGTTTTAGAATGTAAAACCACTGTTCAACTGGACTGAGAAGGAAGGCCTGCCGTAGTTGTCCAGGGGAGTTTCCACTTTTACAACTACTCCAGCTTTCCCCACATTTCCATTCCACTTGGACCTTCCCACCTACAAACACATTATTGCATTCCAGATAGTTAAGTAACTGAATAGAACAATAGCAAGATATTAGAGCTTCCAATACACACACACACACATATATATATAACACACTCCATTCAGAATTTCCAACACAAATCAAGCTTCCATGTTTTTTCAATTTTTATTGTAATATTACAAAATTTTAAAAACCAAGAATTAAGTTAAAAGCAAATTCTAATTCATCAAACAATTTTCAATTTCAAACCTAAAGTCAACAATATTAGTGAGACATGCTTCTGATAAACAACTTGGCATGAAGCAACAAGTTAAATGTCTATGACTAAAATGAAGACGCAGCCGACTGGCATTCAAGAATGAATAACTTACAGAAACAGATGCATATGCTGACGGATGGGTAACAAAGGCACAGCCACAGATAAGACTCAATTCGTCCTTCAGAGAATGAGTAAGTTCCATTCGCAAACCAGGGCAGCTTCCCCCAAATGTCGGACATAGACTAAGGAAATCAAAACATGTATAAGTGAACCATAGTACCATACATCAGGAAGACTTCCAGGCCACAGACTGAAGGCAAATATAACATTAGAAAACCGAAGAATCTAGAAAAGAAACAAAAGAAGTGATACTTCTACTGAGCAAACATTCAGAAAAGACTAACCACAAGAAAACAGTACACTATAAAGGGTACACCATCCCAATAAATATAGTTCAATAAATGCAATTACTATATTACCTGAACTGGATTGTTGGCCTCACCATGAGACCAGATCTCTTCCATGCTAATGCCTGCTCCAAGCCCAGCGCAAATGATTTATCCGGCCACTGGAATGTTGGTGTTATGCGTGTACCCCACTTGTACTTCACAAATTCAAGGGAAAAATCAGTGATCAAGTGTGTGTGAGGGTGGGGGGGGGGGGGGGGGGGGGGGTTGGGGTTGTAAGGCTGTAGTCTAAATGAAACCAAGCAAAGCAGAAAAGGTTCAATGATAAATGCATTTTCATGGAAAATCATCGAGCCACCTTGCAAGAGAAACTGAACTTCATTTCTCCTGGATATTGACCTTGTGCTTGTAGTAAACCCCCACGGAAGGGCAGAAATGCACTAGTGGATAAACCCTCACCTGATACATAGGTTACCTGACCATTTGGAAATTGCACATCCATGAAAGACTGCACACAATAGAAAATTTGTAAGCCAATTAAGTCAACAAAACTGAGCTCTAGGAGGAGTTGATACTCCAGCAACCTTCGCAAAATCATCACATTGTTGCAGCTCGAAAAGTGTTTCTAAAATCACGCACACTGCTGTTATAAAATTAGATGGCAGATTTAAGCTTACACAGGCCAAAGGGTTGAGGCAGATCATTGACATTAACAGCCAACTTCTATGCTTTGACCACACAGCCGGGCAAAGAGAATGCATACCATTCTGCAGAACACATATGGGGCAACTAATCAATTTTGTATCTGAATAAAATGCGAAGAGCATAGATAGGATAGACAAGGAAAAATGATTCGGACTTATTTCTTGCTTAATACATTATTGAAACCCCAAAATTTAACAATATCCATAGCATTAAATATAGAAAGACTGCAGATATGAGAAGGTTATTCTAAAATTAATATTTCATAAATTATAATAAATTTGTCATACCTTCCTATCATATCCATACCACAGCAGGTGCTGCTTTGACAAATGCACAGGCAAGAGAAGTGTGGAATCCCGAACAAAAAGTACAGGCCCAAGCTGGACAAGGAAAAGAGGAGAGGACTCATTCCCTGATGTAGAGCTCCCTTGTGATGCCTCTACTCTCCATAAATCTCCCCTGGCAACCAGAGAACTTCCCACACTTCTTGTTCTACTGTCATAGCTTGATGTTAGATTGATCATACCCTATATTCGGAGAAAATTTGGCAAATAAACAATTAATAGATGTGGGACAAGGGAGACGCATAAAGATCCGTTTACACACTCTTTAAGGATGAAAGAATTTTAGGCACCACTGTATACCTTGTTAGTCAACTGATCTAGAAATTATATAAGTAGTAATGCATCCTAGAGATCAAAGATATCACATAATCAAATGCGTTACTACTTTCTGGTTGCAATCTTTCTACTTATAAATGGAGAATATGGCAAAAGTAAAATAATTAACCCAGTGATTTAACTGGAGGGCATAAATTACATTATGAAAATTTTCAATTTCAAGTTCAAATCATTGATGATGCAACTCACTGAAGCTGGTAAATTATCCGTCACTAAATAGAAAACTTAAGTCCCAAAATCATTTCAAGCATAAATAAGGGCAAGAAAAGAACTGATAAAGATAAGCCCAAATGGAGCACCAAACATAATAATCACCAAATGTACATAAAACCTATTGGCATTTTAATAATCAGATCTCCACAGATAATATGCACTATTCTCATTGTCGTTAATCTTGAATAGCAACAGAACACTAAAACACCAGAGAAGGATAGAATATAGCAGGATAACCTTTAAAAATGATGGTTACAAATATAACAGCTAGACGCAAAAGGTACAGAGAAATCACATAACTCCAACTTTAAACACCCCCTTATATTTATAACTGTTTTACTCTAGGATATGTAAAAAAATCTAATTTAGAATCAAGGTTTGTGAATTCCTCAATTAGGATTTAGTATAATTAAATCATTTACATCTATTATATAAACCTTATCTATAAATCTTTCAAATATTGAATGAATTTAATTTAATATATTTTTTTTTTCTTTTCAAAGTTACTGACCTAGATGCTATCCGATTATATGAAATTGACCTTTTTCTTCACCATTAAATGTCTAGAAAATTAGAATGGAAGCAAGACATCAACACTGATCCAGGCGGCCGTACGGCCTGTCTAACGTAGGATAGATGGCAGATGTTTTTGTTCCTTGCAGCTTGAGTGACCTGCAGCCTACTCCTGCAGCAGAAGCACCACTACCACAGAATGCTGACGGCATCCAACAAATGCACCGGTGTACTATTTACAAGTGTGATTATTCTAAACCACTTTCCCAACAAATCCTTAACCAACCAAATGTGATTATTACTACAGCAAAATCTTACTCCATCAGTCTAGCATATTATGTCACTTTACTTTTATGAAAATTTATAATTTTTTTAATTTTTATTAGACTAATTAGTTATCTTAATATATAATTATTTGTATTATATTGTAATTAATTTTACTAATATATTCTTAATTATTTAAGAATCATACTCCTTCTAAATTCTCAGTAAATGTGACCATATTAGGGACGGAGGGAGTACTTAAAGAGCACCAAACCATATAATCTAACATCTATATAAAAAGCATTAATTTAAACATCTAGGCAACATCACTTAAATTTGTAGCCATGCACACTTGTTAGTTTTCACCCCCAAATTTAATCAAAACTCGAAAGTTCCAAGAATAATTTCTAACACAATATTTCTATTACACGAACATAATTAAATCAAAGTCAATAAGAATCTCCTGTTTAAATTTAAACCCGGGTCTTCAACAGCTTAAAACTAATAGTGCCCATCCGTAGGTCACATAATCAAATTTTATAAATTCTTCACATAGGAAAAGCTAATATGAATTGCACACACATGCACATTAAAATTTTTCAATCTTCCATTTGGATTCATCCCCACAATATCAGCACTATTTGCATCCATACAAACAGAGCCTGTACTCTTGAAATCTTGCTCTAAAACAATCATTTGCCAGTGCAAATCTAGACTCTTAAAATTAATAATTTTACCTCCGAACCACCCAAATGCTTCAATGCTTTTGCACCGCCATCAAAAGTCTCATCCTCAGTTAAATTCTCTCCAACCAGAGTACTACTCTTAGAGAACCCATAATCCTTGAACTGCTCCGCCAATGATCCCAAATCCTCCTGCAGCACGACACCTAAACTTGGTATCGAACCCTGACCCACAACACCCTGAGTTGTCCCCACATTCTCATCATGACGGAAAGGCCCGGGCAGCCTTCTAAAAAATTGCTGAACCATACCATTCAAACACGCACCGAAATCAGCCCCCGCCTGCCCAATTCTATTCCCGATATCCAATATAGCGGTCACGCCATTGATTGCGGAATGATCCACAGAGAGTACGAAGTCGCTCTTGATGAAATTCTGTGCCGGGAACTCAACCTCAAAGAGCTTCGGGGTGGGAGGGGATGGCCATGGGAACGATGGCGGAGTAATGTGAGATTGAATCAAACCTGTGAAACCCTGCGCGAGCTTATCGGCTAAATCCAGCCCGTGCCGCTGCACCTCCTCCCACGCTTCAAACGATCGCTCGACGGACATCATCCCTATCGAATCAAAACCCTAAAATTCGCTAATTCTCCCCAGCAACCTCAGGTAAATTCAAACGACAATAGTCACCGGAAGGAAGGAAAACCTGACCCAACGGTCAACGCCGACTCGAAGAACCCTAGAACCTGCTCATTCTTCAGCCAGAATAAACACCGGCTGTCCCGGCAATTAGGGGTAATCAAGGAAGACCGATTACCAACTCCACACTCTCTACACCCAAATCAACACCGGCACTAAGCTCAACACAGAACTCCGATCCGCCTACTTTACGTGACACAAAATACGTTGAACATGAAGACACTCTTCAACTCAATCAACTAACAGATTCCGTTGGCGAGGGGGCGAGCTGGAGGCGCCTGAGAAGATAAGAAGTACTAGAATACGAGCCCGACCGATCAATGCCCTATGCCCTGCCCTGCCCTGCCCTGCCTTGCCTTGCCTGCTAGCGTTGCCTGAAATGAAAGGGGTGTGGTGGGGTGGAGTGGGGTTTGGGAATTGGGATTGGGGCCAGGAGGGTGGGTGCTGACGCCACGTCGCTGGTTAATAAAAAATCCCATGTTGATTGAATGAATATGGCAATGAATTGAAGATGAGAAAGCGCATTTTGTCCACTCGAAAAATATAACGCAAAACGTTGTGTTTCTTTTTTAGTTATCTCTAGAAGAAAACCACGACTCTATCTCTCTATCTCTTTCTTGCTCGCATATAAATTACAATCGAATCGAATGGGTGGGGACCCGCCGGGCTTAATATATTATCTGGTTCATAATTATTTATAAATTAATTAATAAAAGCTGCGCGCGATATTATTTAGTAATGTTTAGCTAGATACTATTTATGAATCATTATTTTAGTAATGTTTAGCTAGATAAATATCTATTAATTAAATTAAACGCGACCCTGTGATATGGACGGGTATTATTATAGATAAAAACTAAATAAAAAAAATTCAGTGTTAATTTTATAAACACATAATTTTCTATCAATTACATCTAATTTGTCTTTTAAATTCAAATTCAATGATTAAATTCACATTCATAAAAAAATAAAAATAAAAAATTGCACATCCAATGATACTTTTCTATCTTTAAATACTCTATTTTATTAAACTATCAACAAATAATAAATTTTTACAATTTTCAAAGTTGGGTAAAAAATCTTTGCTCAAGCCCCAACTAAAAGAAAGAAGTATTGTATTTGTCGCATCAAAAACCTTAAACATTTCTGTAAACATTAGAATAACAATAAAAAAAAATATGGGTAAAAAAGTGTTGTCATTTTACAAAAATACTTATGCAAAAATTACGGAATAAAATCCATTCTATAAAAAATATAAAAGTTTCAAATGTACTTTTGAATTGCTTACTCCCCAGTCTATTTCAAGTCATTCGGTCTTATTATATTTCGCACAAATAATGACTATCAACGCTTCAAATATAAATCACAAGCTTGTTGCATTGGCTAAAGCAGCCGAAGAGATGTCAATACATACAATAACAGGATGCTCTTATAAAAAAGTTTCAACTTTGAAGAAGTCGGTCACGTCATTGAAAAACAATTATCTTTCCCGACATTAAAAAAAAGTATCTATAGATCAATATCGCAACAAAAAAAATAAAAAATATTATAGACTCAGTCGTATTTCAAGCATCGGCCAACTCTTTCATTAAAGTTTTATACGGTAATGATTGACACTTTTAAAATGTCAACGGATTATCAACTACCGAAGTTTCAATATTTTGATAGCAAAGACAATAAAAAACAATATATAACATGTTTTGTCGAAACATACAACAATGTTAAAACATATGAAGATTTTTTTAGTCAAACAATTTGTGCAGTCGATAATAACTTCAACTGATACATTGACTTAAAGACTACTTCTATTAACAATTGAGTCTTAGATTAGTTCTATGTCACAAAAAGAAGTGTCAACATAATAGAATTTACCATCTGAAAGTGTTTTTGTATTTGTCACAAGCTGTGTAATGAATGCCTAATCATTTTACATTCTAATTTTGTGAAAATATATAGATATACATAGTTTGGTCGAAAATTTTCAGGAAAGTCACTCACTTTAAAATCAATAGCAATCAATTTGAATAGTTCTAGTTTTGATCTAACGACTGTATTTGGGTTAAAACGTTAGTCTAATGGACCTGGGTTCTGACTTTCCTACATTTGGAATTTGATTTTTCTGAATTCTTTACAAACTAACCAATAATTAAACCATTTTTTTCCCCTTCCCCTTGTGTTCGTTTCCAGCTTGTTGAATTTCTGTGGAATGACTTTTGTAGTGTGAGTGGCATCTGAAATTATAGCTCTTTAATTTACTTGTTGAAATGAAAAACATATACTATATGATATCACCATGAAGAAGAATTAAAGGAGCGGGATCAATGGCTATCAATGCTTGGTGATGCAAAAGTGGGTGGGGGTGGGGGTGGGCATGGAAACATAACTAACTGACAGAAGGGATTGCATGTACAGTAGTAGTACCTGGATAATTAAAGATGGTGAAATCAACGTACGTAAGCTTCCATCCATCTTGTCTTGTGGTGGCCTGGGCTCAGTCAGCCGCTGCAGACACGATAATGATGAAGATGACAATTAAACATATGTATTCATATACTGTATTGTATGTATATGGCAAGAAGCAAAATCAGCAAGCTGTTATTAATAGATCATGAATACACCCACATCCAGGTGTCTCATGTCTCCGAATCACAACTAACAAAGATTTCAATGCATTTGGATTTGGCCTAATTAATTAACGAGTTCGAATGCAAAGTGGTTTTTAGTTAGGTGCGCCCAAATTAATAATTATACGGAGACATATACACTTATGTCTATCAATTTAATTTAAGTATAATGAGATTTTATAAGAATAAATAATATAATGTAAAAAAAAATAAAATTAGATTCTAAAATAATACTAGTACTTCGTATTCTCTATTTTTATTTTTTTACAAATATCCTTGTGAATAGTTTAATTAATTAATAATATTAAATTATGATATTATTTAATATTTTTATATGAATAATCTTATTAGTAATTTTAAAATAATAATATATAATTTAAATAACTTTGAAATATATATTTAAATATTTTAAAATTATATCTAAAAATAATATATGTAATATAGATATTATTTTAAAAAGAATAAATTGTAAATATAAATATTTATTTATTTGTAATTAAGATACATAAATTTTATAAAAAATTTATAATTTTAAATGTATATAAAAATATTTATTTATTAAATAAAATATAAATAAAATAATTTTAAGTTGATGTGTGATGTTATATATTATAAAGTTAATTAAATTATTTTATATTTATTAAGTATTAAATTTAGTAAATTTGTTGTGAATTAAATTGATTTATATTTATTAAATATTAAATTTAATAAATTTTATATGAAAAAATAGAAATGCATCAATTAAAATAACACTAACAAAAAACGAAATTGAGATGGAACGGAGAGTACAAGTAATATTATAGTATTTATTTAATAAATTAATACATTAGATACATCATCATCACCACTTAAATTTGTGGGCTCCACAAGAAGAAGGAGCAGCAGCAGCACACAAAGTAAAAATGGCGGAGGGAGAGGCGGGCTAAATTGGGCCGAGCCGGGCCGATGGCAATGCAACATTCAAGCCCGAATAAAAATCTCAGCCCACTCAAACTCGTATAAGCCCGATGCCCTACCTCGCGCTCCCTCATTAGGGTTTTCAGCGATCTACGTTACTGGGCGTCTCCTCTCCTCTCATTGCTGCTCTCCGCCGGCGTAAGTCCACTAATTCCCAATTCCGTTCCGTTTAAGCAAGATATTTCAGCTCTCGTGCATGGATTTGAAAGTTCAAGCGATATAATTCGCTGTGGCTGGTGGTGTTATTATTATTTCTGATAGTTGTATTGCTGTTTTTTATTTTGTTGAAAATAGTGAAGTTTTGATGAAAAAAAATATTAGTTTTGTAGGATAATTCTGGGTGATGGATTCTATGTAGTGTTTTTTTTTTTTTTTTTTTGGTTATTTGGGGGCAAAAAGGAAAAGAAGAAGAAAATGCGGAGTTTAGGGAAGCATTGCTTTTGTATGTGATTCATGAATTTAATGTGGTGTGGCGGTGCAGAATAATTCCATGTGAGCCTAGCTGAATAGGAAAACAAACCAATGTTTTTATTTTAATCATCATGTTCGTGATTCATATGTTCTCCTGTTCACAATGATCATATGCATCCGATTATACGCACTGGGATCACTAAACAAAATAATTCTGGTGAACTCATTGAGAATTGATAAGATCACTGCATGGGTTGTGTTGCGTTTCATCTATTGCTTGATTTTGTTTAGCCGGCAATCTGGAGTTGAATAACGAAACCCGTGTAGAGATGATCGCTGCTCGCGTTGTCTTCTTATGCAGCAGCAGATCATGCTTTTCTTAGAACATACGTACGGACGCACATACCTCATCTAAGATCAAAGTAAAGGTATCATTGTTGTTGTTACTATGTATGTATATGGAAGGAACTATTAGATAGTGTGACTGCTTACAAGGCTCACAATCATTAGCTTGAGAGGACGGGCACTGAAGAGACCAAACACGGTCAGTTCTGCTCTGCAACTGTGAATGGTTGGTGGTGAGTTGAGTTGAGTCGAGTCGAGTCGGGTTGTCTTCAAAACGTAGTGCACTAAACACGACACGGATAAAATGGCTGCCTCTGCCTGTTTATGCCGTGGCATATCCAATTTTTCCCTGTTTGTTTGTTTGTTTGTTTGTGTTTCCCTATGCAAATATGTAATTTTCACTCCTGGCATCTGTTGTTGGATGGGAATTCAGGTTATGGAAGATGCCAACAATGAGGCTGATCTGGATACAAACTATCAATCGGAAGTGAGCATGAGCATGAGCATGAGCGTGAGCGAAAAGCGCAGGCGGGAAGGGAAGTCAAGATCAAAAGTGTGGCAGCATTTCACAAAGATTATAAAGGAGGATGGAGGCTGCGACAAATGCCAGTGCAATCACTGTCACAAGTTATTTACCTGTTCAAGCCGGAGCGGCACCACCCACCTGCTCCGTCACGTAACCGACGGCATCTGCCCTGCCTTCAAGAAAGAAAAGGAAAAGATGGTAACAGTCTCAAGTTACCCCCACCCGCGCAACAGCTTTCTCCCATGGAAATTTGATCATCAAGGAGGCGGAGGTGGTGGCGGCTTCGGGCAATCCTCCAGCATGGATGTTGAGGTTGAGCTGCTCTCGTCATCATCAGAGAGGATTCCAGCCGACGTGGAATCCCAACCCCCCCCTATGCCTATGAAAACAATGGAAGAGGCGGAGGCGGAGGACTACAGAGGCCCAACGCCTCCTCCTCCTCCTTCTCTACCTTCTTCCCGCGGTGGAAAGCTTGTTCATCCCCTGCACAAATTGCTCCCTCAACCTCAACCTAAAGGCGAGGCATGGATGAACGAATTCCGGATGTGTGTAGCCAAGCTAGTGGAGCTCGCCAATGGGAAAGTCCCGGTGCTGTCTGCTGCATCTGGCGATTACTCGATATCGGCTGCCTTGAAATGCCTGAACGAGATGGAAGACATCCCGCAGTCAAGCGAGATGTATTTGGACGCATTTGAGATTTTGCAGGATGGGGGGGAACGGGAGTGCTTCGTCTGTTTGCCACCAGAACCGCGTCGCCGCTGGCTGCAACGTATGCTGCACCGCCGTCACCCCCTGCGCTATGGTTCAAATATCTAATGGAAGCGTCTGCCGTCTGCCATTGCCATGGATAATGGTGGTGGGGGAGAGAGAGAGTTTAGCTGCTGCTGCTGCTGCGGGTGTTGTTGTGCTTGTCCTTCTCTCCAGTCAACATAACCTCCTGAAGGCGGCGGATTGCACCTCACCTCACCCCATCTCATCTCATCTCTCTGTTATGTAATGTTATGCCATGCCATATCCCACTTTGTAGAGAGCTGAGTATTGAGCCACCAAGGCAAGGCACGGCACGGCGCGGCGCGGCACGGGTTTTGTATAAACAAGCAAACAAAGGGAAACATAACATGCATTAGTGTATGTCATAGTGCGATTGCTTGCTGCTGCTTTTCATGAGAGCAGAGGAGAGGAGAGGAGATATTAGCAAGTGTGTGCTTGCTTACATGCATGACTTCTTTAGGGGTAGGGGTAGGGGTAGGGGTAGGGTTAGGGTTAGGGTTAGAGGTAAGGATCCTGGTACACTCACATACGTACATACATGCTTGTTTTAAATCAGTTCCTTGTTAGTTACATGATGACGATGATGCCTGTTCATTGGAGCTCGCTCGCATCAATGATTTGTCGAGGCCGCGTATGTTTTTATTTTGATTTTATGTATTATAAATAAATAAATATTTTATGTAATATATTTTTAAAAATAAAACAGTTGGTTGGATAAAAAGTAGTGGCAAAAATTAAATAATTATATAATGATATAATTATTTATAGAAATGAGACTATTATTTATAAAATGAAACTATTATTCAAAAATTAAATGAGATTATTATTTATAAAAATAATAAATAGAATTATTGTATTAATAATAAAAAAAATTATAAATTTAATTTGTGAAACTTATACTCATAAAATTAAAATTTAAAAAAATAAATCAATAAGCCAACACGTACAACACACTTTGAAGTTCTAAGCCTAAATTAGATTAGACTAGATTAGATGTTTCAAACATATAAAAAATAATAATAATGAAAAATAAAATAAATAAATAAATAAATAAATACAGCACAAATACACCGTTTTTGTTTTTATTTATTTAGTATTTCTCACTAAAAATCAATCAATAATTGCAGATTTAAATAGTGGTGGTGGTGTGAGTCTGTCTCCTCCGTCTCCGTGTCCACCCACGCCTTCACCGTCTCCGATTGTCCGTCCGAGGAAGAATTGTATCTGTGTAATCAACGGCCGGAGGGGGCAGAGGATGGGCCGGCCGCCGGGCAACGGAGGGCCTTCGTTCCGCTTCAATCCTGCGGAGGTTTCTCGTACACCGACCCTCCCTCCCTTTGCCTCTTTATTCAATTCAATTCAATTCCTGCGTGCTGATTGTTGTTTTTCTTTTTGAATGTGTATCTTGAGCTCCAATCGATGAATGATGCTCGCTATTCACTTTCAAATGGTGGCAATTGTGCATTCTATTGCATCTTTTTGTGATGTATATGCTCCTTTGCAGATGCAGTTATTTGCTGATAGTTGTGGATTTGTGGGTTTTGATTATTATTTGCTTTAGGGGAAATGGGTATTCAGTCCTCAAATTATTGCTAATGGAAATGCGATTGGCCATTTTTCTTCTGTAAAATAATAACACCTAGAAGATTGATTGATGTCATCACTGTGATGCTGCACATTTGACTGTTCACCTTCTTCTTCTTCTTCTTCTTTTTTATTTTTTATTTTTTTATTTTTAAGAAACAGACTTTTCTGGATTTATATTGGGTGTTGGTCTTTGGCTGCTTTATTAGGTTCTAAGTAATGCAACTGAGAGAATCACTTCAAGGCATAACTAACTAAATAAAAGAAAGCCTCATGCTTCAACAAAAAGGGGTTAATAATTAGTTTCCAAGGAAAATAAAAAAATTAGGCCTTTCACAAGAATAGTTTAGTGGTTGCAAGCACTCGTCTTGTAAGATGCCATGTGTCCATAGGCAGCATGAGTTGTACAACACTAAAAGAACCATTAATTGTAAAATCATATAATGGAAAACATTGGGAAGATATTTTTTTATAATAGAGTAGAGAATTTTTTTTTTTGTAAATATATATTTTGGTTTAAACGACTGTTTACTTTAGAAAAACCAAATAAGTTGTCTACTTCTGGCTGGAAGTTGTTTTTATTGATCTTTGAAAGCAGAAGTGGGCATTCGCAAGCATCCCAACATTGTTTTCTTTCTTTTTGTTTGCCAACCAAACCACAAAAGTGCCTATCTAAGGTTAGAAACGGTGTCTTATGTATCTTGTTTCTTCTTTGTCAAACGGGTGTTCACTTTTAACATGGTTTATGTATAAAACTCGTCATATTGCTGGAGTATATGTTTGAGTGGTTTGTAACATGCATATGACTTAGCTGTATGTTTGCATATTAAAGGTTGGCGAAATGGAGGCTATTCTGCAAGCACACAATTGTACAGTGCCTGCGAGAGAAATACTCGAGGCTCTTGCCCAACGCTTCAGGTAGGCAGATGTAAAATTGATGAGACTAATACAGTCGAGGCTGCGAATATTATAACGAAACTAAAAGCTGAGTGATTGCCATTCATATAGTTCCTCTCCTGAAAGAGCTGGAAAGGTGGAAGTTTCTGTAAAGCAAGTAAGTGGAATTTTCCTCTTGAAGATGTTTCCAATATCAAATAGAAACACTCAATAATTTCAACACATGCAACAGGTCTGGAACTGGTTCCAAAATAGGCGGTATGCTCTTAGAGCTAAAGCAGCTAGGGTTCCTTTTCCTGGACAGGTGAACATGTCGCTGGTGACTCAAGATGATCCATCAATTGTAAAGATTGCCCCTCAGGCTCCTTATCCTCAGCCTTCTCGGCCCTCAGTTTCTCATCCTCCACCTTTACAGCTGCAGCCTGCTCTCTCAAGTAATTCTAAGTTCCTTTTACTATATGAGCTATTATTTCTTTATCTATTTATTATTATATCAATGTTGTTGATATCAATATTATTACTATTATTGGCTCTCTTGAATCCTTAGTGAAATTGCTGTAGGAAGACCGTTTTGTCATTCAACAGTTATATGGTGTAATTCATCTCATGTTCTTGTTCAGCTTCACTGAGGAGTATGCCTCAAGCCCCCCATGCTGTCCCTGCTCCATCTGGTTAGTTGACAAAAATTGGAATACTCTCCCTTGTTCATTTTATATATGTTGTGTTTTACCATTTTTTATATGACAATATTCTTATTGTCCAGCAGCAGTCAGCACCATGAGAGTATTGGGTATACATATTATGCAACATATCATCTTTGCACCATCTTCCATATATTGAGCTTGTTTGTTTTTTCTTGTTCTTTGTTCTATTCACCAGTTTCTGTGCCCCGTGCCCTTACCCTATTGAAGATCATATCCAAGGCTGCTGATAAATTCATTATGTCTTCCCACTACACTCATGTATATGATATATCAAATCCTCACGATGGAAAACAAGTCAGGACACAAGCAATCATATATGTACCTTAATTGAATGTTTGTGTTGTTCTTGTCTTGTCCTAGTTCCCAAATCTGAACAGAAATGAGACCTACAGAGCAGACTCATTGGATTTGAATTAGGGTAGTTTTAAGCTGATCTTTGCCATTTGTTTGATTGCCTAATTTTCATGACCACTTTCTTCCTGTAAGTGCCTGATGTATAGATGCAACAATTTCTGGGTGGTCTAAGAAATAATTGGCTGATTTAACTCCCTTTTCACTCCTGCAATCTCATGTGAATTTTTACAAAGTCGCCTTCCTAATATTCTTGAGATTAGTGCATTTCCTTTTCAGCATCTATGATGTACTGGTCTTATGTATTATTAAATTTGAGAAATAACAGAATGAATTAGCAAAAGCTGTACTAAACATAAGGTATTTCCTTAAGCTTCCTGTGTTATTTCTTTTTTTCTAATTTGCTGTTTGGAGTTCTTGTGTTTTTTACACTATCCTTTTTTATCATTCCTTTCCTCTTACCTTTATATCAATAGCACAAGGTACTGGCAGGAATGCTTCAGAGAATTCCCAAATGGAGTTTGAAGCTAAATCTGCCCGGGATGGTGCTTGGTGAGTTTTTTTTATGCATATATGCTACTATAGTACTATTACTATCCTTTCAGGAGTTGCATTTTCTGATCAGTATATATATATATATATATTGAAAAGCAGTAACCTAACTTTCTGTTTCAGGTATGATGTTGCATGTTTCCTATCACATAAATCATTAGAGAGCGGAGATCCGGTAAATCTTGTACAGGTTTTCCATGTGTTTGATTGTTTCCTCACCACCCACCCCAAAAAATTTATCTTATGCTGGGTCTCAGTATTTGCCAGCATTGGGACACCTTTTTATATCTTATGCGGCTTTATTTCATGAATAGTCCAATCAACAGTTATGAGATATTATGCCTCTTAACCTCATGAATTTGATCCGTAGTCCTTCTAGCACTTAGGATTGTTGATCTGGCAAAAGGCATACTCCCCTTGCTTGAACTCCTTCAACGTGTTCTTTTCATATCTCTAGCACGAGTGTAGTTTTGCTTAAAGATCAATTAAATGTGCAAAAGTAATTCTATTTGATTTCACTTAATTTATTAATGCTTTGTATCCTTGATTGAGGGAGAGAGCAGTGCTGTTAAAATTGTGAAACTTCTTCTAATTTCCAGTTACATTGAGTTCGAGCTTTATTAATTTTTAATTACTGGATGAAATATCTAACAATATTTCCAGGTCGGAATTTGTCCGTGAGCTCGAATTCATGACTTGCAAATTATAAAGTTGATTTTGTTTTAATGGTTGCAATCATTTATGTGTTGGCAACCTCAGGAAGCTCTTGTTCGGTTTTCTGGGTTTGGACAAGAAGAGGACGAATGGATTAATATCCGTAGGCATGTCAGACAACGATCACTCCCATGCGAATCTTCGGAGTGTGTAGCAGTCCTGCCAGGGGATTTAATTTTGTGTTTTCAGGTGCACATTTTAATTCTGTGTGCTGCTGTTGTTCAGAATGACAACAGAACTTGAAATGAAAGTTCACTTTGGGAGACTTGTGGTTTTAGGAAGGCAAAGAGCAGGCCCTATACTTTGATGCGCATGTTCTCGATGCGCAGAGGCGCAGACATGATGTAAGAGGATGCCGTTGTAGGTTTCTGGTGCGATATGACCATGACCAATCTGAGGTAGGTACAGTATTTTAAAAATCTCTCATCCAAGCTGGTAAAGTGCCCGTGTCTTAAATAATCATCCAGAACCTATCTATCTATCTATCTATCTATCTATATTGTTGAGACTTGAGAGAGATTGTTTATGTGAAAGCAACCTATCTTGTCATGTACAATGAATAGGAAATAGTTCCTCTTCGGAAGATCTGTCGTAGGCCAGAAACGGATTACAGGTTGCAACAGCTTAACGAAACCCCAAACAAAGCAGCAGCAGCCCGCTCGGGAATGGGAAATACTTTGAAAGGCAATGCTCCTCCATCACAAAAAGAAGAGCAGCAGCCTTCCGGAGAGATTGGGTCCTCCATGGCTGCTGGCTGAGGCTTAATAGTAATTGATATGTAATACATACATACATACATTCATACTCAGACACAGACGGACAGGCCCAGAAGCAGCAGAAGGTGCCACCACAGCTTCAACTGAAATTAATTAATTGCAGCACCTGCACTCTCTACTCTGAAGCCCTCCAGTTAATTAATTGCAGCACCTGCACTCTCTACTCTGAAGCCCTCCAGTTAATTAATTGCGATTTTTGTAGCGGGTGCGTGTCTCTCTCCGACTAATTGTAGCAGCAGTGTTTGTTGTTTTAGCTTCCAACACACTGGCCGAATGAATGGTTTGTTGCTCCACTTGATCTAAGTGCATTTCTTTTTAATGAATCCTAACATTTTAATGAAAACATAAACCATCCATGGTAGTTGGTTGTCAACATACCCCTCCCTCAAGCTCATTCATAATTGCAAGGCTTTAAGTACTGTTTCGGTTCATAATTTGCATGGGCTTCAAATTGTTACAACAGTAGCTCTGAGGCTATTCAAGCTACAGTTGAATCCAACCTCAGACTCACACTACACTACACTACAGTCTACAGCTACAAGGGGAGGTGGACCCCATCACCTATCTCACAGTTTCTAATCAAACCTCCTTCGCTCAACAACTACAACGATACTGATAAATTTGTTGGCCATGCAAGAGAGATCTTATTCATTCCTGTTCTACTTGAGAGAGAATATTCATAATCATTCAGACCAATTCAAATGATTTTTCGACATCAAGATCCATGCATTTACCACTAAAACCAATACAAGTCATTAAAAAGGAAAATTAGAAAATGTAATTTTTCCCCACTGTAAAAGCAGCAGCTCAAAACCGTTTTTCAATGTTAAGAGTGAAGTTTGCAGAGATTTATTCCGCAAGTGCTTCAAAATTTGCGGAAAGAAACATGCATTGAAGCTACACTATAACATGATATATATATATATATTATCACTCAAGATACCTCCTTGCTCGCCCCCAACCACTCTATAAGAGAATCAAGGCATAATTTCTTGAATTTACAATGGTAAGAAACATCAGTACCTCTGCCGCCTAGAGTTGACGACAGCACACCATCCTTAAAAGTAAACCGGGAATCACATCCTTGAGAAGTCTGAGATAAGCCAGCTTCATCACTAGTTGCTCTCTCGTTCATTGCATGACAACTGCATTCCTCTGATACCAATTTCCCTGAATACTTACGTTCATGCAGTTCCGTTCCCTCATCAGCAGATTTTCTTTTACCACATTGGAACAATTTATGCAGTAACAGATGAAGCTTTGTTGATAAAGAAGCAACAAAGTCATGCACATCCTCTACAGTATAATCACTTCTTCCAAGTCCCCACTCCCTTCTAACAATTCTAAGCAGTAAGTTGTTGAGATTTGAAAAGCATTTGGAACAGCACTGGTAAAAGCAGATATCAACAGAACGACCTGTAGGATTGCTGGATTTTGTTCCACAGCTGCCTTTGGGATCACATCCGTCAACACAAGTACCAATCAAGGATTGAACATACCGCTGGTTAGGCACTTCATCAGAGGATGAAACCTCCACACCCTGCTTATCACTGGAATTCAAGGAACCATCCGCTTCAAGACTGAAATGTCTCTTTGTGAAGCCATTGGAACGTTTGAAAGATGGGCCGTCACCAAATTCTGACTGATTGCCATCAGTTTCTGCTTTTGGTGCCGCGGAATCATCCAAGACAACCAGATTGGTAGACTCTTGTACCTTAACTTCAGCTGCATCACATTCATCTTGACACCCATGATCACCATCTGTTGGATCAGAGTAACCATAATCTTTAGCACTGAAGTCCAGGGCACTGTTTTCCATATTAGAAAGTCTTTTTACGTCAAGAGACATTTCGCCATCTGCTTCTGGACATCCATCAGCACCATCAGTTTCGACTCCCTGAGGAATTTTGCCCCACAGTTCAGTTTGATCCAAATTTGAATGGCGTAGCTTGTTGCAGTCAGAAATGCTATCCTTGGAGACAACATTACTAACTGGTCCAATATAAGTAGTGGGATTGGCTTCTGAAATACAGCTATCCACCTCTAAACTGAAAAGGAATTTGTGATTTAGTGAGAAGATAAATCTGATACTTAAATAGAGAATATATGAGAATAGTGAGGATACCTTTGTAATGTGTGCGCCCAACTCATAACCATGTCATCCAGATAAGAGACCTGGGATAAAATCCGAATAAACTGATTTTTATCTTTCCCAGCTTGAACTTTCTCATCAATTCGTTTGACAAGAGTTTCCAAAACTTTCCGAACCTCCAAACAAACTTCCTTTAGAGAAGTGTATTCACCTCTATATGCTGATAACCCAACTGCAATTAGTCCTCGAACTAGACTAGATTCATTTTGTTTAATATTACCAGAATCATTGGCATCAGAGGCCTGCTCAGATAAATAGCTGGGACAAACAATACAAGAATTGAAGGGCCAACCTTTCCAGGGTCCATGGACATTGGCACAGGGCCCTTCTTTTAACTTGGATGTGACCCAACATAGTTCTGCAAAATGAGGATAAGACAGTATCTGATAGCCAACAGCTGATATTGCAAACGTCAAACTTGATTTCACTTTCACTGATTTATTTGAGAGACCGGCAGGGTTCAACGAACTGACATGGACGGATTGACTATTACAAACTAGATCAACTTCACCTTCAACTGTCTCACAATTTTTTGCAAAGGGGCTTTCATGGATATGGTTTCCACCATGTAGTGAATGAACAAACTGTTGTGCCAAATCTTTTGACAACTTAGCAGCAAAACAATTAATCACTTTATTGTGATCCAATTTCCCATCAAGTTGTAAAGAGAATTGAGGCACATTACGGTCTCGCAGACTTGAGAGTCCACAATTAACCACCTCATCTCCAAAAAACCGCCTTACGCTACTTGGAAGTAAAGAGAACGGCAATTCTGATGTGGCCTGTCACAATAAAAGATTGCAGTAGTTTTAAAACTAGGATGAAAGGTGAGCACGTACACACTTATGTTCCTTAAAAAGGTCTAAATCTGGTCAGATTACATCAAAGCGACCTCATGAATGGTTGAGTTTTTTCAAATAATTGAGAACTGCAAAATCTTCCTATCAAAAACTAAATGAACAAAGGCAGGACAAAAATAAAAATCTTTTTCAGACCAAATATAAGCAAAATGAAAGAAGATTCATCATAGCATATCAAAAATTGGTTTTCATCATTAACTTTGATGTACTAAAAGCTCAAATTTAGTGAATCACAAAGAGAATCTCAGACCATCAAAATCTTATACATTGGGTACTAAACTAACTTTATTAGTTGCTCAATGTCCAGTTTCATAATCTATTAAAAGTCTGAATAAAAAATTAAATTAATTAATTAATTAATACCCTTCCATCCCTACATACCAGAATCATCATCAGCGAGTTCACACGCATAGACTCGACCTGCTCAACAAATAAGGTCCAGAGATACGAGGCCTTCTTCATAGAAGTTTGCACTTTTAGTGCCTCTTTATCATCACTTGCAGGAATGGCGTGTTTCATGTCAGTTGCATAATGAACATCAGATGAATTATGGTTGTTGGAAGATGGTTTGCAATCTTCAGGGGCTTCATCATCCATCTCAAAAGCCCACAAATCGATTGCAGGCATATATAGTAAACACAGATTTGTTTGAGCACATCCTGCTGCCACAATATATCATATAAAAGAAATAATTCCTCATCAGACATGAATAAAACCAAACAACAGGTTATTCTTTTAAAACTAAAAGGCACTGCCATTCAAATTACAATAAGTACTTCCAACAAAAACTCAGAGCACCGCCATTCAATTTTACATTTATAAATAATCCAGTGACATAAAACAAGATTTCAGTGTCAAGATGATGTACGGATCTAGAACCCAGATCAGGCAAGGTCTACCAACTGTCTATTGTCAGCTCTCCAGGAAATCAATTAAAATGAATGTGCAGATAGATGCAGCTGTATGTTTCTTAATATGTGGGATAAAGTAATCCCTTAAATTATTATTAGAACTATAATCCAATCATTAATAGTAAACAAACTCATAAAGGGCCAAGAACTGTAGCATTGACCAAAAAAACAGATGAGAGAACAGGATAGCGTGCATAACAAACTGTATGTGTTAACAAACTATTGAACAGGTAGTTTCCTCATCTATAAGACAAGACACAGGAATGTATGCTGCCAAGAAAGAAGGGGGGAAAAACAGCCTAGATAGATAAATCTATAAAGTTGCATAAATCACATTCTGCCTGCATTCCAAAATGAAATGAACAGTCTTTAATAATTGAAATGAAAAATCAGACATACTCAATATTCTTGTTAGCCCATGAACCATGTCTCCATGTCCTTCATGAGAAATGCTAGCTAAATCAACTTTCCATATATCAACATTACCAACAAAAAAGTGGAGAAGACAAGAAGCAAGGTGCCTCTGGCCAGATCTTGGATTACCACAAATCAATACTTGAAATCCTGAATTATTACACAATCCACTAGTCATTTTTTTAAGCAACTCTGGGCGAGCAAATGATTGAGAGCTGGAAGGGGCAATCCCTGAAAATTCCTCATCACCATTATGGCCTGTAGATTCAAAATCACATAAGCTGCTCTCTCCCACCAGAACATTTGCAAGCATAAGGTTCTTCTCAATCTCACTCATAAAATCTACTTCCTCAAGCAAACCATCTATATGCAGCCACCAATTATTGCTCTGCTCTCTCTGGCCATCTAAGTAAGAAATGGTCACATCTTTAACCATTGTGGATACCTTACTAAGATGAGGTGGTAACCAGACACTCTCATTCAGGCACAGGCAAACAAGTAATCTTGTTAGAGGTTGCAGAAGACAAGGAACAAGATGAAGCTTAAGAGGTGAAGAAACCACATCATTTAGTGCAACTCCACTCTCTCTTCGTGAGCATGGAGGTGGGGCACATGACAGTGCCTTCAACCAATCTTTCTCTTCCACAACTAAAGTAGGAATGGCAGATCTACTCTTAGAAGTTCCAGTTTCTGCTGATAAGAGAGCTTCTTGCAAGGGGAAGCTCCTCCTCAGAGCAATCATAGCTGCTTGAGTACACAGAGCCTGCAGGTCAGCACCAGCATACCCCACAGTTTGTTTTGCTACCCACTTCAATAAGGATCCAATTAGTGGTTTGGGCCATTTTTTAGTGTGCAATGAGAGAATTGCTTCCCTATCCTTAACAGAAGGTAAAGGAAAGTAAATCTCCCGATCAAATCTTCCAGGCCTTCTTAGAGCTGGATCAACTGCATCAGGACGATTAGTTGCTCCAATTACAATAACTGAACCTCGAGACTTTAAGCCATCCATTAATGCAAGCAAGGTGGAGACAACAGAATTATGTGTTTGATCCTGTCTCTTCGAACGGGATGGAGCTAAACCATCTATCTCATCAAAAAAAATAATAGAAGGTTGAGATTTCTCGGCAACTTGAAACAAAAGTCTTAATTGACGCTCAGCATCACCAACATATTTGCCAAGACAATCTGCTCCTTTGCGCGCAAAGTATGCTATCCTCCTATCACCATGAGCACAAGACCCAACTAGTGCACGGACAACCAATGTCTTACCAGTTCCAGGATGTCCATGCAGTAGCACACCCCTAGGTGGTGTGATTCCTAGGTTGTTGAAAAACTCAGGGTATAGAAGTGGCAAGATAACCACTTCTTTCATGCATTGAATGACATCTTGAAGTCCAGCAACAGATTCCCACCCATGGTATTGGGACTCATTCTCATGATTTGCACCTCCAATGTATGTGGGTGCTATTCTCCACAAATCCCGATGAAGCCTCTTGCTTTCACGCTTCAGAAATTCTTCATCTTCCCCGCAGTTCTCTAACCATTTTTCTTCTGCTTCAATATCCTTTCGACTAGCATCATTAGCCATCTTACGGAATTCCCATTTTAACTTTTTGGCCTTCATTTTCTTTAATCTTTGTGCATTCTGAATTCCATATGGTTGAAATAGATGTCGATGATCAGTGCAGACAATAAGAAATTTTCGATGATCAAAGAGGCAACCTTTGGCTCGTGCACATGGCTATAAATTAGGAAAATAAGAAAAAGAATGAGAATCAGAAAGGATCAACCAATGCAATAAAAGAGGCATAACAAAGCAGGGAAAAGAGACAATGATAGACAACAAAGTAAAGGGTGGTAGTATTTCAAAGAAAAGCACTCACTAGGTGGTAAGTTTTGGGGCATCGATCAACACGACACCCAATGGTTGCTCCAGGTCTCCTACAACGGCTACATTTCAGCACGCGTCCCCGGTAAAGGGCAGCTCTAACATTTTTCAAGCATCCCAATCCAGCAAAGTAAACCTGAAAAGTGGTTTCAGGAATGAGCATCCACTTGGAACAATAGATACCGTAAGTTACAGAATAGAGAACCAGCATACAATATTAGATACCGTAAACGTGAATATATTGTGCATGACAAAGCGAGGCATTATAAAATAAGAGCTAGTTTGTGGCTTACATCCTATGGGTACTTCCATCATTTAATAATACTTGAGAAGGTACATTGTTGAGCCTGAAAGATTTATTTGGATGAAAACATATCTAAGTAGTCATATTTACTTGAGTGCAGCTAAAAAAAAGCATAAACACTGAATAACCAAAGAGAGCTACAATTGTACTCAAAGAGTCAAAGGAGCTATTTATTAACGTGGCATTATTAAATAGGTTTAAACCAAAAGCAAAACAATGCACAAGATCCTTAAATTCATGGCGATTTACATGACATGAAGTAAAAGTATGAACTAAACTTAGCTTTGTGAAAATTAGCAAAATAATTTGCGCATGCATGGTGGAGAGATATTAGCAGGAACAAAAGCAAGAAATTAGGGGTTATTGTCAAAGAGAAAGTGACAGGGTGATAAATGCATTTAAAATGTTACCCCGTAACATATAAGATGGTAACAAGTTACTGACAGACTTCAGACCAAATGCAAGAGAGACAATGCAAATATAATATAAACCCAGATAACCATCAGGATAACTGAAGAGCTATATATTCAAGATAACAAATCGCACCTCTGGACTCCATACTGCACACTGCTGATGAACCCAAATTCCAGCTATTCCATACCGATCATTAATAGGACCTAAAAGTCGTCCAAGCCATCCTGATTGATCACCAAATCCATCCCATACATCATAATTAGGTTCTTCAGAGGCAGATGACCCACTGAATGCCTCATTATCACTGCCAGTCCCTTCCAGAGCAAGTATTTTTGGAGGCTTGCCATCCGTACCACCCCCACATAAACCACAGCATCTTCCTAATTTTATCCTTGGTTTTCTGCCTGCTACAACAATAGCATTGGTTTTCTCTTCACATTTTTCTGGTATCTCCTCTTCAAGAGGCTTATGAGGATCTTCATCTTTTTGTTCATCATCAATTGCACATTTAGTTTCAGCAGTATTTACTTCATCAGATACAATATCACGTGCTGATTTTTTGGGGACAATATGCTCTATCTTTGATTCTTTCTTGTCATTGTCATTGCTCGGGCAGTTTTCTATCTCTGACTTCCTTTGAATTGCAGTCTCCTCTCTCTCACCCAACTGCAAAGTCACTTGGTCATCTCCAGATTCAATTTCTCTTCTGCATTCCAAAGTAATCTCTAAATTCAATCCATCCATTTCATCTGTAACATCTAACATGCCATTTCCACACCCTTCTGTATCATCTTCCACCTCATTTCCAGACCTTTCTCTATCGTCTTCCACCTCACTTCCACTCTTTTCATTATCATCTTCCACCTCATCTCCGCTCACTTCACTATCATCTTCCACCTCATCTCCGCTCATCTCATTATCATCTTCCACCTCATCTCCACTCATTTCATTATCATCTTCCACCTCATCTCCACTCATTTCATTATCATCTTCCACCTCATTTCTGCACCAGTCTTTATCATCTTCCATCTTATCTGCCAAATCCCTCTTCGGAGCCCCATTTGCCAAAATGTTTGAAGCTTTTATTCTCCCTGGCCTCTTTGATTTTACCACTGTCGATTTCTCACCTGCTAAGCCCCCTTTCTTATCATAAAACTGGGTATCCAGGTCATTGCCATACTCATCCAAATCCTTATAGAGTTTTCTTTTACCTTTAAATGAAGATTCCCTCCCTCCTCGACCAGAATATGTGTCATTATTTCCTCTAGATCTCAACCTTCGCCCCCAAACACCATCACCATTTTGTTCAACCAAATCGGAGAAACTTGATAATGATGTCTTGCACTGCCTCTTATCATCTCCCCCAACTTTCTGAACGCTACTAGGGACACTTCCATCAATCTTCTGCCGCTTTTTGGGCGGCAAAGGTGATGAGTCCAGCAACACAGGCGCCTTGCGAGCCCTATTACTTCTGCGCAGCTCTAATTGAACCCCTCTACTACCAGCCTCACCATTCTCAACTGCACCATGACTCCTATTGTAAGCTTTCTCACAAATTGCGTCTAATCTCTTGTGCTTTTTTTTACCTTTAAACTTATTCCTGAATTTCCGATCCTCCTTTCTCTTAGCAACTGATCTGGACTGCGACAATAACATATCAAATAAACCTTCAACACCAATATGAGGAAGCGCCTATCTATCTACTATCCTTTCCCTGTCTCCAATTAAAATATTCTGAACCTCCCCGCACAAGTATCCTGCCCACCATATACGGTAGTCTCTATAATCAATCAGTTTCTAGTTCAAACCGAATCCGCATACGAACAAATTTCAAACAAAAGAGCCCGACGATATACTGACCTCCGATTGCTGGATCATGCAGAACCAACGGCATACACACAACAAAAACCCTAGAAACGATCCGATTTCAAACTGAAGATTTTCATTAAAAAAAAAACAAATTCTACAGGAATGGATTACGGTTCCGTGATCATGCAAAGAAATTCACCATTTGATTTTTTGGGTTGTTTTTACTGTGAGGCGTTTTAGGGCTTTCCTGCCTTAGAGAATGGCGGAGGCTCTAAGAAAGACTAAAGAGGGCGCCCGCTCATTAGTATTCAGTATTCGCACCGTGAAACATTATATAAATAATTTATTTATATATATTCAACAACAAATTTTAATCCCACCGGCGCTCCACGCGCGTGAACCACAGGTTTTCGCGAAAGCTTTTTTTTTTTTTTTTTTTTTTTTCTAATTTGAGCTTAGAATTTCAATTATTTAAATATGAATACACTTCCCTTTCTCAACAATTTTGTTTGTCATATTCAAATTATTTATTTTTATATAATTAAAAAAAACTAAAACATATAATTAGAAGAAATTAAAATATATATCTAAATATTTTAAAATTTATACTATGTCAATAAAATAAATAAGATATATATGTCATATGATATTATTTAAATTTTAATTATACTAATAAATTATCTTTATTTTAATTTATAATTATTTTTTTATTATAATGTAATTATTTTTATTGTACAATAGATTAATAGAAAAGAATAATATATTTATAATTAATATTAATATATTATTATTATATATTTAAAAATATTCATAAACAAATTAATTTGGTCAACTTCAATCAAAACTACAAAAACTTAAAATCAACCTTAAAAGGCACACAATTTAGCAAATTTATTTTAAAATTCAAATTCAATCTTGATCTAAATTAAATCTTTCCCAAAAAAAAAAAAACACACCCAATAATTTGAGGGCACGTATATTTTGACGGATTACCAATAGCATAAATTATAAATATGCTTTATTGATAAGTAGTATTATAAATAAAATATATAGGAAGAAATTAAAAACGATAGGCAGGGGCCAGGGGCCAGGGGGGTTGGGTTGTCGATAACAAGAACAACAATGAATTATAATAATAACCAATAAATAAAAAGTTAAAAAGAAAAATTAAGAAGGAACATATGTAATTAATTGATCTGTCTCTCTCTCTCTCTCTCTCACCGGGTCGGACACACAAAATTAAAACCTTCGAAGTAAGATATTCATGCATAACCTGCTTAATGCTTATTGCTGCTACTATAGTGCTCGCAAGCCACATCACAAGCAGATGATGATGATGGTGATAGTAGGAAGCGCATAGCAGAACCCTATGATTTGGAGAAAGATTAGACTAGACTATAGTCTAGATTAGATAAAATAATAAAATAAATAGATATCATGTGTATAGCAGTAATATACTTATATATATATATATACTAGTGCGTGCTAGCTAGCTAGCTAGGTGCAGGTGCATGCTACCCTGGCCGGTCCATGGAAAAGAATACCACTCCAGCATTCAGCAGCAGCAGCAGCAGCAGTGCTTATTCTTCTTCTTCAAATTAATTGACTGATATATATATATATATATGCTGATCTCTCTCTCTCTCTCTCTCATCATCATCATCAGCATTATAGTATATTTAATATACTAGCAAGCTAAGCTAGTATTTTACCCGATGAGCAGCGAAGAAGGTTCAGGTTCAGTTTCAGCCTTAGCAGAAGCAGAAGCAGCAGCAGCACCTCCTCCTCCTCCTCCGGGACTACTTGTTGTTGTTGGAGTGGTACCCGCCTTAACTCCATCATCCTCCTCCTCCTCCTCCCTTTTGTCCTTTTTCCTACCACCTGCTCCTGCTGCTGCTGCTTTTCCATCATTCTTATTGTCCGGCTCCGGCGGCGGCAACATGTGAGGTGGGGGGTTTTGCTTGAGCTTGAGAAGCACTTGGCGCATCCTCGACATGTCCGTAGGCTTCCCGGGCTTTGGCCCCTGAATCACCACAACTGATACTGCTGCTGCTGCTGCCTGCTGCTGATCTTCCACCGCCACCTTCTTCTTCCTCCTCCGCTTCTCATTGATGCTGGCCACCTCTCGGGGTATCAGCTCTGATATTGCTTTCCAGTATTGCTTGTGAGCTTCCTTGTGGAACTTCTCTTGCTGCCTCAGGTACACCTGCATCCACCATCCCCAATTGATTATATATACATATGTATGTATGTATGTATGTATGTATCTGCTGCTACGGGCGAACCTTCTCCCTCTCCCTGTTCTGACTTGTGCTGCTCTCGCAGCTCTGCTTTCTCTTCTCATAAAACTGTCGCTTGTACTCCTCCGCTTCACTTATTATTTCATTCCGCCACTCCTTCTCCTTCTTTTCCTTCTCCTCCAGATACTTGAGGTTTTGCCTGCACAGCACATATAAAACTAAACCAATTATTATACCAATTCCTCCTCCTCCTACAAATCCATTCAACAAATTAAGGCTTCCTTAATTATATATGGCTTATTAATTTGTTTTGTTTGTTTTTTGCCTACCAGTATATCTCTGCAGCAATATAATAATGAATTGTACTTTTCATGCATCATTTCAACAGAATATACATATATAAGGAGTACGGAGGAGTTCCTCGTACGCATGCAGAATAATTAATATATATACATGCGACTCCGATCCATAACAGTTCACAATATATATATATATATATGTAATAAACACCAAAACAATTCATGTGATTGATTTGCTAAAAGAAAATATATATATATATATATATTAAACACAAAAAGTAGATCACCACGAAATCGAATCAAATCAAATAAAATCTCAAGTAGTAGGTAGGTAGCTGACCGTCGCCATTCGCGGAAAGCGGCGCCCTCTTGACGCATCTGGCTTGGATCTGGAAGCGTCGGTCCGCCGCTGTTAGAGGAGGTGAAAATAATTCCCTCCTCCTCCTCACCGACTGCAGATTGGAACCGATCAGCAAAATCGTCGCCGCCCTGATGATGCACCCCGTATGCATCCGGGGAGGAGGATTGCTCCTGCTGCATGTCATTAATGTTGAAGGGATGATGATGATGATGATGCTGATGCACGGTACTACTACCACTATTATTATTATTATTATTATTATTAACAATCTCGTCGTCCTCCTGCACCTGCTCGCCGCCCCCGTCGCCCATGTACACGCCAATGCCCTCCTCCAAGGACTCCATTAATTAATTCAAAGCAAACCGTGCGTGAATGAATGGATGAATGAATCGCAATCGCAGTCGCAATCGCAATCTCAACATCTCAATCTTGATGGCGTTCATCTCATCTGCGCTATCTTACATTTTATGCATGCCGTTTCCAGTTCCAGATCCGGGTCATTAATTAATTTACACATTAGTTGTATGGATACATCGTATATAAATATATAATATATATGTATTATACATATCATTCTAATACAATTGATATATACGAAGTGTATATATATGTATTATTAAAATATATATACCAATAATGTATAAATTTAAGAGGCCGGGCAATAGAGGCATCCCTTCTCGAATGAATCGGGTCGGACCCACACGATCACGCAAGCAGGATGGCCAACCGGCAACCGGTGATCGATTCTACCCTGCACACTACCTCCTGGCTCCTCCCCTCTCTCTCTCTCCTCGTACAACTCCTCCTGCTATTTTCCCTTTTTTCTTCCTTTGTTCTTCTTCAACTTCACACCCCGCCGCGATCACGTTTACTTCTTTCAAGTGAAGGTTGAACCCCGCGCAACAATGGCAGAACGTTTCTTCCCCAATATGATGCCCGACTTTGTCCCTGAAAACCCTAATCTTCTAATCCAAGATGAAGAACAACAACAACAGCTCAAAAAGAACCGTGGGAGAGTTGAGATTTATCCTCAAGGCACACATGATTCACTATTGAGGCTCCTCTCGCTCCCTTACCCTACTCTATCCAACCAGCTACAACGGGCTGCTCTTGACCTCAAAGAAACTGTAATTTCCCCAATTTTCCGTTTTTGTAACCTGCAGTTTACCCAAGCACGATTGATTTAGTGTAATTTAGATCAGGGTTTAGGTTAAGATGTTAAATAGTTCTACTTCTGCTGCTACTCTTGCTCTGTGATGTTTTGCTTGTGTATTATTTTTATTATTATTATTATAATTGTTGCTGTTGCTGTTGTTGTTGTTGTTGTTATTAGACCCATTGTATTACAATCTTTACTAGGTCAGGTGTGTGTCTGGTGGGATACTCACGAGTACTTTGGTGCCGCGGCATTGCTGCTAATATATTATTGAATATACACGTGGAACTTTCATGTAAGATGCGTGTAGATTATTGTTGTTGCAATGATTACTAGTTAGCTATAAGTTCAGTATGTTTGATGCCGGCTCCGGTTGGAAGTTCATTCGTTGATCTACTTTCTAGTTAGTTTAGTTTGTGGATACCTTAGTTAGCCATGGGAAAAACCTGGTAATGTGAAAATCATAGTATAATATTATTTTTGTGATTTTGGATATGAAAATTCTACAGTGCTGATTTCAGATTCTGTGTGATGGAAAGCCATGCTTTGTTTTTTAACAGATTCTGGAGCAAACATGGGGCCTCACAGGGAAACATGTGGAAATTTTACATTGTATGTGGGCACATTGGGCACTGCTTGTTTGCTCTTTAAATCTTTCCAAGTGACTCAGAACAAGAATGATTTGAATCTGTGTTTGGAGATCATCAAGGCGTGTGATTCCTCTTCCATTCAAACCAGGTCTTGCCATTTCTTGCCTTTTACTATATGTACGCATCGTTGTTCAAATCCAGCAATTATGGATTTATTGAACACATTCAAATTCGATTCCATAATTAAATTTGTGAATTAGTAGTTTTAAATTACATTAATTTGAATTTGGTGTGATATCTGTTTTTAAGGATGTCTCAGTACTACTAATTTTGTATCCAGTTCAGTAATTGGATATTGCTATCTATAATAGGCACAATTACAGACATCTTGCTAGTGAATTTGATCCTAAGTTGTATTAGTAAAAACATAGAATTGTCACTGTAAAATCACTTTGGTAGTTCGGTAAAATAGTGAAATACTTGACCGAATAGTGTTCATACAAATTCAAAACACACTCGTTCAAATTCAGATTTTTGATCCAGTCAATTCTTTGAAGTTTCAATTGCAGAAACTTGTATTGCTGAAGTACTGAATAGAAATGCTCACTCCTTTATGTATGGATTGCTTAAACTTCAAGTGATACTTCTCTGTCTCAGAGGTCTTTTAATGAAGGGAGATTCCAAGCGCTGTTATCATTGAAGTGCAAATGTTCTCCCTAGTACTGTCTTCATGATGCATTGACTGCTGATAGTTAGAGTAGTTGTTCTGTCCTTGAAGGATTAATAACATGTGAATGAAATAAACAATGATTAAATAAAAACATGAGATGTGGCTTAAAAGAATGCACCTTTGCTGCACAAGTTGCAAGTATTAGGAAAGACAATTGGCATGAATGAGTTAAGACTGTTGTAAAAGCAGTAAATACAGATTATAAGGTGGTTAGAGACATTAGTGCAAGTATTAGGAGGGACACTTGGCATGAATAAAAAATTAAAAATGCTTGGCTTTGAAATTAATATTTCCGGTTGACCTGGGGATTTTATTGAATGCTTACTGTTAAGAGATGTGACTTTTATGCTTGGGAGAGGTGGTGTATGTGCTCTTGGAGCTATTGTGGCCAAGCATACGGGCGACGATAATTTGGTTAGTTATTATTTGGCCCAATTTAAAGAGGTATGGTTTTGTCACGAATCTTCTACAAGTATCAGTTTTTCCATCCTTGCAATTAGCATGAACTGTGTGCTGCTGGAAACAGATGAAGCTGTCAAAAGATCATCCTGACGAGTTGTTATATGGCAAAGCTGGATACTTATGGGCTTGTTTATTTCTTAACAAGCATTTAGGCAAGGAGACAATTCCTTCAGCCATCATGGTAGGGTGTTTTAAGAGCATATTTAAAGTCTATTAAACAACAAGACTATTGCATCCTAAATCAAATAATCATAGCCAGGATCCTGTTGTGAGGGAAATTATCAAAAAGGGGAGAAAACTAGGGGAACAGGGTGGAAGTCCCTTGATGTTTGAATGGTATGGCAGAAAGTACTGGGGTGCGGCCCATGGATTGGCTGGAATCCTCCATGTACTGATGGATTGTAATCTGACATCAAACGAGGTTGAGGATGTCAAAGGAACTCTTCGCTATATGATCAGAAATCGCTTCCCCAGTGGGAATTACCCTGCCAGTGAAGAAGATAAGTTGAGAGATGTTCTTGTGCATTGGTGCCATGGTGCTCCTGGGATTGCTCTCACGCTCATTAAAGTTGCTGAGGTAATGTTTTTCTAAAATTATAAGTTTTGGAAATTCAATGTCATTAGGAAACTTTTGCTTCAAAGTTCAAATGAAAAATATCCACCTTAACTATATAAAAATAGCTATACAGTACTAGGCAAATCTTTGGCTGTATGTGCAACTCACGCAAAGTTAAATAATTGTATTAGGTCTACCGAGTTTGGTTATTATTATATCTCACAGCTTGTATGACTACTTTCATCTTCTCTAAAATATATATAGGTGTTTGGGGATGAAGAGTTTCTTGAAGCTGCGATGAATGCAGCGGAGGTAGTTTGGAGTCGTGGGCTACTGAAACGAGTTGGGATGTGCCATGGCATAAGTGGAAATGCTTATGTGTTCTTGTCACTCTATCGTTTAACGGGGATCATGGAGTACTTGTACAGAGCGAAAGCTTTGGTATGCTTTTTGCTGGATAGAGGTGAGATGCTAATGTCAAGCGGGGAGATGCACAGAGGGGACAATGCATATTCCCTGTACGAAGGAGTTGGGGGAATGGTTCATCTTTTCTTTGACATGGTTCAACCCAAGAATGCTAGATTCCCTGGCTATGATAAATAATTACTATACATCTGTGTGTATATGTGCCTATCGTATGCATCCTTTTTTCAGGTTTGCTGCGCAGTTTAGTTTTATGGTTCAGTCTTCAGAATGTGTTGCATCGCATCTCAGCTCAGCTCAGTTCAGTTTGGAGATGAAAAGTTCCAAGTTTTATTGGTTCCCCTCATTTTATAGAAGTTTTGAAAATTTGGAGCAGGATGGATGAAATGAATTGAGTTTAAAATTTGGAGTATATTTAAATAATTGAACCGATTTTGGATTGGATCGGATTGGTATGGCTTTGTTTTGTTGGGTTGGGTTGGGCTAAATTGTGGGGATCGACCGACTTACAAAACTTCCCTGTCTTGAGAGGCGAGGCGAGGATTGTCGTCGCCCGGCTACTAGGCTAACCGGACGGACGGACGGAATCATCAGCCACCCAAAGCGAGTGCGAGACAGACACGCAACCCCACCCCGTCTGTCTTCCGATTCACCAGATCAGATCAGGTCAAGGAAGAAAGTTCCTTCCTTCAAGAATCAAGATGGTGTTTGTCAAGTCGCCCGATAACAAAACCCTAATCTTGAACATCAACCCTTCCGCCACCACTCTGCGGTCGCTCCGCCTCCACATCCAGCGGGATTACCTCATACCCATTCCCCGGCAGCGCCTCTACTTGGCTCCTCGCCTGCTGCTATCCACCCCCGAGAACGACGCCCTATTGCTCTCCCATCTCGGGATCTCCCCCAATTCAACGCTAACCCTACACGTCCCTTTCCTCCTCGGCGGTATGCAAGCGCCCGTCCCTCCCAAGGCCCGCCAAGATTTCCTCAACACGAAGCCTCCGCCGAACTATGTCGCTGGCCTTGGCCGTGGCGCCACGGGCTTCACCACCCGCTCTGATATCGGTCCCGCTCGTGCTGCGCCGGACCTGCCTGATCGATCCGCCGCGGCGATTGGTGCTCCTGGGGCGGCGGCCGCCGCTGGTCGTGGCCGTGGGAAGGGGCCCGGCGAGGAGGACGAGGAGGAGGAGAACGACGAGAAGGGCTACGATGAGAATCAAAAGTTCGACGAGTTTGAGGGGAATGATGCTGGGCTGTTCGCGTCTGCGGAATACGACGATGAGGATAAGGAGGCCGACGCCGTCTGGGAGGCTATTGATAAAAGAATGGATTCTCGGAGGAAGGATAGGAGGGAGGCGAGGCTTAAGCAGGAGATTGAAAAGTACCGAGCCTCGAATCCTAAGATCACCGAGCAGTTCGCTGACCTGAAGAGGAAGCTGTACACGCTGTCCGCCGATGAATGGGATAGCATCCCCGAGATCGGTGACTACTCTCTGAGGAACAAAAAGAAGCGGTTTGAGAGCTTCGTCCCAGTGCCGGACACCCTCTTGGAGAAAGCCCGGCAGGAGAAGGAGCATGTCAGTGCTCTGGATCCCAAGAGCCGAGCAGCTGGCGGCACTGAGACCCCATGGGGGCAGACCCCCGTCACGGATCTGACTGCAGTTGGCGAGGGGAGAGGGACTGTCCTGTCGCTGAAGTTGGATAGGTTGTCCGACTCTGTTTCGGGGTTGACAGTGGTGGATCCGAAAGGTTACCTGACTGACTTGAAGAGCATGAAGATTACTAGCGATGCAGAGGTCTCTGATATCAACAAGGCTAGGTTGTTGCTCAAGTCAGTGACCCAGACAAACCCGAAGCATCCACATGGTTGGATAGCTGCTGCAAGGCTGGAGGAGGTGGCGGGGAAGCCCCAGGTTGCGCAGCAGTTGATCAAGAAGGGGTGCGAGGAATGCCCCAAGAGTGAGGACGTGTGGCTGGAGGCGTGCCGCCTGGCGTCCCCTCTTGATGCCAAGGCTGTGATAGCCAGGGGCGTGAAGGCAATCCCAAACTCGGTGAAGCTGTGGATGCAAGCAGCAAAACTCGAGCAGGATGATGCGAACAAGAGCAGGGTGCTGCGGAAAGGGCTTGAGCATATCCCGGACTCGGTGAGGCTTTGGAAGGCAGTTGTAGAGCTTGCCAATGAGGAAGACGCCAGACTCTTACTGCAGAGAGCTGTGGAATGCTGCCCGTTGCATGTCGAGCTATGGCTAGCCCTTGCTCGGCTGGAAACCTATGAGAATGCAAAGAAGGTATTGAATAAAGCTAGGGAAAAGCTTCCCAAGGAGCCTGCAATATGGATCACTGCTGCAAAGTTGGAAGAGGCGAACGGAAATACTGCCATGGTTGGGAAGATTATTGAAAGGGGTATTCGAGCCTTACAGAGGGAAGGTTTGGAAATCGATCGGGAGATGTGGATGAAAGAGGCTGAGGCAGCTGAGAGGGCTGGTTCTGTTGTAACTTGTCAAGCTATTATACATAACACCATTGAGGTAGGTGTCGAGGAAGAGGATAGGAAGAGGACGTGGGTCGCAGATGCTGAGGAGTGCAGAAAGAGAGGGTCTATTGAGACAGCGAGGGCGATCTATGCTCATGCACTTACCGTGTTCTTGACAAAGAAGAGCATATGGCTCAAAGCAGCTCAACTAGAGAAGAGCCACGGCACCCGGGAGTCACTGGATGCTTTGCTGCGGAAGGCGGTTACATATATTCCACACGCCGAGGTGCTGTGGCTAATGGGTGCGAAAGAAAAGTGGCTTGCTGGTGACGTGCCTGCTGCTCGCGCAATTCTTCAAGAAGCATACGCCGCGATCCCGAATTCTGAGGAGATCTGGCTTGCTGCATTCAAGCTAGAGTTTGAGAACCACGAGCCTGAAAGGGCTAGAATGCTTCTTGCCAAGGCTCGGGAAAGGGGAGGAACTGAGAGAGTTTGGATGAAATCGGCAATTGTTGAAAGGGAGTTGGGAAACACAGCAGAGCAGAGGAGGTTGTTGGATGAAGGGATCAAACTTTTCCCGTCATTCTTCAAACTCTGGCTGATGCTCGGTCAGTTGGAGGAACTTCTCGGCAACTTGGAGAAAGCCAAAGAAGCGTATGAGTTGGGATTGAAGCACTGCCGGGATTGCATTCCCTTGTGGCTTTCGCTTGCTCACTTGGAGGAGAAAGTCAGCGGGCTGAGTAAGGCGCGCGCTGTCCTGACTATGGCCAGAAAGAAGAATCCAGAGAATCCTGAGCTCTGGCTGGCTGCAGTGCGAGCTGAGTCCCGACACGGTTACAAGAAGGAAGCTGATATATTAATGGCCAAGGCATTGCAGGATTGCCCTAAGAGTGGTATTCTGTGGGCAGCCTCCATCGAGATGGCCCCTCGGCCTCAGCAGAAAACGAAAAGCAGGGATGCATACAAAACATGTGGCGACGATCCCCATGTCCTTGCTGCTGTGGGGAAGATATTTTGGCATGACAGGAAGGTCGATAAGGCTCGGTCCTGGTTGAACAGGGCAGTTACACTTGCTCCAGATATTGGTGACTTCTGGGCGTTGTACTACAAGTTTGAACTTCAGCATGGCACGGAGGAGACGCAGAAGGATGTACTGAACAGATGTGTTGCGGCTGAGCCGAAGCACGGGGAAAAGTGGCAAGCCGTTTCGAAAGCGGTGGTGAACTCACATCAGCCTACGGAGTTTATCCTGAAGAAGGTGGCTGTTGCTATTGGGAAGGAAGAAGATCGTGCCGCCGAAAATGGCGAGCGGTACGGTGGTGGTAGTAGTAGACCTGCTATATCCTCCTCCGACTCCATCCAGTCTCAGTCTCAGCCTCCTGAATGATTTATGATCGACCATCTACTGAGTGAGTTATAGTGATTGATTGCTAGTGTATCCTATCATCATCTGCTGTTGTGGAGTTTTCTTACACCTAGATCTTTCTTTTCTTTATTGAAGCATGCTGTAGCCTGTAGTAGTAGGGGTTTTAGTTTAAACTCTCTTGATATATATATATACTATTGTCTGATTTTGGCAAATTGTGCATCTTTCTTTCATTCTTTCTGGTTTTGTTTTTCTTTTAAGTTCAGACATGCCTCTCTCATATTTACAAGATTTGTGTGTGCCTAGTCATTATTTCATTTCATTTGGGACTCGATTCATTCTTGAGGTTGAGGTTGAGGTGTATCTGTGATGGTATATCTGTGAGCATCAGCAAGTATTCTCTTAACAAATCCATTGGACTGGACTGGACTGGACAGGACAGGACAGGATGATGACTGGATGAAGGTGGTGGATGGATATATAACCAACAACTTTTCATTCATTAACATCACTTCCCTTCCCATCATCCAATAATATAATGATAATCTACAAGTAGCAACCAAAGTAGTATGGGATGGGATGGGATGGTATGGTATGGTATCTACATCTTGTTTTGCTTGAAGCAGGTAAGGTAAGCTAATTTTTAAATTAAGCTAACCCAACGAGCTTTTCACTGATCTCCCACAGCTTGCGCGCCTTGTCCGGGTCACTCGCCTCTTTGGACAGCTGGTTCTCGAAGGAGGAGGAGGCGTTGTTCCAGCTCCAGTACACCCCCGACTTGGACAGGGTGGGCTCGCTCACCACCTGCGCCAGGCGTTTCCCGGCTTCTTCCTCGGAGACGTACCCCTTGGTGATGTACTTCTGGAAGGGCGGGAAGAGGAGGCGGAAGAGCGGGATGTGCTCTCGGAACAGCCCCGTCTCCGCAATGCAGCCTGGGTAGAGGGACGAGAATGTGATCCCGGTGTCTTGGTGGTATCGCCGGTGGAATTCCTGCATCGTCAGCATGTTGCATACCTTGCTGTCCTTGTATGCCTTTGCTCCATCAAACTCACCCCCGTCGATCATGGGTGAGGGTGAGCTCCCCACCCCATTGAGCCCCCCCACCAGCCCACGCAGGTCGCCCAGGTTTGCCTTTGGCGGCACATTGCCGGCCAATGTGTTGGTGTTCCCTAAGTATACAAGTATATGTGTATATATATATATATATGTACCAATTATTAACAGGGCAGAGGGCAGAGCAGGAGGCAAATGGCAGTGGATGAATGAATGAAAGGTATAATAATAGAATAGAAGAGACCTGTTATGGAGCCGACGATTATGAGTCGCTTGAATGGGTGGTCGGACTGCTTCATGTCATCCAGCAAGAGGCGCGCAAGAAGGAAATGGCCCAGGTGGTTGGTCCCAACACTCAGCTCGAAGCCATCAGCCGTAAACGTAGGCTGCTTTGCAGTTGGGAGATACACGGCGGCATTGCAGACCAGGACATCGAGGGGCTTCTCCGACCGCCTGAATGCATCGGCGAACTGGCGGACGCTCTCCAGGGAGGCCAGGTCCAGATGCATCACCGTGTAGCTGTCTTTTGTAATCCCCGCGGATTTGGCAGCCCTCTCGGCCTTGAGGAAGTTGCGGCAGGCCATGGTGACGTGCCACTTTCCGGTGTCGGCGAGAGCCTTGGCAGTGGCGAGGCCGAGACCCGAGGAGGCTCCAGTGATGATTACATTGCTCTTGCGGAGGAGGGTTTTCTTGTCGGAAGGTGGTGGTGGTTGTTGGGTCGTGGCCGGGGGAGTTGTGGCCGCTGTCTGCTGCGCCTTAATTGGTGGTGGTAAGGCAAGTAGTGAATGCTGCTGCTGCTGCCGCTTTTTCCTCAACCCCTGCGTGCGTTTAAATCACAAATTAATGCCAAATGATGATGATGATGATGATGACGACGATGATGATGATGACGACGATGATGATGTCGAGAATAGCTAATTAAGTTATTAAAGGATTCACTTTAATTAATAGGATCAAAAGGAAACATATAGATATTATATATATATATATATATAGCGGTAAAATAAGCTGCCCTATTATATAGTACGTAATTCTAATATTATTGTAAATGTCAATCAATCAACGAACTAAGCAATAAAAATGGTGAATAGATTAGCCGACCGGCAGGCAGCAGGTACCTACCCTGTAGTAGAAGGTGCAATGGGGGAGGGCGAATTGAGCTGGTTTGAGAGTGGTAGGTGGCAAAGGCAATGGAGCTCCAAACAGGGATGATGACGACGACGACGCGTCTTTGATCGGGCTGGCCTTGATATGGATGAAATTAAAGCAGTAAGTATAAAGTTGAGGATTGCGTGAAATAAAATCCTAGAAGAATTGGGGACGAATGGAATGGAATGTAGGGGTACCTCTTTGGGAAGGGGAAGAAGGGCAAAAGTAGTTGAGGGCAACAACATACGGGCTGCTGCTGCTGCCATTATCAACCTCTGTGTGCGTGTATCGGAATTCAGCTGTGTTCTTTGTTTGTTGCGAGGCCGCGTCTGTCTCACAAACTGTAGATGAAGACGAAGACGAAGACGAAGACGAAGATGTAGATGCTGCTGCTGGATTGCAATTTGCAAATGAGAATGGGAATCGGAATAGAGAGGTAGGAGAAGGGGGTGGGGATAAGGAATGGTGAGGATTGGGGGGTGGGCCCTACGTGACGGCGCTCGACCCAATCACGACCTCAAGTTTGGATTCCCAGCGCACTACTTAAAACTGTAAGGGACTGTTCTAGAAGCATGAATGAACGGATTAATAAGACAGTCCATGGGCACAAGGATTTTTTTTTTTTTTTTTTTTTTGGTGTACATGGGCAGAAGGTTGAAGGTTCAGGTTCAGCCCTATCAAAATTTTGAGATCCCGTTTTTCCAATAAACAGTATCAAATTTATTAAATAATTATTTGACTTAATATAAATAAATATTTTTATATAATTCGTTAAATATAAATTTGACTTTTTAAAATAAATTCTAACAATATATTTTTAATTTAAATTATTATTTAATAAATATAAATAAATATAAATTTAATTTGATAATTTATAAAATAATAATATGTAGTGATTTTTTAAATAAAGTTCAACTAAATATCAAAATTTTTAATTTATATTTTAAATTATTCTGCAAATAATTTACTATTATAAATAATTTAATCTACAATTTTAATATGATTACAAATAATTATATTGATAAATTTTTTAAATGTATAAAAGAAAAAAGAAATCAATATTAGTTTCAATGCAACTAAAATTAATTAATTCTAATTCTAATATAAATAACTTTTTAATTTTAGTGTTATTATAAATATTTTTTAATTCATTTTAATGAAATTATAAATAATTTCGATAGAGTTAAAAGTATTGATACAACGATGCTATTGCTGTAGTAGCTAGTGATATGTGTATTATAATACCTCCTTCATTTAAATTTATATTTATCTTTTTTAATTATCATTAAAAAAATTATATATTTTTAAAATAAAATAATTATTATATTTTATACTTTTGTTTACTATAAAAAAAAAGTAATAATTGTTATTCATTTTTAATAAAATTCGTGTTCAGTACACATTTGCATGATAAATGAAGTACTCATTTTGTACCAAAAGTATAGTTTTATTGTGTTGGATACGAGATTTAAGCAATATTGATATTATATTAGTAGTTGATAAAAAGTAAGAATAAATAACTTTTTTGCCCTTGTGAGTATTTTAATGTAAAAAGAAGTGATAATTGTGTAATAATAATAAAAAAATGAAAATAGTTTTATGGTGATATATTTATTTATGAAAATGAGACTATTGTTTTGGAACGGACAAAAATAGTAAACAAGATTATTATATTAAAACGGACAAAAATGATAAATAAGACTGTTTATTGAAACTAAGTAAGGATTATATATTTATATAGAAAGAGAGATGGATAGAGACCTATAGACCGTGTGTGTCAAGTCAACCCACCAAAGTCAGCCACCCAGAAAAGTCAAGTCAATATAAATAACCCATATATTTATGGGTAGCATTAAATATAAATATTTATATGAATAGTATTTCCACCTTTTATTATCTATCTATCATTTTATTTTTATAAAATTTTAGAAATATTAGTATTAGATTAAGATATGATATAAATAAAATAAAAAAATAAAATAATTTTAGTATTACAAAGGATATCTACATTGTAATGATATTTTTAATATTAATAAAAAATATTATTACAAAATAAATATTTTATTATAAGACGGATCAAAATAAAAAAATATATAAATTATTAGAAAAAAATATTAAATAAAGTAAATTAAAAATTAAATTATATAATAAAAAATATATATTATACTCCTACTTTTTACTGTAAAAATATTATATAAGATGAGACAGATTCTCAATAGTCACTCGTAGACGTAGTCAGATAGATACCTACGTACATATTACTCTTCCCACCTCGTTTACCGTTCAATAATTAATCTCATAATCAGTCATACTTCATATATTAATTCAAATTTGCTCGACCTTCCTCTAATTCTTCACCACTCTTTGTACTATTATTATTATTATTATTATTATTATTGCAATTTATAATTGATATAAATTAAATATATAATTCTTTAATTAATATACATAAACCTATTCAATAATAATATAAGACTAACGATTCCATTACTTCACGTTATTATTAGTACTTACCACCTTTAGGTATCTTTAGTTAATTAATATTTCATATACTTATATTTATACATATATATATATATATCCAGCATGTAATAAGTATATACACAAGTATAAACTTGTTTAGTTTTTTTTTTTTCATTGTGAAATTTTAAAATAATGTATGTTAACTCAAATTATTTATAAATTACCCAAAAGGGAAAAAATAAATTATAAATTAGCCAATTACTTCCATAACAAATAAAAAATGTCATTATTAACTTCAATAAAAATACATTTTTAAATTTATTTCTTCATTAATTAAAATTATGATCATTCCAATTCAATAGATTTCTTTACTTTTAAATCTTATAAAATTTACTAATATAACATCATGGGTTTGTTTGGTTTCATTCCAAATTTAAAATCAAAATACTTTTATAATTTTCAATAAAAATATGTTATAATTCTTATATAATACTATCAGACTAAAATACTATTTAAATTTAAAATTAAATAGAAAAATTCAAACTAAAAAAAATAAATCAAACAAAACCTATATAATCAAAACTAATGGCCTATGTGAGTGAATCTTTTATTTTTAACAACAAAATTCTAAAATTAATTAATATTAACACAATTTTGTAGCAAATGAAAATATTGTAAAGGGTGAAGCTAGGATTAAAATTTTTATCTTTATCTATGTATCATTGAAATATGTTTCTTTACTTACCAATTATTGGTACACCTTTCGATAATATGATCGCGGCATGTATGTTCTAGTGTAGTCATTAATTTACCTTGCGATTTGCATGCATATATATGAATCGTATGACGACAAAATAAGATATTAATCATGATAGAAATCATTAATTTTTTCCGATACAAGATAATTAAAATATTCTCAAAATTTGTAATAAAATAACGTGTTAATGACAAAGCGACAAAATGAAAGTAGATATTTTTTTGTATTGATTTTATATGTTGTTATTCCCATGGCTTTTAAAATAAATTAATTACTTATAGCATCATATGGTATATTATTTTGAAAGTAAAGTAGTAAAAACATTGTTTGTATAGTGTTTTTATTTGAAGTATAATATTTTTTTAGATGAAACATAGAGAATTGTGTAAGTAATATTATTTTATATTAAAGGTTGATTTTTTTATAAAATATAATATATTTTATGTATTAAGAATTGTTGTGTAAAAAAAAAAGAAATAATTGGAAGAATAAAGCATAAATTTGATTCTTAATTAATTTGGTCAGGCACATATTTATATATATGGCCTAAACAGCAACAGTAATAATATAATAGTAGTAGTAATAAATGGGTTGAAACGATTACTATATTTCCAGCCATAAATAGGTTACATTAAATTGATTCTATATTAATCTGACCTACCAAAAAATCCACCAGAAATAATTATTTTGCTTGAAGTTAAAAGCGAGCAATTAAATTGAATGCAATTGAACCATCGACTATGTATTTAATAATAATAATAATTAGCCCTGCAATTAAAATCCTATCTGTCTGGTTTATACCCAAATACACATTATTGCCTAATTATTTCCACCTTCTTATCCCTATTTGACTCCTCCTTGTCACTTTTCACTCCCCATTCTCATCTCTCTATCTCTATCACTTACTTACTTACTTACTTACTCTCTCTCTCTCTCTCTCTCTCTCTCTCTCTCTCTCTCTCTCTCTCTCCTCTCTGGGGTTTCATTATATATATATATATATATATATAAAGCCCTAAAACTTACTCAACCAAAACACTTACTGTACAATATTGGCGGGCGATGCAATCTCGGTGAGTTTCTTCATGTATCAATACTACCGTGCAAATGGAGAATTAAGAAATCTCTTCTCTTACATTGCAGATCAGATTTCTTTTATGTTTTACTTGCTTGTATGTGTGTTTATATATGTGCATCATGGTGATTTTCTCTAATGGTAGTACGTATATGCCCTTGCGGTGGTGAAAACTTTATTATCACTCACACTTCCCTTCCCTTCGCTTCACTTCCTTTCGTTTGGCATTGACAGTGGAAACACCAAAAAGAAGTTTGCATTTTTATGTTTTATGAATCCTATGTGATTTTGTTCCTTTTATTGTATGCATATATTATTTGCATTTTATACTCGTCAATAATATACATTAAATCAAGAGGATCGGATATCAGCTTTATTACCACTGTTGAATATTGCCAATAGAATCTACAAAAATAGCTGACTAGATTTTATTTTATTTTCTCCATCTGCAAATATGTGGTATCTAAATGAAAATCAAAGTGCGTCAATATATAAATGTGTTTTTACTGCAAAACTTGAAGTTAAGACGTCGATTTAATGTGAACATGTGTGGTAGGGACAAGCAAGTATCTCTGAACATGAACACCGACGCGCCGGCGGCCATGAGAGATGAAGAAGCTGACAGCAAATCCGGCAGTGACAACTCGGATCAGCAGCCGAAGCGGAAGAGATATCATCGCCACACCGCACATCAGATTCAAGAAATGGAAGCGTAAGATCGATCCGTCCGATCCGTTGTAAATTATAAAATATATTTATTTGAAGTTAGGAAACTAATTAGGGTTTTTAATTTGATATATGCCTGGAGGTGAAGATTTTTTTTATTTTTTTATTTTTTTTTCCTCAAGTAATAAATTAAGGACAAATATATAAAATTTTTCTATTGCGGTTTTGCAGTTTCGAATAAAAAGATGTTTCAGAAATTAATTAATCTTGATGGCCCCCGTGATTGAAATGAAGTTGAATTTTAGTCCATTATATATATATAGCTAACAAATTAAATAAATATTTGATTTGATTGATTCTACTTTGATTATATATATATATATATGTGCGCGCTTAATTAATTGTTGGTTCTCGAATTTGATATGAATTATATGTATGTATGTATGTATTATTTTATGGACGGATGGATGGGTTGATGCAGTTTCTTCAAGGAGTGCCCGCATCCTGATGACCGGCAGCGGAGAGAACTCGGCCGCGAACTCGGCATGGACCCCCTACAGGTCAAGTTCTGGTTCCAGAACAAGAGGACTCAGATGAAGGTACCTACCTACACTTTCAACAATCTTATAAATTTATTTATTAGTTTGTTTGTTTGTAGAATATGTATATCATCATCATCAGTGAGTAATTAATTAATTAATTAATTAAAGGGCGACTTAATTCATCCATCCTCTAACAAAATAACTACCGAGTACTTACTATGTGTGTGTAAATATGTATTTTGGTTGATAGGTAGGTAGGTAGGTAGGTAGGATGAATTTTGAAGTTAAATTATAATTAAGTGATTGTGTGCAGACACAGCACGAGCACCATGAGAATACACAACTTCGAGCAGAGAACGAAAAGCTGCGCGCTGAAAACCTGCGATACCGGGAAGCTCTGAGCAATGCTGCCTGCCCCAATTGCGGTGGACCAACCCCCCTTGGGGTTGGGGCTGGGGCTGGGGCTGGGACTGGGGACACCTCTTTTCACGAGCACCAGCTAAGGGTTGAGAATGCCCGCTTAAGGGAAGAGGTAGCACCACCTATATATGACCTACCTGCCTAGCTCCCTACCTGTATATATTATACATAGTCATTTCTATCCTCATCATCATCATCATAGGATGATTAAGGATATATATACACTACTACTACTACTACTACTGGAAGTTTTCTTTCTTATATATGTGTGTATGTATGTGCGTGTAGATCGACCACATATCTGCTATAGCTACAAAGTACGTTGGGAAGCCCTTTACAAGCTCGGTGGACACGCCGTCAGCCTCTTCATCAGCAGCTGCCGGTTCGCACCACTTAGCACTGAGCCACCCCGCAGCAGCTATCATAATGGGGGGCAGCATCGGCAATGGTATTGTTTACCAGAACAAGAGCAAGCAACCTGCGGTGATTGAGCTGGCGGTGGCAGCCATGGAAGAGCTGGTGAGGATGGGTCAACTCGGGGAGCCGCTGTGGGTGCCCAGCACAGATCGCCTCTCCACCGTGTTGAACGAGGATGAATATCTGCGCTCGTGTTCCAGAGTGTTCGGGGCTCGACCCCTTGGATTCAAGTCTGAGGCGTCGCGTGAGTCCGCTCTTCTTGCCATGGATGCGTCCAGCGTTGTCGAGATCCTCATGGATGTGGTTGGTGCTGCTGCTGCTGCTAATTTCACATCCATCCATTCATCCCTCCATAACAGATACACACACACACACACACACACATATATATATATATATATGGATCCATGATGCTTTCTCTTGTTTTGTTTTGTTTTGTAATAATATATATATTTATGTCGGTTCTGCGTAATTACTAACAACTCCACGTACGCACCCTTGCAGGAGAAGTGGGGTAATGTGTTCTCAGGTGTGATTTCCCGAGCGACAAACTTGCAAGTACTTGCCTCAGGGATCGGTGGAAGCTACAACGAGACTCTACAAGTGGTAACTAGCAGATACTTACTTCATTAATCAGTAGAGTCATAATATGCAATACATTATACATATATATAGATGGCGATGACGATGACGATGTTAAGTTGTGAATACCATTAATTAATTAATTAATTGCCAACACTAGTGCTGCTGCTGCTTGCTCTCTCGTCTCCAGCTGATATGTATGTATGTACGTAAAATGCAGATGAATGCGGAGTTCCATGTTCTCTCGCCGCTGGTTCCAACCCGGGAGAGCTACTTTGTGAGGTACTGTAAACAGCACGTGGACGGCACGTGGGCTGTGGTTGATGTATCCTTGGACCACTTGCAAACCACGCCTATGGTCACCTGCCGGAGAAGGCCCTCGGGATGCATCATTCAAGACATCCCAAACGAGGACCGAGGATATTCCAAGGTATAGTATATATATATGAACTCTACTGTGTGACTTCTAATTGCAATATAATTACAACTTGTCATCGAGGCACGTAAAGTAGTAGTAGTAGTAGTAGTAATTAACAACACAACACAATTACACGCAACAGGTGATATGGGTGGAGCATGTGGAAGTGCAAGAGAGTAGCGGTAGCGGCGGGGGTATCCATAGCATATTCAAGCCTCTGGTGGCTGCGGGTCTTGCTTTTGGGGCCAAGCGCTGGCTTGCCATCCTTGAAGGCCAATGCCAGCGTCGTCTTGCTGATTCTGATGGTACTGATGCCGATGCTGATGCTCATGGCGGCGATGAGAGGAGGAGGAGGAGGAGGAGCAGTGGTGGTGGAGTAGTAATCAACAATAACATTAATAATAATAATAATAATAATAATACTGGTAAGGTTGGGGCGGGGGGCATGCTGATCAGGCTGGGAGACAGAATGGTGTCCAAGTTCTGCAGAGGGGTGAGCGCTTCGATCGCGAATGCATGGACCACCCTGTCGGGTAACGACGCCGACAACGTCAAGGTGATGACGCGCAAGAACGTGGACGACCTCACCATGCCCCTGGGGATCCAGCTCAGCATCGCCACCTCCTTCTGGCTGCCTGCGTCCCCCAGGACCGTCTTTGATTTCCTCCGCGACCACGCCAACCGCAAGGAGGTCAGCCCCAGACCCTCATTCATTGTAGATTAATTATTAATCAATACTATACATGATGCGATGATATCAATAATGATCCGTACGTCGATATGATGACCTGTTCGTTCGTCGTTGTTGTTGCTCCGCCCAGTGGGACATGCTTTGGAATGGCGCCGAGGTTGAAGAGGTGGTGCAGGTTTTGAGTGGCAACGATGCCTGCAACAATGTCTCAATCTGTCAGCTGAAGGTACGTACGCACTATGAATTTGCATTTGTGTTCGTATAAAAAGATATATATACTATGTGTGATTGTGATTGTATATTGTACTATATATGTAGGGTGCGAATGAAAGCGGCAAGTCGTCGTCGTCGTCGACACTGATGATGGTGCAAGAAAGTCGGAGCAACCCAACGGCGTCGTATGTTGTGTATGCACCCATCGACATGGCTTCGGTGAAGGCCGTTACAAGCGGCACCGGAGACCCCAGCTACGTGCCCTTGCTCCCTTCCGGCTTCGCCATTCTTCCCGATGGCCCCACCCACACCGCTGCCGCTGCAATGCCATCCTCCTCCTCTCTCGCTGATTCTGGAGGAACCCTTCTCACTGTCGCACTTCAGGTTCCTTCCTAATTCTCATCATCATCATCTTCTTATTATTATTATTATTGTTAATTAATCAATAGTAACTGTAATCATAGATATATATATATATATATATGTATGCAGGTTTTGGTGGATCCAAGTCCTGATGCAAAGCTGTCCCTGGGATCAGTTGCTATAGCCAACAACCTTCTCAACTGCACCATTGACAAGATTAGAAACATGCTGGCCCCCCAAATATCTTCTCCATGAGGAGATCAATCAGGTAACCAACCCTATGATTGGTGTGTTTTCAATAAGTAGTTTTAAATCTACCCCCACCCAGACCAGACCAGACCAGACCAGACCATCAAGCTATATAGCTAGCTGGATTACTTACTTTCATATGACTTGACTTGACTGCTTGTTATTGGGTGATTGATGATGACACCTTCTCTTATGTTTTTTTAAGTACTAGTACTATATATTTATATGTGACTGACTGACAAGTGACAATAATAATGGTTTGGATCCCCGATCATAAACACTATGCATGTGTGTGGTTTTGTTTCTAATTTTTATTTTTAAAATAAAAAAATATATATATATATATCTTGACTGTATGTATAATACGGTGTGTGCCCAACAAATATTTAAAAGCTTAGGAAACAAACGATCGTCATATACGGTCTTAATATATCTCACGGACACGGTATTATACATACAGTCAAGATCCTCCGTTCCGGATCAAAAGTGGGTACCCCAGCAGAGAACCCACATACATGTACTTGCATGTCTCGATAAGATTTAAATAGGTAATTAAGGTTATTTCTTGCAATGCATGTCCGAATTCCGATGGTGGGATCTTCAGTACCTGTTACCTGTTTTGACAAAATACCCGGGGCAACGTGGCTGCCCTTTTCTTATTTAATTTTTAAATTAATATCTCTCTCTCTCTCTCTCTCTCTCTCTCTCTCTCTCTCTCTCTCTCTCTCTCTCTCTCTCTCTCTCTCTACCATCTCCTCTATTGTCATGCATCTTTTCAATTGAAACAAAGAATCACCGAGAAGAAGAACAAGTGTAAGTATCTGGATTTCATTCTGTTTGACAAGTTCATTTTCGGACTGGAGTATTTATTGTATAAACAGATGTAGACCGAAATGAATATGTCAGTAGATTAAGATGTCATGTTCTGTTTCAAGCTACAATTCACAATATTACTATCAAGAGTATTTCACCAAAAATAAAATAACAATAACAATATTATGTCAATACATAAGATTCAAATACTACTTTAATCCAACACAACATAATAAAAATGTCCCGTAATAAGCATTTCAAACTAAATTGAAAACTTTGCATAACTCTTATCACTGGCCTTCAAATGTCAGATGCTTTCATAAGCTCTCCAAACTCTTTGCAACTACTAAATTTAAAAGTCAGGACCCTAAATCATAAATCAACATAAGCTAACAGAAATTGAAAATTAACATCATTAAGAATATTAAATTGAAAAGAAAAAAATCCTAGGAAAAAATCAACTACTACATGCAGAGCTGATTTTAGAGGAAATCTAAAATAATAATAATAATAATAATAATAATATACCAAAAGCTAACCGACAACGACAAGGACCGAGTTTATTGGTCAGTTTAGAGAAAAAGTCAATAAAATAAAAGTAAAACAAACAAAACAAGAACACAAGGAAGATGAGTACCGGTGAAGAAGACAAGTATTTGATTTTTATAAAATAAAAATATATAAGTATTTATATATATAGTAAGTGTTTTATTGGATTAATTTTATTCATTTGAGTCTGTCTACTCATTTTAAAATCCATTTAGCATATACCTTTGAATTTATAGTAAGGGGTTGTTGCGATTTGCCAAGCTGGGGCAAACAAGTTCGTTGAATGTCCTTCCAAATCCCCTTCCTCGGAGTGGTGCCTTTTATCCGACGTCCTTCAATTGAAGGTTCATTTTTTAGTAATCCTTTATTATATTATTTTTATCCTTTATTTGTTTAAATGAAGATTGTGTTCCTGTTTTAAAAAATTTAATTTAAATTTAATATTTGATGAAATATTTTAAATTTATTTTTAAAAGATTAGAACTTTAATCTGGACCGTCGATGGTGTGGACCCGACTAAGAGAACGGTGTGGATTAGGAGAAGCGGTTGATGTGGATGTGGTGCAGCTGATTATCACCAATCAATCAATCATTCTCAACTCTCAAGACACGAGCGAAGCAGCGTACGGTCGCTTCATCAAACAGAAATAACAATAATACTGTATAATAGTGGAGTAATAATTTTTCTTTTTTTTTTTTTTGAAAAAAAGTTACATCTCGGTCTTCCCCAAAACAAAACAAAACCCTAACCCCTATTTTCGACCAACGCGAGAGGCGGAACCCGACGCTTTGCAGATTTCTGATTGAATTTGGGCTATGGCGAATGTTACTACTGATGATTCCAGGGAAATCGAGAAGCTCTACGAGTATGGGGAGAGACTCAACGAGGCCAAGGATAAGTCCCAGGTGAGACGGACTCTGTTTCGAGACCTCCACTGCGCTCTCTATCGCTCATTTAAAGAAAAAAAAAAAAAAATTGTTCATTTTTGTGTCTACGTGGAGCAGAATCAGACGGATTACGAAGGAATTATTGCTGCAGCGAATGGCAGCGTAAAAGCGAAGCAGTTGGCGGCGCAGATGATTCCCAAGTTTTTTAAATGCTTCCCCCAGCTGGCTGAACAAGCTCTGGATCAGCATTTATATTTGTGCGAAGATGAGGAGCTTGGGGTAGGTGATTTACGGTCTTTTTCTGCAATTCTGCTTAGTATCTTTGTCCCAAGTTGCTGCACCCAAGGAGGAATATGTAGTGTGTTATTTGGTAGTTGGAACGGAGTTCTACTTTCGTCATTTGATTCTAAGGGGCTTGAATTGTGTCTTATTCTGGTGAAGTCCTGCTCACCCAACAGCACCACGCTCTGCCAGCGGGTTTTTGGATGCCTCACTAGTGCGTGCGTGAAGTATCTACTTCTCTGGAGAACTAGATATATTTTTGACACCGTTTATTTTGTTTCCCCAATGGCTTGTCCTGACTTTGAGTTTCACAGGGAAAAGATAGAAAAACAATTTGAACGACATGGTCTCTTAGGCGTATTTAGCCTGCTAACTTGGCCAGCTTGCTTACCAGCTTAATTTTTCTGTTGATGTATCACCCAATCATGCTTGGAACCACAACCTTGTACTACTGAACACTTTCTTCATCCGAATTTTATTCTCCAGCTCACAATTTCTCACGCTCTAGTTGGTGGGGGAAGAGTGGGTTATATTTTTCGACATGTGGATGATAAGCTATTGTCTTTGAGGCATCTATGTATCTTAAGAATTTGGGGGCTGTTGTTTCTGGTGTTGAATCATATCTATCTTAAGAACTCGGGGATCTTGTTTATGGTGTTGAAGGTGCGTGTGCAAGCTATTCGTGGGCTTCCTCTTTTCTGTAAAGATACCCCGGAACATCTGGCAAAAATTGTTGACATCCTTGGCCAACTCCTTATTGCCGGTAATTTAGTCTTCTTTCTATGCATTCAGGTAGTAATCTGTATGATATCCAGTTTAATTGAATGTTTGTCTCTGATATGGTTAGGAGATAATGTGGAGCGTGATGCAGTTCATAAAGCCCTCATGTCTTTATTGCGTCAGGATGTCAAGAGTAAGTTGTGAAATATTAATATACTTCATGGAGTTTTTCTCATGTTCCATTTTTCCTTCAAAGGTTAAAATTGTTGGTTGATGTACGTGAGACCTTGATACTGCTAAGCCCTAAGTATGTGCTTTATGAATTGATGTAACGATAGCAGTTTTGTCTATTATATATTCGTTTTCTGGCTGGGATGCCGTGTGGAATTCAGGTTTTCTAGAAGGTGTTGTATATATAACCATCTCTGCACGTTTTGGTCTTACCATAGCATGGAATATGTTACTCTGACTGGAAGGAGACAATAATGTGCTTGCATTATATTTTCTCTTTGATGGGCTGTTGTCTTCTTGCTGCCCAGTGTGCCCTTATTACAAATGACCTTGTAATGCCTGATTGAGAACCTGGTTGTATTTATTTGTGAGATTTCCCAAGGATTCGACTATTCGCTCCCCCCCCCCCCCCCCCCCCCACAAAATAAGATCAAATTAAAATTCAAAATATCACACCATTACTAACATCATACAACAATTTTGAAATTTTTACTATTCCCAATTCCTAGTCCCACAAAAAAACTCTTAAAATTTATAAAACTTATTACAGTTGGGGGCAACAGGCCAATTCTGTATGATTTTTCCCCAAGTAGACTACATTGAATGTATTTTATATAATAGCTGCATACACAATGCATGTCTGATGCTGCTGAGATTATTTATGCAGCATCCTTAACTGCTCTATTTAAGAACATCGGAAGCACAGATGATCGAAATGCAGAGGATCTCAGCGCTTGGGAGACCATCCGTGAAAAAGTTCTCTGCTTTATCAGAGATAAGGTATCATTCATTGGTTTTGAGTACAACGTTCTTTCACTTCCAAGAACTTTTTTCTATTTCTAAATGACAATTGGATCCTATATCAGGTGTTTCCCAATAAAGCAGAGCTGTTGAAGCCAAAGGATGAAATGGAGAGGCATATTACTAATTTAGTGAAGCAGGTATTATGTGTTGCAATCATTGATGTCATGTTTCTCTTTAGACAGATTTTTTTTTTTTTTTTTTTTTTCCCTATTGGACTCAAGATTTGTCATATCTGAATTTTCTATTTGATGTATCTCAATCAGAATTTGCAAGATGTAACTGCTGCGGAGTTTAAACTATTCATGGATTTCTTGAAAAGCTTGAGCTTATTTGGACCAAATGCTCCTGTGGAGCGTGTTCAAGAACTTGTTGAGATTATAGAAGGCCAGGCTGATCTGGATGCACAGTTTAATGTATGCTTCTTATCATGCAATAAGTAGCTAGCTTTTAGGTTGATTTCATGTATGAGTTAGTTGTTACCTACTCTTTAAAGCCCTCAATTACTGTTCATTATATTAGGCATCTTGTATTTCTTGCAGCTCCATATCTCTTCCATTATCACTTGCTTCTGAGTTCAATTTTCCCCTCCAAAAATTTTATCTTTAATAATGCATCCTCCTACTTGAGAATCTGCTGTATTTTGTGTGGAAACTTGTTATTTGTTTTGCTGTTTAAGATCTTGATGTAAACAGAAGCTGCTGATGGCAGAATATGGTTTCATTTTTAAGTTTGGTACACCCGCATTACATATACCACAGTTGCTATGAGTTATATTCTCAAGATCTACCATGGAAGGATAAGTATTTTATATTTACAAAGATCCTCATGTGCTTCCAGGTTTCAGATGGTGATCACATTGACCGATATATATCGTGCCTGCAAATGGCCATTCCATTTTTCATGGTATGTCTTCTATTTCTTTTAAGAGTATAAAATAGCATATTCTAATCTAGTGCTTATATTGATATCAGAGAGGTGCATCGTGTAGCAAGTTCTTCAATTATTTGAGCAAGCAAATAATCCCTGTTTTTGACAAGGTAAGACTGTAAATTACTGACAAAATATATCTGAGTGGTCGCATACATTGTTCCCCGCCACCTGACAAGTTATTGCTGTGCTATTTGCATTTATCTTTTTCCCATTTTTACTTTATATGCTCTTCTTATTAGCAAGATCATCATAGAATCTGTAAATTAATTGCATTTTTCATTAAATTGATAACTTTACGATTGCTTCACGGTAATGTGTTTGCAGCAATTTCTATAAATCCTGTTCATGTTTTTCCTGATTCGCAGTTTACATATTTGGTAATTGAGGGGTTATGAGCTTAATACAGATAGTACTCTCCAGGGGGAGTTTTATGTTCCAATTTATCAATTATATCCTTACATCTCTCTGATGAAGTTTCATATTTTCTTCTTTAGCTTCCTGAAGAAAGAAAAATAGACTTGCTCAAGAGCCTTGCTGAATGCTCGGTATTTGCTAAACCACCGGATTCAAGATTGCTTCTGCCATCAGTTGTTCAACTTTTGAAGGTACTGCTTCATCCAAAGTAGATTAGGAGGTGCATGAAAACTATACATGAGGTAAGGTGCACGAACAATAGTGCATTAATGTAATGTTCGTGCACTTAATAAACACCAGTCTTAACTCTATCATCAAAACTTATATGGCATCATTATTGTTCTACCTCTTCATTCATTTTTTTAACAGTGCATTTAGTATTTATGGCATGCTAATAGTGTTTTTGTTGATATATTGGTTCTGTATGATGCCATGATACATATTTTCAGAATCAGTTGCTAACTATTGGTACTTCAACAGGATGTTAAACTGATAAGAAATTAGTGACACCCTCTTTGGACTCAAAATCCCCACTCTATTACTTTTTGTACTTTGGATAAATAATCAAATGTAATTATGTCAGCTTCATTCATATGCAACCTTTGCTATAAGTAGTCTGATTTTTGGTTCTCTCTCTCTCTCTGTGATAGAAATACATGGTTCGAAGAAAGATTGAAGAGATGAATTTCACATGCATTGAGTGCTTGCTGTATGCATTTCACCATTTAGCTCACAAGGTAAAGCTGAAAATAGTGCTGTATTCAACTATCTTAATCTATATTCTGTTTATATAAAACTGAAGGCACTCGTGCTAAATTTTTTAGACTCCAAATGCCACAAATAGTCTTTGTGGCTACAAGATTGTCACTGGCCAGCCTTCAGACAGGCTAGGGGAAGATTTTTCAGAGCAATATAAAGATTTTACAGAGAGGTATATTGTGAACTAAGTAACATATTTGAACATCTGCACCATTTTTTTTTTTTTTAAAGTATGGTTGTTCCAAATCGTTCTCTGTTATGATAGTCTCAAAACGTTTTCAAAGATGCGAGTTCACTGACCAAAAACATTTTGGGTTTTAGCGGTATGCATGCATGCATGCATGTAAAGCTGGGTAAGGGATATGAAATGGACTCATTTATGAAAGCATTTAGAGTGTAAGGTGCATTTCTCTTTATTGCTTCATCTGTCCCAAAGATAAGTTGCTCATAGAATTGATGGGTTCCCGGAACCATTGCAATTTAAAGCCAACTTGGCAATGAACTTGTCCGTTTCTGGTTACTTTAAGTGGGAGGGCTCGCTGCATGACATACTACATGGTTCTCTGATTACTCCAGTTAAATTAGGTTAGGTATTCTGGATGTATGAGGGAAGTTGTTTGGAGGAATGCAATATGATTCGTATGTTTTTGGTTTTGGGTCAATATCTGGTTGCGTGGATTGGATTTTCACTTTTGATAATGGCAATTTTTTCAGTTGACATTTTAATGTATACGAAGTTTCACTATATATCAATTTAATGGTCTCTAGTGATTAATTGTGAGACTGGCTGTGGCTCTGTTGGTAAATTGGAATAACCATATTGTAATTATATTATTAACTTTATTCTTTCTCAATGGTGCATTTTCAATTGAGCACCAAGGAACTGCATAGGCATATTTCCATCGTTTACTTGTGATTTTGTTTGGATGCTTCAGAATATTAAGATAACTTCTTGATGAAATAGATTGAGCACGATTGAAGAATTAGCCAAGTCAATGAACAAGAAATTAACACAGGGTATGGCAGAGCACAATAAAACAATGGCAGCCGCAAAGTCAGAAGAGGAGAAAGAAGTTATTGTGGGTTTTCTCTTTAAAGACATCTTTTGTTTTGCCAATCTCATTTTCATTCTTCAATTATCAATTTCAATTGCATGTACATTTCCTTTGGTTGGCTCATTAATAATATCTTTCTTTTGGGCTCTCATACAGAAAAAACAGAAACAGAATGCTACGGCTGGTCTTCGAACATGCAACAATATACTTGCCTTGACCCAGGTGACTCTATTTCCAATCCCTTCTGTTTGTTATGAAATTATTAGACTGAGTCCTTGATGCATCCCTCAGCTAAGACTATTATCTGTTATATCCAAACAAAACAATCTCAGTGGAGAATCAATGCATCAAAACAAAATTCATATATTCTATCAGAGATTGCTCTGTGATTTCCTCCAGCAATATTGACCTTGTCTGTATTTCTTTACATTCTTTATGCAGCCTTTGCATTCAAAAACCCCTTCATTCTTCAGCGGGGACCAGAAAATTAACTTGTCCTGGAAAGAAGTACCTAAAGCCGCCACAACTTCAACTGCTCTTGTGGCAGCCGGGTATGGACAAAAAGGAAAAATCTGACCTTCCAGTTTGTTCATTATCTTTGGTATCTGTGGTTTACATTTTTCTCATTTGTCATCATTACAGTAAAAAACGACCTGCTGCTGCTCCTAATGGATCCGGCATGAATGCATCAAAGAAGGGCCGAGGAGGTAGCAGTGGAGGCGGCGTACAAAACCAACTTCTTAACAAAGCTTTTGAAGGTATATACGATGTAAGAACAAGGGGAAGAGGTCGTGGCTGGAGAGGAGGACGCGGCAGAGGAAGGAATTTTCGTTGAATATGCTTCACTTTGTGTTGTACTCTCTATCATCATCAACTATTTGATTGAGGTTATTTGTAGACAGACAAGACAGTATGATAGTGTCGTCGTCCGCTGATTTCAACTGATCTGATCCACCATCTTAATACATACACTTACATCCATGATTTGGTTTGTTACGTTTTAAGCTGTACTAACTTGCTTAGTGATGGCTGTAATGGGTCTTGATGTTGTAACGATTGGAAATGTAAGTCTAAAAAAAGAAAGTAACTAAATGAATAAGCAAATAAGATCAAAACACAATAAAAGGGCATCCTGACATTCATTCCAATATGTGCGTTGTTATGGTGAAATCGTTTAGAGAGCAGGCAGCCAGCATCACTGCAAAGAACCATTGATACTTCTGCTCTCTCTCTCTCTCTCTCTGGAATTTATTTTATAGACGACGTCAGCATTCTAAAGAGAAATGCAAGTTAGAGAACTCCACGCTACTCCGCCATTTTAATTTCAATAGATTAGAATTTAGAATTACCATGTAGAATTGTTGTTCTTTACAGTACAGCATAGCAAAGCAAAGCAAAGCAAATTATTATGATTATTGTGTATAACAAACGAAATGAAACAACAACTCAAAAGGATGATAGATACCGAGTCCTCCAACAATGATCATCAGAAACAGAAAGAAAGGTGTAGCACTGGCACATAACAGATACGATAGATAGTACGACGGATTATAATTAATGTTCAATGTAAAAAAGAGCAAATTGACTAATGATGATCCGGGAACAGCCTCCTCCTCCTCCTCCTCCTCCTCCTCCTCCTCCTCCTCCTTCTATAGCTTTAAATTGAGATCAAGTGTTTCCACCTTTTCGCTGTCGTCATTGGCCGAGCCCATTTGACAGATTTGATGCTTAGTCGGGAAGAAGCAGCGAACAGATTGCTCGGGTCCTACTTGTTGATGACAGACTTGGCTTTTGACCAATGGTTCCTGTATTTGCAGCAAGACACAATGCATAATCAGGGAGAGGCGTGTCATCATATCTAAATTTTAAAAATACTTGATGGTGCTGTATATAATATTTTCATATTATATATATCTTGTTATACTACTCATGTAACCATAAATTCACAAAACTCAGGGATTAAACTTGCAATAGAACACGCAACCAGAAGGACAAAACATTATTTATCTGAAAAAAAAAAAAAAAGAAACTGTTGGACTGGCTTAGCCAGCCGTGCTACACACATTGCTGTCAACCGCATCAAGGAATTATGGTTCATATTGCAAATTTCTTCTCAACTAAGTGATAAAGCAATAGAATCTAGAACAATACCTGACTCTGACTGAACAAGGATTCAAATTTGGATAATTTGTTGCTCGAGTCATCCAAAGGAGGCTTGCGCTTTGGGTCCAGAGCTGGAGGAGCTAATGTTAGAAAATCACCGCTTAGCCTCGCATTATCTTCAGTCACTCCTCCACTTCGATTCCCTTTAGGCAAGGTAGTTGGGCTCAAGGGCTCTTCTCTGGAGAGTCACAGAACAAAAGATGTTAGGCTGATAGCCTGCTGCACTTCAATTTTTGACATTTGTTTACCAAGCAACATTATATCTCTGCGTGTGTTTCGCTTGCTTGGATAATCAGATTATTAGATATTACAAGGTACTTGTGTACTCTGCAAGTGATACAAATAACCCCTCTCCAAAAAGCAGTCAGTATCATATAACTACTGCATGACATACTTACTACGTTATAGATGACTATGCTGTTTCTTTCAAAATTAGGCTGCCAGCAAATTGTAAGAGCACCCAAAAAGTAATCTCTAATATGAAATATTTGGAAACAAGTACCGTGCCCTGTGAAAAAAAAATTGTATCTTTTTTAACATTACATATTTCAATTGTAGACGAACCTGACGCACTTGTTCCTTGGTTCCACATGAGCTCGGTGTCCATTGCTACTCAAAACTAATTCATCTGATTGAGACACAGCATAGGTAGGACATCCATTGTGCTCACTTTCACGAGCGAACGGATAAGATCTCTTTGTGCCTGCTATCTACACAGCCACCAACACCAAGACCAAAATCACATATACCCCAAAAATAGGGAAAAATAAAACCAGCGCAAAAGTGCAATATATATATACAAGGGAAGAATCCAGTCAGGAGAAATCTAATGTGTATGGTCAAGGTGTAGAAGATGGTAGACAACCAGAAAAATGCAGATGTACCGTACCACACATACCCCAATTCCACAATCCAATGTTGGCATAGATATGTAATGTAACCAGGAAGAAAATAGCGAGCACAAGATACCTTATCTTCCTCTGACCAAGAACAAGAATTTTGGTATGAAGGGGGCTCCATCTGCGATCTGAATCGCGACATCCCTGGGGATGTATTAACCTGCAAGTATTACAAAATCGATGGATGGTCACCACAGAGCCAAATTCAATAGAGAAAGTTCTTTATCATTTGTATGGCTCAACTCACCATCAAAGGTTGCTGGAACTGGTGTGATGATTGCTTAACAATTGGAGAAGCCAAAACTGAAGGCCCACTTAGTTCGTGCGAAGAGGTAGTCATCACCGGTGCCTCAGATGCAAAACCACGATGATCGAGGCCTCGGTTCTCCCCCAAAATAAGATTGCCGTTGGTCAACTTAGGCCATAGCCCGTGACCGAAACTTCCATTGCCACTCAGCTGATTGGAAATTAGGGGGCTCTCGTTCCTAACTACACTAGGGACAGATGGGGCTTGCCCATATAAAGCATTCAGATTCGACACTGAGGGCAGTGAACTACAAAGTGGCTTAAAGTTAGAAGAACAATTAACAGGAAGGAATTGAGAAGATTTTGCTCCCAAAACATCAAACGAGTCCATCTTCTGTTGTTCCTCCAATCGGATCTTCTCAAGCTGAGCGACACCTAAGCCTCTTTGAGGCGCTTTCTTTTGCTTAACCTTTTTCGAGATTCGACTGCTGCTGCTGCTGCTGCTACCAACACCACCATCCCCACTGCCGCTATAATTGCACCCTAGAATATGCTCTTCTTGACCCATTTCTCACAATGAGCCATCAAAAACAACAGACGGAATTTAAAGGCAAACCTAAAGGGGCAATGGCAATTAATTGGTAAGTAATAATAATCGTTCTCCATATCCACACAACCATATTATCGACATATATCCCAAATCAAGAAAACCAAATCCCAAGTGTTGGACCAAATGCCGCAATGGAAAAAAATTCACATCAGATTTAATTAATTCCAGCAGATCCCCCCACCGTCCAGATTGCACGGCATCCCCACATTAATGCCCGCTCAATCCAGCAAAGATTTCCAGAATTAATCAATTCACACAGCAAACAAGGAAAGAGCATCTAAGGGGGAGGGAATGAAACAAAGCGAGACGGAATGAGATGGAATGAAATGAAATGAAATGAATGAATAAGGGGAAATCAGCTGGCTGATTAGAGTGTATCTGATGATGATGATGATGATGATGATGGCGATGATGAATCACAGCCCCAATTGCGAGAGCTGTCGGAGACAGACAGACAGATCGGATCACTATAAAATTTTGTGTTTTGTTGTTGCTGGGGTTTGTTTTTCTAATCTATTTCTTCTCCTCCTGAATTTTCAAAATTCAATGGCAAATCTAAGGCATCGTCGTCCTACTCAAAAGTGCTGCCCGCCCCTCTCTCCTCTTCTCTAATTTGTCGCCAAAATCCTCTCCTCCCCACTCTTGTTTCCCATCCCATCCTTGGACCGACTCTCTCTCCCCGCTGTTTTTTCCCCGCATTTACGACCCCATCCACGCCACGCCCTAATTTATGGATTCCAGCACCAAAAGATCGAAATCCCAATCCCATTGCCCAAATCGGGAAACCCACCAAATTCCCCAACTTGGAAAGCATTGCCAGTACTACTACTATTTTGCAAGTTCATGCATTCACACAGGCAACAGCGCTCGCCCCCAACTCGTGAATCGGATCGGATCGGATCCTCCCAATATCTTTGCTTGGCTTTTTTGAATTATTTCAATTTATTGCTTCTCTTCTCTTCTCTCGAAAAGAAAAGAGACTACGGTTTCATTCATTCGTTAATAAGCATCAACATTGTGAATGAATTGCCTTCGTTCAAATACTACTAATATTATAATCATTATCGTATATCTATATATGCGATCCAATATAAACAAATCGTATCATGATAATATCCACCATTAAATTAATATCTGTATCTATATTTTGGAAAGTAGAATGCAAGCAACATAGTTAGCAGCCCAGCCAAATTTTTTAATACACATGTAGATAATAGATAGATATATGGTGAGCAAGCTTGATCCTACATCAACCTTCCAGGAAATCTAAGACGATCAAAGCCACCAATTTTATTATGAAGTACGCAGCAGCGCATCCCGGTTAGAAGCGAGAATGTATGTTAAAAGAGTAAGAATACATGAATATTTATATATATATCGGCATACCCCAACAGTATTTATTTGTCCTTTATCCCGTGGAGACTTTTTTCCAGATTTTCTTTTATAAATTATCGTTAACCTTAAAAGAGTTGAGTGATAACTAATGAACTCATTTGGTGTCTAATGTCGAGTTCCTTTTAATCTTTTTTTCTTATCAGATAAAAACCTTTTCATTTCCATAAGAAACTGCATTTTTGTAACAAGACTCACATTATAATTATTACATATAAAAACAATTCATTAATCTATAAATTTAATTAGTAATAATGTGAGTCTTATTAATAGACAGAAAACATTCTTTATTTATTGAAATTAGAAGGTCTTTTTTCTAATAAGAATAAATAAATGAATTGCATCAAATAGTTATTAAAAAATTCAGACAATTCCGCAAATCGAATGTATTCCAAATTTTAGGAGCGTTGTGTAACATTCTAAAAAATAAAATGACATATCGTCTACGAATTATACGACATTTCAATATTTTAGAACTCCGATAAACTAAAATAAAAATATTGTAACTATATCGAGAGACTAAAAATGTAAAAAATGATACCGAAATATTAATTGAAAACTCAGAAGAAATGATTGTCGAAAAGATATATAAAGACTTTGAAGATGAAAAGCTATAGAATAGTGTGTTTCAAATTGATGATGGAAGAGTCTTTTTATAGATATCTCTACTCTTGGGCTTAATTATTTGAACCGTAATTTTTATTTTTTCATAATATTTTTTTTTTTAAATTTTGAATTCAAATGGTCATTTATTATGCATGTATGCAATTACAATTTGTAAGTTATATTTTTTGTCTGACTATAATTATTTAATTAGATTACATGTTTGACATGTTTAGTATTCACCAAAATCAAACTTAAACCCCGTATCCACTACCACAACCACCATCTTTGAGTTTGAGATAGATTTCATACTCATGTACTTGTTGTGTCAAGCTTACTGGTGCGCACATGTCTAAACTATATTATGAATAATTATTATACCGGTATTTGAATTCATTGAACAATAGCTTTAAAAAAAGTATAAATTTAAAATTAAATTATATCAGTTAAATAAACTCATGATTCGTCGTGAATAAAAAATTATAAAGAAGTTTGTCATTCCTCCCCACACGAGTTTGTTGATGATGATTTGTCCCTCAACTATTTTGATAACGATAATATATCAAAGAAAATTTTGAATAAAATTTCAATTGGATAAAGGACTATAAAATATTGAAGAGGCTTGAGGTAGAATTAAACTTACAAAACATAATGATATATTTTAAAACGATTGAAATACTTTAGGATATTTTGATTTAATTTCTTATTAAAATTATAAGGTTGTGTTTGGTACAGAGAAATGAGGTAAAGAAATATTATAAGGTTGTGTTTGGTACAGAGAAATAAGGCCAGAGAAATGGAAATGGTATCATTTCTCTTGTTTGTTTGAGTAAAGAGAAATGGAACTTGAGAAATAAATTATTTCAATTTCTCTGTTTTTATTTTTCTCCCATACGCAGAGAAATGATGTTGCAGTATATATTTTTTTTAATTTTTAAAATTTTTTGTACTATTTAATTTTTATAATTTTTTAAAAATTATATTATTTTAATTTTACAAAAAAACAAACTTAATTTATTTTTAAAGTATTTAATTTTTACGACATTTTAAGAAATTGTACTAAAATATAATCTTAAAAAACATCGTATATAATTTATAATTTTTTTAAAAAAAATTTACCAAAAATATTTTTCATGAATTCTCATTCGTTAAAATTCTCTTTTTATCGTGTTAATCATTTATTTTTGTTTGTTCATTCATGTATCTGCATTCTTTTTTAGATTTCTCAAATCAATTCTCTATTTTATCAAACAAGAGAATTAATTCTCATTCTCTACTCAATTCCATTTCTATGTACCAAACGCTCCCTAATACTATTTTACTATAAAATTAGGTAGATAAAAGATAAAATAAAGATATTATAAAAAATGATAAAAATACGATGTAATGAATATAAAATAATAATAAATTGATTATTATTTTTGGGTGAATAATTTTATTTATTATAAATGAATACTAAGTTATAAAATTAATAAACTATTTTTAATGATACTAATAAAAAGGTCCCGTAGCTCAGTTGGTTAGAGCGTTGGTCTTATGAGCCGAAGGTCGCGGGTTCGAGCCCCGCCGGGACCATATAATCTGTGCATACAAGAATTTTTTATGCACCTAACCAAACACGCTCAATATAAATGGTTAAGATATAAAAATTATAGACAATTAAAATTAAATATATCAGAAATCATGAGATACACAATTGATCTTTTAAAATATACAATCTCAATGATAACAATATAGTGTACTTGTTTAATGAAAAACGTCATTTAAAATGGTAAATTAAGACTTAAAAAAACAAGACAACAAAGCGGGACAGTAGCAAAGAAGTCACACACGTGGCAGTAAGACCCACGCCGCGTGCGCACATGAACCAATGCTAAATAGGGCTGTCCACGCGCCACCATGAGCCGGCGCCTCACCGCCTTTGAATGAATGGCGCCAAGCGCGTGCGATTAAAACCGATGCGCTGGAGTGGGTAAGTACTGACTGGGCCGCACGGGATTTAGTTAGTGAGAGAAAGCAGAAAAATCAAATCAAAAATTGGTTCCTAGAGAGAGAAAGAGAGGACTGAGTGGAGTTCGGATCCAAGAACACACCCCCACCCCGCCCCTCCCTCTTTTACCCTTCTTCTCCTTATTCAAACCCTAGAATTCGTTAATTTAATTCCTGTTTTTCTTTTCTGATGTATCTGTTTCTTTGAGATTTGTTTTTCAGATCGCCAACATTTCATATCCGTCCGTTTTCCTGATTCTTTTTTTTTTTTGGGTTGCATCGTTCGACGTTGAATCTGGGTGTGTGCGTCTGTAGAGATAGAACACACGCATATCTATATATATATACGAGCGTCTGAAAGTGTAGTGGCTTTCCGATTGGATTGAGATAGATAGGGTTTTGTTGCGTTTATCGGCTGTCGTGGTCGTCGATATTGTTCGATTGGAATTTGGCGTCTAATTTTAGGGTTTTTGAAACCCTAGATTTCTCGGGGTCGTCAAGTCCTAGGGGTTCTTGTGGGGTGATTGGGGATTACATGTATGGCTTCGGGGGCATTTGGGGATTCTAATGAGGATTTGAATTCGAGAACGAGATTCCGGTGGCCAGAAGATAGGAAAGTTTACACGCGAAGGAGCCACAAGAAGAAATCCCCGAAAGCCTGCAACGGCAACGGTAACGCCGTTTCCGTCGATGATAAACCTTCCTCCACCGCCCTGACCCCGTCTCCACATATCAACGAGGATTCCACTTCCACAACTGTTCCCGGTGCTGGTGCTGCCCTCGTGGAGGGTTTTACTACTGCTTCAAACTCGGTTGCTCCTAACAACTGTGAGTCGGTGTCTGCAAATGGTGGTGCTGTGGAGACGGTGGTTTCTGGGAGAGCGGAGGGAGATGATGTTGCCCAGGTGTCTCCTAAAGCGGCCCAAGATGTGACCACGGATGAAGGCTTGCAGCAACGTCAGGAAGAGTGTCTATCGCGTCAGTTATCAGTAAACGATGGAGCCTCTGCTCTCCAACAGATGCAAGAAGAACGGTCTGAGTACAACGGTCATTCTACTCAGACTGGAGCAGTTGAAGAAGGAAGCCGTGGCCCTATTGCAGAGCAGCAGAATCATCTTGGGAATTCATCGACGTCAAAAAGCAGTGAGTGTCAGAATTTATCAAATTCACCTCCCAAGAGCAACGAGGCTCAGAATTTGCAAAGCCCTTTGCCCCATTTAACTGCAAATGAGATACTCCTGGGGAGTGGGGACGAGAATGAAAACACTAGAGATAAATCCTTGTTGTCCCGTGAAAGTGATAGAATGGATGATAGCAGAGAAGTCACCACACCACAACCACCCTACTGTGATGAGGCGAAAAATGATGGAGATGAGATTATGGGTTCACCTCAAGTTCCTGAAGGCAATGGCATTCTGAGGCCTCTGGTGGTTTCTAAAATTCACGATAGGATTAGGTTTAATTTATGTAAAGCAACTTCGAAGAATGACATTAGGAATTTCAGAGACCAGCTAGAGTGCGAGCTTGATCAAGTTAGGAAGCTGTTTGTAGAGCTTGACTCCAATGAGCATCAATCGGCTGCATACTCTACTCAGAATAGAGGCAGTGATATTATTAGCCCTAGCAATTTAATAGGTGCTGGGGGAACTGATATTTCTGGGTATGGTCAACCCCAACCCAAATCCCAACCTCAGCACATGCAAGAAAACAATGTAGTCGACAGAAGGTATTTGTTGAAAATGAATTCAGAAGCAATTAATATGGGGCACGAGGAAACCAGGCCCACCAGTTTACCAAGAGTTAATTCAGATGTTGGTGGTTCTCGAAACTTGGAGCCTAGACCGTATAGTAGACAGCTCAGTGTTATGGTAATGGAAAACAATCACCTTGGCAGTGATTTTTTTGAGAAGGAGAAGCGAACTCCAAAGGCAAATCAATATTACCGAAACTCTGAGTTTCTTTTGGGGAAGGACAGATTGCCTTCTGAGAGCAACAAGAGGTTAAAGGCAAACAATGGGAGGAAACATAATGGTGAAACAGGACCTGCATTTGGTTTTGGGTTTGATAGGAATCGAAATCAGGTTTTTAAGAGCTGTAGCAGCTTATTGCAACGGCTGATGAAACACAAATATGGGTGGGTTTTTAATGAACCAGTGGATGCTCAGGCCTTGGGGTTGTTTGATTATCATGACATCATTAAACATCCCATGGATTTGGGTACGATTAAGACGAGATTGGCTCAAAATTGGTACAAGTCCCCTAGGGAGTTCGCAGAGGATGTCAGACTTGTGTTTGATAATGCCATGACCTATAATCCAAAGGGACAGGATGTCCATGTAATGGCTGAGCAATTGCTTCAAATCTTTGAAGAGAGATGGGCAATTATAGAGACTGAGAATGCTCGTAGTTGGAAACACCCTATTTATCAGGACGGAGGATTGTCCACTCCCTCTTTCAGAAAGACTGCTGCGCATTCTCCCTTTACATCAGCTGTGGTTGCTGGTCCTCCTAATCCTGGTTTTGTCCCTGCTTCACTAAGTGCACAAACCTATATTTCAGCTCCTCCTGCTGCTTCTGGTCCTCTGTATGCTCCTGCTGCGCATCCGATCAGGAATATTGATAGACTGGAGCCGGCATTACCTATGCCTTCAGATCTCAAAATTCAACGGCCTCATGTTGGCAGGGCTCCGGCTCCAAAGAAACCTAAAGCAAAGGATCCCGACAAAAGGGATATGACTTATGATGAGAAGCAAAGACTGAGCACAAACCTTCAGGGCTTACCTTCTGAGAAGCTTGATGCGATTGTTCAGATCATTAAGAAGAGGAACACGGCGCTCTCTCAACACGATGATGAGATTGAGGTGGACATTGACCGGGTTGACGCAGAGACTTTGTGGGAGCTTGATAGGTTTGTGACCAACTACAAAAAGAGTTTGAGCAAGAACAAGAGGAAAGCTGAACTTGCTCTTCAAGCGAGGATGGCAGCTAAACAAAATGCCGGATTAACTGTGAGAGCAATATATATATATATATTACTTCACATTCTAAGATATTTCTTGTTGCAGAATTCACTTATTTATATATTATCCATGTTGCAGAACATAACTCCAGCTGCAGCAGAAGCCCAGACCCGGGGTGGAGCAGGTGTTAATTAGCTTTTTGCTTGTGTTCTCATTTCAAACTAAAGAGTTCCGCAGTTATATCGAATCATTTATGCCTGGTGTATGGGTTTTTTCTTTTTCAAACGTCTAGAAAAGAGTATTGCTCCTGCTGATGGTGACAAGCAGGGTTACGACAGAAGTAGGTCCAGCAGTTCAAGCAGTTCAAGTAGCGATTCTGGATCATCTTCAACTGGTGATTGCTATTTTCCTCATGCATCTTTCACTGCTTTATGTGTGTCCAAGTTGATAGCCTATTTCTTGCATAGTGTTGATAGTGTCCTGCCTTAGACTTTTCATTTTCCTGTATTAGGTTGGTTGTTTGCTGTCTTCTTGTGCGTTTTAAAGTCGGTGCAACTTCTGTTTGACTGCCTTTTTTGATGACTTACAGATTCAGATAGTGACAGTTCATCTGCAGATGGATCAGATGCAGGGCAATCTCCTAGGGCATGAAAGGAGTATGATTAGGTACAACAAAGATTCAGTCACTCTGCATTTATGATTTATTCTAGCATAATCATTCCTTCAGCATGTTTCCGGTCAGCCCAGAGCATAAAAAATATTTGCTTGCAAGTTCATATCTCGCCGCATTTGTTCCATAGTTTCCTGACCCTTCTTATGTTCTAGTAAGTAGTATTATGATTTTTTATGTGGAATTTGGTACATGTAGTGATTTATTGTGTTGTAAAGTTTAAGTGAACTTTTGATGGTTGACTCACCTATTATCTTCTGCATGAAGCGCACAATAGTTAGCGTTGAGGGTCAAAGAGGGAAGTTTAAGAAAACCTTTTCTGTGCCATCTGCTCTTAGTCAGCATTGGTATTTTCTCAAAGTAGTTGCTCAATCCAGAAAGGGAAAACAAGGCAAAAATAGTACATTTATTTTATAACCCGCCTAAGATTAGTACTGGAATGGACTCTGGAGGATTTTTTATTCTAAATGTTTGTGGTGTGTGCACCAAACGATAACATAAGCTTCTTGTGGTCATTTGTCTTTGTCTCATTTGTTATTGCAAGAACTGGAATAGAAGGGTGAATCTGAGTTTTTTGTAGCTTCATTTTGTCAAAACTTCATCCTGGATCTGAGATTTTTGTAGCTTCATTTTGCCGAACTACATATTATTAATTGTGTCAATTGCAGGACATGCAATATGTTTTCTCCAACCAACGACTGTCATCGGCTGCGGCCGGCCATTGGCTATGCCTGGAAAGGGGTGGCATCATCTTTTATTGATGGTGTTATGTGTATGACGTTGGGGGCTTTGATTCTTGCCATCATTTGAACCTTGACTATTATAATGTTTTGAGGGAGATTTTCCTTTGTTAGGAAAAATTTATAAAACAGAATGGATTGGCTCTGAGGACAAAGAATGATGGTGGTGGTGGTGGTGGAATACAGCCAGCAAGAGTAGCAAATTGCGATACGATCTCTTCTCCATCGTATTTCTAGTCCCATAAGTTGCAGAGTGGTGTTGAAGATTCTGATGGAAAACCCCCACCCCCACCCTCACCCCCTACAGGTTGCGTTGCGGGGGTTGGACTGAGTGAGAGTTGGACTGAGCGAGTGGCGGTGGTAAACATCAGTGGTGTACAGATACAGATAGATGGATAGTTAGGATACAGCAGCTCTTATAAGTCTCTGCCTGCCTACTAGTAGTACCTTCTCACAGATTTTCCTTGCAGTTGAAAAGTTTTTGTGGTAGAGTTGGAGAGGACACCACGGCAGCAGACTTGCAAAGGTAAATGCAGTTCGGTAAAACCTCTTTTACTGGTTTTACACCCTTTTTTGTTTTTGTTTCTTTTTTAAATCTCTTATTATTATTATTATTTTAATTTTAAATTTGGGCTAGTTGTTTAGGGAAGGAATGTTGTTGGCTTCCTGGAGTGCATTGCATATTGACGATGGAATGTTGTTATCTGAAATATTTTTGAACTGGAAAACTTGGTTGTCATTGACATGTCTCTTTATCCCCCCACACAATTAAACAAAATGCACAACAATAAATAGGAAAAATGGTGAGTGAGAGGGTAGCACCGTCTGTGCCCCTCCAGCCAGCCATGCATTAGCTTTTGCTAAATAACGAGAGAGAGAGAGGGAGAGTGAGAAGCAGAAACAAACAAATTCTTGCTGGGGGGAGAATTCCCGCACAGCGGATTTAAAGTCAAGAAAGACTTCTCTAACCTTGCACGCACTAGTGTTTCGAAGCATCCCTTCTTCCATCCGAATGATTGCCCATCATCACCCAACTATAAAAGTTAAAAGTTGGTAGTATTATTTATCAGATTGCAGTGTACATAATACCATGCCTGCGAACATAAGTGGCCACCCATTGCAGGTATGTATGTAGGTACCTACACGAAGTAAACAAACACGCAAGCAATTGTTAATGTAATGGATGAGTTAGGAGATTATTAAATATAATGAACCTAGCTAGGCTACCATGCATAATCTGCTGCAAGTAAAACGGGATTGTTGTCTTAAGTGTTTTGACACTCATCAAGTGTGGCCACACCAACAGTTACGTTCTGTTCTATGATAATGATTATCGCCTCTTGTTGTATATCAGAGCAGCAGTTGCGTGGCCCAGTTGAATTTACACGGCTGCTAACCCTTTAACCCACATTGGTTCATACTTGTATGCATGCATCCCAGACTCAACAATAGTAGTAGATGGCATGCAAAAATTGTACACTTCTGCATGCATTCATCCAGGTAGAGACGACATTTTACTCGGTTAGATTGGCAATGACAGTAAAGGAATCCCTGAGAGTGCTCATCCTAAAGAGGCCATTGCATGTAAAAAAATCCCAGAAAGAATAACAAACTAGAGTCACAGGATCCACGTACCTGTTGAAATACTGAAAAGTTAAGTCTGATCCAAGCAAGAAGATTCACTTTTGAGGACTTGAAGCCTTGAAGGAAGTCTATTCTTTCCACCTTCCATTATATGTTAGGCATTACGGGCCTTATGCATGCCATATAGTGTTGCTTCCTTTGGATTAGTCAGGCCAATACTTGCACTTTACCTCAAAAACTCCAGACCAAAAAAGTGTGGACAATCCTATTCAAGACAGCCGACAGGATATCTTGTAGGCACCCACCCACATATGTATCTCAATATGTGAAGTGGCCCCAACCCAGTGATCTTCATCATTGGGCTTGAGCCAAGGTGCCACTGAAATAAATGTTCACACTCCATTACTTCACAATTAGTTTTTTACTGTTATTATTTTTTCACACAAGCATCCAGATCGAACCTTCAAGCTCAAGCATGCCAAAGGATGGTTAAACAGCTTCAACTACACACCCTCGGCCATTACTTCACCATTAGTTAAACATCAAACTGTGTGCAAGTTTCCGATCCTAGGTGCCACTGAGATACCAAAGCCACTGCAGTCTTCAAGGGTCCTACTTATCAACCAAATACCAATTCAACAACAAACTGACTGTTTGTTTACCGCTATCATTTTCTGTAAATTGATACAAGTGATGTATGGCATCAAATGGCCAATCCTTCACACCCTCTGAACTCTTCAAAGACAGTCTTAGTGGTTTCTCCTTTGCATATCAGCAACTACACAATGGTCAGAAGGCAGAAGTCACCACATCAGGTAGACAGCAGAAGGAAATAACATACAAACCCAATCTACACCACCAACACGAAAGTTCATCCTTTCTAGCAATCACAAGTTGAGAAAAATATAACGATCAACAGAATAATTCTAGGGAAACTCAGCTATACTAACTTTAGCAACATACAGATAATTCACTATGAAGTTACTCAACTAGATACACGATGAGAGAAATTCTAAAAGACCAAACAAAAACCCTAGTCAAACACCAAATAACGAGAAATTAACTAAAACAAAGATGAATCCAGAATCACAAACAGCACTCCAAGAAAGGAAAAGTATTGTACCTTAGCGTAGGTATCAACATGGCGCCCAAATCAGCATTAGCGCCGAGTGTGCGATCGATACAGAAGACCGCGAAACTAGAGACAAACGGATTGAGCTCCATAAGAAGAGACAGACGAGAGCCGATCCATCCGCTATCTGGCGGAATATCTAACTCCGTAGCGGGCGCCGGCTCGGAACTACAAACACAAGATGCCATAGTTAAAGCAATTCATAGTAACGCCTCTTAAAATCGATCGCGCAATCGCCTGTTCCATTCATCATTCCGCAGGAGGGAATTTTTGGAAAGAAATAGTGAGTAGAAGAAGCACAGGTTGTTGACAAAAATCATTATCGATCATGTTCAATATACTTGACAGAAAAAAACGCACCAAAGGTTTCCGAATTTCTCGGATGGCGTCCGCTCCTCCAACCTCCTAAAACCTAAAGCAAAGATTATCCTCATCACCAACGAACGTATGCAGCGATGCAACCGATCCTCCTCCTCCTCCACTCCAATCATTCAACTAATGAATTACGCCAATCAATTCAAACCTGGATGTAACTCCCAGCATCCTGCTGCAGGAAGCACCATTGATTCTGCAGAATCCAGCGGAATTCCTCGAGAAATTCATCGCGGTGGTTTCTTCCGAAAATCAAAGATATTTCAACAATGCATATCAGAAAAAGGAAAAAATGCCTTGATCCTTCTCCTTGAGCTTTTAGGCAAGTATCGACGTGAATTTCCAGTTTGCTCCTTATAACATTTGCTCATTCAATAAATACCCTTGTATAAGTTATAATATCAAATTGACCCCTATAGCATTTAAAATAAATAATAAGTTTAAAAATAATATCTTTAAAAAAATATGAATAATACAAAAAACATAATTAAATATATAAGATGTTTTTTGGCAGTATAGTTATAAATTTATTTATAATTATTAAAGTAAAGAATAATAGTTTATCTTATTATTTGCATAAATACTACTCCTCTGGTTGAGCACCAAGACTAATAGATCTTATTACTTGCAATTTTGCATAAACAGCAAGTACTTATCGGTCAGTAAAATTATATAAGTTTTATTGAATAGGACGACTAAAATATAATAATTTAGATAAAAACTAAAGTGAAATATTATAAAAAATATTGAGCAGTAAAATAATAATGATAAATTAAGTATAAGAATAATAAAATTATGAAAGAACAAAATTGTTTATTATAAATAGATTTGAATAAAAGAGAGTGCATAATTTTAGTGACAAATAAATATCAATGAAATCATCATGCTTTAATGTACATATCTCGTGTATCCATCCTTCAGACTGTATTTAATTTCATCTAGCAAAAGTAAAATTACTTTTGACATGACAAATAAAATAAATAAGCATTCACTCTCGAGTAAATTGTACTTTGGGCATCATGGGAATTATTTGGTGCAGAGTAGTAACCAACTAGGTGTGATGCTTTGTTTGATCTAATAATATGATGATGGTTTAAGTTTAGCAGCTGAGAGAGATTGAACATTCATTCAAGTACATCAGACCACCGACTAACAAATAAGCAAATGCATAGGCATAGCAGCAACAAATTCAACTACATCACACAACATAAGCAAGCAAGCAAGCAGTGCTGTTATTGAATGCGGAGTACAAAGATACATTGATCGAATTCCTTTGAATGAGAATGATGGTATGGATGCAGCCACCCACTCATTCATTCATTCATTCATAAACCTGCAGCACCTCTGATGACAGTAAACAATACACACATACACAGCAACAAGCCAACAACAAAAGCATGCTCAACTAAATTTAAAAACAAATTCTTCAGTCAGTCATCATGGTATCTATCTATCTATCTATCTATCAGTAATAGCAAGGAGGGAAGGGCACACAAACGAGCTGCAAGTTTGGTTTGATTTCTACAAAACCAACATATAATTTACTTGCACAAAAAACAACTATTTGGATTGGATGAGCTAGCTAGCTCTCTCTCAACCAAAGGTATATGTACATACATACTCACATCATATTAACCAATACATGGATGATTCCAAAATACGCATATATGCTTACAGAATGAATTGTCTGTCGTGCCTAGAATCACACCAACACCAAACCCACAATTTCAGACCCCCCAAAACTCCCAAGCCTGCAATTTTCCATGAACCTAACATGTATTATTATTGCTCATCCAGAATATATGTCTACCAGAACAAGAACACACTGCACACTATTGTATGAATACTCACTTTATGCTTAATGTCATCATATATTATTGTATAATTAATCCAATCATAATTACATAATTAGGCGAATAATTATACTACCCTAGTAAATCCTAGAAAACAAAAACAGATTTTCATAGACATAAAAACATAGGGAAGAGCAGTAGAAATTCCTAAAACAATTTTCTTACATTATTAAAAAATAAAGCCTCAGCAATTGCATGAACCCATTTCCTCCGAGGCCTTAATCTTCAACTTCTGACTTAGGTCGGTTCTGACCTGATCCTATAACTGCTTAAAAGTTCCAAAGTATCAAATCTACATCTATGAACCAGCCTAACAGACCTACCTTAGAAGTTCTTCAACTCCAGGACTCCTATAAAGGGCTCAGTGGTAAAAGTGTCTACTAGCGGTGGTTCATAACATTGTGCACAGCCATAAATGCGTGCTGAAAATTCTTCAATTCCCCACACAACATCAACTTTGGCAATCACAGCAGCGGCGGCAGTGCTGCTAGATTTTTTGCCTTGGTGATTGAGATTACTGGTTAAGTACTTTCTTATGGGAAGCATACTATTCAAAGAAGACCACATAACTTACGGGTAAAAACTTCTTCAAGTAAACAATCTACAAGGCCTCATTCCATTGACTTCAATTTGAGGCGACATACCAAATTACACAAACACAGATCCATGAATGTCAAATTATGGTTTCACACCTTTTTCCACAACCCTACAACCCATAGTGAATAATAGGCCACGGAATGCATTAACTTAAAGGCAAAAATTAGCAAAAAAGACACAAAATCCACAGGGACTCAACAAGCAGCATGTATAAGCAAACAACAATCAACTCAACAAAATACAAGTGAATATAAAGTTAACTATAAAACAATAAAATCTCTTAACAACTGAACAATGCACCAGATGATGGCCATATTTGGTTAATAATTACACAATATGAATAACAAACACCAAAAACCAAGGGCAGAGAGTAGGGTCTGCCAAAACACACAAGAAACAAACATCAAAGCTAAGAAATAGCAAAACTTAACACTCAAAAGAAACATTCGATATGTGAAAACATGTCATGGTTTTGCATACACAAGAGTGGAGAGGCATGCAAGCACTTTTTAGGAAGTTTAAAGTACTAATCGTCCTCTTTCCTCAACCCCCAACCCGCACGCCCATCCCCCTCCCTAAAGCATTTCCCATAAAAATAAATAATCTTACTTTAACCAACAGCAAAATCAGAGTCACATCATAAGGAGTAGATGAAGTGAAGAGGCCAAAGACACAGCAAATCAAAATCATCAAGCCAGGGTTCACATTGCCTGCAAAATCACCAGAACCACTAAGCTACAGCACCAACGAGCTGGTCAGAAAGCTGAACAAAAAAAATCCATTCACCACTTACTACATAATTCCACATTCAACCAACAGAACATATATATCCAGATAAGGGAACACACACAAGAAACAAACAGCCAAAGTAATAATTTCTGGGGAAAGTGGAAGAACAGGAACTATTCTAAAAGCTAAAATTGTTCAAGAGGCATAAAAAAGGGCAGAGAAATAAATATGCAACGAAAGACTGACATTTAAGTGACAAGAAACTTTGTAGCAACATTGTGGTGGTAAAATTATATAGATCGATTAGTTTCCAGAAAATATAAAACATGAATTTCAAAGGGATATAATTCTTACAGTTAGATATATTCATGACAGAGCATCCATATAAAGATGTAGTACTTTAAGCTATAACAAGATTGGTTTCTATTGTAACTACATACCACATGTTCATTACATGCATGTCACAAGCATATGGTAAGTCAAAACAGATAAGCTGGAAACCTCTAGGAAGCATTGATTGGGCAATTTCAAGACCCCGGACTGTTAATGACAATACAGAAGTTATCTCGAATGCGTCTAAATATGCATGAACAGAATTTAGTGCAAAAGAAGGACACTCAAAAGAAACGAACCAAGGCAGAAATTTAGAAGCTCAAAGCAGGAAAACCGTCAAGGAAGGAAAATACTGAGAACATGAATTTTTCATCCCTATAACATGAAATAAAAGATTCAAAGGTTCAGAGAATTAAAACAGCAAACAATCATTATGCCATTGTCAAGCATGTGAATAAATATTCAAATCCACAACACTGTAAATGAAGTTCTGAGAAATGACTTGTGTCAGTGTGTGTGGCAACATCTAAAGGGATATTAAGTAAGAACCACCAAACAGCCAGCAAATTAAGAAATGAACCTCATGATAAATGACACTGCCTCGAAACATATTGAAGCAGACAGCTTGAAGTACACAAAAGATATACTACATCAACTTTATATCATTAACTATAATTCAGCTTCATCAAATCCCCGCTAACACAAAGGAATTAAGAATTCAAGTGTGGGTTTGCCAATCTAAACAAAATAAACTACTAGACGATAAGTTCATTTCTCATTAGTAGATAAAACATCACAGGAAAATTCTTAAATTATCAAGGCCCATTCATGTTCATTGTTAATCAAAAAACCTAAAGAAAAAACTCTATGATTAATATCAAAACACTACACAAACAAATAAGTAAACAGAGTATGATGCTAACTTACCAAATTCCAGATAAACAACACATTCTGTTTTACAATGTTAATAATAGTTTTGAGTCTTTTGACTTTTGAGCCATAACATATGAAGCTTGTATGAAATTTGCCAAATACACATAGAGAAACTCTACATACCTACGTATGGAAGCAAATTCTTTGTGCAAGCAAAACTGTAACAGGGAACAGTGCACTTAGGGTAATTATGCAGGGGCCTTGCAATTGGTCAGTGGATTTTAAGAATAGTAACACATATATCAGTTGGAACAAGACATGGACATACAGTAAACCAAGGAATCAACAAATCTAACAGCCACAAACACAGGCACAGAATATGGATGCTGTGACATTTTAATAAAAAATAATACTCCTCCCGTCTCATCTTTATTTTCACTATTTCTATTTTTGTCCTTTCCTTTCTGTTTAGGAAAAATGATTATACACTTTCATAGCATTTTAAATTTCATAATCACTGATTTTTAAATCTTATTAAATTAATTAGCTATCTTACTTTAAATAATAGTAATTTATATTATATAATAATAATTTATACTAATACACTTTTTAATTATTTACTAATTATATTTTAACTAAATTATCATATCTACAAGAGGTGGGATGGAGGGTAAAATAAACAGAATTTCACATCTGAAAAATATTCTTGATTTTTCTTTGTTCACTTATTTCAAGAGGTCCTTGTTTTCTATTCATCATAGGATCCATAAAAAGCTAGGAACTGCCCTGTAGGGATTGTTTTTCCAGTACACAACTTATTTCATTTTGCACTGAGGTCACAGATAATCAATTTATCACATCAAAATGCACCACTTCTATTATGGAAACAAACAAAGCAAAGGTATCTGCTTTCAACTCCTACTGATCTGAACCACAAGTGTATTGATGGATGGAAGATCAACTACACAGCACAGCACTCTCTTATCAGAACACTCGGTAACAAGGAACAGTAAGAAGCAAAATGTTGTCGTTAGGTTATCAACAAAAAATCTGGATTGTAAGCCACTATTCAAGGAATGTGTGAACTACTCTTGACTTCAAAACATTTTTGGATAAGAGGAAAAGTAAGCTAGTGTTTATCAGTAGCGAAGACAAATAAGCCATCAATATTGGATGCAAACATATACAGCGTGAAGAAAAAAAAAAAAAATCATTGATGAAAAGTGGAAGGTGGGATTGAGCGCATGCATGTCCTACAATAGCAGATAGGAACTAACAACTCAATTGTGCAACGTCTATCCAAAGTTGGGGGGCAGGAAACATATATTCTTTTAGCTTTTGAGGGGGTAAGAGACATATTTAGATTAGACTCAGATACTGAGTAGATTGGGTTAATTAATCTACTACCATTTTGGGATCAGATTAGATTGTTCCATTATGTATATTGTTTGCAAAACTACATTAACTGTTCCGTAACTTGAGTTCAAGAACCATTTCTCTTAATCAGCTTGTGCCATCATGAGACAACTATACAAACAATATTAACACATAAACTTGTGCTCTACAGATCACAAATAGCAAAATGCAAATTAGAAATCCAAACCACAGTACTAGAGCTACTTCCAAGCTAAGACACCAATCCAACCTTTATGAAAATAGATAAGCAGACACAAAATAGCAACATGTAAATAAGTCATAAAGCAAAAATAAAACATCAAGATAGGAGTCATATCGAGCAGATAAACATGGATGCCGAAGAATCCCTATGAATGCCATTATTAACATAATGGCCCCAGATAAGTATAGCAAAAATTAGTATAGAAGCAAACAAATCAATCAATATTATTAACAAAAGCCAAAAGAAAAGGAAAAGTAAAGTACCTCAGTAATAAGGAGGCATCCCCTGGTAGGCGGCTCCACCTGGAGGAACTCTACGTGTTGGTAATCCTCCTGCCGGTTGATTGTGCTGGCCTTGATAGCCGCCAGATGATAAACTATAGCGTGCGCCCTGTGAATAACCTCCAGAACCCATCCCGGCGGAGCTAGGCGGCAAACCATACCCACGCCCTGCACCACTCATTCCACCACCAGCCACCCCACCTTTCCCACCCCCAGCACTCAATCCAATTCCAACTCCAGCACCGGCACCCAATCCACTGCCACCTCCGCCTACACCACTACCTAGACCACCATACAATCCACTTCCACTTCCACTTCCACTTCCACCTCCACCTGCGCCAGTACCTAGTCCACCATAAGCCTGCCCTACAGGCGGCCCGGCAAAACTAGAACCACCACCATAAGGACCACCAATCCCAGAGCCAAACCCACCACCAACAGCCATATTCGGCCCTGGACCACCTCCAGCACCGTAATGCCCACCCAGCATGCCATCCCCCCCATTAGCCTGGGCGCCTCCCTGCATCCCCACCGGAGGCCTCCCTCTCTTCCCATCAATAGCCAGCTTACAGTTCAATTGGTGCCCATCGATATTCTTGATTGGGTCCACTAAACTGGACCGGGCAGCCTCAGGAGTCTTGTAAACAAACAAAGCAAAACCCTTTGATTTCCCAGTGGCCTTATCAAACCCTAAGGGCCCTTCTTCTATCTCACCGTACATACCAAAGTGATGGAGCAGCCTCTCCGCCGTCATGTCGTACGGAACATTGGCCACATAAATCTTCCTCGTCGACGCATCCACGGGATTACTAATTCCTCCGCCGCCAGAACCGCCGCCGCCGCCGCCTCCACCGGAGATACCGGCGGCGGCGAGCTGCGTAACCGTCATCCGGCCGTCAATTTTCTTGCTGGGCTCCTTGAGGGCAACGATGGCACCGTCGACGTGCTTGAAAGTGACGAATCCGTAGCCTTTGGACTTCCCCGTGACCTTGTCGAGTATGACGATGGCCTCGTCCAACTCGCCGTAGGACGAGAAGACGGCTCGGAGCTTCTCCGTGGTTGTTTCCCAGCCGAGGCCGCGGACAAATAGCTTCCTCTGGGTCACGTCGCGATCGGCAAGCGATCGGACGGTGGCGAGGACGTCGGGGTGGTGGATGATGGCGTTCTGTACGATTTCCAGAAGCTGGTCGTGAGTGAAGGGCTCGAGGATCTTGCGGGCATCTTCGGCGGTGAGCACGAGGGTGTTGAAGGGGCCTGGGTCCCCGGGGACGGCGCCATTTTCGTCGAGCTTGCGCTTCTTGATAGGGTCCATTGGAACTTGGAGAGGGAAATCACGGCCGGCCGGCAGAGATTAGAAACAACAGCGAGCGAATCCAAAAACGAGTTACGGGTGGAAGAAGGAAGACGGCGAGAGGGAGAGACCGACTGTCTGACTGTGGCTGTGGGGGTAATGCCAAAGAAATGTTTCTATGGATTGATTCGTTCGGGCTCGGGTTGGGTTCGGGCCTCCTTTCCTCTCCGTTCCTTTCTTACTTACAGTTACTACATGGATGGATAGATTGAGACAATCAATACACACCTCATTTCGAATACCGCAAGTTGGACATTTCACACCCAAAAAACAAAAAAAAGAAAAAGTTAGATCATTTCATACGAATTTCATTTTTAATTTAATACTAGATTTTATTATATGTGTCTTAACATTGTTCAATAATTTGTTCTCTTTATTATTTTATATATATTTAGTCAAGAATGCCACAAAAATAACTGAACTGAGCTGCGCTGCGGGTTGGGCAGGACGGACGGACAGACATACAGACAGGGTTGGGTTAAGCTGCGCTCTTTTCTGCAATCTCCGGTGCGATGCCGATGCTGTCCTGTCCACTGTAAGCACTTCCTCCAATTTCCTTTTCTGGATGACTTACTTTACTTTCTCTACAAGATTACTTACTAGTATGACTATAAGTTGTTCGACGAAATTCCATTCCCCTTAGAGAAGAGCCTGGCCTGGCTATCAAAATTAAGCTGCTGGAGGGGGAGGGAGGGAGGGAGGATGGGTTTCACTTTCAACTCTTCGAAATGGGATTGCAATAAACCCTAAAAGCAAGAAGAAAAACAAGATTGACCAATGCAATTTCCCCTGATGGGATGGGATTTTTTTATTTTTTTTTTCTTTTTTTTAAAGAGGACGATAAGCTTTGCAATGTGATTTCCCAGCTGACTGGTGGATGCCTGATGTGATCCAGCTTAGCCGGAGAAGAAGATTCGATAGTAGCAGCATATAACTTCAAAAAAGACTGATTATGTGCAATGGCTTCTTTAATTAATTTTCAGGAAGCTGCCCGCTTATCGACTTCCTGTAATTTCCACTCCAAGGTGCATTATCCCAAACTTGGCATATGCGATCGAGCATCCGTCCCCTGGCCTGTCATTTGGAAACAAAATCTCTCCCTCTCCCTCTCCCTCTGTTAGCCTTCTCCTTTTCGGTTCCTTTGTGCCGCAATACTCTTGCCAAGCAATGCACAAGGATAATAAGGATGTTCATCCAAAGTCGATCAATCACGGCGTAGTGGAATCTTGCAAAGGACGACTCCAATCTCATTCATCAACGGAATGTGCCGACTCCCAAGAGGATGAGCAAATTGGGAGAAAGAGAAAAAGCTGCCATGGAAACAAAGGGCGAGTGCCGTGGAACAAGGGGCGAAAACACACTGAAGGTAACTGTTTCTTGTGTTGCATTTGTTTGAGAATGAGCAGTTGGTTACCTACTGGTAGTGTTTCTTCCTGTGCAGAGACTCGCATGAGAATCAGACAACGAACAAAGGAAGCTCTGAATGACCCCCAGGTGATGCTGCTGTTATGTAAAAGAAGCCCAGCCCATATGTTGTCTGAAATTCTACTACTAACTCACTCTTACCACAGGTGAGAAAGAAGATGTCTGAAGCCCCCCGCATCCTCAGGTATTTTCCCTGCTTACTAGTTTCTTTTACGCACCCTTGAACTTGGTGAAATAATTATTGCATTTGTCTCGTCTCCCCTGGCATCATGAATTGTCACACAACAGTTTTGAACAATTAAAGAAATGATTTTTATTTCAATTTTAATTGCACCCAGTCAGTCACCAACGAACTGTTTTTGTTCCCTCAAGTGATTTCGTTTTTTATACTGTATATCAAATACCTGCTGCTGTTATGGGAGAGAGATTTAGGAGAAAAGACATTTCACTTGTATATTTAGCAATCACCGGGATCGTATATAGTTAGTTGGTTGCCAGGTTGGGGTCTGAAATCACCCAAAAAATTGAGCAGCTCCAAAATGGCATAGTTAGTAAGCTAATTATGGTTTGGATTCTTGTTGCTGCAGCGACCAGACAAGAGTGAAAATTCGTGCATCGCTCACCAGGCTATGGGATAAACGTCTAAGACAGAAAAGAGCACCAAAGAAATTCTTACAGTCGTGGGCGGAGGCCATTGCTGAAGCTGCTAAGGTAGGCGGGCCGGAACAGACAGAGCTGGAATGGGACAGCTACATCAAACTTAAACAAGAGATGGCCCGCATACAGATTTGTCGGGCTGCAGAAAGAGCAGAGGCGAAAGAGGCAGCACGCGCCCGGGCAGAGAGAGCAGCACAGCTGAGAGCCGAGAGGACGGCCTGGAAAAGAAGACAGCAGGAAGAAAAGGAGGAAGCTGCATCAGTACCCAAGAGGAAGAGGAAGTCGAAAGAAGAGAAAGAAAAGCTGGCAGAGTTTCAAGAGTTGAAGCTCAAGGAGAGACTAATGAAGGTAAGATAACCACTTAGGTCCTGGAGTTTCCATTTTTCGCTTTGTGGCGGTTATGGTTTATTACAACATGGACGTCAAATAGATTCGCAGGAAGAAATCAAGAATCAATCGAGTCAGCAATGTGCAAAGACGCTGGGAGAAGTTCGACCTGGGAGAATTCCCTGTGGAAGTCCAACAACAAAGGGGCGCTCGGCAAGCTTCGACTTCGACTTGGACATGGCAAAGTCGTCCTCAGTTATCCTTGTGGATGAAAATGAAAGGCTAGGACTAGGACAGGACAGCTCATGGCTATATTCTGTAATTAAGAAATACTCAAAACACATTATGTGTCCGTGTGTGTGTACGTACATTCAAATTCGATGCCTCTACCAAAAACTAACATGAACACGCGCATAGATTCTGCTCGCTGACTAACTACTACTTAATTACCAATCTTATTTGCTCAATTCATTCAGTTCAGTGTTGATGATGATTCATTTTCAGCTACAATACAGGCTTTACTCTGATTCATACAATACTAACTTCAATCACTTATTGCCGGCCTGCGCGCACAATAATAATGCATACAATTTTCATTTTCTAAACCCTGGACAACCTGACATGCAAGAGAAATGCAGCATCTACCAATGAGCCTGCACATCAAAGTTTAGTATAAGCATATCGATAACAAGGCAAAAGACAGATTGATAGGTTTATCACATGAAAGTTAGGCCAAACCGCACTCACTCCCCTAAATATCTGAAATTCCATTAACATATGCATGCATGCATGCAATCTTAGTAATCCCTCCCAGGAACATTCTCTGGATTATCAAAGGCTTGTGGTGCTTGCCCAGGTCCTCCCATATTTGGACCATAGTTCTGCTGCCCAGGATTCGGGGCATATCCAGCCTGCCCAGTGCCATATCCACGATTAGGTCCATAACTCCCAGGGCCTTGATTTGGATTGAAACTATTTGGAGGTGGCAGCGGTTGCTGATTCTGGTACGAATTTCCTCCACCCACAGCATTAGGAGAATAGCCCTGAGGAGGTCCCGAGTTTGGAGCATACCCCTGGGGAGGTCCTGTGTTTTGGGCATACCCTTGAGGAGGTCCCGAATTTTGAGCATACCCTTGAGGGCCCATATTTGGAGAATAGCCTTGAGGACCTGTTCCTGGAGGAGGTGGATAGGGTGCTCCTCCACCAGTGTTAGGTCCCTGGCCATGAGGGTAGTTTCCAGGGGCTTGAGGCGGCATCCCTCCACCATAGTTTGACTGTACTCCCATGTTGGGTGGTGGCACTGGTCCAGCATTTGGACGTGGAGGAGGGTTCATGTTTGGTTGGCCTCCAAAGTTACCCCCAGGCCCAGCTCCAGGGCTCTGATTACCCATCTGGGTGTTGTCTCTTCTTCTCTCAAAGTTTCTCGATCTGTCAAAGTTCCGAGGTCTGTCATTACGCCTGTTCCTCTCATTAGCTCGGGCATTATTCCTCACCCATTCCTCGTGATATTTTGGATCATAAGGAACTGCCTGACCATTGATAAATGGTTCTCCTGCATGATGAAAATAAGAATATTAAACTTACAAATCACCAACTGTAGAATGTGAGCTATCATAATTCAGATCAAATTAGCATATCACCAACTGTAGAGTGTGAGCTATCATAATTCCGATCAAATTTAGCATATCACCAACCGTCAAGTGTGAGCTATCATAATTCAGATCAAATTCCATATAAACAACCTTAGAGAGCACACTTCTTTCAGGATATTTAAATTTAGAGAAAAAAAAAAAAAAAGACTGATGTCCAAAACTAAAAGCCTCCCAATACATGGAGAATGTTAAATCTACTTTCCTGTTTAAGCACCATGAAGAAACATGAATAGGGTCATGCAAAATTACACAAAAGAAATTATGACGAAAGATTCTTTGAAACACATGTATGGAAAATTGTTCCTATTGAAAATAAAAGCAATAGTTCAAGTTCCCACTTCATATTATTGCATGAATAGATACCAATAACTTTAATGCAACTGGATATAGCAAAGGAATTTCATACCACCATAATCCTTGTTTTTTACATCTAAGTATGAATCCGGAAGCACCCAGCGAACTCTAGGAAGTTCTGCACCAAGTTAATAAACCAAGTGAAAAGTCATACAAAATTCCAGCTTAACTAAAAAATTAAACTACATAAATAACTCAAGTACCTTTAATCTTGTATGAAAGCTCTTCAGAGACGAGAGCCCCAAAGGCAAAATAATGCCTTGTAGATACAGAATATATTTTCATTCTTGCTTCTTCTTCACTGCAGAGTGCAGACATCAAAAGATTACTCACCACAAGCAAAAGGAAAGGAAAACAAAACAAGCTCACTTTATTAGTACGTAATTTCAGTTAGAAACATGACTTCTTTTTTTTTTTTTTTTATTTCAATAAGCATTTCATATGTTACTCGTAAAATTTTATGCTCCACTTCTCTCTCGAGAATCCATTCCTTGTAAATTACCAACCAGCAGCCCTCATAAGGAACTCTAGACTTCCTACTTCGCAATCCCAAGTAGCAAGGGTAAATTTAGAAAATCGTCAGTTCTATCCATGCGTAAAATTACACTATCCTTAGAGCATTCCACTAATCAAGGTAAACCAAATCTCAAAATAGAAAGGAAAGGTCAAACCTCCCAACAACCATAGCCAGAGTTTTGATATAGCTATCAATTATCTCATCCCTTGTCGGGTCTCCCTCGGGCTTCTCCATAACCACGAGCCAGTGCTCGAAATCACAACCATCGAGCAGAATCGTCTCCTTGGGCGGCCGGTTCGACCAGTTCGGGTTCGGATCATTCAGCGACGATGTCGTCTGTCGCGTAGAGAAACCCCTGGTGGACACCGCCGGAGCAAGGCGACGGATGTACGGAAATGAAGTTGCAGCGACCAGAGGACGTATGCGGAATAGCACGGAGGACAAATTGGGGAGGCCAGCGGATGGGGCGGTGGTGTAGGAGCGGCAGGCGATGGAGGCAACCGATTGCCTGGTGGCGGTGAGCAGCGTGCGTGCGACGTAACTCGTCATTGCCAGCAGAGGTGATAAACCCTAGAGAGAGGAAGGTGCAGGGGAAGAATTCCGGCAGAAATGATAAACCCTAGAGAAGGGAGTGCAAGGGACCAACGTGGAGTGTAGAGGGTATATGTAGGTAGATCCATTGTGAAATGACATAAATAGCCCTCTCTCGGGTCTCCTGCTTAAGGGTGTTTTTGTTTGGGATATTGAATTTTAAATCTACCTTTCATCCCATTTTTTCAACTCAAAAATATTAAATTCAAACACCTATTTTTTTTTATATTATATTAAAAATCAATTTTATATTCTCATCAAAATTTATTTATATTATATCATTCAACTATACAAATTTTAAATTTAAATAGTTGTATGATGTGATATAAAATATAATATTTTGAATATAAAATTAATTTTTAATATAATATAAATAATTAAAAATAGATGTTTGATTTGATATTAAAAAATAAAATAAATAAATAAATGAATAGTTTATTTGGAGAAAAATCTCCGAACAAACACACCCTACCCTAATTGGAACGAATGATATTTCTGTTAAATTTTTTGTTTTGGATCGGAACTATTCATCTGTTTGGGATTTTTTTTGTATTTAATACAGTATTAATTTGTAAGTATTTGTTGTTTTCTTTAGGGTACTTGTTTGTTATTAATAAATTTATCTAAATCAAAACAAATCGGATTTTTGGATCTTTATCATACTATTTCATCTAACCTGCATTCTATTCAGATATATTTCTTCATTTCACTCCTAATTTCATCTAATCCACTTTTTATTTTTGGCATATTCTTATTCATTTCACATAATATACAATTTTATTTTTTTTTAAATCCGCACACAATCACTCAAAGAGGGACTTAATCATTTGAGCTACACACCTCAACTTAGTGATACAATATTTAAATTAGTAAAGTTTAATAAGTTATCTATTCTAGATTATAATATTATTTTATATATAATTAATATTATTGATAATTTTAAAATTAAAATTAATATATATATATAATTAAAATAAATTTAGAATATGTATTTAAAATATTTAAAAAATTATATTTCAATATAATATATAAGTTATATATTATAAATTTAATTAAATTGATTTACGTTTATTAAATATAATTTATTGAAAATAAAAATATACCAACTTAACTATTATGAAATATACTGAAAATAAAAAATATGTAAATGTCATAGAGGTATTACTATATTGAATTGATACATGCAAAATGGCATGACAAATTTATCCTTTATTTTTGCCCAATTAAATTATATATAGAAATGTTTAAATGAAAATTTGACAAATATATAAATATGCATATGTAATTAACGCAAAAATAATTATAAATTCTTAATTTAATAATATTATAACTAAATTTATTAAGAAACTTGATAAATTGTAGAGCCTACTACTTATTTCACTTAATTCATATCATATGGCCAGTTTTATTCTACGTATTCCATTCCTATATATGCCTGCGTACTTACTAAAATGTAGGGAATCTTGGATTTGGAACAATCTCATAAAATATTAACGAGAGATTCCAAAAACATCTCAAACCAACCATATATATATATATATATATTTCCAATGAATCGTGCACATTGATCGTTGCTCAACACACAAACATAACAAATTCCCTATCCAATGTTTATGTCCAACCACCCTGCAATCAATCGATCAATTCATCACTTTCTATATCCTATCCTATATCCTCCTTCAATTTGTTGTCGGGATTTAATTTCCCAACCAAAGAGGACCATGTATGAAAACATCATCGACGACGACACAGACGGAGATAGATAGATAGATAGATAGATAGAGATCACAGAGGAAACCCTAAATGAAACCATCAGACAACATGCAGTATAATGAATGAATGAATGAATGAGTATTATTATTCTTGTAGGGCAGATTAGGTGAATTCATCCATCCATCCATCCATGTATCCTTACTACTCCAAGCTAGACAACCCATACGCGCACGGGCCCCCTCCGGGACCGTACGGCGCGGGCCCTCCGCCGCCGCCGTACGGCATGCCCCCCCCGGCGGCGGCTCGGTATCCGACGGACTACCGGAGGCAGCAGCAGCAGCGGACGGTGGGGGCGGGGGCGTGCTGCCTGCGGTGCTGCTGCTGCTGCGGCTGCTTCATGATCCTGCTGGGCATCACCATCAGCCTGCTGGTGATGTCGCTCTTCAACATCTACGACCCCAAGATCCCCGAGTACCTGATCGAGAAGCTGGACGTGAGGACCCTGGAGGTGCTCCCGGACTCGACTCTGAACGCGGGGATCCTGCTGAGCATCCGGGTGGACAACCCGAACAAGAGGATCGGGTTCAAGTACGGGGGGGACAGCTCCATCGAGGTGCTGTACGAGAAGCAGGTGGTGTGCGGGGCCAGGCTGCCGGCGTTCCACCAGGGCCACGAGAACGCCACGGAGCTCAGCGTCTGGCTGGCGGGCCGGACGCCGTTCAGCCCCGACCTGCAGAGGGAGCTGGCGGAGGACAGCGCGGCCCAGCTGGTCCCGGTGGACGTGGACGTGCGGGTGCCGGTGAGCATCGTGGTCGGGGAGGCCGTGACGCTGCGGGAGTTCAAGATATACGTCTACTGCCACATCACGCTCGACCACCTCTCCCCCAACCATACCGCCAGGATCCTCTCCAAGGACACCAAGTTCAGATTTGAGCTCTGATAGATATATAATTCATTCCCTTCACTCTCTCTTTCAATTTTTGTGTCTATATAATATATCTATATATTTAAACAAAATTCTCAATTTTCCCAGCATCATATATATATGTGTGTGTCTCAATACGACATGATGGTGTAGAATGGACTCTTAACCATAAAATCATGCATAAGGTATTACTAATAAGAAACAAATCTTGTGTGGGAGGAAGGAGCAATAAGGGTCGAGTTTAAATATACGTTGGCCTGTAACAAATGTGTGAAACCAATGCTTTGTTTAGTACAGGTGATATTCATTATTAACTAGTATTTTATTTTATTTTTAAAAAAAATCATTTTAAAATATTAATATTAAAAAGAATACAGGAAATTTACAAGTAATCAATCCTAAATAAACCAGTCGTCATTTCAAGAATTTGTTTTCTTATTGAATATATATAGATAGCAAAATTTTATGCTATTAACAAATAATTTAAAGTGATATAAATGTATAGCAGTATATTTTAAATTAAAGTTCAACTTTATTATAATACTATTTTTAATAGAATATACTTATATATAAGAAAACTTCCAAATTCCAATTGACTATTTTTATACTACTATAATACTCCATCCATTCGTAATATGGTTTTATTGATTTTGGCGCATACATACAGGGAGAGATAGGCAGGAAGGCATATTACGTCGAACAACGAAGGATTAGGCGGTGTTCTTGCAACATCAACATGGCTGGTTTCCGAATGCTCTGTCCTCCGTAACCGTAACCATAGCCATAGAACATCGCCTCTTCGTCTCCGTTATTCCCTTCTCCCTTTCTTCCTCATTCGCTGGGAATTCAACCTCATCGAATCGCCGCGACCAACAATTTCAATAGATCCGATTCATCGATGCTGCAGCTCCAGCTCAAAGGTACTTGAGAATTTCTTGAAATATCGAATTTCGCCTCTGCCTAAGTCTGGTCCTTCATATATTGGCTTTCGTCCTGATTCTGTCGTGCAAAATGGCGGCATAATCGTGCGTGCGTGCCTTTCTTTTTGGGCGATTTTGTCCAATCATTATATACATATATTCTCCGGGGCAATGCATCTTAATGAAGTGAAAAGGGAACCCTTTGATTGCGCTATTAATCTTTTGGTGAGCTTTTTTGGTTGTAATTGGCGTAATATAAGTAGTTGTATGCAAGACAGTGGAAAAACCTAGAGAGATGGTACTAGGAGTGATTAGAGGTTGACTTAGAAGAGGCAAGCATGGGTTTGTGTAATCATTGGGTTGCCTTTACCAAATCGTTTTTACTTTCTTCTTATTGGTTTCAAAATGCGTGGGAATATAATCTCACCTCCCACATTTTTATTCCTGATGAAATTAAGGCACAGAAGATGTATCCCTTCTTGTGCCTCTCAACTAAGAGTAAGCTGCCATTTCTTTTGCTCCTTTAATCTTCAAAACTCTTCTTACTTTACTTTTTTTGTTAAATGGAAAGAAACTTCTTTCTCAACAATGCACGGAGATTCTCATCTTCGAGCATACGTGTCTTATTTTCTCATAAATGAGCATTGTACAATGTGTTCAAGTTTTCCATGATCTTAGCTGTTTTATCTTGTTTCGTTCTATGGGACGCTATCTGACCATCCTGAAGAATTGAGCAGTATTATCATTTCAATTGAACAATGTCATCATCGAACCATTTGTCATGTGAGATGATTGCTGAGCTACTGCTGCTCTGATCACTCTTTTTCTTTCTGTCGTCGTAGTCCGCAATCAATTATTTTGGTTTTTGGATGAGTTTTCTAAGACTTCGAATTACGATTTAGTGCATCTTTTTGTCTTTGAGAAACTAGTTTAAGAGTCGTGTATTCTGGTTAAAGATATCTTCACTTGGGCAGGTTGATGAAGATGAGCTGTACAGGGATGGAAAGAAGCGAGAGGCAGCATCAGCATGGTTGCATAATTCTGCTCAAATAATCTCAAAATTAGCTCAGTGCTTTAGTGAGTAGCCGATATTTAGTCCATGTTGCATCGCTGCAAATCATATTTTTGTCATTTTCTCTTGCTCCACATTCTGTCCTATAAAAGCAGCTACTTGGCCCGTTATCGAAAACAAAAACAGCTACTTGGCCTCAAGAGAGTGACCAAATGCAGCGAAAAGCTGTAGTTCTTTCTTCTCTTGTTATGGAAATGTCTTAGATCCTTAATCTTTCTCTGATAAATAACCTTTGTCTGAGGATATTGGATCCATTTGGTTTGCTTACTGATGTTGTTAATCCATTTTTATAAGGCCATTCTTCTTCTGCTTTTGCGCATTTGAAAACTAATTAAATTGACTATACCTTATTTGTTAGGTTCAGACATTTGGTTGGTGACTTTTTGGTTCGTATTCTTTGGTATTGCGTGGAGGGGCTGGTTGGGGAATCACTATAAGTTTGATAAGTACTTATTGTTTCGTTTTTTATCATTTCCCAATCAAAGTTTGCACATCACATGCAGCTAATGCTATGGTTGGCCCACGAGCATGGGTAGGAGGAATTTTTAGCCGCTCCAGCAATAAAAAATTTGAAGGCATCAAGCATCTTGAATATACTCCGACTCAGATTCAGGTGACGGGAATCTCTGTCTTAGTTACATCTTTGCAAGTATCATTTGGCATGTATTTACTCAGACTCAGAGGGTCCTAATTCTTCCAGGAAGAAAGACTGCAAAGACTTAAAGAACGTTTGGGAGTACCTTTTGACGAGAATTGCATAGATCATCTAGTGAGTTTTCCGCTGTTTCTTGTGTCATCACCAATCAAACAATGCAATAGGGATTATATGTGTATGTTACAAGCGGTCTCTGACAACATCAAAGTCTACCTCAAATTCAGGAGGCCCTAAAGGCCTTGTGGCACATGTCCTTTCCTGACATTGAGTTCCAGGGTTTGATATCAGAACAGTGGAAAGAGATGGGTTGGCAAGGATCTAATCCGTCGACTGACTTCAGGTGCGTTTCCATAGCACATTTTAATTTTCCCCTAGAAACCATGGATGTGTGAGGTAAATTGTGTTGCTCTGAAAGAACATCTAAATATCTAGCCTATAGAGCATATTTGCATGTCTGCCTACATTTATTCTGAATTTTGAAATCGTTATTGCCTTGTTATGCATTTGATTGATTACAGGGGATGTGGATTCCTGTCACTGGAGAACTTGCTATATTTTGCCAGAAACTATCCGGTATGATTAATCTCCAAGCGAGAACATGGTTGCTTGATTTGATGATGATGTAAATGTTGGGTATTATGTAGTATATACTATTTCAGAAATGCTGCTATATATACTAGTAGATGGTTTTTACTAATGGTAAATATTCAAAGGCGACTTTCCATAGGTTACTTTTAAAGAAAAGTGGACAGCGCGCTTTGTGGGAGTATCCTTTTGCTGCGGCCGGTGTTAACATAACTTTTATGCTAATTCAGATGCTGGAGTTATACTCGGGTGTGTGGTGGAACACATTATTTTTTAAAATTTATTCCTAGCTACTTGGCGACATTTATTTGAGTTGTTCTTCCATGAAATCGTCACTGACTGTTTCTTCTTGTGATGATGGTAATGGTGGTGTGCTCCGCTCGTGGACAGAGAGACCAAGATGCCTCCCCGGAATTAATTTTGTTAAATTACTCGGAGGTATGTATGTAACAGACTTGAGATGGATCCATCATCCATCCCGTATAATTAGTTACAATAGTAATAGTAATAGTAATAGAAATAAATGGTATTCCGCATATTGTTTTGAGTGAGTGCAGAAGATGAAGATGCGTTCGACATCCTGTATTGTGTGGCATTTGCAATGCTGGATGCCCAGTGGCTGGCCATGCATGCTTCGTATATGGAGTTCAATGTACACTCACTCACTCTGCCTCTGTCCCTGCCCCTGTCCCTCCCATACATACATACATAATAGTGCAGTTCGGAGGTTGGCGATGTGTATTGAATAGAATGAAGGATGATGAATGTGGTGGTGTCCTTGCAGGAAGTTGTGCAGGTGTCGAGGACACAGTTGGAGAGGGAACTGTCTCTGGAAGACGTCCAGAGCATCCACGATCTGCCCGCGCACAACATGTTGTTGTATCTATCTGCTGCTGCTCCTGCTTACTACTAGTTTACTTTAGTTTAGTTTAATTGATTCATTAACTTATTAACTTGGTCGGTCTGACCGTCTGTCTGTCCGTTGAATCCTGCTCTCGTCTGAGGAAATATATACTTCATTGTTTGTATAGTGAGGTGAAGGCCCAAATGATTTCAACCCAACCAACCAATTCTCTTGGCCCATTAGAGACCCAAATGGGCTAGCCCAGATTTTTGTTTAACTTGCTACCTACCTCAACCTGTACTATTATTATTATTATTATGTTCACTTAATATCATTCATTACCAATCCAATTGTTAGTGAAAATAAATGAAAAGATCATCCCAATCTATCCAAATATTCAGATGATGGCAAGCATAACATGTGTGTAATCATCATCATTAAACTTTATGATTGCCTTTCAACTACTTTTATTGTGATTTGTGATAACCATAATGAAATTCCAAAGTGGAGTGATATTATTATATTTTCTCTTATCCTCACTAAAAATTTTAAACAAAACAATATTTTTGGTGTATATATATTATGCATTGTTCATTTTTTTTATGTATCATATTTGTAATGACTCACAAATAAGCACGATATTGATTTTACTCCATCAACACTTTAATCGAAGCAGATAAACATAATATCATGTTAATAGCTGCTCATAGTCTCTGCAAAATTTATGATTTATTCCTAAGCAAATTAATATGTATATATATATATATATATATAAAGAAAAGGTCCCTATCATGCACATTTAATGCAAGTGCCCATTTTTCCACCTTTGCAACTTGATTCACACTTTGCACTAATTTATTGCACAAACGAAAACCAAATCCTTTCCATTATTCATATATTAATTGCAATTGCAATTGCAATATGCCTATTTCATTCAATTAATTAATTAGCATTTGATGTTTTTGATAGGTATTAAACCACAATAATACAATTAAGACTCGAATCAATTAGCTACAACATTCACATTAATTTATAAAACAAATTAATTTTCAATTCTACTTACTCTAAAAATTAGTAATATAATAATAAACCTTAGACAGATAAACTCATGCACACCATAACAAATATTTTTCAAAATCTAAATTTGCAGATTCAGAGTTTACCTGCGTTTTGCTTTTCTTTTTTTTTTTCTTTTTTTTTTTTTTGGTTTTGGATAATATTGAACAAAATATAAGATTGAGAAGAAATCCTAAACCCCCATGCGAAGGCAGCCAATGTGGCAGCTGTAATAAAATGAAATGAAATGAAATGAAAATTGTGATTAGATTATTATATTAATGGTTTTTGGTGTAAAATGTTGAATTTAAATGCCCGATCCTTTAAAGCGGAAGCGTACCTGATGAAGCCATATACAAATCTTGGGTGATTAAAGGTTTGGTCTTCCAAGATCAGAGAGCCGGCTTCTTTTCTGTCCTTGACGGGTGAGGAGCAGAAACTGCAGGGAGAATTAGATCTCTTTTACGGCGTGCTGATCATGGGGACCTAACCCTAGCCTATTTATAATAGGGCAAACATAATTGCAATTACAATTATGCCCTTAATTAATATTATTAATTTGTCACGTCACCAAAATAATAATATTATACGGGTAGCTGCACTTTCATTCCATAACAATCAAACCTATCAGTCAATAATTAATTATATTAATTAGATCACTTAAATAATAAGACTGAATAAAATAATGACTTTAACAACATATTCGATACACATATTTGATCCCAAATCCAACAATCTCCCACTGGATCTAGTATGTGTCTGAATGAACATATTGTTCCTTATGAGCTCAATTTTCAGTCATTATAAAACAAGGCTTGCAACAATCTGATCCATCAATCACAGCAATATAGGACTAAAGAAGCATTCGCCGTATCAACAGCTAAACTCACAGTAATCACAAATATCAGTGTAATCAAATGACATAGATCAATCATGGAACGTGCAGAGAGAAAATTACATAAGTGTGATCTAAATATGTCAATTTTCTACTGGTCCAAACTGAATGAGATCGTAAATTACTTAATCATAATGTCCAAAACATCATAACCGAAATAATGATCAAAAGAGTATAAAACAAATATCAAGTGAAGGACAAAAGAATGTAAATGCATACTCCCACTACAGTGAAGCTTCCTTAAATTGTAACACACCCATATGAGCAGTATGCTCATGGAAGACCTTAGGCGTTACACCTTTAGTTAGGGGGTCTGCTAACATAGATTTCGTCCCTAAGTGCTCGATCGAGATATGATGATCTTTCACTCTCTCCTTCACAACTAGGAACTTAATGTCAATATGTTTTGACCTGGATGAACTCCTATTGTTGTTGGAGTATTCAACGGCTGAATTGTTGTCACAGAAAATCTTGATGGGTTTTTCAACCATCGGAATGATTCGCAGCCCAGCGACAAAGTTCTTTAGCCAAATCGCTTGTTGTGATGCCTCAAAACACGCCACGAACTCAGCTTCCATCGTGGAACTGGTAACGAGTGTCTGTTTGGCACTGCGCCAAGCGATGGCCCCACCAGCCAACATATAAACATAGCCAGATGTAGATTTCCTACTATCTTGGCATCCTGCAAAGTCGGAGTCAGAGTATCCAACGATCTCCAATTGGTCTGACCTCCTATATGTGAGCATGTGATTACTGGTTCTCTTCAGGTATCTCATCACCCTCTTGGCTGCCTTCCAGTGATCCAATCCAGGATTACTAAGGTATCTGCCTAACACACCGACTATGTACGCAATATCTGGACGCGTACATACTTGTGCATACATGAGGCTCCCAACTGCCGAGGCATAGGGGATTTTTTCCATCTCCTCAATTTCCAGATTTGCTTTAGGGCATTGGCTGAGACTTAATTTCTCTCCTTTAGCTATAGGGGTATCTCCCGGCTTGCATTTCTGCATGCTGAATCGCTCGAGTATTTTATCAATATAGCTCTTTTGAGATAATCCGAGAATACACCGAGATCTATCACGATATATTTGGATCCCTAATACAAAAGATGCTTCACCAAGATCTTTCATTTCAAAGTTACTCGAGAGAAATTTCTTAGTTTCGTGCAACATGCTCACATTATTTGTGGCAAGCAAAATGTCATCCACATACAAAACCAAGAAAATAAACTTGCTCCCACTGAACTTATGATAAACACAATCATCAACCACATTCATCTCAAAACCATATGAGAGAATTACTTGATGAAACTTGTGATACCACTGTCGAGACGCTTGTTTGAGCCCATAGATGGATTTTCTTAATTTACAAACCATTTGCTTTGGGTCACCGACCTCAAAAGTTTCTGGTTGTACCATATAGATCGTTTCATTAATGTCACCATTCAGAAACGCCGTCTTAACATCCATTTGATGGAGCTCTAAATCAAAGTATGCCACAAGAGCCATGATTGTCCTAAAAGAGTCCTTCGAAGAAACCGGAGAGAAAGTCTCTTTATAATCAATCCCCTTTTTCTGAGTATAGCCTTTAGCTACAAGACGTGCCTTATACCTCTCCACATTACCATTTGCATCCCGTTTGGTTTTAAAAATCCATTTGCAACCTACGGGTTTTGCACCTTCTGGCAATGGGACAAGTTCCCAAACTTTATTGTCTTGCATTGACTTGTACTCATCACGCATCGCATCAATCCATTTATCTGAATAAGGACCCTTCATGGCATGATAAATATTAATTGGATCATCCTCAGTCATGCCATCATTATCCTCACTTTCTTGAAGAAATGTCACATAATCATCCGGAATGGCATTTCTCCGTTCTCTAGTGGATCTACGCAATTGCGTTGGCTCTTGAACTGTATGTTCTTGAGTTTGTTGAGTTTGTTCCATAGGTATAGGTTCCTGTTCTATGCGAACGGGTTCCTCAGTCGCACTTTGAAACTCTATGGGAGCTGGAATGACTGTTAACTCATGAGGTGTTTTATCAATCACATCAGTGATTTCTTGATCCTCAAAGGTAAAGTCTAAAACTGTATTTCTCCCCCTAAACTCAACATCCTCAAAGAACTTGGCAGTAGCCGTCTCAAAAATAGTTCTTAATGTGGGATCATAAAATTTATACCCCCTTGACCGTTCCGAGTAGCCAATAAAATAACTGCTTACTGTACGAGGTGCTAGCTTTGGTTCATTTGGTCTATAGGCCTTCGCCTCAGCTGGACAACCCCACACCCTAAGATGATTTAAGCTAGGCTTGCGCCCAATCCAGAGTTCATAGGGTGTTTTGGCAGTCGCCTTAGTTGGCACTCGATTAAGGATGTAGACTGCTGTCTTTAATGCTTCTCCCCATAATGATGGTGGCAAAGTAGATTGACTAATCATACTTCGAACCATATCCTTCAATGTGCGGTTTCGTCTCTCAGCAACACCGTTCATGCTAGGTGAACCGGGCATGGTGTATTGAGGGACGATTCCACACTCCTTAAGGAAGTCAGCAAAAGGACCTGGACGTTGTTCACCCGAGCCATCATTTCTGCCGTAATATTCTCCTCCACGGTCAGATCTGACAGTCTTAATGCGTTTGCTTAGTTGATTTTCAACTTCAGCCTTAAATGCTTTGAACATGTCCAGTGCCTCAGATTTTTCCTTAATAAGGTACAGATGACCATATCGAGAATAATCGTCTATGAATGACACAAAATATTGTTGACCGTTCCACGAAGGAGTGGGAAAAGGCCCACAAATGTCTGTATGTATCAATTCTAAGACATCCGTAGCTCGATAAGCACCTATCCTTTTAACCTTGGTTTGTTTACCTTTAATGCAATCGACACAAACGTCAAAGTCTGAAAAATTTATGGAATTAAGGATTCCATCCTTAATGAGTCTTTCAACTCTGTTTCTTGAAATATGACCTAAACGTTTGTGCCACAATAAACTAGAGTCATGAAATTTTCGCTTAGTACCTTTTGATTCCATATTAAGTGCCTCATTATAGGAAACCAAAATATCGAGCATATATAAACTGTCATTCACCATAAAAGTACCAAAACCAACCAAACATGAATTAAAAGACAACTCAACTTTATTGTTTCCAAAAGAACAATGATAACCGAATTTGTCCAAATAAGAAACAGAAACCAAATTCCGTCTAAATGACGGTATAATAAAAGTGTCTTGCAATTCAAGAAAATGTCCAGTACTCAATAACAGCTTGAAAATGCCCACGGCTTCCACCTCTACTGAGTCCCCATTTCCAAAGTAAATGCGTCTTTCAGCATCAGTTGGGTTTCGGTAGCTCAGGCAACCCTGCATTGAAACACTGATGTTAGTAGTTGATCCAGAGTCTAACCACCAAGTATTTCGAGGTACTGAAGCTAAATTAACCTCAGAACAAACCAAAGTAAGAAACGTACCCTTCTTCACGCGCCAATCGTGAAACTTAGTACAATTCTTCTTCTCATGTCCAGGTTTCTTGCAAAAGAAGCAAGTCTTTTCAGGACGAGCCCGAGGAGCTGGAGCTGGAACATGAGCCTTAGCAGTCTCAACCTTAACGGCCTTATATTTTCTCTTCTTGCCGCCTGCATCCCTTGAGGTATCCACCATATGTACCTCTTCAGTCTTATTACGCTTCATTCTTTCTTCTTCCTCAACACAGTGAGAGATGAGCTCATTAAGAGTCCACTTCTCCTTTTGACAGTTGTAACTGACTTTAAACTGATCGTATTGAGTAGGAAGTGAGAGCAAAACCAATAGGACTAACATGTCCTCTGAAAGGTCTAACTTAAGTGCTCTCAACTTAGAAGCAGTATTAGACATGTTCAGGATGTATTCCCTTATATTTCCTTTGCCGTTATACTTCATGGTAATGAGACTCTTGAGAAGAGTACTCATTTCCGCCTTATCGCTTTTGGTAAAGCGTTTCTCAATTTCGACAAGGAAATCATTGGCAGTAATGATATCATCAGATATCGTGCCCCTAAAGATTTCTGGAATGCTTTTCTTTATGATCATTAGACTAAGGCGATTAGACCTATCCCACTTCTCAAACAACTGCTTTTCATCTGCAGTGCTTTCTTCCGTAGGAGAAGGGGGTTGGTCTATCCTTAATGCCAAGTCTAGATCCATACAGCCCAAATGAATCAATATTGATTCTTTCCAGTGCTGATAGTTGTCCCCAGACAGTATTGGGACTGAATAGTTAGAAGATACCAAAAGATTCGATCCTGAAGATAACAAGGAATTAATATACACATAAGTACTCAAGTAGCATAATGAAACTCAAAATAAAATAATGCAATCCCATCTCAAGACACTAAACGCAACATTAATGTTTAATCTTTGGATCAATGCCATTAACTGCAAGCAGTCATCTTGTTGCAATAATCATATACGGACAATAAGGTAATGTCAAACAGTAACCAATCTTTGGACTGATTTACTATTCACATAAGTTAAATCTATATAATTGTCCCATACATATTATCGCAGATGTATATTTCATTCTGTCAATTATCGACTGCCTTTGGGCCGAAGAATAATCACATGAATTAAAATAAACATATAAACACTTACGTTATCAAGAAAAAATTTCATATAAGAGAGGTTACTTTGGCAACTTCAAATACTAGATTTTCACCGTCAAAACGCAGCAAACATTATTAATGAGTTTCCAATTCTGATGGTTGAAATATTTGCAATATAGGCAAAAATTAATTTCTGAAGATGCATACATCAATTTCATAAACAATATATTTCAAAATATTCATGATAAATTAACAAACACACAAACATGAATATGCGTGTATTTAATACATAAATTAATCAATATAATAAATGAATGAATATATAAATTTCCATGCTATACTTAAATTTTGTATCATGAATCTTTATCTATATATTAGAATATATTTGCCAATAATAATAGATACAAATAAATTAAATAAAAATAAAATAAAATATATTGGCACGGAAATCAAATCAACCAATTATGTATATATATGTACAGATTTCTAACGAAGATTACTAATATGTACACGGATTCCAAGGCATTCAATTATGTACACGGATTCCAAGATCAAGACACAATAATGTCACTGGGTGTGTATCTTAATTTGCATATTTGTGCAAATAGAGGAAATAGGTGAACAAATAATCAAATAGATGCCCAGATATGCTTGAAGATTTCACACAAAATCATTCGAATCAATTATTGTCGGACGGCGTCATCGAAAGCAACGAATTATTTCAGGAATGAATTTATTCTGATAGTTTCGAAAAAGAAATTCAAGTTTTCCCAAAATCGGAGTTGAATTATTTTGGGGATCAAATGCGATCCGATTAAACATGGATTAATTCAAGAAAACATCCAAATAGTTCAACTTGGCTCTGATACCAATTGTTGAATTTAAATGCCCGATCCTTTAAAGCGGAAGCGTACCTGATGAAGCCATATACAAATCTTGGGTGATTAAAGGTTTGGTCTTCCAAGATCAGAGAGCCGGCTTCTTTTCTGTCCTTGACGGGTGAGGAGCAGAAACTGCAGGGAGAATTAGATCTCTTTTACGGCGTGCTGATCATGGGGACCTAACCCTAGCCTATTTATAATAGGGCAAACATAATTGCAATTACAATTATGCCCTTAATTAATATTATTAATTTGTCACGTCACCAAAATAATAATATTATACGGGTAGCTGCACTTTCATTCCATAACAATCAAACCTATCAGTCAATAATTAATTATATTAATTAGATCACTTAAATAATAAGACTGAATAAAATAATGACTTTAACAACATATTCGATACACATATTTGATCCCAAATCCAACATAAAAGATGGTTGATTGTTGGTGGTTGAAAACAGAGGTAATATGGTTAGTGGTTGTGAACTTATCTATGTGCTTATTTATTTATATAGTACGTAGTATTTGTTTGATGAGTGGAGTGGACCAACTTTGAGATGACTTTACTGGCGGAGTCAAACTTCAAAGTCAAAGCGGAAGAAAATGAATTATTACACAAGTACAACCAAGTGGCCAGCCAGCCATCAGCCTTGCATATATATTAGTAGTATTCTACTTTGCATTCAATATTAATATTAATATTTAGATATTGGTATAGATACAGATTTAGATACGGATAATTGAATAAAATTTTGAACATCTTCACCCAAACAGGGCCGATACTTGTACTATAAACACAGGAGGAGGGACGAGAGTTGCTCAAGTCCAGTTATTTGCTGCATGCATGCATGCTCATATTACAATCAAATCAAAAACATATACGGAGACAAGTGTATATATATATATATTTTTTTTTTCAAAGTCCGACCAGTACTGCTACTGCTACTTCCTTGGCAACACATACACATACACATACACAGATATATAAAAACGAAGCTGATGATGCCCAAGTAAATGGAAGGCCCCAACAGACACACAAGCTAAGACTAGTACTAAGACACCATCATCATCTTCATCTTCATCTTCATCTTTGAAAAGAACACAAAATGACACCTATACAGAGACAAGTGAGAGAAAAAAACACACACACATAGAGAGCAGCTGCAGCAATTCAGAAACTAAATTCACATGCATGCAGTAGCAGCACTAGTTAAATTCCTTTCCTTTCCTTTCTTCACATACTAGCTTGCTAGCTCGCATGCATTGCATATCTATGTGCTACACCCCACCCCACTGCACTACTCTTGTCTTCACTCCAAAATTAACCGCTGTTAGTCCTCCTCCTCCTGCGCCTAGCTATATATTATATCACCCATCTCATCTCATCTCATCTCATCATCCATCCCGTTGATTGGTTGGTTGGTTGTATTACATTTGTAGCTACAGTCAAGACTCACTCACTGCCGCTGCATCAGATCGATCTAGTGCTGCCTTCTTCTTCACCCATGTCGGATTCCCATGAAAAAGTTGAAGTCGTGGTGTTGCACCCGTAATTGCTTCAGCCACGAATCCGCCACACTCGACAGGGACGCAATCCTCTCCCGATCCCGTCCCCCCTTGTCACACATCCACACATCGCCTTGCATCTTGTACGTGGCCACCCCGAACGGGGCCAGGGGGATGCTCTCCCCTTTCTTCTTCCTCTTTGCGTTCTCGATTTCTTCATCAGACTCCACATCTATTGCAACACAACATAACACCATGCCAATTAACCATTACACACTCAAGTATTATTCTTACAAAGCCCAAACTGAGACAGATTCACAGTTACAGTTATCCCAACACTCAAAGATTGAACTGCAGCCAAGTCTACACCTTGGAAAGAAGAAGACAGGGTGTGGTATGTAAGGAAGCATGTTTGCAAGTCTTTAATGCTTCGGCTGGCAGGGATGTGATAGATCGGGTACCTGGATTGGATTTCATTTGCATACATCAGCTACTACTTCCAACAGTCTTTCAATTTCCAAAACAATAATTACAAGTCAACAGAGGTGAAGAGAATCAAACCAGGCAACGGACATCCAACTAGCAGGAGAAAGATCTACGCTTCTCAACGACGTTAGTCCTGGGTATCTTTGGGCTAATGCGCTGGCCTGAGAAAAAGATTGACATCTTGTTACAGAACCAAAGGTCATAATCAATCAGAAACAAACAAACAAACATACATTATGTAGCCCAATGGAATCAGCTAAAGCAAACTTGAAGAACATATTCTTCTAGCCAAGGAAATTATTTACCACGCAACAAAAGAGTGGTTAGCAATTGAGCCATTGAGTATAAAGTAGAACAAAGAAAACTACCCATTAATAGATAAGACAAATGCTCCGATGATTAAAATTTGGTCACGACCAAGTGCACCGGTCCATTTTCAAAAGTTTAAAGTGCACCACAAAAAAAGAGACTCTTATTCGATTCCACAATATCCACACTGTCTGGCTTCTCCTTTTATTGATTCTTGTTTAGCATTAGCCTTATTTTTATGCAAAAGATTACCACATGAGTAACAGATAGATCCCATCCCCATTTACCTTGTCTGAAAGAGGAACTCTTCCGTAGGGAGACAATCTCTCAAAGTACTGAAAGTAAAGACTGCCCAATCTATCATTGGGATGCCAGAAGCCGTCGTGCTCTAACACTCCTTCCTCGGACGAGCATCCATCCCACCTTGACAACTTCTCGCTCTCGCTCTCGTCACTCAGCGAGTCGCTAAATGAAAAATCCTCCCTGGTCTCGCTTACTGAGTCACTCTCTTCCCTATCCCTAATCAGAGCAACACGAATTCATCGCAGATTCAGGGAATTCATAAGTAACAAATTGTGATCACAACAGATTATTCGAATATCAAATCAAATAACTAAACAAGTGATCATAATAGGATTGAGCAAAGATGAAAGAAAAGTACTCATGCGAGAAACTGGGATGAAACAAATCAATTGCCAGAATCAGACTACCTTAAACAGCTTGCAGATGAATTGCTAGTGAAGATTTGGATCGCGGAGAGATAGGGCACGAAATATTGGACTAAATTCTGGGAATCTGAGAGGATTGGAACACCAGCACCATATGCGCTCCATTCATCGAACGCATTCCAGAGATCACCAAGAACAAAATATTCCATTTTCTCCCTTTCCCATGGATGCCATAGCCTGTTCAGTTTCTTCATCTCGCTCTGAAAGAACCCCAGAAATCAAGAAACCAAACACAATTAAGAAATGATTGATCAGTGAGATTGAAAAGCATTGGGCATGATGATCTAATATCAAGAAAGAAACACAACGCACAAACCTTGGGCAGGAATTGAGATGGGACCACAGGAGTTGTGCAATCCAAGAAGCTTTCGAGATTTGTCTGCATTGAGACCCTGTCATAGATCAACATGTTTCCCTCAACAACGAAAGAGAAAGAGAGAGATTGGTTCAATTCTCTCTCTTAGCTCTTTTGAAGAACAGAGAGGGAAAGGAGATGAAAGCAAGAGAGAGGGAGAGGAGAAGGAAAGAGAGAGAAGAGAGAAGGGAAGGGAAGAGGGGGAAACAGAGGGTTGAATAGAATTTATGGAAGGGGAGAGGACAGGAGAAATTGTCGGGATTTTCTCTTCTTCTTTTCTCTCAGGAGAGAGAGAGAGAGGGATAGAGAGATTAATGGGGAAAGCGGTCTTCCAAACGAGATATGACTATCCTTCCACGTCCGGACAACAATTCCCAATTGCAGAATCCATTATCCTTCAGTCGAATCCTCGATCCTTTTCCCTTTTACCAATACGGAAACAACAAAAACACAAGTATCCTTAAATTCACCACTTCCCTCGCGCCGGAAAACCGGCAATTAACCGAGATTGCCCAAATTCCCCTGCCGGACAAGCCCTCGCTTTATTTCTTCAATGAAATTGTCGACCATTCCATTCAATGACTTCAAAAAGACGTTCCGGAGTCCGTCAATTTACAACATCCAGTTCCATCCTTCCATTAATGAAAACGACATGTTTCTGAAACCCTAAGTCAATTAACCCCCCCGACAATTACGCGCCCCTGCGTACGCGGTAAAGCAACAAGAAGGCGAAATAAAATCTTCCAGGGGAGGTCAAGGAGGAGTGGAGCTTCGGAAACAAACGAAAAACCCAATTCACGTTCGGATCACGCAAATTCAATCACCGCGGCAACGAAAGGCAGAAATTTGTGAACCCTAAAAATCCTGTTTCTCCCGGCCCCTTTAATTGGTTTCTTTTTATCCTCCTCCACCACCACCTTTAACAACACGATCGATTCCCTTCTTCTATGGCTGCTGCTCCTGCTAACATAAAAAGGGAATCAACTTTCCTAGCTTGTAAAAAACAAAGAATCCAAATCAGTAGTCCTCCCCTGCGGTTGCGTGTATCATCAGATTAACTCCTTCGTCCGTCCGTCCGTCCGTCCGGCCCGGCGTGTACGTGTGAGTGGTGAGGTGGAATGAAGGGGGTTTGAGGAAGAACCATTAACGCCATGAATGCGATGCGAAGCAGCAGCAAGTGGGGGAGAGATTGATTTCCTTCCTTCTCGACTCGCATTTGCATTTAATGATGACACGTCAAATGCGTTTTGTGCGCATATCTGTCTCTGTCTCTCTCTCTCTCTCTCTCTCTCTATGGCTTTCCCAAATCCAACCATATTCATATTTCTGCTACATATTTATTATCATTATTATTGTTATTTTCCTTTCAAATATTTTTCTTCACTCTCCGTAATCTAAAAAATCGAATTATTATAGTAAGCACGTTAACACAAGTTAAATGAAAATAATCTAACTTCGGAAAGAAATTAAATATATTTATTATAATTTCCTTCAAGAAAAATAAATAGTATGTTTTATTTTTTTTTTAAAATCCTAACTTTTTCCAAGACATGATATGGTATTTCTGTTATAATATCAATATATAATGTAAAGTTTATTTTATAATTGTAATAATGAAATATGTATAGTTTCTATTGCTAAAGTTTAAAATTGAATGTGTAATCGTGATTGATTATTACTTAATTTAGAAAAAGACATCCAACTGGTCGTGGAATTCTTCCATGTCTAATTTTAAATTGGATTTTTATTATGTTACTTAATCTGTATAAATTAGCGTAAGTATGTTTGTGTTATTGTACACGTTCTTATACTTGATTATTTATATTACTATTTCTTTTTCATTACAGTATACATATAAATTTATTTTTCATTTCAAAATTGGCATGTTAAAAAAAAAAAACACATCTTATGGCATATCCAAACGCATCCTGATTTAATTTAAAAACAATGGAATATTTCATTCAAGAGTGTATTTAATATCCTTACTGTGTGATTTGGTGTAATTTCATTGATGGCAATAGATTTGGCACAATATAATATTTATAAGAAAATAGTAAAATAAGGTAAAGTCAATTTAGTCATCTTTGCGAAATGTCTTTGTTTATTATTATTATTATGTACAATTATCCAACGGTGATAAAATAATAGTCTTATAATTTTTTTATATGTCATTTAACTTTTAATAGATATTGATATTATATTAATCGGGAATATAAAGTATTGGTTAACTTTAATTTTTTTTTATATTAGAATATAATAATAATAATAATAAATACTAGTCTAAATCTATGGCATGGAGAGACGACCAAAGAAGAAGTGTTCGTTTCCAACGGTTGAAAATGCTTTTTATTTGTTAATTGTTTTTATATTTAAATGATACAATATTTATTATATCAATTGTTGCTAGTATGAATCACAATCTCATCTAAAAATCTAAAATTTGAAAGATATCTTTATCTATAAATATTTTTAGAAAAATATGTGTACAGTATATAAAAAATATATATATTTTTTCTTGATCAACTTTTAAAGTTTACGTATTTTTACCATATATTTTAGTTTTTAGTAATCAATAATAGTACCATACTTCATTTGTATATTTATTAGTAATTATTTTTTAATAATGGTGATTTTATCTTTACACGACACGACTGCATACTAGCAAATATTTTTTTACTAAAATGCTAATTAATATTATTTGCGAAATGTAAATGTGTAAGAATCTTAGAAGACTGAGTGGATGGAGAGTAATTAAAATAAATAACTAAAAAATCTTAGAGCGCGCGTGTTTACTTATATCAAATTAGCCTTCTTCTTCTTCCATATGGTCCATTCCGTTCCAACCACCTAGGGCTAGGCTAGAGTAGACTAGAGACGAAACCCAAATTATTCTTATTACACACATAACTCATAACTAATTTATTATTGTGTCCGAGACCGACCGAGTTTATCCATTAGCTGTTCTGCACTTGCGTTGCGTGCCACGTTTCGTCTTGCCATTGGAATTTGGACACACTATTGCTATTTTTGTTCATTAGTTTGTTACACTTGAAATAAAATTATTGATTTCAAATATATGATATGATATGATATGATAAGAACAAAATACTGTTGGAGGTTTTCAAATTTATATTGGAAAAACATGTACTCCTACTTATTATATTTACATTATTCAAAGCACACCCAAAAAAGAAACAAATGCATCATTTCGCATTTGACCTAAAATAATTCATTTAAATTTGTTCCATAATTTTAAGGCATCCAATATAATATACTCCTTTAATTTCTATTTTGACAATGCTTTTAAGTTTTAAATTTTGAAGGAGTGGTGTGGAATTAAAGTATGCCATTACAAGTAAGGAAAATAAAATGATTTTTTTTTTTATAAGTGGATTAAACTTAAATTTAAGAAAAAGTATTCATTCGGCCAGATATATTTGCAATTCTAATAATTGTTTTACAACAGATGTCACAAAATTATTATTATTATTTTTTACAAGATATTGTATCTCAAAATTAAATACAAAATTTTATCGCACCTATAATATTTTACATATTGTATTTTTAAGTTGAGAATTTAATAATATGCACGTGTTATGTAGAATTCTATCATGTTTTGTATTATAAAGTAATATAAAATATTGATTTGTGCTAACTGGATTAAATTAGAAGTAAAGCCAAAGTGTATTAATTTGCATTATTGTGTTTCAAATTCATGTAAAACCGTGGCATTTTCTATTTCAGTCGAGTATCAAAATCCTGCATTGGAATAACTTTTATGCTCTAAAATCAAATGCATTTTATATAAAATAACTAACACGATTAAAGATAAAATTGAACATATTACTCCCACAAATTAAATGTAAATCAGTATTTTATCTATATCAAAAATTTGTTTGGAATATCATTATGTAATGTTTCTGCAATTCCACTACTACAGCCCACATATATAGCAAGTATGACTTTAATTGTTTAAAAATGTGCATGGATTTTATTATATAATTAATTAGCATCCAAAAGTATTTTTCTGAATTCACTTACACTCTATAATTAAATGAAAATTACACATACAAAAAAGATATATTTAAAAATAGAATAGAATAAAAATGAGCATGGTTTGTGATTTGACTCATCTGCCCCTCTGCAGCGCCTTCTCGGCCGTGTCCATCTCCTCGAGGATCCTCTGCTTCCTCTTGGCCGGAATGGGCGCCGTCGGGCCAAAGCTTATGTAGTGTCCCGTCACGGCGTTGAGCGCCGAGTAGATGTCCCGGAACGAGGGTCGCCCCAGCAGGTCCTTCTCCCGGCGGTACTTGGCCACCCAGCTGTTCGACGCCTCCCGCAGCTCCGACACCGCCTCCGCGATCTTCGGGTCGTTCTTCTCCAGCGTGATGGTGGACCGGACCTTCTCGATCACCTCCGCCGTCTCCTTCTTGTACTCGTCTTCCGACGCCGCCCATGCCGCCGGGCTGGGGACCAGCAGCAGGCCGCCGCCGCCGGACAGGGATAGGAGGAGCCCGCGGCGGGTGGAGGCGGAGGCGGACGTGGGCCTTGGGCGGCGAAGGAGCGGAGGGAGGGGGAGGGCTTTGGGAGTGGAGACGGTGGGGGCGGGGGCGATCAGCGACGACGGGGAAGCCATTGCTAGGGATTGTGGAGGGAGGGTAAGGAAAAGTGGAAATAGGAGTGTCTGTTCGAGAATTGCCACGTGGCAGGCGGGCTTATCGCCTTATCCCTTTTCAGATGAGATGAGATCCACAATCCGATCCAATGGTCGTCGAAGAAAGGATTCTCTAGGGGTACAATGGTAAAACCACGTTCGATTTGGGTTGGGCTTTAACAGAAGCCCGTTGAAATGAATGGAAGGGATCATCTTTTTTGTTGGACTTTCTTTCTACTCACGTTCATTTATTTCCAAATAGTTTTAATTAACATATAAAAATATGAACATGTGTGATGTGATATTGGCATTCTATAAGCAAGCTATACCGTACCATGCCATGCCATGCCATACCACTTGGTAATTACTGTTATATATATAAATATATACTTTCTTCTCTATGATGTGCCTGCCTGCCTGCCTTCGTTTATGAAAAAAAATAATTACAAGGGACAAGCCCAGTGGCCATGCCTGCACAGCGCAATTACACTACAATCTTAAATCTCCAATTAATGTAATTGTCATTTTTGGCTTGTTTGTCTTTGTCTTCTTCACTGTGCCGACAGACTAATCCTGCATTACTTAAATTTATATTACTCCTATTACATTGGAATATTACACATTCAGGTGAGGTTGTCAATAAATTAATGATTGATTGCATTGTTAAAACTAAATATGACACTGACAACATTGAATTGAAAATAGAGTTTAATATATAGCTAAATAAATTACGCAACAGTGATCCATGAACGCGATTTTATAATATAAGCTTTCTATCATAGATTTGTAAATGAAATGGATATGATTTGTAAGTGATCAAGTTAGTGTATAATAAAATGATTCTATATTCGAACATAGTAGTTACACATTATATTATCAAGTCTTTAACAATTTTTTTTTTTTTTAAAAAAAACACATAGATATATGTTTATTTTCATTTCTTTTCCCTTGGCTTGCACCATCATCCTCCAATATCCATGCCATCCTCTTATAGGCCCATTGCAGAACTGCACTCGCTGAGGGAGAGCGCGTGGGCTGCAATCTTTTTCTTTTCCATAAGAATAAATGGCGGAAAAGGAGTCCAGCTCCAGCTCCAGCTCCAGCTTTATCTATCTCTCTCCCTTTGTTCACTAATCACTATGAATAATGAGTATGGTCGTCATCATCATCTGTATCATTTCAGCCCCTTCGCCGCACCCACTTTGCTCTTTATATTTTCATTTCTCTTTCTACCCTTCAAATTATATCTATAATTTCGCAGACACCCTTCTCGCCTTACCTTTCCTTTCCTCTCCTTTCCTCTGCCAACTCATCCACGCATATACACACACACACACACACACTTTTCTTGCATTTGCAATTAATGTCTGTCATCACACACACACACACACACACACACAAGCACAACTCACCTTCCCTTACCTTACCTTCTCTCCATCTCTATCTCTTCTCCGATGCACCTTTCTAGGTTAGCAGTTGGTATCACATTTCTTCTCGCCTGTTTATAAATGCACACTCTCAAGTCTCAACCTCGAGTCTGCCCTGCCCTGCCCATCAAGACCAAAGGTACTCTCTCTCTCTCTCTCCAGCTCTGTCTTGGTTTGAAGGCTGCATTTATTTCCCTTGAATTTGTAGTGATGCGAAGGTTTTCACTTCCTCCCATTTTCGTTTTCCATTAGGGAGTTTGGAATTCGTAGTATTTAATTTAGGGTTTTGTTGAGCTGATAATGCCCTCCCCCTTTGTTTAATTTGCATTCTTGTGTTTCAAATTCATGTAAAGATTCCTGCTTTGACGAATTGCTCACTTTTTTGTTTTTCCAAAACCCACTTTTATGCTTTTCTCAAATGCCATGAGTCAAATGAACATATCCATTCAAACTTTGAACAATCCTCCTTTCCCAATTCGCTGCTTTCCCTCTTTTCTTTCTTTTTTTTTTTTTTCTTTTTTTTCTTTTTTTTTCTTTATTATTTTTTTCCCATGTATTTTTGATTTTGTTGGAAGGTAAATATGCTGTTCAAGGTTTTTATCTATTTTCTGACACCATCGTGAGGACAAGATTCTCAGGAATTAGAAATCAGATCTTACATTTTCTTTTCTTTTTCTTTTTTTTTGCATATCCCTTTCACCTTTTTCAATCTTGTTGTTTGAGATCTGTATGTGCCCAAAAAACCAGCTTCGATCTTTTTGGTAGTTGAGATTAGTATGCAGCTAGACATTTAAATAATTGGGATTACTTTACTTAAATGCTCATCATCAGTAGTGACATAACATGTGATTTGGGATTGAATATATATATTGAGTGGTTTGTGCGATATGGCAGCATGAAATCTTTCAACGCAATTAAAATATGTGAGAGATTCCCATCAGTTGAGACAGCCTTGTGATGGTTTTTTTTTTAATATACTTCTCTTCACATGCCAAAGTCTTGAAAGCTTGACTTTGTAGTTTACTTTGATGATCCATCACTTGCCTTTTTTCTCAATACATTGAACTCATGTTGAGTAATCAATCAGGCTGAGCTGTTCGGTTTGTTATCTACTCTTTTCTAGCTGGCTTCGCTATCGGTGGTTATCGGTTTGCATCTACATCTGCTGTTTGGACATTTGACGAAGACGAGGAAAACGACACAAGTTTCTAAATTTAGTCTTCATACAGCGCCGATCTGATGGTTAAAGTATTGTAGTTCTTGGCTGTATTTTCATGTATTGTTTGGATCGTAAGTATCGGTTGGGATTCATTTTCCTATATCCTTTGTGAGGTGGATGACTTGAGGGAGATGGGTGGGTGTGTTTCAATTAGTAGCCGGAGTAGTTGTAGTAGCCGGAACAATGGGGAGAGCATGTCATCGTCATGCTTGTGGATCGATACTCTCTGGCACAAAAGAAGTAGGAGAACCTTCTCCGATCATGTCACTACTTTGCATCATCTGTCGTCAGTTCCCAACCGGATATTTGCTAACGGGAGGAGCGGCAGTTCGTGCATATTCACTCAGCAAGGCCGGAAAGGCATCAACCAGGATGCCATGATCGTATGGGAAGTAAGTTTTTTATGCCCTCTTTGTGCATGCCTACCTCCATTCTATTACAATTGTTGTGATTAGAGCATCATAAACTTCTCCTAATTCTAAATTTTGATTGGTGATATGAAGATTATAATGAATGGCAATAAAACATTCTATGTTAATAATAACTTGTCACTGGTCTTGTATTCTTGTAGGATTTTATGGCAGAGGATGTTACCTTTTGTGGTGTCTTCGATGGCCACGGTCCTCATGGCCATTTGGTTGCTCGGAAAGTTAGGGATACATTGCCATTAAAACTTTCCTCTTTCTTGAATTCTTTTGAGTCAAAGAAGGGTGGATCTGCGGCCAACTGTTGTAACCGAGATGTGAAGTCGGAAGTGGTCGATCCTGCAAAGGATACCATTCCTCAGGAGGAGAGAGTGGAGTCGCTGTGGCGAGAAGCTTTTCTCAAAGCATACAAGGCTATGGACAAAGAATTGAGGTCCCATCCTAATTTGGATTGCTTTTGCAGCGGAAGCACTGCAGTGACTATTGTAAAACAGGTATTTGTCACGTTTACTTTGATGGATAGGATACGATTGTTTAATTTTCTTGGGTTGTTTCATTAAAACTTGTAGCTTTTTGCGGAACTATTATTATTATTATTATTATCTTTCGTCATGTCTAGTATACAAATTGCAATGATTGAGTGTCTGCATGATCCTTCATTTGTTCGGAGATATCCATTAAGAGTCTTTATTTTCGTATTGAAGGGTTCGAATCTTTTCATGGGCAACATCGGTGACTCCCGAGCAATATTGGGATCTAAAGATGGAAACGAATTGATGGTGGCGATCCAATTAACTGTTGATCTAAAACCCGATCTTCCAAGTGCGTTCTTGTTGTGCACTCATCTTACACTTTTTTTTCTCCTCCTGCTTCTGCCTCTTAAAATTGGGTTGCACATTAGTCTGATGATCATTGCTATTTTGAAACAGAGGAGGCAGAGAGGATAAAGCGGTGCAAGGGCAGAGTGTTTGCCTTACAAGATGAGCCTGAAGTGCAAAGAGTTTGGTTGCCGTTTGATGATGCCCCGGGTTTAGCAATGGCTCGGGCTTTTGGGGATTTTTGTCTCAAGGAATATGGAGTGATTTCCATCCCGGAATTCACTCACCGGACTCTCACTGACCGGGATAAATTTATTGTTCTTGCTTCTGATGGGGTATGTTGTTCTCCAGTTACCGTATATTATATATGTTATCATTATTGACTATGCCGTATGCATGGAAGCATTGTTGTTTCATATATTGTATTGTATTGTTTCTCAGGTTTGGGATGTGCTGAGCAATGAAGAAGTGGTTGAGATCGTATCATCGGCTCCATCACGGTCATCAGCTGCCCGGATATTGGTCGAGTCGGCTGCCCGGGAATGGAAATCCAAATACCCGACGTCCAAGATGGACGACTGTGCAGTTGTGTGCTTGTTCCTTGACGGGAAGATGGACGCGGAGTCTGACATGGAAGAGCAGGGGTTCTCGTCGGCAACCCTCCAGAGCAACCACTCAGGCAATGCTGGGGAGTCGGATGATGGGCAGAGCGCCGAGCCATGTCTCCAGAGAAACTTTACTGTCAGATCATCGTCGGAGGAGAAGGACAACAACGAACAGCACGGGCGGGGGGATGTTGAGGATCAGAACTGGTCGGGATTAGAAGGGGTGACGAGGGTGAACTCTCTGGTTCAGCTGCCCAGGTTCTCGGAAGAACGCCCACGCCCCACCACCTGACCGACCTGAGCAATGCTTGATTGATTCATTGATGAATTACAGGTTGTCTGAATTAATGTTGTTTATGGATGTGTTTGTTTGGAAAAATCGATTCATGGTAGAGAAGAAATTTCATGGAAGAATGAATCCTTTTGTTGAAATGTTGAATATTCCTTCCTTCCTTCCTTGTGCATATATATATATATATATATTTATGCGTCGTTGTGTATTTATATATATGGTCGTGTTTTTGTTTTAATTTGTATTCCTTTTCGTGTGTATTTGTTTCGCTATGGTTTTGAAAATGGTGGAATATATGAAAGTGGATATAGACATTATGAACATTTTTTGGTGCTTTCAAATTCGATTGCAAAACCCCTTGTGCAAAATTAAATCCAACCTATTTTACATGGTACAGAATTTGATATGAAAAACGAAAAAGAATAGAAGGAAAGAAAGAACTGATGTTAGGTTATGACAAACGCACTTGCCACCTAAAATGGGAAGTTTGGCCGATCTACTTTAGCAATACACGCACATGCATATTGAAATATTAAATACCAAAAAGTGGGAATCAAAAGAAGCAAAATGCTAGTGGCAATTCTTATAAGAAACTCTTGTTATCATGAACGAGCTTTCTCATTCGAAACAAATTTCCTCATTTCAAATACAAGAGTCGGTCTATATTAACATGACCCTAACCTATAAAGTATCCATCTCCTAAATCGATCCATGTCACATCTTACAAATTCGAAAAGAAAACAAAACAAAATAGAAATGACAGTAAAGGAAGGCCCTATATAATAGAGAGCAGAGCAACCCGATTTCACATGATGTCCAGGACATCATTCATTAATACCCACAAGCACAAGCGCTCTATGTGTAGATCAACATTTACTAGCCGTTAAATCTTGGTTTCCCACTTTGTCAGCATCTATCTAATCCATCTTCAAAGATGTACCCAAATCTCTTAACTCACCGCCAAAATAGCCACCATATTCAACTTATAAACCCCCTTTCAAATCCCCCCTCCTCTTCACTTAACCCACTCATCCATCCATGGCTTCCACTCCTCAAGTTTTCTTCTTCCTCCTCCTCCTCGTTCTGGCTGTATCCGCAGTGGTCAATGCAGCGCGTGACACCCCAGGGCACGCCCACGTGCATCCCCAATGGTTTGGAAAATACGATGGCACCGTGCTTGTTCCAGGATTCGGCAGGTACATGATCCCAAAGAAAGGGCAGAATCCACTGCACTACAATCCCATCACAGGGGCACCAACTGAAGGGCACGGCGTATCCATCCCGGACCTCGGTTATTCAGCTCCCCGCCGCTATATTCCAGGCGGGGATGACACACTCTTGCCAAACCCGGGAGTAGAAGTGCCTATCCCGGGTGGTGGAAGTGGTGGTTCTGTTCCATCTTCCCCTTGACTTAGTTCATTCCCACCAGTTTTAATTAATAATGTGTCAAGTGTGTTGTATTTTTTTTGGGACTTCGACCTGGTTTCAGCATTTTTCATGTTTTGTTACTCTACATCGCTCTGTAATGTGTTTGCAATTCATAATAAAAGTTGAGTGTTCTCCCCTCTAAAAGGTGTTGTCCTAATAATTATGTGGCTGAGCCACCACCAATGAGGTGTAGAAATTCATAAAAGTGTAGCAACAAAGAGGTGTGTCAACTCAAGGGCAGATCTATTGTCTTCATCCTAGTTCATCAATAGGAGAAATAGACACCAGTTTTCAAAGACTGGAGCATCCACACAAAACTACAACTTCACCAAAGAATTTGAGGTTCTGCACCTCTCACCCAACCCTTTCATAATATATGGAGTGTAATTCTACAGTTCTTGTCTATTTTATTCAAGCAGATCTACCAAAACAAACTCCAGAAAACCATTGATTGCTAGATTAAATAATCCAAGTTCATCTTGGAAGATAAAATGCCAACATCTTAGAACGTGAAAAAGTACTAAAGGTGGAAACATGCGTTTTCACAGATAAATTATTGAACAGATACTGTGATGATGCAATAATACAGCTTTCAATCAAACCTTGTTAAAATGTGTTCCACATTATATGCACATATCAGTAAGTTCTATGAAACAAATCATTGTTGTGCTTGTCGCAATTACCAAGGGCAGAAGTTAATAATTCTGACCTATTCTCTTCAACTAGCCACCAGGTATAGAAATGTAATTCCTACAGACATATCAAAATTAAAAACAAAAGGATAACCTTCACCCAACTAGCAAAATGGACTGTGTGGCCACAACACAAAATCAATACAAAACTGTGTTATAGAATTAGCACATGTGAATATGGTTCAAAGATTAGTCTACTGATTCATGCTAAGAAAAATATAAGCACTGTGAATTCATTTTGAGCAACGTGATATTACTATATTAGTATAAAGGATTTAGCATGTATGCCTGCCTATCCATCCAGTATCCTTTTCGTGGGAGTATGCATTGAGATGGAATGCTCCATATATTTAACTACTCTGCAAAAAAAACACCAAAGCGAAAAAGGTTAGGTGAGATCGAAGATCAGATATTCTCAGGAAATTGGTTAGTTTAGGGAAACGCTGAAATTCCATTCCAGCTTAGATAGATATAATCCCAGATGAGATATGTACAAACAGAAACAAGGAAATTGACACGGTTGAACAACTTGGAATTTGTTCACCTAAAATTTTCATGTAAGGTGCTGTAAGCAACCAAATACTAAACACACCAGGATGCTTTCAAAGGCATACCAAGTTGCATCACATTTTCATATATTTGATGTGGTAGTAACATCAACAATTTGACAATTTCAAGTACATGCATTTGTGTGCTAAGCTAAAGTGAAACTGTGTGTCTAAAGGTAAATTTACCATTTGATGACATAATATTATCTACGAATATCTGCATTATAAAATCTTTGTGCTTTGCTTCAAAGCACACCACCCCAATCAAAACATCTCGGTTATATCTTAGACTTGAAAATCAACAGGACATGAATAACTTGCTCTACACCGCTGAGTTACAGAGAAAACTAAATAAAATAGCATCACAGACACACTTCAGATTCGTTCATGCAACAACAATTTCTTAGCAGAATAACATATTCAACAAACACTAACGATTAATCCTTCAAACAAATAATGTGCCAGGAACATCATCAACCTATAAAAAGTTTAATCATGTGTATCTACAATTGTAACTAAAGAACAAGCGATGCGCATTATACATAACCGTTTGTTCGAACTTGCTACCCTGCGTAAGAAATCCAAACAAACAGCTCTCAGAACTCGACCAAGTAATCAATCATAAAAACTCGTAAAACTGCACAAAATACACAGAGAAGACAAGATCTGGGTGGGAAAAAAAAAAAAAAAACACACGAAGAAGAAGATACCCTATTGAATCAAAAACCAAACAATTTCATGAGAATGTAGGCGAGGAAACAGATGAAAATGCCAAGGAAAAGGTAGTCGACGAGAACGAAAAACGTTGTGGATCCGTGATTCCTTTTCACAGCAGCCTTCTTCTTCGATTTCGGTTCCTCTTCTTCGTTGAGTTCGAGTTTCGCCATTGATGATTAACTGTCACGACGCAGATCTCTCGTCTCCTTCCTCTTGATTTATTATTATTTATCTATTTTGCAAAGTTCCGTTCTTTGTAGTACTTACTACAATTTCGGGTCGGGTCGGGTCGGGCCGGGTCCGGACTGCATGTGACTGAGCGACACGTAACTGTGAGCCTGATCGTCAAATTTATAGTTAGTCTTGAATTGTGGTTGGATTTGGAGTGGCTGGCTGGGCAATCAATCGTCTGTCATACCTCCGAATTGGGGTTTAGCGATGATGATGGCGACGATTATCGCTCCCACCAATTCCATCTCTGTCCCTCAAGAGCTCGCGCTGCAACCCAACCGCCTCCATCTCACCGCCCCTTCGTCTTATTATCCGCTCCCCAGGCAACGCCTCAACCCTACTCTCGCTACTAAGGGCTCTGCTAAAGCTATTGCCGAGGACAAGGAGATTGGTCCCGCCGAGACACAGTCCAAGCCTTCGATTTCAACCAGAATTAAGGAGTTCAAAGACGAAATTTTTACGAATCCCGACAGATTAGTCAATGCTGCTATTGTTCTCGGGGCTGGTTCGCTTGCCATCACCAAGTTGCTCACCATTGATCGCGATTATTGGCAGGTGGATTGTTTTTCTCCTCTTTCAATTGTTATCTTGTTTGTTCGTATTGATTATTACCCACTCTGTATCGGCAATAATTGAACGTGAGTGCGATTGGTGGGCTGGATTGAAGTTGATCGCTCTTTTCTATGTTCGGAGTGTTGCTGAGGAAAATTTTAGAGGTTTCTTTTAAGTCTTCGTGTTGCTTATTTTGGGGTTTTCTCTTTACAACTAGAGTTGTAAGATGGAATTCATCATTTATATTCCCTCAAGAAGTATTCATTTTCCATTTTTAGTTCAATGCTACGTGGCGATAAGGCTGTTTTAAATTTAGTTCCACAAGAAGTCGGATTGTAATACTGAATTTGTTTTGGCTTAAAGTTAGTGGGATTAAAATGAATGAATACCAGGGTATAGTTGCATCTAAATTTATTGTTTGATTTATTTTTCCTTCTAGTTTTTGTCTCCATGGGATAAAAATGAAAAATACACTTGTAGGACTGAAAGTACGATTGTGCCAAGTTTATGATGACACTAACTAGTTGATATGAGTCTGGCCAACTGTTTTGAAATAGAAACTTCTTCGCTCTCTGATTTATAATTTTAGGGATGGACCTTCTATGAGGTGTTAAGGTATGCTCCAGAGCACAGCTGGAATGCTTATGAAGAAGCTCTTAAATCACATCCTGTGTTGTCGAAAATGGTGATAAGTGGTAGTGTGTACTCACTAGGAGATTGGATTGCTCAAGTAAGCATTTTATGGTTATGGAGATGATTTAAACTTTCATTGTATTTACATGGTTAATGATCATTTCTTAATGCAGTGTTATGAAGGGAAGCCCCTATTTGAGTTTGATCGCTCCCGTGTGTTTAGGTCTGGCCTCGTGGGGTTTGCACTGCACGGATCGCTTTCTCATTATTATTACCAATTATCCGAGGTGATAAATTTGATTTGTTTTAGTCCAATGAGAACTTTTCAGTTATTGCTTATTCGTTATCTTCACAGAAGATGTTTGGTTTCACAGGCCTTAATTCCTTCGGGAGAATGGTGGGTTGTACCTGTTAAGGTGACTTTGGACCAAACTGTGTGGTCGGGGGTGTGGAATAGCATCTACTTTGGGGTTCTTGGATTCTTGCGTCTTGAATCCCCGGCCAATATATTTGATGAACTAAAATCAACATTTTGGCCCATGTTGACGGTAATGAAATCCTTTTGTCCCATTTTCTAGTGAAGAAGGTTTCTAGTTCATTTTTTAAAACAGGACTATGCATATCAATTAGAGGTTGTGTTTTTGGTAAATTACAAAGTAGCCTAACGTGAAAATTGAAATATGACTATAAGGAGAGGGAAAGAAAATAAACTCTCCTGATATTGGCCTTTTAATGTTTTTCTTATGGAGATTAACATGAGGATTCTTTAGTGTTTATTTTTCACATACGTCATTTTATGCTTGTTTTATTTTATAGGGAGGTAATCTACAATATACCTTAAAAATAACTATATATTTATAATGAAGTTGTGATTAATTGATCATGCTATCTCCAACAGGCAGGTTGGAAGCTTTGGCCTTTTGCACATCTAATCACGTATGGAGTGATTCCTGTGGAGCAAAGGCTTCTATGGGTGGATTGTGTGGAGTTAATATGGGTTACCATACTCTCAACGTGAGTATCCTTACCATCTGATTCAATACCGTGATTGTCATTCTTAATAATACGCTATGATACAAGTCTTACTTTTTACAAAGTATACTTTCATATGTAATCACATATGTGCAAACAGTGGGATCCCTGCTAATTTTATCGAGAGAGAGTCAAATTAATTTTAGATTTTGATAGATGGTTCACTTCATCATCCCTGCTACTACTCTTTTAGATGTCTTCTTCATCCACTTCCATTGCTTATTCTTCATCTTGTATTATGTTCTCCCTCCTTGTAGAGCTAGAACTAGCAATAGCTTTTTTCTTCAGTGTTTTTTGCTTCCTTGTGTAGACAACAAACCTGTCGACTTCAATTTCGTCAGCAATACTTGATATTAACTCGTCAAAGACTAACTCATATTCACGAGTTCTCTAATTTCTCGTGTCTCTAATTAGTCATTCATTGCAATCTAGAGTTCCATCCAAAGATACATTAGTTTGATTTTTTTCCATTTATATTTTATCTAAAACAAAACTACATATTACTTAAAGGTTAGAAATTAATTGCACTTGCATGTCCAAAAGTGTTCCAGTTTCTCCAACAGTTCTGTGAGCTACAAATCAAGCTGTTACACCCCTGGCCTTGGTACAGTGAGCCAGATATGATCATAGACTGACCCCATTAGTTTATATGAGTCTAAGGCCACGTAATGTAACTCTTGAGTTGAGTGTTAACTTCCTTGTTGCCTTTTCAGGTACTCTAATGAGAAAACTGAAGTGAGGATATCTGATGCATCCGAAGCTGAACTCCATTCATCATCAGAGAAGTCCCTTGAGGTAAAGTCATGTTTTAACTATGTTACTCATTTATTTCTAAGCCGCCCCTCTTAGTGAAAGTAGGGGAAATCTGCTGCAAAGATGCAAGTTTGGCAAAATTACGAAAAACTCTTTAAAGAATGGTCATTTCTTGCTGATGTTTAGTTCTGATTACCAACAAGAGTCCCAATCTAGAGTTCAAGCAAAATTTATTTCAAGATATTTGGTTTTACCTTGTTTTGGTGGGGAAATAAATAATTTCACCAAATATATACATATTTGATTGCAAAAATTGTTTTTAAACCAAATAGGCATCTGGGGTGAAGAAATCTCGTTTATGCTCTCATTTCCAAATTGTATTCATTAAGATTGAGAGCCACTTTTTATGATGGTCCCACGGTACTCCTGCCGTGTTTCTGTCATTAAAAACGTTAATGTAATTGTTGTCTGCCTGATTATCAAAATTTATCTGGCTAATTTTGGTGGATTGGATTGATCCTAATTGGAAAATCATCCTATGTAAGATTGTGCACATGCGACTTAAGAGTTGATAGAACTGCAAGCTTATCTTGTTGCGGTTGCTTTGCAGGAGTAAACAAATGGACCGACGTGGTTGCATTTGAGATGATTTTATACATAGCGGCTACCGAATGCATATTCATATAAAAGCATCGATTGACTAGCCTATTAATTAGCTCAGCTCAGCATCCCAGCTAAAGGCAAGAAGGAAGGCCCTCTGATTTGATTTGGGGTTCGGCATTTACATTGGCATTGGCTATTTGTTCTACAATCTTGTAAAACCTGTCATTACTGACCAACCCCCAAGCCTGAAGCGCCTGTTGGATGGCATGGCTATTACAATGCCAAAATAAGCCCTGCATACATGTTTGTATGTATGTATCTTGTCCTACTGCCATTATCTTGTGTATCTTGTCCTACTGCCATTATCTTGTGTATCTTGTACTACTATTGATTCTTAAATTTTAAATAAATTATTTGTATCCGTAGAATTCAGAAATCATTCTTCTGCATTTTAAGCCACACCCTGGTCGTACTTATCAGTTCTCTCTCTCTCTCTCTCTGTATATTTTATGTATAACAATAATAAAGCTGAGCCGAGACAACGCCTAGTTTCATTCAGAGACATATACAACCGACAAATCAGTTGCTTTTGATTATTATTGATCTGATCACCAAATAGATGGGGGGCAAAATTAGATTGAAATAATTATGAAGGAAAAAATGAAAAATGCAAACAAAGAAGGTCCCACCGAGATTTGAACTCGGGTTACTGGATTCAGAGTCCAATGTCCTGACCACTAGACCATGGGACCATTGATGCCTACTTTTCTAGGCTAAAGATATTTATTTAAACTATTGTGCTCCACTCTTAAAGGCTTACGGCTGACCTCCTGTTACTCGGCATGCGCTCGCACACCCCCGCAGGCAGATGAGAACAGCCCTCTTGAAGCCCATCCCAACTGCCATCGCCGTTGCCGGAAACCGTCCATATAACTTCACACCTCTTCCCCCGCCGGAATGGGTCCAACCCTTCACCGATCTATCCGACGTCATCACCTCCGGTCCCAAACCCGAACCCCAGCCCTCCCCCTGGGTCCCCAAGATCCTCAATTTCTTACAGGCCACCAATCCCTCAGTCGAGCAAGACCTAACCCTATTTTGCCACAAGTATTTGATTCGGCTTCCCCCCAATTTCGTCTCCCACATTCTCAAGAAATCGGAATCCCTCCCGAACCGGGCCGAGACTGCCTTACGGTTTTTCACCTGGGCCGGGAAGCAGAAGGGATATGCCCACAACCTCGAATGCTATGTCTCTGTGATTGAAATCTTGTGTTCAGCAAGTGTTGATATTGATAGGGCTAGGGTCAAGTCTGTCTTCAATGAGCTTAAGGGTAAAGGCTTTTTTATGAACGCTGCCGCTGCCAATTCCCTCATCAAAAGCTTTGGCAATGGCGGAATGGTTGAGGAGCTATTGTGGGTTTGGAGAAGCATGAAGGATAACGGGGTTGAGCCTAGTTTGTACACGTACAATTTCTTGATGAATGGTCTTGTCAATTCGGGGTTTATCGACTTGGCCGAGAAGGTTTTCGATGTAATGGAGGATGGGAAAGTCAAGCCGGACGTTGTCACTTACAACACCATGATCAAAGGGTATTGTAATTCAGGGCATGTTAAGAAGGCCGTTGAGAAGTTGCAGTGTATGGAGGAGGAGGGTAGGGGCTTAGAGCCGGACAAGATCACGGTTATGACATTGATGCAAGCGTGTTATTCGGAGGGGGACTATGATTTTTGTGTAAGGCTTTATCATGAAATGGTGGAGAAAGGAATCGAGATCCCATCACATGCATATAGTTTGGTGATCGGCGGGCTTTGCAAGACGGGGAAGGCTATGGAAGGATATGCCGTTTTCGAGGGTATGGTCGGGAGAGGGTGTGAGCCCAATGTGGCAATCTACACGTCTTTGATCGATGCGTATGCGAAGAATGGGAAGTTGGGTACGTCGATGGGATTGTTTAAAAGGATGCAAAGCGAAGGGTTTGAGCCGGATGTAGTGACTTATGGTGTGATTGTGAATAGTCTTTGCATGAGCGGGCTGTTGGACGAGGCGATCCAATGGTTTGAATATTGTAAAGGGAAGAATGTCGCGGTCAATTTGGTGGTGTACTCGAGCCTCATTGATGGGCTTGGGAAGGCCGGGAGAGTGGAGGAGGCGACAAAACTTTTTGAAGAAATGGAATGCCCTCGGGATTCATATTGCTACAACGTTTTTCTCAATGCTTTGGCCAAGAATGGGAGAATTGACGAAGCATTGGCACTTGTTGAAAGAATGGAAAATGAGGAGTGCGATCAAACGGTGTACACGTTCACGATATTGATGAACGGGTTGTTCAAGGAGCATCGGAATGAAGATGCATTGAAGATGTGGAATATGATGATTGATAAAGGGATTACACCAACGGTTGCATCTTTCCGGGTGCTTTCAACCGGACTTTGTCTATCGGGAAAGGTAGCGCGAGCGTGTAAAATCTTGGATGAGTTGGCCCCGACGGGTGTAGTGTTCGACACAGCATTTGAGGATATGGCCAATGTTTTGTGCAAGGCGGGGCGGGTGGTGGACGCGTGCAAGCTGGCCGATGGGATTATCGAGCGGGGACGAGAGGTGCCGGGCAGGGTCCGGACAATAATGATAAATGCGTTGAGGAAGGGAGGGAAGGCGGATTTAGCGATGAAACTGATGCATAGCAAGATCGGGATAGGATATGATAGGTTTCGCAGTGTTAAGAAGCGAGTCAAGTTTCGAAATCTGGTCGTCGATCGCAGCGACCCTTGAACACACATACACACACTCACACTCACTCAACTTAATTCTTTTGCTCCAAAATCAATATTTGTTGAGATTTCATTGCTCCAGTGATAATACATTAAAGACGACCAAAGAAAACCCACCTAAACAAACAACTCAGTACATTGGCTTTTCAGTTCTTGACATAGCAGCTGTAACTGGAGTCAGCTCAGCTCAGCCACAACAGAAATAAATACCTCCTGATGGTTAATTTCTAATTCAAAGCAAATGCTGCTGCATCCGAGATGAAGTGGGCTGGGGTGGGGTCGGTCGCGTAAAGTAGCCTTCCAACGCTACCAAGTAAGCAAGCTGCAAAAGAAAGAAACAGGCTTATTAAGTAGAATTCAGATACTGCTTACATTGGATTTGCCACACTTCACTCATATCTTCACTTCAAAAAGAATTAGCGAAAGAGCTCAAGTAATGTTTTCGCAATAAGGTAATTAGATGCCCTCTAACTGCATAGAGCAAATCAACACAAAGCAAATATGCTTAGCAAAACTGAAGGAAAACATATTGTACCTGAGCTTTATCAGAGCATTGAGCCACCAGGGGATGAACCTCAAAGACACATTGTGTTGGTAACATCTGGATGCACAAGTTTCACTTACAGGAACCATCAATATACACCTCTTATTGCATTCAGAGAGGTGCCAATGTTGTGACAGTGCTCCACCTCAACGTTCGGCCTATCTCATTACCTCATAAGCAGATGGCACGTCATGCAATGGGTGGCCTTTCTGATTTCTTTCAATAATCCTCCTTGCAAGAGAAACTTGCTTGCCAACAGCAAACACAAAGGCCTTGCCCTTACCTCCAGCCCCTCTGGCTGTTCTCCCAACACGACGTACATACTCGCTTGGATCCCGAGGAAAATCAAAGAGAACTACATGATTTACACATGCAAAATCGATTCCTCGAGATGCCCTGTAGAACATAGCAGAAGGATTCATATATTTGTTATTGTCAGTGACTCAACACTGAATGAAAATCATAAGTAAATAGCTAAAACAGAGGAACGGCAGAAATTAGATAAATGCCACACCTATCAGTGCAAACCAAAAACATGGAAATGTTATTGGAAGGCAATTTTCGAAATTCTTCTATATTAGCAACCCTTGTTTCTTGTTCTAAAGCGGCATGGAATGGCAAAACTTTTGTACTATTTGCTTTTCGATCAAGGCGTTTTAATACATTTTCAACTTTCCTGCAAGTTTCAATCTGCATGCAGAGGTGAAACAAGAGTAAAAAGTTTTAAAAATGATAGCATAAGAAACAAACAAGAAGTATCAGGACATATAATTACCTTGTTACAGAAGATTATCGTTTTTGATACTGGGCTTTCCTCAACAAGCCGCAGAAGAGCATTTTTCTTGTTGAGAAAAGCTCTATCAGGAGTTTTTTCGGCTTCAGTATCTCCGCTGCAATCTATGAGGATCTAGAAACAACACATGATCAGAAAGGTTAAAAATTGCACCCACTGATCAGGGAAGTTTCAATATAAATAGCATGAAAGAATTCTGAAGTTCACATGATGGTGGCCATGCATAGGTGCATAGCTCTTAGTGCTTTTCTCATAATTTAAGATTGAAATTTGAAGCATAGTAAAATTTGTACAACCTCCTCCAGTTTAGGGCTTGTTCGATGTATTCCTGGACCCATTATAACTTCACAATCAGGGAAAAGCTCAACCAACTTGTTGTATATCTCTACAGGAAGTGTGGCAGTTACAAATAGATATTGGGTTGTGAGAGGTGCTGCGCTAACCAAACTTTGTAAAGCAAGCTCAAAGTCTTCATCATTATAGAGTATATCGACCTCATCCAGTACAACACTGAAGCATACAAACTAAAATAATTCAGCCAAATAATGAGGAGTGCTGTTTAAAGAAAGGCATATGAAAAATAAAACTCAACATGGTGTGCAAACATCTTTTTCATTTCCAGATTAGCACAACTGACCAGCACAATTAGCCATTATCAATTACAGCGGCAAGGCAGTTCTATAGTGCTCGAGAATACAACTAAAATGTTACAAAGTGTTTATTTATTTATTTATTGTCAAAATTATTATTATTATCACTCTAGCAGCAAAAGGCCTCAAAGAACTTCTCCTAATATCAGAAATATTCCCAAAGAACTACAAGAAAATTCAAATAAATCATAAAGCAGTGAAATTAGATGATTGATATCAATAAAATTCTTTAGCAAATATGCATATATCACTAGACATGGTTAAACACGGCAAGTACCCTTTATAAGTGTTCTTATATTTACTGGACTAGACGCATGTTGACTAATGCGTAAAAGAACCCATCGTGACATTAAGTCCAGCTATCCTCTTACAATTTCTTCATACATATATATTTATTTACTACTGGAGCCAACAAAAGAGTGAAATGAGCTAGTAAGCAGCATTTCAAGTGACAATTTCCCAACTGTATACTCTCTATGCACTTGAACTCAAGTTAAAGCTACATTTTCCTTTCATTCACTTATGTTCCTCAGGGCGCAAGGTTGTGATTGTGTCATAAACCATTAACCAGTTTCATTGTATATGTTATCACTTATCACTCATACATCGCTATTTTATCATCAGGTTTCAGCAATAAGAAAATTTCAGGAGGGAATGCTTGTGCTGGTATCACTGGCCACAAGCACAGAAGTTACAAAGTTGACTAATTCAAATATATAGTGAAAAGTGCAGTTTTCCATGACTGAAAAAAGTTGAATGTACATAAGTTAAAGCAGGATATTAGAAAAAGCATTTGTATAAAATCACTCCCAAAAGTAAATATAAGAACCTTTTAAGATTAGTTAACTGCAAGAAGCCCTCCTTGACTAGAAACATGAATCTACCAGGGGTAGCAATTAGTACATCCTTTTCCTCTCTAAGATTCTCCAGTTGCGTTTTCTGTCGAAATCCACCAGTTGCAACCATAGAGCGGAAAGGGACACCAGCTTTTGAGAGTGATCGACAAGAGGTCAAAACCTGAAAAAAGTAGCTTTAGATGTGGAGAAAACCAAGAGAATGGTACGATTCCATTTTCTGACTTCATCAGGATAATGCAGTTGGAACTTGAGATTGAAATACAGATTTTTAAGTTCTACTTAAATATTAATATACATTAGCCAAACTACCTCAGAGGTGGATCATGCAGCAATTGAGTACATAAACAATGATGTTAATTGATATACACAGACACACACAAGTTGATTAGCCAAGAAAATTATTGTCGGACCTGAGAAGCTAACTCGGCAGTTGGGACTAATATTATAACCCGAGGACTTTGTGATATTGGTTTGCTAATCCCCGCAAGTTCTTCTTGTCTAAGACTTTGTATTAGCGGGACCAGATATGCCAAAGTTTTACCAGATCCACTTTGATCAGCCATTATACAGCTCTTTCCACTAGCAACTGCTGCAAATGCCATAGCCTGCAATGCCACTTCCCCATGTCTTAAAAAAATCTTGCTCCCTCAGAAGATGCAGCAGAATAATGAATGAACCAAACTTTAGGCTACCATGCGAAGAATGAGATTAGTTCTCATGTAGATACTGTGTCTTCAGATTTTACAAAATTTGGTTCATAAAACCCTAAGAAACTTGATAAACTAGTTAAGTAGTTAGAAACAGAATCTAGGAATCATAATGTTGGCCTGACATTGGAAATTCATCACTTAGACAATTTACCTGAATATGCGAGGGCTGTACATACTGTAACTTATTCAGAGATTCAATAATGTAATCACTACATCCCAATTCCTTAAATGACTTCCGGCTAAAAAAGTCATCACTTAATTTTATCTTCGGCCCTTTCTTTGGCATTTTATCAGCCTTATACCTATAGCTGTCAGCAGATTCTACATTTCCCCATCGTTTTGAAGAGGTGGCTGAAAATTCCGATAAAGACACAGCTGGTCCTGAAGACGTAATATAACTGTGGGAGTGGGAAGAATCTTCAATAATCTTCGGTTCATCAAATTGATCAGATTCATTAGATGACACTTCCGGGACATTTGATGGTGGGCTCTCTGCATTTTGTTGACAATATTCAAGGTCACTACCTTGTTTCTTTCTCCTGTAACTTTCTTTAACTAGATCTTTTACTCTCTTCACCTTTAGCCTTCCAAAACTCCTGCTTGTGCCCCCTTCACCAGCTGGGGCACCAGAAAAGAATGTAAAGTTTCAAGACGGAATCAGAACTAACATTTGGAAAGACAAAATGGAATAGAAAACAACACAAGCTGGAGAGTAGCTTCGAAACGCCAAATTCTCAGTGATATACACGAAACTACAAATTTCACCAGAATGGAGTGTCAATCACCACAACGTCAAATCATAATATCCATAAATTCTTGCATCTTGTTCCAACAGATAGCAACAGTTCAATCAGAAATGTTTTCCAAAGCATTAAGCAAGCACGACAACATAAACCAAAATATCAAGGAGAGAGGAAAGAATAAAAGGGTAACCTGGTCGAGGGGACACCTGAGGGACGGCCTCGCAGACAAGCCGCGGGAGTCGCCCGCCGGGAAGCATGGAAACTAATGAACTGAGGAGGGCGAAATTTTCCAGCGGAACCGCCATGGCAAGACCCGGAGAAACGGCCGAAAATGATTATCCAGTGAAATAAAAATTAATTTATTATTATATGTAAATATTGTTCCTTTAAAATGGGCCCAGTTATTTTGTTGGCCAAATTGGGCCTGTAGTGAATTAATGAATCCATCTTTTATGTCATCGTTCATCAATGAACTGTCAGTCAATCATCGCTGGCTGGCAATGCATGTTCGCTTTGTAGTCTTTCTCCCCACATTCAACGATACATCGGAAACATAATAAAAGTCATTTATTAAGATTATAGCATTATTACATCAATAGTATTTTTTTAAAAAAAATATGTTCAGTACAGTGCAATTTCAAGGAAAGATAAACGAATTGCCAGATGATGCAGGCACGAAAAATATACCAATTAAAACTTACTGCCTTCAAGCCCAATTTGATCTGATCGGGTCACCCCAACTCCAATGTAGATATACGCCGCTGGATCAATCTAGCCCACCGGAAAGTTTTATCAACTGCACCAAATAATAATAATAATAATAATAATAATAGTGATAGATTAAACATTATAAGTATTACTTACTATAAAATTTTAAATAAACGAAATTTGCGCAACATGTACTTAGTACGTACATAATAAAATTTACTGACAAACCAAATCAAAATCAAACAAATAAAAGTCACTCCTTTTTTTTGTTTTTTTCCGTCGTAATTGTTATGTAAGAATTTACAGAGAGTACCAACACCACCAATGCAATATAGAAAATTGCTCACAAAAAGATGAAGCACTCCAAAGATACAATAGGATTCTCAAGCGATTCTGCTAGTGCTTCCTCCATCGATACGACGTCGTTTCCTGCTTCCCGCGTGCTCCCGCTCTTCTGCTCCTCCACCCCGCGCCTCACCGGCGGCGGCGACCTCGACCGCCGCTCGGAACCCTCCCCTCCTTCCACCCGCCGGCTACTATCGAACAGCGTCACACTCCGCGGCTCCATCGCCGGCGTCGGCGCCCTCCCGGGAACTGACCTCAACGGCGCTACTTGTCCCCGTCTCTCCAGCGCCCTTCTACCCTGCCCCCGCCCCCTCCCCCCGCCCGGCGCGCGGCGTTTCTTCGCCGGAGGCCTCTGATCAACAACCCCGTCGTCCTCCTCCTCCTCCGCCGCCGCCGCAGCGTTGGAGTAACTCTCCGCATTGCTACAAATCTCTGAGGCTTCGGAAACCTCCGAAACGATCTCGGAATGAAGATGAATCTCGGGCGTTGATCCAGCTTCGCGGGCGAGATTCCCCTCCTTGATTCCTACGCCGCCATTTCCCTTGTCCTCGTTTGCTATGACAGCAGGGACGGTCTCCATCAGGACTTCCTTCACAGTCTCCTCCACCTCCTCCTCCTTCATCGAGGGCGGCGATCCCGGCTCCACGGCGGGACGGTGACCTCCGGCGCTGATACAGCAGCCCATTGGATCCGGCGTGAATGACGAGTGATGATGGAAGGAGAGCTGGGAGTGGGAGGGAGTGTTCCTAAAAAGGGGATTAGGGATTTGGGATTTGGAGCGAGTGAGTGATTGTTGAATGGCTTTTTGCATGTTCAGATGCTGCCCACATCCCCCACATCGCACATCATTCATTATACTTACATATGCCCGTTTCTCCACGCCCATCCGATCTTTCTTTCATCCGCCAAAATTAACGGCCTGGATTTCTCTGCCGTTCCGCTCCACGGACATGATCCTTTTTCCTTTTCACACTTTTTCAGCTCTCTCCTCGCCTTACTGCTGTGACATTTTCGCATGCTATGCTGGTGTGCTTGTCAAGGTAATTTTTAATTGTTAATTAGTTTTAACTTTTAATCTAATAGTAGTACTCTACTCTTTTTTTCGCTTTTGTTTTATTTTCAATTTTTTTTTTTATGTGTGTGTGATTTTTAAAAAGATAATAATATATTGAATTGAATGGTCTATAAATATACATATTATATAAAAGAGCAAAACCTTGATCCCAATTCTAAATTTTATTTGTGATATAGAAAGAGTATTAATTTGTTGCGAGGGTAATGGTTGAATGTGGTAAATGTATCTGTGTGTGTATGCATTGATTGCGGAGATTTGTATCAACGTTCCAAATCCAATCTTAGCTTTTTGATTTATCTGATGCTGAAATTGTGGTGCTTTCTTTGAGACAGTTATATTTATTTTTCTTGTTATGCCGGGCCTTTAACTTCCCTTCTTCAGCCTACTTTTGTTTACTTATTCCAAAAGTTTCTGAGTTTCCACCTACCTACCCTTAATTATCACAGCTCTAATGTAAAAACAATTCTTCGCACAATACTCCTCCTTTTCATGATCTACTTTTGTTTAAACTAAATTCCAAATGAATTTTACTCATTTGGGAATAAAAACGAGTTACCTTCTCCAAACTGATTACGAATATTTGTTTGACAATACCCTGCTTATCACTTAGATGTAACATACCTACATATATTTATTTTTAGTGTATGCATATTTACATGGTGGTGGCATAATAAATGAGCCCACATGTCGAATTAGTGAGCCATCACCCTATCAATCATATCATTCAACTTTACACATGCATACTATATTATATGCTATAACAAAAGAATAAATAAATAACATTATATCCAAATATATTATCTGCACTCCATTTATTTTTTATTTATTGATATTTGAATATTAATTATTATATCAAAATTTATTATAAATTAAAAAAAAAAAATTGCAAAAATAAACGTCAAAGTACAGCAGACGTGGGAGTATCATCTTATCTAATCTTTAAATATATTTCATAATCTTAAAGCCTAGTCCACCACATATGCATCATTATTTTTTAAAAAAAAAAAAAAAAAAAACAAGACTTCTACAGGAGCATATATGTTTGCCAAAAAAACAGAAATATACAACACACATTAACAAAAATGAAAATTGCCTTTTCGAAAGAGCTGCTATGTGTTTGATCAAATAAGACAGGAATAGCTCTTATAAGAACTTATTTTTACATAATAATTAAAATGAATATAAAGCTATAAAACAACTTTTAAACATCAAAGCGAGGAGGGGAGCGAGATGAGAGCGAGTGTACCTGAAGCAGGTGTGGTATCGTGCCATTGCAGCAGAGGAAGTTCGTCTGATACCTGTGTGAGAAAAAAAACTCCATCAAGGCGGGGTAAGCTTTAGCAGGGAAGAATTCTAATCAGTGTTACAAAGGGAGATATCAGTCACCATAAGGCTGAGTTTTATGTAGAAGAAGATGCGGCAGTTCGGTCTGCTTCTATCATGGATTTTATATAGTATTCGCCAGCCTTGTACGAAGACCTCACCATAGGGCCTGATGCCACGTATCGAAATCCCTGCCACAGGCAACAACCATCAAGTCCAGCTAGGTTACTATCATGTCAGGCAATCAACCACATTCCATTGAATTTCATGGCATGAACTCATAACTAAGTCAGAACGCTATTTAAATGTACTCCATCAAAAGAACAAATTGAAGATGAACTAAACAGGCTTCTCCATGCTATGATTATAGTTACAATCTAATTGCATAACTATAGAGGAATTGAAATACCGCAAACAGGATGGCTGACAATTTATAAATGATTCTATCCTAATCATGATAGCATTGAGAAAGAGCACTTGGTTGCCAGTCAGGATAAAGATAGGCAAAGAAACGAATATGGGAGCAATTATAGTTGCATGTTATTGCTGGTATCCCTATACATGCTAAACCATTTCCTGTGAAAGATGAAAAAAAGAAAGCAACAAACCATTTCCATTCCGAGCAGACGATACTTCTCAAAAGCTTCAGGAGTAATGTATTCTGATACAGGCATGTGGCGCTTGGATGGTCGCATGTACTGACCAAATGTCATGACATCAACCCCAGCAGCCCTCACTTTCTCCATAGTTTGCACTACTTGATCAGGGGTTTCTCCACACCCCAACATGATGGAAGTTTTCGTCAGTGTGCCTTGCGGGGCATAGTCTTTGGCAATCATGAGAACATCCAGGGATTGCTTAAAGTTAGCACGACGATCACGAACCGCATTCTGAAGCTCTTCAACCGTTTCAATGTTGTGTGCGAAAACATCTAATCCAGATTTGGCAACTTTTTCAACACAGCCAGGGTCCCCTTGAAAATCAGGAACTGCAATAGGAGAGCAACTCAGTCAAGAAAGAAAACATATCACACAAGATGCATTATCATCCTCATCATAATACCAGAAGACATTAAATATTCAATAAACTCGTGAGGACTTATATTAACCGGGAAGTAAAAATTGTCACTTCAATCATACTTGCATCATAACTTTGTTTTGGGTAAATTTGTAGGGTAAGGAGTCAGACAACTTAGATTAGATATAACTATTGGCTATTCTTCAACCTAAAACACTTGCACTTGCCAGAAACAATAACATAAGAGAATAAAAGGATTCAACATTCAAACTTCATAATAGCTCCAAGTACCCCACCTCCTAATTCAGATAAAAGCAATAGCAGGTCAATGCAAATTCTGCACTTAAGGAAGGTTTACAGGTGAACTTGTCGAAAAACCATAGATGCCAATTTCAGAAGGCATTGACTGAAATGGATTCTTTAGATTCAAGTACTTAAATTCAGTCATTTTTCAAGACTATGCAACAAATAGATTTACACAGTAGAGAGAAATTTTCTATCATACCCAGTGCTTCTACAAGCATAGTTGGCTTCAGCGTCTTCAAGTTTTGCACTGTCTCTGCAAAATGACCGCTTCCTTGATCAGCTAAATCATCACGATCAACGCTAGTTATCACCACATAATCCAATCCCCATGAAACTATTGCCTCAGCTACATTCATGGGCTCGTTGGGGTCAGGAGGAGGAGGAGTGCGTGATGTCTTTACATTGCAAAATCTGAAATTTTAAGTTGAATCAAATGAATGCAGAAATCCAAAGTGCAATAACTTTCATAAGGGACTGACTGCAAATCCTATTGAAAATAAATGCTTCTTGCTATAGCAATTGGATTGACATCTTCTACTAAACAGGATTTTCTTAAAACATAAGAATACGGTGTAAATTGCATAGGGTAAAAATTAAATAACATTCGTAGCACTGCAAAGCATACATCTCCTAAATAAACACTTTCTAGAAACTGATCATGGCTTGAGCAAATCTTCAATTTTCATCAACATAAGAAAACAGTCCGTAAAATGTAATTTTAGCAATAACTCAAAAGAAATACAAGGCTAAAGAAGAATGCCTTTAAAATCGAATCATTACCTGCAGCCACGAGTACAAGTATCACCGAGAATCATAATCGTGGCAGTGGCAGTGCCTGTTTCACCCCCAGACCAGCACTCCCCCAAATTAGGGCACTTGGCCTCCTCGCAAACCGTGTGCAATTTCAATTCCCTTAGCTTTCTCTTGATCTGCGTGTACTTCTCCCCACCGGGGATCGACTCCTTCATCCATTTTGGCTTGGGCAGGGGCTTCTTCTTTGTCCCCACCTCCACGGAATAACTCTGGTCGGTTTGGAGTCGGGTAAAGTCCGCAAGCGTCGGCGATTCAGCCGCGAGCCGGCGCCGCAGGCCGTCGAGGGTTGGCGGGTAGCTCTGGACATCGGGATTCGATGGAGGCGCGGTGGAGAAAAATTGAGGGAATCGAGAGAGAAAGAAAAGAGAGGATTTGGATTTGGCTTTGAGATATCGAGTGGCCACCGAATTCATGTTATTGGCTGGAAATGAGAATGGATCGACTCTTCTCATAAATATATTTATTACTCCATACAAAATAAATCGGACGAACGAATGAACCCTTTCTTTTGTAAAATCTGGCCAGAGTTTTTTCGGTTGTTTTTTCCTTTGTGGATCCCACCACATAAAATAATAGTAAAATAAAGAAAGAAAGGAGTGGAGGCTGGCGGCGACGGTGGAATGTTGCGACCGGGTGGTGTGAAGGAGGAGGAAAAAAGAAAGCAAGAAAAGACAGGAATTGGAGAAAAAGAAGACGACTGCGGCGGCGACGGGGGATGAAGAAGAAGAATCCGGTGCGGCGGCGGCTGTGGACTGAATGCATTACGGCAAAATTGTATAGTTCATAATAATAATATTTATAATTAAAATTATTTCATAAAATAAGATAAAGATAATTTGTTAAAAGCTGTGTTGCCTGAAGTGAAGACAATTTGTTAAATGAAATTTAAGATTACCTGCAGCATCAAACTACAGCAATGGAATGAATTCTTAAACCATCAACTCAATCACCAGAAATCGCCACAAGAGCATTGACCATCCTTAAAATGATGGAACCTCTTTCCATCCCTCACAACAATCTCTCTACCCTCTGCTTTGGACATAAACTTGATTGCATTATGGCAATCCCCGCATATCCGTAGGTTCTTGAAGATTCTAATGGTGGCTACACGAGGGAGTTTCAGCAGCCCGTAAACAACTGCAAGCTTCTCACTATGAGCAGACAATGCATATTCTTTTTGCTCCAACTCCATATCCTGCAGGACATATCTCGTGTCCGGAACATATCCCAGTTTCCTTATTCTCCCTACCAATTCATTCAGATACTTGTATACTTCCACCACCTCCGGATGCACAGTGTCGTCGACTAAAAATACATGCACCTTGTTCTCAACCTCAAGCCAACTACAACCAGGCTCCTTCTTCACCCCTCTTTCCCTCATAAATTTTCGCACTGACGCCACCTCATCCCATCGCCCTGCGTACGCAAACATGTTAGCCAAAAGTATGTAGGTGCCGTCATGTTTTGGAATCATCTCAAAGAGTTTTTCAGCAGCATGGACCCCTAAATCCATGTTGCCATGAAGCCGACAACCAGCAAGTAAAGCCTCCCAAACTGGGGATCCGGGCTCAAAAGGCATGTTCTCAATCACATTCTTGGCTTCTTTAAGTTTCCCAGCTCGACACAACAAATCAATTAATCGGGCGTAATGATCTTCGCCGGGAGTCATTCCATATATCTCACTCATCGATTTGAAGTATTCCTTTCCTTTTTCAACTAAACCTGCATGACTGCACGCAGAGAGAACCGAGAGGAATGAAATCTGGTCGGGCAATATGTCTTCCTCTAACATCGTTTCAAAAAGTTCCAGTGCTCGGGCACCATGTCCGTGCTGTCCAAGGGCTGCTATCATTGCATTCCATGACACAGAATCCAGATAAGGCATGGTGAGAAATATAGTGTGCGCGGCATCAAGGACACCACAGCGTCCATACATTGTTATGAGAGCATTCCCAGCCGAAAGGCTGGAGTCGAATCCCAGCTGGATAAGCTGAGCATGGAGCTGTCGCCCCTGTTCCAAAGCAGCAAGAACAGCACATGCAGTAATGGCTCCAGAATATGCGTAGTCGCATGGTTCGAGCCCACAAGACTTCATCTTGTTGAACAATTTCAAAGCTTCTTCACCAGAACCAGATTGTGCAAGTCCTGATATCATAACCGTCCAGGATAACATGTTCTTCTCCAACATGCCATCAAAAATGGATTTCGATTCATGCATTTTTCCGGCACTCACATAAGCAGATAAAATTGCATTCCATGAGACAATATCCTTGCTGTCGGTTGCATCAAAAATACTTCTTGCTTGGTCAATCTTGCCGCATCTCCAATACAATGTGATCAGAGCATTATTCACTGAAACCCTGAAATCACAAGCAGGTGTTGCCTCTGTCCTCAGTATGTAAGCATGCACTTGCTTTCCGTGGAGAAATAAGCCGGCATCGGCGCATGCACTAAGAACATTGGTGTAGGTAAAATCATCGTGTTTAATACCCGAAGAATGCATATTCCGGAACATTTTAAACACCTCGAACACCATTCCCTTGTGCACATATCCAGAAATCATAGCATTCCATGCCACAACCAGTTTTTCTTCCATCCTATCGAAAACTGCCCTTGCTGAATCAAGATCATCGTTCTTCACATACCCAGTGATGATGGTTGTCCACGATAATTCATCCTTTGCCAGCATCTCATCAAACAGCACTCTCGCTGATTTCATCAATGCAGAAGATGAGGCCAGAGGTGAGGATGCACATTTGACATAAACCGATATGAGTGCATTCACCACCGAAGTACCCGATTGAGTCCCTGACTTGATCACAACGCAATGTAGCTGCTGACAGTGGGTCTCACGATCAGCCACGAGAGACAACGCTCCAAGTATACTTGTGTAGGTAAAATTATCAGGTTTGAAGCTCTTCTGCCGCATCTCATTGAACAGTTTAATAGCGGCATAACCATCGTTGTTGTGGGAAAGGCAAGTGATCATAGAATTGTAGAAAACAGTGTCTCGAATCTTTGAAGGCGTCTTATCAAATACCTCTCTGGCCAATTTGGGGTTTCCGGAGTTGGAATATGCCGAAATCAACGTGGTCCTCCCAACAACATCTGGTTGGGGAATTTCGTCGAACAGTTGCCTTGCATACGTCAGATTACCGGATTTGCCATAGAAATCAATCAAGCGGTTAAGGATGTGCCCTCGCGGCCTGAAACCAGAAGCAATGATGTGTCCGTGGATGCCGGAGGTGAGCGCGTAGGCGGAGGGGCCACATTGGCAGCAAAGCTGAAGCTTGGCAGCATAGAGGTTGGCCGCCGTGGAGACATCCAGCGTTGGGTGGAGGCGTTGGGTTGAGAACAAGGACTTCAGGGCGGCATCTTTCATAGTAGTGGTGGCCGGACATCGGAATTGAAACTGGGAACCGGCGGTGGCGGCGGCGGCCCTAAATTGTAACGAGAGTGCAAGAAGATTGTTTCATAAACTGGCATTTTAATTTGGATTAATCAAAGAAATTTATGTTTAACTGGAAACAATTATTAATAAGCCGTCTTAGCTCAGCCGGTAGAGCGCATGGCTTTTAACCATGTGGTCGTGGGTTCGATTCCCACAGACGGCGCTAAATCTGTCGTTTTAAATTTGGTTACATTTAAGGGCAATTTTGGGTCGCCATGACATTCTAGATAGAATTTATGATGTACTTGCACAATTTAAGGTTAAGGCAAAAGGCTGAATGCTTTTGGGGGATGGAAAGAAAATAAATAATATCATCGATGGTGTGTTGTTTTAAATTTGATCAATCAGGAAAAAAGAAGCAACTTTTTTTTGTTATGAGAGAAATAGGACAAATGAAGTGATGTCATGAAATGTGACATAATTCTTAGGTTAGGTTAGGCCACAGACCTCTTTGGACTTTCTAACCGTCCATCCCACGCTACTCTTAACTCTTTATCATTCTTATCTTCAAATCTTATGGATAATCAATCATTCACAATTTTCTCAATTAATTTAAAATCGATGATAATTCATAGCCAAATATATCTATCAATAAATCTTATCCCATAAACTGTGTTAAGTGGTACGAATCTAATCTCATTGGTGTTCTTTTGTTTGGTTGGCTTTAAAATAAATAAATAATAAAGTCGGGTCAAATTCAAGCCACCTGTGAACCAAAAACAACGACTATGTACTAATTATCGGTAAGTTTCAAAATCTATTGTGATTAGAGTATGACAACTTCAACATCAATACTAAATTATTATTGCTAGATTATGAAAGGGGAGGGGCCCTTCATTGGATATCTATCTTAATCACGAAGAAATTAATTTAATGACAAACTTCATGTTAAAGTTCGACAATGACTTAAAAGATTGGTTTTATTAATCCTAAAGTATTTGCTCAGAAATTTGTCCAACGGTTATAAACTTGGCTGCGTTTGGATGGAATTGGAGTTCTATAGCCGAATAATAAAATAATGTTTGATTGATTGTAAATATAATATATTTAATTAAAAATAAATTTGAATATATATATATATAAAAATATTTTTATTTATTTTTTAAAAATATAAAAATAAAGATTACTAATAGTATTTTAGTTTGTAACATAAAATACTTGTAAGATAAGGACAAGTGGAAAGGATAAAAACCATAGACTGCAATCCCACATGGTAAAGAATCAATTCCACTTTTTTTTTTTTTTTTTTCCTTCCTTTCACCCCTTATTATTATTATTGTTATTATTAACCTTATCCGAAATTTGTAGATTGTCGCATTTCCACACAATATAGTTTATATACTTCAATTAAAATCTAAATAGTACTATTATATAGGAAAGCAATTCACCATTGTATCTATTTCTTTATTACTAAAAAAGAATAAAAATGTGATCACACACACACACACACTCACATAGGTATAAACATTTCAATATATTTATAGTTTTTGGAGTGGGAAAGATGAGAATTTTCCAAAACCTTTATGGACCTACAAAACCCCTTTACCTGTTTTTCTTTTTGAAACATAATAATGAGAATTGTATACCAAAATTGAAATAATATACTATTTGACAATATGATTGATAAATAGCCATATTTGTTATTACACTATATATCATGTACAAGACAGATACGGATATGTATGATGATAGTAGATATTATTTTATATTTAAAGTGTGACCACACACAATCTTTGACATGGTCAATTTATATTTATAGGTTTCATGACTATTGTGTGTGTGTTCAAAATTTTAAGACAATACCCATTTTGCTAATTGTTACTTATATGATTATGTTTATTTTATTTTTTTAATAATGTGGAAATTTTCAATAGCTATTCATCGAATTAGTGCACTTTGACGTAAATTTTCTGCTGAACCTAATACTTTGCAAATTAGTCCGACAAAATAAATTACATTAGGCAAATCATGTGTGACAGATAAGACCTGAATGCATCGGGAAACTTAAATCTATAACCTCATAGTTACGAGTACACCTCATACCACCAAACAATCCGTTACATGTTCAAAATTTTATGTTATATCGTTTTTTCAATTTTCAAATATCTATAAACATTTAAGTTTAGTTATATACATTTTTTTTGTTAAGTGTTTTTGTTGTTTTGATTATATATATATATATATATATAAAAGATCGAATGAAAAATATATTAAATAAAATATAATTCAATTGTAATTGCCAAACAATACAATTCAAAATAAGATCCCAATTTTGCTAAACAATGCATGCAATTCAACAAAAAAATCCAATCGATAATTTAATTCTATAAATTATTGATCGGTGAAATAGTATAAAATTTTATTAAAACATATATCCCAATATTTGAACATGGAATTAAAGGAACAAGAAAGTATATAGAAAGTAATAAATATATGCGTCATTATCTTAATAATTAATATCAAGTCAAAAGCAAATATTCATAAAATACAAAAAATCTAGGAAAAGAATAAAAACAAAGTAGAGAAATAGGATATTATATATATATATATATTAATATTTTAGGATAACGAAAATGATTAAATGTATAAAAAAGCAATTATTAAAAAAACAAAATCCAAAAAAACAATGAATTACACAGCATATGGGTCTTTGCGTAGGCTTCAGGCAGCATTCTCATTGGGCAATACCATTTATACCCCTGGATCTGCACGTTTCTTACAGTGGCGGCTGTTTTCACTTCAGCCCCCACGAGTAAAAAAATAAGTAGATGCCCCACGCGCTCTACTGCCCGTTACCTCCACGTTCTGCAAAAAACCGACCGTTACAGCTAATGCCAGACCACCACAATCACAATCCGTCGGTGGAGAAAGCACGACGCTCCCCACGCCACGGCTCCCACGCGTGTGGAACACGATTTCACCTTCCATCCTCCAAAAGCACTATACAGCTATGACTTCCACGCACTTTCACTTGTTGTGTATACTTTTCTAGAGAGAGAAACATCGACCAGAAGTTTATCGTCTTTCTCGCTCTGCAACTTTCTGCAAATTTTTTATAAGCTTTTTCGCCTCCATTTCCAGCTCGGTTGCAAAAGGTTTGCCCATTCTTCTCCTTATCTTCTTTTTTTTTTTTTTTTTTTTTCTAATTGTTTGTGTGAATTTTGCTTTCACGAATAATGGAATTGGCTCTACTTCTTCTCCTTCATCTTTAATGCTCACATGCAGTAATTTTCAGATTTTTTTACACTTGAAATCTTAGTTTTTGATGAGGTGGATTAAGTACTGCGATAATAATGGTGGTGATGATTGAGGGGTACGGTGGGAATCTAATTGATCATCAATGCTAGTTTCCATTCTAGGGTTGCTATCATTTTCTCATGATATCTATTAATGTTTGGGTAGTTCTGTGTACAGTGGTGTAGTTTCGCCGAAGAACTGTTGAAATGCCTTTATTAATGGTCCAAAATGAATTTTACAGTTGGACTGCTCAATTATTGTGCTAATTATAGATCATGCGCCTCTGAGTTTTCTCATTTTTTATTTATTTATTTATTTATTTTTTGGCAGATTGGAGAGTGTTGTATGTATTGCCTATGCAGAGTGTAATTCCTGAGGAAGAGTAGATTGAAGGAGACGGTGGTGTTTTGGAATTTAGACTAATGGTTGGGAACAGATCTCGCTTCAATTTGGAGATCCTGTTGGGTTTCGCTCTGCTGTTCGTCATCAGAACCTGTTTGGGAGTCACCAATCCAAGTGATGGTTAGCGCAATCTTATACTACTACTATCTTGTTTTCATAAAATAAATGAAGTTATGATTTCCTTGGCTAGTTAATGTGAGTGAATGTGATTTGTTTCTGAAGATGTATATTTGTGTAGAATGGTACTACTTGTTCTTCTAATTTTGGGGCATTGCAAAATGCCGGTTCTTAGATTCAGGTGTTAGTCAATGTTGATAGCAGCGGCATCATATCACTTGGTGAATAAATTGCTGTACATCTGTATTATAATTGTTTGTGGGATTAGTGAAACTGGTTTAATATTTTGGGTGTGTTTGTTTGGGGAACTTTCTCAAAATCTACTATTATCAAATTTTTTTCCTCCAAAATATCAAAGCAAGCTTATTTTTGTATTTTTTATATTATACTAAAAATCAGTTTTATATTCAAAACATCATCAACACCTATTTATATCACATCATACAACTATTTCAATTCAAATTTTTTACTATCAAATCCCAACCCAAAATTCAAACGTCCAAACAAACACACCCTCTGTTTGTTTTGTACCATTTACTTCCTTCTTTTTGCATCTTCTCTTAGCTTCTATTATTAATAATTTCACTTATCTTTACTTAGAATTTTACTGATATTAGTGTCAACGTTGCTAGTAACAGCATCATTTGCTTGATGACTAAGTTGTTGCACTGCTGTATTACAATCATCTTGAGATTAGTAATTTGGTTTATGATTTTACCTGTTTCGTATGGATTACTTCAGGTTTCCATGCATCCTGTTATTCTAGTTATAAATCTTGTTATAACCATGTACTTGGATTTTAGTGTTCGTGATTGATGTTGCTACTAACAGAATTATTTACTTGATGAGTAAATTGTAATGCTGCTTTATGATCATCATGGGACCAATGAAACCAGATTATTTTTTTGCTTGTTCTCTCGGTGCATCTTTCTTCCCTTAATAAATGTTTTTGCAATTCTCATTGTTCATTTGCATTTTCTGTTCTAGTTGCTGCCATCAATAGCTTATATGTTGCATTGGGATCACCTTCTCTTCCGGGATGGGTGGCAAGTGGTGGAGACCCTTGTGGTGGCCTTTGGCAAGGCGTTGCGTGTGAGGATTCTTCCATAAGTTCAATGTATGGACTGTTTCCTTGAATTTAAACCAGCTGGTATTAAATTCCCATTGAAGGTTAAGATTGTCTTTTCTTGCAGAACACTTATTGGTGCTGGTTTGGGAGGAGGATTGGGTGACAATCTTGGAGGATTCTCTGCCATCAAATCAATGTAAGTATCACTACTTTTCTTAGTATCTACTGAATGCAGTAGCTTATGACATATGATAGGAGAATTGCTAATGCTAATGAGAGGTCATGAGTTCTACTCTTTATCCTTGGTGTTACATTAGAAGTTTTAGGTCATCCTTGTCCCAGAGCAAGAGTAAGACTCTGTGGGTGCAATCCAGCTTAATTTGATTTCTGGAAAATTTAGTATGTCCAACTCTATGCTTGTTGTGTGTTAATTGATTTTATGCGTGGCAGAACACTGAGCAACAACCTCATCAGCGGTAGCATTCCATCCCAGTTACCGTCTACACTGATCAATTTGTACGTTCCACTACTTTTCCAAATGAAGCTTAATCAAATCCAAAACCAATCCTTATTTTGGTCATATTAATCTCACATTATTTTGCTTATTCAAGATGCTTGCTCATGTGATAGTATTTTTTCACCTATGGCAGTTTTCTTTCAGATAATAGACTGACAGGAAGTATCCCTACCTCTCTGTCATCTCTCAGCCAACTATCAGCTTTGTAAGCACTTAGATATATGAGCATATTTTCTGAGTGGCTCACGCTGTTTTTTAGCTTATTGTTTTGCCTAATGGTTGATAAATGCTATTTCAGGTCTCTTAACAACAATGGATTGACTGGAGAAATTCCTGATGCTTTCCAAGGCCTTTCAGTTTTGGTTAATTTGTATGGAACGCAGTATTGATACACATTTAACTTCCCGAATCAGATTCTTCATATTGTTAATAACTTATAGGTGCCTTTCTTTTGGTGCAGAGATTTGTCAACTAATAATTTGAGCGGGCCATTGCCACCTTCCATGAATAATTTGTCTGGTCTCACTACCCTGTGAGTAAATTGCATAGATTTGTCTTGAACTGCGTTCTCTATATATTCAACCTAACCGTACCTAATGCTGTAATCAACAGACATTTGCAGAATAATCAGCTGGCTGGAACCCTCGATGTTCTGCAAGATCTTCCACTTAGAGATTTGTATTATGCTTACCCGTGTTGCATGGTTTTGATATTTTTTACACACATATTTCATTATAATAATTTTGTGTGATGTTCTTTTACTCTGTCTCAGAGACGTACGGAGCAATTTATTTTCTGGGCCAATTCCTTCAAAGTTGTTGAGCATACCTAATTTCCGGTAAGACAAAAGCACTTGACAATTTCATTCGAACATCATCATTGAATTATAGAATGCTCATGATGAAATTTTATGCTCTTTACTTTCCTTTTTGATATTCAGTGGAGATGGGAATCCATTCAACTCTAGCGTAGCTCCAGTATCTCCACCAACATCACCCGGAGCAGTATCTCCAGCCACACCATTCTTCCCGGGGCAAACTCCTGAACAGAAACCACCACCTTCTGGACGAAGGTCGCCGAAACAGGCAGAAGGACCATCTACTGTAACTGAGGGGATAAATGCTGACAAATCAAAAAAGTCTTCCAAGACTAAACGAGTTGTATGGATATCTATTGCATCAGTGCTGTCATTCATAGTATTGCTGTTAGCAATCATACTTTTTATACCAAGGTGTCTTAGGGAGAGAAGAGAAAGGAATTGGACCCCAAAGCGACATGAAATAGCCCCGTATGTTGGTGCACGAGAAAATCCTAGAGATGGTGGCCCCATCATGCCATCTAGCCAGGATGAGGAGAAAGGTAAGTCAAGGTTTTTTAATCAGAAATCACTCTTTTCATGAGCAACTCTTACCAGTAGCTTTGCATTTAATGGAAACAAAATAAATAAATAAATATATATATATTTTTAAAATTCAAAATCTTGTGTTTGAAGCCATCCTTGTCAATAGGTATGCAGTTTATTCTTCTTTATCTTATACTCTTGTAAACAGCTCCTCCAGTGACTGCTTTGAAGACAAAGGAAGAGAACCAACAAAGACCAGTGGTTTCGGTACCAAAATCACGAAATGAAGATATAACTAAGCAACAGCCTAGCTGGGCAGCACCTAGGAGGAATGACTCTGAGATAGACTTGAGCAGATTTGATATAGATATAATGGCACCTCCACCTCCGCCTCCTCCACCCCCGCCTCCTCCACCTCCACCACCACCTCCCCCTCCTCCACATGAAGAGAAGGTGGTTGTGACTCCAATTATAGCATCTGAGGCAATTGCTGCTGGAACTTCAACTGGACACGTCTCTAAAACCTCTGTGAAGGCTTATACAATAGCATCCCTTCAGCAGTATACCAACAGCTTTTCACAAGAAAATCTTGTCGGTTGTGGAATGCTTGGAAATGTGTATCGAGCAGAGCTACCAAATGGAAGGGTAAGATTTTTAAATAACAAACTTTGATCGCACCTACTGATCTTAGATTCTTTATGTTAAATAGAATTCTTCTTATACTGTACTACTAATTACTATTGATGACTAATTAATCGTCGTCTTAAATTCCAAAATTAGTCATCAGTAGAACTCATACCTTAAGGTCATACTAATTACTACATGGGATTACTAAAATTAATATGATAATTAAGTTACACATGAAGATTACATAAAGTAAACATGGTCTTAAAGGATTGAAACCATCCATGTTACCTTCTTTTCCCTAGTAAGTAATATCATTCAGTTACTGCAGATGTTTTTCATGTTTGATTCAAAGCTATCTTAAGATGCTACATCAAACTAATATTTCACTTTGTCTTGTTTTATTCCTTTGTAGTTTCTTGCCATCAAGAAATTGGACAGGAGGGTTGCAAACCAGCTGAAGGATGATCAGTTTATTGAGCTTGTTAACAATGTATACAGAATTCGACATGCTAATGTGGTTGAGCTCCTGGGCTACTGCTTGGAGCATGGAGAGAAGCTTCTCATATATGAGTATTGCCCTAATGGAACACTACAGGATGCCCTGCACTCAGAGGATGAATTTAAGAGAGACCTTTCATGGAATATTCGAATCAGAATGGCGCTTGGGGCTGCTAGAGCATTAGAGTAAGTCAAGCGAACATCTCTGACAATTAAAAAAAAATTTGCATGTGCTTGCACACTACATTCTATGGAAGTTCTGAATCGACAACCTTTCTAATTGGATGAAAGCTTTTGTTGTAAGGTATTTGCATGAGGTCTGTGAACCATCCATAATTCACAGGAATTTCAAGTCCGCTAATATTCTACTCGATGACGAGCTTTCTGTCCGTGTCTCGGATTGTGGTTTGGCTCCATTGATACTTTCTGGAGCCGTTAGTCAGGTATTTATTAACCTTAGTTCTTTTTACAATCATGCTTTATGAATTACTTAAACACGAATAAAGGTTAAATGCTGTAGTGAGATCCACAAGCTTTTGAATGCCAAGACAATGAAATTTGAGTTAATTACATCTATGAGAGTTTTTCTTCTAGACCAACCAATAGTTATACACTGTTGATTTACAAAACAGCTCTTTTTCTCATACTTGAGCTTAGAATATTTTTTGTCCTGTATAATTGTGTGTTTGCTCCACAACTAGACTCAAAAAGTTGAGATTCACAAGCCTGCATAGTTTAATGCCATATTTAGTTAGATTTTATGACGTCTCCCGGACATGGAAAATTTTTTCGTAGTCTCAAAATCTTTAAAATTTACGAATTGTGGTTGAGTTGTATTACTTTATCCAACATGTTCCTTCTTAAACTCATACTTGATTTTAACAAACATTCTAATAAACATTTTCTTTCTTGGTCGCTCAGTTATCAGGACAGCTTCTCACAACCTACGGCTATGGTGCCCCAGAATTTGAGTCAGGAATCTACACGACAAAGAGTGATGTATACAGTTTTGGAGTGGTGATGTTGGAACTCTTAACAGGAAGAATGTCGTATGACAGGTATGGTAGCATAGCCCAAATCACCTTTCTTATCATATCCCCATCTCTGCTGGCAGGTTTACTTTCTTGAGAATTGTTTAGGTCACGAGCTCGAGGAGAGCAGTCCCTTGTCAGATGGGCAATCCCTCAACTCCATGACATTGATGCCCTCTCAAGGATGGTTGATCCTGATCTCAGTGGAAAATATCCCGTTAAATCATTATCTCACTTTGTTGACATTATTTCCCGCTGTGTTCTGGTAAGTTGGCTTTCGGTTTATCTTTCGCCTGTGTTGATATTCTTGGGAGCTTGATCCCTTATATAACATGATTGAAAAAAAAAAAAAGATTTGGTACAACAATTTTAGCTGATAGCAAGTTTTATTACATAACTGCTGTGCTTTATCAGGTGGAACCTGAATTCAGACCGCCAATGTCTGAAGTGGTGCAGGACCTGATGCAGCTGATAAGGAGGGAATCTCCTGGCGGATCGAATGGGGACTAACTATAACTGCCCGTCCTATGTATGTATGTATATTCAAAGTCACAAGTCAGTCTGAGGGAGGGAGGGAAGATATGTGATCCGATCAATGCGGTCGATCATCACCTCGAGGGTGGGATCCATGGAGACAACAGACAGACGACGCTTAAACTCGGACATGGTAGATGATGGATGATGATTCTTGCATGCAAGGTATGCTAAAGAATATATATATATATATATATATCATTTTTATGACCTGACCATACCTACCGACCAATCTGATCGTCTTGGTTCTTGACTGGCGTTTGTGCTTTCTTGCTATTATGAATAACCCGATGAGATGCGCACGCTAACCCGATTTATTTGATTTGATTGGATCGGATCCTTATTATTTATTACTCCTGGATTTTATTTTATTTTTTATTCTTCAACGGGCATATGTTTGTTTTATTTATTTTACTTTGCTTGGATGAATTCTTTTTGGACCACCCGGATAATTTTCAACTTAGAATATAATTGTAATCAGTAAGATTATAAAATAAAACAATGTTATGCCTATATTATTATTATGTTTATATTTTAGAGAATAAATATAATATTAATTCATTTTATTTTCCCTAATTTATATGGAAGGTATGATTCAACAATATAGTTAAAAGCCCTGATTTCAGATATTATGTACAAAAAAATATAAATATAATAAGCACTTTAGCCCTTAATAAAGAAAATGTATAAATATTAAAATTTTAAAATACTAATGTATATGTACACAATAAATTAGCTAATATTTACAAATTAGTAACAAATATTATAATTTAAATATAATTAACATTATAGTATAAAAGAAATGAAGGATATCAGTACATGATACTGATAAAAATAATATTCTGAAGGAGTTCATCCGTCATCTTGAAACTAATCTTTCAGGATAGATGAGATCGTTTATACAGAACTAGGAATAGTATTTAAGGAGCCCTGAAGCAAATTGCAGTGTATCAGGCACCAAAATTGAATCAAGAATGCAGAAACAGCATGCATAGTTTCATCTAATCCTAGCTTACCTTGGAAATGCTATCAAGAAGAAAGCTGCTTCAGGTAACACTCGATGATTTTATCCTGTGAAAGGTCAGTATAATACCCGACTCCCACATCGAGCCCCTCTTTCCTGGCTAAACGGTCAACTTCTACTTGAACTTCATTGCCACCAACTTTACTTGTGTCCAGCAAATTGCAAGCCACCTCAATTATGCCTTTACCGTGGGCGAGAGCTGCCGATTGCACAGATTGGAGCCCGCCTCCTCTGCCGCTGACTCTTCTTGCGATTCTTTGAACTGTGACCATGTCATTAGAAAATATTGGGACATTGTAGTTGTCAACCCACCGGGTAGCTCCGATCACCACAATGCCTTTTCTGTGAACAGCGTGAGGAGGGCCCTCGTCGGGGCTCAGTGGTAGAGTTTCTGATTCCGGCCCTCCTGCCCATTGGTTTCCAGTGGCGTTTGGCTTGAAATATCCCAACTGCCTTCTGAGGGAGTCGAGCAACCTTCCCTCATAGTGTGCTGCTCCATATAAGAAGGTTGCAACTGCAGGCTATGTGTGAGATCAGTAAGAGGGATGAATGGTAGATGAGGATAGAAATGTTAGAGGTGGCAAAATTGTTTTCTAAACCAATCACTAAAATGATCAAATCTCAATGATTTGGATCTTTACATCTATTGAAGTAAATATGGCCTTAAGAAAATATAAACGAAAAAAACAGGACCAAGAACCTTTTAGTGCAATTCTGTAAGGCAAACAATTCAATGGTCACTAATTCTAAACTCAAAATGGGCAGAATCCATTCTGGATGTTAAGATATAGATAAAGCTCCCTCTACGCAATAAAACAAAATCCCAAATGCATCCAATTCTAGTTAAAAATCAATATCTAGAACTCCACAGATACTCAACCTTTAGTTCATTACTCAAATTTATAAATCCTCAAAATGAACCAATACATGTGTTCTAAAACATATTATCAATTCTGGTCATTTTATAAAAAAACAAAATATTTTCACACTCAAAACACTCCAAAAGTATGTCCAAAATTAGCAAGAAAACCAACTGGAGACAACGACCTCCTAATAATTGCCAAATTTCTTAACAAAAAAGGATATCTTTTCAAAACCTTTATCATTGAGAGAACAAACCTTGAAGCCTTGAGCCAACATCAGCAGCCAAAGACTTTGCAATCCCTGCAACATGATCCAAAGAAACCCCAAGCAAGGGATGGAAACAGATGTGGTCAACGACACCAAGCCTGGGATGACTCCCACAGTGCCTCCCAAGATCAATCTCCTGAAAAGCAGCCTCAACCATTTTGAAAACAGCATTCTTCAGTGGTGATGTTGAATTAGGGTCTGGGCCCATCTTCGAGACCAATGTGTACCCAACTCTGTTGTACGGTACATCCTCAAACTTGTTGACTATGGGGGCTTCTGGATACAATTTTGCCGCCATTTCTATGGCGTCCAAAGCTGCCTTGTTTCTGCTTTCAGATATGTAAACTTTGCAGCAACATAACACTTGCTCCATATTTTCATTCTATGGTGCAACAGAAAATCAATATAATGGCCATTCACGAGCTGCAGAAAAAATAATAAATGAAAAAAAATAGGCCTTGGAATTCATCAATTGAAGGGCAGCATCCATGGAGGCCATGATTTGATTAAAATAGATATTCCAACCAAGAAAGAAAAACATATATATATATATATATAAAATTAGGCTACACAGAGGTCATCACCAAAGAAAAGTCCACCTAATTTCTCCATGCTACAAAGTGCCATGCAGATTGCAGAGGTAGGCATAGAAACTGCATACTGGCCTGCCGAATGAGATCAGGCAAAATAACCTTTGATCCCTCCCCAGTCTAATCTTGAGTTTGTTGTATTGGTCATTTAATGTGATTATAGGTTCGAATTCTCAGTCACCTTTTAATGAAAAAAGTGTCAAGTGCAAAGGTTTTGCAGAAAGAGTAGCCAGAGCCTACATGTGATTTGAGGAGACACCATTTAGCACCAATAATCTAATAAGTGCAGAGTAAATTGTAGAAGCACATAGAATGAAAATGACTCTCTCCCAATAGTCCAGTTCAATCCAAAATTCTTGCAAACCAAAATGACTGCTTTCTTATCCTTCAAATTTTCTTAATTAGGTATTCATTTCGTTTGGTTAGAACAACAGAGCAGAGAATCCAAACAATCCTTAAACATCAAAGGATCAATATTATAATACTCACATGCTGTGTATTCCATCTGGATGGAATTAACGAACCTGGACAGATATTGACCTTCGGCGTCCCGTGGAGGGAATCTAAAAACGAAACCACAATTATCCGTAGCCACATATTCGTCGAAACGAAGAAAGGAACGGTAACATCGAATTGAAGAAATAGTACCAGAGGGTCTCCGACGCGGAATCAGAGAAGCAGGTCGAATAGATGATGAGGTCGTATGTGCGAGACGAGTAGTGTTTGCAGCCCTGCGGGCTGCCATGACAGCCAGTGAAGTAGCCATTGATGATGATGTCAGTATCCGAGAGAGAGAGAGAGAGAGAGCATGAGAAGCGATGGGCGAAAATGGTTGGTGGCGTCGTTTCCATTTGGGCCGACCTTGGAATTCAAGGGCCCAATCTACATTTGAAAGCCCGTTATAATTTCTTGTAGTATTTATAGAAAAAAAGAAAATTATGATGGGTAGAAATAATTAATTATAAATTTTGATGTGGGCATAAAAAAAAAATAAGGAAGTTGGAAAAATGAATTATAGGAGTATAAGATATGCATTGTGAAATCCTTAATTGGTACTAAAATGTTGTGAAGAAACTTTAAAATTGATCATCTTGTGAATGCGATGCGATGTGTTATGTGTGCGTATTGAAATTCAGTGCTGTTTAATTTATTATTCCAACTACCAACCGCCAACTACCAACTACCAACTACCAACTACCACCCACTACCCACAGAGAGTGTGTGTTTGTGTGTATGTATCATGTCTGTGACTGTGAAGGAGGGAGAGCCAGCCAGCTCATTGCATCGCCAACTGGAGGAGGAGGAGGAGGAGGAGGAGGAGGAAGAGGAGGAGGAAGAAGAGGAGGAGGAGAGGGTAGCTCCGTGTTTAATGTAATGTTCACCCTCTTCATTCGTGTTCCTCTTTCCACATTAATTACTTGTACATCTCATCTCTGCCTGTCTAAACACAAATGAGTATAGTATTATTTCTATTTTTTTATCATTATAAAAAATGAGTGGAGGGAGTATATGGCAAATAAAAACGCATGCAGCTAGCAAAACACCTGGCTGGCTCATGCTTGCTTCCTACTTCCTACTTGTTGGGAATGGGATTTCATGTCCAATTGCCAATTGCATCCTCATACTCATTCTTTAACACTTAACAGCCCAGCCAGGTAGGTGTGTGTGTGTGTGTTGCCACTTTCCAGGTTTATTATCATCATTATTTTATTTTCACTCAGATTTTGTATCATCCATTCATTCATTCCTAGTTAATTAATGTAAGTAGGGTGGGGTAGGGTCCCATTAATTTCATTCAAATTATATATATCTTAAAATGCTCTATTTTACAATGAATCTTCAAATTTACCAGTTGTCTGTCTTCCTAAATTTCTTCCTTACTTTCATTTTCATACTATGCAGGGCAGGGCAGGACAGGCTGTATTTATATAGTCGCTCGCTGCTGCGGACCTCCTCTCCTCCCCTCATAACTGTATACATTCTTGGAAGATCCCGGGATCAAAGATCCCGGGATCAAAGATCCCATTCCGCGCGCTGGAGCTAACCTGGCTGCCTCTCTATAAATATAATACTAATAACTACTACTACTACTACTTCATCCATCCAAGTCCAACCTTCCATTTCCATCCATCCATCAGCAACATTACATTGAATTGAAATACTATTATAAGTAAGTATATATATATATATATATATGTAATGGTGTTCTTCTGCTTCCTGGTGGATCAGACTCGGAAGGAGAGGCAGAGGAAGCCGGTGGCCGGAATATGCTCCCGGTGCGGGTGCGGGGCGAGCGTGGTGGACCTCAAGACCGCCACCAGGTTCTGCTTCGTGCCCTTGTACTGGAGGAATTGGCGGGCCATCATCTGCACCTTCTGCGGCGCCATGCTCAGGTCCTATCGCTAGCTAGCTACCTACCTACCTACCTCCGGTCAGATCATCACCAAGACATTCATTCATTTTTATTTGCAACTACATTTTAGTATTAATCATTTATTTCTAATTACTATATATACTTACTAGTATTTCATTTCATTTTAGGACACCACAAGTAGTTGTATTTCGGTGGTAATGGAGATTTATTCTCGCTAATGTAAACTAATTAATTATGTAATATAATTAGGTAGGGTAGGGTAAGGTAAGGTAAGGTAAGGTAAGGTAAGGTAGGATGGTAGTATTTCATTGCGATCGATCACATATATATATATATATATATGTTTGCCCACTACAGTATTGGCTATCTAGCTATGTCATTGTGGGTGATGCACCAATTTAATTTATATTGAACTAGCGTTTAAACCCGTACATATAATTAGAATATGATTAAAATAATATTATAATGTAATTATATATTTGATAAATTTTGCATTTATAATTTATAAAATAAATATATATAATAAATTTATTTTTATACTATATAAATAAAAGTAAATAAAATATTGTAGATGAAATCGTATATAATATAAATTATAATATTTAAGTAAAAGTTATTTTATAAATTACAGAAAAAAATATATACTTCTTCCGTCCCAAACACCGTGCAACATTTGTGTTTGGCACGGGAATTTAGGTGGGAGTATTAAGTAATATTAAGTGATGTGATTGGAGAGAGAAATGATTATTTGTTTTTTTTATTTGAGTGATGTGATGGGATAAAATGAAGTGTATATTAATATATGTATAAAAATATTATTAATTATTTTTAAATTTGAAAATGTTGCAGTGAGTTTGAGGAAAAAAAAAAAAGAAGAAGGAAATGTTGCATGGTTATTTGAGACGAAGGAGTAATTCCCAAAAAAAATAGAAAAAAATAGTTATAATTGTTAAGGTCTTTTCAAAATATGTGAATATTCTTCACACCAATCTACGGTCATATCTTGAAACACCGGAGATGGAGCATCTAGTCTTGCAAAAACGATGGAGGCACATGAACGATGAATGTGAATGTTTTGTCAATAAATGCAGTCAAATAATTTTTTGGCATTATTTTTTCATTTATGTAAATATAAATAGATAAAGAAATATATACTCCATCCATCCGGCTAGAAAATATACATATTTCTATTTTGGGACGTCCAATTACAAAGTAAACATTTTATTAAATACCTTACTTTTTTCCACAAATACCCTTACTTTACATCACATTATTACTTTTACACTTAAAGGCAAAGGTAAAAATGTCGTTACACTACTTTTTTAACTATTCACTGCACTACTTTTTTAACTATCAACTGTAATTAAAATACTATTATTTCTTAAACATCGTGCCAGTTATACTTTATTAGTGGACTGAGGGAGTATTTATTTATTAGAAAAACAAATAAGTAATTCAAATTTTTTAATTAATACATATGCATTATCTTCCTAAAAAAATACTAAAACCATCTAAACAAATATATAAAATTATAAATATATTTAATTTTTCTCCATAAAACTATCTAAAAAAATATAACAACTTTGATACTTCATATATATATATAGACAATGATGTACAAGATAAATTATTAAAGATATTAAAGAAAAATTATAATTATTTATTTATAAAAAAAATTATTTACCTTATTTGATTATTGATACTAAAATCAATATATATCAAATGAAATAATTATAAAATATAATCTATAAAATTAATGATTTTTTTAACTTAGAAAAAAAAAATCAAAACTGTCAACCTTCAATTTTTTCGTATTTTTTTAAAATCAAAATAAATATAAAAGTAAAATTTGTTGAGAAATATGCAAAAGAAATAATAATATGGATTTAAAAAAAATAATTAAAATTAAACTGTAAAAATTATATAAATTTTAAATATCCTACTATCATGATAAAAAAATGTAAAACAAAAAGAAATAAAAAAATCAAAAAATGTTAGAATGGAAAAATTAAGACTGATCTCAAATATATAAGATATAGATATAGATAATATACGTATACATACTGAACCGAACCGTTAAACCGGTTTAAACCGGAATCTCCGGACTGGACCGGTGTACGAAATCGAATGGGCTAGTCGTTGTACATGACACTTGAAATTAGGGTTTATTTAGGGTTTCGTGGAGGCAAACAGAGCCTCCGCCATAACTGCTACTGTTTCCACCAGCTGACGGATCGATACGTTCTATGCACACTCACACACCCATATATATATCTTCTGCTTCTTCTCCGCCGCAGCTATGAATGAATTGGCCTCCAAGACTCTTGTGTATCAAATAGAGGTAGAGGATGGTGGAGCTTCCGAAGAATTCTGCTGTTGAAAGTACGGCAGCGGAAGAGGGGAAAGCCGCCGGCGGAGGGGACCCGTCGTTGGAATCCAAGAAACCATCGACGCCCAACGAACTACTCGACGGTTGTCTTCCCGAACTCGAAGAGAACTCGTTGTCGTTCACCGATTCGTTTTTAAATTTTGACTGCATTGACGGTTGGTTCGAAGAGAACAGTGATTTGCCTAGTGGTGGGAATATGACAGATTTGGGGATTGGCGGTGAATTAGGGTCTGTTGATTGCAAGAAAGATGAAGTCGAAGGGGCGTTAAGTGCGCAGAATGGACCCCTATGCGATTTGGAGAAAAATAAGCGAGCGAATGAGGAATGTGACAAAACTGTTCATTTGATTGTGGGGTCTGTGATTGAAGAACGGTTTGGGAGGGTCAGTTTAGCGGGGCCAACTGATGGTTTGATCCCTAAATATGATGTAGTTAGAGGGTTTAGTGTTGCGAGTAGTGTTGAAATCTTCAATCCTACTGATGATGTGGTTGGTGCTGCTGAAAAAGTGGCCGACATCCCGGAGTCCAACCATGTAACGGAACGCGATGACGCTGAAGATGACGATGAGAATAGCAGTAGCAGCGATTCAGAGTCCGAAAGTGAGAGTTCTTCTTCTTCGAGTAGTGATGACGATGACGTGGAGGAGGAAGAAAAGAAAAAAGAAATTGGAGTAGAAGAAGGTGAAATTGTGTTATCTGATGCGGACGAGATGGTTGGTTGGAGCGACACTGAAGATGGTGATGGTGATAGTGGTGCAATAGGAGGGCCCATAAGATCCAAAAATGAGCTCAAGGTAAGTGTTACCAATCTTTGCTATTTATTTATATGGGTACATGTCAAATTGGATGTTGCAAAAGTTAGATTTCATGGTGGAGCTGACAATAGTAATAGGGATGAAACTGGTGTCACTGCTCCCCTTTTGGTTTCTAATAAAAGATTATGCAGCTAGACTGGTGCAAACATACACATTCTTCCTGTCGAAAATCTACTTGCTTGTGCAATGACCGGTGATTAATTAGTGCAAGTAAAATTTTATTGTCACCCTAATCAGTATGATTGTTTTCTTGTGTTTTTTGGGCTTAAATCATGCATTAGATAGAAAGCAACTTATTTTGGCCATGTGACCATTGTGTGATTATGCATATACTTGGACTAGCCTTACCGGATTGCCTGGCATTGTTCTCAGCATATTCTGAACCAATTCTGTGTTATATAACTACTCAGAGAAACATTCGTTAGCCTCAACCAGATTAAAGTGTGTCAACAGAGATGAATAGAAATAAGACGAGCATTTTTCCTCTGTTGGGGACTGAAAATATCCATGGATACGCCTATGTATTATTATTGTGTATGCCATTTCTATTTGGACATTTGATTAACTTGAAAAGTTGCATACATGTGAAATATTACATTTGCTTTATCATAATTTATATGTTTGTTATTTTTCCTCTCCACAACATCTTGTCTTTGATTTTTTATAGTTCTTGATGCATAATAACTAAAGGAATCTTTTGATCATAGATTATTCTCACCGTTAGTATATAATCTATTGTTGATGGCATTGCTAATATCACAGTTGACTTCTGAAGCAGAGTATATTTTGGTGGTGCTATTAAGTTCAATTTGTGATTCTGAATCTTGCAGGAGCTCCCACCAGTTCCTCCTATCACTGTCTCCTTGGAACTGCAGCACCAAACACATCCAGTTGGAACAATCTCATCGGTAAGATAGCTACTAAAATTTCAGAGGTGCTCCGGCATTTGTAATTATGTTTTTGAAAGAAAAGTTCTATGTACACAAAGGTTTGATCGACGTCTCTTTTTGTTAAAACAGATTCTTGGCGCTCAGGTCATTGTAGAAGGGGTTGAAAACCACAATCCATTAGCCGAAGGTTCAATTCTTTGGATTACTGAAAGTAGATTGCCGCTGGGAATAGTCGACGAAATATTTGGGCCTGTCAAGAGCCCATATTACATAGTCAGGTACAACTCCGAGGCTGAAATCCCTTCTAACATTCAGCAAGGCACTCCAATCTCTTACGTTCAGGAATTTGCAAAGCATGTACTGAATGACAAGAGTCTATACGAGAAAGGGTATGATGCGTCTGGCAAAGATGACGAAGAGCTGTCGGATATTGAATTTTCAGATGATGAGAAGGAGGCAGAGTATAAAAGAATGCTCAAAATGAAGAAAAGGGTAACAAATGAGTCAAACCCCGGAAACAAAAGAAAGGATAAACGACCGGTGAAGAACCCGAGCAGGAACTGGAACAGCAATCGTCGAGACCAACATTCCACCCCCTCTGGCAGCAACCAGAACAACAATCAAGACAGGCCACCGCCAATACCAATTGTTGCCGGTGACCAACATTCTGCGTCATCTGGCATGACAAGACAGAACATGCCACCGGGTGCTCAACCAATAGCAGCAGCTTCCCCACATTGGCCCGTGGCACAGGGACCGGCTTTCGCTGCATCTAGTGGAATTTGGAGCAGCGGGTTCCAACCTCTCGGCGGAGTGCCATGGACTGTGCCTCAGCAACCCAATCAACCATTTCTGGCGCCTTTACCCGCAAACATGGTGCCGTTCCAGCAACAAGTTGGTACCTTTCCACAGTTTACATTCGCCTTGAATCCTTTGCTTGCAGCACAGGCAAATTTCGGCGCAGGAGGATGGCCCCAAGCCCCAGCGATGAATGCAGTTCAGTTTGGCACAGAACAAGTTGTTCGTCCTCCTCAGGGATTTCAAGCCAACCCTGGTGCAATGCCGAATTTCAATCAGAGCCGGGGTGGTGGCGGCGGAAGAAGAGGAGGACGGCCGGGAAGATTTGATGGCCGCCGCGGTAGAGGTAATTATCAAAGACGTTAATGTAGTCTTCTTTGTCGAGCATTTTTACAACAGCTTTCAACAAATCAGTGTATAATATACACTTTTTATTAACAGCTAAGGCTACTTGTGTATGGATTGAGACCATGTTGGATGTTTTTTGGGATTTTATCCAACATCCAATATTTTATTTTTCATGCCAACTATGAAGTCCAAAAATTATCATGCCCAAATATCATTATTTTCCAGCTTCAGTTGTTAATTCATCATTTTACTGAATGATTTAAGCAAAAGTAACAGTAGCTAAACTATCTATGATTAAAACAACCTATACAATACTCAACACTGATCATTTTAAAAAAAAAGGCCCTAAATAAGAAATGAGAACCTTTGACGTATTTAAAAGGTGACATCATTATTACAAACAAAAAATATGTGAAGAAAACATGTAAGAGAAAGGAGGCCACATTCTTTCTCAGTACAAACCTCAAAAAAATTCCGAAGCCATACAAAACAAACACAGAATATTAATTTAGGGCAGGCACATGATTAGAACTTGGGTCTGGTCTACTGCGTTGCTTCAACCAATTTCTGCAACATTATTTCAAACCTATCTGTCAGTGTGAGTGTCAAGATTTACATGATCACAAATGATACGTATTAGAGATGTTTAAGTCCCGACAAGTTATATCACCGACAAGCTTAAAAGGAGCCAGGATCAACTACCAAAATATTTACCAAGTGCCAATTTCAAATAACATTTTCCAACTTGTGTTGCTTGCGAAATGACATCAAACCTGATTTCACTCATAAACATGATAGCACAATAAACGCTTGGACTTAATAATAGCTGTAATACTGTATAAAACATGAAATTATCATATTCGACGAGTGAAATAAACACACAAACCTCTTCCTTATCCTTTTTGCCTCCAGTGAAGAGCTTGTATGCCCCAAAGAAAAGCAAACCCCATCCGGATAAAGATGCAATCACAAACTACAAAGCCAAGCTTATCCAGTTAAATATACTATTAAAGCATATCAACAATTTTCTTTTAGACTGATTGCTATGATTAAACATAAAATCAGTGTATTTAGATAATCTACTAGCATGGTGAATTTGGAAAACATTCTTTATGTTACCGATCATTAAAATGTTTACCTAAAGGTAGCAAAAGCGGAGGTAGTACATACGCAAGATGCAACACATTCATGGAATTTATAACTAAATTAGCAAATGTGAATCAAAAGAATCACCAAACAACAGTACAAGCAACATCTATAACATGATTATATGGGCCTTAACAGAAAATTAGTGAGATGAAGTCAAACATCTACTTTGCCTTGCCCTATTATTTATTTGCTGGAACTAAAGGCAGACTAGCCATGGAAATTACATTTGGCCTACTAAGAAAGAGAGAGGCTAAATAGTCCTCCCTCCCTCCCTCCCTTCCCACTCCAATCTTTTGATAATTTAAAAGGGTTCTCCTACTCTTTGAATGTATAACTATCATCTGATCTGATCTGAGATCCCCCCCAATTATTTGAGGAATTCAACTACCAGCCTGACAACACAAAGTAGCTGGGTTTGTTCTCAATGATTCACAGCTTGTGGTGCATCACAAAACAGAGGCTTTTCTGAGCCATTTTGTCAAACCACCAGATAGTCTATCAATACAAATTCTAGAAACACCTAGAATCAAATGATTCCATCCCAATTGCCACAGTTAAAAACAAGAATCTTGCAAATCAGACTGCTATTCTAGCTAGTTTGTTCTTCATTTTTACGAATTAGGTATATTCATTTCCTTAGGTTAAACCAAGAGAGACAGAATCCAAACAATCCGAATCCTCAAAGGCTTGCCATCAGCAAAATTCACCCAAAGGCCTAAAAATTAAACCGAAAAAATGCACATCAAAACTCACATGCTCTTCTTTCCATCTAGACGGAGTCAACGGATCTTGCCAGATATTGACCTTCGGTGGTCCGTGGTGATCTGAAAACCAAATAAAAACCAAAAATTCAACGACAATCAAGAAAAACTTTCAAAAAAGGGAAAATTATCATCAAATAAAATACAGAAAAAGGTATCTAATAATTCGGAATCGCATATTAAAAGAAATGATGAACTGATTTGTAGCAATGTGTTCGAATCAGTACCGGCAGCGCCGGCGAGCCCTCGGCGCGGAATCAGCAGAGCCGTCCGAGAAGCTGATGAACTCGAAGGTGCGAGGCGAGCGATATTCGCAGCTCTGCGCGCTGCCATGGCAGCCACTGAAGTAGTCATTGCTCGTCGATGTCGAATTGTGTGGAATGAGGCAACGGGTTCTTGAATGACAGAATTATGCTAGTACGATACGACGTCGTTTTCTGAAAGCTGCATTCATACTTTCGTTTCTCTTAAACTACATCTGGGCTGGGCTGGGCTTCATCTTAAATTCAATGGCCCAATTACTCCTTCTGGTATATCTATATCTAGCGGGCTAGCAGCTTCTATTCTATCTCAATAACCACTATAAAATTCACTTGTACTTTTACAAGATCACCAACAAACTTGCTACTTTTATGTATGTATATAAATTTATATAATAGACTTAAAATATTTAATTTTCAATTTTTCCATAAAACAACAATTTACTGAACAATTAACAATTATTTATTGAATATAAACATTTATTCGATATACTGCAGCATAACAATTTACAAATAAAAAAGGTCGTCATGATCAAATCACCGTCAGTGTAGTCACAATTATAATAAGATGGTTGTTTTTGAGTCGTCGAGTATTTACAAATTACAATGTAGCAGTGCCTAGGCCCTCACAAACCTCAATTAGTATTAATACTAGCTAGTGCAAATACATACGAAGTTAATTAATTTTATTCAAGAATTTATTTGTATTGTATTTGTTGTGGGTGTGGTTGTTGCTGCTGTAAATTCAATTGCATGATGCAACTCTTCAAGCTCCTCTCTCTTACCTATATGTATATATATATATATATATATATTCATCCAAGACAAAACAATAATTTACAAATAAAATGAAGAAGAGAATGAGATAGATGAATTATTAATGTACTTACATGCATGCATATATGAACGATTAATATATAATTACCTCAAGAGCGGCATAGTTTGCAAAAAGATCGAAGCATTCTTCTAACAGCAACTTCTCTCGTGTTACTACCGTTGCTAATTCTGATACCATCCTCACCGTCTCCTCAAACTAAGACATGCTCAATAAATAAATACATATATATACATACATGAATTAATTAATTTATAATGCAATGCAATGATGACATTACATAGCCAACAGGTACCTCAGGCGAATTCAAATGAGTGAGCATGGAGATGGAGATGGAGTGGATGGATGCAGCAACTACATCTGACGCGTGCCTCACAATGGATGCTGCTTCATTTGCTAATTCTACCTGCTTGCATTAACATACACTTTTTAATTAATTTTAACAATTAATGTTGATATTGATATCAAGACTAGTATATTATTATACCTTTGCTCCATGGATGAGTGGTATCCTACAAACCAGAGAATGCAGACAGTCTTTGGTGGACGAAACTGCAGATGAGTGTTGTCTTTCTATATTCCCCCACATTTCAAGTCTCTTCATCTGCATGCATGTATAATAATTAATTATATTGATTAATACTAGTGTAGTGTAGTACTAGTAGCTAATTAATTATTATATATGTACTTGGGAGATGAGTATGCAGTTGAGTTTCCAGTCCAATGTGGCCCTTTGCAGCTGCAGCTTCTTCTGTAGCATAGAGTGGCGGACCTTCATTTGGGCATTCCATGCATGCAACAGCTTCTCCTGCAATGCAATTTGCAAATTACATAAACTAAACTAAACTCAACACAGCTGCTACTCTGCACCTGCCTGCTTAATTATTCAAAATAAAAAATATAAAAGTCCAAGTCCAAGCCAAAACAAACTAACTAACTAACCTACCTCGGCCTGCTTCTTTGTAATGTCATTGACGGCTTCAGCTCTCGCATTTCCGTACCTCCATTGCATCAATCTACACTGCAGCAGCCTCCATTGATGCACACTCTCCGACGATGCAGGCCCAAGCGGGGACGACGACGACAACGACGACGATGATGATGTCCTCTTCCCCTTCAACAGCTCAATTCCGTAACTCAAAATATTGCCCACGCTTTTACCCCGCGAAGGACTCGTCGGAGGCTTCGAATTCGTCAACGCAATTACTTTGGCATTCGGGGACCCGACCCGACCCGGAGACGACCATGCCCAACTCCCCCCCTTCTTGGCTGAAAACAACTTTGGCGAACTGTCAGTGCTGTTGTTTTCGTGCTTCTGATCGGAGCTCCATCGCTTTGAGTTGGAGTTGGACATGGACAGGTACTTGGACGGAACATCGATCCCGTGCTTCCTTGAACTCACAGTAGAAGCCATATACGAATACGACGCCGTTTGGTTATTCTTCGCCGCCGCGGCCGCCTCCATGCTCGAGCAGACTTCTTCGCTGTACTCCGATTCCGAGTCGTCTGCCGATCCCAACGATTTCTTCCTCAGCGAATTCTCGTCCACTGAAAATCGTCCAGGAATGATTCCATCCGAGGATGAGTCGGAGGATTTTGCGGTGGAGAGCTTCAGTCTCGCGGTGTACCTCATGGAACCGCCGAAAATGGGCTTGTGATTGTGATTCTCCTTAGACTTATTAATTAATGATGATTGCTTCTCGTTCTCGTCGAATCTGCTGAATTCCGTGCAGCTCCGCTGTCGGTTGAGGGACAACGGATGCTGTTCGCGCTTGGATTTGCTCTTCCGTTGTTCGATATCGTCTCTCGCCCGATCGTAACCGATGCAATCAGCAAGGGTGTGATCCGGCTTATGGTTTGGAGGTGAAGACGATGGCCAAAGCCCGCGGAAAAACCCTGATTTCTCGAGAGTATTATGCTTCCTCGTATTGGAGGTTGATGACGAATTCGATTTTTGCATATTTAGGGTTTCAGAAATATTTGGGGATGCTTGATTTCCATTCTCAACTGACGAAGATGATGACATTAAAAACCTCGAACTGACTTGACGAACCTTTGGCTTTCTAAACTTGAGAGAGCCATCGGAACCCGCAGCTGCTTCTGCGACGCCTCCACCGTAGCTCGGCATCGGAAAATGTCGTCGTTTAATTACAGTGTAGGTTTTGAGCGAGAGAGAGAGAGAGAGGAGATGGCGAAGAGTAAAACAGAAATACGTTTCATATAAGGTGGCGGCAAAATAGGGATGGTTAAAGCGGCTGTAAAATGACAAAAACGCCCTTGGTGAATGTGGAATGAAGGGAATCTAATTTGGGGATTTCACGGTTAATTTGAATTTGGAGTGAAGTGGATATTCATTGTTTAGCTTAGCCGGCATACATAAAGGATCGAGTAATGTGTTTGTTTGGCTTAGCCGGCAATATATATTAATATACTAAGGATTAACGGGTCATTATATTTTATTAACGTATAGATTTGACACGTGTCTGAATATATATAGTGAGAGGTTGATTGAATATATTATGTAATACTAGAGAGTTTCTGAATTGGAACTGGCTGATGCTACATTATATTAGAAATATAATCCACTTGTGAAATAAAAAGTAAATTTGCTTATTTGCATATATGGAAATGTTGGTAGTAACAAACTAATTTACATATTTAAATATGTATAAGGAAAGGAATGGATAGAGTTACGCTTGATTGATTATGTAAGAGTAAAAGAATTGTATTCCCTTTTGAGTTTATTACAATGCAAATGACCCTTTCATTATATTCATTGTAGCCAAGATAATCCAACATCGTCCCAAACCTTAAGGCTAAGGCTAAGTCTATCATTAATGTATTTGTATGGTGAATCACAAGAAAACAAAAGACAATTACGACACAAGCTTCGTATTATTCATACATGACATGAGATGAGATGAGATGAGATGATGACACTCCCACAAAACAGATATGTCCCTTTTTTCTGTTTTTTTCTCTACTTGGTGCTATACAACAATACTAGTTCATACTTCTTTGCAATGCAGATGATCAAATTTCAGCACAGAATCTACAGCCCATTTTGCTAAATAATCTCTTCCACCATTACCAATCTAAATATCAACACATACGCCATTGCCAATCAATACAAATGCAACTGCGTTACAAAATGCCGACCTCCCTTGGGACACTGCCCCAAAGCATTAGAGATTTCTGTTCTCGACTATTCCTTGACAACCCATCTCCGCCCGCGAATCTCGTATCCACCATAAGTCTGGTCGCCACTGCTTTCGCAGCCGCTCTCTGCGCTCGTGTATCCGGATTTTCGGCGATGTTTTCGTCTCCTCGAAGCACTAGTGTCACTGGCACTCCCGGTTAAGAGGGGGTCATCAATTCCTCTGATAACTTGGCGTGCTGGCGTAGACGTGTCTATGCAGCTGTCATCTTTTGTTCGCCTCCCTTTTTCATGCTTCTTTATGTTCTGAGAGATCTTGTGGAGTTTCTGGTTGAATTTCGTGATACCCTTCTCTACAGGCACCACTGCTTGAGTCACCGTGGATCTCACATCATTCACAATCTGGATAACAGAATAACCCAATTTCGTGTTAATATTCAAACAATCGCAGCAAGAAATGACAAACATACATATAAAGCTATCCAAGTTTGCTAGGTCAAAAAACATGTGACGTAAATAACTAATACTATAGAAAACCAAAAATAAGACATTTTGGATCTGTATAGACATTTGTTTTATTTAACCAATACTCAAACATCCCCTCATAAATGCGATATTTTAAACAAACCCTTCCATGCTGGCTCTTAAATTAAGGGATATGCTTCAACTCCGTGTATGTGTGTGAGTTTCTTTTGCATATACATATCGCTTTTCAAACATGGCACAGTAACAAGAACTTACATATTCCCCTCCACCAATGAAAACATCCCGGACGCTTTCTCGGAAGGTCATTCCACTCCTGGGGTTATCATCAGGTTCTGGAAGGCGCAACTTGGTTGGGCGTTCACTGTCCCTAATCTCATCGGGATCGAGAGGACAATCCACAGATGCATAATCCCCCAGCACTGCAATGCTTCCAGAAAAACGATCCCCCATTAACTCGTAAGGCTTCGCGGGGAAAACATAAAGGTGAACCACAGAAGCAACGCCCATCTGTCCTAGATGAATACACAGACCTTTTAAACCTAGAAGCATTGAATAAGTTCGGAATTAACAAAGTAGCACACAAAGCATTTAGAATTGCATGTCATCGATTCTCCTGAACCATCCTAGAAAAAAAACTTCTCCACATCACTGTCAGTTTTCCTACCAAACATGCAACCATCAACACATTGATATTCCACAACTTACTGGTTTTTATAGTCTAAATTCACAAAATAGCGAGGATAACTAGTAAGTGTAAGTGTATAAGGTTCTACTAACATGGAACATCATTTCATTTTTGGGAATTCAACAGCCAGGACCTAGGCTTAGTGACCTGAGTAAGACTTGAGCAAATCCATGAGACTTGTTTTAAGAATTACTCTTTTTAACTGAATATAAATAGTCAACAACTACATAAATCATTTAAAAATGTAAAATTTTAGGTTAGGATGTTACTAAACTTTTTCTTCAAGTAAAAGTGAACTAGCTAAGAGAATGATAAGGATCGGGATTAACATAATTATGAAGGACCTAGAATATAGAATCGTTGGAAATAAAATACCCTTCCATTTAGTCGAAGTTTTTCCTTCCAAAAAGTGGGAGAAAGTAAATGAATCCTTGATGGAATAAAAGTTTTTGTTTGCTATGACACAATACAATCTCCCAGCTATCAAAAATAAAGACTGACAAAGATGAACATGTCAAATTATATCATCTTCTATTCTTCTGCACAAATCACTCCAAACTCCCAAACAAAAAGAAAATAGACATTTTCGTCTTTCGTTAAACTTCCAAAAACAAGTATTTATTATTTCTCTTTCCTTTTCTCTTCAGTTCTGTTCAGTGTTCACTTCTTTTCACTTCCTAATAAGCTCACAAACAAAGCCATATACTCTAGGTAACATCTAAAGCTTGAACTTACCAATTAAGCAAAGTTATAGATACACACAGAGAAGTAATAGGTAAAGTTTCTAGATAGACTTCCAAAATAAATTGAAAGGTATTGATCATTCACGTAGTGGAGAAATATCAGTGGTCAAGCCCTTGAACTACTTGCTAAACATAATAAATACTAGAGTTGACTTGATAAAAGAAAACTTGACAATTACCTCAATACAAATAATGAAATCCTGGACGCTTGATTTAAACTGCAGAGACTGAGCAATTGGGCTTTTAAATAAACCAATGGCATAGAAAAGTGCTATCGCCACACCTTGCCACCAAGTTAAGAACACAATTGATTTGAATGTCAAAAACTTGTACAGTGGTTTAATGTGTGCCAACTCATCTTTTGTGATGGCATAAAAATGAACCAAGCAATACAAAGCCCATGACTGACTGAAATTCAAAACCACAGCCATGTATGGGTACCTATAACATAAAGAAAAAAAATTAAAACTGAGCTTTATTCAGAAAAGCTAGTCTATGTTGGTGCAAATTCAATACAAGTAAATATGATGAGTCACGAGACGAAATATTGGTCATCAACGTGAAATTTAAGCAAACAAATACAGGTAAAAAATGGAAACACCAAGGAATAACACAAAAATATCTGATGGTATCTCTGTCTATACATATGATTTTTAGAAAGTAAAAACATGAAATCAATAAATGAATGAACACTGCAGTGTGTACCTCCAACAGTAGATTAAGAATTCATTCAAATTTCTTATCATTTAAGTATCACTACACCATTAACATTCAAAACAAGTATTGATTGAATTATCCAATATTTATACTGTGTAACTTACCATAGGTTTCTTTGAAGTCTCCATAATATGAACCATAATATGAAAAAGCTTCAACAATTACAGCTAAAATTAAGATGAGTGCTAAGACCTACTCTACACCAACCATGAAAAATAACTTACCCACAATTCCATTTGAAGTCTCCCTCACAATATACACCAAAAGCTTCAAGAATTACAGCTGTAATAGCTGTAAGTGCTTTTATAATCATCTGCATTAAGAATGATGCAATTCTTAATACACAGAAAGATACAATATATGTGGGTTTCCAATAAAACATATTGAAAGGTCCTATCGAGAAAGAAACTCACATACTGAACGATTCCAAATTTGATGACCTGATAAACCCACTGACCGAGCTTCCAGGGCTTCAATATATAGTTTAATGGAAAGGGATGCTTCACAATTCCCCTTTCAGTGCCATGATCAAGAAGTGGGGCTTTTAAACCAGCACGTCCTTCCCTTTCCATAAATTCAATCGTCCTCTCTTCTCCACCTAAGTCAACGTGAAAATATACAATGAGCGCGTTCTAAAGAACAGCACAAGTGCTTTTGTGGAGATTTAGTGGAATCGTAATCACATCATAGTAGAGAGTTTCTCTTCAGAGGAAAAGGAACTTGAACTTCAAGGACGAAATTTGAGGATCATACCTAAGCAAGCAACTAAATACCTCCCAAAGCAATACATAGCAAAGGATTCGTAGCAATCACGAAGGATCCCAATGTCAACACTGATTGATGGGTTTACCAATGATACAAACTGCAAATCAAAATGCACGAGAATGAAACAATGATACAATCTACAAACCAAAAACATATATATATATATATATATATAGAAATCCTCTGGCTAAAATTAGTAAGATAACTATAAACATCGATCAACAAATGTAGAAATCCTTCACAAACTCCTAATCCTAACCGATAAAGATTAACAATAGAAATGTTCATTAAAGTACCCCATTTAAATTTTATACTAATAAAGCACAGACAAGATGGCAAAAAAAAAAAACTTACTGATTCAACAGCATAGCAAGGCACCATCAGTATAACTCCAATCAAAAACTTTTGCTCCTGCAATGATCAAAAGATCAGAAAATAATCCACAAAACCATCCCCTTACAAAAGAAGCAACTGATAGCACAAATAAACGACCTCGGGATTCTTGTACGAAGAGAGGTGCTCGAATAGGAGGTACACCGAAAGGGTGAGAGTTGTGCCAACGAAAACCCCGGCGATCAAAACGGCCCATATGGGAGTGGAGTACCCGCTGCTCGCCCAAATGGAATAGTAGTAAAACCCTAAATCAATGATTCTCTGCAGCATCAATTCTTCCTTTCCGGAAAACTCCTGCTGAGGGTTAGAATTTTGGTCGCCGCCTATCGAAGCTCATATGAATTTGCTTCAGATCCTTGCTTGGGTGGAGAAGACGAAGATGAAGACGACGAAGAAGTGATTCAATTGAATTTGGGGACGTGGGACGCTATGATTGGCGACAAAATTATTCATCGCATGTTTAATAATACTTACTAATTACTATATTTTAAAATAATATTTAGTGGAATAGTATTGCTCTTCAATTTATCAAAATAAATTAAATTTTTAATAAATAAAGAAATAATATTTAAAAAAAAAAAAAAACTAAAACGAACTTCTTACCAACAAACATACATGTAGTATGATAATAAAAATAATTTATTATATATAAAAAAAAAAACATATAGTATAATATTTTAAAGTAAAATAATAAAAAAAATTTAATCCCAAAGTTACAAGCCCATGTATATTTACCCTGTTATTGGGCCTATCCATGGTCCATTCCCACGTCGGCGTGCGTGTACTACTATGACCGGGTCCTACATTGACCTACTTCAGTATTCGGAACCTAGGGTTTCTTTGAAATCCCTATAAAATCAAGAAGCATCTGTACCTCTTCTCATTGGCCTCCGTTGGCAAACCCTAATCTCAGAAATTCGCTGCGCCGAATTTCATGCCTATTTCCTTACATAATTTGATCTTTCGATTGTGCTTTGTATGTGTTTCGTTCGTAACAATGCATTCGCTGTTTGACGCACGTAGCCTCCCGGGCTCCTCTGAATTCAGATCTGAAGAATGAAGCCCCAATGCTCGTGCTAAAAAGATGTCGTCAAGTGTTGCAGATTTGCCTTACTGTACCTTTTTGCTCCACGGCTGATCTGTGTCAAATCGGCGGCGACATGTGCCTCTTTTTCTCGTTAGATTGTTTTGGTTTTCAAGTCTGTTTGCCTCTCCACACCTTTAGCTTTTTTTCTGATGATTATTTATTTTGTAGAAAAAAGAGCTAGTCATGGAGGCATAAATGGATGCGGTTTTTCACGTGGGGGTTTTCACCTTTTTCCATTGATTTACCTCTAAAGATATTCGCTACATGGTTGATCTTGATTTCGATAAAATCTCCAAATTTATTGATTTACAAGCTTTGATTTTGGCTATGATTAATTCTTATCCGCGCTTCTGAGATCTTCAGTCGATGAAGCATAAATCGGAACAATGGTTGAATTTCTTGATATGAGCCATCAGTACAGTCTGAATTTTTCAATGATTTTATTTTTGATATATTTTTTGGTTCTGGGTTGTGTACCTATGGCTGTGATGATTGTTTTATACAGCTTGTTTATGCCAGTTCTGCTTCAGAAAATTCTTGATAGATAAAGCTGTCAAATAACACTGAGCCTCTTATGCCAATTATTGTGTTGTAGTTTTTATTTTATCCTATGTTTTATTTGATTTCAATTGGTTTAACAATCAATGATGAGCCATCCACATAATTGAGGTGTTGTTGATTTCGGGACCCTGTTCATCAGGGAGAACCTACCCGGAGTTGCTACACTTAATTGTGATATTTCTGGATGTTTCTGAGATTAAATTTTTTGAATTCAATGTCTTTCTCTTGTAAATCTTTGTTATTTTGTAAAATTATCTTTTTCCAAATCCTAGTTGGTTTTCCATGATACAGATTTATACTATTGCCGATGATGCTTTGTTGGATAGTAAATGATTTGCAGTGAAGCTGAGACCTTGTATTTGCAGGGGGAACCCCTTGGTGGATCTGTATTGCAAATGATCAAAATCCTTTTACTGAGGCAAATTTTAACTATTTGTTATGTATTATAATTGTGGTTTTTTATACATATTGCCATATTGTATTAGTGCTGATGATGTTTGTTGGATAGTAAATGAGGTGCAGTGAAGCTGAGTCCCTGCATATGCAGGGGGAACCCCTTGGCGGATCTGCATTGCATATGATCAACATCCTTTCACTGAGGCAAATTTAAACTTTATGTTAGATATTCCTGAATGTTCCAAATTGAGTTTTAACTATACCCTTGATCACACATTATTTGGATTTAGGGTCTGATAAACTCATAGAATTAACCGGGTGTTTTCATCAGCTTCTTCTCTTGATTTTTCTCTATGAGAATGGAGTCAAATAACAGCACTATATTCCTTTTGTAGCTGACACAATTTGCTCTATTTATTTTCCAGTTTGGAATGTAAAGGTTTTGTTTCTTTTTAGAAGATTTTTCATTGTCCTAATAATTTACCACAATTTCCAAAGTTAATATATATGTCTGCAATTGTATTTGGACTTAGCAAAAGGGTATTTACAAATATAGGCTTTAATCGCCAGTTCATTTTATTTAAGTTGCTAACACTTGATACTGAGTTTAATCTATTTTCTTGGCCTTTACAAAAAAATTTTGTTTGAAGGCCCGATTAACTCATAGATCAATTGTGCTGTTTATCAGCTTATTTCTCTTTTTGAGATTGGAGTTAAATGGCAGCGCAATATTTTTTTAACTGAAAATTTTATGTAAATATTGGTTATGATAATGTCTTGTGCTAGTTTGTATAGTAAATTCCTTTTGTTCATGCATGTTTATTATCACTTATGTTTAATGTAAAAGGCAGTACCACTTCTGCTTGTTTTATCTCGTATGTTTAATGTGAAATAAGTTCATGATATCTGGTGCAAGTATAAGCTATTTTGATTTTGGTTAGTAGGTTTTTTGCATATATTGTTGGCTTCAAAGGTTTATATAGATAAGACAATGTATTCCGACAGCTTTGTATATTTGTCCAAGAGGCAGTAGAAATTAATCACAATCACTTTGATTTATTGTGTGAAAGTTTATGATTTTTAAATCATAATGATAATGAAAATCAATTGTCGCCACCTCTCTTTTTAAATATTACGTATATATTAATGTTTAATGGAAGAAGCCATACAATAACAGAAAGTGGAAAGAATGTGAAGGATAGAAATTGCATGAAAGCGATTGTGGGCCACTCAACGTGGTGTCCGTATTTTTAAGATAGTCATTTCTATTTCTACATATCAAAGTTTAGATTGGAAATAATACAAGACTAAATTGTCTTTGCTTTCAGATAATCGTAAATAAATGTAAAAATAATATTAATAGTTAATGGCAAAGTGCATAGTATAATGAAATAAAATAAAGAAATATAATGTAATTTTAAATGATTATTTTGTAATATATATGTGGCGATTCGAGTCGGTAAATTATTTCATCCTAACTCGACCTGTTTATTATCGTGTCGGGTTCGTGTTAACTCGTTTATTATCGTGTCAAGTTCGTGTTGACCCGTACACATAATTAAGTCGAATTTTGTGTTAATTCATTTATTATCGTGTTAGTTTTGGGTTGACTCGTGTTGACTCGTATATATAATTAAGTCGAATTTCGTGTTAACCTGTTTATTATTGTGTCAGGTTCGGGTTGACTCGTGCTCGTGTTGACTCGTATACATAATTAAGTCGAATTTCGTGTTAACCTGTTTATTATTGTGTCAGGTTCGGGTTGACTCGTGCTCGTGTTGACTCGTATACATAATTAAGTCGAATTTCGTGTTAACCTGTTTATTATTGTGTCAGGTTCGGGTTGACTCGTGTTGACCCGTATACATAATTAAGTTGAATTTCTTAATTCAAATTAAATAATTTTTTGTTATGTTGTCGTGTTATGTTAGTTTTTATTGGTTTGAGCCTAAATTAGGTTGAATTATTAAATTATGATTATTTTACATATATAATAAATATATTTCCGTCCATAAACTAATGTCCTACTTTTCAATTTGGGATGTCCAACAACTATTGTCCTGTTTCCTTTTTTAAATACACATTTTATATTTTTACCCTCGTTCATTTATTACTTTTAATATCTGTTGTACAATTAAGAGCAAATTTTGTCAATTTATAACGAAAAGACAATCACCTAAAAAACCGTGCAAATATACTTTAAGACAATAAAAATTAGACGGAGGGAGTAATATATTATAATCGGGTTGTCGTGTCGAGTTGAGAGCCTCAACCATAATTCGACTCATTTACTATCGTATTGGATTTGTGTCAATCCATATGTATAATCGGGTTGAAATATTTAACCCAAACTCAATTATTTCGTGTCGAGTTGTGTCGGGTCAATTTTTCCCAGCTTTACTAAACATGATACCATTCAACAATAGCAATATTAATAATTTAATATTTACTTATAACGTTTATTTTTTTATTTTTGTTTTATCTCCACTTTTTTTTTTTCTTTTAAAAATTATAATCATTAATGTAATTTTAAATTTCAACTAGATTAGTTAGATTTTTAATTTTAATTTAAAATTATTTTTATTATATAATAATATTTTTTATTATTTATTAATTATATCTCTCTTAAATTTTGAAATATTGTAATCGGAATAGAGGATGGAGAAAATAATATTTAATATTTATTTTCATGTTAAAATATATAAATAAGTCAAAAAAAAAAAAAAAAAAGAAAAACCATAACTGTGTTTGTTTGCTATATAAGCGCGATTGTTTATGTTTTCAAACATATATTAGTAATATTATGTATATATCTATATATATTGTTTTGAAAAATTATAGGAGTATATTGATCATATATACATTATTATATACTCCCTCCATCTTAAACATCATCTCAAATACTGTGCAACATAATATCTATTATTATATACTCCCTCCATCTCAAACACTGGGCAACATAATCTCTACCCACGGCTTTATCCCATCACATCACTCAAATAAAAAAAAATATACATTTATCTCTTCATTATCTAATTTCTAAATTATCCTAATACTATCTACTAAAAACTGGTGCCTAAAACAAACAAAAGTTGCACCTTATTTGGGGACAGAGGCAGTAATATAAGACATTATGAAAATTTTATTTTCAGTTAAGAAACATTTAAATTGAAATAAATTTATTACATTTTCGAGAAGGCGGAGACAATAATAATAAAATGATTAATGAGCCATGCAGCTTTTGAATAGTGAAGGGAGGAGAGGAGAGGACACATGTCGGTAGGCATCCAAATATAGTAAGTTTTATATGTCGTCGTTAGTTTGTTAGTTTGTGTAGGTGCTGCGGAGTCGCACTCGCACCAGTAGCCAGCTGTTTGGCTTCCACGAAACCTGTCTCTCTTCTCTTTCTGTATTCAGACATACATACATACATACATACATACATTTCCCTCCATCACTAACTTCCAATTCCTTTTTTCCTTATGTTGATATAATAATAATACTGACAATCAGCGATGAAGACGAGATTCTTCTCGTGTCTGAAGACACTGATCAACACTGGCGGCCAATCCGCCGCTTCTAATTCCACCAAGCTTTTGCTTATCTGCGCAATCAGGTATGGAATACATAATTATATTATTACAAAGAGAAGAGACGAGTGCACTTGCTTGATCGAATTATAAATAAGTAAAACACAAAAAATATATTGTTAGTGGGACAGGAGGCGTAGCGGCATACGCAGATTCAAATTCATCTGCTGCACCCAAGAAGAAGCAGCGAGTGCTGGTGCTGGGGACAGGATGGGCCGCCACCAGTTTCTTGAAAGATTTGGACATCTCAACCTACGACGTCCAGGTTGTTTCTCCCCGGAATTACTTCGCCTTCACCCCCTTGTTGCCCAGTGTCACCTGCGGCACCGTCGAGGCCCGCAGCGTAGTCGAGCCTGTCCGAAACATCGTCAAAAAGAGAAACGGCGAGATCAAGTTTTGGGAGGCCGAATGCCTGAAGATCGACCATGTCAACAGAAAGGTCTTCTGCCGTTCCAACATCGACGAGGATTTGCCCGGAGACAACTCCTTCTCCTTAAATTTCGATTACTTGGTCATAGCCGTTGGAGCCGAAGTTAACACTTTCAACACTCAAGGCGTCAAGGAGCATTGCCATTTCTTGAAGGCACGTACTGTACTGTGTCTGTTTCTTTGTTTGTTTCCGACAATACAATTTTAATGTAATTGTATCTATCTATATATCTATCAACATTGACATCGCTGCAGGAAGTGGAGGATGCTCAAAGCATCCGAAGGGCTGTAATAGATCGCTTCGAAAAAGCTGTCCTACCCGAACTCACAGAAGAAGAGCGAAAGATGATCCTCCACTTTGTGATAGTCGGAGGTGGTCCGACCGGCATTGAATTCGCGGCCGAGCTCCACGACTTCGTCCATGAAGACTTGGTCAAAATATATCCGTCGGTTAAAGACTTGGTTAGCATCACCGTCATACAATCCGGCGATCATATCCTAAACACGTGCGCATTTACACTTAATGCTTTCAACTTTCTTTCCGCAACTGGAAATAACTTATTCCATGGTTTTTGTAGGTTCGACGAGAGGATTAGTACATTCGCCGAGAAAAAATTCAAGAGGGATGGTATTGAAGTCCTAACAGGGCATCGTGTGATGGGTGTTACAGACAGGAAACTTCATATGAAAGCAAAGGCCACGGGGGAGGAAATCTCGATACCACATGGGATGATCGTATGGTCCACCGGAGTCGGGACCCGACCAGTGATAAAGGAATTCATGGAACAAATTGGCCAGGTAATAATAATATCAAATGTGTATAAATCAACATTACTCTGTTTTCTCACACAACTTTGAACTTGATACCTCTGCCCTTTAATTTGTTGTTGTTTCTAGGGAAATAGACGTGTTCTAGCCATAGATGAATGGTGTCGAGTACGAGGACTCGAAAATATCTACGCGATCGGGGATTGCTCCACCTTGTGCCAGAAAAAGATTATGGTAATCTACAAATTTTATAGTTTTCTTCTTATAAAAAAAAGTAGTATGAATTGATTCGATGATTTTATTTTGTAGGAGGATATAACAGATATATTCAGAGAAGCCGACACAGACAACTCGGGTACATTAAGCATGGAGGAATTCGAGGATGTGATCGAGGATGTGATCATTCAGTACCCTCAAATAGAGCTGTATTTGAAGAGCAAGATGTTGAATGTCTCCGATTTGCTAAAGAGCATGTACAATGGTAAAGAAGAGGTCGACATCGACAAGTTCAAGTTGGCATTGTCCGTAGTAGATGAACAAACAAAGAGTCTTCCCGCAACCGCTCAAGTAAATTCATCTCCGCATTATTATTATTGTTCATGTACATTGATCGCACTCATATCTTTCGTATTCATATACTTCATTTTTACAGGTTGCGGCTCAGCAGGGCGCGTATCTTTCGAATTGCTTCAATAGAATGGAACAGTGTAAGAAGAACCCCGAAGGGCCTCGTAAGTTCCAATCCGGTGGTGGCCGTCATGAGTTTCGCCCTTTCAGGTACTTTCTAGTCTAAGTAAGGATAGAACACTCACTCCTTTTGTGATTTTAACAAATCTTGTTTGCGGGATTTAAAAAAGATATCGACATCTTGGGCAATTTGCGCCTCTTGGTGGGGAGCAAGCCGCGGCTGAGCTGCCGGGAGATTGGGTGTCGATGGGCCGTAGCACACAGTGGCTTTGGTATTCTATATATGCTAGGTGAGCAGCTTATGAATCCATCCTTCTACCAACATTACAATCGACGTCTACAAATTCACATCATGTTGTTTTTGGCAATTTTACGTGCAGTAAGCAAGTTTCTTGGCGCACTAGGCTACTTGTAATAAGCGACTGGTGCAAGAGATACATTTTCGGTAGAGATTCAAGTCGCATCTAAGAGAGGGTAGTAAGAAAGAAAGACCAGGATTGAGATCTATACATGTATGTATACATGATCTTGTTACACAGCCAGGGGGTGTTTCTAGTTCCTTCTTTGGAGTATAGACTCATTCCTGAATAACTACTACCATTTACTCATTCATTCATTCATTCATTATAGCCAATCCTAAGGTTGTCTTACAATGCTGATGATGATGAAGAAACAAACTTATCTTTATCTTTTAGCCTTAAAAAAGGAGGTCTTTTTATTTTGTTACCCTTTATGTCTGTCTGTCTTTGCACCTCAAAAGCAAAAGGTTCTACAAAAAGTGGCAGATTCTTTTCAATAACCAATTTATTGTCCCCTCCTAATTCAAAAGGCTAAAAAACTCTTTTGTAAAGGTAGATAGAATACATTGTGAACAGAAAAAACATAATGGTATGAAATCAAACTACTTCTGTGGATCAATAGACATCATATTCATTTATAACAAGAATGAGGCAGAAATAAGTGGACAAATTCAATTACTATTATAACACCACACGATAGTATGTATTCATCAGATTGACAAAAAAAGACAAGTTTCAAGAACCCAAATAAAAGCAAGCACAAGCATGCTTTGCAAAATCCTAAAAACACTTACACAACCAGCACAACGCAGACCATTCATTTATTCTGTATATCATCCATCATCGGCATCAGGAGCAGCTTAAGTAGTGTTACTTTTAAAATATAACGAGCTTTCATGTAACATAATGATTACCTCTCATCATAATCATCATCATCTTCTTCCGGATAATCGAGCGTCTGAAATATCGACGGATTCCCTTCCTCGTCCTCTTCTTCATCATCCTCATCATTGCTGAAAAAGGATTTCCTCCTGCTCAATTCAGCAACCTTCTTAGCTGGACCAGAGTCCCGCGGACTGTCATTTGTGCAACGTGCAATCCTAATCCTCGGAAGCAAGCTAGGAACACCAATGACCGGCTCCGGAGTGGATTTCAACGCCACTGTCTCAACTACACTGCCATGAACTATGATCTCGTTCGGGATTTCCCACCTCTTCTTCACCCGGGATTTCCCAGCAGACAAAGACCTTTTCTTGTCACACCTCTTTCCATCATCCTTATCATTCTCCTCAGGCAAGGATCTCTTCCTCAATGCCGATCCCTGATTGTATCTGCTCGCTACAATCCTCCCTGTCCTCATCCCACCCTTCTTATTAGTCCCTGGCGCCGACTTCTCCCCCTCCTTGAACAATTTCTTGGGCTGGATTGCGTTCACAATACTGTCCTCTTTCTTGACTGTCTTTCTTGATGCAATTGTGGTCACCGCCTGCCGTGGAACCACCTGCGACTTCGCCGCCACTTTTCTTGATTTGGGGCTCACGCTAGAACTCTGTCCCCTGGCTTTAGTCACGGCAACCTTATCCTCAGCAATATCTTGCATCTTCCAGAAGCAAGACTTTCTCCTACTTGACAGAGGTGTGTTCATTTCTGGCCTCCCTAAATTCCTCAGTTTTGGGGGCCCGAACGTCTCCGCCGCAACGGCCTTTCTTGCAATTTCAGCAGGCCCTAGACTATAGCCCCTTCTCGAAATCTTTGTTCTTGAGGGAAATTCATCAATCTGTGGTTGTCTCTTCTCCTCTTCAATTTTGGGACTGTTCTTAGGTTCCATGAACTTTGCAGGCACAACTTTTCCCCTTCTCTCCACAGATTTGGTGCAGCCCCTTCTCTCCGCTTTCTCGATCTTCAACGCCTCTAATCTCAAATTCAACCTCAGAATCTCGGATTCAATCTCTTCGATTTCATTATCAATCACCTTATCATCGCGGTGTTGCTTCCCCACCCCAGGACTTTCGCAAATCCCCCCTTTCTCGCGCAAAACCCTAACATTTGATTTATCAAGCTTGTTCACCGGCTTGAATGGCGCGATGAGTGATGACTTAGGAGAGGGAATTTGATTCACAAGAACTTGATTCTCCTTACCAGTGACGGAATCGAAGGACGCATTCGGATTCTCGAAAATCGGCTTCAGTGAACCCCAAGACTGCTTGTTCGCCGGCGGGTCCTCCGGAATTTCGCCATTATCGAACGCGGCGTTGTTCCATACCTGAAGATCTCTGGACGAATCCAGGCCTTCAGGAAATTGGACACTCATTGTTTGCTTCAAGAACTACGACCGAATAAGAAGAAGATGGGATTGCAGACTTGGTGATTTCCTTGAGTGATTTCTCTCTCGAGAAGACAACGAGTTTTTGTAAGGTATGTCTGATTTTTTGACCGTTGGGTTCAAAATAAACGTTATGGGGGTGTCCGCTCTATCGCAGCCGTTGGATGGTGAACGGCTATTACAGACGCTCCGATTTGAAATTGTCTTCGATTATTGACTTAAATGGAGGAGGAGCCTCCCTTCCTTATCCTTTCCCTTGAATATTAAAAAAGAAAAAAGAAAAATCATTATGGACCAAAATAAACCAAAATTTAAATTACAATTAAACGTTCCCAGTCCTGATTTAATATAAATATATCAGTAAACTTACGTAAATAAATAAATTGCTTCATAAGAAGTGGTTGAATTGGCTAACTTTTCCATGTTATAAAATAATTTGAATTGAATTGTTTAAGTACAAAAAAATGTATAGGATGGGTGTTTACAAAATGAATTTATTTATTTGATCCAAATTCAATTATATTTTTTATTAATATAAAAAACATTTGATATATAACCGAAGGCAATCTTATGAATCCCAAGGTCTCCACTTTCAATATTTATGCTACCGTAATAGATAAAATGTAAAGCGAAATACGCGTATCAACTGTTCAAATTCACCACCCCTCGTTTTTGGGAATGATCAGATTGCCCCTAATTACATTGCCACACTATTTACATCCAAGTCCATCTTATGGACCTCCCAAAATCAAACCAAATGACCATACTGCCCCTTAACCTACACCCTCAGGCCTCAGCTCTGCCCCCAACAGTTCAAGTACATGACCTGCCGGAGTGACTCCTCCGCCGGTGCCGGTGCCTGCGCCTGCTTCCTCCGCCCACGATCCGAGCTCAAAATGCTCGAAACCGCTCGGATATCTGCGGAGGCGCTACCGCCGGATAAAAAACGCCGCTTGCCGTGGTCGAGAGATTTCAGAGCGTACTTGATCTTCCACCCTTGATCGGAGTGGCCGCTCACGGCGGCGACTGCGGCGGCCATCCAAAGTCTATTCGCGTAACTCATATTTCTTCTTCGATCTCAAACACTTGAGAACTCGAAAATTAATTTCTGTAGATTGCTTAGTGAAGTGAAGAGTGGAGTGATGCGATTGGCTAGAAATATATATACAGCCACAAAATGTTTTGGTTTTATTCTTTAATAGAGAAAGTGAAAGTGGAGAGGTGGAAAGGTCTGGAGGCAACACGTTTACAAAGTGGGACACGTATCATAATATGCTATGCTAATCAATAGTCTGCATGCATTGAACCTCGCCCGACCCGCGTACAGCCGGGTCTGCTCTGACTCGAGTTAAAATGGACCGGCCCATACCCGACTCAGCACGTTGCCATATACGATTGAATAATGTATAAGGGATGATACTTCACTGCGGGTTCCAACTTTCCAAGGGTACAACTGCAGCGGCTTTTCGCGTCACAGAAAAATAAATATATTCTTATTAACAATATTTGTAAATGAACAGTATAATTGCTATAAAAAATAAAATAAATATTTTATTTTGAAATTTAGGAAGATGGATGGAGAATTATTATTTTATTTGATCATTTATTTTTTAATTATCAATTTTATTCATTTATTAACCATCCCTTATATTTATATTTTATTTTTATCAATATTAACATTTAATTAAGCATGGAGCTATATTAATAAAATGAGTTATGTTTATATCTTAAGTATAAATAATTGAAATGATGTTTTAATTAAGTAATTGCAAGCCAAGCATGTGCATGATGATAGATTTGAATGTACGGGTCTTTCTTTAATTAAGAAATGATGAGACTGAGACTGAGACTGAGACTGAGAGTGACTAGTGAATTCTTACACGCAACAGCTAGCAACGATAATTAGAGTTGGAGCCCTCCCTGTTAGCAAATATAATTATTTGAATATTAGACATCAAACCTAATAATCTGATCACATTTGTGTTAGGCAATGGATGCATCAACCCAAACCCAAACCCAAACCCAAAACGACATGTTTACTTTGAACAATGTAAAAATATTATTTAATCACAGTTTAAAATAATCTATCTCAACTTACTATGTTTTAGTATTTTTCTATATTACACTACAAATATTTGTCTTTTATTACAATAAAAATAATTATATACTAATATTAAAATATCATTAATTTTTATATAAGCTATAAATATAACTTTTCACTTGTAAATAAAACTAACCGTTTGATTATATAAGATGTGATAGATATAATTATTTTGATACGACTGAAATATTATATAATCACATGAAGTAAATAAATATTTTGAGTCTTTAAGAGTAATTTCTAATTTCCTGATCTATTTATACGTATAGTATTAATTCCAAATGTATATTTGTACATGATTTTTATCTCGGACAGGCAACGTGAGGTCAGCATCACGCGAAACACGTGTCCAAGACCCATTGGTTCTGTTTATACAGCTCAAAAATTGTAAAATCCAAAACCAAAGTCGGATAATCCGTTAAATCCTCGCCGCTCAGATTGTGGCCGCTCCTTTTCTTCCTCTCAGTTCTTCCCCGCAGCGACTGATGGAAATTTCTGTTTCCTTGTGAAATTTCAACTTCTTTTCTTGATCAATTTGCTCAATCGGTTATGGCGGCAGTCACTTCAGTCTCCTTCCCCGCAGTGGCTCAATATCCCGACCGGAAATTCTCCGTGCGTGGTTATTCGGCTTCAAGTATTTACACATTTAAGCTCCGCAATGTGGTGTCGTATGATTTGTGTAGTATTCGTGCCTCCAACGCGGCTCGGATGGTGGTTCGTTGCATGTCCACAAGTACAGGCAAGCTCCTCTTTTGCGGGTGAAAATTCGTGTTTTTGATTATGTATTTGAACAAGTATTTTGAAGTATGTGGAGTTTTGGAATTTTGTTTCTATGTATTGGGAAATGGTATCGGTGGCGGTGGTTGTTTGTTTCCTTGTTAGTTCTAATACTGTTTTTGGAAGAGAAGGCTTGTTGGAATAGCAGTTGCATTAATGGAAAAAAAGTGAAATGTGGCCAAGGAAACTTAAGTAGGTATAGACATGTAGTTGTTATTTTCTCTGATGTAAAGGAGTACACTTTCCTTCAAGTAATGTCATTTGATTCATCATGATGTTGTGCTGTGCAGTTAATTTTTAAGTCTTGGGGGAAAATCCCAACGAACCACAAATTTAAGCCTCATCATGTTCTGTAGTTAATTTCAGGTATTGGCTATTGGATATTTGTTCGCATGTTTGTTTTCGAGGACCTAGAGAACATTTTCAAATATGAACCATTGCTTATGGTTTGCTCAATCAAAATTACTTTCTTACTTAACGGGATATATCATTTATACATTGATGTTGTTTGTCATGTTTTTCCTGAAACTAGCACTGGTTGAATTCAGCACTTTAATCCTATTAGGTGCTATGACTTTACAAATTTTACATGTCTTTCAAAATACTGAGATGATATTTCTTTTAAAATGATAGGGTTTGGTTTTAAAATGAAGAAATTGAGTTTTAGCAATATATTATGTTAATAAATGGTATCTTTGGTAATTTTTTAAAGCATTAACTATTTGTTTACTTTTTGATTGTTTTTGTGGTTTTTGGTTTTGATGTTTTTGAGGTAAAATAGTTGGTGAACTTGACGTTTGAATGGAAAATTGGTGTTAGATATGGTTTTGGACGGAAATTGCAGATGAATAGTTAAAAATAGGTGTAGATTCACAGGTGAACAAACCTTAACAAATGATAATTCTGACTTGATTAGCGTAAGTGTTGAAAACTTTGATTATTTTCATTTTACGTGCAATTCAATGCTCTTTTTCTTTCTCTGTCGCTCTAGTTTGCTCTTATATACTAGTTCTCTTTAGCTTGGCAGTATTGCTTCTGAAAAGTTTCTTTTGATATTGATTATATACAGATATTCCTACTGTCTCTGAGACAAAGATGAATTTCTTGAAGGCATACAAGAGGCCAATTCCTAGTGTATATAACACAGTATTACAAGAGTTGATTGTACAGCAGCATTTGATGAAGTACAAGAGGTCATACCGGTATGATCCTGTGTTTGCACTTGGTTTTGTTACTGTTTATGATCAACTCATGGAGGGGTACCCAAGTGATGAGGATCGAGAAGCCATTTTCAAAGCATATATTGAAGCTTTGAAGGAGGACCCTGCTCAATATAGGCATGTACTAAATCATTCTGTTGTTCTTTCCCCTATTTTGCTCCTAACCATACTAAAATATAAGAAGGTAATCTCTCTGACTTAATATTAGGCCATTTCAAATTTGTAAAAATAGCACATTAAGGGAGAAGAGACTATTACAAACTTAATTTTTATTTAAAAAGCTGTTTGTACATAATAGCTACAGTTTTGGTGGGTTGTTTTAACACCGATTCAAATCCTTCAGTGAGAACAAAATTTGAAGTAAGGGGTTAGGCTAGGAGCACTGTTTATGGTGATAAGGGGATTTTTAGCAATCCCTTAGCTGTATATGTAGAAGTTGGTGTGGTTCATAATATTTAGAAAGATGTCGGGCTACACTAAAGGCAACTTCTATGCTGGTGACTGAGCATTTGAGCTATAATATTCTCTGCTTTATGCAATAACTATGAAGTATGAGATCACGGGCTTTACTATTATTGTCTGTTGCTCGTAGCATATCTGCCAGTTCAAAGTGTTTATCGTAGTTGGTACTTTGGTGATTCCAGTAGCTAGTGTAGTATATCAAAGCATGGTTCATTTTGCAGGGCTGATGCACAGAAGTTGGAAGATTGGGCTCGTACCCAATCACCTAGTTCTTTAGTTGATTTTGCTAACAGAAATGGAGAGGTGGAGGACACACTAAAAGATATTGCGGAAAGAGCAGGAAGCAAGGGGTCTTTCAGTTACAGTCGCTTCTTTGCAGTTGGTTTGTTTCGGCTGCTTGAGTTGGCAAATGCTACTGAGCCCACAATCTTGGAGAAGGTAAACACTAATGTGGAGGTGTTGTTGGTGCAATTGTTTGTCTTAGAGTGGTTTAACCAGAGCCATTGTAAACGCACCAACTAAGAATTTTAACTGCAGCAGTCTCAAGCACTAATTTGCTTTCTTTCAACAGTTGCTTACAAGCTCAAACTTGGTATTATAAGTACATACTCTGCTGCCCCTTGTAATTTAATATAATCTCCTCTGAAATGCGAATCATGATAAAGGTTCAATGTAGAGAACAAGCCAACGTTAGTTGTGTTTACATCACTAAACAAATGTCTACACATTAAAAAATTTATTGTTTTGCTTCTTCAAAATGATGGCACCTTTCCGTTAAGAGTCGTTCTATATGCAACTACAATGGAGTTATAATGGTTAGTATATGATACACTTTATTGGACCATAGGTCACTCACAGTAGATTTAAGGATTTTAAGAGTGACTGATGAACGATTTTGGCTTGAAATATCACCTTTCTCTACTTCTATACATTGCCAAAAGGAAGCAAGAAGATTCAGCAAAGTTTTGATTCTAATGTGATGTAGGATGTACCAAAAAGAATCTCTTATTAGTTTGTCTTGAGAAACGTAAATGCTTCGTCCAGATTTCTTAGATCTAACAGGTAATGAAGTCACTGAATCATGAATGCTTTAAGGATTTTCTACTTAAAAAGTTCATAATGTTACTATTGCCTCTCTTAGAAAGGTGCTGCTTGTAAGGATTTGAATATTTGATGTGGAGAACTTTTTATTCTTTTTAGCTTGTAGTATGAAAATTAATTAAAGGCTAGCCCTGCACGACCTCTTAAATCAAGCGCCATAGCATAAAGTCAACCATAGGAAAATAATAAGATTTTTTCCCCCCCTACACTGTATGATCAATACGCTGTAGTTGCAGTAAATCTTGAGGAAATTAATTGTATGTGTTGTTGACGACATGACAGCTTTGTAATGCTTTGAATATAAACAAGAAGAGTGTTGATCGAGACCTTGATGTATACCGCAATGTGCTTTCAAAGCTGGTTCAAGCAAAAGAGCTGTTGAAGGAATATGTTGACAGGTGATGTTTACGTACTCTAAGAAAACATTTCCATTCATAATGCTAAATGGTCATTCAGAATACAGTGCTATTAATGTGCTTTTCTCTTTATAATGGAACTAGCTGATTTACAACTGATCCACGGGAATTGATTCATACAAAGTGTTTATATGCTTTAATTTTTCCTTCTATAAGAAAATGAAGAATGATACAGTTTACATATCTTACTGAACTTTTCGGCATATCTCTGAACTTTCAGAGAGAAAAAGAAGATAGAAGAAAGGGCTTCATCTCAGAAAGGCAATGAAGCTGTCACAAAATGCCTGGGGGATTTCCAATCTGTTGGGAGGTAATGTACAGTTTCCAATTGCCTTTCTTAATATCCTAAGAGTGTATGATAAGTCGACATATAAATAAAGATAGTAAAAATGAAAGCATGGGATTTCAAAAAGTAACGGAGAGCATATTTGTTTGCGGTGAATGAAGTGCATCATGCTCCCATTTTTAATTGTGCAACTAACTGTCTAGAACAGTTTTACTGTTCTTATTTTTTTATGGAAATGTTATTGCTTAATGTCTATATAAGGGCATTGCAATGCATATTACTTACTTTATGTTCCTTGTTTGTTGTGTTGTTTTAGTTTCTGATTATGAGTAGGGATTGGTACATGTGATTCAAAACCCAATTTGAGGTCTATCAACATCGATTTGGAACTGAATTTTTTTGAGTTGTTTTTTCCTTTTACTTAAGTTTGGTAACTTTTTGAGCCACTTGATATTTCTTGAACTCAAGTAGGTGGTTATGTGTTTAGAGGTTCACATAGAGTTAGTCCATTAGAAAATCATTCTTGATGTTTTATCTGATGGCAAATCTAACCCTTTAAGTGAACAATAGCAAAACCATATAATTATTCCCCATAAAATGCATATAAAAACATTATTCCAGAGGGTCTTACAGTATTTGAGTTGATTTCAGTCATTCATTCGACAAAGCTTAGTTCAAATCTCTGTAGACCCTCTCAAAAGAATGACTAAACAATAATCAATGAGTTGATTCGAATTAACTGAGCTGAGAAATGTCTACATCATCTGGAATCTTGAATGATTCTGCAGCACCAAATTTACTGAACTCCTCCCCAACCGACATGTATTCGACAGAATCTTCTTCATCGCTGTCCTTTTCATCTTCTTCATGGATCCTTGGGGATGTGGGGTCTAGAATGCTTTTGGATAGACAATCATGAGTTGCAAGCATCTTAACTTGGTGAAGATGGGAAATTTCAACAACCACTGTGTCGTCGTTGACTGGAAGTGGTTGTTTCCATGGTTCGCCATCAATCCTCATGTATGTCTCTTCCGCTGCACCTTTATGGAACTCAAACCGAATGCGGTGTGCCTGTGGTAGGAAGAATAACAAAATGGTCTCAAAACCAACAACAAAGTGGGAATGTGCAATTGCTAACCAAAATCTGTAGTTAGATTCAAATATTTCAGTTGAATCTGAAGTACGGAGGACCAAATGGAAAATCAAGAACCTGTGCAAGACGAGTCCCATGTCCTTTAGGAGCAAGTAAAATTAGTCCATGCCAAGCATCTTTGAAGCCTACAATCTCTAGTAATCCATCATCAACGAAAGGCGGAGTCAAGTCTCTCTGCGAAATGAGCAGGAGAGCAACCAAATCATAAATATATAATTAAGAGATACAAAAACACCTTTTTCTCACTAAAAAGAAAGTCTGCAAAACAAAGTTCAGAAAAATGGTTACTTACATCACATCGCTTTTTGTTATTTGGAGTTCCCCAAGGATTGAGTCCACCAGAAAAGCTTGGCAAGTTAAGGCATATAATCGACCTGATGCTGCATGGTTAAAAAATGATATGTTAGGGTATCCCCAAAATATCCCTTTCGGAATCAGAGAATACACAAACAGCGGTTTATATTAAAAGCACAATGTCTATAGGAAGACATTGAAACAGATGAACTAACAGCTATTACAAGCACAAATGGAAACTAATACAGCCTAATCTTTATATGTCACTAGACAAAGTTATCAACCTATATCATCTGTGAGAACTTAGAATAATAAAATGCCTTTGTGGTTTTGACATTCTTAAGTAAGATAACAGGATGTGCATTTATATTAGTAAGAAAATATCCTTTGTACTGAATTCAAAGTCTAGGATCATGAAAATGCTGGATAAGAAGTAAGTTGGAATGACTTTCTACTCCCTAAAAGTGTGACTCGGTCATGCACTGATGCATAAATACCTTAATTCTGAATACTTTAGGTGGAAAGTCAATACAAGCAACTTCATTTCAGAAATCTCTTGTATTTCTAATAAGATATCTCAAAGAGAGTGATATTATATTGAGCCCAAATAATGTCTACGGGGCTAGTTGTACTGGTGTGACTTGAATTCCTCTGTTCTCGTTAGAAATTTTGGATATTTCACTGAGATCATCTGAGTTATAGGAAATAGTACTTTTGGTACTGATCTATATTTCCCTACTGAAGGATGAATACTGAATATCCTCCTACACTGCTATCGGTTTTCATGAATCAATCTCCCGGATAAAACTGCAATAAATAATTTTTTAACCCCCTCCCAACTATTAAACTAGTAAATTTTGTATGTATATACATAGATATGCCATTGCAAAACAAAATTTAGAGATCAATCTCCCGGATAAAACTGCAATAAATAATTTTTTAACCCCCTCCCAACTATTAAACTAGTAAATTTTGTATGTATATACATAGATATGCCATTGCAAAACAAAATTTAGAGACATGTCTTGAAACAAATTTGATTATCATCAGTGTCGACAGAAAATGATTTGTACCTGGGCGGAACGTTAAGGTCTTCCCAATCACCATGCTTTTTCATGATCTTCACCTTGCAAAGCTGTGCTATGTTGCTGCATCATACTTATCTAGTTTCAGCATAGGAAGTTACTTATCTATTACCCTACTGAGATTCAATGCTAAAACTGATCTATAATTTTGTGAAATAACTGTGGCATGTTGAAGAATAAGAACCGTGTTCACAAAGCATGACTCTCACTTTGAAGAAGGGTGAACAAGAGAAGCGAAAAACCATCCTTGTCTGCATCCGAGCTTTGCATATGTGCTCTGTGACGTGAAAAAAGAACAATCTCTTTATGTGATTCAACAATTTTTTTATATGCTAATTCTAGAACACATTCATCACATGATCTTCTATTTAAAATAATATTGTAGACAATTGTGGTGTATCAACTAATCAACAAGTAAGGCTTTCTCAAAGGAATGCTGAAAGTAATATGTTGGATGGATAAACAAAAACTCTATTCAAATTAAAAAAGACAGCCTATTTCAAGCATTTAAGTTTTTGATAAGATGTTAAATCAATTCTCAACCAAAAGAATAACTAATACTGAAAAGGAAGTGTAAGATCTATTATCATAGACCTGATCATGTAAACTTTTGGATGGGTTACTTAATATGGTAAATGAGTGGGGTTCATATAAATTTAGATGCCGTATACATATACATGCACTGTACCTGATTAACTAGCTGGTTTTTGAATTTTTCAGGGTGTAGCTTGCGTTCAGTGTGGAATGCATAAGATACTTGTGCGTCCATTCCTGAACGCCAAACATAAAATCGTTGTTATATAACTGTCCCAAGTGCTGCTGGCAATGCTGGCAATAATGCTAGCTAGGTTCACACAAAAACTTGAGTATTTAACAAACAATCAAAAGTCAAGATAATTAGATATTTACAGTACTGGCATGATAGGAAAAGATTCTAATCCAATGACACCTCAACAATGACACTAGAACATGTACAATGAAGTCATGAAGATTCAGCAGCATTTAAATATTAAATCATTATGTGTGTGGGGCACAGCTATAAAACTTGTAGAACTGTAATTATAAACTCTCTCACTCACCCATGCTGAAATAGTTCCAGAATCCTCCGCGGAATGTGTCGTAACCTTCCTGAAACACAATTTCAAGTGTAACAAAAAAAGCTCAATCATTTGCTATTCATTCCTATTAGTTGTTGGTGGTGGTGGGGGGGGGGGGTGTCTGTGTTGCAATTTTATAGTTTTAGAGCATGCATTGAGCTCAAATAAAGTACATCCAACCCAAAACTTAACATACCACATTGAGATCATCAGATTGTGAAACGCGGTGAAAGGCATGCAATGAATGGGGCAATTCCAAAGGAGCAAGTGGCTCACATGTGCCCTCTTTAGGTACTCTCATTCTCATCAGGAGATGCCAACTGAAAAAAAACAAGAAAGAAAAAAGAACTGCCACATCAACAGATTGAAGATATTGCTAAACATGCAGTATGGTTGGAACTAACTTGTCCCAGCTCTAATCTTAAATAATGATCCCTGTAGAAGAAATTAAGTAATACTGCTGCTGCTGGTTGTACAACTAATTAGAATCAATACAAATTTGACTGTTGATTATACCTAATGAAAGAAATGAGAGAACCACCTGTCTATCTTCATTTCTTTTGCTTTCCGAACTTTGTCCAAGAATGAGAGTACAGAGTTACGGTCTGTTCCTGGATTTCTCTTCCCCTGACATTACCAGGAAAGAAAGTTCTTTAACATTTGCTATTCAAGATACATCAAATATGACAACTGATAATTATAACAATGTAGGATTGTATGATTGAAGTAAGATAAGAAAATTTAAACCTAGAGAAGGTATAACTTATCGAGAAAGAAGTTTCTAGGATGTACATGGAAGAATAAATTATGATATTTATCAAAAATATACAGTAAAAATAATTCAACGATATATATACTAGAAACATGAACTAGTTGGTCTTAAAAGCTACAAAACAGTATTCAAATCCCCATCTATACTAAGAAAAGGTGAGCAATTATAAAAGGGGAAAACCACAAACCAGATGCAAACACCGACATCATACTTATCTATGTTTTTTCAATTTTAGACAACCTTTTTGAATGATAAAGCTATTTAACTATCAAGCCTGCCATCATCAACAAATTCTATCATTTAACACCACTACAGTAACAACTTCTTACCCAACCGAATGCAAATGGGAGATTATTTCCCGTTCCTAAAGGCACAGTGGCTACTGGTGGTGGCTGGGACAATTTTAGATCAGAAACCACTCCCAAAATCCATCCAGCCGTGCCATCTCCACCTGCAACCTATAGCTTAAACGCCATTAGTTGCCTCCTCAAAATACTGTGTTTAACAGTCATGAAGAATGGAAGGGGATAAAATTCAATGTTCTTGTAATGCGACTTACTATAATTTTCAACTTCTTCTTGAGTTCAGAGGCAAAATCATCTCCTTGACTCTTGAGCTTTTCGATGTTGAGATAAACTCTGCATAGGACACTGTCCGGAGTTTCTTCTCCTAAATCAATAACCTGAAATTTTAGAGCATGTAAAGATTTTCTTACTGAAAGTAGCAACTGTACATCCATGCTCCTCTATAGGTTATAATTGATCATAATTTAAAATCTAAACAGGTGTTTGTTAAAGAGAAATGAAATAATTTAAGCAGTTGGAAGCCAATTCTGACTCGAAACCACGATTTTGGGGGAAAAACATTTAGAATTATAAGTGAGAAGTTTTAAACATCCTCTAATTGTTTTTCAGTTTTAGTAAGAAAAAAAAAGGATTGTTTTGTTAAAGTTCACAAACAATTGCATCTTAAGGCCATGTTTGCTATGTGTGATTGTATAGGATTATTTAATCATTGTGCCTGTGTTATTAAATGGGATTATTTAGGCTTTGTTTACTTGGTTACTAATTTTAGTTTTTTTTTACTATGCAAACTTTTATAATTTCCTATAAAAATACATTAATTTTTTTACAAAACGTTACATTCAAACCATTATTAAATTTAAAACCAAAATTTAAAAAAGAATCACCAAGTATACATATCCTTAACTATCGCAATGATTAAGTAATCCCATCTAATTACACATAGTAAACATATACTAAGTAAACAAGAAATAGGATTTCCTTCTTTCAAAATGTATAGTTCCAAAAATCCTCCTTGATTAAAACTAAATTACTTATGGTATAAAGACATCACAACTACTTTTTGTTCTCTATTCATTTTCCATTTAATTTTCTCATCAAGTTCTTATAGAATTCATCTTTTATTTATTTTCTTAATGTTCATTTATATTTGAATAATATTGTACTTTATTTGTAATATATAATAAAGTGGAATAATAAAAGTTGGAATATATTAAAATAATATATTAAATATATATGTAACTATATTGTTTACTACCAACACATGCTTTCGAAACTACACCAAGCAATAAAACCAACATATAGCCCCAAAGCCAAGGCATTGTAATGATTTTGCAAAATAGTTGTATCTATTCTTGCAAGAGTTTGAGTTAAGTATAGCACCTGGTATTTATTTAGTATGGACCGGTATGTGACAAGAAGATCGCTGCCTAGCTGACCACCACTCCTAGAGTTGATGAATACTAGAACAGGGCATTCAGGCATGTCAAATTCCTCTTCCTTTGTGTCTGACGTAAATATATAATTCGGGATGTAAAACTCCTTAGCAACATTGTCGGGTTTGGAATCTGAGCTTGCATTTTCTGACTCCATGTAGGCAAGCTGCAAGAAATAATAGTTGAGGCGTAGATGATTTTAAGTTATTCATTCTCATATAAACAACCTAATGCGTGTGTGTGCATGTTTAGTTAAGTTTAAAAGGATTGTCTATTCAAAGAACACTTATGCAGACACTGTTGTATTTGGCGCGCCAAGAATTCCTAAGGAACATTATTATTTAAGTGCTTTATAGTTGTCATATCTCGGAAAAGAAAACTCACCTATTTCAGATGTGTGTGCATAACATTGACTTAGAAGTAGCAAGCCATAGCATATATAATAATGATTAGCAATGCAAAGTTTTGTAATACATTGCCAATGTAGATGGTATAGAATTTGTTATCGAACAAGGAAATTGATAAATTGATCAATGCGTGGAGGAAGTTTCTCGAAGCTAAGGATACAGGCATGATTATTAAAAAGCTTTTAGGAAAGTTGTGGCCTAAGATTATTGAATCAAGCTCAATTGATCAAAGAGAACGTCTCTCAAAATGAGAATACAATGGTCTATATTCCTACAAAAGTTGTGTCTAATTTGAGATTATTTTGTAGGTCCAAAAGAGCTTCCATCTAAGAACAAAAACCATATGAAAATTTTGTGGGAAATGCCATAGTAGGATTATAACGCAAAGAGTTTTGGCATTGAAGTTGTTCTAAGAACAAAGCATTTAACACTGTCTTCTGATGTAATGGAAAACTTTATAGTTATCATTGCCGCCATTAAAAAATTACTGAACCTAATCTCTAAATTAGATGTGATTAGATCACCATCATCTTTGTGGCTTTCCATCTTGCTGCTGACCTTTGTTACGGGATTGAATCATCATTCCCCAACAAAAATTTCCCAATTTTTTTTCAATTAAATCAACAGAGCACAGATACTTCTCTTAGAATAACACAGATAAGTTGTAAATCCATTTAATTTCTTCAACACGGATCTCCATATATAAATTTCTCTCCCGGTGATTCTCGAATTCCTGATTCAATGGCTAAATCTTTCAATTTATAGAACAATGCAGACCAAACTTTCACAGGCAATTTCTATATATATATATATATATATATATATGCATATGTATCCCCAACATTCAGAGATAAGATTGAAGATGAAGACGAATGTATTCAGAACCTGGGATTGATTAAGATATATAGCGATGACCTTGAGATGGATTAATCTATTCCGCAGATCGACATCGATCACAGCGAAGACAGCGTCATTGTGTTGATAATAGCAAGTAATTTTAATGAATTTTAATGGGAAAGAGGAAGGGGAAGTTGAGACGATGGATTCGAAGCAAACAATTCAAAATGGCGTTGGGATTGGGGTTGGGGTTGGGTTGAGGAATGGAAGGCCGCCATTGGTGGGATGACAGTTACCACTTACAATTACAATGCTCTTCTTCTTCTTCTTCTTCTTAATAACCACTTATAGCTTGTTTTGGGGTAATTATCTAAACTTACACTTATTTTTTTAAGCATAAACGCTTTTGTAATATTTAATTATCCCTGCTTTATAAGAACTTTATGTATTTTTGTATAATAACATTTACATACATTTTTCTTATTTTAATAAATTAAGATCATTAATGATCCTACAGGCTATAGCTAGTCTGGATTTTGGGGTCAACCACTCAAATACGTTTATGATGGTATTATTATTATTATTATTATTATTATTCAAAAAAGAATATGTACGGAGTGGTTTAAAATTGATGACAGCACATAGTTGGTGTTTCACAAGAGAATGGATTGTTTTGATGCAAAACCTTTTTAATAATATAATATTTTAAATATAAACTACAGTTTAAATGCTATAGTTTAACTAAGAAATGTGTATTTTATGCCTTTTTTTTTTTTTTTTTTCTTTTTGGTATTGTAATAATTGATTGTATAGAACCATATCATATGGAGCAATTATTGATTTTGAGATATTTTGGACTTACATTTTTAATTGTGAGAAGCACCTACAGATATGGATCAGGTTAAGGGTTTAGACAGCTGATTGTTCCTTCAAAATTACTTATTTCGCAAAGTATTGGATTTTTAAAATATTTAAAAGTTAAATGTTTGATTTGATGTAAATAAATATTGAATATGATATTCTGTATAGAAAATACATTTTTAATATAATAAATAATGTCAAAAAATTAATATATTATGTGTGTGTGTGTGTAAATAGAGCTTTTCTTCTATTGTAGTACTAGTTTATTATTTCATACAAAAAGGATGGGGCAATAAAACTAAAATAAATGAGGAGGTTGAAGAGTTCGAGGTTTGTTCAGGTCAGGTGTTCTGAAAATTAGGAAAAAATCTACTAAAGAAGAGGTTGGAATGATAGTTGTTGAATGATATATATATATATATATATACACGTGTTTGTGTATGGATGAAAACGACTGCTTTAATTTTGTAGAATAATATTTTATTGTGTTCACTTATTATAATTTGTCATATCCAAGTATAAATTATAAATAAATAAAATATACCAATTAATATTAATTTACCAAATAATTGTATTTGATTTTAATTTCAATTAAACACATGTGACTCTAATAAAAAAAATAAAAATTTACTATTATATGGATCGTATTTTAATGAATGGTGGATACAGAATGACTAGTATAAATGAAAATTGCAAAAAAGCCTTGTAATTTAAGGTATTTCCTTTTTTAAACTTGTCTTCAGTAACAAAGAGGGATTGAAAATGGAAATCCTTCCCAATTATTATCCCCAGACAAACCGTCTTAAAATAGAACGTACATTTGATATTTAAATAGTAAAAAGTAGAATAACAGACCTTAGGCTGTATCCACGCGCACGGCACGACCTCTGCAGTGCCCTCCGCTGCGGTGCTCTACAGTTTATCCAGTGTTTCTGCAAACGCCGCCGCGAAAGCATCCAGCACATCCTTCCGCCGCGACAGCCCGATCTCCACCCCGCCGTCGCCGCCCCGAGATTTGCACAGAGACATCGACGTGTCCAAGTCGATTGAAGCCGCTTCGAACTTCCTCGGCCGCCCCCACCCGAAGTCAACGTCGTACAGGTCGAACCTCGGCGACCCCGCCACCCCGAATAGCCGTTTCCGGACCAGCTCGCCGAATTCTTCCAGCCACGTCTCCGCGCCGTCAAGAATCCCCGCCGGATTGTACACCGTCTTCTTTATAGCGTCGCCTAAACGCGCCGCCGCCTCGACGAACCCGCCGTCTCCTTTCAGAGATCCGTGGCTTATTTCAGCCTTCACCAACGCCAGACAGTTCCCAAAATACGACGCCGGCAGCGGCGGGTTGAGCCGCCCGCGGCTGTCGGCGGGGAACGCGAAATATTCAGATTCGTCGTCCGCCACGGCGGCGACGGCGGACTCTGCTTTGGCCAGGCAAGCCCAGACTAGCCCGCACGTGACTGTGAAGGTTGTCACGTGCACCCCCGGGCGGTTTTTCAAGACGAAGCGCTTCAGCCTCTGTACGTCGTCGTTTGAGAGCGTGTAAGTTGACCGAAATTTGTTGATCGGGAAATGGATCGCCGAAGATTCCATCGGCCTGGATTTCTTCACAACATTCCAGTTGATCGAATCCAGTCCCTCCGGATCTACCACGGTGGTCCTGTCGAGGACCGGCGGGAATCTATCGCCGGCGAAGCTGTTGACGGAAGCCCAATGTTTGATGAATCGGACGATCGAACTCGCGTCGCCGATGCCGTGATCGTTGGCGATTCCCAAGCACACGCCGCGACCGGGGAAGAGCGTGATCTGCAGAGCCAACGCCGGAAACACGACCTCGTTTTCCGACCGTTTCGCCGGCGGAATCTCCGGCACGCAGTCGTAGAAATCATCAGCTAATCGGGGTTGATTCCCGGTGAGGACGTCGAAATCTTTCTCAGACTCGGCGATAGTGAGCGGAACCGAGTCGCCAGGAGTAAATCTCGAAACAGGCCGGCCGGAATCAACAGGACAGAAAATTTTTCCGGCGAGCGGGAGGAAATCTGAGAGAGATTGAGCGAATGAGTCCTTCAACCTAGGAACGATGGTTTCTAGAAATTGGGATTTGGAACAGGGGAATTCGAAGAATAGGAGACGCTGAATAGGATGGAATAATAAAAACACTATGTCGAAATGTACGAGGGGGATAACCAGCTCCGTCGCAGGCTCCGGTGACGGCTGAACATTGCAGCATTCAAGCACCGCCATGGGAGCTGACCTCAGGAAGGAATATTCAAAACGACTCGGGACAATTACGAACGACGAACAGAATTATTTAACAAACAGGAGAGAAATCTAGAGCTGACGTGGAGAGATCTGGACTGTCGACAAGATCCTCCATATATTTCAATCGGACGGATGAGATGCATTGTATGAAAATTTTATATTATATGTAAAGAATAGTAAGAAAGAAGATATTATTCAAATTTTTGTGGTCAACAAATCAATTTTCAGCCAATGGTCTGTGAGAAGGCTATTATTCTTATTCATTTGGAGTGTTCGGTAGATAAGCATACATGTAGCACATATATATATATATATATATTATGGTTATTTTTTTTCAACTTGCTATTATACTTATTTTGAAAGTTGAAAGATTTAATATATATATATATATATATTTTTGGGTAAACACTAAAGAATTTCGACGTACAAATGATGCCGGCAGCCATGCTGTGCTGTGACCCCTCCAGCATAAAAATTTCAATTATTAATAAATAGCACAAGAACAAATAATACTATAATTCTTTATGGCGGATTGGGAATCACATTTGGTTTGGCTCTTAAAAAATAATAGTAATAAATAAAAATTGGATAGTTTGGATAGTGGTGTTTGGTGAATTATCTGGAAGAAGGTTTTAGTGTGATTTCATCTCATTTAATTTCATTTTGATCTCATATTGTCATGGGGTAGGTCAGGTCAATTAAAGTGGGTGGGTGGGTAGGTAGGTTTTGCTGTGATTTCATCCCATTTCATTTTTAATTACAAAATATTATGTTTGAACTACTCTTCAAATGAAAATTCAAAATAAAATCTCAAGTAAACAAACCTTAATAACTATTATTATTATTTCATTTACTATTATTTTTCACTAATATTACAAAAGAGATCTTCGATGATACTATAATTGGATACTAGGATCCATACTAATATTGTAAAAATAGGTCTTTGAAGAATAGGGGCATAGAATTTTTATATAATAATAATAATAATAACTTCGAGTTTGTTTGTTTAGTACAATTTTTCCTATAAAAAATAAACATTTAATACAAAATATATATTATTTTAGTATCGATGTAATTTATATGCTTCAAACTAAAACATTTCTCTATTTTTTCGTGGCTTTTTTACTCAGAACCACAATTTAATTTTTTCAACTCAGTGCATTGAGGATGCCGTTTAGCCGGCTCAATCTGAACTTGAGGTAATATCCGTTTCGAATTTTTTATTTCGAAATGTCATATTTTTGAATTTCGGATTTCAATTATTTAAATTAAATTCAAATTGATTTTTTCAAAAATTTGGAATATCCGAATCAAAAATCCAAACCGAAAATCCGAATGATCTCCCTTATCCATCACAATCATCTATCTGGCAGACCCGACCATATCAGCACGGTGGGCCCGAACATGCTTTGTTCGTCAAAAACAAAACTAATTTTGGAAACAAAGTTGTTTTCGTGGACTTGCTTATACAATTGTTATTCTCGTTGGAAATAGACTTTTTTACGAATAATTTTCTTCATTTTTCTTTACATTCCACTCATGTATTACGAGGAGATTAAATCACCAATTTCTAATATATAAAGTATGGCTCAACCGCTTGAATTATAATTTCTCCGCTTTTTTATATTTCTATTAGTTTTTCTTCAGTCACACCATAAAATAAGTGATTATAAAATTTTCAAATATCAATTTAAAATATTAATATGTCAATTATACATGAAATTTTTATAACTATTTTTATTTGTATATTATTATAGACAAATATATTTTGATTTTTAGATATATATTAAATGAAGTTGAATTCAAATTCTATTTAGATATATTTCAATTTATCTATTTAATCAACCCTTCTTATTTTCTATTTATAGATAAAATGATAGATCTTAGGCTAAAGTATAATCTATACTTACTTTCTTTTTGGGATGTCATAAAAAAAAATAAAATTAATTTTTTAAATAAAAAATTGTTACACTTTTATATTTTTTTATTATAAAAGAAAAAAAAAGTAACAAAATTATATTTATTTTTATTAAAATTTATATCCGATCAAATGAACACACTTGCACGATGAGACGGAGGGAGTACAAAATAAAGACCAACTTGATGCATGACATAAGGATAGATAAAAAAAATTAATGTGATTTAAATAAATAACTAAAGTACATTTTTTATTATATATATAAATGATAGATAAATTTTAAACAATGAGTATTAAAAAAGTAAAGATAAATTTTAAAATATAAAAAAATCTTAATTTTAAATTACCATTTACATTAAAGTTCAAAAAATAAATTAAAACACAAAACTTATAAACCAATCACTTGTTAAAATTATGCAAATTAAAATTTATGTTGAGTTACACAGATATTTTAAAATTTTCAAAATTATTTATTTACAGTATAATTTTTTTAAAATAACTAATAAGTTACATCAAGCACAAAGCATAGTCGCTTAGTAATGTTGTCCTGGCATAATACTTGAATGACACGACACACGAGCATATATATATAATAATTTTTTTTTAAAAAAAAAAACAATATATTTATAGATTTTTTTTTTTGGTTCATATTCTTAAGAAAAATATAATTATGATAATTTACATAATTATGTTATTACAATTTATATCCGCAATATAAAATATATTGAGAAAATCATAATAACATAATAGTAATATGAATTGTATTGACATAATAAAAACTATATAATAAGATTATTTTAGTAATAATATAACTTACTAATAATATTGTATACAGTATACGTATAATATTATCAATACATAAATAAAATATAGTATAACAATACGAATAATATTGACGTAATAATTTTTAAAAATAATATAAATTTAAAGTATTCTATATTTATATTTTAATTAGTAATAATATAAGTTATGCTAGTAATATTGTATCCATATTATATTTTTTAAACAATGTGTACATAAACAAAAAGAAAACGAGATATAAAATGTGTACTTGTGATGGTTCTATAATTTAAATTTTAAAAATAATACATTTAATAATTATTTATTAAATAAAATTATCAAAATAAATTTACCAAACCCATATATATATATATATATAATATTATGTATGGTATATGTATTGTGTGTCTTCCCCTCATAGCTAAGCTAGCTGCTGTGTTCTTCAACTAGATCCCTCCCATGGCGGAAAACCTAACCGTACTTGAGCGCTGCAATATTCAGCCATCAGTGCTGCCGGAGAACCAAACTCTGCCCCTCTCGCACTTCGACATGGCTTTTCTCTTCTTACATCGCGTTCAGCGTCTCCTCTTCTTCGAGTACCAATGTTCCAAATCCCAATTGCTCGAAACTATCGTCCCCAATTTGAAAAAATCCCTAGCTCAAGCTCTCGCCCATTTCCCCCCACTCGCCGGAAAAATCATCTGCCCGCTCAATTCCGGCAGGCCTTTCTCCAGAATCATCGCCGGCGACTCGGTTTCACTCACAATCGCCGAGACCAAAACAGACATTACCCAATTCACCGGAAACCACCCCCGGCTTACCGACGACTTCTACATTTTTCTCCCTCAACTCCCCGCGGCAACGCGTATCGAAAACGACGTCGTTTTTCCGGTCCTGGCTCTGCAAATAACGCTTTTTCCCGGGCGTGGTCTCTGCTTCGGCATCACCAAAGACCATGGCATCGGCGACGCGAGCTCCATCGTCCGATTCATCAAACTCTGGGCCGAAATCAACCGATCCAACGGTGGAGATGCGATCGACGGAAAATTCCTGCCGGTGTACGACCGGACGGCGGTGGAAGATTCGGAGGTTTTGGATCCCAATATCTACTGGCAGAAAATCAAGGCAACGCGGCCGAAAATGACGAACATGGCGATCACTTTTCCGGTGAACAAATTCCGTTCAACTTTCGTCCTGTCGAAAGACGATCTTCAGAAGCTCAAACTCTACGTCCTCAACAACTGCCGTCCCGGTCTGCACGTGACTGCGTTCACAGTCACGTGCGCGCTCGTCTGGTCTTGTTTAGTGCAAGCCGAGGAAGCATCGGAGGCCGTCGGCGCGGAGGTCGGCGAATTCTTCTACTGCGTGGTGGATTGCCGGGGGCGGATGCAGCCGCCGCTGCCGGCGGAGTATTTTGGGAACTGCTTGGTTTACATGGTGACGGAGACAGTGAGGCGCGGGTTGGTGATGGGAGAGGGCGGGTTCGCGGCGGCGGTGGAGTTGATCGGAGGAGGTTTGAAGAAAAGACTGACGGCGGCGAGTATTCTGGAGGGGGTGGAGGAGTGGCCGGAGGAGTTTGCGAAACGGACGAATGTGCGGTCGTTGGGGGTGGTGGGTTCGCCGAAGTTCGATTTGTACGAGGTGGACTACGGGTGGGGAGGGGTGAGGAAGTTCGAGCAGATGACGATTGATGGGGTGAGACAGATGTCGGTGAGTAAGAGTAGGGTTTGTGAAGGAGGTCTGGAGATTGGGCTGTCGGGGAAGAAGGAGACCATCCATGCATTTTCTCAAATTCTTACAGACACCCTTCACAACCTCCCATCCGATCCTCTCTTAATTAATTAATTAACTAACTAACTCCTAATTAATTCTAATATTATATTATATTATATTATATTAATTATTACTTATTAGTAGTAGTAATTGATTGGAAATCTTCAGTCTTATTGCTGCTGCTTGTACCCTATCCCTTCTCTTGTTTCCTATAATAATAATAATAATAATAATAATAATAATAATAATATCCATGCATACTATATATGGTACTATTTTTTCTAATGAGTGTTAACTATAAACTAGACGTGCTACAAATAAAAGCTACAATTAATTAATGCCAGCAGCATATATATATGCAATGTAATTAAAGATTGTAACTATATATTTGGAGTGTGCCTTGACCATTGGGTAAACTGTCAAGACGAGTGCAAATCAGGCTAATCAAGAAAACAGACAAATTGAGGTCAATCCTTACAAACCGATATATTTGTATACATTAATGACGGAATTGATATTTTTATTTACATGTCGTTTCTTTTTTAACATATCTATCTATAGAATCATTTTAATTTCACTTTTTACCTTAACCCTTTAAATAATGCTCCAAATTAAGTCCAAATCCTCTCTATAATTCTACTAGCTAAGTCCATTTAGTCGGAGGGTTGTGATCTAAACATCAATTCAACATATAGTTCCATGAGTAAGTCAATTGTGAAGCCCTACTTTAATTGTAGAAAAGATGAAGCAATCCAAAACTCCTCTTGTATATATAGATACAAAATATATGAGTGTATGTGAGGGACAGAGATTAAAAATATTCAAGAATACATGCCATGTTTGGTTTGTGTTCATTTCTGTATTTTGATCTTAAATTTTAATTTAAATAGTAATTCAATGTAATACTTCATATAAATAATAATAATAGCGTATTTTGATAAAAATGAAATCATAAATCAAAACAATTGAAAATAAAATAAAAATCTCAATGAATTTTTGTTCTCTTTTAATTTCTAATTACTTGAAGTTAAAATTCAAGTGATCTCATGAAATATATATTGTTGTTGTTTTTTTGTTTTATAAGTTTTTATTAACTTTGTTTTTATAAGGGTTTTAAAATTTTGGTGTATATTTTTGTGAGAAAATAAATAGTTGATGGAATTTTTTTTATCATGATTTTAAAAAATGGGTATGTGAATAAACACATACTAGTATTTTTCTAATGGAAGCTTCCTTATTAATTAAGAAACTACCACTTGATTATTATATATATATATATATATATATAACCCAAGTTTCAACTTTGGCATGCTTAGTTATGAATTGATTGAATATATATTATTATGTAATGAATTGATTAGTGTAAAAGATGTAGTAAACAAATAAGCGGTTTATGAATAATTGAGGAGTGTTTGCAAAATAGTCATCTTTGATGAGAGAATTGCAGTGAAAATATATTTTATAATACTCCATAAAAGAAGACCGATAGATCAATGACTGACTGACTTGTTCTTAGACAATTAAAGAAATGATATGATGAGATGAAAAATTGTGTGTGTTGGTCATTGTTATTCTATAATTCACAGTTGATCACATTCCACCACCACCTCCTCCTCCTCCATATATATATCGACTAATTCAATCCTAGCTAGCTAGCTAGCTTTGACCAAACTCCATCTCCTGAATCTCTATACATTAATTATATATAAAGATGAGAGATTAGATCATCAGTTCATGTTTGTAGTATTGATGATCTGAATTACTTCAGTTGACTTGAGACAACCAACCAAATAATTAAGGTAAGGGTAAGGGTAAGGGTAAGGTTTTCGTTTGATCTGCTGCGTGAGTTTAGGGTTTATAACAATACTACATATATCCTATAAATGGAATTTGAATTATTGTTGTTGTTATTTGTATTAATGAATTAAACTGATTAAGCAAGCAATCGCATGGCGGAAGATGATGATGAGGTGGTGGTGCTGGGTGGGGTTTACAGCTTGTTCTCGATGAGGGCTAGATTGGCTCTGTCAGTGAAGGGCATACCCTACCAGAACAGGGAGGAGGACTTGTCCCACAAAAGCCCTCTTCTGCTCCAGGCTAACCCTATCCACAAGAAAGTCCCTGTCCTCATCCACAACGGCAAGCCTGTCTGCGAGTCCCTCATCATCGTCGAGTATGTCGACGAAGCCTGGAGGGACCGCACCCCTCCATTGATGCCCTCCCATCCGTACGACAGGGCCCAGGCAAGGTTCTGGGCAGATGTTGCAGACAAGAAGGTAATTATCATATAGTCAATCAATTTCTGAACCAATAACTAACTGAAAAATTGGAGTTAATGAATTGCAGCTGTTTCCGGCGGGAGGTAAGCTTTGGACGACGAAAGGGCGAGAGCTGGAGGCAAACAGGAAAGAATTTATCAGAGTGCTGAAGCTATTTGAAGCAGAGTTGGGAGAGAAACCCTACTTTGGGGGCCAGAGCTTGGGGTTTCTGGATGTGGCCTTGGCTGTTTACTGCACCTGGTTCCAGGTCTTCGAGGTCTATGGAAACTTCCGAATCAAAGATCACTGTCCCAAAGTGGCTGCCTGGGGGAACCGCTGCATGGACATGGACACTGTCTCCAAGGCCTTGCCCCATCCTAATGACCTCTATCAATTCGTCTCCGCCCTCAGGAACACATGGTTCGCCTAGGCCTACCCTCTACCTACCTAATTTTATTTTATTTTTAGCACCTCTTACCACCTACTACGCCAGATCATCATCCATCTCGTGTCTGTCTGTCTGTCTGTCACTCGTGTTTCTAAACGAATCCAACTTTTACTTTCATTTCTTTGTCTGTTGTATATCTGTCTTGTGTATTCATCTGTCGTGTAAATTTGTGGTCATTTGATCGGATACCGATCCGAGAGTGAATAATAATTATTATTATTTTTAGAGTAAAAAAAATATATATAAAAATATAATAATTTTTTACTTAAAAAAATATATTTTTTAATAATAAAAAAAAATAAATAAATAAATAAACATAAATTTAAATAACGAAATGAGTATAAGATATGCAATTCCATACAGCAGGCACCGTGTCATAATTAATTAATTTCAACTAAACAAATTCAAAGTCCAAAAGAGTGGCATATATATATATATATATATATACCTGTGGTTTTTTGTCGTCTTTCTGTTTCTTCTGCACATTCTTTCGTTGATTCAGTCCTGAATTGAGTAGTGCAGCAGCATAAAGCACAAATATCCAAAACTCACTCATCATCATCATCAGCAGCATCGGTAATTTTACTGCCGTGGCTTCTCCTTCTCATCACCTGCACTCGACTCACTCGAAAAAACTCCATTGCTCTTTTTTTCCTTCTTACAACACTGTAAGGACTGTGCACATCGCCTTCTCTTACATCATCTTCAACTGTATTGCCGCCCTGATCTTCATTGTCGGGCTTCTGGTGACTCCTCCAGAATGCCTGCTGCGTCCCACAGAGATGATCAAAGTAATAACACGGATCGATATGGCATGATGCGGAGGACACAATGCCTTTGATGTTGATTGGCCGGAGAAGCTCCACAAAGTCTTTGATCTCAGAGAAGCATGAGTGAGCAGAATATGGGACGACGTATATGTACTTGCCATATCTTTTTATGCTTCCTTCTTCCAAGCTTATTGTATCATTGCTGGAATCGTCGTTGGAAGTTTGCGCCGTCCTTTCCGAGCAAGAAGAGGAACCAAAAACATTCACACTTTTCTCCTTGGCTTTGGCTGGCCATGGAAGTCCAGAAGGCATGATTCCTATCGTGCGCCGGGTTTTGTTCAGTCCTTCAAGTGTTTCGGTGGTGAAACTGTAGCGAGGGACAGCTCGAACTCTTGTGACTGTGGTTTGCGTGGTGAAATTGGAGCGGAATCCGAGAATATGCATTATTTGGAGGCGTTCGGGCCAAACCCAAACCTATGGTATAAGCAGCAGTTAGCTCATGTTGTATACATGGAAAAGACATCAAGTAAGATACGCACAAAAGGTAAATATACTGAATAGAATCAATGATCATATCAAAGTGTTCATAAATAACAGGTTTGGATTCAAGACCATTAATGTAGTCAATTAAATAATTTGTTAGAGCTAGAAATCGAAAGGATCCTATTTTTTGGCTATTAATCTTCACAGCATATAACAGAGTGCAAGGCTTACCTTTATGTTCAGTGTTCGTGATATGTACAGCAGAAGATCTTCTTTTCCCAATGAATCAATTGCGATTATGACATCATGATCTGGATGGGAGGTGATTATATCGACAACCTGTATCAGCCACAATATGTTGCTGATCAATCTTCTCAGAATAAATGAAGGTATGAGTGATGGAAAGGTATTCTCACTTTCAGCAGCTTAAATTTCAGCCTGCAATTCGAAACCCTTCTCTCATGAAACATTTGTCCATTCAACAACGTATGCAAAACAAATGTGTCTCATGGCTGAACAAGGAAACTGAATGAGGATAACTCTACAACACTAGTGAATAGATCTTTTAGCAAAAATGCACATGGCTTCCCCATTTCTTGAGAGTTGCCCCAAGAATAACGTTGTAGGCAACTTTTAATTGAATCATGGAACTATAAAAAAAAAGTGCAAACCAAAGCAAGCCACCTCTTACAGTATGGGCCTTAGCTCTTTACCATCCCGTATGCCTTTGCAGTTTCTAAAGTGCAAGTCAGCAAGCAAAGTAAGAACACTCAAATGTTCAAAAAAAAAAAAAAAAAAAACAAAGAAACCACTTCGCTTGCTTGAAAAATAATTTCCAAGCGCTTGATTGAAATACAAATAAATCTAGTCACTTGTGATCTGTAAGCTTGAATAGTATAAATAAGTACAAATTCCTGGATTAGAATTGTCCACGCATATCTATAACACATGAAAAAAGCATGACAAATAGCTACTCATTCAAGCTTACAGCACAAACGGCTTGTGAAAGATTGATGTTAAGGCAGTGTAAATAAGTTTTTCCAGCCCATTGACCATTGGCACAAAAAAAAATAAAAAAAAATGGATTTCTGCATAGATATACCTGCTTGGAAGCAACTTCACGGGAGGGAAATGAGTATCTGGGATTGCAGTAAGTATTATCCAGGTGCAATGTATTAAGCGTCCTTTTCTTCAGAGAATCAAGTAGCATGGTCCTTCCACTCTGAACTTCATTTCCAGCAGCTTCCCAGCGAAAATCCCCAGTATAAAGCATGTATCCAAATTTGCCACGGAACAGATACATAACAGAACCTATTGCGGAAGAGACAAAAGGAGATGAAACTACAGTTGGATGAAGATAAATGCATGAAACAAGTATAATCCATTAATGTAACCACAATAACATTATTGTGTAGTATGACCACAATGTGGAACAAAACTGGACAACAAGAAATAATGCTTTTGATTTCATATTAATTAAAATGATAATGGTACAAACTTCATAGTTCTGAAACAGGACAATAACTCAACAGATTAAAATGAATCATTTAAGTAGTAAATGAAAGACTATGAATCTGGGGGATGCCATGAATGCCTGCTAAAAATAAGACGGAAGCTTATTGAGAGGGTATAGAACATGAATCTCATATCCCCTTTCTTACCGTTATTAGAATCAAACCTTGAGAATGATTTTTGAAATTTCAGTAAACATCTAAATCCTCAATACAAGTCTGCAACTAACGAAAATTCTTAAGAAATCACACTGTTCAACGGTATACAGTCTACTATACAGAAAAATGGCCTCAATATCGGAATCTAAAAACTCCAATTAACGACCAATATACGCAGCAAGGAGACGCGCCACAACAAAAGCGAGACAACTTCGCTGAGAAATTGCAGCAAACACCTCTCATGCGTGCAAAAAACACAATCCAAAAAAGACATTCAACGGTTATAGAATATCCGACTACCAGGGCAATGGTGTGCGTCAATGGGCTTGACATAGACTTGGGTGGGAGCTCCAGATGATGGAGTGGTCAAGGTAATGGAATGCCAGGATCCGACGCGGAGCACGCGGAGGAGCGATAGGTCGAAGTCAGGGAACTTGCAGGGGAAGAGGCGGGAGGTGAGGCGGGAGCAGAAGAGCAAGCCGTGCTTCCAAGCGGAGGAGAGGCCGACGGTGTGGTCGGCGTGGAGGTGGGTGAGGAAATACGCCTGGCTGCCGGAGCTCCACTTGTCTACCGATATCATTCCACTCTCCATTCCTCTCTCCGGTCGCTCGCAAGAATTTCCCATCAAAATATATATATATATATATATATATATATGTTGGAGGGAATGGAATTTTTGGGCGGGATTAAAACCTATTTTATTTTTGAATTAATGAGATTGAACATATTTCATTAAGAAGGAATTTAAGTATAATTTGAATTAATGAGTTTGAAACGACGCTGTAGCATATATGACCACCCACAATATTCAGTAAAAATATACTACAAATTTTGAATAAATCAAAACTCAAATTATAGTAAGATAGATAGTAATACACTACTAGCATTCCAGCATAACAGCGAGACAATTAAAGCATTAGTTCAAAGTTCAAACCAATTCACATACAAATCACACGCTAAAACACACCACAGCGCCACATTGTTGCATCATAAAACGTACCAATTATTATTCTCCAGACTTTCTTTCACGCCAAACGAAAATCAAAAGGAAACAAAACAACCTCAGATTTCAAAGGGCTCCCAGGTTGCCCTCGCTTCGACTTCTGAGTATGGAGAAATCCCTCCTTGCACTAACCTTCCTGCTGCCAAAGTCGGGTAGTGCATAGCCCTGTGTTGCCGTCTTCATCCCTGTTGGGGGCCTTTGCCCGTGCCTGCTTCTTGTTGGTTTTGTTGATGTGGATAATACTTGACTCTTCCGACCATGGGTGGATGACGACACCTTCTGTGCAACAATGCCATGGATTCCCTTTCTTGAATTCTTGACTTCCATTTGGAGACCCCGGTCGATTTGGTGAGCTCCGATGCTCATTCGAGCTGACCTATCTGCTGTGTCCTTTGTGGTCCCAACTTTGAGGGATTGTCTGTTGTAGTATCTGAGCTGAGGGAGGATACTCAGCACGTATTTCTTTAACTGATCATCGCCTACATTTTTCTGTGCAGGGTTGCCTTCTAGGCTGATGGCCTGAAGACAGCTATAGTTGGCTGCAAGTTGACCAAGACATTTTGCTGTAGATATCTTGTTGAAGCGAAGGTCCAGCACATTTAGCTTGAGCAGGCGGTGGAGTCCTTCGACCTCACTGATCTTGTTCCCGGCTAAGTACAACTCTTTGAGAGAGGTACATGATGCAAGACCTTTCAAACAAGTAAAAACAAAGTTCATTATCAAGACAGGATATTCAATGTTTGATAAATTACCCAAAACTGGTAGAACCATTGGATCACTAAGATTAACACCTGACGGAACTGGAAAAACATTTAAAACAATGCAACCCAAGAAAATACTGAACATAAAAGGCTATAGAAGTTTAAATGGATCCAGCATAATATTTCACGACAACCAATACCACCTTAAAGTTAGAAGATAAATGGAACACTCGTTAAGTTTTTACAAGGATGCCCATTATTTGTGTCCTGATAATAGTCCTAAAACATATCGGAGCTTCCCAAGCAGACAAGATCATGCATGCAAAGAAAATTAAGTACAAATCGCCAATTGCAGTCCAATAAAGTTGCTCACTTTTACATCTATAAACAGCTTTAATCAATTAAACCTCATTTCATTTTAGTTACACTTAAAGAAGATACCAATGCTAGAAAAATTCACTTGAAGATTACACATCTTTGTGAGTTCAACTACAATTGCCAGTTTCACAAAAAAAAAAAAGTGTAATAGGAGTAGTTGAAGGAAAAGCAAACCTGACAAATCATCCATTGCAATACATAAGGGTACAGTGATTTATCATGCTTTATAATGAGAATCCATACCATGTCCAATTCTTAGTATTCGATTATAGCTCAGGTCAAGTACGCGAAGCCGTGTAAGCTCTCTCAATCCTTCAATGGTGGTGATATTGTTTTTTGAGAGGTTCAGTATGTGGAGTCCTCTAGGAAGTGCACCAGCAGCAATCCTCACTGTGAAATTACAAGCAGATAAACAAACAGGTCAGAAAACAAAAACTAAAATCTAAGATCGAAACACAGAGTCTAGACGAAGAAAAAAAGATAAGAAAACATACCTATTGCATTTCCAGATAAGTTGAGAGCTTTGAGGCTCGTGAAAGCACTTAGGAAAGGGATGACAACAAGCCCAAGATTTGTTAGCTGGGCTGCTGTAGCCGAGGCATTCAAAGAAGAGATGTATCTTTTTGCCATTTCCATTCCAGGGTTAACCTTGGCTTCCATCTTTATGGGTGCAGTATCATCTGATAAACTGTTGCCTTCTGACAACATTGTATCATTGCTTGACAAATTTTCAGAAGATTCCTCCAATGGCTCGCATTCCTGAAGGTCATTAACCCATTCCTCAATTCGTTTTAACTTAAAATCCTTAGCAGGCACTTCTTCCCAATGCTGATATGAAGTTACTTCTTTGGAATCTTTCTCCATGTCAGCAGCTTCCAACATGGGAATGACCCAGTCTTTTGCAGTACCAACATAATCATAACTCTCATACATGCATTCAGCAGGACTTTCACCAATGTTCTTCTCTTTGTCAAACATTGTATCATCTCTCTCACGGCATGGTGCCAGTCTGCTTGCTTCATGAGTTATGCCTTTCTTTCGAGCAGCTAGAGCACTCAGATCGTCAGCAGATCTAGATGAAGTTAGAAATGAGGTGCATCGATAAGGAGAGCCCAACCTAGGTAGAGAACTGGATTTGGCTATAATAGTCCGACCATAAGGTGTGCAATCACCAGAACCAGTGTGCTCGACCGAAGCAACCACACCAGACAAACAGGCATCATCCTTCTCAGTACCTTCTTTTTCAGATTTTTGAAGATCTCCAATTGAAAATATGGATGTGTTTTTTGGGAAATCAGAATCAACCTGAACAGAATCAGATGGTACAAGCTCCTGGTTGTCAGTGCCATCGGGAACAGCAAATTCTTCAAATGAGAAACCATGCTCTGTCTCTTCTTCATCTGAACCATCAACAGCAGAGGCTCTCCCTTGCCAATTCAATCTGCTTCCTAGTGATTGGCTTTTTTTCATTTGAGCATTATTCTTAGGAACCACACTATCACAGTCAAGGCTCTCTTTGTACTCTAATCCCTCAGACCTGCAATCTCGCTCAGTAGGAGAAGAGTTGGTCTCTTGATCGGCAATATTATTGGCAATTTCTCCATCTTTCAAGCATGGGTTGTTTTCAAGTGCCACAGAAGGAAAATTATTTAAGGACTTGTTTTCTGATAAATCTTCCATCGTCTTCTGCATTGCTTCAGTCGATAGTAGAGAGGTTTTCTGATCACAAAAGAATATATTGATCAGCGACCACTGAAAGTCTGGAAATCAAAAGGCTAATTTGTGTGTTGAATAAAAGAGAGAATAGCTAACCTTGTGCTTTTGGGTATGAATGTGAGCTGGAAAGCATGAAAATCTAACCATCCTTACAAGTAGATCGGATCACATTTTCACATAGATATATTCAACCAAAAGGGTTGCCAATACTCCTATTCTACTAAACAACATTCACATAATTATGAAAATGAAATGAGATGCAGCAACTGATGTTTATGGGGGCTCAACTAAAGCAGTCCTTAGCCGTAATCAAGGGATAACCCTTCTGTAGCACGGCACAACCTCCAAATATGCGATGATCTTGATCTCCTCAGAGCACATAATAATATAATGCACTCGTTATCACCCCACACCTGCTTATAGGTGCGAGAAACCTTTGGTGTCGTTGTATCTGCCAGACTGAAATAAAAGCTATTGAAACAGTGAGAGACCAACACCAATTTCACATGTGATGGACAAATTCCTGACAAGGAGAGAAAAACAAAACAAATCCCATCAGAAAGAAATAAAATAATTGCGCTGCTAGCAAACTCATCTTCATTGAGTGCACATCAAAACTGTTTTTCTAATGTATTTAAGAGCAAAAAATTTCACTTCAACTAGCTATTTAACAACCAGAAAAATTGAAGTGCTCAACCTTTTTTCCCTTAGAGATTGTTAGTTTAACTTTACAAAAAGTAATTACAGAGCACAACACATTGATGTCCTACCACCAATATGATCGTAGTGAATATCCACCAAGCAATTACTTTTGGTTCATAACAGACTAGGATACCTAACACCAATACATCACTTGAATGGTATCTACATCAGCCAAACAACTAGTACTTTAGTTCATGACATTTGCTAAAGTAAAAGAAACTACTTTTCCACCAGATTACCAATTAATCACATGATGTAACACGAGGCATTATAGTCTAATGTCAAAACGTGCAAAAATATAGCAAAAAAACATAAAGAGGACAAAGCTATTTATCACTACAGTTGTAGAACTCGGAGCACCACCATCCAAAAAATCATAATTCGCAAAACAGAGACAAATACATTGACATGCTAACATCCATAAAGAATCCATTAATCAAGCAATCCCAATAACAACAATCACCGTGACGTGCCAGTATATTCATCCAATCATCATGTGTCCTCATTCTAATAACTTTTCTTGCAGACTGACGGATCCAACTCCCGTCATCAAAGACAAATTCATAAAGAAAAAGCCATAGGTCATATCGCCAATCCTAAAAAAAGTTAAATCACACGCCCAAACCCACACATCATTCAAAAAACAACAGGCAAACCAATCAATCAGACAACTGTCCAACAAAAACACAGAAAACATAATAGCACAAACAACCTTCTGTAAAGCCAGATTGCCCGAAGCATACACGAAAACCTCGCGCGGCTAACTAACCCTACCCCAACCCCGCGCCGCATGTAACCCTAATTACGAAAAATAATAATGTGAGTGGGCGGGCGGGCTGACCTCTGGATCAGAATTATATAGAGACGAAGCGGCGGTGAAGTTCTAGGGATTGGGCGAATCCAGATTCGTCGAAACACTTGTAGATTTTGCAAATCGTCCTTGGTTCAATGGTGTGATTGTTTTATGGGAAAAAGATATGTGGCCACAAGAGCATAATTTTGTGGTCCGTTGAATTTTCTTGTAGCTTGGATTTGTTGCCTTTGACCTAATTTTGAGGTAACCCTTTTTCACCTTTAATTATTCTAATCATTATTAAAAATTTGTTATAGTTGGAAAAAAAAATCAGCGTCCTAATTGTATGTTTTGGATTTTAAGTCTAAATTAATACTAATATTTAATCCGATAACAATATATCTTTTCAGGGTTGGTGGTTTTAAATATTTTTAATATATTATTTGAATCAAAATTTTTATTTCAAATTACTTTTAAACCTTAGCCATACCAGACCATAATATTTAAAATTTTATATAAATTGAAAAACTCAGATAAAAAATAAAAAAAAAAAAAAAATTCGAATCAACCTAGACAGACGCATATATATTTGATAATAATAAAAACAATTATTTGAAATAAATTTTAATATTTAAAAATAAAATAAAATAATAAATCCATGTTTAATCTAACTTTTCTAGTGAAAAAAAGTATAGTCAATGCAAGTCTAAAATAAAATTTACACGTCCAATGTGTAAACAAGTAGTTAATCTAAAATAAAAGGTACTTTATCTATATTTTTAGAAATACATCATTAATAAATAATATTAAAATAAAATTTTAAAATATGAGTAAACAAATCATTTTCCTACTTTTTATAATCATATTCAATGTTATATTTAGATAGAATTTATTTTGAAATATAATGAAATTGTTTGCATTAATAGTTTACAATGAAAGTAGTATAAGTTACCAAAAGTTACTCTTTATTATACTATTGTAATTAAGTATTTTTTATTTTTTATTTTTCAAAACATATACCCCATATATATTACTGTAAAAAACGATTTTCTTACGTTCAAATGTTGACATAGGATTAGAGTAAAATATTGTTAACATAATATATTCCATGAAAATTATCTTTATTTGAATTTCTTTCATTGTACATTTGAATTTACATGTCAATAATTAAGATAGAGCTTTGGAATACTATAATTATAGATGAAATATTTTATTTTTATTTTTTAAATATATATATATATATAAATATGTGTCTTCCTTATAACATTATGTTTTGAATTAAATAAAATTAATATATTTAAAAAATATTTATGTAATAATAGTATTAATTAATTCGTAACCACAAACCAGCAAAACACAAGGCTAAAAATACATTTTAAGTTGCATGTTAGGCCTTCAAAATATATGTGTATGTGGGTGGGTGGGTGGGAGCCCAAAATATAGATAGCCCATATTTAATAGGACCTAGAAATAAAACATATATATATATACACATATGTGTGGATGTATAATATTATTCTATTTTGTTTTGTTATTTAAATAATAGTTGAGTTTGACATATTATGAGACAAAAAAAAATACATAAGATATGAATAATACATAGCTATTAAACTAATTAATAAAAATCTTATAAAAAAATCCACTTTTTATTTTCATTTTTATTTTTTAGTACAATTTATTTTTTTAAAAGTTGAGATTTTCTAATATTCCATTCAAATAGAAATGCTAACACAGAGAAACTTGTCCTTAAATTGAGAACCAATAAAATTTATTCCTCCAATATCTGACACTTGTTCGAAACCACAACACACAATTATTACATATGGCAAAAAATTTTACGTAAACCAAAATGACAAATTTGTGGCATATGATGAAATCTTGCTTTGCTTTATTTACTTACTTGTCATCACACTTTTGGAACATAGTGTCTCATTTAATTAGCATCTTTGCCACCTACTTTTGATATGTGTATTATTAGTACCACAAAATTTAAAATCAAAATAAAAGTTGATGTCCCGTTGTCGATATATTGCCGATGCCTATTGCCCAACAACTTTCGATACGTGTCTTATTTTCGAGAGAAGACATAGATTAACCACAAGACATGTCTTGGTACATTGTTTTTTATGATTAGATCGAGATGTCGTTACGTTGATGATGTAATCTATAAAGCTTATAAAGCGGATTAAATTGAAAGTTCGTATAGTTATTTCGATGGAATTATAGTTAATAAATAGATGGTAATATTTACATTGAAATTTACTAGTACAATTAAATATCTTCATGTAAGAAAAACATGCATTTGTTCTTTTGTCTTTACATTACTCTCAAAAAATAAATAGAAATAAAATACACATTCTAAATAAAAAAAAATAATATTTCATTATATGAAGTATTTCAAATTGTAATAAAAACTCCTAGCACTTTAATAATTCTCAATAATTAATAATTAAAAAAAATCACAAAATTTAAAATACTAAATGAGTGCAAATTAATTGAAGAAATATTTAGGGAGTTAGACTGAAATGAATTTCTTACTCAAGGGATCATAAAAGACAAGATACTTGTGGGGACATTTTAGAAAAAACATATACTATATTTATTATTATACTATCTAATTTTATTATTATTATTTTTTTCAAACGTTTATTTTTGTTCAAAATTCAATAATTATTATTCTCAAAATAATAAATTTCAGAATAGGAATTTTTTTTTTTTTAAAAAAAAAGATGTTATATATATGTAGAGCCTATAGTCTTGGAATGGAATATGAGATGGGATGAGTGAGAAACAAACATAGATTGATGATGAAGGTGGCTTGTTTGTTGAGAGGTTTTAATTTGTTGTGCCCACAAACCAACCACCACCACTAATCCTATCCTATTTTTCTTTTATTTTCATTTTTATTTAATAATAATAAAAAAGTACCTAACAAATTTCAACCACAACAATAATTTTATTTTAATAACAACAACAACAATATGCTTGCATGGGTGGCCCCATATGTGATTCTTCAATTTGCTTTTGATTTTAATCAATTCCCCTAATTATATGCTCTCACCTCATACTTTTTAATATTTGATCTTTAAATATTAACAATTACATCAAAATATAATAAAAATAAAAAAATTATTACAAAAATTCTTCTATTAGTGATAGAATGACATTTACACCAAAAATTATACAAATATATGAATATTTTTAATATTAACTATAATGACACAAAAAGTATATGACACTTAGAGGTCGGACGGAGAGAAGATATTACATATTGCTTACTTATTATAATTATGAAATTTTATTATACAAAATTTATTTATGTTCACCAATTATAGATATACATATTACATGCATTCTCTCGTGGTGTGTTTGCTTTTTGATTTTAAATTGAGTTTTCGATTTAAATAATATTTTTTATATTTAAAAAAATAGTAATATATTTTTATTGAAATCATGCTTCCTAATTTTATGAATTTGAAATTAAAAACAAACGAAGCTTTTTAGTATATACCAATATGCATGCATGCATGCATGGGTTGCTCATGATAAATACAGAGATCATTTCCAATTATCAAATTAACTCAAGGAAATATATATTTAAAATTTTACATATTTTATAAAATTAAATTTATGTTAAATAATTTTTTTATTTACTTATAAAAAAGAAATATTTTGTATAGAATAGTGTATATATTGCATATTATATATTAAATTTATTTTAAAATCATCAATGTATTTAATTAATTAAATAAAAAAATATTATTCTCTTAAATAGTGTGTATTATGTTGGGAAGGGAGAGATTACAATGTAAAACTAGAGGAAAGCGAAGTCCAATATTTCGTAATGAAGAATGATTAGAGTCAGTCCCAAAATTTGATATGTTTTGCATCAATAAATATACTCCGTATTGTTATGAATATTGAGGCACGTGGAGTACACGCACACGCACACGGCAAAGGCAAACACGACTCTGCCTTAAAATAAAAATAAATAAATACTGTCCAGAAGAAAAGTCATGCTCAACAGTAATAATCAGCAGCAGAAGCTTTATAACAAACAATCCCCAATTCCCATCTGGTGATTGCCCGCCACATCTTTCTCCGTATATTATTATTATTTCAATTTTTTTTATTAATTCCAACCAGTCTCCTTCGTGTTATTATAATATATTTTCCTGGAGATATTTTACCAACACAGCATAACGTTGAAATAAGACCACAAATATCTGCAGCACTGTGGCCTTATTTTAATAATGCGGAAGGAAGCTTGCTTAGCTTTCTCATTAAATAATTGGTGGATTTATGGACCAAAACACAACCAGCTTCACTCATTTTTATTATTATTATTACATCAGTGAATGAATTAATTGAGGAACTTCCTTTTAGGACCATGAGAATTAATTAACGTGTGAATTTGGATGAATGAAAGAAATTCGTGGCTGATTGATTGAGTAAGTGACCGAGTGGGATCTGATCTGACCTGATCTGTGATCATATCATCGTATGCTGCTGTTGCTGTAGTCTCAGTTGAACAGTAGTACTACTACTGCAACTGCTTCTTTTCTTTTTTATTTTGATGAATTTATTTGGTGCATCTAGGAGGGATAGGTAGACCCCATCAAATTATGTGTGTGTATGCTTTCCAATTCTACATTTTAATTCTTTCACTACATTATTATGGCTTTTATTATGAAAATATATAGTCATGTTTTATTCAAGTAAATATAGCTTTAATTCATAGTACAAAAAACATGACTCATTTTTCTCTCTAAATACCTCTACATATTTACAAATATTATGAAATTGTTATGACGGGAGTGAATAAATATAGTTCAACAGAAAAAAGATACATGATGCTCTTCGATGATAATATTGATAAAATGAGAGAAAATAAAAATCGTATTCTGTGTATATATACCACATTTCTAAATTCATGGAAAATTTTAGCAGATCAATCTATTGACCGAGACAAAAAAAAAAAAAAAGATAAAATACTTGAGGAGAACAGTAGCATGAACACACTCATACAAATGGCTAATGTTTGTGAACCCCAAGGAATCACACACTGATGAATAATCCTAATCGTAAATCCAATCTTGAAATTTAGCAGTCCTTAATTACTTTGTCAGAGAAGGATTTCGATCCTCAAAATCTAGCTGCTACTACTGCGTTTTCCACGGAGGGTTTTGAGAACGTACTTATTCAGTTATTTCACCACCACTCGAATCCGTTTGGCCCCGGTGGAATCTTTGCAGCTGATCTGCCAAGTCCGATTCATGCGCGTCGACCCGAACCTGCTCCGTTTTTAGATTTTTTCTCAACATCGGTGACAGAAGCGCGTGGGAGAAACTCGCCGCCGAGAGCGACGGCGAAGGAGTGCAGATGTTAGGACGAGATGAAGAATTGCTTAGAACTTCCTGTCATTATAACCGCAATCGAAACCGATCATTCTCGATTCTCGAATTAATAATACTAAAACATTTTTTCCTATTTTCAAAAAGTTAAAGGAGGAAGGATTTAAGATCGTACATCGGAGAAAGAACACGAAGAACAACTCCCGATTCTCCGTCGCTTCATCGAACTCCCCGCGTCTCCGCCGCTCACGGAATCCTCATCGCTCGAACTACTCTCCGGCGCTGGCGGCGGCGACCACGGCACTACCTGATTCTCTCCAACCACCTCCTCATCCACCGCTGCGTCCTCTGCTTCCTCATCAATTTCAACGCCTCTTCTACCATCAACGCACCGCTCGCACACCGCGAAGGTAGGTCTCAACTTTGCACCGTTCGCGGACCACGGCGTCGGAGATTTGCACACTTGACAAAGGAGGTTCCTCGAATGCCGCGCCACCAGGAAGTTGGCGGAGTGCACTCTGGCATCGCAGTTCCAGCACAGACGCGCCTGGTCCGATTCGCAGAGTATCCGCGCCTTTCCTTTGCACAATTCGCACCGCTTCCCCATATTTCTTCCACCGCACATCAAACAGTAGGACTCTCCTCCAAATTCTGCACACTAAACAAACTTCCGATTGCAAAAAACGAGAGGAAACAAATTCTTTTGTGGAAATCAACAAGGAAAACGGTTTTCCCGGTCAGGTGAGAGAGAGAACGAGAGAGAAAAGGAAAGAATAAAAAGGATAGGGAACCGAACAGAAGAGAGAAGAAAGCGGAAGCAATTAGTTTAATTCAACTTGCAGTCAACCACCATAAAACAACCACATGCTCATCTGAAATTACTAAACTACCCTCTCAGTCTTCCACCCAGCTAAATCTGCTTTTTATTTTATTTTTTAATCAAATAAAAAATCTTCCTGCTCCTACATAGTTATAAAAAAAATACAAAGTTGATTCTAATTATTTTTAAACCTTTCAATTTAAATTCATAAATTTACATAATTTAAAAAATATATATATGTTTGTTACTTCTTAAATATTTAACTAATCTATAATATACATTCGATAGTATTATCTGTAGGGGCAAAGTGGGAATTTCATAGAAGGAAGTGAGCATGGGAGATATTCTTGGGCGGTGGGGATGTGTGGGCGTCGAAACGACAGCGTATTGAGGAAGCGGGGGGTGAATGGTGAGGGAGGGCGCCAGATGTCGGAATACCAGGAAACACACTATGCGGCAGATATTTTGATTGGTTGGTGGCCACGTGGCAGATCGAGGGCCGCTGTCGCCTGATTTTTTGATCCTCTGACGTGGCTGATAACGAAGGTGTCAGTCACGCGGCGCGCACCTGATCACCATGATTCCTAGCCGGTACTGTAGGGGGGGGTGGTTCTGTCATTTCAGCTATACCTTCGTTTGTGGAATTTATTGCACCGACATGATTGGAGGATTATTTAATTAGTGATGATTATTTTAAATTACCTATTAATGAATTGCCTTTCGGTGTATGTTTCTCTCCACACAATATCAATAATGTAGTAGTAGTTTATATTTTAAATACTAACAATATTATTTTAAGTAAAATTTTAGTCCACTTGCTTTTTAAAAATGGTTGCCATTTTATTTATTATTAATTTTTTTTATAATAAATTGAAACATTATAAAATATATTTTGAAAATACAAGTATAATGTTAGCGGTATAAGAAAAACAACCAAATTCAAGGCGACAAGGATTAGTATAAAATAATAGCGAAGTTTAGAATTGAACTAAACTTTATATTATGCACCAACAACTCTACTCAAAGAGAGACAAATTCAATGCAATTCAAAACAAATGTAGAAATCATTGAAAGAGAATGACATTATTTTGGACTACTATTATTCATTCATTTTTAATTTTTTGTAACAATTTCATCTAAAACTAGGAACTTCACATTTGGACTATCAAATACAACTCACAGTTTCTGACTTTGTTTCCAATACATAAGAAAGACTTAGACAACACAAAGAATATCTTCCAATGCCATCTAAAATTGCCCCACTCCACTAACCATAATCTTATATCTATTCTCATCATCGTGATCAAACACCAAGGCTTAAATTTTGCATAAAACTAAATGAACAAGGCATCAAAGGAGAGCTAAACTTACCGTTAGTCTTTCAGCGAAAGTCTTGCATTTTGGACTTTTACAGAGAGTTTCAGTTTCTGATCTTCCGTGTCCCGGAAAAGTGCTAATAGGATTGCACGATACACTTCACACTTTTGATTAGTTCGTTCCAGCTCATTAGCTAGCTCGCGAATTTTCTTCTCCTTCTCATCCTGCAAATTTGATTCAGCAGGATTACCACCAATCTTGACGTTTAAACTTGAATGTACATTCAATCGATCTTCATACAAGGTGAAAGACCATACATAATGAATGCTAAATGGCACGGATTTGATTACTAACTACATGTATATATTTGTGGAAATTAGCTAAAACAAATGCATGTGAATTCAGTGTTGACCTTACTGTGTCTTACAGTTTCCATAACTGACAACAGAAGCAAACATGTATGGGAGGTTGATAAAATTATTAGTTGAAGTATATATGCAATTTGCATTTATTGATTTAATCCCTCATTTCTCATCCATCAGGAAATTAAACATCGCCAAAACAATAAATGTGCAAATGCACGTTATCAACTATGTGTGTGTGTCTAGTACATGGAACATTCCATGATTCCTCATATGATTTCTGGAAGCCAACATTAACATCCCAATCTATAATTTTTTCTAGAAACTTGTTCAATAATGGTTGGATTTCAAATAACAGAAAATAAAAAATTCAATAACTATCGGTTATTGTTCTATAAAACAAAATGAAGGATGCAAACCTAGATGATAATTCCCAAAGCCTCAATATGTTTCATCTGACTACCATGAAATTTTCAATGTAAACTGCCAGCTGTAATAATATCTTGCTTCCCAAGATTTTTTTTTATGGCACTTGCATTATGAACATATTCCATGTTAGATTTTTGGCCAAAGCAATACTAATTGTAACTCCTACAAACTATATTCTTCAAGAAATTCAACGCAAACACAGCTTTGTAGCTCAAGTGAATTAACACTTTGATAGAATTAATCCACAAGTAATACTGCTTACCGCCCTTCATTTCATTTGATAGAAAATCAAGATCATTGGAACAACCAGAACAAAATATCTTCAATCCCATCAGGAAAATCAATAGTGAATGATATACCTATTTGGCCAATATAACAACAAGGAATGAAAGTCCAAAGTATCTACCTTGGATACATGTGATGAAGATTGATTCTCGGTTGAACTCATCTCCAGATTTCCTCCATTTGCTTCGCTAGTTGCCTGTGCATTTTCAGAATTTTTGCTCTTTGCAGCTGCAACTTGTCTCGTAGCCTCATGCAGTGCACTCATTGCCACATTGTAAACATGTATAGATTTGGCACCTTCTTCAACAAACTTCAAAGCCTCTTGCCGTAAAGCCTCCTGGTAGTTGCTGGGCAACCCAACAGTTGATTCGGTGGTGGATTCTACACCACTTGCCTTAGCGTTTCTTGTCCAGCGCTTGAGAACATACTCAGAAGGAAGCATAAGGACATTTTTGGCTCGAAACACGGAGAGTATATGTCGACAAATGATGCCTGAAAACTCAAACATTCGACAACTACATGTAGCTTTCATCTCGAACGCATTGAACCTAACAATGTGTGCTTTGTGCTCTTCACCAAATTTGGCTACCCTATATGTTGTCACTGAACCAGAATCATCTAATATGGTAGCAGGATTAGCAAGAGTTTCAACCAATTCTCCTTGAAATTTCATGAATATCCTTCTAGTATACAGGTTAGCAGCCTGCTTTTCCATAGGGGAAGGTGTCTTCAGAACTGGTATAGTATTAGATGTATCAAAGTCTTCCTTCAGCTCCTTTCCATGCCAAGTAGAAACAATCTTTTCATATTGTTTAATTAATAGCTGTATGTTGGTGGGAGTGGTACTTGAAAACCCAGTAAAGAACAAACCTAAGGCATCACTGCACTCTGATGTGGATAGTTCCCCAAAAAACACATCTCTCAAATAAACAGGAACCCACTGATCACGAATGTTATACAGCGAGATAAGCCATTCATTATCCATCAAGAAATATCTACCCCAGAGTGTAGCCCAAGAAGACTCAAACTCCTCAACTGTTTCAGCTTCATTGACGCACTTCTTGAACTCAAAATCAAAAGCTGGATTTTCTTGATACACATTAGCCAACTTCTCCTGTGTCTGTCTGAATATGCTCCATCTACAGAACCGATTCCGTGAGTCTGGGAAAACTTGTGCCACAGCCATCTGAATAAGCCGATCAGGGTCACTAGTGATTGAGACAGGACCATGTCCAGACATTGCCCGAAGCCATGTTTGGAGAAGCCAAATGAAAGTGTTCTCAGATTCATTCAGAAGCAATGCACAGCCAAACAGGACAGGCTGAGCATGATGGTTTATGCCTGTGAATATTACAAATGGTATCTTAGACCGGTTTGTCCTATAAGATGTATCAACTCTAACAGAGTCCCCAAAATGGCTGTAGTTTGCCCGGGAAATTGCATCAGCCCAAAAGAAATTTCCACTGTGCTCATTATCAGCCTCGATTGCATAAAAGAAACCTGGATTCTCACCCTGCATTCTTTTTAGATACTCGATCAAATATTGAACCCCAGGCCCGAGGCTTCTCTGCCTCTGAGGCACATTATTCTTTTGCATCTATGTTGGACAGCTGTAACAAAAATCTAAACTAAATTAACAATTACCCCACCCTAAATCACATAATAAATTGGGAAATATAGATTCGTTGCAATTGATTCCCAGTGACACAGTTGGCACATACAGCAATTAAATTATGGGGCGAAAAATAGAAACGCCACAGCATAAAGATTTACATTCCACGGCTTATTGGTTGAAAAAACTACATTAAACAAAATAACATTGATGAAAATAGAACCAACAGTAAATCACATACAAATCCCTGATTACACGACATGCGTTTATGATATACTGTAGCACGTTCTCTGATCTGATCCCTAGAGAAAATTGGCTTATAAATAAGCAAAATTACAAGAGAAATGTGGCAATGTGAATGTCACTATACAAAGATTCAGAGTTTATGGCACAATGCTTGCACACACGATAAAACTTACAACCACCCATTAAACTCAAGAAATTCTAACATAATCATCAGGAGATCAAAGTTACAGCAATAAAGTTATAATGGAATGAAACGATATCGACACGGAAATCAATGGTTAACTCAAATTTAAGCAGCTCACCACATAAATTCGGAAATACAGCCAAAAAGTGGTCTCAACCGTTCCCTGAGATTCAACTGAGCTAATTAACAAAAAATGGAAATGCTGCAATTCGAAGATTTACGGACCATGGTTTGTTGCTTGAACGTGAGTAAAAATAGTAATTAAACAAACTCGATTGTTTTGTAACATAACCGCCAAAAGGCAAAATCAAAGAAACGTCACGAAAGATTTGAAGTATAGCAACGCAAAAATCACATAAAATCTATGGTTAGGTCAAATTGCGGCACACAATCGGATTTAAAGTAACTGGGAATCGAATTTACACATATACGAAGAGAAGAGTCGATTCAGCCAAGTACCGATGTATACGAACAAGAAGCCGTCGAACAATTGCCGGAGGATCGCCGGGAGTCTTGAGTCAGTGAAAGTACATTCACTGGATGGAGCGGTACTAATGTAACATCTCATCTATTTTCATGGATCAAAGTCAAATTGTCTGTCAAACATGCCAATCTCAAATGGGTCGGACTCGTTTTGCCCTAGGCCCACAGTAGCCCATTCGTACAGACCGACCCGACCCGACCCGGAGATATACTCGATGGAAGTCAGGTACGTTCAATTCAATCAAACCAGATTTAAGGCGTTGCCATTGTAAGTGAGACTAGCCGCGTGATAGTAGATCGAGAAAGGATTTCCCTGTGGGTTTAGGATTGAGCTTCCAAGAAACCAAATTGCGATAGGATCGTGGGAGGATCCGCGGTTAGAGTTGAAACGATTCATTGTTCCGTTGCGATTTTCGCATCGTCATATTGGCTAAAAACCCGTAAATATCACGAATCGGTGGTCGGCGTTGATCTGCATCTGCGATTCCGTTGGCCTGATTACCTTAGCTATTTTGGACTAAGAACTATTCCTGGGGAAGTAAAGTAAAGAAGTTTCGTGTTGTTGATTTGGTATTGTTGTTTGGTCTTATTTTTGGGATTCCTCATTGACATTAATATGAGAATTATTCGCGCTTACTCTGACGAAGGCAATAAAACAATATAAGGAGAATCCTGAATTTGCTGTAGTATTTACTTTTATTGATGTTGAAATTCATTTGGGATTGGTTTGTATTGTAGGTGATCCACTAAAGCATTATTACGAAGCAGTGGCTTAAGTTCAAATTTGTTGTTCTTGAAAGCTTGAAAATGGCTAGCATTGATCCATTTAATCGGTAACGTTTTATTTCTCTTGATGAAGCATTGAACTTTCAGCCTTGTTGATTATTTGTTCAATTAGTTTGATTAACATATGTGAATAGCTTGGTGAAACTTGCGGCGAGGGCATTCTATGATGACATAAGTACTAAAGGTGAAAACCAAGCTAAGGCTGGGAAAAGTGACAACAGGGGAATTGCAGTGGTTATTCTTGATGCTCTTACTAGGTAATTATGATTTTAAGGGAACAATAAACATTAACTGTATCGTTGGAAGTGGTTAATTCAACCTTTTGAGTTTGTTTTCAACCTTTCTTCATTTTATATACATTAACTTTGTTGCAGACGACAATGGGTTAGGGAAGAAGATTTGGCTAAAGACTTGAAACTTCATACTAAGCAGCTTCGTCGGGCTTTGAGACTCTTTGAAGAAGAAAAGCTTGTCACTCGTGATCACCGCAAGGAGGTTTAAATTTCTGGTTCATTCTTGTGGCCTATATCTTTGCCTCTTTTCTCTGTTGTTGTTTCTAGAGATTGATTTGTATTTTTGTATACATTAATGACTAAACTTCAATTAGTATTTTTCAAGAATGATCAAATTTGATAGTTTCTGTTTGTTGATCTAGAGTATAAGCTTTGCAAGGTTGTGTTGTATCTATTATTGGTATTGTCCACTCATTTTGTTCACGGAAGGTCACACCCTTCTATGTAAAAAAGGACACTGAATGGAAATGTGGAGTTTGAACTTAGGGTTAAGGAAGGATTTATAATTTATTCTTGCATGCATTGAGATGACAATTTTTTTTTTTTTCTCTGAAATAGGAATGCTTTTTAAAACTGTTTAACAAGATAAAACTTCAACATTGAGAACTGCAATCCTAAAATGGACATTTGCTCTTATAAAACATGCCTCTAGTTGTTGTAGGGTATGGAAATATGTTCTCTAATTATTTTTCCATTGAAATGTGCAATATCATCCTATCTTTGTATTTTTTGTTAATGTCTTTTTCTTTATCACCTTCTATGTTCTTATATTACAGGTAATGTGTTTATTAGGAGATGGGATATGTCGTAAAACCTAACTCATTGTCCCCTTCTAGTTCTTCCTGATTATCTCATTTTTTTCATTCCTTCAATGGTATTTTCTTTCGCAGTCCTCCAAAGGTGCGAAAATTTACAATGCTGCTGTGGCTGCCACGGTTGATGGTCATGTAACTGGAAGAGAAGGTGATGAAAAGCTTAAAATGCACACACAGTCGTACTGTTGCCTGGATTATGCGCAGGTTCGTAATTTCCTTGTTCTCTATAAGTAGAAGATTTGTTGTGGTAACTGATGGTAGGCATCAGAGTAGATTTTTTCAGGCACTTACTTAGAGGTGATATTAACTAAAGTCAATATAATTTGACACCTTTTCTAGTACACTCCTTTAATTTGGATATGGACAAGATGGAATAGATGGTTTAGAGTGGAAATTAATTGGACTTGTAGAATATTTTTTGGAAATGAGCAAGATGTAACACATAGTGAAAGAAAATACTATGGTGTGGTACATATTTTCTTTCATGATTCAACACTAATTTCTTTTTCACAACCCACCATATTTCTAAAAGACTGTATATGATATACCAGCCATAATCATCTATGGTTTGGTACATTGAATCACGAATTCTTTTTCAATTCAACTTGTCAAAAAAGAATTTGCTGATTTTGAGATGATATTCTACTATGAGGTATAGATGTCAGTGTGTTGTCAGGATCATAGATTCCTTTATCTGTATTTTTTTTATATTCTAGCATTTGACCGAATGGTTGTAGTGCATCTCATCATCTATCTAGCTTAGGTGACTGTGAATGTTGCTTTGTTTGTAGTGACTATCATAAAACTTTCTAAATTTCTTGTGAACTAACTGTTCCGGTTTCTATTGCAGATATATGATGTGGTGAGGTACAGAATACATCGCATGAGAAAAAAACTGAAGGATGGACTGGAGAGCAGAAACACAATTCAGGAATATGCATGCCCAAGCTGCAGCAGGAGGTCTTTGTTCCTCTCATTTTTTATTTTTTTTTGTTCTCTCTTCTTTAGTCTTTTCTGTGTCAATGAATTAAAGTTTTGGGTGACGTGCATTTCAGATATACTGCTCTTGATGCACTTCGGTTGATCTCCCCAAGTGATGAATACTTTCACTGTGAAAGATGTGATAGTATCCTTGTGGCTGAGAGTGACCAGTTAGGTGGTCAGGAATTGAGAGATGGAGATGATAACTCAAGCAGACGTCACCATGATAAAGTGAAAACAATGCTAAATAAGATGGAGGTTTGTCCTCTCTTTAAACACCTTTATGTTGAAATTTAATAACCATCCATCTCCATTATGCAAAATAATACTCAGAAATTTTTGCAAATTAGTTAATGATGACAAATGTTTCAATCTTCTCATTTTATTTTCTTAAACATGTCATACAGATGTATAATTTCCATTACCTGAAGCTATTGCTGCTTCTCGAATGTTCCGTTGTTTTGTGTCTTTGACTTCCTTTGATTTTGATCACTTCTAAATATTCAAATGAGACAGAAATTTCATAAAACCTGAATAGAAGAAATTATAGTTATCAAGAAAGCTAGAATACTTCCTGGGATGAATAATGTTTAAATATATAATGGCTAGGTAGTTTAGCAAGATGAGAATTAAGCTGACCATTTGTTGGTTCGGGCAATTGTAGGTTTTTTTTTTCCACAATGGTGTTAATATATGTGCACTCATTAGGTCTCCCTGTTTTCCCTGCAACCTATCATGGAGAATAATATATAGGCCTTTTTATGCACATATAGTTTATTTATGTTCTCTTGTATGAGTGTGTATAAGTCACAGCTGGACTCTGCTATTTCCACTTACCTGTTAATATGCCAACCCTTGTTATGTTAGACTACTTGTGAGATTGTGGTTCTGTAGTGGGAAATTTTTCGCAATGGGCGAAAGCCTGACGGAAACTCGGTGACAGTGGTCATATATTATTGGCTATGCGTTTGAGTAGAAATTAGTGTGCTGCTAGCTGCTTTTCTTCCATGGTTTTTCTTTGGGTATTCTATGCACTCCAATCCCCCACCCCACCAACCTAACCTTGAAAAAATAAAATTTTATAAATAGTAGTACGAAGAAAAGAAAGAAAAAATAACCTGCCCAATGCCCATTTGTTATTAGATGTTTAACTTTTATCTTAGTGGATATGTTGTGTGTGGATTATATGGTACGGATATGAAATTTTGTTGTGGTTGTTTATAAATTTTTCAACTTTTTAAATGAAGTTGATTGAATTCCCTTTTATTTTTTATTTTTTTCCGGTTAAATTGAAGAGCATTGAATTCAAACATTAGTCTCTTTTTACCCCCAAGATCCTTTTGAGACTGGAAGTTTACTTGTTTGTCTTGCAATCATTTGCATCTTTACTAACCTTTGAGAACTTGATGGAATACAGGAACAGCTAAAACCACTGATGGATCAAATAGCAAGAGTTAAGGATTTGCCTGCTCCTGAATTTGGAAGCCTTCAAGCTTGGGAACTTCGGGCAAATGCTGCTGGCCGAGTTACAAGTGGAGATTTTAATTCCAATGACCCTTCGAAATCATTGCATGGAACTCCCATGCCTTATGTCGGGGAGACGAAGGTTACCTACCTAGAAGCAATGATTTTTTTTTTTTTTTTATTGTCTTTTGTTTTCCGATAATGGAAGATTATGATCTTGGGTAATCATAAAACATAGGTTAAATATTAAAGACTGGCATTGAGCTTTGATTATTTATGAATTAAATATGAAAATTTATCTGCATATATTCTAAGATTGGCATGATTCTTTCATGAATATACCTAATCACTCTCTAGTTGGTAAGAGGAATTGAATGAATTTTTATAACGGTCCATTCAGTCTGTTAAGGAAATTATGTTGCTTTTGAATCTTACTGCATATACCTGGCAGGTTGAAGTTGCATTTTCTGGTTCTGGTGACGGAGGGGAAGATGTAAAACCAAACACAAATGAACCCATGAAGGTGCTACCTCCATGGATGATTAAGCAAGGAATGGTTCTTACGAAAGAACAACGTGGAGAGACAAAGCCTGAGTTAAACATGGGCAGTACATCAAAATCTTCAGCGCATTCTGATGACAAGAAGTCCACAGTCGTAAATGAGGATTCAAAAACTATACAGGTTTATTTGAGGGCTTTTCAAAATTTCCCAAGACTTTTTCTTTTGGTCAATATATATATACACACATATATATAATATCAGTGTATATATGTATTTATATCTCTGTATTTTATATCCCCTTTGACAAACTATTCATTTGCCATTCTACACTTTGTTTTGTAGGATGAATACTATAAGGCTTATTATGCTGCTCTGCTTAAGCGCCAACAAGAAGCTGTCAAGCAGGAGCAGGGGTTGCCTAACAACCCAATTGATACAAACTCGCAGCGTCAGGTTGGCATGAAGTCAAAACGTGAAGATGATGATGAGGACGATGATGTTTGGGAGGAGGGCTCTTCTATAGGTAAATCCCTTTGTTTAACCACCCTCCTATCTCTTACTTTTTTTCACCCAGTTCTTAATATTACTGTAGTATAATAGTTAAGAGGGGTAATTAGCTTCCGGGGGTTCTCTATAAGTTGGAGAAACCTTACAGAAATGAATTTCCTCAGTAAGCCATTACACAATATGACAGTTACCTAAGGACATTTCATAGTAACAAATACCAAACTTATACTTGAATCCCAGACCGTGTGAACTAGTTAAGCAAAAATTTTGGCTTTTGTTTCAAATTTGATCATGCTGAATAGTCAATTCTGAAGTAGCTTGTTAAAAGCGAGGAAGGAGTTAAACAGGTTGACCACAATTCAATGCTTGACTCGAAAAGCACCCGACCAAGCTTGAGTAATTCAAACTCAAGTTTTAACTTGAAGCTCATTCACATAACAATGAATCATATAAAAGGGACTAGCCAATTTTATTTGGTATGGCGCTTAACTGTCTATGAATTATGCTTTATTGCAGGCAACACGTCGGCAGCACAGTTTAAGGTTAATGACTTGAATGTAGAAGCAGCAGCTTCTGGTGATGATGAAGATGAAAACGATTGGGAGGATGGGTAACTGGCCGAGTTTAGCTGTTCTTGGAACTTGTACTTCTCACGGGGTTTGTTCTTGGTGAAGAAAGGTAATTTACTCTTCTTGAACGCTGATTGATTCCATTCCATTCCATTCTATTATAGCGGTGTGTGTTGTTTCTTGCAGTCGAGTTTGTTGGGAATCACTTGATTTTTAATTTTTGTTCATACACATATATACAAACATTTTTTACTGTACAAGGGAAGGATTGGTAAAGTTTTGAGTCTTCTTGGGTATTTTAGATTTGAGTTTTTTAAATTGAAATAGATGTTTTGTATGGCATTGTACTAGTATAATAGTATTGAATAACAATTAGGCATTGGAGTGCATTTTTAATATAATAATAAATATTTTACAGTAAATGCCTATGGTGTAAGTGTGTAATATATTGATTTTATAAATATTTACAAATAATATATTCAGTGTGTCTAAGTATGGTCAATATTTTGTATGAGATCATTATTATTTTTGAATACGATATATGTTTTCTAAAAATAAATATTAAATTGATAGTTGGATCAAATCCATATAAATACTTTACCCAAAATTTATAATCTACTTTTTAAAATAAAATTTAGACTTAACCAGAATGTTGATAATTTGTTGGAACCAACTTTTTGGATTAAAGATAAAGAGCCAAATGATTAATTTATCCACCAATTAACAAGGAGCACTTTATTTTTCTTTTAATAATAAAGTAATAAAAAGGACATCGAAAGCTACTACTCAACATTATTCTAATTTTGTATTGGATGCATTGAATTTAAATGATTTGTTAAGAAAATAAAATAAATCACCACTAAAGGTCGCAATCTTTCTTCTATTATTAAAAAAATAAACCTGTTGTTCTTGATATTTGTAACAGCGTGACGAATAAAGATTATAGGCCATAATATGTGAAAAAAAAATATACACACACACACACAAACGTTAAAATTTAGTACAGCCAAGGACTTGAAAAGGGGAAATGTATTTGTTATTTATTTATTTTAAAAATGAGATATGCTAAATCATATTGCCTTGATAGTTCTTTATTTCCTTTTTCTTTTTTACAATTAATAGATAACATGAAATTTTCATGCCAACAGTGTTTATTTCAATTTCCAAATACGTGTAAAATTGGATAAAATTTATTAGGTACTATTTCATTTTAGAATAAAATATATACAATTACTATTATTCGTTGAAATTAAAATTCAGGTCATAGTATTATCATACACTGTACGGCTTGGTTCAAACAGATGTTTAGATAAAGAATTTTGGAATTTAAATATGTTTTCAAAAAAAAATAAAATCAAGTATTTGATTAATATTTTGTAAACAAAAAACTAATTAATATTTTATTTATTATTCTTTTTGAAAAAAAAAATGATTTTAGTAATTGTATCAAAACCACTATATGCAAACGGACCGTAATATTTGTTACAACGATTTTAACGTGAATATATATATACACGTTTGATTATTTCAGAGTTTTAATTAAAAAATAATTTTAATCATACGTTGACAAACAATATTATAATGTGATGGATGGCCAGTTACAGTTAGTTACCTTTAAAAATTGGATATAGTTAATTTGCTGGTGGCTTAAAGATTTACAATTTGAAAAGGCAACGCCTGGGACTACAACTCCCGAACCAACCATTACCGTAGATAATATTATAAGAACGCTGTAGATTTATCTAGAAAATAGGCCGGGAGTCTTTTAATTGAATGTTGAGATGACAGCTGTCATTTATTTATTTGCGGGCGTTACTTGAAAACCTGTAACCGGCGGCTGATTCATAAACCATTAGCCGATATAAAGCCACAAAAGCCGCTCTGTATATATGATAAAAACAAATCTGCAGGCAGTAACTGAAGAACAAAAATAACAGCAAAATAGCAGATGAAGTTTTTCTCTGAATTAGGATCGTGTTGCGGAAGCGCGGCCGCCACTCCGGAGACGGAGGCTGCCAATCGTGGCAGCCAGGCTGTGGATCGGAGCCGCGCAGGCGGAGAGAGGAGAAGGCTTGCGAGATCGAGATCCAGCGGTAGCACGGCCGCTCCGTGGGTACCGAAGCTTTCTGCGATTTCAGAGGACTTCCCGATGACATCGGCGCATCGAACCGACGCGGATCAATTGAATGCCGGAGACGATGAGCGGAAGCGGTTGGTGAAATCGAAATCAAAGCCGAAGGCTGTAATTGCGCCAATGTTTGGTCAAGGAGATGACTACTGGTGAATGGTTATTGCTTTTGAGTAATGAAATGTTTTGATCTGAATTTTTTAAATTATTATATTTAGTTTTTGATTGAATCAAGTTTTGAATCGACATCTTGCTTCGATTCTTCCAAGTAAATACAAATCAAATTCGTTTTTGAAGATATCAACATTTTAATTGTGGATGTGATTTCAGGAAGTCTACTCCAGCGCTACCTGCTTTTTCTCCAATGTGGTATGGTTTCTGAATTCATAAACTTCTTGTGGATATTGTACAGTATAAGGTAACTATAGATATTTTCCTATATTTATCATTTTTCTTGAAGCAATTGCAACTATGTCTTTCTTTTTTTCTTAATAATTTTAAGCCTTAGATTATTAATAGTGTATATACATGTATGTGTGCTGATATCGGAAATTAAATTATTGTGTGATTGATGATGATATGTTAAATTATATCAGTAAAATTTCTACGTGTAGAAAGTAATTCATGGTGTAACTATAGATTGGTAACTAAATGACAATTTCTCAAAATACTCTCCTATTAAATTCGGAGGACCTTCTTATATACATATTCACCAAACAAAAAAAGTTGAAGATTAAATTGATGCCCTGGTTTAGTGAATAAATTTCATTTTAATTTTTTAGATAATGAGACCGAGACATAATTTTTTGAAGTTATTGTTATTTGTTGATTAAATAAAAGCTCTATTTAAGTATACATTTTAAATTGTAGAGATTTTTGTTTTGTTTATGTTTTTAAAGATAAATTTTCAATATTCAAGCTTATTTAAAATATATATATATATTATAGAATATTAAATCAAAATATTACTTAAACAAAAATTTAAATTAATATTTTGTTTCAAATTTATTTTAAACTACATTAAACAAATTTATTACCAATTTGTCTAACCTATTTCCTTCTAACATTAAAATAATATTAAACATTTTAAATCCAAAACAGGGGAGTAATATATACGGATTTAATAGTTAAAACATGATTTATATCCAAAAACATACCTCATCCTCACTGCATAATCCACGTGCATCCATCCTCTTACGGTGGCTTCCCAAATTACCCTTAGAAGTGGACTCTTCATTAAGCAGACCCTCATTCGATATTGAGGTTATAAATGTAAATTCGACACCTGCATTTTTGTCCTATTCCAGTTCAATACCGTACACTTCTATTTGTTCCCCGACAATCTCGTCAGACCTATCAAAATCCTCATCCGACGGCCAAAAATACACAACTCAGCGACGTCGTTTTTGCTACCTGCACGAAAACGGCCAACGTACAGACATAGCCGTCAGATTCCGCGCAGCGACACCTGTCATCCTCTCATCCTTCGCCACGTGTTCCCCTCGCGGCTTTTATATATACAAGATACAGACGAAATTTATCCACTCTAGCTCGTTCCCGGAGCAATGGACAATGACTTTCAGTTGCAGGTGCAGCCGCAGCTCCACGGCGTCGAATCCTCTTCCGCCGTCGACGAGGCTTACATCAACGGCGTCTGCGCCGGACTCAGCTTCCGCTCCTTGCTTGCCTACGGTTCCTACGAACCGGCGGCGGAAGCACCGAATCCTCTCAAAATGCCGAAAACCGAACCTAACTCCGCCATCGGAGACGGTTATTCCACCAGCGTTCTTCCGTACAATTTCTTCTCCGAAGCGGCGGCGTCGTCGTCGTCGTCTTCGCACCATCTCCAGCTTCCGAGCCTACTTTCTCTCGAGCTACCTCCGACCGCCGCCGTCGCGGCGGATTCACCAGTTCTAAACCCTAGGGCTGGAATCGGAAAGCAGCGGCGGCGGATAAAACAGCAGAGGCTTAGCGATAAGACGCGGTGCTTGCAAAAGCTACTCCCCTGGGATGAAAAAATGGACATGGCGACCGTACTGGAGGAGGCGTACAAGTACATCCGGTTTCTCCAGGCGCAGGTTAGCGTACTCCAGTCAATGCCTTGCGAGACCGCTTCCGCCTCGTCGGCGGCGGCAACAAGCGGTGGCGGCGGCGGCGTGGATCTCGGGAGATTGAACAGGCAGCAGCTGCTGCAGGTGGTGGTGAACTCTCCGGTGGCTCAATCGCAGCTGTATTCGAAAGGCTGCTGCGTTTACTCAGTGGAGCAGATAGTTACGCTGAAGAAGAAGCAGGCTATGCATCAACAAGTGCTCTTGAGTAATTCGTCTAACCCTAATTCCTTCTTCTGAAAGGTATTACGTACGTACTAGCTCTTCCTCCTTTATGTCAGTCAGTCGCCACTTTCTTGATGAACTATATATATATATTAGGAGCAACTCAGTTTTTTTGTTATGAACTTAATTAATTAATTAATGCTCCTAGGGTTTTGAATTAACTGTGAATACTAGTGTGGCGGAACTCATCTTGCCATACGTGTTTTGACTTGGAATCTAAACAATGCTTTAATATTTTTAACAAAGTAATTGGTTTGTGCATTGGTTGCAAACATGAACATACACGAGAAGGACCCATTCTCGATTTAATTTATTTATCGATTATATTGGACCTAATTTTGATAATAGAAGATCAACTTTGCCTTGGTCCTCTCCTCACCATATTGTGGAAGTTGCTTTGCTTCTCATATCTCAACAAATTATTATGCACATAGCCAATAGAAATATAACACCATTTCAATCCATATAGAATCGTATATGGAGCTATTGAAATCGAAATCACAACTTCAGTCTTCCACAATTGTTTTGTCTTTTTTCAACTTTTTTATTTCAATGCAGCCAGGATAACTTTTTTTACAAAACTCCAACTCAAACTCAAACTCGAGTGTGAAGCTTAGCCAAAGTAAAATTAATCAAATTAGATTTGAAAAAGCTCAAAACTTAACACAGACTCGATTTGTTTGCAACCTTTATATATACTACAACTGGATTTAATTTAGAGATTTAGCAAGTTAGGCATACCATAGGTAGGTAGGGATAAAGTGATGAGCCTAATTATGTTCATCATCGGAGCTGAATCCATCATCCTTCTGCTTCTCCCTCATCAATGGAAATAACTGTTTGCGGATATCCGATGAAGATTCAGAACAATCTGCCATGAAGACATTAATGGTAGTTAACTTGAACTCACTTCACTACATATGAAAGAATCATGTTCATTACTAAATTTTCAAAAACCTGAATCTTGACCATTAGGCGAGGCAGATGGTGACGAGGAAGATGGAGCCTTGTCCTTAGCCGTCTTCGAAAAATCCTTGCAAGCATTGTCCAGCATTTGTAAGAAATCTCGAACAATCACAAATAGGTGCGGCGCATCATCCTTGGAAGACTTTCCATGAAAATAGTCTCTTGTGCTCCTCACCAAACTCATAATCCTTTTCTCCTCTGCAACCAGCCATTCCATATCCGATCCCACTTCATTGATTGCATTAGTAACAGCCTCCCGGAAGTGATCATCGCATCCTTTGACACTTTTCATCTCTTTTTCAACAAACTCCTTTGTTTTGGCGAGGGTTCGATTGAGGTTCGACACTGTCTCTGTTAGAGCCTGTGCATCAATGATAGAGGCCTTTTTTACATCCTCAAGCTCGTGGCTGAGCCCAGAGACCACTTGAAGCCCGAGGTTCCGATGGTATTCTTCAGTTTCTTGCAAAGAATCGTCATCGCCACTGCTGCTGATGCTGTCTGAACTCGATGATGCACTTTGGCGCTCTTTCAATCTTCGAGCAGCTCTCACACCTTCCGACCGGACTATTTCCAAAATGACAAAGTGCAGTAGAGTTGTCTTTCCATCTACTCCTTTCACATCTGATAGTTTCAAGAGTGTGTCGAGCTTGAAGGCTGTAGCGCCCCCACGGTACGTGCCGTCGTTCATTCGATTACCCGTTTTAAGAACAGCTTCCAAGAGTTTCAAGAAGAGTCTGCTGTTTGTGAGCTCATTGCAGGCAACCTGAACAGAGGAATTGCAAAACTTAGAGAAAGAAGAAAAGGAAAAGGAAAATGTATCTGCTAGAAAGAGAAGCAATTTAGGAACCTCTAATGTTGATAAGGACTCTTTGAGGGAAGGAAACTCCTCATCGAATGTGGTGAAGAATAACACCACTTCCAAACGTTTGTAGGCGAATGGGATATCGACCAGGGCCTTGAGAAACCTCTCGGCCGGGCCGAGTTGAGAAAGCTCACCATTATATAACTTCAGCTTTAGTTCTTCATCGGTTGTCGGCGCCATCTTCAACAAAGTCTGGACTAGCTCTGGCTGGAGCTCATGACCTGATCAAAGTGCATACATACAAACACTCTTTATCAATAAACTAAACCATGCGATAATTAAGCATATATATATACCTTCTTTGAGGGCATCGCAGACTTGTTCGGTTGTGACATTCAATGCCTTTAGAAGGATCGCCAAGTTTTGTGATTTCTTGGGATCGATGATCTGAACGTATTGTGGTGTATTGTCGAATGCAGGTGAGTCTTTCTTCTTCTCATTCTTGTTCATATCCGCTGCGAAATATCCAAAGAGTGTTTCCATCATCTCCTCATTGAATCTACAAGTTCAAAGAACAGGAAAGAAAATGTCAATCAAAACAAAGGTCTAGCTAACACACACCACTGTATAGATAGCTACTTACTGGAATGATCCATCACGAATATTATCCCAAACCATGGAATGATCGGGGTTCGCAAGAACTTTGTCCCAAAACAATGGCTTCAATTTGGTTTTTGGAGGTCTTGATCTACCAGGGGATCCACCGCCTAAAGAAGAACGCCGACGATGGTGTTCAGGAGCTGATGGTATTCCATTTTGAGGTGGATTTGGAGGATGTCGACCCATTTTAGGAGGTGGCGGTGCAGCAGGAGCAGCAGGAGACTTCACAGGAGGCAGTGGTGGTGGTGGTCCTGGAGGTGGGTTGGGTGGTGGAGGAGAAGTTTTCTTTCCGGGAGGAATTGGCAATGCTGCTTCGGGAGAAGTTCTCTTTCCGGGAGGAATTGGCAATGCTGCTTTGGTATTTCTTGCAGATTCTGCTGTAGCTTCCATCTTCTGAGGTCCAGCTTGTGGAAGATCATAGTTAGCTTCCATCGTCTGAGGTCCAACTTGAGGAAGATCATGGTTAGCATCCAATGAACTGCCGGTGTTCGATGCAACTTCGATAGCTTCACTCTTGGAATTGTCAATGATGATACGAGACTTCTTCGGACCTGAGTGTTAATCATAAACCTTTATGAGGAATGAAACAGTAGAACTGAAAGAATCTGTACATTGAAACCTCAACCACGACGTTGAACATACTTGTTGAAGCATCACTCGAGCTGAAGTCGAGAAGAGGCTTCTCGTCTCTTACCCCACCTTTCGACCCTTCCTTCGAGCTCTTAACACAGAGAACTAACAGTATAGCTATGACAACAAGTCCAAGAACTATAATTAAAATCAGAGTGATCATAAGATACTTCTGTACATCTTTGTTTGTTTGTGAAGGTTCCTTTGATGTTGAGAGAGATTGATCGGCAGCCTTATCCAAGGACATCAGAGTTGGAGATGGAGAGGGTGCAAAAATGTTTCCTCCAGGTGTTGGCGACAATGAAGGACTCGGAGACGAAGCAGAATCTGCAGATGTAGTTCGAAGTATGCTCCATGTATGCTGGCCGTGCAAATACCTTCTTGGAGTTGTAGCAGAAGTTTCAGTCGCCTTTTCGAGCTTATTCGAACAAGACTCTTTCACTTCTGTTAATGCTTTCAATGGAAGTCCCTCTCTCTCAGCCTGCTGAGAATGATGGAATCTAACTATTTAGGAAAATCAATCAAGCTCATCCATGGATGCTTTTACTGAAAAAATGAATGCAAGCTTAGCAATCGAAAGAGAAGGTCAGTTTTCCATGAAAGAGATGAATCAACCTCCGAATTGTCTTACCAAATCATTTTCCAGAATGCTCTGCTTCGCTAATTTTCTATTCCCTTCCGAATAATCCGCTGCGAAGACGGAGAAAAGAGCAACGAGAAACACGGCAAGTCTTTTGTCCATGGCGTCTCAAACATTCGTCGGCGCCTCCTCCTTCAAAGAATCAACACACATAGCCATATTTGTGGCTATGTATGTAATGTATATATCTATGCACAGCACAGCACTGCACAGCACAGAACAACAATCAAATATTGATCGATCGATTTTTGAGCAGTCTTCACTGCAATTCCCCTAACCCTAAATCAACTCCTACCTTCAAAATTAAACAACTCGGTAACCCTTGGTTTACCTCCGAGAAGCACACGGATATTATTGATAATCCTCTGGTGTTAATTTCTGAATTCCTTCTCCTCCTTCAACCTCCAAAATTCCCAAAGCAATCGTTCAAACGCCAAAATCTGACCCCCAAAATTAGGCCTCCGATGCAATTCAATGTTTAGCAAACTAAATACCCCGAGGCGAGACCTTTCAAACGAAAAAAAAAAAGAATAAGATTAAAGTACCCTTGTTCAGAAATGGAGCTTGAAAACACCGAAGTTTTTTAACAGAATCTCCAAATGGGGTACTCCAATCTCTTTCGGATTATGAAATCCGTAAAATTTTCGTTTGGGGGTCAGATTTTGGGAATTTCTGTGGAGAGTTTTGTTTGTTGCAATGGTGCATGCTTTTCGGAAGCGGGGAAAGCTTGAATCGAACTCCAATGGAGGAGGCGCGCTGAGTGGATCTTGGTTCATCAAGGGCCCTCCGATCCGGACCGCATGTCGCACTGACGGTGAGGATTTTCTGGATCTGAGGTCCATGGAGTATCTGGTCATCCATTTTTTATGGGATTTTCATGAAGCTACCCTAAAATATTTTAGCGGGATGGTGACGATCATTTCAAAAACAACACAACATCCCCTACATTTTAAATTTTAATACATGTGTTAAATCAACAATGGCTCCAATTCACATTTTAAGGAAATTATGTATGTTATATAAAAGTAATAAATATGTATAATATATTTTCTTCGTTTCAATACAATAGTTTTATTTATATTTTTGTCAGTCTTATCTTTATAAATAATCATATCACTATAGAACTACCTTTATTTTTTAATTATTATTACATAATTGTCACTACTTTTTACACTGATACGCTCACAAGTGAAAAAAAATCTTACCGTACTTTTTATCTACTACAAATATAATATCAATATTTTTTAAATTTCGCATCAAATACAACTCAAATTATAATTGTGGAACGATAGGAGTATTATTTTTAAAAATATATATATATATATTAAAGTTAAACCATATAGATTGTTCAGTGGGATATATATATATATATTATATCTTCCTGTTAAATACTTGGTGTGTTCGGTTGAAAGATTTGGACAAAATCTCACTATTCATCCAAAATTTTCTCCCCAAAAATATCAAATCAAATACCTATTTTTTATTTTTTATATTATACTAAAAATTAATTTTACATTCAAAACATCACATCATCACCTATTTATATCACATCATACAACTATTCAAATTCAAAATTTTTACTATTCAAATCTCAACTCAAAATCCAAACCCCCAAACAAACACACATTGGATCAAATCACAACATGCTTATTTGACTCTGATGAACAAATATCTATAAAGAAAATAAAAAAAAAAATTATTAATATAATACCTAACACATACTCCATCCGTCTAATTTATATTATTTTAAAGTATATTTGCATGGTTTCTTTAGGTGATTGTTTTTTGTTATAAATTGACAAATTTGTTTTTAATTGTACAGTAGAGATTAAGTAATAAATGAATGAAGACTAAAAATGTAAATTTTGTATTTAAAAAAGAAAATAGAACAATAGTTATTTGACGTCCCAAAGAGGAAAGTAGGACATTAGTTTGTGAATAGAGGAAATATTTGAATAGCACATTATATACTAATTATATGTAGCAAATATATTTTAATTTCAACAAATTATATTACAATTTTAATCGTAATAGTAGTAATTTAATAAATGTTAATAAAACAGATAACAAATATTAATATAATATATAACACATTATATAATACATTTATCCTTTTTGTAATAATCTACTGATTATTTCAAATTAAGGTGCTAACTTGATAATATGTATGATTAGCTAATTATTTCACCACCTTAACTGCCATATTATATGTATTAAAAAGAACATAACTTAGAGATTGTTCTTTTAATAAAAACATTTCAACTCATTTTTCGTAACATTTCCTTCTTTTTTTTTTTTTTTTTTCAAAATTTACTGCAATATTTTCAAATTTAGAAATGATTAATAATATTTATATACATATATTAATATACACTCTACTTTATCTCATCACATCATTCAAATAAAAAAATAAATAATTATTTTTCTATACAATCACATCACTTAATATCCAAATTATCTCAAATTACCATACTTAATACTCTCCACCTAAATTCCCGTGTCAAATACAAATATTACACGGTATTTGAGACGGAGGGAATAATATATTACACTAGCTCTTTATCTTTATACTACATACACAATATAAATTATTGGTATATTCAAACCATACCCATAATAATAATAATGAATTCTCATAATTAAGTCTCCTCTATCCTAACATTTAATCGGAAAATATATTTGAAATCTATCTCCAAAGTTGTAAAATAGATTGTGTTGATAAAGAATAATTATTAAAAAGATATCCAAAATTGTAAATAGATAGATTGTGTTGATAAAAAAGTAATTATTAAAGAGATAAATTTATAATAAATAAATGTGTAGGAAATAGGATTTGCATATATATATATAGTATTATTTTTTTTACTCTAAATCAAAATTATATTATTCAATTAGCGTTCAAATAAAAAAGTTATTACATTTTTTCAAAAAATATATAATTAAAATATTATTTAAATATATATTTTCTTAAATCACTATCGAACACGTCCATAAACACTAAAAATAAATAATAAAAAAAAATAACAACAACAATATACTACTACTAATAATAATAATAATAATTACTTTTTATTTCATTTCAATTTTTATGATTGAATTCTTATAATTCTCCTCAAAATATATTATTATATATTACAAAAATATTATTAGAATTAGAATTGTAATTTAATACAGAACACAATATTTTCTATTTTGTGTATAAACTTTACGATAGAATAAAAATATTATGCATAATTATTTATGTCTAGTTCTAGGGTCTCATTTACTTTTTGCGTATTAATATTTAAATATTAATAATTATATGAAAACATAATATTAAAGAAAAATGATAAAAAATAATACTATCAATGTCTTATAATAATATTACAATGACATTTGTAAAAAAAAATATTATACAAATATAAAAATATTTTTAATAAATAATATATTGATTGATACATAACAAAAAGTAAATAAGACCCTTGGAGTCGAAAAAAATATTAAATTTAATTATACAATAAATATTATACCAAATATTTTTTATATATTAAATCATAAGTATTATTCTTTAAATTACAATAACATGTCACATGCCTTTTAAAAATATATTAGTAATAAGAAAATAAGATTATTTCGACCCGCAATAAAAGAAAAGTAATTATAATAAGATTTTCATATTATTATTGAGAAAATATTGCGTGAATATTTATAATTACTGAAATTATATTTATATTACATATTTTAAAAATTGTATATGCCTATCCTAAATAAAAATATCAATTATATTTATTTATATTTTAAAAAATGTTTTACATTTTATTAAACTTACATAATTAAAATTTACTAATTTATCAATTAATTCTATAAAAAAATAATTTAGAACGTTGTTGTTTTTTTTTTTTTTTTTTTTAACACATTGTTTACTATTAATTATAATTGAATAATTTATTTAAATTACTAAAAAAGATAAAAATGCATTTCTAATTTTATTGTTCATTTTTTTTATTATTAAATAATCATCTTTATTTATTTTGAAAATAATTAAATAATAAATATAAACAAACACATTAAATTGTGAAAAAAATAAAAATAAATTTATCGAATACAAAATAAATTAATGATTAATAATATTTTATTACATTGACACGTCATTATTTTAATTTTACCTTTTCGGGCAATCTCGACGGTTTTGCTCGCCTATAAATTCGACCATATCGTAGTGAAATTTTATTATACAATAATGAGTTTTATTCGATCTTAATTCGCTTTTCTTATTTCTGGCTAGGGAAGGATAACAATTAAAAGTCGAGGTCGAGGTCGAGGTCGAGGAAACTGTGCTAGGAAGATGGAGGCCAATGGAAGCTCAAGGCGGGGGAGAAAACAATCAAGTCGATTGGGTAGATCTGGTAAATAAATCTTATTTTTATCATACATAATTTTTGTCACTAAGTGTTTGTGTTTCGATAGTAATCTGTATTTAAATAATAGTTTATTTCTATTGTAGTCATGATAACAGTTTTTTACCATCAGATCATCTCTAATGCGACCAGTAACGTAATGCTTTGAATTGATGTGATTTTGGTTCATAAATATTTTGTATGTTTGATGGATCATACCTATATAAATTAACTTGATTTTCACAATTTTCTTAGATTGTTTGCTGCTTACATATATAATTTACACTAGTCGTTAATTGGCAAGCGGCATCCCAAATTTGAAATGAAATCTAGATTATGAATTTTACAATTATTTAGAACTTACTTACTCTAGGATATATATTTTTTAAATGCAATTGTCATATATTTTGTTTATAAAATATACTCTTTTTGTCTATTAACAAATTTTTTTATTTGATTTTTGTAAGCAAATTCAAATAAATTATTATTTTATAGATATAGAATGTAATAAAATAATGTAATATCTATTTTATCATTGACATAAAAGTAAAAATAATGTGAAAAATAAAAATAAAGGTATTTTAATATTCAGTTAAAAAATTATTATTAGTTTTATTATAAAAAAATTGAAAAATAAAACTTTATTTTGGATAAACTAAAATAATACAATGGAAAGTTATATTGGATAGGAGAGTAATTTATTATTATTATTATTATTATTATTATTATTATTATTATTATTTTGAAAATTTTATGTTAAAATAAAAATATTTATTAAATATAACATTTAATATATCCGTTAAAATTATATCATTATTATTATTTTTAATTATCCCAAAACTTATGTCTACCTATCTTTATCATATTTTTACTAATTTTTTAAAATAAATTTCCCAAACTTACTCTAATTTTTATTTTACCTACTAATTTTAATATTAACCGATTTTCCTTCTAACTTCATTTCTTTGTGTATGTATTTTTTTTAAATGTAAACTAATTGTGAAATATAATATCCATTATAAAAAAAATAATATATAGTTTCATAACTAAAAAGTTATAAAAAAACAAAATTCTGTCGTATTTTACTATTTTAACGTTCTTTTCCCTTATAGCTTTAGCTGGACGCGGCATCGACATCAACCGCGAGCCACCAGCATCGCCGCCACCACCGCTGGCACTGAACATCGACATCAACAAGGTCCCGCCGAAGCATGATCCCGAGCTGGGCATTCCCATCGGCAGCATTCACCGTCTGATGCGCAGCACCCTCCCTCCCATCGCCGAGGTCGAGGAGGATGCCCAGGAGGCCGTTCAAGACTGCGCCACCGAGTTCATCTTCTACGTGATGCGCGAAGCCAACAAGAAATGTAACGAGGACTATCGCAAGACCGTCACTGCCAACGACATTCTCCTCGCCATGTCCTCGCTCGGGCTCGCCGACTACGTCAAGCCCCTCGCCGCCTACATGAACAAGTACCGCGCTCACGAGCGGAATTCCAACAATCAGCCGCGCCCGCTGTCTCACTTTGCTCGTATGGCGACTGCTCCACCACCACCGCTGGCGCCGCCTGCGCTGCCGTCTCCGGCGCCTTTCAATTTCATGGAGCCTCCTATGCCTCCGCAGCCGTCGGCGAATCTTTTGAACCAAGTCAAGAAACAGAGGAAGATGTGAGGAGTTTGAAGAAGGGAATTTAAGATTTATGGATCCTAAAAACAGCAGCTTTGGTTTTTAAATTTGTGGTTTATTTTCGATTTGAATATTGTCGTCCACATTTGCTTATCAGACTTTCGTATTAATGCATGTGTTTTCTTTCGTTACCTTTTGAGTTTGAATTGAAGCTATTTCAAATGACTTAAATCAATTTTATTTAAATCCAAATAATTAATAGTATTATTTTTTTTAATAAAAGTCGACTATTGCTATTGCAGTGAATCGACAGCAAAACAAACAATAATTCGTTCACCTCAATGGCCTCCACGTGATACAGTGTTCCTCCACCCATAAACCCGTGCTCTCCCTAATAGTATAGGAGCTCCCAGGCCTACGAGGACCCCGCGGACCATCAACGCTGTGGATCTGTCCGGTCCTGGGATCCCAGGAACCTTCCAGAATCGGAGCTCCACCCATCGTCTCCCCAAACTATGAAGCAAAGAGCGCTGTAACACAGCTACCCACCAGAGAATTCTAAATCCAAACAAGTCCCCAATTTGTAACCGTACCACAAAATTGAGAGATCCTACTGAGATCGGAGCCAAAAAATGTGTTATGTAGGCAAAGCAACGAAAATCTTCATTTCCATAGTCGCGGTTTTGGTGGTTACTGGATTGATTTTGGGATTCGGAGTGTTCCGCCGCCACGGCAGCAATGGCGGTGGAGGCGGAGGCAATTCCGGCGGATGTTCCTCCGATTCATGTCCCCAAGCATCGCCTCTGATTGTCCCCACTCCGGCGAATCCGAGCTCTGGTTTCACTCCGAATCCTCCTAGAACTGCCTCGTATCCTCCGCCACCGCCGCCGAGCGACGACTCGAACTTTCCGAATCCCTCGCCGTCGCCGCCGCCTCCAACATTATCTTCTCCTCTTCCACCTCCTCCTCCGCCGGGCGACAACTCTGGATCGAGTGTTCCTCAGGCACCTCCACCGCAGCCGCCAGATTCGTCGTCTCCGCCGCCGCCTCCAGTGGTTCCGACTGCTCCTCCGCCGGGGATTGCACCGCCGCCACCGGTGCCGGTGACGCCAGGTCCGGTGAACAATTCTTAGCTCTTTCCAATGGTTATTCATTATTGACATTTGGATTTCGGTTTCGTTTCCTGAAAAATACCGTCTGCAGTTTTTCTCCCTTGGAAAAATTCGGATAAAAAGTAAAAATTCGACTCAGAAAGTCAGAATTGACCACATTCTATTGATGATGGTATCTCCTGTGTGTAATATATGTAGCTGAATTGTTTATATTTTATTTAAATTTAAATTAAATATATATTTACTTCAGTAAAGTTTTATAATGTTTTTTAAATATAAGCATTTTAAATAAAAGCTAATAAAATATTTTCAAAATAAGTGTAAGTTATGTTTCTTTGAATGGGTTTGATCAAAATTTGATTTTAGATTTGATATTTAAATATTATATAAGAATATTTTATAGGAAAAAAAAATTAATATATATTCTTTTAAAATATAAAATCCGACTAGTAAAAATATGTGAAAACAAAAGAAACAAATCCATAGTCTACTGAATATTGAAAGTGGTTGAAAATCTTACAAAAAACCCTAGTAATAGATGGTGTGTTTGCTCGTAACATTTTGTTGATTTTGATTATATAAGGAAACACACCCTTGTGTCCAAAACAGTGTATTTAAAAATTAGTCACACTTCCATGTACTTGAACAAAAATAAATAAATAAATAAAAAATACAAAGTTTTGCTTTAGGAGCACACAATATTTTCATTGAACAAATAAATTAAGTAGATTTCAAGTATTATTATTAAATTTAATGTGCATTTAACTTGGAAAACTGGAATGGGTTGATTTGTATCTAGTCGTTTGAATTTAATATTTATCAGATTAAATAATATATTATAAAATATTGAATACACACAAAAAAAAAAGAACTCACAACATATTCAGAGGCAACAGAGCAGAGCATAAGTGCTTCAAAATCACAAACTACTTTTATAAGGATTATTTTCCTAAGATTGCAAAGGTTGTCGGGTAATTCGCACACGAACTTGAATAAGACGCGAACTCTTACGGTTGCCGTTTGGTTATCTGCAGTCAATAAAGCTTACGAAAAAGTTCAATAGATAAATGAATAAAAAATTTAAATATGGAAAGAATGGCAAATAGTAATTGCTATGAGGACATCAAATAACCCTAAGTCATGAGGCCAACACCCACAACTATTGATTCATGGGATCAATGAACAAACCATAAGCAGATCAGAACAGAACAAATCTAACGAGAAGAAAACCGACGAGCACCAAGCAGTGCCAGCATACTATGTGTTGAAGCTATGGTCATATTAACAAATGCTTTCTCTGTTCCAACTCAATATATTTATTTATACGTTTGTTCCATTCAAAGTAGAAAATAGTTGTAGCGTTTCTGTGGAGGAAAAAGATTATGAGGTAGAGAAAAATATCACGATGCAAAATAAAAAGAATATAAATGGGATAGTGGAAAGAAGATACTAGTAATACTAGTGTATGATTGTTGTTTAGCTACCTGCTGTCAACAAATCTAACAAAGAAATCAGCTTAGAACATGGTTATTCAAACATATGATTCAATTCACAGTTAAAATTAAAACATTGATCAATTCCCTTGAAATGCAACAGTTATGTTTAGCAGTGACTAACCATCTGAACAAAACCCATTCGCACGCACGCACACACTCACTCAATCATATTCATCATACATGTAAATCAAATGGATGGAGCTTATCAGAACAGCTAATGATATATAGTATATTGAAACGAACTTGTATACCCCAGCAATCTTATACACTTGGAAAGATTGTTACAAATATACGAATTAAGCTTCAAGAGCACAAAACTAAATTCAATGATGGGGGAGGGAAGACACCGACACCGACACACAAACACTTTAAACAGACTTTAAACAGATCAATAAGCTAAGTAAGCAGCTAGCTAGCAAAGGGGGGGAAGACAAAAATTATACCTTTATTTTGTGAAGGAAGGAAAATTGTATGTTTTCAGAAATAGGAGGAGCTTATTATAAAGGCATTGTATCTTCGAGGGGGTAGTAGTCGTAAGCATCACTAGCTTTCACAAATCTACCTTTGACTCTTTTTCTGGTATCAGCTCTTGCTTTACGAGAAGCATATCGAATGTGTTTACCAAACCTGTATTTATTTGCACACCACACTCACACATATGCTTAGAAACTAAATATATATATAGCATAACCAACCACGAAAATGCTACACTACACTACCACCGTCATACATATATAGATTTGATTTTTATTTGCTAGCTGTTTTTCAATTTCTGGAGAATCAATGCAACAAACACTGAGCTGATCAGCATTCATTGTTAGATATATTAATGGCTACGAAATAAGGATATATATATATATATGTACATGTATGTATGTAAATAGATGAAGGTAGCTACTTCTTACGGCGAGCATAAGTTTTTAGATGTGGTGGCCATTCCAACAAGTTCGTTGAGAAGTGAGCGGCATACACTTGCACCATCATTCCATTAGTTCTTTCATTCCAATAATATGTCAAGACTTTTAGCATCATATTCACGAGTGAGAGCATATAATATGAATCGCCGTTGTAAGGAATTTGAAAACAGAAAGTAAATAAATTGAAAGAGGGATAAGAAAGAATCACATACATTCTTGTTTTCTTCTTCTCGTTGTATCTCATCTTAGCTTTATCCCTTGCCTGCGGGGATCGTGGGTCGAAATTCGAGTCCCATAGAGAATCTCCTGTCATAAACAAGGGTGATATACCGCAATCTTGATATTCAGCAGCACTGCTTTCTCTGGTTGGGTTGGATAATGCAATCGAAGAGGCTGGTCCGTTTGCGAATCGAAGCCCCATACTTGGATCCATCGCCACACAATTTGCAGCAGCAGGCATGCCCGGTGGCATCAAATTAGGCTGAAAACCAATGCAGTCTTGTTGTACTGAAGATGATGCCTAAGCCAAACGAACAACAACACTCTGCATCTCAATCAATTTACACGCAAGAACAACACGATAAACGGTCCACTAGTGATCTTGAAATCTATCAATCAATAATATGTTAAGATGGAAAGATCATTCGACTAATTCAACTGTAAAATAGAGCGTTTTTTAAAAAACCTCCAAAGTAGTGTCGAGACGAGTACTGTTCGATCCCGTGATGGATAAGTTTTTCTCCATCAATCCGCCATTGTCACAGGGATTGTTCTGATTGTTCTGAAGATTCCCAAACATTTCGTAAGCGACCTCGAAACTCAAGGCCAAGCTATCAATATCAATAACTTTGTCGCATAATTCACTACTCTCAGGAATCCCAACATCCTTTACTGCATATTTATCAGAACATGCCTAGAAGAAATCTGATCCATTAGGAATTCAATTCAAATTTCATATGCAGAATCGAGCACATCAACTATTGAATCGGTTACCTTTTGGAAGGAAGATCCTTGAGAAAACAGAGGTAAATCATTATTGCTATTATCCGTACTAAACGACGTCGTCGTCGGCAGCGGCGGAATTGCAAACGCTCCAAATTTGAGGCACGACGCTATCTCATCGAGAGTGTTCCCCGCCGCCGCTTCACTTCCGCTCGGCATTCCGAAATCCGGCTGGGAAAAGTTCCAATCGAGAATCCATGACCAAATGTTGGCCAAATCGCCGTCGGTAGGGCATCCGCTGTACGAAAGTATTTTGGCGCGGCGGTGGTCGTCCGCCGCCGTGAAGCAGCAGCACTCGCAGTTCTGGCAGAACGACAGGCTTTCGTCCAAGCATCGAACAACCGCTTGTTGCTGGAAGCACTTGTCGCAGATGAGCGAGCGGAGATGGCGCCGTGATATGACGTTGGCGGCGTGCACGACGAGGTCGCACTGCAAGCAGAGACCAGCGGCGTCCGATTTGCAATACATCACTGCTCTCGCCACTCCGCAAAACTCACACAAACTCTCCGCCATTGCTATTCGTCCTCTCCTAATCGAACCTTAGGGTTTCTCTCCCTCTTCAAACCGAATCAAATCAAATTTCTCTTTCGATTCCTGCACACTACGACGTCGTTTCACAAACCAACTTCCACTAGCGAATCACCATTACTGTGGGTTTTGAGAACACACAAAGACATGTACAGAGACGATCTGACTGTGCAGCCACGTGGCCCAATATTTTCTGTAGAAAATGATTTTGTCTGCTTATTTATATGCCAAATCAAATTAGATAAATAGATAAATAAATAAATAAATAAACAAATACCAATTTTGCATGGCATGGGACTCGCGCGATGGCAAGGACCGTAATTATGTCCCAAAAATAAGGATACTTATTACAGCCACGTATCTTGCCACGTCAGACGAAGAAATCGGTTGACGCTTTCGGAAGGTTGAGATTATGCCACGTCGCAGATTTTGGTCCAGTAGTAATGGATTACATAGTGGTCAACCTCGTCTCTCATGCGTTTATTAAAGCTTTAATTTATATATTTTTTATGCCTTTTCTATTTTGTTTCTATTTTAATATTTTCACACTACATAATATTTTGAAATTAAAATATACCGTGGATAAGATAAATTTTTAGGACAAAAAAAAAAAAAAATCAATAATACGAGGTTTAAAAAAATACAAGTGTAGATAAAATATTTATATAATTTTCACGTGGGCTTTGATAAAAACCGATTTAATGGCCCAAGATTGGCCCATGACTGAGTTTGATGCAACGGGCTTAATTTTGGGCTTCTCAGAATGGACCGGGCCTATTGAAGCATAGGTCAAACCAATTAACTAAACGACTTAAATAGTGATACTTTGGGTTCTAACTTCTATGCAACCAACATTCGAGTCTAGAAAATAAATGTCTCTTTTAGGGTAGATTTTTCCCAAATTTCTGAATTTAATTTTGTGCAAGTTAATTTGATTTTTGTGGGATCATTAGAGATTATTTAATTATTATTATATATTTTTTTGTAAAAGAATATAGGGTATATATTTAAAAATAAGTCCACAGATATACCGAACACAGCTGTGTATGACAATATATATATATGAAAGGTAAAACCCCTTGCCCTCTGAGATTCACCGCTCTGTCACGCCGATCTGTGCTCGAGTACATTTCTCCTACATATTCTTCAATTGATTATTTTGCGGCAATCGGGAAATGCAACAGCCCACTGCTTGAATTTCAGCATCAATTGTTTGAGGAGGGCATCAGCATCGCTCGTCGGGTTTTGTTCATCTCCGGATAAACTTGAATTTTGTGTAAATTTCCGATGGGCGATAATTCCAAGGAAGATTTCTTGCACTTGATCAAGCGTGTCTGGGAGTTTCTTACAGTAGAATTCTTCAATCTGTTGGACCGCTTGGTTCGTTTTGATTCTCCGTAATTAATCTTATTTATTTTCAATAATTCTTATCATTCTTATCAATTTTTCCATCTTTTGCAATTTAGCTTCGTTTGCTTGATTTTGTTTATGTTGTTATTCTAAATTTTATAATATTGATATGGGGGCTTGATTTGGGTAATGAGTATTTCATCGAACTGTTGGGGATCTTTTTTTTTTTTTTTTAATTGACTGAGTAATGTTGATTTATGTCGTGTTGAAATCAATGGCAAGACAAGTAGCAAGTTAGGGGAGATATATTCGTGTGTTAGAATCGGAGAGTGCTTTTCTTTTTCTGTCTCTGGTTTATCAGTCTGGACTAGTTCATAGAATCTCCTTTAATTTTGTGCAATGATTCTAATTCTAAAGAGAAAAAGCATTGGCGCTTGGTGGAGGGGATATTTTTAAATTTTGGACTATTATTGTTTGTAGTATGTTGGCAATTGGGAGGCTTAAATTTGATGACATTTGACAACAATCGGTTATTGGCGCCGACTTTGATTGATGGTGACAAGTGTAAATGTTTCATATTTAGAAAGATAGGCTTTATGAACCCTTCAAAAGGTTGAGCCTTGTTGAACCGGGGTTTTTGTGTACCATACGTTTTGCACATGTCAAAGAATGTTTTTGATTTCTGGATCACATACAACAACAAAATTTTCAAATGACTTCTATTTAAATTTGATTGTATCCATCTTAAATGGCCGCACTAGTTAGTATATTATCACATATAGAAAATGTGGAAAGTGTTCGACATTGGTTGGTTTTAAAGCTTTCTTGTTTACTGTAGGACTCGCGATCGATTGGTGCCATAGCTGGACTAGCATTTGCCGTAGTATTTACTTGGAGAGTATTGAGAACGCCTAGCGGCTCACAGAGAAGACAGCCGAAAAGGCAAGCTCCAACAGCTAGTAGTTCTAGTGTTGGTAGTGAGGAAATCAGCGATCGTTTATTGTCAGGGATTAGCAATCCTTCAGAAGATTTGAAAACTCAGAATGTGATTGATGAGTTCTTTCAGCCAGTGAAGGTAATAGAACTTTTGGTCCTCCATATTTATTGTGTAGTGTGGAAGTGATCTCTGATGTATATTCTTTATTCAAATTGCAGCCGACTCTTAGCCAGATTGTTAGGCAAAGGTTGAGCGAAGGAAGGAAGGTAATCTTTCTGAGAACAGTTGATCTGTTTTTGATCGCGAACTTTCAACCACTCACCTGGCTACAATAACAAGCATGTTGGTGATAGTGATGCTGATGAGTAAAATGACAATAATGATACTACAATTCTCATAAAAATGAAAGATTGAGAATATATGTTTTTTTCCAAAATAAGTTAACATGTACTTTTATAAAGATGTTTTTTAGTATCTCACCACTTAATTGGCGCAGGTGACATGTCAATTGCTTGATATTATCCTCGAGGAAAGCAGTCCAGAGCAATTGCAGGTCTTTGCCTTCATTTTTTATAACTAAATTAATAGATCAAGATTTAAAAAGTTGCTCATTTTCTTGTGGTTTAATGCATTATTAATTTTTTTAAAAAAATTATTATTATTACCAGAAGCAAGCAACAGTGAGATCATCAGTTTTGGAGGTGCTGCTTGAGATCACAAAGTTTTGTGATCTTTATCTAATGGAAAGGGTGCTGGATGATGAAAGCGAAGTAAAGCATTGATTGCTCTTTTCCTATATTTCTATTCATCAATTAAGTACAATTGTGCTCTTTTCATATATATATATATACCTATATGAAAATATTTCTTCAAATAACCCCCCTTTTATAAATTTAACAAAAAACAAAAAGCCCTTGTGAGGAGGTTAATTGGACTATTTAAAAACATGGAGTTTTTTTTTTTTTTTTTTTTTCATGGGTTGTTTAAACATTCTAAATTTTGGAGATGAAAATTTTGTTTTTTTGCCACAACTTTATGCAATTTATTTATGCAAGTTACTCTGTCCAATAAGTTGAACTGGTTGTAGCAGCCCTATCATTTCAACCCAATTGTCTGGTTTAGCACATGATCAATGAAGTCAGCTTTGGCTGCCAAAATATCTATACTCTTTCGCTTGTTTATTACTAGGTGTGAATTTCTAAAAAACATGATCAGTTCCTTTCTCAAGTAGTTGAATGCTTTGTGTGTGAATGATTGTGGTCCCCATAATGCTATTATTTTATTTTTATCACAGAAGAATCAATCTGCATGCTGACTAGTGTCTTTATGTTGTCGATTGTGTTATTTATTTTTCTCACAAGCAATCGGTTAGCCCATTGTGGCCTTGCATTTGCTGTATATGTATCTTATGTGTATCAAAATTATGCAAAATAAGGCAAGCATTTCTCAAGTCAATTAGTATGTAAAAATAATAGGAGCAATACAAGGCAATCGTGCGTTTATTGCGCAACTCCCAAGTTTGTACCATGGACTTTCAAGATGAAACTTTATGTGCTCTAGTGTTTTTCAAACCTTTTTGTTCATTTAAATGTGCAATGCAATTGTTTCACGATCATTGAGTGGCTGAATAATTTGTGCAGAAGAATGTTCTCTCAGCTTTGGAAGAAGCTGGAGTTTTTACATCGAGTGGCTTGGTCAAAGATAAGGTACTCTTCAGTTATACATATTTCGATTAATATGCGATCAAACTAGTTGTGCATTAATTGAATGGAATAGTTATCTTATTTTAACCTCGAACAAATTGTACTTACATTACCCAGGCTGGTTTGAGTTACTTTTTTGGCTTTCATTTTTAAACAATTTTCTGTTTTGATGAAAAATAATATGTCCGCACTTAAATATATAAAACGGATATATATGTGTATATCTGACCATTGCATCTGTGGGTACAAAGTTAGCAATTTGTATCTTCACTTTAGGTTTGTTGAAGAAGCTATAGTTTTCAACCAATTAATCGTTATGTACGGTTTTTAACTCAATAACAGGAACAAGTTCTATGTTTTCGAAAAACTTGCAGGTTCTTTTCTGTAGCACAGAGAATGGAAGGACCTCTTTTGTGAGACAGCTGGAGCCGGACTGGCATATAGATTCAAATCCCGATATTATTACTCAATTAGCGGTATGTACAAACTCTTCTTAATCTATATCTTTATGTCGTCCCATTTATAAATGTTTCAGCATTTATTATTCAGGAGAAACAAAAAAAAAAAAAAAAAAAAAGAGATGAAATATTTCTAGAGAATATCATAAAGAGTTTGTGTGCTTGTTGGATTCATGTGAACTTTTCCAGCACCATGTCATTTCAACTGACGATTACAAAAAACTTGCCAATTACAAACAACTTTTTGATCAGTTGGTGTGTGGTACTTAAGGCTGTGCTTAGGGGGTGTGGCAGAACAACTTTTGTTTCTCATAGTCTTAATTTCTTACCAATCTTGTCATTGTCTCAACTTCTCCATTCTTTCTACCAGTGGCCTTTGTGTTGCGTTGAGTTAAACACTTAAAAATTTAAGATTACATACACATATGGAGTGTTTAATTTGATTACTTTTGTATTTTTATTTGTAAATTTTATTTAACAATTGGATGAGCTGGTATCAATGACTAATTTGAGTTGAGTGCATATGTATACACATACCTATTTAATTACTTTCAAAAGTCAGCAAGAAACAATGCTTGAATTAGTATTACACTTTGGTCTTTGCATTCGTGGGGAATTGTATGTTTTGGTCTTCATTTATTTTGAAGGATTTACTTCATCAAGATAACAACTAAACATCAGATGATTATTATTTCTTTAATAATTGTTATTTTAGTTGTTCTCTGTAGTTTTTAAAATGTATAGGATTGTATGGAATACTGGGTTTGCTTTCGCTTTCCATTTACTGTATTTATGTATAGAGTGTAATGATCAAGGGGGTTATGTGTGGGTTATGGATGTGCAATCTTGTATCTTGTTTTTGTTTTGATCAAAAGTTTTCCTCAGTCATGGTTGAAAACACAGACTCCGCTCTGTCATGACTTGTCGATGCATTTATATGTTACTAATTGCTGAAGAGATTTTCACTAAATTATGTTTTCCCCTTGCCAATTGTCAGCGATTCATCAAATTTCAGCTTCATGTTTCGCCTGTCAAGCTTGATCGACCTCCCCCCAATGTTTTCACTGCAACATCCTTGGAACAATTCTTCGGATGCACCTAACTTGCAAAGGTAAACGAACCTTAACCTTTCTCTTGTATAAACTCTTCAGGTAAATTGCAAACCACCTCTAAATCTAATGATTTTATTTACAGGATATAGTTAAATTTCATAGGGGATTATTTTTCAATTCAGTCATTTTTATGTTGTTTTCGATTTGATGGGAGTGATATACAATTGAGTCATCCATAATTACATTGCAGCCAGCAGTTACCGGCATCTCTCTCAGGCCGGCCTTAGAAGCAAAAAAGACTCCGGGGAATGTATGAACTTGAGCCAAATTATAATCTTTTTGAGGAAGTCTTGTTTGTCGATGAAAATAGCTCATTAGTGTACTTGTCGAATAATGTACTATATATATATACATATGCATATAGTGTAGAACATATGTTAATGTTCTAACTGTGGTTACATCGAATGTTTCAGGTAGGTTAAGTAGACAGCCTCTCAATTCTATTGATTGTTGAACTTGGATCTATAGACATACATATACATATACATATACTAGGGTAGTTAAATGTGTATTCTCTCTCCATGGATGGGTTTGGTTGGCATTCATTGTTGTCTGTGTAGCTTGGCTGCAACTAGACAATAGATTTTGGTGCAACTTCTGCATAGGCTTGCTTCATCATACTTGTTGAACAAAACCTATGAATGTTTCTCAATTCTCTTGTAAAAATAATATATATATATATATATATAATATTGAGAGTTTTTTTTTTTTTTTCACATTCTAATAAAATTTTCTAAATATAAAAAATACGTAAAATAAAATCATTGGTCAAAACTAATTATAGCAATAAGATATGGTATATAATATTGTAATTGCTCTAAAGATTTCAAGAATAAATTTTTATTGGCAAAATATATTGAATAAATACAGAGAACTGAAAATAAAACGTCTTCGAAATCAAACAAACACGCGGAGATTACAGTTGGCTACTGTCCACAGTACAGATACAAATCCGTACTCATCTGTTCAAAATACAAATCCCCAACCCCATCGCAATCGGCGCTTGTCAGCCTCGCCTAGCCACCGCCGCCGCCGTGGCCATCAGCAGCGTCCCGAACCGACTCCTCCGCTCCCATCTGCGGCTCAATTGTGTAACTTTTAGAAGTTTCTCTTACCGTCGAGTGATGGACCCCCAGTCTCCCAGTGGCACCACCGTAGCCGATAGTTTTGTGCACGTGGAGAAAGGGGATTCGGCGTCCGGTGAAAATCAAGAAGCCTTGTCTGAAAATGAGGGTGGAAATGATGCCAATTATAATGTTTATGAGAGGAAGGTTCTGCCTCCGGAGCTTGCTAGGAGTGCGGTGACCCTCAGCTGCGATTCGACCGCGGAGGGCGGCGTTTGTGATGTTTATTTGGTCGGAACCGCGCACGTTTCGAAGGTAATTGGTACTTATTTCATTTTTGTCTTTGTTGGATTTATTCATTTAGGTTTTGTTTTGCGATCGTCTTGTTTTCGATTCCTTAGAAATTTCTAATTTCTTAATGATTTTGTTCAATGTTGAAAATTTATTAAAAACATTGATTGCTGAATTTTTGTGTATGATGTGTTATCCAATTTTATGCCTCTGAAAGTATATACCTTTGTTCAGATTGAGAGGACACATGTTTACGTGGTTTGTATTGATGAATGAGAGAAAATTTAGATTTGAGAAAATCCGTGATTATAAGGTATCCGTGACTGAGAAATGTATCATATGCTCGGCTTACAACCGATTTGAATGTTGGTGATAGCTTATATCCTGAGAATAGTTGAAATTAAGTGTTATTACTTCTGGTACTGATCTTATTTCATCCGCCACAATTGGAAGTATGGGGAAGATATTTTCAAGTCTATCTATCCGTTTGGATCTCCTGCAATTTTAGGAATTCAAATATTTATTCTTATTTACACAATCCATTTTTCTTGTGTATTGTCTTGATTTATCCAAGCTCGTTTATAGAAATTGATCCCTTGCATTATATGCCATTCCATATATATGCCCTCAAAATGATTCATTGTGTGTTGTATCATGTATGAAAGATTGAATTTTGATTTCATGTGATACATAATCATATACATTTATAAGTTAGATAAGCATATTTTAGTGACGAACATTTATATTAATTTTATGTATTTTTCCAAAGATCCATTATTTAAAATTACATATATAGACGATTGTGAACAATTTGCTTTTGTGGAATCTTTAACACGTGGTTATCCCTTGTGTGAGAAATGCCAATACTAATGAACAAACAAAAGATGTACAATCTTAATCGACCAACAATTTTAATACTAGAATCGGATGTATGGCGACATAAACTAAGCTTGGGAAAGCCAATTCTTAACGAAATGAAACTTTTTCTGATTTCTGACACTAAATCCAGTAAGTGTTGTGCTAATGTTGTAAGGAAGATTGTGCAATCACACATAAATACTTTGCATCCATTTCCCGTGCTTCATTTTGTGGTGCTCAGACAGAAAGAAATGAATAATGTGTTTTGACTGTAGATTGTCAAATTTATGTGCACATGAAGGCAATTATCTTACACCAGCCATGTTATTTTATCCTTGCTCCATTAAATGTCAACTTATAACTTAATGGACTCATTCTTGAATTGTAGGAATCGTGCCAAGAAGTTGAAGCTGTGATTGATTTCCTGAAACCGCAGGTGCTTCTCTCTAGATGTTTGGATCCCTGTTAAAAGTTTAATGTAAAATATGCCAGATGTCTCCTTTTTTGTTTCCCTGTTCAAAGTGCAGACATGTTTATCTATTGCAGGTTGTTTTCTTGGAGCTATGCTCTTCTCGCATTGCAATTCTTACGCCTCAAAATTTGAAGGTGTGCAACTGTATGGCTTGTTAAAAGTTTAATTTTGGATGAATTTGAATGGATCTATATGAAATGATCAAATTCATGGAATGAGCTGTTACAGACATTTTGTGTTGTATTTCATTCTTGATAGTTGATACTAAGTGCCAAAAATTGGAAATCAGTTTGACCAATAACATTGCTGATGCAGGTGCCGACAATGGGAGAAATGGTGGATATGTGGAAGAAAAATCATAATCTGTTTGGAATACTTTACAGTTGGTTTCTTTCTAAGGTTTTCTGTTCTCTCTCATTCATATGCAAAACAAATTTCATGCTTGAAATAACATCTACCCGAAAAATCATAAACTGGATGTTCTCATTGGTGACTTTTCTTTCACTAGGTTGCAAGTAAACTTGAAGTTTTGCCTGGGGCAGAATTTCGTGTGGCGTATGATGAAGCAATGAAGTATGGGGGCAAGGTTATACTTGGTGATCGACCTGTTCAAGTAAGCATGTGTTCCTGTGTTCATCCTCTCATTCTTGGTAATATAGAAATGAACACTTCATGTGAGACAAAATACAAAATTTGATATGTAATGGTCTTTTGAGTAATCCATTGCTAACTTGATTTCCTTTCTTCTGATTTGAGAATTCATCTTCTTTGACAGATTACATTGAGAAGAACATGGGCGAAAATGCCTCTTTGGCATAAGATAAAACTATTGTACTCATTACTATTTCAAGCAGTTTTCTTGCCTAGTCCTGAAGATCTGAATAAAATGGTAGAATCTTTTACCTGTAAGATTGACAAATCTTATCTGCTTTATATCTGGCTTATTCCAGGTCACATAATGTTTCTGGAGCAATAATAATTAAGTTGATTTCGGGCATTTGTGCAGCTGAAGGAAATGGATGATGTCGACATGTTAACTCTTGTAATCCAGGAGATGAGCAAGAAGTTCCCAACACTAATGGAAACCCTTGTGCACGAGCGTGACCAGTGAGTTATCTTATATTAGAGCTCAGAGTTCTTACGCCAAGTATCTGAAATGAAACTTAATAATCCGTCTGTCTAGTTGTCCAATCAAATTCAATGTTTCTCCGAAATACCATCTCTTTCTCACATCTGACATCTGACCATGCTCATCTTATACAACTCTTGTATTTCTAATCTTTGTTAATAAATGCAAAATTGAGTTTCTGTATTGTTCCAAATTCGTTTTGCTTGGCAGATATATGTCAGCCACATTATTAAGAGTTGCCAGTGAGCATAATTTGGTGGTAGCAGTTGTTGGAAAGGGTCACTTACCGGGAATTCAAAAGAACTGGAAGCAGCATGTTGAGGTAAGCCGTGAATACTTATGCTATATTTATATTTGGTCGTATATATATATATATATATATAGTATAGGGTTAGAAGACAATGATGTGAACTATATTCCTTTCTTTCTTTCATTCGAATTCTGGCCACAAACTCCGAGTACTCGGACTCGGATCCCTTCTACTCTAAATGCATTACATTATCTTTACTACCCGCCCGTCGTACAGGTGAAGGAACTTCTTACAATACCACCCCGAACCAAGACTATTTCAGCTGGAAAAATACTCTCAGCTATCGGAATTACGGCCGCAGGGGTTGCCATAATATCAGGTATCTACTTATCCAGCAAGAAATAATAATCAATCCCTTCTTTGCTAAACAGAAGATCTTCCTGAGCAATTGTAACAATATACTCTTGTCATGATCCATCCTAACTATATACATACATGCATGCATATACTCCCCTGTTCAAATTAAGACATTCAGGTTAAATATACATACATATATCTATATATAGAGATACATCGAGATATTTCATATTTGACCAAGCAATAGGAGTGTACGTAGAGTTTAATTTGGGCAGCGGATTTGTTTGTTTGTTTTGATTGATTCTATTAGTGTATTGTATTTGTATGCTAGATGAATCAATCTTGTGCAAAGATATATGAATCAATTATTATTTACAGAGTGAAAAACAACCCTCTTAGGGGTTGGGTTCTACATGAGTAGAGATAAGTTGGAACTAAAAACTTCATCGCCATATATCTCTAAAATTTCATCAGCTGCTGGACCCATCGCCGTCCCGTTTCGAATCTGCCCCGTTGCTCTTCCTCCTCAGCTTATCTTTGATCTCGGCTTCCTTCTTGTCCACAAAATCGATGAGATCTTTGAAGCTCGGCGTGCGCAGCGTGGGCCTACAAGGTCGTGCAGGCCCCGACTGCTCGAGGTCACGCTGATCACCGTCCTGAATAGCGCTAGCGTTGTATTTGCAGTACTGCATGCATACGCGGGCAAAGAAGATTGTCAGAGCGATGAAACAGGCGATCCCGCATATAAGGAAAAGTCCCCAGAAGCTCTTCAGTGAGAGGCGGTTTTCGTCAATGGGATTCACTTGGCTTGAGCATCCTTCTTTCGTCAGCCATTTGTCGTGGATTCGTTGGAGCTCCCCATTCTCCGAGAGTTGGAGGATCGCGGTTGATAAGTCGATCGCCAATGGCGAATCTCTTTGGAATGCCTACGAAGAAGATGTGTTAAGAAAACCCGACCTAGTTTCGCAACTTTAAGAATTCCACAAGAAGAATTCATGTAAAGAGAGTACTTACAAATCCCCACCCACTTTTGGTGAACTCTTGTCCAACAATCTTGAACTGGCATTTTGTGCTGGCCAAGAACAACTGAATATACGGCAGCTCGTCGACAATGGCAGCGACTCCTCCACCTCCCGGGCCACGCTGGAGAGCCTGGACATAATCGTCTTGAGTTTTCATAATCCTGAGCCTTGACTCCGCTATGTTCAGCTCGTTTTTAAGATAGTTGTAAGCGAAGGAGCCGTCTTGGATTCCTATCGGATCTGAGCTGGAGATCAATGTGTCTATTCCTCGAATCCCCGAAGAAAGCTGCTGCACTGTTAGTATCGACGTCAAACTGGCTGTGTAGCTCGAGTTTATGATCAGCACCACAAAAAGCCACAGGATGAGAACTAATCGCCCGAGCGTGCTCACAGCAGTTTCTCCTGTTTAGAGTTAATTTCGACCAAAATTAGCTGCCTCGACACTTGAAGCCCGGAAATCCAACAAGATCGAGAAACAACCTAAGGCGAACAAATGTATAAAGACATAAAAGGATCGCATCGAATTGTATAAGAGCTTGTTCATTTATAAAGTGAAGAGAGTAGCGTAGGTACTTACGATGCGCAAAAAACATGGTCGAGAAACTGAACCTGAAAAATTTAAAGACAAATGAGTACTTAACAAGGCTTGAGGCATTTCTAGATTTGCATATAACAACAGCACACATATAGGCTTTCTTTTCGAATGGATCGAAGACAAACATCCTTCAAGAGTATGATGTTGATTTTCGATGTTTGAAGATAATCTACGCCTGTGTATATCGAAGGCATAAAATCAATCCATGTTTCAATAGATACTTACGAAAAGACTGTTATAAGCTGTTGTCTTGGAGGTCCACGGAACTCGGTGTTCAGCCTATGCTCGAGAATCCAAACGACAGCGCCAACAAAAACAAAGAACGTCCCGGTTACGACCCACATTTGCCAAGTAAATGGCATTAGGAACGACCAGGGGCTGGATTTAGTCTCCTTTACTGGAGCAACCACGACGAGACCGGATTCCATAAACGGCTGCGTGAAGTCCACGATCCTTGTTCTGTTTGTAGTAATCGTTATATCTCCGACTGCAGCATCGAATTTCTGCAACAAAATCGAGATCAAGAAGCCATCATCAGTGATCAGTGTGTCGAAAAAAATGGATAAGGATTCTTACATTTTGCGAAACATCATTGACAAGATTTCCGAATGAAGGGTTCCTTCGACCATCTCCATACAACACATACTGATGCGGGACGGGGTAAGGCAGGAACTGAACAGCAGCTTCAAATACATCGATGCAATACCCTCTCACACCTAACGGCGACTTATCCTTCGTAACAAAATCAGGATAAGTAACCCTGTAAGGAACTGCAATCTGGAGAGGTTTCCCATTGTTCGGAAACACCCATCCGCGAGGCTTTTCGGTTGTTTCGCCTGGCCAGAGCACGCTATAGAGGCGACGATCGATATTAGACCCGTTGAGTGGCTTCGAATATAAAGTTTCGGGAGTAACGACAGACAGTCCTGAGTAATTCGACCAGTAGCCGATTGTCCGCATTCCGTTTCCACCTATGTTAAGAACATCAAATGCTGGATGAATCAAGTTCTTTTCGGAATCAAACCCGACTTCTCCAGTCAGACCGGTGATGTTCATAGCTGTTAGAATATCGAGCAGTTTCTGTCCTTGCTCGAAAACTCGGAGCGATTCCAAGTTAAGCGCACTTTGATTCGTCCGACGCAATGCTGGATCATTAGAGAACCGTATGTTCCCACCGGCGTTGAAGAAATCATCAAGCGCCCGCGCAAGTAGCCATACTGAATCATAAGCAAACAAAGCATAGGAATGGAATTTCGTCGTCTGTTTGTTCTTTATGCTTGCCCATCTAGAACCGAAATTTTTCTTCTGGTCAGAATCGGGAGTATGATGCCGAAGAGCAACAACCCCTTGTAAAAGATCAGCCGTCTTCGAATCGATGGTTTCTAAGGAGTCGAGAACAGAAGGAAGCCAGTCGGTAGCAATCCAGACATATCCGCTGTTCAGCATACCAAGCCTTTTCGCTGTCGAGAAGATGTCGAGACCAGAATCCGGGTTTACATGCACAACGTAAACCCGCGACTCCAGAAGGTTCACTTTCACCAACAAGTTGTTAATGTCGCTTATCGAAGCCCCCGGCTGGAAAGCTGCCTTGTAAGAGATTTTTGCTCGGTTTTTCGCAAGCGCATCGCTCAATACAGAAATCCCATTTCGACCGTAGTCATCATCCACGAAAATGGCGACCACCTCCCTCCAGTTGAAGTACTCTATCAGATCAGCAATCGAATACATCTGGAAATAGTCGCTAGTGATAGCGCGGAGGGAATATGGGTACTGCAGCGACGATAGGGTGGGATCCGTTGCGAAAGATAACAGCGGCACATGAAGCTCGTTCACGACGTGAGAAATGAGATGTGCGATGCTCGATGACTGCGGACCGAGCACAGCCACAACATCTTTTCCCATTAGCTCCATAGCTACATAACAACATTCGACATCAGTTTTTTGAGCAATCATGTTTAAAATTTCAAAAATAAGAACAGAGTACAGCTTAAGAATTAGTTCAATCATAACCGAAGCTTCAAATATATAACGAAAAACATCGACGTGATGGGAGGCGTCGATATATATATATATATATAGATGTGTGTGTGTATATATACCTTCAACTGTTCCAAGAAAGCCACTGCAATTGGTGTCCTGCAAGGTGAGCTTGATTCTAACATCCTTCAATACCGTATTGTCCGAATTAACATCTTCGATGGCAGCGACAATCGTCGGGCCAAGAGACCTCCCGATAACCGAATCCCAAGTGAACAAAGCTCCAACATTCACCTCACTCGGCCTGCTCGAAACAGCCTCAAGACTTCCATTCTTGGCAGTATCTCCCACAGCAACACACAGACAAGAAATCAAGAGCAGCAGCACAACTTTCCGGTGGCCGGACGCCGTTTTCCGATCCATATGTTGAGAAATTCTCAAGATTCTGTCAAGAAATCGAATCCGGTGCCTGATATACAGCAATATGTAAGCTCACAACATGGAGACTCTTTCTTCTCCTCATTCAAGCATTTCATCAAACAGGTTGGCTGTGTGTGCGTCGATCAGTGTTCTTCAGATAAAGGAAGAACCCTAAAAACCATATCAAAGATGAAAGATAATTTGGGGGTTTATGGAACAGAGAAATCCTCTCACTGATAAACAACAAATGCCAATAAATACAATAAATGCTCGCAGACACAACTTGCATCCACACATGCCATGAACTTACCTTTAGTTCCTTAATCAACACCAATAAATTAAAACACAAATGGACAAAAAATCATTCCCAGTTGTCTACCTCCACATGTCTCTATAAAAGAATCTCTAGATTAAAAACCCTACAAATTCACTCTCACACGTAAGCAAGTGAAATTGGAAAGGGATTGTTCTCAATTTCAAATCATTTGTCAAATAAAAAAACCTAATTTTTATTCATCAAAAAGCTGCCATTTCGTTAGATGGGAGCTGAAATTAGCAGACGATTCCCACCTGCCGATCAAAGCGCGCGCTCTCTTGATCACGCATCCATTCTTGTCTAACGATTCTCTTTCAGAATTTTAAATCCCCTAAATCCGAAGCGTGTTAATTGCGAACCAGGGAAAGAATTCGATACTTTGTTGTCCGCTTTCAGGCAGATTAGCTTTCTGATTTTGCACATTTTGGAGTCAAAGTGAGATTCTCACCGTCTTCAGTCTTCACCCTCAGCTCTTTAAGCTTTGCTTCTTGAGTTTTATATTTGAAGTCAAACTGGTTTGCTTCACTAATTGTAACAATTATATTATAATTAATCATTTAATTATATAAAATTAAATCGGCCTCAATCATTCATTAATCAACGGTGCGGATGAGTCGGGAAATCTCTATTGTGCGTGGGGTCCATCTCCACCTGTCATTACGTGATACATGTGTGTGAAACTTTTTTCCTCCAATTAATATAAATGAATAAAATATGTAATAATAAAAATAATAGAATAAGGAATTTTTTTTTTCTTTTTTTTTTTTGTATGTTTGTATTAATCTTACTTTTCTACCCTAATAATAAAAAAAAAACAAAAAACAAAAATACATATATAAATGAGTCGTGACAGTGCGGGACCCATTAACTGTCAATCATTTCAGATATTTTTTATTTACTTAATTGTACAATTAATTAGATGATAAATTAACACCAAATATCTGGATCATGTAAAGTAAAATAACCCACATAAATATCTAGGCGACTTATCTTTATCATAATTTATTTTTTTGTTTTATTTTTCCATTTCTAATTTTGAATATTTATGAAAAAATAAGTGTTAAAAGTACTCTTTTTCACCAAAAAATAATTATTTAAGAACACAGCATACCATGATATTATTATTAAATAATAATAATTATACTTAATGAATCATCATTCAAATTTATTCTATTTTATTTTAAAAAATAATAATAAACAAATACCGAGAACAATTGTGATTTTATTTTATTTTTTCAAATTTTTAACTTATAATTTGATATTCTTATAAAAAATAATACTAGTATATTTTTATCCGAAACTAGGAATATTGTAAAACAAAAAAATTGAATTTTTTCCTCCAAATAAATAGGCTTTGAGTTTGCACATACATATTTAATATATTTATAATTTATTTTATAAGGTAAAATGCATGTCTGCGTATTGTGTCCCACAAAGGACTTCGATTTAATTCCTTATGATAGATTAGTTTGACCTGAATTTTATATTTGAAAATATATTATATTACATGAAACATTTTATTTAAGTGCATCGTTACTAATATATATATTTTTTTAATTATTGTTTGAAATTAATTGAAATGAAGTGTTATTTTAAATTTTATGTAAATAATATTTTAATGTGATATTTATAGAGAAAAATAATCTTTTATTATTTTAAAAAAAACATGTTCATGTATTTTGCTACAAATCTTAAGGTTGTGTAGTGCGTATTCTTTTAATTTACCTTTTATAGTAAAACAATAGTAAAATAGTATGATATTTCATTAAATTATTTGACCATAAAAAATAAAAAAAAAATCACAATTATTTGTTATAAGGTATATAATTGACGTGCTGCGAGCAACTTGATGATTAAAAAAAATAAATAAAAGACATTGCACGTATAAAGTAATAATTGAAACGATATTCAAAACAAATCTCTATAAATACATACCAATACATTTTTATTATTCGTCAATGAAATTATTATTATTATTATTATTATTATTATTATATGCTATTATTTATTTATTTATTTATTTATTTATACATATAAGTTGATTAAATCAAATTTACACTAAATTTGACCGGTTCAACGGGCAACCAAAATTTTAAAGACCGGTCGCATCCATCTCATTTCACATTTATGGTGTAGACCGACTTCATTTATTACTTTCCACACGATGGTCACAGTTTTTATTTTGTGTCAATTATTCCATCACAGAAAAAATATACTCCCTTTGTCATAAAATATACTGCCTCCAAATGTGGCGTTTGCTTTTTCACATGAATTTTTGAATATTAGTATTATATTGAATTATAGTAAAAAAAAGACAAAAATACCCCTATTAGTATGATGTAATATAAAAGTAATGACATTTGTGTAATATATTGTAAGTTGAAAGGGTATTTATTATGTTAAGTAGGTAGTACAATTACTAAATTAGGAAATGATAATTTTATTCTAGGATGAACGAAAATGGAAAATAGTAACCTTTCAATGAGACGGAGAGAGTATAAAAAATTATATATATATATATATAAAGACTTTGACTTATTATAATAATTTTTTTTCCCTATTTTTTTCCTATTTTTGTAAAATTAAAAATATATAATATCCTTTTTACATAATATTACATTTAAACTATTGATCAATAATAATAATAGAAAAGTTATTCAATTAAAAGATTAAAATAAAAATCAAAATATAGAAATTCAATAATAGAATATATGTATATTTTAGATCATTTGGTATTGAGACAAGTCACATTAATTCATAGGTTCTAATTAGGCTAAAAATGCTTACTCAAGCATTCAAATAGGAGTTACTATTGTGCATAGGGTATGATAAGATTGACCAAATTAGGCCAAAGGAGATTTTCTATATTCACATAATAATTAATTTGCACCCAATGATAATCAATAATTTTGGTTATAAATTTCATGAAATTGCAATTAATTTGTTTCTCGTTTATGTCTATTGATCATTTTTTAAAAATAAAAATATTTGGATTGTCTATTTATAAGTTTCAAATATTTGCAATTTATAATGTTATTGAACTTTGTTTGTTTAGACCTGAGTTTTTTTTTTTTTTTTTAAGAATTATTTGAAATTTTGAAATTTAAAAATAATAAAATATTAATATTTGATGTAATATTTTTTAAAAATTAAATAATTTTAAAGTCTTCAAAATCAGTGTATAAATAGAGCTGGCTAAACTATGTTATCTCCATTAAAATAATTACCACAATCACAAATAATCATGCATTGATGATGAAGAATGGAGAGTGGTGTGACTGTGAGAGTCGAATATAATAATAATTTCACCTAAAAATTTAAATTTTACATAATTATATAATCAACCAACAAAAAATAAATAATATTATTTTATATACATATATTGTTTAATTCACCCTCACTCATTGTATATACAAATTACTAGAAGCATAGGATATAAATATATATATATATATTAAATATATCTTTATTAACCGCACTCTATAATTTTTTTATAAATCTCTTTATTTTAGTTCAAAAAATAATTTTCAAATAGTATTATATAAAATCAAAAGTAACAAATATTACTTTTTAATTTACTATAATATTTGAAATGGTACATTCAAGTAGAACGGAAGGAGTATAATTTATATTACAGAACATTTAAATAAAAAATAAACATAATTCAAAGAAACACATCTTATAAAATTTATTCACTCGTTTGAGTCGAATACTTGTCATGTTGAGTGAAAAATTTCTTGATGGCATCTTCCTTCTCGTCGACAAAGTCGAAGAAGTTGTGAATTGCCCGGGTAAGAAGGACTCTCTTGTTGCCTTTTGTATCTAATGTATTGGCGGATGGCTCGAGACAAGAAGATAAATAGCGCGGCAAGCGCAACCGAGCCAGAAATGAAGTATAATTCCCTAAAGCTACTCAAATGGAGCTTATTAGGCTCGGGCTTTCTCCTTGGTTCCACGCGATAACTCTTCTTACAAAACCATTTATCTAGGAGCTTCTCGAGCTCCCCATTCTCACCGAGCTTTAAGATTGCTGTTGATACATCGACAGTGAAGGAAGAGCCTTTCTTGAAAGCCTAAGATATAAGGAAAAAAATAAAAATAAAAATAAAAATCAATGATTGATATATATTATAATGAACTCCTAAGCTTGTGTTGATTTATATTATATTTTCAAATTATTAAATGACCATCATACTGAAAATATATACTCCATGGCTGCTGCTGCTGCTTTAAGTCAGCAGAAAGGGGGCCATAAGTGCCACTTTGGTTTTTATTTTTACAGAAAAATAAAGGAAGAAGACAATGAAGAAGAGACGATGACAGTGACAGTGACAGTGTAAAGGAAGAATTCATTTTTGCCATTCCAACTGTCAACTATTGCTTGCCATGGATGATTGGGTAATTACCTTTGCATTAACATGCAACCTGAATCTTTGAGACTAAAATTAGGGTTTTGAAAATTGTAAATTAATTCGTACTGTAGAATATAAATAATAACCATTAAACATACAATTTTAAATTAAATCAAAAATAAAAAAAGGGTTTTTTGATCCACCACGGTTTGTATTGATATTTTACTTTCATTATTAGTTGGTATAGTATTTTGAAAGATTTTTACCTGCAGTGCAAACTAAAGCAACTTAGAAGAAAGTGTGTGATCATAGTAAGTTAGCAAATTCACTTTAAAAAAATCATGAATTTTGTTTTGGTGGAATCCTTTGTGTACGTACTTACATTTCAAAGATGGTAATTACATTTTATTGAATAGTATCCAAGCATAATTATTTAAATAAAAAAGTATTTAAAAAATATAAATTGTAATGCTATTACAAAATTAAAAGATCTGTTTAGCTTCATTATTCGTTTTTGGTTTGTACTTTGTACAGTTCATAAACAAGTTTGAGGCTGTGGAGACTAATAAAATTGTTTGTTTATCTTTGCAAGTTATTGCTATAGTTAGAGAATTATTTTTTGTACTTGTATCAATTAAATACATAAATTTTACAATATAATTATTGGAATAATCTTGAAATTGAGCAAGTAAGTAAACAATAACATCACACTATTAATTATCATCACTGAAGTGTAGCTTTTACATAACATGAGATCTTCTTAATGAGGAGATGATGCTAACGGAAAAACATACATAACATGACATTTATAACAAGAAACTACTTCTAGGGACAATTTCGATCCTAATTTATTATATATAGCATTAACATGCATGTCGTGTAGATCAACTAAGACAGTGCATGAATGCATAGTTTATGGATTGGATTAAGGATCGGACTTGTCACCTTCTCTTCCCCCACTGGGAAACATTCTCCCGGGAACGTTGCTACCGGGGTTTCCAGGAAAGTTTCCTCCAGGGAAATTCCCACCTGGAAAAGTACCACCGGGAAAGTTGCCACGAGGAAAATTCCCACTAGGGAAGTTACCACCTGGAAAATTACCACTGGGAAAATTGCCACGAGGAAAATTTCCACCCGGAAAGTTGCCACCCGGAATATTCCCACCAGGGAAGTTTCCACCTGGAAAGTTGCCACCCGGAATATTCCCACCAGGGAAGTTTCCACCCGGAATGTTGCCACCCGGAATATTCCCACCAGGAAAGTTGCCACCTGGAAAGGTACTACCAGGAGAGTTTCCTCCAGGAATGTTTCCACCCGGAAAAATTCCTCCGGGAAAAATATTACCCGGAAAAATTCCACCAGGAAAAGCACCACTAGGAGAGTTTCCACCCGGAAAAATTCCACCGGGAAAGATACCACCAGGAAAAATACCACCTTGTAAGTTGCCACCAAGAAAGTTCGCACGAGAAACTTTCTTACCAGGAATATTTCCGCCCGGAGAAGTTCCTCCGGGAATATTCTCATAGGGATAGGTGCTTGGAGGAGTGGTATATCTGGGAGGATCTTGTGGATTTCCTACAACTTGACCACAAGCTAAAGCTAGTGCTAACACCAACACAACCACCCATTTCCATTTCAAGTTCCTTGCTGAGAAGCTGTCCATCGATCGAATATATATATATATATATGATTGAGCTTATAAATAAGCTATTGTTATTAATATTTTTCTCACTTTAATAAATTGCACTTCTACAATCGATCTTATTTATAGGCAACTGATTCACATGGAGATTCTCAAGTCTTTTGTGGTCTTAAGTCGTTGCGGTCTTGTGCAACATAACTTGATTGCTCCAAAATTCCAATTTTTGTCATTTTTGTGATTGTGAAATTACAAAAAAAAAAAAAAAAAAGGAAAGAAAATCTATTGCTGATAATATATGAGGATGAATTAATTATATGCTGTTATATTTTTTCAAGATTTTATTTTTAGAAAACATTCGAGTGGTTTTTCATCCAGATAGTATTTATATTTTCAGTGTGTTAAGGAGGACATAAATGTGATTAATAATGATGAAGTATATTAATTTCTCTCTATCTCGAATGTTTTTAATTTTTATTTTTTTTAAATTTAATTATTGTTTGTTTGTTTGTAAATTCCCATCTATTTTGCTCATTAAAATAAGTTGTACATCTATATATATCCCTCCTAATATTATATTTTATTTGCAGTATAAAAATTATGGCTTGTTTCAGGATATATATAAAAACATATATATGTATAATTTTTTTATAAAAAATTAAAGTAGTGTGTTTTTTTGTTAAGTCAAGTCTTTTTGGACATATTGCTTTACCTTGATAGCACGTTTTGATATTACATGCATAATGATAAAATATAATTGACTCACTAATACAACCATCAAAATTAAATTTAATAAATGCAAAAATTTAATGAAATTAGTTCAATATTTTTATTTTTAGACTAGATAATATACAAGTACATCCTATATCATATTCACCTCTACATTATAATGAAAATTTTATACACTGTAAAAATTTTGATATTCTCTATATGGCTAAAAAAAATCAATTAAGACGGGGTGTTAATATCTATTCACTATTTTATTATTTTTAATTTAATAAAAAATAATTAATTAAGAAAATTACAATTTTAATTTAGCAAACAGAAGAGGTGTTAATGGGAGCGAAAATAACAAGATGAAAATGTAACAGCATCTTAATATGCTGTGGTAATATAATACGATTTGATGGCTCAATGACGAATTTGACTTGTAAATGAATAGTCCACAAGGCGAGCTCATGTCCGGTTGCCTTCGCAAAGAGGGCACACACACACACACAATTCTATTTTGCAAGAAATGATTGGATTTGTGACGGTGAAGTCATAGTTCAAACCATCACTGCCTCAGTCACCTGCCACACATGTTGACTTGCCTATCAGGTTTATTAAGTTCGGCCGGGGGTTTACCCAGTGTGCACTTTCGAGAAGCGACCGCGGGTTTCACGTCAAAAAAATAAAATGATTGGATCAATTTGGTGATATATCACTCTTTTTATAGGTTTTTTTTTTTTAAAAAAAAGGTGAGAGTTCGTCTAAAAATTATTAAATAAATACTTGATAAATTATTTAATTATTTATTTTATTCAAAAAAATGCTATTAAAATATTTTATTTTTTTTCTATTTATATACAACTTGCATAATTAAATTTGCATTTATAACTTAACATCAAATATTTTGTGAGAATATTATATAATTTATCCATAATATATCTAAAATCTACATATCAATAATAATATTTTAGCAACATCAATCAAATAAAAAAAAAGTAAAATACTGGTATCAATAAGATCATTGTGCAATTGATAAATTCAAGCAATCAACAGCTAGTAGAAAATACAACCCTTAAATTTTTTTATCCAAAATACAGTAGATCACCATAGCATCCATGCCAACGAACCCACGCGCATAATGCACCAAGAAAAACATGAAGCGCGCGACTTGGCCCCTGAGTGTTGTTCGTGCTTGTTTCCACTAGTAACTAAATGTCTCATAATATTTTTTCAGAAAAGTCTGGAAATGAGATTTTCGATAAAAATATTTTATATAAGAAAAACAATTAAATTAAAATTTTCAATCCAATGTAGCATGATAATTATTTGTCCAAACTTATAAGACCTTAATATTGCTTATCCTCGCTATTAGTTTCATTCAAAATTCTCTATTGAGTATGGTTTGTACAATTCATAAACAAGTTTGTAGGTTGTCGAGATTAAAATTGTTTGTTTATCAATTTAAAACGTAGAAAAAATCATTTTCAATTATTGGGATAATGTCAAAATTAAGCATTACAAGTTGAGGTAGTAAGTATAGCAATAACATCCCAATATTATTATCATCATCGAAGTGTAGCTTTTACATAATACATATGAGATCTTATTAATAAGGAGATGCTAACAATAGAAACATACATACGATGACACTTATTATAACATGAGACTACTTAATTATATGAGACTTATTCGATCGTAATTTATTATATAGCATTAACATGCATGTCGTGTAGATTAACTAAGACCATGCATGAATGCATAGTTTATGGATTGGATTAAGGATCGGACTTGACACCTTCTCTTCCCCCACCGGGAAACATTCTCCCGGGAACGTTGCTACCGGGGTTTCCTGGAAAGTTTCCTCGAGGAAAATTTCCACTTGGAAAATTGCCACCAGGAATGTTTCCTCCAGGAAAGTTGCCACCTGGAAAATTACCACGAGGAGAATTTCCACCTGGAAAATTGCCGCCCGGAAAATTTCCTCCAGGAATGTTTCCACCTGGAAAATTTCCACCAGGAAAGTTGCCACCCGGAATGTTTCCTCCAGGAAAGTTGCCACCAGGCCCACCAGGAAAATTTCCTCCGGGAATGTTTCCTCCAGGAAAGTTGCCACCAGGCCTACCACCCGGAAAATTTCCTCCAGGAATGTTTCCACCAGGAAAATTTCCACCAGGAAAGTTGCCACCCGGAATGTTTCCTCCAGGAAAATTGCCACCCGTCCTGCCACCCGGAAAATTTCCACCAGGAAAGTTGCCACCCGGAATGTTTCCTCCAGGAAAATTGCCACCCGGCCTGCCACCCGGAAAATTTCCACCAGGAAAGTTGCCACCCGGAATGTTTCCTCCAGGAAAGTTGCCACCAGGCCTGCCACCCGGAATGTTTCCTCCAGGAAAGTTGCCACCAGGCCTGCCACCCGGAATGTTTCCTCCAGGGAAGTTGCCACCCGGAATGTTTCCTCCAGGAAAGTTGCCACCAGGCCTGCCACCCGGAAAGTTGCCACCCGGAAAATTACCACCGGGAAAGTTGCCTCCAGGGAAGTTGCCACCTGGAAAATTGCCACCCGGAAAGTTTCCTCCAGGAATGTTTGGGCGAGGAGGAGTTCCTCCGGGAATATTCCCATTGGGAGAGGTTCCTGCGGGAAGGGTATCACCGGGAGGATCTTGTGGATTTCCACCAACTTGATGACAAGCTAAGGCCAGCGCTAATGTCAACACAAACAGCCATTTCCATTTCGATTCGCTTGCTGAGAAGCTGGCCATCGATCAAATATATGATTGAGCTTATAATTAAGGTATTGTTATTATGTTCTCACTTTAATAAATTGCACCTCTACAATAGATCTTATTTATAGGCAGCTTATTATGGAGATTCCTAACTTGACCGTGCAGCTTTGAACTCGTCTTCAAATCTTAGTCGCAACCCGACAATCTAATTGAAGTCTTTTGTGGTCTCAAGTTGTTGCGGTCTTTTGCAACACTTACACAACTTATTCCAACTTGATGCTCGGGTTTCCATGTTTTTGTCATTTTTATGCTTGACGAGGATGACTTATATGCTTTTATTTATTTATTTTTTTAGAGAGATTGAAAGCAACATTCTATATTTCTTGAATCGTTTTTCATCCAAATAGACTTGATATTTTCAGTGATTTAAGGGGAAAATAGATGTGAATAATGATGAAGTATATTCATTTATCTTTTATTGTTCACTGTATTTAGTTACATATCTATATATATATACACACCCCTCCTCATATATTAAATTTTATTTGTACTATCAAATCTATGTCTTGTAATATATATATACAAATATTTTGAGCTGATACAGATACTCATCAATAACTTATTTTGGCTAAGCTCGATTGATAAAATATAATGAATAATTTATGTAGTGATTAAAAAGCTTATTATTTAAATAAAGCAACAACGTCTTGTTTCAGAATATATATAACAACAAATTGAATAAATCATGTTTCCATGTTTATGATTTAAAATAAATAAATTAAAGTTTTTTGTTTTTTGTTAAGTCAAGAAGTCTTTTTAGACATATTGCTTTACCTTGCTAGCACGTTTGATATTACATGCACAATGAAAAAATATCATTGACTCACTAATAAAATCATACTCTAAATAATAAGTTTGATGAATGAGAAGATTTTATGAAATTAGTTAGATAATTTTATCAAATGAGCTTAAACTTCCAATATATTTCTAATATTTTTAAATGAGATGATATACAAGAACATCCTCTATCATATTCACCCATACATTATAATGGAAATTTTATATGCTGTATAAATTTTGATATTGTCTGTATGACTAAAATAAATAATTAATGCTTTTAGATGTTAATAAATAAATAAAATTTGATATTCTCTATATATTTGTGTAAACAAAGATATTCTCTATATATTTGTGTAAACAAAGCCATATTGATTGGATCAATTTGACAATATATCAATTGATGATATAGAAGTATTATATCAAAATATTATTTAGATTAAAATTCTAATTATAAATACAAACCTTAGTTTTTTGAAAAAAAGAAAAAGAAAAACGTAATATTTTAAATAAAATTAGATATTGAATGTGATTCTAATTTTTTTTTTAATGGAAAATGTGAAAAAAGAAGAAGTAAATATAGCCTAAATTATTTAATTTATTTTTTATTCTTTTTTCTGTATTATTATTTTTATAGTTACATCTTTATTATTATTATTATTATTATTATTATTATTATTATTATTATTAAGTCAAGTCTTTGATTTTTTGTTTTTCTTTTTTATAGGTCTTTAAAGAGAGACAATTGAAAAGCATGTTTTGTTTTGCCGTGAGCGATGATTACGGTTTGATATTTTTATTAATACTCAGTTATTTAAAATTACAAATATATACATTTATTTAAATATTGTGAATATCAGTTGTTCAAACAACAATACAATATTTGGATTCCATTATTTACATAAAATAATAATAATAATAATAAATCAATTTTCATACTCAATCCAGAGTTTGTTTGATTAATTTGGTTATTTTCATATAGTAAAAAATTTTATATTATAATGTGTCTATTATAGTACTGATTAAATAGAATTATTACTGTGCAAATAGTACAAATAAAATATATTGATATCATATTACATATAAATTAACAACATAAAATACATATTTGTACATAATATATAGATCGATACAATACATCTAGAAGTAATCTCAACACATAAAAAAAAATAAATAAAAGTTAGATGATGGTTGTTTAATTTTCATATGTTGTATGTTGTATTTTAATACAGTATACTTTATATACTGTATTGAATTCAACAATATTTGATATATATATATATATATATATAGAATAAAATAATTGTTAGATGAACTTAAATGGGGTTGTTAAGACCCGAACTCGAGACCTAAAATTTTAATATCATATTAAATAATGTAAATAACTGTCTCATATAAAAACTATATGCAAGATGTAATATTTATATATGACCTATACATAAGAAAATATACCACAATTTGATGTAAAATTTATCCTTACCATATTGTGGATGAATATGAGTATGAGCCAGAACTAGAACTAGTATGCCGTAATTTATCGGTCGGGCCTAGTTTGCAGGGTATTAGGTTCGGTTGCGTGTTTATCCAGTGTGCACTTTCGGGTAGCGACCGCAAATCCTATGTCATCCAAAAAAAAAAAAAAAAAAAAAATTAACATACATTCCAATTCAGTTCCAATTCTAATTCCAAATTGGGTTGAAAGCGATAGTAATGGGCCATTTCCCTTTTGGATCACAAACTGCAATTTCTACCATTTATTCACAACCCAAAAGTTCAGACTCAGACTCAGAAGCAAAGCCAACAATGGAAGAAGAAACGGATGGCAATTGGCACTGCCAGAGCCAGACCTCTCTCTCTCTCTCTCTCTCTCTTACACTCTCTTCCTCACCGCCACAAACCGAAATTACGAATTATCCATTCAATTTTTGGCTCTCAATCTCTCTCTCTCTCTCTCTGCAAACAATGCTTCTATCACTAACCTCAACTCCTCCATAATCTCTTTCCCCAGCAACCAAAATCCAATCACCAGAATGATTATAAACCTCCCTTCATCCTCTTCTTCTCTCAGATTCCTCTCTTCCAATTCCAATTCCAATTCCAAATCCCAATTGTCCCTCAAAACCGCATCCCATCTTTCGAAACCCTTCTCGCCGTCTTCATACTCCAGATTCTGCGGAAAGGGGACGTTTATTATTGACACCACAAGATTTAGGCGGCCTGCCAAGTTTAAGAATTTCGCGATTGCTGCAGCAGCAGGCCTTGATCTTGGTGGATTTGAGAGTGCTCAATCAGTAATCGAAGCAGCTGCTGTGCTGACCGCAATCATCGTCGTCCACGAAAGCGGCCATTTCTTGGCGGCTCATCTTCAGGGCATCCATGTCAGTAAATTTGCAGTAGGGTTCGGCCCAATCTTAGCTAAGTTCAATTTCAAGAACGTTGAGTATTCCGTTAGGGCATTTCCCCTCGGCGGATTCGTCGGCTTCCCTGATAATGATCCGGACAGTGATATTCCTGTTGATGATGTCAATCTGCTCAAAAATAGGCCCATCTTTGATCGAGTGATTGTCATTTCTGCTGGTGTCATTGCTAACATTATCTTTGCTTATGTGATTGTTTTATTGCAAGTCTTGTCCGTTGGATTGCCTGTTCAAGAATCCTTCCCCGGCGTGCTTGTCCCCGATGTAACGCCCTTTTCAGCTGCCTCCCGGGATGGTTTATTACCCGGGGACATCATTTTAGGCGTTAACGATGTCGAGCTTGTGAAAGCGAGCCCCGGATTAGTGTCTGAGGTTGTTGATGTCATTAGGAAGAGTCCTAAAAGGAAAGTGGCACTTAAGGTTGCTCGGGGCAATGAGAATGTGATAATTAATGTTACCCCCGACAAGAATGTGGATGGTTCGGGTCGAATTGGGGTTCAATTGTCACCTAATGTGAAGTTCTCTAAAGTTGTGCCGAAGAATTTGTTTGAAGTGTTTAGTTACTCGTGGCGTGAGTTTTGGGGCTTAACAGTTAATGTGCTCGATAGTTTGAAGCAAATGTTTTTAAACTTTTCTCAGTCGGCTGGGAAGGTTTCCGGCCCTGTGGCAATTATTGCCGTTGGTGCTGAGGTGGCGAAGTCGAATTCGGACGGGCTTTTCCAGTTTGCGGCCATTTTGAATCTCAATCTTGCTGTCATAAATTTGCTTCCCCTGCCTGCATTGGACGGTGGATCTTTGGCGTTGGTTCTTGTCGAGGCTGTTAGAGGCGGGAGGAAGCTCCCGTTAGAGGTGGAGCAACGGATCACATCGTCAGGTATAATGGCTGTGCTTATTCTCGGGATATATCTACTTGTACGCGACACGTTGAATTTGGACTTTGTTAGAGATTTGTTATAATGTGCTTAGTTAGGTGTGTAATTTGCATTGGGCTTCGACATTGATTGTTATGGTGATATCGTTGAAAGGGGTTGTCGAGGATACAACATAGATTGATTGGCTTAGACCGTATGCTCGTCTACCTCGCTTGTATCTTGATTCGAAGGCGATTGCTACCTATTGGGTGCTTGATTTCGAATAACTTCTTATACTAGTTTTTTGAAGTTGCCATAGTTTAGTGAATCTATGGTTCGCGAGTTTGTGTTGGATATTATTTTGTAGCGATTGGGTTACGATAATTAATTTACTCGGAACATAGTGCTTTCTACTAGAGATTTACATGGTTAACAAATTAAGGGGCACTGTATCTTTTATGTTTGAGCTCGGCTCGATAACAATTTGGTTATAGTTTGTTTTTTTAGAGAAATGAGTTGGAAATTGTTTATTTAAACTCAGCTTGTCAAGAAAAATATATGTTTGAACTTGACTTGGTTCATTAAGTAATTTGTTTTTATTTTTTTCTTTTAAATTTGATATTATTTTTAAATTCACTTTGATTCATTTATTGTTATTTTTATATAATTTATTTGGTCTAAAGCTAGTATTAAAATTATTATATAAGATAAATTTTGATTTATCTTTTTGACAAATCTACACAAGTCGAATTAATGCAAAGAAATTATTTCTTGTACATGAAATGACAAATTTGATATATAATTGAATTCATGAATATCTTTTTGGTGTATTTACTTCAACATCTTTTAAGTCCATTATAATTTTTGAAAATTACACAAATAAATACATCCTTAAATCTTTCAAACTTAACTAAAAAAAACAATATTCAAAGTATTTAAACCGGGGTTGAAAAAGCTCAATAGTGCTTCATAATGTGATAAATCATATATATTACAATTATATTATATTTTTAATATATAATACATAAAGTCGGAATTGGTAAAAAATTTTAAAAAATCCAACAAGTTTCGAGCCCAGGAGTTTGAATCGAACTTGTTTATGAAATTAATCAAACTTGAGCTTAACTCATGAACAATAGCTCCCATTGAGTTTGAAAAATGAAAATTTTCGCTCGACACAGTTGTATCTTAATTTCATGTTACTCTACAAGTATAGAAGCATTTTATCTCATTCATCGATCGCATTAGAAGACTTGGCTTTAAACAAGGATATTTCTCGTCAACTACTTTGTCTTTTACTTCATCGTTATTATTGAACTAATATCTCATCAAATGCCACAAAATGACAAACATCAATTGAGCCCGCCTTCTTTGATCTTTCTTCTACACACACCATTCAATTAATTTATTGTTTGACACGTTACAACGACGACTTTGACATATTTTATAGATTCTTGTTAGTGCTAGGTACACTTTCACTTTTATCTATACTTGATCCAAAGGCTTTTTAACTTGACATAACAATGGCTTTGCCAGAATTTGAATTGCTAAAAATTGTATTGTGAAAAAAAAAAACAAAAAAAACTTTGCATAACAATGTATGGACGTTAAACTTTGTATATGTGAGTTATTCGTTAATTAGCAGTATTTTTGTGTCTAATTTCTTGGATCTAGGCTTTTAGATCTAGGATTTTATTATTATTAAGATAAGTATTTGAAAAATATATTATAATCATTGAATTTCTCTTATTTTAAATATTTATAACATTCTTATTTATTTAAATAATTTATATGATATTATAAATATATAGAATTAAAATTCAAAAAATTCAGTTCTATATTCCAACGGAAAACTTATATAGTTGAGTGCTATGTTTGGTGTTTGTCGCATGCTTATGACTGATTTTAATTAAATTTGGATGTTCTCTGTTGAAATTTCAATATTTAGATGTTATTTATTTATATTATCTACATAAATTCATAACAAAATCTTTATCAACCACACAATATGTAATGGATGACAAAATCTTCATCAACCACACAATATGTAATGGATACTTACAAGGTTGATCTTCCATTGCCCATTGCCTATAAATAGCTATTTGCTTTGAGTGAAAGATCAAAATTTAAGTGAAAATAAGCTAAGCAACAAACTTTAATACATCAGAAGTGCGATGGGTTTCTCAGCAACAGCAAAATGGGTGTGTGTGTTGGTGTTGTTGCTAGCCGTGGCATCCGATATAAGTGAAAATGGCGTCGTAGCTACACGAACCGGTGTAGCACTTATTCCCACACGTCCTTTCTGTAAAAGAGATCCTTATGGTGGTTGCATAGGGCAACGCCCTCATAAAAAACGTCGTTGTAACTATGCCAACAATTGCGCGGGTGGAGGAGCTGTCGCCGGTAGTGAAGAAATAGACGCCAATGGCAAAAATTGATGATCGGATCTTTCATCAATAGTGTCTGTTATGTTGCGTACTATGTTTTGCATGTTATGTTGAGTACTATGTTGTTTTTTGTGTATGTGTGCGCGCACACGTATCTACATAATCGTGTGACTATGCTTCGTGGAATAAGTACCAAATTGTTTGTTCGCAAAAGAAATATATTTGAGTGTGATGTGTGTCTCTATTTAATCTACCATCAATATTAGTTTATATATTTTTGGAGTTGAAATTCAGCGTTGAAAATTTGCAGTTGTTATTTTTCAAATATAAATTTTCAATCGAACTTAAAAATTTACAAATTAGAGGCAAGATCGGAAGAAATTGGAATTTGAATCCATCCATCATTTTTTATATATATAACTTAGGACCTGGTAAAAATTGGAACGAATCTAATATCCTGCAAATTGTCCATCAATTTTTTATTTTGTTTTGATTATTTCTTTGCCTAAGTTATACATATATAATGTTTAAACAATGGATGGTACAAAATTACCTTGAAAAACCAGAAAGCAAATTTATTGGCAACCCCACGTAACTTCGAATGAGAACAATTAATTGTACAGATTAAAATTGATTTACTTGGTAGTTTAAAATCAAGAACATTGCAAAAATACCCTTGTAAATCACCACCATAGGATTAATAATATCTGTAGATAAACAGACGGTCAAGATTAATTTAATTTCATAGGTGCTGAAAATGCAAGAATCCTTCTAGTTATCTCTTCTAGTTTCCACTGTCGAGTCTCCACCGTTGTTCTTCCCCAATCCTCGCGTAAATGTAAGAAGGGTCGTTTCTCAGATTCCCAGATTCCGCCATGGAAGGAAATCTTTTCCCCAACAGGCCCTCCTTCCCCACCCACCCAACCAAGCCGGCTTCCTCCCCAAATAACACCCTCAAATTCAACTCCTCCACTCTTCCTCTGCCGCCATTGCCGCCGCAGCACCACCAGCAATCCGCTTCATCTACCTCCTACTCGTTTCCGCTTGATTCCCTCCTCCACCACCTCCTCCACATCTCCTCTCCCCCAAATCGGGATTCTTTCTCTGCTCATCTGAGGAAGGGGGATGGGAGTTCGATTGCAATCCCTAAAATCGGCGATGATAACCAGAGTTCTTTTTATTTTCTTCCTTCCAAATGTAAGTCGATGCTCAATTCTATTTTGGAACAGCCTATTTCTGGTTTGCCTTCCTTCTTCAATTCTGTGAAATTCGAGTTGCTTCGAGAAATCGATTTGATGAGTCTGTTGAAAGGTTTGGACCTTTCCGGGAATAGCGATAAAGCCATTGTCTTGTTTGAATGGATTGTTCTTAATTTGGATGTCTCCGAAAGTGACAATAAGTTGGATAATCAAATTATTGAATTGATGGTGATGATTCTTAGTAGAGAGTCTCAACATTCTGTTACTTCCAAGGTGTTCGATGTAATTCCTGTTGAGGGTATGAAGATGGATGTCCGAGCATGGACTGCCGTCTTGCACGCCTACTCCCGTTGCGGGAAGTACGACAAGGCCATAGCTTTGTTCGATTTTGTTAAGGGTAGAGGATTGTGTCCAACCCTGGTTACTTACAATGTAATGTTAGATGTTTACGGGAAGAAGGGGCGATCATGGGATAAAATTTTGTCCCTTTTGGATGAGATGAGGAGTGTCGGGCTTGAATTCGATGAGTTCACTTGTAGCACGGTGATATCGGCCTGTGGGAGAGATGGGTTGTTGGAGGAGGCGAAGGACTTTTTTGATCGAATTAAGTCGAGTGGTTATGTCCCGGGGACGGTAACTTATAATTCGTTGCTCCAAGTTTATGGAAAGGCGGGGATTTATAGCGAGGCGTTGAGCGTTTTGAAAGAAATGGAGGAAAATAATTGCCCTCCCGACTCGGTGACTTATAACGAGCTTGTGGCTGCATATGCAAGGGCGGGATTCATTGAAGAAGGTGTGGCGTTGATTGAAACGATGAAGGAGAAAGGTGTGATGCCGAATGCAGTAACTTATACAACGGTGATTGATGCGTATGGTAAAGCCGGGAAGGAGGATAAAGCGTTGAGTTTTTTCGAGGAGATGAAGGAATCAGGCTGTGTACCCAATGTGTGTACGTATAACGCCATATTTGGTATGTTAGGGAAGAAGTCGCGCGTGGATGATATGATGAGAATCATTGACGAAATGAAATCCAATGGATGTACTCCGAATCGTGTTACTTGGAACACTATGCTAGCCGTATGTGGCAATACGGGAATGCACAAGCACGTGAACCGTGTTTTCCGGGAGATGAAGAATTGTGGGTTCGAGCCTGATCGCGATACGTTTAATACGTTGATAAGTGCGTATGGACGATGCGGTTCCGAGATTGATGCTGGGAAGATGCACAAGGAGATGATTAAAGCCGGTTTTTCGCCATGTATTACGACATATAACGCGCTTCTGAATGCCTTGGCTCGAAGAGGGGATTGGAGAGCGGCGGAATCGGTTGTTTCGGACATGAGGGAGAAGGGTTTCAAGCTGAACGACACGTCGTATTCGTTGATGCTGCATAGCTACTCGAAAGGTGGAAATATCAGAGGCGTCGAAAGGACTGCAAAAGAAATCTACGACGGTCACATTTACCCGAGCTGGATGCTGTTGAGAACTCTAGTTCTCGCGAATTTCAAATGCAGATCGCTCTCGGGTATGGAGAGAGCGTTTGAGGAGTTCTTGAAGAATGGCTACAAACCCGATATGGTGCTGCTCAATTCGATGCTCTCCATTTTCGCGAGGAACAGGATGTACAACTCTGCGCACAAGATGCTGCGATTAATCCGGGAGAACGATCTGCAGCCGGACATCATCACCTACAACAGCTTGATGGATATGTACGCCCGATCAGGCGAATGCTGGAAAGCTCAAGAAGTGCTCAACGGATTGCTGGAAAGTGGCGGAAAGCCCGATCTTGTGTCGTACAACACTGTGATTAAAGGCTTCTGCCGGCAGGGGCTTATGAACGAGGCGACGAGGATTTTCACGGAGATGACGGACCGCGGGATAAGGCCTTGCATAGTTACGTACAACACGTTTGTTGCTGGCTTTTCGGCGAGAGGGTTTTTTCAGGAAGTCGATGAACTTATTAGCTACATGATTCGGCACAACTGCAGACCGAATGAGCTGACGTACAAAACTGCTGTCGATGGGTATTGCAAGGCGAAGAGATACAAAGATGCTGCAGAATTCGTGTCGAGAATAAGGGAGAAGGATGACGCTTTCAGCGACCAAGCGTTGCAGAGGCTTGCGGCGCGAGTCAGGGCAAATATGGAGTCGTGATTTTGCGTCCCCGGCCTGCCGGAATTCGCCTTCCTTCCGGCGACCGCCGTGTAAGATCGTTTACCTCTATTCACTACATGTATCTATGGATCACTCGATGCAGATGATTTGATTTCATTAGCCGATTTGTTCTAACATTTGGAGTTTTTTTTTTTTTTTATCGTTTTACAAATCCAAGTGTAAGAATTTTGGTACATAAGCCATCACGAACTTCTTGAAACTTTTCATTACCATTTTAGTTCGAGCTGATCAATACATAGACGCAATTAATTATTGCAGCCAATAATTGATGATGAATTTTAAAATGGTCTTCCCTTATCTTTAATATATATCCAACTCCCGACAGTCGATTGGAAATATTTTCTGGTCCAAGGCTGTTCCAACCCTATCAATACACAAACATACATACATATATATATATATATATATATACATACAGTCAACGCAATTTATCCATGAAGGGTCAATCATCTATGACACTTGCAGGGTCTTATAGGGATGATGAGTACAGATAGAACTGACATTGTGAAAAGGGAGATATTCCTTTGAAGTTTAAATTTCAAGAAATTGATGACGAAAACCCACTTAAAATTCGAGTATGTTTTGTCGTGTATTTCTAATAAGATTTTTACTATTGATTTAATTTTTTTTAAAAATATATTAAATTAAACAATTATTTTTTATATTATTTTAAAAATTAGTTTTTTATTTAAAATATCATATTAATATCTATTTATATATATATAAGACATTTATTCAAATTTAAATTTAAATTTTTTCTGTTTAAAATTCCAAACCATGATATCAAATCCACAAACAAACACTTAAACACGTTTGAGATTTGTTTTCATTTCTTATTATTCAGTCTCTGCATTCTTTAAATGCTCTTCGACCTCGACCACGACATCAACCACACAAGAGCTCATCTCCTATTGCCTATAAATAGATGATCATCTAAGCTAAGCTTCAAACTTAGATATATATCATAAGATTAAGATATTGGATGGGTTTGTCAGCAAGAGCCAAATCGGTTTGTGTGTTGGTGTTAGCGTTGTTGCTAGCCTTACCATTTGATAGTCAAAATGGAGTCGTAGCTTCCGTAACAAAGGGGCCATTTAATGGCTATTGTCCTTTCTGTAATACAAAAAATTATGGTAACAACTTCCATGGAAGTGAAGGAGGAGTTGTCGCTACTAACCAAGAAATAGGCAAAACTTGACAATCTCTCGAATCCCTTCACCGCCGTCAAATCTATCTATGTATATATATATATATATATATATACGGTGCAATTAAGTTGTGGAATAAGTACCAATTATGAATGAATTGGTTCACAGTTCCAAAGCAATTTGAGCGTGGTGATCATAATGTGTGTGTCTCTATTTAATGAACTATCGAGTCTTTGTTTATGTTTGTGGCTTATGTTTGGATTTCTGTGTTGCTCATCAGTTTTAATTTTCTTGTAGACATAATGATGTATAAATTCTTTTTTTCCCCTTTTGAATTATAGTTAAATGATACTTTCTAGTTAAGGCCTTTTCTAGTGTAGGTCCAAAGAAAATTATCAAATCTCATGTCTAGCGGGATTGGTTTATATATCTGACATTAATATTTTTAGTAGTTTTACGAGAAATCAATCGGCTATCTTTGTTACAACTTACAAACTATATATACACATAAGCACAATATCACTTTAGGGCGGATAGTTACACTGCTAGCATTGTGCTGGTAGCACAATAATATATGTCAGACAACACATGAGATATAAATTTACGGTACATAATATCAAATGAAACTAACAACACACTACTTTTATCGCATTCTTCTTGGTGAATAAAAACATTACACAACCATTTTACATTCCTTCATATCCATGCCGTGACAGAAAAGTTTGTATCATTAATGTTTGGTCTCGACGCCACGACCACCTCCATCGCTGCCGAGGCCCCCTCCACCACGGTTGTTGCACTCAATCTTGTTTTTGCAACGACGAGTGTGTACAGGAGCTTGTTAATGCAAACTCCATAAACATATCGATAACAAAAGGTTTTAGGGTGGTTTAGACTACACGTTGGCGGCATGAAATACGGCTCCCGGGCCTCAGCAGTTTTCCGGCTAATCTCAGACATCACAGCCAACAACAAAGCAATTAAGACACACAAACATTTCCGAGCAAAACCCATATTATATATATATATATATAGTTGTGCTTCTAAATGTATTAATGTCTTTCTCACTTTTATCACTCTCCTGAAAATTTTGGTTTAAGCCAGCTCAATCCAAGCTTATATCGATGTTGTTAGCTAACACAAGCAATTTAATGCATCCAATAATTGATGATGAACCCCCCGACAGTCAATTGGAAATATTTTCTGGTTCTAAGGTTGTTCCAGCCCTACCAATATTAATTAATGTGCAACAATCCATTTATTATAACCTCGACTCTAGTGGCATTTCTTATTCAGCTTCTTCACTAGTTTATTAACAAATTAATTAAGTAGCAGTTGTGTTTAAATCCGTATATTGTTGGAGTGCAAACCCATGTCCCACATTGAAATATTTGAAGAAAAATGTAAATGTGACTCAGTACTTCAGTCGAGTGTGATAGGCGGTGCAAAGTACGCAGAGAAGGCCCATTTGTTGGTGACGAATTTGTTTTTGAACTTCTTCCAAAAGATCTCATTCATTTATGTAGAGTGTAGATTTTTCTTCAACAATCCGGAAGTATTTATTTTGTAGAGTTTTAGAAATATTAAGAAGATAAGTGTTTCATGTAATTTCTTTTAAAAAAATGTACTGATGTTTGGTGTAAATGGTCGATTCATGGCACAGCAATTAATGGAATACTTCAGTGGAAAAAGAAATGGATAGGGTGAATCGAACAAGATAAACATTTGAGAAAGCAATGTAATTATACTGAGGATTCATTTATCATATCCAGTATGAGATCGATGTGAAATCGACCATCTTTATTACAACGTGCATAACATCACTCCACTCTTACAAGCGACAAACTATATAAACACAAAATATGTATATATATATATATATATATCACTTTACTATGATGCATTAATCAAAATAAGCATTTCATCGATCACATTCTTGTTGGTGAACATATAAACACATAACAACCATTTTGCTTGCATTCGTTCATTCTTATGGCGCCGAGATGAAAAGATTCATCGTCAATGTTTTCCCTCGACGCTATGGACACCTTCTTTGCCGGCTTTTTCATAATTCTCGCCATTCCCCGCTCCTCCACGTGCGCGTCTGCCAAGACAACCATTATTGGATGGCCTGCAAAAAGAAAACTCGGGAGGGTTCGGGAACGGGGAAATAGATATCCCTTGAGCCTCAGCAGTATTCCCGCCAATACAAAACATCACACCAAACAATAGAACAACTAAGACACTCAAAGATTTCGAAGACAGACATAGTGTGACTCCTAAATGTCTCTCTCGTCTTAATTCTTCTCACTTTAATAAATTCACTGCCCCTGAAAATATTCGTTCAAGCCCACTCCTTATATAGAGGTTCTTATGTTAAATTAGCTAGTTAGCACAATCAATTAATCAATGAGCCCAATAATTGATGATCACTTTTTAACTAATGATATATATATATATATATATATATACATATATCCAACCCCCGACAATCAATTGGAAATATTTTGTGGTTTGAAGCCATTCATAGCCTACCAATAAACACACACATATAATGCTCATGACTACTATCAATATAATCATGACTATATAAATTTCTCTCCAATAATAACCTTCGTTGCATATTTTCTCAATGCTTTAGTCCACATTATTTCTCATATTTACAAAGAATACAAAATTTTGGGTTTGATCCATTTTGCATTTTCATCTTCATGGGAAAAATTATTCGAATAGAAAATAAAAAGAATACAAGATATAGCTGTAATTTGCTCATTACTCGTAAAATAATCTGTCCTCTCACTCTGAAAGTGAAAACCTAATTATAAGGTGGATGAATCTATTGAAGAATATTAAACATGCATGGTAGATATATTGACACTTGCAATTTTCCAACTCCTAAAATGGCATGGCTATTACTGAATTAATATAGTAATACATGTAAGAAAAACTAGTACTATAATAAATATGATGTACTCACAATGAGTAGATCTAAGTGAATGAAAAAATTATCCTGCATTAACCTTGTATTGTTATATTCTTCAGTCTCTAATTAGCTTGGTGGTTATATTATTGTATGTCTGATTTAGTTTAGTATTTTCAGGATACAAATCAAATCAATAACTTCATTCGAATGATTTACTATAGAATATTATATAAGACAAGTTCACATATCAACACACACAGATGCGAGGCTCTATCTTATATCTTTCACCCTTATAAATCAAGGAAAAGTTCCAATATTTTTCTATGTGGAACAATACTTATCAATAAAACCGAAACCTTATATACAAGACATTTTTTATACTGGATTTAGACTTTATGATTAGGTTCGAACTTAATACGACACATAAATAAACGACATGGATAGCTAATATTTATTTTTGACCGATGTGTCCGAACTCAAGCTAACTCAACCTCTTAGAGCATGTACAACGGACCATGAATAGAAGGGATTTTCCATTTACTCAGCCATTTTTACTCGCAGCTAAAAAAATTAATCGCCACAGTGATTCATTTCTAGATACTATATTTAGCATCAACTTGAACACAATCTGGTGTAGTAGAAGGCGTGGGGAAGCTATCTGAGAAGAAAAATATTTATGTTGCGAGACACCTATGTGCAGAATTACTGGGAGACTTTTGTGTGAAATTTTCAGCCAACCTTGATACATCAGTTCAAAGTGTACTGACGGATGAATTTTTACACAAAGTATACTGACAGATAAATTTTTACTTGTACATGCTCTTAGCCCTCCTACATAAATCAACAATAGGGAAAGTGTAGAAAAAAATTCAAATATCAAGTATCATGAAATGATTTTCTCAAAATTACCTTCATTTTTTTTTTTCAATATATTCAATTCATTGTGTAACATCTTAATTTTCATAAAAATATATTAATTTTCTATACAAAATATCATATTTAAAAACTATTTCATAAAAAAAAAAAAAAAAAACATAAAATGTGAGTGTGTTTGTTTGCGGATGTAGTTTTGAATAGTAAAATTGAGAATTTAAATAATTGTTTCATATAAATAGTTGTTAATGTAATATAATTTTAAACTGAAAATTAATTTTAGTATAATATAAAAAATAAAAAAAATAATTGTTTGATTTTATATTTTACTGAAAAAAAATTAATTTAATAACAATCTTAGAACAATCCAGACAAAAGTTTTTCATCATATATTTCCACATGCATGACTACTATCTTCTAGATCATATTATTCCATTGGTTCCTTTATTGACTACAAAATGGACATTAAAATTCCAAGGAACGGTTCAACCACCCAGTTTAATTAGTTTCAATCAATTAATTCTTCAGTTTTTTGGAAATATACACATATATATATATATACATATATTTTCTCGTATTTATCTTATAATTTAATACATCTCTATTAAGATCTTGTAATGACAATATAATTTGCAGTTTTAGTTCAGTTATTCAAATACTAGACCATTTATTTTTTACAAGTTAATCTTGTTTTCACTTTCAGATTTGTCTTAATTATGCTGAGAATTGTCTTAATTATTCAAATAATAGACCAAGAATGTTATTTAATTTTTTCCCTCTGGATTATAAAATTAACTTCTGTTCATTTGTAGACTTCTTTCTATGTTTGAAAGTAACTTTTTAAGTGCGTGTGTCAATAATAATATTGTTCAAATGAAGCAATTGTCTCACAAATTTTGGCAATTTGGAAGTTGTTTAGGATCTTAAAATGATGTTTTTTATTTTTCGGGGCTTTTTTTTTTAAAAAAAAAAATTGCAAATCCTCTTATTTTATGTTTACTTCTTTTGAGCTTTAAGATTTTTGAACCTAACCTATAAATAATATTTAGTTATAAAATTACATTTCATCTTGGATTGACAAATTCTCTTTGTTCAGCTATCTCAATTCGTGCAATGAAAGAACTATACAAAGAATTAAGCTCAAACATGTATGTATAATAAAAAAATGGAACTTTTTAACATGAGATTTAATTCAACATTCAAAGTCGAATAATCCTTGATGTATTTCTCCTCCCACGTTCTTCAAGACAAATTCGACATGGTCGAGGATTTCACTTGAGTCGATACTCTAATCTCAAGCAATCAAACTTATTGATTTTTCCGACTTTTCTATTACAAGTTGTCACCACACTTTCTTCTCCGTTCATTCTAGTGTTGCCTGCGTGGCCGGGAGATTATTTTTATCACTATTCACATATGATCCCCTAATAGAGAAGTCACCGATGCAGAGAGCTCAAGTCGCTACACAAGGCATGTATAGAACCATTCAACATTGTTTGCGACGTGGTGGTGGCTTGATTCATTTCTTGACTCGACATTTGTAGCCCCGGTGAAGAATTAAATAATGTACCCGACAATTCTTGGCCCAAAATTTGTGGGCGACCCATTGTCGTAAGAAAGTTTCCTCCGGGTGGTGGAGCATTCGAAAAGGTAGTAGGAGACAGGTAAGAAGGCGATGAAAGTTGCACGGGGTTTTGGTATTTAGTTAGGTCGAGTAAGATTGTAGGGGAAGGCGCGGATGCTGAAATGGTGACCATGTTGCAGTAGTCGGGAAAAAGCGCCAATGCCAATGAATTAGCATTGGTTAGTCCATCCATGCTCTGGATTGAGCCCGATAGAATCATTTTTGCAGCCGACGATGTCATTTTAGACATGGCCATGGCCGGGGGAGATAACGGGTGGTTATGATCGCCTTCGTATGTTGTTATGAGGATGCTTTTGTCCTCCGCACTTCTTTGTACCTACAAAAAGTTGCGAGTATTAATACTTTCGGCACATGATGTCCGAATATAATATTTTGTATAAATAATAAATTTTTAATACGATATTTAAAGAACAAAATGTATTTAATAACTCAATTCTTGAACATGTAGTTATTGAACTCTCCTACTAGAATTTACAAGGGCTCGTTTGGATGGATGGATTTCAAATCTAGATTAACAAGTCTTTCAAATAACATATTCCCAAAACCCTAACTCAGTCTTGAACAATTAAAAATGAACTTCAAACAAATTATGAAATATTTCAAATCCATTCTTCCGAATCCTTTCCATAATGCTTAAGAGCTATCAATATAGCATACATACTTGTTTTCTTACGGGGCAACCGACGGCCATTGTGCAGCGATAGTATGCGCGAGAGCACGGGTTTCCCTTCGACACTTTCTGCCCGTATTTGCGCCATTGGCATCCATCCATGATCTACCAACAACCAAAGTAACAAGAACAATGTTGCACTGATAAGAACTTTTAAAAAAATTGAAAATAGTAAAAAGTTAAGTATTTGATATAATATTCTATTAAGGAAAAGAATAACTATTTGATGTAGTAATATATTTTGAAAAGGTTACTAATTGTTAATAAATAATGCAAAAAATTTCTAAAAAAACTATCTATGTAAACAAAGTCTAAAGTTAATAGTAAAACCCGATATTGGCTAAACCCTACTTTCGGCGAGTGGCCTCTAAACATACCATTGAACCCTCACACCGTGCCCTAACCGACACACGAGCCTTCCGGATGGTTCCCTGAGTAGTACAGCCAGAAATGTTTTCATTACAAGACATCCTAGGAGCCTTGTTTGCACAACTTTGTATGATGTCCTCATCCTTACAATATGGCCGGTCTTGGTCTCGAGTAGGATTGCTTGTATGTTGCTGCTGTTGCTCGATTCGAGCCTGAATATGCATCCGAAGGGTGTTGCAGTTGCTACTTGTCTGATTCAACATCACCCTCAATTGCTCGTTCTCCGAATTAATTCTTTTCAGCTCAGTCTTTAGTATTTGCAACTGATTAACACATTACATCACTGTCACTACTAAGACACACACTTCCTTAACTATCCATCATCAACACCATTAATTTATTTTCTCACACATACCTCAACATGTTCTCTTTTGTTTGTGGAGATGGAGTGATGATCTTTCACTGTGTTCGCCGGAGTTCCAAGATTCAAACCAGTCTTCGTCGTTTGAACAAAAACTAAAACTATCAACACAAGTTTTTTTTTGGGAAAAAAAAAAAAAGGAATACAATACATACATATGTGGTGTGTGTTTGGGAATACTTACGTTGACATAGGCATCAAAATTCGAAGTTTTCGATGGATCGGATGGCTGAGTCTCCTGCTTATCGTTGGCAAAGAAATCCAATTCATGGAGGGGTTTTCTTTCGTCCACAGTAATTAATTCCATGGAAATATGCACACGAAAGAGTCTCCAAATTCACTATATATATATATATATGTGTGTGTGTGTGTGTGTGTGTGGAGAATTTAAATCTGATGAAACACAAGACATGAATGGGGTTGCAAGAAGTCTTGCAGACTCTTCTATCTGCCCAGAAATTGACCAAAAATTGATTGCAAGAGGATAAGGTTTGGTAGAATTAATCCGTGTTTGTCCAATTAGTCAAACCCTAAATTTGTCTCCAAAAATCATATCTACGTTGGTATTAATTCCAATGTCTACACTTAGCTTGTAACATCTTCTGGTTTGGGATATATTTTACTCACTCCATAAATCACCTAACTAAACTCTATATATAATGCATATATATATATATATATATATTAAGAAATTATTATAAGGGGTTGTTTTTATTTGAGTAAATATATAAATCAGGGTGGGTCTTAGAAGTTAGAACATCTTTGCAATGATGGTGAAATAAATAATATATTGTATCACGTATTTACAGTTGTATTGTATTAATGTCTTATTATGTGTGGTGTGGTTTAGTATATCTTATACCACTAATCTGAAATTAATTCAGCAAATGATCTAAGTATATATATTGTATTTGATATAATACATAAATGACCAATATAATAAAACCAAAAAAACTAAATAATAACAAAACTATTGTATATGGAAATTAAGAATGATATCATCAAGTATTAATGTGAAATTCCACGAAATCAATCAGTAGTAATTCATGCGATTTAGTATTGTGGTTACCTAAATAGTGTTACTCAATGATCACTACAAACATTGATATCAAAACCCAAACCCTTGTTAGAACTCCATCGTGATTGTATCATCGTATCATCAACTCTTTGAACTAAATATATATATCATCAAATTTGTTGAATATATCCCACATTGAAATAAATAAATAAATATTGGAACTCTATTACATCATACACTTGCTAGCAAAGCCTATCAATTACAAAGCATAATACCAAAATGTGAAGAAAGAATGTCCATTTAATGATAAGCTAAGGCTTCTATTTCTTCTTCTTCTTATTATTATTTTGTTCAACATACATGTTTATATTAAATATAAAGAAAGTAGACACAATTTGGTCACAAATTATCATGGAAGAAGAAGCGTTTAATAATGGAAGAGATATGAAGACAAATAGAGTAATTAATTCTTAGTAATCATATAAAGTTAATAAGAACAATTAGTCCATCATTGACTTTAAAACTATCATTCTAGAAGAAGCTTTAATTTGATATGTATGTGCATCATTTTTCTACGAATAAATAATTGATTATCAATTAACAAGTTTTTCTAATGCCGTGAAGACTTCAACATAGGTTTTGTCTCATATCAAGACCATTTTTATTTTCAAAATTTAATTAAAGTCGATTGCTACTTGATTTATGTTCAACTAATCAAAATCATGGTAAAAACAAACTTCAACACTATATATATATATATATATATATATATTATGGAATTAAATTATATCAACTTAATATAAAAGGTTTATCTTATTCTCCCTTAATAATTATGCAAATTTGGAATATTACATATATATATATATATTATTACAAGTAATTTCCATTAAAGTGAAGTAATCATTTAAAATCATTTTATAGTTAAATAAATATGCATAAGAAACTACAAAAAGTATATGGGCTTATTTGTTGGTTAGGCCCAAAAGTAGGTTAGTTGGGCCTTAGAGTAGTAGCCCAATTTATTGGAAAGGCCCAGGAGCTTCTCGAACTTCAATCCTGTTCAAATTCGGTGGCGAATTCCAAATAGACTATAAATACATCGCAGAAGAAAAGCTTTCTGTCCAAGAAATCTTGAAATTGGAGTCGCATCGTATAAAAGATCGGAGATTCTCAGTAAAATCCCCAATTGAAACCGATCAATTGTTGACAGAAGAGAGGAGTGCTTCGATTTTGGAGATGGATTTCGAGCTGAGGAGGGCGAGGGAGAAGCTGGAGAAGGACCAGAGAGAGAGGAAAGAGATGGCGCGATTGAAGTTGGAAAGAGAGAGGAAATTTAAGCAAGAAGCCATCCGTCTCCGGGAAGCTGTAGAAGCGGCTCAGAGGGAGCGCCGCCTCCAAACCGCCGCGGCGGAAGCCAAGGTTCGATCTTTTTTTTTTTTTTTTTTTCCTGTGTTTTGAAGTTGATTGTGTTCTCATTGTCTTTTAGTTTTCTTTTAGAAAATCTGTGGTTAGATTTGGTTTGGTTTGGTGAAATTACTTTCAATCTATTTGTTCGATATCAATTAGGTTCAATTAGGTTACAAGATTGTGTAGAAATTGAGGATTTTGGAATCCTGCATCAATTAATATTCTTAAGGATGACAAAAAGAAAACCTTAAGTTGGCTGTTCATATACATTATCGTACGCTTCTAATAAGTATAGCCATAATTCTTTGGAAGCTGATGACTGCATCATCTACAGAAAGAATAAACGATATGTTGCTTTTGAACATTGCTCCTTGCTTGAACTATTATTATGGTGGTAGTTTTTAAGCTTAAAACTTTCGACAATTGAATGTGAAATGTAATGTTTGAAGATAGGTTTTAAGCTTGTATCCTTGTACAATCAAAAGCAGGGCATAATGTGTCAGAATGCACATTATGATGTAGCTTGTTGATATAATTTGTGATGATTTTGTGATAAGGGGTTTGATATGTTTTACCTATTGTTTTTACTTTTAAGTTCGATGCTCTCAAAATTGCGCAGTCAAACTCAAGGGTTTGATAATGCTCGATATTTGATGTCACTAGATTTTGGTTTGTTGTTGATCAGGCGAATGAGGTAGCAGAAGTAAATTTGCTTGCTGGTAGGGGAGTAAGCTTTTCTCGCATTCTAGAAGCTGTTCCATATCAGAGCAGCGGAGACAAGATTAAATTGCCGCCTTCTTGTTTCAATGAGTTGTCCGAGCAAGGCGCTTTCGACAAAGGGCCATTGCATTTCTCTCTATCCTTGATTCACCGTGAGGCTCCTTCAGGTGCGGAGAGTGCTGAAATTCAAGAACCCCGGAAAACTCATGCCGGCGTCATGGAGTTCACTGCAGATGAAGGTTTCGTAGCACTCCCTCAGCACTGTTGGCGTAACTTACTCCCTTCTGAAACATCAAACACTGCTATGGTGGAAGTATCCTATGTTTGGCTTCCCAAAGGAACTTATGCTAAACTCCAACCTATTGAATCCGGCTTTAACGATATTCCCAACCACAGGGCAGTTCTGGAGACTACTCTTCGCCAACATGCAACTCTTTCGCAAGGAGATACGCTCACCGTCAATCACGGCATCCTAACATATCATCTGCATGTTCTTGAGTTGAAGCCTTCTTCTAGCGTATCGGTTCTAGAAACTGACATTGAGGTTGATGTCATGGGACCCGAGACCGAACAAAGTGCAAACCAGCATGTGCTGAAGCCTCTCGCCTTCGAAAAGACTGAGTCAGGAATGGCTGATGAAGGAAACTACTCGTACTATAAGTTTTCCATCGACAATGATACTTGGAATAGGGTGTCGTCCCAAGATGCGAAAATTGTGATTCAACTAGAGTCCCAGACGCAAGATGGGGATATTGACTTGTATGTTTCCCGGCATCCTCTTTTGTTCCCCACACAAAACCAGCATGGGTGGTCTTCCCATGACATGGGTTTGAAGAAATTGGTAATTGGTGCCGAGGATAAGAACTTAGGACCGGGGACTTACAGCATTGCAGTGTACGGATATAAAGGGTCGTCTAGGTACCAGGTATCAGTAATTGTTCAAGATGGTACAGCACAGAAGTTAGGCCAGCACGCTGCGTCTTCCTCGTCAAATCCTGAGTTCGACACTGTAGAGTGTCGAAACTGCAAAAGGTACATACCTTCGAGAACCATTTCTCTTCATGAAGCCTACTGTAGTAGGCATAATGCTGCCTGCCAGCACGCCGGCTGTGGAGTCGTTCTGAGGGTAGAAGAAGCCAAAAACCATGTTCACTGTGAAAAGTGCGGTAAAGCTTTCCAACGAGGGGAGATTCAGAAGCACATGAAAGTGTTCCATGAGCCTCTTCAGTGCCCTTGTGGCGTCGTCTTTGAGAAGGAACGAATGGTAAGCATTAGTCATGTGTCGATATTTGCTAGTTGATCTCTAGGAAAGATCATGGCATCATGTCGAAGAATTGGAATTCGAAGTAGTCGCCTTTTTAACTTGATTGATCATCCAGGTTCAGCACCAGTCCTCGGAGTGCCGGTTGAGGCTGATTACATGCCGATTCTGTGGGGACATGGTTGAAGCCGGGACTCCTGCTGCAGACGCTCGAGACCGTATCAGAGGATTATCGGAACACGAGAGCATTTGCGGGTCGAGAACTGCGCCGTGTGATTCGTGTGGACGTTCTGTGATGCTGAAGGACATGGACATACACCAAGTTGCTGTTCATCCCAAGAGCTAACTTAATATCCATATCCTCATTCTGCTTCATTTGTTTTCTTCATCATAAACCAATTCTCAATGTTATGGCTGGCACAGTAGTGCCCTTTGTGAATTTGGTGCCCTTATGTATCAATGTATTTATTGTCAGTAAAGAATGTTTGCTTGTTTGTTTAGAATACCCAATTGCCCATATGCATATATCATCACCATCTTAAACAATGGTATATTCAAATTCCAATACCTAAAAGAACACACAAAGTTGGACTCTTGAAATAGCTTAGATAAGAAAAGTAATTTGAGTAAGTGTCCATCAGATCAGATAGAAAACTTAAATGGGTATTAACAATAATATTAGTGACCTTCATTCAAGATGTTGAGTTTTATATTTATTCGACCTACTTGCAACTTGTTTATACGCATCATTTGCTGCCCTATTCAAAGCAACTTCCTTCTTCTCCCAGCATACACCTTTACCCCTTAGCTTATTATTCACGTATACTTTGTACGTACCTTGTGATGACCATTCATCCACCAACTTAACTTTGAGCTTATATTTCTGGCATATCTCAAACAGCTTCCTCACAGGATTCATTTGCAGCACTTCCGGAGTAATTATGGGTTTTAAGAGATCACTCGCTACCTGCGAAAAACCAAAGGCAATGCTGTGTTTTATAAGATATCATACAAGTAGGCACTCCAATCAAAGTGCAGATCGACACACGAGCAAAACACCAACCCCTAAGGACTATTAGATGTCGAATACTTAATTTCATGGAATAATAGTATATCCTAGAAAATGTCTTTCGTCCATGCATGTTAGGAAATCAAAGGTTTTACAGTAAGAAATGTTTGCACACAACACATTTTTACTGACAAGAGAAAAGATATCTCTCATCTCCTGTCAGCCAAATTACAGAGGGAAATGTGAAGAAGACATGAAGACTATATAGAGAAATCACCTCCCAGGTTGTATCCATTGAGCAATTGCTGTCGATGAAAACAGCTCCGAGTGTTGATTCAACAACATCAGCAAGCACCTTTGGAACATTAATCAGACCATGCGAATGTAGAGGGTATTTAGGTACAGCAAGAATAAACGCCTGAATCTGAGAAAGTTCAAAGATGGTTAACTCAATAGGAACACTCACCTGGAAACTACCATTAAGCACAAAGAAAGAAAGCACATCGCCTATAGAGAAAACTGAGAACAAGATTAGGCCAAAATGGACCTTCAGTGCTACCATTAGGACTGTGAGAATATTTTCGGAAACTTAAAAATTGCAGTGTATTGATCATAAAAATAATGACCCATATATATAGATACCAGAAAATAGACTCGATAGATTCAAATTAAACAACCTAAACAACTCAAAACAATCTAAGCTATGAATAAGATCAAATCTAAATTTAAATCTACTAAATTTAAAATTAAATATCTAAAATATCTCAACAAGTACTTTGTTTTGAGTGAAGTTCCGTTTGGAACAGCATCTTACAATTAAGAATATTAAGATCCCTATAGCCATCAATTCAGTTGCTAAAAATGTCATGAGGGTTTTGCACAAAAAAATCTCTCATTTCACCACTCAAGCTTCATTACACAGCCATGAGGTCTTTAATAATGTAGCCTTAAACTGCAATACCTTGATATGTCACAAGCTACAAGTAAAGAACCACAAAGAAACTAATAAGCCAACTATTAATTATATATCCAGATAAGATATACAGCTTTTCCTATACTAACAGAATAAGTAGCAGCATACAACATGTTTCTACCGCAGAATTATATAGAACTGACTTTATAAAGATGACTACTGTAGGCAGCATGCAATGAACTAGTTGATTAACTGAAAGTATTGCTGGATCATTCAATAAGTTTAGGACAAATCACTTCTGAGGTCCTCTATGAATTGCTTGCTACACTTTAATCCCTAAACACCAAAAATTAGCACAATCATTCCGCACATAGCAATTGTCCAGCACGGTGGAACAATTAGCATTTGTCCAACTTTTTTCTTTGGCCAACTAATACCATTTGGAGTGATGTATGTTACATAAATTGGTCATGCATAAAATTACACAGATAACTAATATTAGTTACAGAAAAAATAATAATAATAATAAAAACAACTGCAAAAGTGCAAAATGAACTACTTGTAACACATTTATCGTGTGAAGGACCACAAAATGGTTTACCTATCATTTAAAGATACAAACTTGAAGTACATACCTTTCTCCTAATGATTGAATTGCCATAGCGAATATATTTGTGGAAGTTATGCTTTATAGCCGCACGTGCAAGCTTTTCTGTGTCCACATTGGCAGCACGAAGTGGAGCCAGTGACCCTGGTGGAAGATCTGGGTACATAAAGAACTGTTCTTTTGCGATTAAAAGATTAAGCACCGAGTCACCTACATACTCAAGCCGTTCATACGATACACAATCCCTATGATATGATGGATGTGTAAAGGCCTGATGCAGTAAGCTACGGTTATTGAAACTGTACCCTATGATCTTCTCAACTTCTTCAAGTCTACGCAATGACTCACTCTCAGTTTCCTCTTTCGACAACTTTGATGTTACCTTTCCATTGAGTCTCATGCCATTCAAATAATTACTCAAAATATTTCCTGGTAAAATAACAATGCCTGTCATTCTAGTCAAAGTAACACTTAATGATATCCACAGTATTATTACATCATCTACGGTATAATCATAGTTAAAATAAAATTAAAATCTGAACAACTCAAGAAAATGATCAGTTCCCAAAGGGACTGATTGCAAACTATCATAAAAAGCATTTCTCTGCTGAGGCTAAAAGAAAATCGTTGGAGAATAATTTTAGATTTCAACTTCTGATTCTAACGAGCTTTCAATCTAGAAGTGTAAAGAAGAGTGCTTTAGATCTATGGCTGAAAAACAAATCAAACCTTCATGATCGATTATTAAAAGCTAGTTTGAGGCGGCTCACCAAAACTGAACAACATTTATCAAACTACTTAATTAGATTCACATTTGCTCCAAATGACAAACATACTAGGTAAACAAAGACTTTACAAATTCCCATACAACATTCAATAGCAATCCATTATATAAACCTCGTGCCCGAAAAAAATAATAATAATAAAACGTAATTTGTATACAATCTGCGAACTAGTACTGGAAACAACACTTAAATTGAGTTTCGAACATTTTAGAATAATAACAAAAATTGCAAAATCTCAATCAACCGGAAGGAAATAATCGAATAAGGAAGTTTCATACAGCAGTCACACGTACCATATCTCCGGAGGCGTCGAGGGGCAACACAACGCAAGGACTCCCACCACGAAAGCATTTCAAAGTAATTAACTAATCCAGCAGCATAGGGTACTCAGAATATTGTTAACAAGCTACCGATATTGCACCTTCGATGCAACAGATCATAGTCCCATCGAAATCTCCATAAAGCAAGCAAAAATACTCCGGGAAAAGCTATCTATCCATACATCACTTCTCCGAAATACGCACATTTCCTCCGTTCAAAAATCTCGATTCATCGCATCAATTGCGCTTACGCCTCCATCGACAAGCTCGAGGAAGACAAGCGTCCGACGGCAGTGGAAGACGAAGGGCGTCTACGCCTAATTGAATTGATACTGCAGTGAATAAATGAATGAAACCATAAAAGTCCATGAGAGGGGTATTTTCGTATTTTCACAATATTACGAAAATAATCGGTAAAGTTTCAGCTCGTCGTCTTAATCCTACACTAAAAATAATACAAACACACTATACTGCTTCGTCTGTATTTTTCTGCAAAACACACAATACAAATACAACAAAACTAAAATATCGATCAAAACTACAAACACACAAAAGCATTTGCACAAAATATATACACAACAACACCAGCCCACATCTGCACATCGCCATTGCCGGTTTTGCAGAAGCTGGAAGAAATATGCAGCATGAATAACGTGGGAGTCACGCGTGAGCTTCTGGGCTACCTCCCGGACACCAGATTTACAAGGCTGTGATTTCCATAGAAGTTTCCGACGTCCCAGTCTTCGGTCGCAGACGACAGAGTCATCAGCGCCACCACGATGGATCGCATGCTCGGTCTTAGCTGCGGAGCTTCGTGAGTGCACGCTCTCGCAAGTTGCGCCATCTGCAAGCATTCGATTCACAGTTACAATGCAAGACTTTTCGACGAAATGATAAAGTTATAACGACATCGAACCTTTTGGACCGAGTCGAGGGGGTAATTGTCGCCGAGTCTAGAATCAACCAGTTTTCGGAGGTCCTCATTTGGTTCAGGCTTAGAGAGAACTTCTTCAAACTAGCAAGAAAAGCAGATAATCCGGTGGGATAAATGACGAGTGTAAATATAGAACCGTAAATAAAAAAACGAGTGAAGAACAACTCACCAAAGCGACAAGGCCTCTTGAGTCTGTAGCAGAAGAGGCATCCTTAACTATAGCTTCTTTGGCTGAAATCAACTCATAAAGAACAACCCCGAATGCGTACACGTCTACTTTAGGAGAAACGTCGCCATATTGCGCATACCTGCGGAGATTCGTGGAGATGAAAATAAGTGAAACTTCCAGACCTTTCTTACATTAGCAAAGATGTGTTGATGTAACAACTTACTCGGGAGGCATGTAACCGAAAGTACCAACAAGTCGACCTGTTGGGAGCGAATTACTTCCCACTTCAGTCAGTTTCGTTAGTCCAAAATCTGCAACCTGCAAAACGAATTAAGATATGTCTTACAAACATGTACATTTATGCGCGACAACAAGAGATTCGGTGGGGAACAACCTTTGCATGGAAGTTTGTGTCTATCAGAATATTTGCCGGTTTGATATCGCGATGGATGTACACAGGGACGGTGTGTTCGTGAATATATTCAAGGCCTCTTGCCGAATCAAGAGCAATTTGCACCCTAGTCGACCATGGCAACGGTTCCCTGCCTGGAAAAGCACACAATGTAGTTACTAGTTTTCTGTGAATGCCAAATTGTTGTCCTGTCGAATTTCAGCATACCTGAACTTCGGAGATGTTGACTTAAGTTTCCATTCTCGATGTATTCATATACGAGGAACAAAGAGCCCTCGACGCAGTATCCTATCAAGCGCACCTACGCAAAAATAAATAACAAGTTCAGAATAGCGACGTAAGCAATCACGTAAATCAGAGAACGGAGATTCGAGATAAATCCAATACCAGATTGAGATGGTGAACACGTGTCAAAACCCGAAGCTCGGCAAGGAACTCTCTATCAGCTTGCATATCCATTTTCTTGATTGCTGCTTTCTGCACAAACACGCGATAAATCTAAATAGGTATCCCACAAAGCAAAATGATTGCTGATCCGATCGTTTCATAATTTTTTTAATGCCGAATATATCAATGACTATTTACATACCTCGCCGCGCAGCTCAGCATAGTAGACTGCACCAAATCCACCTTCCCCAATCTTATTTGCAATACTGAAATTATCAGTTGCTTTTGCAAGCTCATCGTATGGAAACTCAACGGATTTTTCGACAGTAATTCCCACAAGAGGAGAGGACCGAGTACCAGCAGAATCTGTTACGAGAGATTCGTGATTCCATACAACAGTCGAGATAAAAGCAAGGGGAATTATATAACGGCGAAACCATCGAAGCAAATAGAGAATTGTATTGAACTAGCTATAGTTAATCATCCCAATTAACTCAAATGATTGCAACAAAAAAAGAATTGCCATTACCAGCTTGTAGAGAATGATCTTCATAGGACGATGATGACGACAGAAATTGAACCTTTTTGGCGTTCTTCCTTCTTCTCAAAACCACATATAAACAGCCAGCAAATAAAGCCACTGCAACGACTGCTGCAACAGACACTCCAGCTATGGCTCCAGTCGATAGCCCTGAATATCAATCAATACAAGCACATCGAAAGCAGAAAAATGAACAATGTCCACGAATATTATTTGACACATAATTTAAAATGGATCAAAAAAAAACAGTAGAACCCAAGGAAGAAGGCCACACCAGATCGGCTGCTGAAAAGGAAGATAAATAACATCGGTTAGATCATTACACAACGTTACACGACACTTAAAAGGGTGCCGCAATCAATACAAATATCCATAACACTGTTATAATAGTGTACCTGGGGATCAAAGGCGGATAATTTCCATTCTGGTCTGCATAAAAATAGGAAAATCTTCATCAATACAGCTTAAATTAACCCCAAAAAGCACCAACATTGTCGAAAACATAGGATACAAACATCAGATATAACATCCAAGCCTATGTTGTAGATCAAACTAATCAATGGAGATTTACCAGTTTATTCAATTCAGCAGAATTCCAGGGACAAGATCAAACAACATTCTTACAAACTACCATAAACCAGCAAAAAAGCTCGAGGAAATCAAGAAAGACGAACAGAATCAATTACCTCTCCCCGGAATAAAAATCACACCACTGTCAGAAACGTTGTTGCCCGAATTATACCTCCTCACCAAATCCAAACTCAAAAAATTACTCGCCGTCACCGATTCCAACGACTCTCCGGACCTCAACGGATAAGTGACGAACAATCCGTACTCCGGCGACACATTCTGGTCGCCGCACGTGCAATTCACGGGGACATTGATGTTGACGCCGGTGTCGGGAATGTTCCAGGCCGGATAAGTGTTGAACGCCTGCAAGCTGTCGATAGTGGTCAAATTGGAATAGTAGGTCCGCGCGATTAGGTCATAGGTGTCGCCGGAACTGGTCGAGAAGTTGAATAGGTGGCCGAGATACTGCCGGCTCGGCAGGCAACCGCAGGAGAAGGGCACGTTCACCCTCGTGTCGGCGAGCACGCTGTCCTGATTAGGGATTTGAGGGTTGTAGCTGAGGATTGTGGCGATTTCGACCTGCATCATCTGCGAAACGAAAGAGAGATTCGATCCCCGCCACACGTAGTAGGAACCGAGGGCGGTGCAGCGGCGGGAGCACTGGCCGTCGGCGGCGGAGAGAAGCTCCAGGAGGAATACTCCGATTAATAGAAGGATCGAGAGCTTCATGGATGGATTGCAAGCATAGAGATGGTTTTCTTCGCAATTAATTTTGTAGTTTGATCTTTTGGGAATATTCAGCGCCGTTGACTTGGGGTATTGTACGCAGAATTCTGTTCTCCTTTTGCTGTCTTCTTCTGTCAGTCTGTTATGTTGTGTGTTATTTATTTATTTTTATTTTTTAGTTAAATATAACAAATATCGAGTGTATGAATTATTGATACATATTTGACCAATTAATTTGAAATTTTCTTCCATATTGCATTTGCACCTCGCCTTCTTTCTTTACTATTCCTATTCCTATTCCAACTTTTATGTAACGTCTGTTGACTGTCTGTCAGTCTGTCAAATGTGATGCCATTTCTGCCCTTTGCCATTCTTCATTTCATTTCGTATCACTATCAAATGAAATTTTGTTTACTCAATCAATCATTTGTTAATTTCCTTACCATTCGTTGAAATTATTTATTTTCATTGTAACCAACATTAATATTGCACAGACCAAAAGGCTTACGATCACTAAACTATCAACAAATAATAATAGGTGTTTTTTACCAAGTGACGTGGGATGAACTCGTGAGGTCACGGATCAAATAGTGAATATTGAGACGAGCAAATTACATTTTTCAAGAGACAGGAGGAGACTTGAGAGCCATCAACGCGACCACAACGGATCGCATAGTTAGCCGTTGTTTGGGATTTTCACGAGTACAAGCTCGAGCAAGCTCAGCCATCTGTAAATAGACAACTAACTATTCGGCAATGCATTATGAACATAGGAGAATAAGTTAGATAAAATGTTGCAAGAACCTTTTGGACCGAGTCGAGGGGGTAATTGTCACCAAGTCGAGGGTCAACCAATTTGATCAAGCCCTCCGTTGGATTACACTTACCAAGAGCTTCTTCAAACTACAAAACAGATACTCATCAAACCAAACCAAAAATTGTAGTATAGGTCGATGCGAAGAAAGTTGAGAACGATGTACCAGAGCAACAAGGGATGTAGGAGCTGCAGCAGAAGTAGCATTTTTAACAATGGCTTCCTTGGCTGAGATCAACTCATAAAGAACAACACCGAAAGCATACACATCTACTTTAGGAGAAACCTCATGGCCCCGAGCATATCTGCCAGCAGAATTAAGGAATGAAAATTAAGGAATAAGAGTCGATCCAATCTTGTTGAATCAAAGAAGTGACGATGAAGAGCAAAGATACATAGTAACCACATTTATCTAGTTCTTGAAAGTTAGAAAACTATATATGATCAAATTCCAAGTTCCTACTATGGCATAGGTTGGAAACTGCTATTTTTCGAGATATATAGATGAAAGAAACAATGAAGCCAAGATGAATTTGCTTTCTACGGACAGGGTTGAGGACTAGTGAAGATTATAATTTGTGAAATTATAGTTCCCTGGATAAACTAATTGATGTCAACAAACGCCTATGAAAATGCATCGGTGTAAGGGTCTTACTCAGGCGGCATGTAACCAAATGTGCCTTCAAGTCCACCTGCTTGCACTGAACCACTCCCAGCTTCGGTTAGTTTTGTTAGACCAAAGTCGGAAACCTACAAAACAATTGGTTAGATGTGCTAAAAGACTACAAAAAAAATTGTATGCACAATGACAGTTAGAATGTGAGTCGACCTTCCCACGAAAGTATTTGTCTATCAAAATATTTGATGGTTTTATGTCTCGATGGATACAGACAGGGATTGTGTGTTCATGAATATATTCGAGACCTCTAGCTGAGTCGAGAGCAATTTTCACCCTTGTTGACCATGGCAAGGGATCCATATCTGAGAAAAATTGCAACATAATAAACAGTGTGTGATGACACCAAATAGCAGTCGCCTTAATGCATATGAACTCAGCACACCTGAACCTCGAAGATGTTGGCTTAAGTTTCCATTCTCCACATATTCGTATACAAGGAAAAGAGACCTTTCAACAGAATATCCTAGCAAGTGCACCTTTGTCGAAATAAAATGAACTAATCAGCAAGAACAGGTAGTTCATTAAAATCACTAACAAGTTCAGAGTTGCTCTACAGCCACAAAAGATATTACATATTAAAGTTTTTCGTAAGCTGCATAATGTTTATCATCAGGATCAGAACCAAGAAAGAAGACTAACAGTATCTGCACTATCCTTACATGTGCAATGATATCTGTATAAATCAACTAGAAATTTCATTGGGGACTCATTTCACTTAATGAGATGTGCCAAGTAATTTATAGGGGGTTATCGAACTCTCAAAGCAGAGAAAACTCGGAAACATATACCACAAATAAAAGTGCAAGTATATATGGTGGACTGCATTTAGAACAAGTGTTATCAGCAAGTTCGTTCAATTATCAAGGTTGTTTTAAAACCGTGTAGTTGTTTGGGTGGTTTGAAATACATGTCTACAAACAACATTCCCAGATTTCAATACCTAAGCCCAAATACATCGCAATTGAGCCAGCAGTTGTTGAAAAGTGTATTAGAAAATTACCAGGTTGACGTGATGAACATGTGTCAAAACCCTCAACTCAGCAAGAAACACTTTACTGGCTTGCAAATCCATTTTCTTGATTGCTGCTCTCTGCAAGAATACATCGTAGACAGAAACTATATAGATATCCAGAAGTTCGAAGTTATGCAAATGTTCACACATGACTGGCATGTGTTAAATTTAGAAAGAATGTACTAAATACAAACAACCTGATTGCAATAAAAACGTCTCTTTTCACGCAAAGCAACCAAACTATTACTAATTTTCTTACCTCACCTCGGAGCTCAGCATAGTAGACTGAGCCAAACCCGCCTTCTCCAATCTTATTTGCAATACTAAAGTCATTGGTGGCCTTTGCCAGTTCATTATATGAGAACTCAACTGAGTTTTCAACAGTAATTCCTGTAAGGACTAGAGATGCTCCATGCCAGAAACCAGCAGAATCAGGAACTTAATTGCAGGTTTTTAATTATCAAATTAAGTAGATAAAGAAAATTCAATTTCGAGGTAGAAATATATTATAAGTCCCTTTTTCTCTGTGGAAATGTTTCTTAAGCATTAGGCTGACAACAGAACACAATATGTTTATACCTCTAGCAACACATCATCTTAAAATAGCCAATGTGTCTTTGACTTTAATGAGAACCAAATTTACTCGCCAATGTGTCTTTGACTTTAATGAGAACCAAATTTACTCGACGAAAATTTTCTTTGGTGGAATAAAACTCAACAAGACCAATTGTGTTTGTGTTTATACGCCTGAAGCCTCTTTGCCAGAATATAAAGAAGCATCAATTACTGTGCAGGAACACGACATTGCCATCCAATGATTTCTCTAACCAACATTCAATTAGTTTACCAAAAAGCAGCCATCAAGAAAAACATTGGCAGACTATGAACACGCACAACCATCCCCATGATATTCGAGTAGAAGAAATTTGTAATCGAATCAAACACAAAGTTCAAAAAGAAGACCCAAAGAGAATTTATACAATTATCAAAGAATAACCATTACCACCTTGTTTCATCTGATTTTCATGGTCTTTTGAAAGCAACTGACTTTTGTGTGAGTTCTTCCTTTTCAAGCTCATATATAAGCAGCCTGCGAAGAAACACACCCCAACTATTCCTGCAACTGCTATTTCAGCTGTGGCTCTGCTTGACAATCCTAAATACAGACATCACAAAAGGATTGTAGATGTACTAAGAATTTTCAGGGTTATCGTTGATTGTAAATAACAAGCTTTAAAACATGAGCAGGTCGGGCCACCTTTGCTGCAAGGAGACAAAAGAAAGGAACAAGTTAGATCAGTATAGAAAAACCAAATCAAATCCTAGCAGAAAAAATCATGCTTTCTTATAGAGCAATAGCTTAAAACATACTGCCGGGACTTCAGAGGCCGGAAACTTCCATTCTGGTCTGCATATAGATCAGAAGATTTTAATCATGAAATGAGAAAACTCCGAAAAAAGATGGCACCAGGAAACATGACCCCAACCTTTTATTCGAAAAACTCTTAACAAGATGATGACAATGGATAGATACAACTCTTGACATGTTGCATATGTATAGGCTCTAAGACATTCACACAAATGCAAAGAAACAGTGTATTTTAATACGGTGCCTACCAAAAGCACCCAACTCATTTAATCTCCACAAAGTCTAGTTCGATAAGAATAGAAAAGTTTTTGAGGTTTGAAATGGTGATTCTCTGCACAAAATCAAATTCGGCAAACTAAACTAATCTTCACTCGCTTTTGTCCCATTCCATATTCAAGTGACAATCATTACATTTAACCAACATATGGCTGCTCTCATTTCAACATTACTGAGCTCCATAGACAATATCAAAAAAACATTATACAGTCTCAGTGAACAATGCAAGCCATTAATTCAATCAAATAGCTGCTAAGCAAACATTGTTCAAGTGATGCTTTTCTTCTCTACATTTTGACGAAAATTGAAACCCATAAAGTATTCAACTATTATCCCAATTCAAACTCAAAAGCATCTCTTTCATCACCAAGAATTAAGCCACCATGGCATCCCATGACTATTATAATATTCCAAGTTGGAGTGCGTTGAGAAGATGATCCAATATATTATAGTATCAAACAAAAAGCATACTGTGCTACTTCTAGCAATACAGTATCTCCGAATCAACAGCAACAATCAAGCACATATCATAATCGAGTTTCGAAAATGGAGTTACCGAAAAAGCCTTGAGCAATCACTCACCTCTACCGGGAATAAACACCACAGTATTGCCCGACATGCGATTGAACGACGGATTATACCTCCTTACCAAATCCTCACTCAAATTATTCTTCGCTGCCACGGACGGTAGGGTTTCCCCATCTATCAGAGGATAAGTGATGAATAATCCATAGTCTGAGGACACATTCTCATCGCCGCAGCTGCAAAGTACCGGCACCTTCAACGCGACGCTCGTCTTAGCAGTATTCAAGTCCAGATGAGCATTACTATTCTCCAACTTCTCCGCAGTCGTCAAATTCGCAAAATTAATGTTCGCAATTACGTCGTACGTGATGCCAGGAGTCGTGTTGAAAGTGAAGACGTGGCCGAGAAACTCGCCGCCTCCGAGGCAGTCGCAAGGGAACGGCACGTTCACTCGTGTGCTTGTGAGCAGGTAGTGCTGGTTTGTGATTCCAGGATTGTAACTCATAATTGTAGGGATTGAGACCTGCGCTGCGTTCGAAATGTTCTGCAGGAAAGTTCCCGGCAGGACGAAGTAGGAAGCTAGTGCAACGTCGCAGCCGCCGGTGCAGCGGCCGTCGGCGACGACGAATCCTCCGATCAGCAGAGCTTCGAAGAAGAGCAGCAATGAAACGCCAACCATTGTTTCAGCCATTCGAGGAAAATCTAATGCTGGCATTGATCATATGGAGGTATGGGTTGGCATCAAAAAGCACATTTTTTTTCTTTTCTGGGAAACAATTGAATTCAATTTGACTTGTCGTCGTTGAATCATATTAGTATAACTATGATTTTCAACGCTGAATCCTGAAACGTAATTTGGATTTGGTGGTGCTGTCATTAATGTCCTCGAACCACACTCAACTCCATAGTCTGCATTCATATGCATTCCAGCTACCAACTAAAAAATGATTTTTATTTTAAACGTAAAAAATTTGTATTTGAGCTCGTTTTTTTTTTTTTTTTAATTTGATATTTTGTGAAAATATACATATGTATATATATATATATGTAATATAATATTTTTTTTAAGAAAAATAGTATTGAGTGAAAATTTGTTACGTAAAAATTGTAAATTGGGATTTTGAACAATAAACGGAGGGGAAAATCGGTGTAGTAAACACAGGCACAGCTATATGTTTTATCGTTAATACATACGTATATATAAATGGGCCTACAGTCCATTTGGTTTTGAACAAATGCAGAGCCCAAAAGCTCTCCTCATTCAAGGACAGCGGCGCAGTGGAGTGGAGGCGGACGACGACGACGACGGTAGAGAGGAAGATGATGGCGATTTAGCTGCGCCAGCAGTTTTCGTTTGAACCTGAAGAATACATAGGCTCTCTTCGACAAGGTAATCACTTGAAATCGAGGTGTTCGATGCTGTAATGGTTGTTCTATGAACTACGAAGATGATTGAAATTCGAAGCTATAGGTTCGATTAACGCATTAATTTTGGTTTTCTTCAATATTGAAAGATGTGACCCGACGCACAATGGAACATATTGGCCACTGTGGCCGAAGGGTTTAAGGAAGGGTTTCATGTTCCGTTTGCATTTCCTTCTCCCCATTTCCATTTCAGGGAGTTCATTCTGATTTTTTCTCTTTATTGGAGATGATTTGACTGTTGTATTTGATTCCAGGTGGGATTTTAATCTGGGTTTTTCGATAGCTTTATTGCCTGGTGATTTGAAGATGGCATTGCCGATTTCAAGAAGGCTATTTCGAGCCTTGGGTTCTTTTGATTTTTCATCTGGACTTCTGTGTCGTTCTAGTGGTGGGTGTTTGGGCATTCTTGATTCTCGGAAGAAAAGACCAATTTTCTGTTTAATGATTGTTTCTTATATTATAGTGCTAGTATGTTTCGAACTTGCTGGTGCTGCATTCATTTCTATGCGTGATTCTTAGGAACAACGTTGTTTCATTTTTCTAAATCTTTCTTCTTTTCTTTTGGGTGGCTTTGACAACCGGATGCAGCTTTAAATCGTAATGGCCATGGAGATGGCTTGTATTCTAAACTGTATTCTGCACATGGAAAGGTAGGTCTTTAGAAACTCGAACATATATTTGCCAAAGTCTTCTAGAATTCATTTTAAAAATAAAACATACATTATAGTTTCTTCTTTTCTTTTCTTGTAATAGAATTTTATCCTACTTTTTCATTTGTACCAGGGATGTGGTGTTGCTCCCCGAATGTATTCTACTACTATTTTGACTCCTAGTTCAAGTGAGGGTGCATTTCCCTCAGAGCTGTTAGGTTCTAAGCAGGTGTTGACTCCTGATCGAAAACTAGGTACAACTATAGCCTCTTGAAAATACTCCTGGTCTTTTGTTGTAAGCAAATATTAATTTTTAGGGGTGCTTGCTGTTGGTTTATCCTTTTTATTTTATGTTATTTCTTTTGGTACCATGTTAACAAGCTCGTGCAATTTGTTTAATTTCACCTCTATCCTTGTAGGTTTGTATCAGGACCTTGTGATTCCAGTTTCAAATTTTTATGGAGAGGATAAGGGCCTAATGGTATTGGCTGGTGATGTTTTTGATGTACCAATCAGGAAAGATATTATTCATCGTGTCGTAACGTGGCAACTTGCTAAACGGCGGCAGGTGCAATATTTTCTATTTTGTTGGTCACTTTAATCACTTATTTCATGCTGTCATTGGTTGATGTAGCCTGTTTGAGACAAATCCGTTTCCGAACAAATATAAATTCCTTGGATTGCTAAAAGATATATAAGAAAATACTTCTGAACGTTGAACCGGGCACAACCCACATTATTTTTAATACAGACAAATTTTCCCCAGATTTCTAACAGATATTAATCCTTCATTTCTTTTTCCTAAAAGATAATAATATTTTGAAATATCATTATGGCTTATATCTCCATTCTGGTTTGCTAGTGTTTGGTGTTTGATGCATCCATTTGAAATTATTACAATACTTGTTGCTGTTTTGTTGGGTTTTTTTTTTTCCTTATTATCATCACTTTTTAGTTAATTTCTTGAATCTTGAATTATTCTCTTCTCATCAATCTTGCCTGACGATTTTAATTGTTGATTCGACTCCATGATTGAGTTAATTTTAAAAGCTTAGTAATTAAACATTCCCAAATTTCATTTAATGTCATTACAAGTTACATAGGCATTATGTTTCTTAGGGAACTCATTCAACGAAAACCATTAGTGAGGTCAGTGGGACTGGTAGAAAACCTTGGAGACAAAAGGGCACTGGTCGAGCTAGGCATGGAACACTACGTGGTCCACAGGTGAGATTGCTTTGCAATTTCTGTTTGCTTTCTGTACAATGAGAGTTTTTGACAGAGTATGACAAAATAGATTTCATGGTCAACAGTTCAGGGGTGGTGCTACCATGCATGGTCCAAAGCCCCGAAGTCACGCTATCAAGCTAAACAAAAAGGTCCGCCGTCTAGGGCTGAAGATTGCACTTTCTGCCCGTGCAGCAGAAGGCAAGGCAAGTACATTACATAAATTAGTACTTTAAGATTGATGTAGCTATAACATAGGTTGTCATCCATGCTGAATGACGTAGCTCTCTAATAATTTCTTTGCTAGCAATGATTAATGTATGGTTAATGTGAGAAATTCTTTTGCCCATAAGTATTGGACAAAACATAGATTATAGTCCTCCATATGCCTTGCTTCCACCTTTTATCTGCTGCTTTAATTGTCATCTTTTCACTAACTTCTAGTTGCTCTTCCCCTAGAAGAGTTGCAGATTGTATTTCATACAACTATTTTATCCTCCTAATATTTAGCTGCATGAACATTAGATTGTCAAAACTAACAGAATACTTCAAATATACAGCTTATGGTTTATGAGGATTTAGAGGTTCCATCCCACAAGACGAAAAACATGGTGAACTATTTCAATCAGATGGAGCATACCAAAAAGCTTTTACTGGTTGATGGTGGTCCAATAAATGAAAAGCTTAAACTGGCTACTCAGAATCTACATTACATCAACATACTGCCTTCAATTGTAAGTCCTGGAACTTCCTTTCATTGAGTGTTGAATGTGGGTCGGATTATTGTTGCAAATGTGTGTGTGTGTGTGTGTGCGCGCAATTTTCTTTCTTTCATTGTTTTTGAACCATGTGCATGGGCTACTAGTATTTATTTCCCCCATTTCTGAAAGTTGTTTTGATTCTTCTGCGCTTTGACATGGAACAACAAAAATATTGTGGCCTAAAATCATTTTCTGAATAAGTGTTAATTAGCCATGGTGTGCACTCAATTAGTTATTTTCCGGTGATTTGGATCATGCAATTCATTGTATGATCACCCTTCCCCCTCCTGCTGCAGGAATTAATCATCTTTATCTTCAATTTTCAGGGTCTAAACGTTTATAGCATTCTGCTGCACGACACCCTGGTAATGTCTCGAGATGCAGTGAATCAAATAGTTGAAAGAATGCACACTCCAATTAATCGTTGATGAAGATCTAGTTACAGAGCTTTGGTAGTTAGTTGATCATGGTACCATATCTTCAACCATGCCAAGTTTTTTTTATCTGGACAATTTGCGCTCAACTTGATTATGCATATTTTATTCAGGGAAGCTAATAAGGCTTGCTCACATCTTGCTGTTTTCTTATTATTACGTAACTGAGGATCTATTGTTGATTATTTTTGTTATATGAACAAATCAGATAATCTCTACAGTTATTTCTTGCAAATTCATGTCGATACACTTACATCTTTGTTTTGTTCTTGGTTGGCTCATACTATATATCGTGATGAGTAAGTATGTACATCATAATTATTTGATGTGATGTATTAGAGAAATAATCGATATCTTGAATAGTTAAGAAAAAGAAAAGTTCGGAAGTGTAGGGTGTATTTGGGGAGTTGATAGTTACAACTCAACAAAGCAGTCATTGCAATAAAGACTAGGAAGACCTTCAACGTCTCTATCAGTCATGAAATTCAATCAAATATAATTGCATACATGTTTAGATGTATGTCTATATATATATATATATATATATAAATTCATCGAATTCAAATATCACATTCTACATTCATAAATTTTACACTATGACATGTTATTCCTTTCGCCTCATTTTGATTACAGTTGCAGTCGCAGCTCTAGCGATCATTTTGAGCAGTTATACAAATGGTAAGATGGCTAATGAGTTCACTTCAGATAAGCGTAAAGTTCCTTCCGGATCAAATCCTCTTCACAACAAATAATACGATGTCGGGAATACATTTGTGGTTTGTTTCTTGAATTTTACTCTTTATTTTTCTCACTCTCTTGTGGATCATATACTTATAGTGTGTGTAGAACATTAGTTTGTGTTCTACTACATAGATTTGGTAGTCATTATACGATTGATTAGAAAAGTTCTATAAACATATATGAGTGTGGTGTATTTACTTCACTATAAATAAATATAGACTTGTTGGTTTTCTTATTAAAATCAAATTTTCTATTCTTGAGTAGGAAAACTCGAAACTTATGATACAGAACAGATTTTCAAATTTAATGCACATCATTTTTGTAATACCTCCAGAGTTGGGTCGATATTAGGCCAATTCTCGAGTATGGATGAGCCGGTATTAGGCCATCCAAGAGTAAATATAAGTTAAATAGATTGAATAAATTATTCAGGTCAATAATGTGAACAATTTTTTTTGAGAGTCCTACTAAAAAAACTCTAAAATAAGATGTGCGTCTACGATCCCGACACGCGTGGCTTGCGGGCCAGGTGTCACAATTTTGCTTGTACATATGAATTTTTTCTAATGATAAATAATGTGTTAATATGAAATAGATCAAGCATTTAAATGTTAAGATTATTGGTGGTTTAAAGCACTCATTTAGTGTATTAAAATTTTGTTACATTTTATTGAAATAAAATTATTGTTAGAATTAAATTTCTATAGCATGGAGAGGTGTCATGAATCTTCAATAGTTTCATATATTTAAAACCGCATATCATATGATTATGGCCGACATTTTGGTTATAAATTTATTTATTTAATAAAAATTGTTAATCATAAAAACAATCTACTATGCATTTATAAACATTATATCCAATAATACGTGAGCATTGATTTATTAAGTTTTTTTTATTATTATTATGTGTATTATATCAACTTTTTTTTTCCTAAAAGAAATTATTTCTACATATAATAAAATATAACATACATGTCCAACTTGTAGGTATGGACCCTAAATAATAAAAATACTATCATACAATCAATTGACTAAAATTGCCGGTATAACATTTAAATATAATTTATAGATGTTATAAATAACAATAATTAGTATTAACAGTCATAAGATTCTTGATGTGATTAAACAAAGATAAGTATGCAACAAGTTTGAAAAAAAAATATTGCAGAATTAGACTGATTACCTGCCCACTTTCTTCAATAAATGAAATTTTGGGCACAAAATAATTACAATTTTGAATGTTTAGCATTCATATTATACATAAATAAAGCAAACATACACATACATGTATCTAGTGGATGGAAATTCCAACGGTTCACATGCATTGAGATTATTTTATTATATTTTTTTTTTTGGTAGTTTGTAAAGACGAGTGTGTTTGTTTGGTGAATTTTTCCCCAAATACATTATTCTATCTCATTTTTTTACTCCAAAAACATCAAATCAAACACCTATTTTTTTACTTTTTATATTATACTAAAAATCAATTTTACATTCAAAATATCACATCAACACCCATTTATGTCAAATCATACAACTATTCAAATTCAAAATTTTTACTATTCAAATCTCAACTCAAAATTCAAACCACCAATCAAACACAGATTACTTTGGGTACAAAATTGGGCCAAAATGGTGTGAAATAGATTATCCATGGGAAATGGATAATAATAAGATACTATTCACAAGCCCATGTAGTAATATGCATTGCTTGATGGAATCATTTTGTTTTGATAGATTTACTGTTCAATTTTAACAGCTAACAAAATCATACGAAAATTTGGTGTATAACTTTTCAAACTATATATTACATACGTACATACAAAAACAACATAATAGATGTAAGATCATTTTTTTAAGAGGAAGAAGTTCTCACACCTAATGTTCTTGACAACTCCTTTATCAGAGGCTTTTCTTTCAAAGATTTGTCCTTTTCCATATGCCATTTCTGAGATGCATCCTCAGCCTGATCAAATCAAACCAAAACAAATTGGGACTAATTAATTAATTAAACAGGAAGATTAATTACTTACAAGAATATTGCAATTTGATTATATCATTATGACTTATGAGAGAATCTATCTATCTATCTATCAACATCCAATCCAGCCTACCCAAGTTCTTAAGGGCCCTAATTGCTCTTTAAATGTTTCGATCTTTGGTTGCATGAAATCCTTCCCTTTAGTCCGAATGTCGTCGGCCTGAAAATTACCCAAAAAAAAAAAAAAAAACATTTAACTTGAAGGGGATGCAAAAACAGCAAAAAAATAATAATTAAGATAGTAGTAAATGCTATGAGATAAAGTAGAAGATGGATATGTATTCACGGAAAGTCGACGCCACTATACTCGTGCAATCCTCGAAGAAATTTACATCCTAAACTACACACAATTAGCACCGATATAATGTACTTCGCAATCATTTGGACTTGCTCAAGACACCGCATGATGTAACAACATCATCATAATTGTGTGTAAATCATGTCCCTGTTGTATTGAATTGAAGCAACAAACACATACTTTTTTCAATATTGGATTCTAACATATGTCTGAGTAATATTAAACCCTATCTCTCCCTTCTTCTAATCTCTACTTTCAATTTACTAAATGCAAGAAACTGGAGCATACTTTTCTTACTTCTAACATAGTAAATAAAACGAAAGGATCATCACTTGGAAATTCTTAAATGTTACAGCAATATTCTAATGATTGACAACTTACATACAAACTCGTAAAAAGAGAGAGCAAAATAACAACATACATCTCTGCACACAGTGAATATATCGAAAAACCATATAAACAAACGAAGTTGATGTTCTTAGAAATATACTTACGTTGTGCATCTCAAGCTTCGATGCAACCAGCCCAAAGAACAAGGAAACACCACCGAAGACAATAGCAGTAGCAATAGCAAAAGCAGATCCAACTGTCGAAAAACAAAACAGCAGTCAGTTTTCAAATTCATGATTACAGAAGAATAAACAGTTCGTATAGAACTGTTCTGAACCACAACTTACTTCTTGATAGCCCTAAAGCTGCAGCCTTCAGCTTTTCGGGGTTGATGGGAGCATGCTTGTCTTGCCGTAAATCATTCGCAGTCGATGCTACAATTGAGCTCTCAGAATTCGGCAGCTGCCATCTGCATTTCAATCAGATGTTTAGTTCATCAGTGCTGTGACAAAAATGAAAGCAAGAATCGACAGAAATTCTCACACAACAAATGCTGCAAACTCAACCAACAAATTGAAAAATAATAAGGCTTGAACTAAAAATCAATAACGAAAATTCTGATCACAAATATCAGAGATAAACTTTTGATGCAGGTGAACTACTGCTGTTCTTAATTATCTGTAGCTGTGGTTCAGTTCATGGAGGATTCTGAAATATAATACTCTGTAAGTTTAATTTCAGTGAAGGAAACTAACCACATCAAACAACCTTACCAAATTTGTGCAAAAATGGCGGTTCAATCGCCATCAAAAACCCTAAATCAAAAGGGTAAGAATCTGCATACCTTTTGGGACCAAAAGTAACTTGCGGTAGAGAAACATAAGCCGTAAGAGGGTTAATAGCGTCGGCGGAAGCAACCGACCCGGGCGGCCTATTCGGGTCGGATTTCAGAGCCCATTTGGAGGCCTTGGAGAAGGAAGACGGGGAATTGTCGTCGGGAGAATGAAAAATTTTGGAAGGCAAAGAGTGGCGGAGCACCTCCGGAAGAACATCGGCGGATGGAATTCCGGTATTATTGGCCTGGATCGGGCTGCCGGAGGTGTTCTGGAGGACTCGGGCGACGGCCTGTTTGGATTCCTTGAGGAAATAGGAGCCTTCTTTCGCTGCCGATCTTCCCGCCAGGAAATTCATCCCTTTGATCCGATCCTTTTTATGTATATATATAAATGAAGTGTGGTTGATGGATGCGGATGTTGCAGTGAATCGGAACTGATAAATATGTTGATTTTCACTTGGGGAAGAAGTAATTGTGCCGTTGAAACTGTGGAGGCTTTTGTTTATTAATCTAATGGTCAGAGTCAAAGGTAAGAATGAATTTGCTGTACGAACTTACATATTTTTATTAGGTACTACAATGAAAATGAATGCACTTTTGAAATTTTTTACATACTTATTACTGCTACTTCCGTCCCACATAATTTATTTATATTTTTTATTTTCGTTCATTCCACATAATTTATCAATTTTTTTAAAAAAAATTAATTATACACTTTAATCATATTTTAAAATTTAAAATTTAATTTTTTTAATCTTAATTAAACTACTTAGTTATCTTAATCTAAATCTATAATTATTTTTACGTGTATAATAATAGACCCATGTTACATGGGACGGAGGGAGTATTTTTTTAATACTCATTATCATTTCCTAGTAATTGTACTTGCATCGGGCAGAGGGAATACATATTTTCTCTTTCAAACTATCAATAGCTAATTAACTCGAATTTATTTTAACAATAATGGTTAGAAAATGTGTTTCGGTGTTACATTATCGAATTGTTACAACAGTGAACAAACTCGATGATGATTTTATGATTTATATTTTTAGCTTAACAATTATAATATACTATTATATATTCCTTATTAAAAACTATAAACTATGTAGTAAAAACAATCAAAATAAGCAACATTTTGATTAGAGTAAAGACAAGTTCTTAATTGTCAAGGTTTTAGAGAGAGTACATTTTAATAGGTGAACATACATACAAGATTTCTTCTTTTTATGTTAACTTGTGTTTTGATTTTACTTTTTAAATTTAAAATAGATGTTTGATAGTGGGAAAGAAATATGTATAATTCATGGTGATACTTTATTCAAATTATTGTATGTAGATTAATAATGGCAAAATTTTCAAAAGTATCTTTGCATAAGAAGATCAGAATCAGTGTGTATTAATCTCTGTAAGTTAACTGAAAAGAGCATTTCTATTCCATTAAGGAACTAGGAAATAAGGAAGGAATGCAGAGGAGCATGATGTTGTAATAAAAAGCACAAAAAACAAACACTTAGAGCAAAGAAAACAACAAAAGTGCAGATTGCAGAAGAAGACATGAATATAATAATAATAATAATAATAATAATGTCGTGTGTAGCAAAGCAAGCAAATAATTAACAAAGTTACCCATAAATTAGGTGAAGAAATCCAATAATCCAATCCCTCTGCCATTCATTCATTCATTCATTTATCGTCATCAAACTCGTCCCATCGATCCAATCCATTTTTACATCGCCTCTGCAATGTACAATTTCATCATACAATAATAGCCATAACAACAACAACAACAACAACAGCACCAACCCTACTATGCAAGAAGAACAAGGGGTGTGGGTGTCACTGCATGATGATGCACCGTAACTCTCAACATCAGCTTGCCTCATCTCATCTCTTTCGCCGTTTTGGCTGCACCTATTTCAGAAAAATATCCAAAAATAGTGTGTTGGCTTTTATAGAGATGCTTTAAAGGGCAACCAATATAATGTTAGATAATATGCAAGTAAATAAATAGAAATAAGAATGTAATCTTTGATTGATAATGATATCGCCACAAAGACCAAAGTTGTGAAATAAACCAATAGATTTTTTCCCATATTCGAGAAGCTATGCGGTAATATAAGTATCTTTTTCATAATGTTCAAATAAACTGTCAAAACATCTCATCACCCCCAAAAGATATGTTTCTTTCATTCATACATTTTTACAATTTTCAAGTATCAAGAACAAACGTATTCCTTACCTTTGCCTCAGTAGCTGAAGATTCAGGGAATGAGTTCAAGGACCTTTTCGTCTCATCATCGGATAAGCAAACAGAACACAAGAACTGATCCAACTTTTTTGCTTCTTCTATGGTCATACTCATGCAGGAAGGATGAAACCTTCAAAAAAAGCATCAAGATAGCCAATCAACAGAAACATAAAAAAAACAAGTCAATCATGGCATTTTAAAGGGGGAAAAAAATATTTATAATGTGGGGTAATGGAGTCAAAAATGCACAAAGTGACTATTTCCCAGTCAAGAACAATCATATGCTGGATGCACTACATATAGTCTTCTTGAAAGTCATACTTTAGGTAACTATAAATTGAAAGCAAAAATACTATAATATTGAGTTCAGCAAGGGGTGAACAAACATGAAAATGTAAAAGAGAACTTGGAACTTACATGATGGTGCTTCAAGGGTAAGTATATTTTGAATGCGAGCATTGTAAAATTAATTCATCATTATCATTTGTTTAATATACAAAATGTAATCAAAGTTTAGTACACAATTTTTTCAGAAATAAAATTGCATATGCTTTAACTCCCATCAAATTTTACTTGGAAATGCTGTCAGAAATAACATTTGCCATACTTAACAATGGAAACTAATGGGGCAGCTGCAATAAAATGATTACATTTACCGTATTCTATTTTCCAATATAGGTAAAAGAATATTATATTAAATCCTATTATAATACAACGCTTAGACACATACAAACAAAACTTATAATACCCAACATTTCCGCTTGTCATACATTTAATCTCACTTATGGAACAAAAAGCTATGAAGGTTAGTGATGTGGACTTTATTTCAGCACACTAAAGACTTTAATGCGGATTTCAAACTTACCCGACCATTAACTTATTATAGAAAACCTGAAACTGTAGGTCACCGTTTGATTGGTAGTCTATAAAACTATGAACAAAACAGGAACAATAAGTCTCACATTTGGATAATCGAAAACCGTTATACATCTAAAACATTGAGGAAACATTGATCATCGGAAAAACCATGTTATAAGAATCAGACTAGCTACCATACCAGTCTTTACATCCTTCACATTGCACCATGAGATCATCCGGGTTATAAGGCATCTCGCACTTACAATAACTTCAACAAAAGGAACACAAAAATGTGTTATCATGATGCACTTTCAGCTTTATGGTTTATATTTATCAACTGATAATTGAAATAAAGAATATTAAAAATATTTGAGACTCACACAGCAACACGATCAGGAGTGAAGCTTCCGGTGGCAGCCTTATACTCAAACCGACAAAAATAATCCTCCGTTCCCACATTCTCAAGTTTGGTGTAGTTCTTAAAGGAATGCACCATGCACTTGCCTTCAATGGTGTGGGCGCTTTGTACATCAAAGTGGTCCGATAAGAAGAGTTCCTTGGCCCCATGGAATTGCCTACGGCCGCCAATGGATTCCTCAGGGCGGTAATACCACCTTACTCTCACTTTCACATTATTCCTGTGATCGGCCTCTATTTTCTCAACCCTCGCAACATATGGCTGCTTGTCTGATTCGGGCGGCCTCATTAACACACAATCCCCAGCTACAAGGGACATGACACGTGTTAATACGAGACAAATCACACTTGTAGATATCAGCAAGAAAAACATTTTCTATTTAAGTCCATTCATACGGTGAAATTAATTTTATTTCCATAAACGAAAGCTGATTGCAACAATGCAACAACTTTCAAGAATGTTAGTCCCACAATATATTTGGAATACTAAGATTGACTGTAAAATAGCATGTGAGACATAAGCCATTATTGCCATTCATAGCCTATATTTTTCCAGCTTAAATACCAGTTTAATTATAGGACTAAAATTACTCAAAAGTGAAATGTTTCCTCCACAAAAAAGCTATCTCTGAGTTCCTAGATACACATTACAGAAAAAACAATAATAGTTGTAAGCAAGATAATTAAGAGTGTGCAAATAAGCATATAAACACATTCACTCTTCAGTAGTTATTTCTAAGTGCAGTAGTGTAGGATTTGGCATTTATAAAAGTGTATGCCCATCTACAAGCATTTCATAGCTTCCTTAAATAATGCTATTTTTTTTTAACAAGAAACTCCAACGCCCCATTTACATCCAAGTTGAATCAGCATTTCAGATTGAACACAAATTGGAACACATGAATACCAATCCAATAGTTCACAAGGATCATACCCAAAAGCTTCGAATGTAGTGCCAGCACAAACTAAAAAGATAAAAAAAAAAAACACGCGTGTTTCAGCAACAGACAGTTCAAGAATTAAAACAAAAAAGAAAAACCTAAAAAAAAAAAGAAACAGAACAACAATAACAATTGGAATGAACCAATTTGTCAACCAACGAACGACGCTAGAAATCAAAACCCTAAAAAAGGACACTGAAGCAAAGAACAAGGAGTGAAGAGAGAAATTACGTCGGACAACTTTGTTGGTGCCTCTAATTGTGTAGGAATCGAGGTCTTTCTTTCCCGGCTTCGTCTTCGCCATACGGAGGCGGCGGCGGCAACTGGAACGGGAGGAGTGGTAGCAGATTACAGCGGGGAATCGAAGCAAGCAGATTAGCAGAAACCCTAATTGCCGAGGGAAATGGGGAGCGGTGAAATTGGTGTCGGAGAAATGGGATTCAGTGGTCTGTCCACTCGCAGCTTTCTTTCCTACGATAATAAATATAATATACTAATAAATAAAATAGTACAAATACGAAATACACAGAATTGTACAATACTGTATCTTATTTCGGGGGGTCCCGGATTCTTGGTCCAGTCAGCGTGAACCATTGATGATGTGGGTCCACCTTCGACGATGTAGTCTTCTATGTATTGGATTTGTTTGTGTAATATTTTAGTTTGCAGTAAATCTTTTTATATTTTTATACGGCTGCTATAAGAGTCTTATTTCTTGTAAAAAAAAATTATTCCCTCCCTCCCGTATTTATTTTTTTATTTTAGTATATCTTATAATAACTATTTTTTTTTAAAAATAAATTTATATTAGACAAATATTATTATTTTTTATCACATTTTATATATATATATATAGTCATTTATACTTTAGAGGGGATGTAACTACTATCCTTACAAGTGCAAGAAATATTTCCGAAAGCCATATCACATGCTCCTTCAGTCTCGTGACTAAAGATATTGTGTAATAGTAAGGCCATCTCCCATTTCCAATTAATATTAATATCATATTCGTGACGCTCAATTGTCTCCGACCTATGCCAAATTGCGCTGCTTCCTTTATTTTTTTTCAATTTTTATATTTTTCCTTTTAATTTTTAATTTTTTTTCTAATTTTTTTTTTAAAAATTATTTTAAATTATAAAAATAAAAAACTATTTAAAATAATAGAAAAAATTAAATATTTAAAAAATAATAGTAAAAAATAAATAAAATTACTGTAACAACTTATTTAAAATTTAAATTGGATAAATAAAATTTATGGATTGACAACTGAATAAATAAAGTTGATGAGTTGAAAAAGCTTATTTTGAATATATATATATATATATAATTAAGTTAGTTTAGAGGAACCAAAACATCTCATCAATCAATTGAAGCTAAACAAAAACTGCTAACACATAACTCAGTCCCCAAAAAAACGAATTATTTCCAACAAAAGAAAAGAAAAAGAAGTAGCCACAAATGCAATCAATTGGATTTGGTTTCGATCATAGTAACCATTAAAAAATATAAAATAAAAAAGCATCATGTAAACTGTATATATATATATATATAACCTGATCATTTTTTAATGGCTCGGCGCTGCTGCTGCAACATCCGTCACAGTTTCTGGATCACCACTGAATTGGCTATGCCGGCTTCGTCTATCGTCTGGTCGAGATCGGCGAGCTGCTTGGGCGGGAAACCCATCGTCTGCAGCTGGTAAGTCGTCAGTCCGCCAGGCCGAGATGCATCAATGAAGCTCCGGATATCTCTGATCGTGTGGTGATTGTTGAACCGCGAAACCATCCGGGTCCCATCAGCCAGTCGCAGCTGGATCGATGTGGACGGTCGGGATGGGTCCACGACCAGGCCAAGAGATGGCACCGGAGCAGTAGTCAGGGTTGTTGTAACAGAACTCGACTCCATCGGGGTTGTGTCGCTTGTTGTGCCTAGAGTTCTCCCAACACCTTGAAATGGAAGGCGCGACCTTTTCGGTTCCTGCACCAATGGAATAACAGCGTACGACTAAGAACGATGAATAATGCAGGATGGAAGCTGACAAAAGATTCGTAACAGAGAGCACAACCTTGTAGTCTTCATCCTTCCTCACAAGATTCACATGGACTGCAGTTCTCTTATCAGCCGGGGCAAGCTCCTGCGGGCACTCTGACTTCCCGATACTCTGCATTGTTTGCAAACGATGATAATAACCATACGGTTCGACTCCCAAGTTTTTACAAGAATCCAACACACATGAAAAAACATCCAAAATTAGCCACCAAAATAACAAAGGGGTGTTTAATTTTAAGGATTCGATTATATTATTTAATCATGGTTTAAGGGACTCATCTATGAGTTAGGATAGGATAATGATCAAAACTAATATAATAATCTCAGGCTAAGGACAATAAAAATTTTTAATCCTTCAAAGTAAATATGTGATTAGGAAAGATTAAAAAGTATTATCAACCCTACTCACTTAGGGTAAACACATCCCCAATGCATAAAGGAAGTCTACAGCAAATCATTGATTCTATCTTTCTATTCATATATCGGCAAGTTCAACTATGTGGGTAGGCAAAGAAAAAAAATATGCATTCATATCCTTTTGGAGCCACCGACTATACCATTAATATTGTTCTACTCGACTACTAAGACATACAACACAATATTCAGCAGCATAACGACACAGGATCTATAGCATAGCAAGCCAAGTTCTTCAGTGATCCCGGTCAGAGTAAGTTGAAATGAAATTATCTCTACGATGATTCTAGTAGATGAGAATAGAAAAACATAAAAGGGCATACCTCCAAGAAAGATGCATTCTGGGGATCATCCAGTCTCCTCAGAGGTCCGCCGTCTACAGTAAAGCCGTTTCTCCAGAAAGTAATGTTATGATTGACAGCTTCAGGATGCTGAGGAGGAGACGACGCCACCTCCCCAGAAAGTAGCCTTCCGGCTCCTGCAAAGCTCCTCGAGCTTGAAGAAGGCATGTGATGTTCAGCAGATGCTTCAACACCACCTGATTGTCGAGCCTGATTAAATATGGCATCAACATCTGTCGGCTTCCTTGGATCTTGAACAAGCATTCCACTGTAACACAGAATAACAAGGTTTAAGAAAATGTCTGCATCTTCAAAGAACAATTTCATTTGATAGTGTATATAAATGCACCCTAAATATATGAAATAACTTATTAGAAATTTACTTTTATGTTCAGAAACTTGAAATTTGTTTCTTTTTCGACTAACCTATATACAAAAAATTCACATCCAACACAACCCAAAACACCAAAAATTCCCAAACAGCAAGTAATCTTTTATGGATCTCAGAAGTCATCAGTAACTTCACTAAAATGCTAGGTAATCCATAAACCTGTCCGGAATTCGAATTCGACTAATAATATTTTCTTCTACAATAAACTGGAAATCAGATGAACACAAAACCTGACATTGCATAATCAAGAAAAACAATATGCTACAACAAAAGGAGGTGACTGATTCCATTCAAATGAACATCTGAGAAAAACTACTAAAGTTTTTTATAGTAAGGTAACTCGCATTTGCATAAAGTGGAACACATCGCACAGGGAAAATTAGACTAACAGATTATTTCTTCGAATTCAATCATCAAATTGCATTAGGGTTTCGATGGTATGCAGAGAAATTATTTTTTTATTTTTTTAAAGGAAAAGGAAATTAACCTTTTTTCTCCGCCGGTGTAGTATTCCTGAGGATCAAAATCGGGATCGCTATCAGAATCCTCGTCTCTAGGGTTACTATTCAGATCCGCCAAAGTCCTGATTCCACCATCCCCCGGTTTCCGCCGCCCGGACGCTGAGGCTCCAGTTTTCTTAGGGTTAGCGACGGAACGAAGATTATACGATCGAGAAGCAGGCGGCGGCGAAGGGGATCGGGAGCGAGGAGAAGGAGACGCCGATTCAGAAGGCGAGTAGTGAGACTGCGAAGGCTGAAGTGGAGAGCTCGGATTGGCGGCTGTGAGAGCCGCGGCATCGTCGTCGGCGGCGGGGTTAGTGCTATCGAGGAAAGTGGCGACGGCGGCGTCGATATCGAAATTGTGAGATTCGAGGAAGAATAGAGCCTCGGATTTGGAAGCGCAAGCGGTGATCTCGCAGAAGGTGTTGATGAGGGAAATCTGTGGGTGGGCGTCCGCCGGCGTCGACTGGTTCTCCATCGTCGGAGCGTTCTTGCTTGCCCTGCTCCAACCCTCTTCTCTTCTATATTAATAAATTAAATAGTAGTAAAAGATTAGACTATGAGCTGGAAATATTTATACAACTGTAAATTCTTAAAAATATAATATTAACAAAAATTTTCGGACTCGAATCTTTTTAAAATAAATAGAGTAATTATCCACAGATAAATAATAAGAAAATAATATCGGAAATATTTTTGCGATATTTTATAAAAAAAAAATTATATTTATATTTTTATTAAAGATTGTAGAAATAATTTTAAAATATCAAACAATCTTTTATATAAAATATTTAATATTTGTATAATTTTAATATAAATATACTCAAATAAATAACGAAAATAAATTTTTACCAATTAAAATCTTTTATTCTTATTTTTAATTTAATATAGTAATAACTTTTCTTTAATTTATATTTTTTACCATTTTTAAAAATAATTTATAATTGAAAAATAACATAATAAATAATTATACTAAAAATATTAAAAGTGAATAAATACGATTATATCTTACAAAATACGATCTCCATAATCCAGCTATTATTCATAGAAAAAGCCAGCGTGGCTTGCAAAATGGTTCGAGGTTGTATTTACTTTATATAGTAAAATTTTAAATTAAAATAATTATTTAATATGATATAAATATATATTTGTAAAATTACATTTTAATTTAGTAAAATAAATAAAAATTAAATGTTAAATTTGATGTTTTAAAAAAAATATATATATATATATATTAAAATAGTATAATAGGATAAAATATTACAAGTAAGCACACCCAATGAAATCTGTTTATAATGAATGCCCTGTTTTCTTTGAGACTGTTACTTTCGTATCCGTTTCCACTTTTCGGGTGGGTTTCTTTGATATAAAATTTCCAAACATTAAAAAATATTTGAGCGGTAAACAAACAGAGCCGCACAATGCAATTTGGAGGTCTTTTCTACAGCATATAAAAAGGTTAGTCTCATGCTAATGCTATATTCTGTTCATGTAATTGCTAATCTAATCAAACTGATAAATTGGATCTCTACAAGGCTCAAAAACATCAAATGAAATAGAAAACGAACATAACTCATAATGTACATTAACAACAAACAAACAAATAAACGTTCACCAAGGAAGCACTTAGGTCAAAACAATTGCTAGGAAACACACTCCATTACATCACAGATCAAATAAATTAAATAAATCATAAAACAAGGACACTTAAAAAATTGCATCCCCATTTAGGATACTCTTTTTTTAAAAAAAAAAAAAAAAAAGAAAACAAAAACAATTAATAGATTCAATATTCTACAGTATTAGAACTGAACTACTACTACTACTACTATTATATGAGTTAAGTTTTTGAGATGTACCATGACTGCAGGAAAAGAAGAGGTTCCTCCTTGCCATTGTTAGGTAAAACAAGATTGTCCTTCTGCACAAAACATAAAAGGGTGATATGATGATAAAATGGAATTTTAAGAAATTAAAATATTGCAATTTAATTTATAAAAGACTCTTGCTACATGGTATGAATAAAAAAACAAGTGATCATGAAGCCAAGCCATCCAGATTCTAATATGAATAAAACCATACCCCACATAATAAAATCGAAACAAAACATCCCTGTTGTGAAAAAATAATTCTTCAAAGTAGAGGGCAGTGAGAGAGTGTTGAAATATAGTAATTATTAGAAGTAGTGTAATGAGATGAGGAACATCTTCCATTATGCTGATCATTCAGCAAGCAAAATCAGCACAAATCTAAGATTGCCACTGGCCCTCAGCATGACATTGATATATAATCACCATGAATCACGTTTCTTGCTGACCCCATCTTGCACTTATCATTCGACTTATTTGTTCGAATTCATTCATGATTGGGTTATTGGGTAAGAGTTAAGAATAATAGGTAAGATTAGTCTACATAAGCAGAAACAACCTAAGCACATAAGACAATTACTCAGCTCATATTTAAGATTCTATGGTGAATTGGGATTCTTGTAGTTAAAGATGTAAGCTCCAATAGGGAAAGAACATTCTGTAGCATCGGAATTGGTAAGTATTGAAGGTTTCTAGGATCAGTTATGGATGCTAACAACCAAATGAAGTTTGTATCTTCGTCGTAAAATGAAGGCAGTAAGTAAGATAAGATTACCTTCAATAGTCAGTCTCTCCACTTCCTGGTCAATATATTCGTTAGCCGATTTGCAGAGAGTCTCTGCAGAGCCTTTCTAGCTCCTGCCACATCCATTTCTACCAAACTCTGTACATGGTTATAAGCACCTGCTGATACAAGCTTCTTTCGACAGCCATGGCTACCTCCAGCCATGATTGCAGCCACGACAGCCACCGGGTACTTCTTTGCAACAACCTCACTTTTAGGATCCAGCATGTGTATCAGTCTCATCAAGCTCTTTTCATCCCCAACAAACTCTTTCCTATTGGATTTCACAGACAGCAAAGAGAGCAATGCCTTTGTCCCGACCTCCTGCATTCCGTCAGGTTTTGATGTTTCCATTAGCTTCACCAGAGATCCCATACACCCAACCACAGCTCTCTTGTTGCCATCACTGATGGCCAAATTAGCCAACAATGAAGCAGATATGTGTTGTAACGTAACATTCCCGTGCTGCACAAGCTCAGCAAGTCGTAGTATAAACATAGTTGATCCTGATAAGATCCTGTAGCTGGCGTCCGAAACAGATATCGAATAAATCGCGCGCAACACGTGTTCCAAGGTATCCACACCCGAGCATTCGTGGAAAATATGCAACAGCTTTTGCAATCCATTGTGCTGTACCAACAAGCTGCGAAGATGTTCACTCGTGGAAGCTAGAATCGCTATACAATTTGCTGATTTACTCTGTGCTGGTGAACTACCAGACATCAGCAACTGCATTAAAACTGGAATCGCTCCTTCTTCGGCTAAAGCAATTGGAATGCCTTCAACCATGGAAATATTTCTTATCGCGCCAGCAGCGTGGGATTGAGCTGTGAAGGAACCGGTTTTGCAGAGTTGGATTAGAATGGAGACTCCTCCGTAAGCAGAAATCGCCCAAGCATTATCAGTATCGGTGGTGATAAATTCCACAGCCATGGCGGCTTTTTCCTTCATATACATTGAACCACACTCCATCATTCTCAGCAGAGGTCCTAATGCTCCTTCCTCGAACACGCACTTTCGCGGTGTATCTCCGGCGGATACGAGCAGAGACACCGCGAGGACGGCTGACTCTCTAATGGACTGGTGAGAACTCAGATCGAGAAGAGAAATCAAACAGTTTAAACTTCCTTCCGTCGCGACCACCGCGGCGGCGAAACTATCATCCTCCGACAGAAGCTCGACCAACGAAACCAACGCCTTTCGCTTAAACTCCATCCCTCCGATCCGAAGCCTTGTGAAGAGGTCTCTCACGAAAAATTCAACCTCATCCTTCGAGGAACTCCCTTCGGGGCGAGAAAGAACAATGGCGGTAGACTGGTGAAGAACGCCTGAGCGCAGGAGGATCTCGAGCTCATTAATCTGCTTAGAAAGCCAGCCGGCAGCCATGTCAAGGTCGGACTGCATCAAAAGCTTGCCTCGGACGACGACGGACGAGGCGTCGCAGCAGAGGCAACACAGAGTCTCCGTACGGCGGAGAGTAGAAAGCAACTCCGGAAGAATCGGCAAAAGGAGAGGATTCTCCGACCAGTGCGGCGAATCCGCGATTTCCGAGAGAAGGGAGCTGAGCGAGGCGAGTCTGGCGCGAATGGTCTGCCACCTGGAGGCAAAGCAGGAGATGGAAGCGGAGGCGGTGAGGAGGTCCTCGAGGAGTTCTGCAATGGTTCCGAAGGCTCCGGCGGGGGAGAGGGACGACGCGGCGGCGTCGGAATCCATGGTGGCTTTAGTGAGAGTTACGAGAGATGAAAAAGTGAAGGTCGTCGTGATTGATTATAATTGTGGAGAGTGTCAGCAAATATATGAAAAGAAGAGAAGAAAATTGGGAAATGGCGCAGGAAGGCAGGCAGGCGCAGGTGCCACTGCCAGCAGAGGGAAAATTCTATCGTACGCATGGAATGGAATACAGTACGCATCGGACGGTCCTCATTTAATCTTATGTTTGCTCGGTCCCACTCATCTCATTCCGTTTTTTTTTTATTTTTTTATCTATCAATATGATTAAAAAATATTATTATTATAATAACAGAAAATTAAAATTTAAAATTTAAATAGTACTAGTATTAAGTTCATTTCGTTTTATGTTATTGTTATAGTTACAAATTATACTGAAAGTATAAAAATATACAGCAAGTCATATGTAGGTCGAATATTTATTACAACTGTTGTGTATATGAGTCTTTGAAATTTAGTTCTAATTTAGCGTGTACTCATTTAGTAATTTTATATAAATATATATTTTTTCTTAAAAGACATCATATTTAAACTATTATTACAAAAAAATTGAATTCCAAAAAACATACAATATTGGTTTGTTTTTATGTTTATATTTTGATTTATTTGCGGAAACATGGTGTGTTGCTTGGTTACCTTCAAGTCTAAGGGAGAATTAAGTAACTATATTTGTAGGGTCAAGTTAATGCAATTTCAAAAATTCAATGTGCAGTCAATCTCATTTCATTTAATTTCACATTTATGTAAATAATACTAGTACACAACAAACATTCAATTCCCACATCAATCAAGATGTGAAATTAACACAATAAACACCTCTCATTCTTCTTATTACTATTACTAATACTACCATCATCATCATCATCAAATTCCAAAATTCACTAACCTACAGGCCATGACCATATTCAAGTTTCAAGATATCTTCAAAGCAAGCATTCCTCTATTTCTGACCTCAAAAAATGTGGTTGAATAAACAAAAGAGAGAATAGCAATTAGCAAATACATCATTCCCTAATAATTCACATTTATATGTAAAGACCAGCTCAATTAGCCTCAAAGAAATGTTGAAGAATCAATCTAATTAAGTCTAGCAATGCAAGCAAGGATGGGAATTCCAAAACGAAGCTTCTCTAGAGACAGCTAGTTATTGATGGACAAATAAATAGATAAATAGAGATAGATACCGGGTTTATTCGAAGCTACGTTGGAGGGAAGAATCGGTTGAGATTGAATGGCAAGGTGTAGAACTCTTCATTCCGGTTGTCGCCTCTGAATGTCCTGAATTTCACCCACCATGGCATGCCTCGGTCTTTCTTCGATTTTTCCACTTCTATTGTATTGTCAAGGAACACGGCCACGATCAACCCAACCGTCGCGGGCGACATGAATATCGTGTTCAAGAATGCATTGAACTGCAAAAACAGAGGTGGAGAAATAGAAAGAGAGGTAAACCAGACAGCCGTATTCATAGCTTCCTATTTGTCGCCGCCTACATACATCCGTGCACAAAACTTGCACTGTTAGTCCCGTAAAAAAGTGTAAACTTCGATCATAATCTTCCGGGATGTCAGTTGTGATAATACGCAAACCTTTAGTTTTAGTCTCAGATGAAACTAGTAGTACTAAAGAATGACTAATTATTACAACCAACTTCGAGTGAAATTGAATTTCATGAGATTAAAGAAGTAATAGACACTTTTTTGAGGGACTAAGCTTATGGTTTGTCTATAAGATCAATGTCAAAACATAATTGTGGAATCAGGGCTCATTTAGATCAAATAATAGAGTTAGGGATCAGGGAAACAAATCAGAAAAATATATAGGCAATGAGATTTCACTTCATTCATTCGACCCTATAAAACAATTCTTACCCATCCAGCATGAGTGTGAACGAGTCCACGGCGAGAATCATTCCAGTATTGGTCAAAAAAATGGGGAATAGACATCCCAAGGAAGAGCGACAGACCAGTTATCAAGAGATTCCTCATAGAGTTCATGTTAGTGAATTGAAGAAACGATAGGCCAACGGAACCTGCAATGAGGAAACAAATTGTTGTAAAATCTGGCGAAATATACGAGACAGAAATCTTGATGACAAATGACAAAATCATACCTACAAGGCCAAACAGAACACAGTATAAAGCAGCAAATATAGGAAACGGTATAGAAGCAAAAACAGCTCCAAATTTCCCTGCAGTTGACAAATGTTGTTTCTGTGTTAAATACAATTCAGAGGTATAAAAGCTTCGGAAACTCTATACATGCATATATGATTACGTTGGAACATGTAAGAGGCTTTTCAAAAGATGACATAATTACTTCAGAACCCATAGGAGTAATTCATGGGGCTTCTGAGATTGTTAGAGAAACTAAAAAAACAACACAGAAACCAGAATATGTTAGCTTAATGCTTTTAGTATCGTCACATATGGTATCATAAATCATGTTTAAATCTTCATCATCGCCTATTTACACATGAAGGGACATGGATTAACCCAACATGTATTATCAGCAGTTAAGCTTGACTTGATTATGGCTATCAAGCTACTGGAGTTCAATCCATATCCAGATGAATTAGAGTTAGCTTCATCCCATAATAACCCCAGATTCAGCAATCTTCTCACGGTTATTAGATGTATGATCTAAACATCTAATCCAATTCATACAGACCTAAGATGGAAAAGAATATCATGAAGCCAGCGGATATCTGAACAACTCTACGACTTCCAACTCGAGTTAGTCCAAGAAGTCCAACATTTTCCCTGAAATTTTTTTATGAGCTCATGGATCAACTTTAGTCTGAACATAATATCGAGTTAAAGGGTACGTATTGTCAATTACTTACACAGATACTGTGGAACCAGTGCCGGTTCCAAAAAGGCCATCGAGCAAAATGCCGATTCCCTGAAAACAACAATTGTTTGGGGTTAAAATTGATACGCTTGTTGAAATGGTATATCCACCTAGCTGACATACCTGCCAACCAATGCCACGGCTGAGTACATATGCAGGAGGCGGAGTGGCAATAGCCAGTCGTGATGCAGCCTTGTATGCTCCAGTGGACTGCAGTATTTAATGGTCGTCAAGATGCATATATGAAAGTATTTACTACAAAAATCGTGTAGTCATCAGAAATGTCAAAACATATATGTGGCATTATATTTTGAAAGCACTGATCAAAGATTACCTCAACCATTGAGACAAGAACAGCCGACATCATGGCAAAGGAATGACCAGCTGCAAAAGTCGGCGGCCCCCACTGAAGAGGATAAGGAAATTTGAACCTTGAACAGCAGAAAATAGATCATTAACCTCAATGAAAAAGAGGAAATGGGGGGGGGGGGGGGGGGGGGGGGGGGGGAAAGCAGAACTAACCATGGAGCAGTAGATATAAGATTCGCCCTGTCTGTTCGGCAACTGTTCTGAGTGAGACGAGGTGTGCCGCGGTAAGCTCCACTCGCCGTCAGTACAAGGGAGTATATCCAAATGATAGAGACACAGATCAACACAGGGAACCGTTCAAAGATAGGAAAGTCCCTTAGGGGTTTAACATGCTTCATGTACTGCGATTGAAAAACCCATACATTACTTGCAAAACATCAAAAAATGCTTGCATGTAAATACTATACAGTTGAACTGATCATGAATTGATCCACTCACTTGTGACAAGCCGATAACCAAGACGAGCATTGGCAAACCAATTTCTACACAATTTCCTAGCTGCAAAGGCAGATAATGGGCAGGAGTGGAAAGTTTTAGGGAGATCAAACTTAATTAGCCTTGTAAAATCAAATTAATACAAATATCAAACATTGCCGTGGATGTGATACGGCTGTCAAGTAACACTTACAGCAGAGAATCCTCGTTGGAATAAGCCCAACCCAACTAATCCGACAACCGGTGCCATGCCGAGTGGACTGAAAAAGCTGGAGTGAAAAGTGTCTTAAAACTCATGAAGATGTGTGTGAATAGAATTTGTTTTAGCCTTTTATCAGCCAAATGGATACTGAACAATACCGAGAAAACAGTCCCCATACTTGGCTGTAGCCAAGGATTATTTGTATGCTTGAGGCAACAATTAAAGCTCCTTGGATAGCTCTCATGGTTTGTATGAATCTCTGTAAAACAAGTAATGGAAGGTATTTTTTCAATGCTCCAATATACCAAAAAAAAAAAAAAAAAATCAAATAGAACCAGCTGTTTCATCTTATAAGAGTATTATTTCAGAGCTTTGTCCACATACCTCCTAAGTCCCATCAAACAATTAGTCCCTAAACTATCTCTACAACTCAACTAAGACAGTCAGCCTTTTAAACGTGCATGATGTGATTGAAAGCATGTGTGCAAAGTAATAGTAACAAAGAAAGTAAACGATCCTTGGATTAAGAATTCATTTAATTGCATTAAGAAAAGTGAAAAATGAATCGACATAATTTACGACTGAATCCATCCCTATTTATAGAACTCTCTCTAAGATGGATGATTACAATGATCCCGATGCTATGATTAAAATTAGATCTGATTGGATACGTCGGTTTGTGTGACATTAAATACAACTAAATTGATCAAAGACACGTGTATGCGAAGCATGACAGCCCACTTATTCCTCATGAAAGACAAGTGTAAGAACTAAATTAGTGATTGCCAAACACATCATTCAATTGTTAGTGTACCGCAGACTAACACAAGTCAACTCCTTGAAACTATATGATCTCGAACAGTTATGAAACTCAAAATATATCACCTAAATCAGAAGCCACGTGATTAAAAATAAGGTAAAAGATATATGAGGTAGTTACCATGTGAGGATCATCTATCCGTTGCAATGACGAGTCATGAATAATATATGCTATGGGAACAACATAACTATGGGATCCTCCAACAACAGCAGGTAACCTAGTCCCAAACAACGCCTGAAGAAGAGTATTAACGCCAGCTACAAAAAGCAATGTTTGAATAACACGTACTTTGTCCCCCTGTGCGATCGGAAAACACATACTATTGATCAATATTTACATTTACTTATCAACAACATAACTAGAAAGAACTAAATAAGAAGGAAAAATCAGCTTACATCACTTCCACCCATCATAGGGACGAGCAATGAGGGAATCATTACACTTGTGCCAAGTACTAAAATGTAATTCTGGAATGCTAACAAAATGGTTTCAGCTGCAGATCAAAAATCAGAAAATAAAAAAAACTGGGTTACAGACTGTACTTCTGAAATGCAAACAAATGTTTATAACAGAACGACTAAAACTGTTATATCATCTAACACCGGCATAAAGATCAAGACCAACTTCATGCATGCAATTAGCTTAAACAAATTTGGCAAACGAGGAGTTGATCCAAAATGGACACTTGCTAAAACACATCCTATAATGGCCAGATTCAAAATTTTCACATCAGAACCATCATCAATTCTTGCAAAGTTATATCTTCTAAAATCCTGATGAATTAACCAACACCAGAAAGCAGAAACTTCAGCTTCCAAAATCGTAAGAAATAAATTCCCACCAAATCAAAGGACTGCATTCAATGACCCTATATTTCACTTACACCCATCAACGTACAGAAACTAGCATTTGAATTTTGAAACACTACCCATTCAGTAAGTCATAAAACTTTGTTTTCAAAAAACAGGTTTTCAAAGCCTAGCAGGCTCTCCTTAGAAAGCTTCAAACTTTCACTTAATGCAGTGACTATTAAATCATCAATCCTTTGTTACAATTCAATTCTTCAATCGTCCTGGCAGTGAATAAATGATATTATTCTTCATCCCATTAATCAACCCAATGGAAACCAACCTCAGTTCAAACAATAAAACAACACTACCAATTAAGATCACCTCAAAAGCTCACATAAAAAACTCTTGGTCTAAAATCCTACCATTTCCTTATATTCCCATCAATCTCACCATTCAGAAATATTCCATACTTCCCAACATAGACAAACACAAAAATTAGGCAGCACCATGGAAGGAAACAACCTTATTCACTGTAAACCAACGCTCATTACCCCCAACATTACACATCTTCTCCATAATTAAGTCCACAAATGTTGCCATACCCTACACAGTAATATTCCCACACAAATCAATTTCTCCTTACTACTCGACCACCACAGTCGAGGTCTGAGAGTCGAAATCATGGGTTCACCTTCGTACTGATGGTCCACAATCTATCGTTTCACTTTTCAAAATTGTTTCATAACCAGGCCTTCCCGCCCACCCCTACACCACCCACCCACCGGCCACCACCCCGACTCCCATGCTAAGCCATCAATAAGGCTTCGCCTCCACGGCCTTGAACGGCAAAACACAGTAACAGACACGATTTACATCCGAACCATAACAAACACAAATTAGCCCCTAACAACAACTCACGCCAACAATCACCTAAACACGCTCTAACTATACATTCAAACAACAAAGGCGAAAAGACACACACAAAAATGATTATAAACCGAGGCCAATACACGTACGCCAAGGAGGATTTGAATCAATGCAGTACTCGAGGTCCTGAAGCTGCTCCATAGGAGGATGAACAATGTCTCCCATCTCTCCTCCACCAAGTCTGTACGCAAAAACACACACGCACCCCAAAAAAATGCAAAAATAAAAAACAAAAACAGCAATCAGCAGGAGGTATCAACGAAGAACTGCGAACAAAGTAAATTAAAGCTCCAACAGCAGCAGCAGCAGCCAGAGAAGATAGAAAAAAGTGGGGAAAAGTGCACAGCCCACAAGAATATATAAAAGAGAGTGAAAAAAAAAACAGAATATGCCACCCACCCATACACACACATCCATACATAGAAAATACACAAAAAAAATTCAAAAGCCAAAAACGAAACAAGATGCAAGTGTATGAATCAATGCATACGCACAGAAAATTGAAGATTGAACAGTCTTCTGCTCTGCCGAGAGAGAAACGCACGTTGGGACTGTTCAGTGTGCTGTGCTGCTGCTCTTCTACTGTACGTTCCTCATTTCCTCCGGTTTTAAGCTTCTGAATATTTTCTTCTCCTGTTTCTCCCCTTTCTCTTTGCCACTGCTTTTTCACTTATTTACGCTTTTGCCACTGACGTTTCATTTAAGTACTATTACTATAGCTTATTTGTTAATCATTTTCTCTCATTCGTTAGTATTTTATGAAATAATTAATCTTACTGTATATATTTAATCCTTATTTAAATGTACCTATTTTTATTTAATGATGAGATATAAAGTGACTACTGCCTGTTGGAATTAATTGCTGCCTTTAATGACGTTAGCTATAACTTTTACCAAATTTTGAATTTATTTTTATACCTTCTAAAAACAATTGTATTTGAATTTTTGAAGTAATAAAATATTACATATTTGATTTTTTTAAAAAAAGTTGTCATTCTATAAATAGTGTTCAAAAAAAAAAAAAAAAGTAAAGTGATTTGTGTATTTCGAAACAAACAATAATCACTTAAAATTGTGATTTTTTAAAGGTGGTATTTAACTCAATATTGTGATTTAATTTAGTGTTTTTCTACGTATGTATTTGTGCTTGACTTTCTACAATTTCATAAATAATCCCATTTGACTTCAAAGCTAGGTTGACTTTGATGCGATCTTACTCAATGTCAATAAAAAGAATGTTTTTTTGTTTTTACATTTTTTTAATTAAAACACTAATTTGATATAGTATAATATAAAAATATATATATTTATTTTAATAATTAATAAAAATATATTAATAATAAAAAATTTAACAGAATTTATAACCAAACACAGCCTTTTGTTTTGTTTGTTCACATTTTTTTTCTTTTTATGACATGTTTTTTTAATATATATATATATTTTAAAAATAAAATATCATTTTATATAAAATATTATTTTTTATATTATTCAATATTTCATGTAAAAAAATTCAAGTAAACAAACCCTTTGTATTTTGTAATTTTAGATTTTGATTTTTGTTATTTTATGTAAAATGAAGATTTTGTTAATGTTTATACTTTTACGTCATAATTACAAGTTCAACTCTTATACATCACCACCAGATCATCTATTACGGGACAACTTTTGAATTCTATTGGTTTGTATTATTATTGAATAATCTGATTATAAAATAATTATCTTTTAATAATTATGACCCTTATATTTTACTATCACATTGATATTTTTATATAAAAAATAAATATAAAAATGTATTTACACGGTTTTTAATTATTAACTACAATTAAAACATTATTATTTTTTAAACTTACTGTTAAAAGTAAATATATAATTTTAAAATGGGGAGGAAGTATTTAAAAAATAAAAATTTATTGTTTTAAATAAACCATATGTAAATTATCAAACATTTTGAAGTGGTTTTGAATGAACTCTAAAAAAAAGCATTCAATGATAGATATAAAATATTTTATATAAACATTCAATATAATAATTTTTTAATTTATTTAAGAATTTTTATATATTATATATTATTGATTTTGATTTTTTGCATTATGTACAATATATTATCCAGCAACATGTATACTTCAATAGTACAAATTAGATAAATTTGCATATTTATATTTAAATTTTTTTACTTGGAACAAAGCCATTATTTGGTTCATTTCCTAGCCATATTAGATAGAAACTTCCATTGACTTAGCAAATAGAATTAGCCCATGACTTTAAAGAATTATATATATACCTAAATTTTATCAGACAACTCAAGAAGTTAAAATTTAAATTTATATAATATGTATATGTTATTTTTCAAATATACAGATGTTACAATAATTATTCTGGATTTTATCAACTTTAAAACTACAATATTCCCAAAATTAAATACAGATATAATATACCACCTGCGATACAGCAGTAAGTTACTATGTTCAGCACCAAGGTCCGTGTCCCTCAAGTCCCGAAGGGAGAATAACCCTCTTTTTTACGCGGGGTCCACCAAAGCACACAGGTTAGGATTAGATTTGGAGCTCCAGGACCTCAAAAATCCATATAGGAACTTCCAGAGAACCATCACCGCCTACAAATTCAATTCACGCTGACGTCAGTGAAATTACCATTATACCCTTACTGGTTCGCGATAAGAGCTAACGCATTTTTGCAACTGAATGACGTCCCTTTCCTTCTCTCTCTCTCTAAAACTATTCATTTTCTCTCTCACGCAGTGGCGCGCAGTCAACGTGTCCATGTCCTGTGCGTAACACCTCCCCCGAAGCAAAGCAATCCCCTCGTTCCAGATCCCGATTTCCGTGTACGTTGCTTCGGTATCGAATTTTGAGATATCCATTGTTGGCATTAATGGCGGCTCTTTATTACTGCTGCTGCTGCTGAATTTACAGTTGTATTCATTCGTCTCAAACGTTGATGTGTGTTGCAGGATGTTGTTGGAGGACTTCCGTCTTCTGCTGTTGACGCGCGTGCTCGTTTCCGGCCATTGATTGATTTTCTGCTTCAATCGTGGCCCTCGGCTGCTCTGCTTCCCCGCTCAAGTTCAGTTTTAATTGAATTTCTTGTTATGTTTAATGAAGTTCGGCGGTTGTGTGTGTTGTTTTGGTTGTTCTGTTGGGCGATTTCTATGGAAGTCCTCCTGTGATCGGTTCCCATCGGCATTGTTTCTCAAAGGTGTTGCTTCTTTTGCTTCGATTGTTGTTTATTTGAGGTTTTTTGTTCTGATTTTGTGAATGCTTTGGTTGTGTGGTTTGATTGGAACAGTGGTGGCTGGTGTGCAGTTGAGAATAGGAAGGTGTAAGAACTCAATTGGCGTTCGATGGCGAACGGAGATATTGACCGCTGTGTATTCCCCCTGACAAGCTTGCAGATTGGGTAAAGTGAATTCTCTATGCTTTTCTGATGTTAATTATGTTGTCGAAGTAGTTTGCTAGCATCAGATATTGATGTTAGGGATCTTTGCTTTTCTTATGTTATATGATACATTGATTTGCCACTTGAATAAGAGTTATGTGCAGTAGGCAACTGTTTGATATTCTTGTGTTGGGGAACATGTTGGATCCTTGTTATTTGCACATGTGGAATCACGTGCTTAGATATGGTGTTGGCTTTTTGTATCGATGGGAAGTGTTCTGGTGGTGTGAAGGATAATGGGTTCAGTTTTGGAAGTTAAATAAAACATTTGTCTGTTTGGTACTTGAACCCGAGTAGCCGTTTTTACAGACGATGCCATTTGTTGTGTTCCGATCATCATTTGAGTGTGTTTTTAGTGATTTTGTAATAAATGTGCATATTTGTTTGTGTTTTATCGTCCACGTGCCGCCTCGAACAAATAAAATTGTTGAAGGATGTATAAAGCTGGTAATTATTGCTATGATCATTTGATAATATTGAATTAGGATGCTCTTGGAAATTGGAGTTTTGACTTTAAGTTGTTCTTGAGTTGAAAACCCGCCCAAACGGTAGCCGTTGTTTTTTCTGTGCATATGTTTCTTTCTCTACATATGTACCTGACCATAACTTTCTAATTACATGGGTCCACTTGCAACATTGAAGATGATTATTATGTCTTGTGATTTCATTACTCATGTAACGTGATGCATTTTCAGGGATTTACAGTCCTATCTTTCACATCTGAGCTTATTTCTGGCCTCACACAGTGGAAAACTGTATATTTTGGTGGATAATAGACCATGGTTAAAAGATCTTGGTTCACGCCCTACCCATCTGTGGCAGTTGATGGTCACTAAGGTTGTTTAAGGGTTTACTTCACTTCACTTATGGGTTTTTGCAACTTTAATCAGTCATCGACTAAGTCTTAAGAATACAATTTCCACATTTGCGCAGTCCAGGCTGTCCCCCTTTGCTAACACTAGAGGCAGGAAGGACAAAAAGATGATAGGCGAATTGTCCAAGCTACAGGCTTCTTCATCATCGAATTCAAGGAAATTGAGTAATGTGAAAAAATGGCTTTCATTGATAGATGCTCTCATGTTATCCAGGAAAAGAGCTTTATTACCTGTAAAGAAACTAAGGAATACTTTGATTGCAAACAGCAAGTTGCATAGAACTCTGTATGGTTTTATTGTGTTTGAGGTTGCTTGGAGCGATGTTCGTGGTATCAATTATTTGAATGAGCTTCAGGTAGTCACTGTATATTTGCTTCATTTGAGTGCTATTTTTAGAAATGTTCCTTGAATTTTTAGTTCCATGTGTTTTTGGTGTTTCATTTTCAGACTGATACATCTCTTGCAATAGAGGCTAAAGTCATGAGAAGGTGGGAATTTGATAGCATAACACAGGCAGCACAGTTGATATCATCCTGGTTTCCGGGGACACTCAATGAAAGGACTATTTTGGAAGAACATTTATGTGCTACAATCGGTATTTCATGATTTAACCTCCACTTTACATTTAGATTCAAATTTTAAAATTAGCAAAATGCAATGGGACATAATTTTGATATTTCACCTTTGCATTTTCATATTATCTTTTATTTTATTTTTCTTTATATGAGTATGAACTTTTGCAAATGGGCATTAGCATGATTTGATGTCCTTGAGGAATCCATTAAAATGTCTCTATTAGATGTACCTAATGATCGGAAAGCTAGAGCATATGCCTATTTCTCATAATTGTAATATTTTTCTATTCACCCTCAGTGTCTGCTTGCTGCACCTTGTGACAGTCTGTGTTTGCTAGTAAAAGTATTGAATGTTTTATCTCATCTTCCCGACTCATCCTTCATTATGTAAATTCACTTATTCCCTTAGTTAAATATTTTTAATTGGGAAGCAGTCTGATCTGATTGAAATCTGCTGTGGGCCTCTTTAAAGAAAATTATACTACTTGTTTCCTGTCTTAGTCAAAGGCCAACTAACAGCCATGATCGTTGTTTCAATCCATAAAATATGTGAATCCACATCAGTACTGTCCTGTCCTGGTAGGTTTTTCTTCTTAACCTGACTGAAGTTACGCAATCGTGCTTGGACAAACTTCAAAGAGATGTTAAATTCTAGAAAGCTACATCCTGCAGGCCTTGCACTACGATCATTCCTTATCTTAATTAATTGCTGGATTAATAAGATTATTACATTGTATTTAATGCAAAGTTTTTATAATTGCAGGGGAGGTGTTCTATGATGTGCAGGAAAGTTTTCCGAGGACTGAGAATGATTTTGTTGACATTTTTAGAGATGACATGTGTTTCGGAGATGAATCTCCCTGCTCTTCGAGCAACATTTTCAGAGTGTATCCAGTATCAGTGGGAAATGGGATGAGTGGATTTCGTACGCCACCACCTGCTGATTGTCCTTACAAAAGAAGAAAAGTGATGACTTCCATTTATGATGAGCTTGAAATTTCTTCTGGAGAAGAAGCAGTTGAAATACTGTCCCATACTTCTGGTCTAGGTGATTGTCAAGAGTCACTTGAGCCCATTCTATACAGAGATGTTCTAATTTTGTTTCGATTCTCCGATCATGACCTTCCCTTTAAACTAAAGGACATAATCATGCCTGATTTGCGGTTACTTACCCTACTTGAAGCTGGACTTCCATCTTGGGTTATTTTCCTCCAATCTTATCCTGTGTTTTGCCATCTATATCGTCCATGGATGTGTCCTCTGGCAAGAGTTTTGTACGTTCTAATATCTATTGTCACTGTCCTCATTGGATTCTACGATTTGTATAAAAATGTTCCTCTCCTCAAGGCAACAGCTTCTAGCTTGTTTGGACCACTCTTTGATTGGGTGGAAAAGTTGGAAATGATCTCAAGAATTAAATATCTGGGAACTATGCTTTTTCTTCATAATTTTCAAAAGGCCGTCAAGTGGTTTCTTATGGTGACGCAGGCTACTCGTACGTGCCTTTTGTGTTTTATAGACCCAATGACTGCACCTGTTGCCGAGTTCTTGGAAGTTTTCCTCCCTCTCTGGAACATGTCTGTGCGAATAGTTGAGAGTTTCTTTTCTGTGACTTGGATGGTGGTCGAGTCTTCATTTACAATGGCCGGAGATACTATTGAGATGCTACTACTGCCGCTATGGTATATATTAGTGGTAGCATGGAATATTGGTATGTTATTTTGATCGCTTAAGGTTTTAAATTATGAACAATTCAATCTTTTCTGATTTATGCATACGTAACAAACTTGTTAATACGTTGTTTATTGCAGCAACTGCTATTATATACCCCATCTTCTGGGTTCTATGGGAAGTTCTTTATGCTCCAGTTCGTCTGCTAGTAGGGTTTTTCAGTCTCATTGCTTTCTTCTGTAAATTCACGTACGAAATGGTTGGAGACTTGTTGGTATTCGCAAGCAGCATATTTAATTTCACTCGAGATGTGGAGTCAACAGTGAGCTCGTACGAGGTGTCAATATGGCGTTCTCTTTGGAATGACCTTTTCTCACAGGTGTTTTTTTTTTTGCAAATCGTTATGGTTGAGGTTACATTTTTGGTTGTCTTAGTAATCCTTTGGTCTGTTTTTTCAGGTTTTTCGTGCTCTGCGAAGTATTCTTAATGGTTTTGTTGCCTTTTTTGCTGCCCTCAATAGACATCGACTAAGGTATCATGTCAATCATTTGGAGAATCACCACATGCTGTTAATGGACTTGTGATAATTATGTCAATGGGTTGCCCTTTTGTGGCATATACTAAAATTTGTTCTTGAGCTGTTCTAATTGAACAATATCAATCATTGTTTTCCAGCATTTACAACTATGTAAAGGATTTCTTCGAAAGATTATCGGGCACAGCAAGGAGAGCGAGTTCTGAAAAACATAGTGAAACTGGACCGACTTCGGAAGCTCCGCTTTCTGTAAGTAGACAAGTTAAGCTTAAGCATATTTTATATTCTACTCGATTTAGCAAATAACTGTTTAGCAGTTAGGTTTGGATTGGCTAATTTATATGCCCTTGGTTAAACGTCCATTAGCCTTCCTACTTTTGGGAATTTCATAGATCTTTTTTCTTATGCCATACATTGGTGTATGGTATGCATGTATGTATGTATGAATGTTTATAGCAGCAGCAAACCTTATTCGATTGTTTTTATGATTCGATTTTCAATCTGCTTTATTGGCATTGCAGCAGGGAAGTGGGAGAACAAAGACTCATCGTCAACAACAACAACATCATCATCATAGGGGGGTGGTGAAATGGAAGAAGAGTTGAGCCAAGGTGGTAATAATACAGGAAAGGAAAGGACAAAACTACTACTTCACCTACCTAGTCTAGGGATATGTAATATAATTATCATCTTTGTTTATTTCTTTGTTTGTTTCTTTGTACATAGACACACAGACGACTGTGTCATCAAATCAGTTGATCCCATAAAGCTAGCTGGGGATCTCTCTCTGAGTGTGATTCTTTAAATCACCTTCACCAACCAACAATGTATATATAGATCTCTCTCTCTCTAGTTGAGTTGTAGTTGGATTTTACCATTTGTTAAACAATGAAATAACTTAATTATAATTTCAATTATAATATAATAGTAGTGTATAATATTTAATTTTAAATATAGTATCTAATATAACTATTATTATACATAAAATAAAATCAAACTTTATGTACTGACTAAAAATGATAGTTGGTGTCCCGTAAGGGATGTTTTGGTGGTGTGGGGGTTGGATTTGTGATCGTTCAAACCCCGACGCCTGCCTAATGTAATTTGTCTGTTGGGGCTTAGTTTGTAAGGTATTAAGTTGGGTAAAAAATGATAGTGGTATTAATGTAAATAAATATAAAATTTATAATGGGCAAGGATTCATTTTAAGTAGATGGATCTAAACATTGTGTTTAGATTGAAAAAATGAAAAATGTATACGCTGAAAGTGAAATTTCTATTTGATAACATTCCATTTAACAATCTAACTCTAATAATCAAATATTCAAAGCAAACAAACACGTCGCAGCCATAACATTTGCTATAGTCTGTGCAAGAAATAAATCACCCTTTAAAAATCAATTAATTGCAATTAAATAAAACAAGTGTCACCTCAAATGAAAGTTTTGCAGCAACAAATTTTGATCTGTAAAAAGTACCTCAAATGCTTCGTTTTTCTATCTTTACCAAACACAATCAGCAATTGCAGAGCTATATTTCCTAAGATGTTTAAATTGGACTTCATTTGCAAGTTTTAAATGTAGTAAACAGTAGTAGTTAGAGCAAACTATACAAAACTAAACTTAAGCAGCAAGAACCAGCACTTTTATTGTACCTCTACTATTTGCCGCCAACATCGTCGGGCTTTCGCTTTTCCAACACACTGCACTGATGAAATACGACCCCGCATCTTCTTCCGTATCTTCCACATCCGGCGCCCCAAATTTATGCCATGTTGCAGGTTTTGAGATGGCCTGAAAGTTTGATCGGTTGAGTTAAACTCATGTTTCCATTGAAAGTGAAATAACATCTAAAAACATGTGTATGGTTTGAAGAAGGAATAATATTCCATATATAAGTAGCTGACTGACCTTGTGGTAGACGAATACTTCGTTTGTTTCACTGCCACAAGCCAAGAACTCGTTATTCACTGTGAGGCCGACAAAGTTCTTCTCGTTTGTGTGGCCTCTGTAAGTGCGAACCTGAAAAGCAGTATACATTAGCTTGTAATATGATGGGATGAAGAAAGTTGAAATAATCTCTGCAATACTGATGCTCAAGATGATACACGAATTCAGTCTATTGTGGAACTTACTGGACTGTTTTCCTTGACATCCCATAACCTGAGAGTACTGTCGGTGGATGCAGAAGCCAGCTCATTGTTGGACAGAAATTTTACATACGAAACTGCTTTTTTATGGCCACTGAACACGTGAAGTGGGTGGCAAGTATTTCTCAAATCATAGTAATGGATGTGATGATCAGCAGAACCAACCTGCAAGAGATGTGGCTTTTGTATTAGGAACTGTTACAGAGGGAAACACTCATAAGACATGATATATATAGACTTGAATCTAACTCGCGCCACTCCTATCGCAACCCTCCGGTCAATTCTTTTGCATACTATTCTATCTCTGTGCAGACAATAAAAAATAAAAAAAATTCTACTGATACATAAACCGCATTACCCCTTAGACACCTTTAATGGCAGCCAAGATTCCTACCCAATACTCCATACTCAAGATCTTGGGTTAATCCAATGGAGAGGTGCATGTGGCGGCACACATACAGTGAGATGGAATGTGAATAGTTTTCGCAAGATGGAGTAAGAAGCTAGAATATGTTGGTATATTACACACACCATTAATATTGTTCCAATTTCAAGCTGTTCAGTTTAATGGTTTCCAATGAAAGTTGAAAGGAAAGTGCTTGTTAAACTTGGACCTTTCCCTCCTTATAGTGAGCTAGTGTTATGAAGGCAGGAAGGGGAAAAAAGGTATGAAATAGAAGTAGAACCGAAAAAGAACAAACCTGGGGATCTTACCGCGATAAATTTGCTGGAATCAGGATTATACTTCACACAGCATATATTTGCCTTCATATCTATGTTGAGCACACTTGATTCCTGGTTTGTGCACCACACTTTAACCTGAAATCAAACAATTGTGAATAAGACGAGAAGTCTAATGGAGATCAAATATGAAGTGTGTGTGACAGCTTGAACATGTTTTCTCAGACTCAGAACATCATATTTAACAATGTTTAATAATTATGTATGGATTAGTTCAGCTATTTCCTGGCTGCAACTCATACCAAGCTTGCCTGACACTGAATAACTGAACATCTACAGTGGTTTGGGTTGCTAATCTTATCTCTATGGCTTAGAGGTTCAAGGATTCAGCTCATGACAAAAAGGTGAGTTGAACGTAAAGTTCAACAACATAGTTTAGATGTGAATAATAAGGACCAAACTCTAAACAACCTCAAACAACTAAAAATGAAACATCATGTCCTTAGGTAGACGTACCACTGTTTGACCTCACTACACTTTTTTTTTTTTTTTTTTCCTGGCTAAAGATAAGGGTCAGAATAAAATTAGGTATCGACTTTTATTTGATCGATAAAGAGTGTTATTACTATACCTTGCAGTCATCACTACCAGACACAAGCATCGATGGCTCTGTTCGAGAAAAATCAACACTCCATGCGCGTTTTTCATGCTCTTCGTACTCCATGATACTCTGAATAAGCACAAAATTTTAACGTACAGTAAGTGAGCCTAACTCTTCTTTTCTCAAAGTTGAGGAGCTCAACAACTATAATGAATCTTTATGATAATTTTGTCTAGTTAGTTTCTACTCCATATACCTGTCTTGTAGTCACATCCCAAACAGTAACTATTCCCTCATAATCACTGCTAGCTATTTGAGTTTTGGTGAACTTGTTCCAGCTCAAGCAGCTAAGTTTAGATCGTGTTGCCATCTCCACAACAGGGCAGTGTACATCTGTAGGTTCATTTACAACCTGCAACACAAAAGCATATAGTCAAACCACCACGCAGAGAATTATATTCATCAGTTCATGAAAAATAAATTATTTTTCAGTTTTGTAATAATCATTTCTACATTTATTTCATAACAATAGCCTAAAGATATACATTACAATGATTAACCCACTAATGCTCTACTACGAGTTTCAATAACATGCCCTCTCATTATTACCATCATTTAACATTTAAAGGCATTTAAGGTATTATAATACCTTCATTTAATGACAAGACCGGAGGTATGGGCCCAAAGAGAATATTTAGCATAAATGTATAGTTTCAAGAAATCAAGAAATCACCTGATAATCCCACATGTATCATTACAAATGATGCCGTAATTTTTAACATTATTGTCTATAACTCTCATAAGTTACTCTTGACTCTGCTTTTTCTAATGGCATCATCTTAATTAACTCTATCAGATTCCTTTTCAAGACCAATCAATATCAATGCCTTTAGTTCCTTCATAATTATTCATGTAAAGATATAACATTATAAGTTCAAATTAATGAGCATTGTATCTTGCTTACTTTATTCTTCATGGGTTAATCTGATACAATTGTTTTCAATTCTCTCCACTTCTTAAGGTTAGTTTGCACTATCAATTCGCATGATTCAATTCCTTCAATATCAATAAATACACACAGAAAGAAAAAAAAAAAGAAAAAAAAAGGAAAAGGAAAAAAAGTCAATTCATATGTTTTGCATGGATGCATGAATAGCCTAAGAGGTTATCAAACACAAAAAGGGTAAATGTGAGAAAAGAAAAGTTCAAAGGAAAAAGTAGCCTACTGAAGAAAAATCAAAAACTTTTATGCGCCGTGACACTCCAGCTGTTGCAAAGAGCTCATCATCCCGATCAAATTCTATGCTGCATAAGAATAGCAGAATTAAGATATCTAGCAGAAGTCAAGGAGAAGTTATCATAATTCATTACAGCCTAAAGAAAATCAAGGATTCATGATCAGGTATTAACAATGTTCCATTGGGAAAAAAGCATTTACAGGAATACCAATTCCTGTTTAACCAGGAAGTTGTTAGACAAGGCATTCACCAAGTATTATTTTCTCAAATATAAAATTTGGAGAAAAAATCCATCTGGGTAACACTTCTCTATTAACAAGAGAAAAAAAGGGCATCTCATATACAAACTACACAGTAAATTTGTCATAAAATGAACTCTCTCTCTCTCTCTCTCTCTCTCTCAACTTGATAAAAACTTTCATGACAGTATCTAGCAAAGATTAGGTTTCCTCCAATCAGAATGATCATGAGAACTCTCACGCAAATCAATCTTCTAGCTCAAAATCAGGCTTTGTTAATCAATTATTCATCCATATATCTCTACTGTTTGTATCCCATGCTCTCCACTAGTTAAGCTTACCTCGAAACTATATTGGCTGAAGGAAAGAGGTCTCCATGTCTGAGTTCAGCAATTACTCGTAATCGACTGTTCAATAAGATGATAAAATGTGCATCAGAAGATGGCACTGTCTAATATTTAGTTGAACAAAAATATTTCTGGAATAAGATGATGAAACGTGCATCAGAAGATGGCACTGTCTAATATTTAGTTGAACAAAAAATTTCTGGAAGCCTACCTGTAACGAGTGAATGTACTAAGAACTGATTGAAAATCTGATAGACCGGAACTGTAGCCTTCTCTTGTAATGACAGACTTATCTTTCTTTTCTAAGTTCGCACGCTGGTTGATCAATTGGCGTCTCTTTTGCAAATAAAATTCTTGAAGTTCATTAAACTGGACGACAATCAAATGTCAAGTTAGAAACACAATGTCAACGAGGAGTCATTAAACAATAAATAGTAGTGAGCTAATGAACATTAAAATAATCATATATATAAATGTTTATAACTGACCATAGTTATTTCAGATAAGAAGAACATCAATTAAATATCTCCAACCTGTGCATGAACGCGCTTTTTCCGCATCACAGCTGAACCAGATTGACTTAGCTGCTGCGATGTTGGCCCACTCAAAGAAGTGTCTTTGCTCTGAGTTACATGGGGTTTAAATTGGAATCTTCCCTCGTCTTTCTTGTTTTGGGAATTCAAGGAAAGTCCTCCTTGTACATTGCAAGAGTTACAAGCAAGACCAGAAAAACTTCTATCTACAGATGCGCGAGATCTTACACCCACAGGGTTATCAGAGAGCATCTTCAGTTTAACTGAACACCTGTCTCTTGCTCGGTATAGCTCTATCCTATGTTTTTCTACAGCATTTAAGTCCTCCTTGATATATTGAAGATCATTTTCCACCTAAAAAAGAAGAAAAAGGGCAATTCTTAAATTTTCTAACAATTGTCAAACTTCAAATAGAAAATTTATAAATAGAAACGAATATATCTTCATGAAACCGCCAATGAGATGAACTCTCATTTCCATTATCCTACACACCAATTTATAAATTTTCATTTAACAATATCTACAATTTATTGAAGCATACGTGGAAATCAATGGTCAAGAAAACTTAGCTAGGGGCAGAAATAATAATATGAAGATACATCATATAAGTTAGAACATAAAAAAGTAACCAAAAAAGAAAAGCACTTAATTTTTAAGGTTTGTCAGAGATCAGGCAAGCAAACCTTACTTTAGATAAAGGTTAGAAAATCAAGGGAAAAAAAAAGGGGAGGTGGGAGGGGGGGGGGGTGTTCTGGCAGAGCTAAAGTTATATCACCCAAGCATCCTTTCTCCAACTGGTTGTATTCTTAAATTGCATTATCATTAGATTGAAAACAGACACACACACACACATACACACAAAAGGAAAAATGGCAATGGGTTCTTTTGAAGTATCACCTAGACAAGATTTAGTTAGGATGGATCAATTGCTAAAGTGCTTCTATAATGATAATTTTGTTATTCTCCAAGTCTCAATTAGATTTTAAAACTAACCATTTGATTTCTAATCCAACTTTTGGAATGATTCACAAGTGAACACCAAATAAAAGCACGATGAAAATCAATATTAACTAAAATCTACATAAGTGAATGGTTTGTATGTTATTTCATAATTTAGTTTGTAACTAAGACAAAGGTGGACCACTGATCCAATAACAGGCAGTTTCAGTAGTAGGATGAGTGAACAGACAGACCAAGGAAATATATGTAGAAGACTTAACCAACTATTTTTCGATTACTTTTACAGAGAATAATCCTTCGGTATCGCAGTGAAAGGTATTGTGGACAAACCTCACTGAGCTCATTCACTTTTTGCTTCCTTAAGCAGTGTAAGAAGTCCAGCAAAATTTGCATGTTTCTCTCTGCTTCTTCCTGCTCCAGTTTTCTCTTTTTCTCTGACACAAGAGACAATAAAGATTCCAACTCCTTCACTGACACTTCACAACCCTGTCTAAGAAGAACAAAATACATCAAGTCTCTAATAATATTCCAACCCAGTCTAGGGGTGTGTTTCTTTTGGTTGAGTTTGGAAAAAAATTGGTTTGGGTTTGGTATTAAAATAATGTTTAGTGTGTGAGAGAAAAAAGTATATTTTTTTCGGGAAACGCAGAGTCCAAATAGTAAAATTTGACAAAATTGGGTTAAAAAAACATACCCCTAGTTTATGCAGAAATAGGTAATTCATCTAGAGAAGTAAAACCATTAGAAAAAGAAGCGGGAGATCCGACAGCTCAATCTAAGCTCAATCTAATTTTCCAAAACACTCAAGACATACACATACCACTTCTAAGAATCATCAAATTCCAATAAAAAGAACAAATAGAAAATAATGACCATCAGGCCCGAACACAAGACAGTTTAAAAGAGTAATAGTACATAAGATGCACACAGTTGATCATCCTTTTGACTCTTGAGGCTATTCTAGAAATTGTGATGTGATCATCTCCACAGCCTCTCTTTTGATAGAGCTGAATCTTAACCAGCTTCAAATTAATTTAGGATAGTATTTCAACATATTTTTGTAATGGTTCAGTAGTTGTTAGCACGATTCTTGATGTTCTTGAGAAATCTTAAAATTTTGATATCAATTGGACGTGAAACTCTTCTTGCCATTCTGCCCAGGTTGACTGCTTTGGTGCTTATTCTTCACCATGGTGGAATATGATGTAGAACAAATGATGTGAAGCTTATACTAATCTATATCCATGGCTGAACAAATCTCCTTAACCAAGCTTACAGTCCAGAAGTTCAAGTACAGATTACAAAAGTTGAGAACTTAATCCCGGCATCAGAATCTATAGACCAAGTGCGGCACAAAAGTTCAGAATTGTAAGCAAGGTGAAATAGAGTAAAAAGTTTAGGTAGAAACACATTGACAACATTTTATCACAATCCCCACTATCAAGGCAACATTTTACATTAACCACTTCGCTTAAAGGCCATTCCAAGCTACTAAATATGACCAACAACTGTTGGGTCATATTATTATCATTATTACTTTAATCATACTCATCGTCGCTGATGCCATTTAAGAACGCATCCAAGATGCCAGTTAACTTTTGCTGCTAGATTGATGCTTTCTTCATTTTAGTTAGGCTTAATTTGCTTTGAATATATGTTTCTATTTTCAGATTTTGTAAGAGACTTTGCACATGGCCTTGGAGTGGTGAGTCCTGAAATCTTCCCATGTTTGCATGTTACATTCCGAAAATGGGTGTGACAAATTGTATATTACTTGTGTACGGAGTTTGTTGGCAACAATAGTATAAGTCAATGTTGCTGAGTAAATACAAAACACAGGAATACTTCCAAGACAGATTAATATAAAGCATAAAGGCATAAACAATATGAATATTTGTTTATTCTAGCACTTCCAAGGTATTCCAATATAGTAAAAAGTACCTGTTCCAATGACTGACGAAATTGTTCTACAGGGGTAGCAGTTTTTGATAGTTGATGAGCTGAAGTCTTCTTTAAAAGCTACAAAGGTGGTACAGAGAAACCTTCAACATTAAGATGCATTGTGGATAAAACTATTTCAACATGAAATTTAGCCACAAAACTGAACAATGAAATAAAATTGCAGTAAAACATGTCAGTTAACTTTCCACTCCTGGTGAAATAGGAACATCCAACACATTTTGGTCAACAGACTAGCACATGAAATCTTTGAACAACAAAAAAAATTCACATCATTTGAATCAAGAAATGAGACATTTGAATTACCAAATAAAAAATAGCTTAAAAGACTGTATATCTCCATCCATTTAGTGTGGTAATGGTACGAAATCTAATCAGAATTTTCCAGTCCATTGTTAGCTTGCAAATTGCGATGGCAATTTCTTGACTCGGTTCAACTCACCCTCAGTATTAAAAGGAAGAATTTCATCCCAATTCAACTATAGGACACATGCAATAATTATCCTCCTTATAATAACACCAAGTTGCATCTCGCTAGTACCTGCTCACTAAAAATTCACTTCTTCACAATCGAATCAAACAGTAGCACACACACAATACTTGTCATCAGTAACTTCATAACCAACTTCGAAAAGGAGACACGTCAATTAAATTAAAAGCACACGTTATCATCCAATCCACTATCAGTATATATATTGTAACAAGAAGAAACCTCAACGAAGTCTTGTAAGATGAAAGATGCAGAATAATACCAAAATCAGCACACAATACGAGAAAATCCAAACCTTGTCGAGAAGGAAGTTGGGGAAGAGCTGCGACGGCGTAAGGAACTGCGAGCAGCAAGGACAGTCGCTCTTGTTCTGAAGATGAGTGAAAATGCACATGTAGCAGAAGCTGTGGCCACAGGCCGTGAGGAACGCATCCTTGATTATCTGCATACAAATTGGGCAGAGCAATTCCTTCTCCGCCGCCGCCGCTCCATCAACTCCCTTGCGGTCCTCCGCCTTATCCACCGCCCCCGTGGAGGATTCCCCCATGGATCTAACTCTGAGGAGGAACGTAAAACCAGAACGTCACCAAATGGAATACGGTGGGTGAGGTGAGGATGATTCCACTCTGCCTTTAATATTTGTTTTAAATAATAAGTTATTATTATTCATAAATAAAATATAAATAAATTGATGGATTGCAACTCGTTACGTCCTTCCTATAATTATTTTAATTAGGTATTCATTTCTGCCGCTCATTTTTTTAGGTATTATGTGAATTTTATTCACTTCATTACTTCCAACTGAATAAAATTTTTAAAATATGGTTAAGACTGTTTGTATCATATTATCAATAAAATAATATTATATATATATATCATTTTATTTACTTGTAACTTCATCATAAATTTTAGTATTAAATTTTAAATATAACTCTAACAAATATTTTAATAATGGGCTTTATTGGGTTGGGTCATAATCCGGGTCAATAGTGTATAAGAATGTATATATTGCATCCGCCCAGGATCGAATCAAAACGCACCTACACTTGGGCTTGTTTGTCGGTTTTAGAGTTTGAATTTAAATTTTAAATAATAAAATTTAAAATTAAAATAATTATATTAATATGATATTTTAAAATAATAAACACACTCAAAATGTGGAACTTTTTATCATTTTAACAAATTATTAGGTTATGCCTAACATCATTCTAAATATCCAACAATATTTTATTTATTATTTTTATTTTTGTGAAAGAGTTGGTTAAAATTTTATTGAGAAATTTTTCCACTTTATTGTACATTTAATTTCCAATTAATTAATAAAAAGCCATCCTCTTAAATGGGTTGTTAGGCGACTTAAATTCTTAGTTGACCAAAATAAGGATGTATTTGTTTGGAATTTGGATCGGGTTTTAAATTATATAAAAAATAATATATTTTGTAATTTTTTTATAATTATTATAATATATTAAAATAAAAAGTAAATATATAAAATCATATATATTTTAAAATTAAATTATTTTAGATAAATAATAAAGGCATGGAAGAGAAAATTGATAGAAAACAGAGTCCAACAAACTTTTAGCTATCTTGAATACAAGTCGGTTTAGTGGGCCCACGCTTTTATTCAAACTGGCGGCAGATATTCCACGTATGTGGGCTCCACTATCGATTCGATCGGACGGCTATAATTTCATCTAAAAAAAGGCAGATATGGACGGCCCAGATCTTCCTGCTTGCAGGCAACGCTACGATCTCGTCCTCCTGAACGGCGGCGATTTATGCTATCTAAAAATGTGTACAATGGAGAAGAAAAAAATAGAATATTCCATGTATTTTGTTTCCTAGTACGGCCAAGCCACACTTGCATTCAACACTTTTCATTGAAAAGACTTATATACCCTCTATTGGCACGAGTTTCATTGCTATAAATTTACCCTTTGATTAAATAAGAATAATTTAATTAATTTATATTTACTACTCTTCATTCTCAAATATTCTGAAATATTTTTTTTTTGTATGTCTCAAATCTCTTGCAATATTTTTGTAAGGGATGGTCTGATGGTATAGGAGTTGGATTTGTGATTATGAGGGAGGTCATGGGTTCAAATTCCTGACCCCTCAAATCACCTACTACACATGGTTCACCTAGTCGGGAGTTTATCCAGTGCGCATTTTCGATAGCGGCATCGAGTTTTCACGACATAAAAAAATAATAATAATTAATTATATTTAATATATACCCCACACTTTTTCTCATTCTTTTTACATCGTATCACTTAATTTAAAAATGGTATTTTCAATTAGTAATGTATAATCTATCTTTTTCCCTTTTTTTTTTTTAAATATACTAATGGGTTGTTTGATTTTATCTATTTAATTTTAAATTTATTTTAAATAATATTTTAAAATATATTTTATTAGAAAATTAATATTTCAATAGTCAACTCTTAATATATATTCGTTTATTTTTTGAATGTAAGTTATTGATTATTATATTTTATCAATATACTCATAAAAAAAATGATATTTTTATAATATTATGTAAAATATAATGATATACTATATTTTTTACTTAAATGAAAAGCACAATTAATAAAAAAATTTAAATAAATTCATTAAGAATGAATAAATTAAAATACAAATAAATACATTGAACATAAACGAAATAAAATATATTTATATTAAAAACGGTCAAACAATACTTCCTTTATCTAAAAAAAACTGCACTCTTATCTTTTAATATAAATTTTAATATGATGTGTATTTTTATGCTCATCAAAATATATGTTCATACTTTTTTAACATAAGATTTAATATAGTATATATGTATTTTCTTTTGTTACTTTTTGTCTATTGTAATAAAAAATAGAAAACAATACTACTTTTAAGATTAAGACAATTAATTCTTTTGTAAAATATTTTGAATATATTTTTTTGGAAGAGGACAGTGTACTGATCTGTAATTTTAATTCAGCAATGCTGATATGTTATAAAATTACATATTTATCCTTATATTTAATTTTCATCATTACATATTAAATAAGATTAAGTGACCAAATTCACTCCGGCATTGTTGAATTTTGCATTTCAGCATGCTATCACATCTGTTTTTTATTTTCAAAAAAATAAATATATTACATAAATTTACTATTTTACAATCTTTTTATTTAGTAACAATAGTCTCATTTTGTAATTTTCGTTCGCCTGAGAACAATTGTTTTATTTCAATTTTGGTAACAAATTTTATTTTTTCACAATAATTACATAAAATTAGAAATTTTAATCTTTTAAAAATATATTTACACCCACTATTAATAAAATACTATTATTTTTTAATTTATGTATTTTTCAAATATGTTTATTGTTTTAGAACGAAATGAGTATTACTTAAACAATTTTCTATATTTTACACTAATTTTTTTCTTTTCAAATCGAAATACAAACTTTATAGCAAGGTAACCATATTTTTAAGAAGCAAATGAAACAACATTTTTTACTTGAAATAAGAAGCAGACCATCTTATTTTGTTTAATATACAGTACATAAAATATTTAATTTTAAAAATTACCAAATAAAAATATTTCACATAAATCACGTTATTTTGTCACAAGAATTAGGCAAAAATAGGGGTAGCTAAAAACAGTAGGGGTAAACATGTCTAATCACTCTCCCACCTCCACGGCCCCCGTTATTTATGTATAAAATAATAAACAAAAATGACATAAACCAACGCAGGAAATACTTTTTTTATGTGATACGTAGAGTAAAGTAATATTTCGGAGTTTATTTATTAATTTATTAATTTAAATATTTAATGATCGTACACGAGTGCGAGAAAATCTCTCGTAAACAATTCCCACTTTCAGAATTCCCGAGTTTGTCAAAGATCTGATGGCTGAAATCTGAATTCTGCATAAACTAATCGAAGAAATTTTAATGGTGGTGCAATCCGAGTGTTGGATTTTGTTGCAGTTATTCGTTTATTTATGTGTGTGAATTTGTTTTTGTTGCATTGAAGCTGGCGTAATTTCGGATTTCTCTCGCCATTGATCACAATCATTCGCTGTGTGTATAGTGCCGGTGCTGAAAATCGGTATATAACTGCAAATAATTATATACAGTAGATTCATAGTACCGAGCGGCTTGGAAGGTTTTGGGGGATTCGATGCCGGGGAATCGGAAGTTGCAGAGGAATGGTTCGGCGACCGAGAGAGTTGAAGGTGAGAGGATTGTTATTTTGAAAGATCGGAGTTTATATGATTTGTTTGTAGATTAGTGCTGATCTTCGTTTATGTTGATGATCGCCGATTTTTTGCTGAAAATGGTGAACGGTTCCTGATTTTTTTCTCACAGCATTGATGCATCAAACTTCTGATTTCTTTGTTTCGTAAGACTATAAATCTAATTTGGAATGGTGCTTAGCGTGCGTCGTTTTCGCTTGATGTGGTGTGTGCTTGATTTTGCAGATGCAATGAGACGGTTAAAAGTAGGCGATGATGACAAGGGTAGAGGGGGTGATGAGACTGGTTCATATCCGGATCGTCCGGGTGAACCGGATTGCATATATTATCTGAGAACTGGGTCTTGTGGTTATGGAAGCAATTGTCGTTTCAATCATCCCTCTGATCCACGACAAGTAAATTCTGATATTGCAATTTGCATATGTTGCATTCGAACTGTGGAATATGTTGTCTTTGATAATTTGATTGAATGGAATACTTGATTGGTTTTCTCGTTTTCGTTGTTTGTTGTTGTTGATGATGGTTAGGTATATGATGCTAAAAGCACCACTGAATTACCAGAACGAGCTGGACAGCAGGAATGTGGGGTAATAAACTTTTTGTTTGATTTCTTTAACATATCTGTAAAGGATCATGGTACCTCATATTATTATACTACATTACTGTCTTCCACACTTTCTTTAGGTATTTACTTTGTTTGTGTGGCTTCTTTTGAGGATTGCCATATTCATACCTTCTTGTGTTGCTAATTTTTGAGTGAATGATATAGTTTAGTGATCAGTTTCCCATTCGTTTGGAGTTTTCAGTTAGTATGTTATCTTCATCTGAAAATTTTTGTTTCCATTTTATCCATCCAAGCATGTGTCATCGGATTCCTCAATATTAAGGGAATGGATGAATAATTCTTTAGTAAAAGAGGCAACAATGCTATTAGTTATTCTAGGAGCAAAATGGCTGCTGTTTCTTGCTCAATCATGGGGCTTTTGGAAAGGAAGGTGGCCATTATCTTCATCTTCATATATGGTATGGTAGTGTCTTATAATGCCAGTACACAAACATGGGCCAGAAATGGATATGTTGTGTAAGTGTGCTGTTATTATTCACCCCTTCGTATGTTACTACCATTTGTATTTCCCTGATTTAACTAACTTGTTTTGGAATAATTTTGCCTTCTGAGTTGTTGGGAGTAACTGTTTAGTTATTGGTCCTCCATTTCTCATTTACTTAAACTTCTTTGTTTAGAGTTTGCACCTATCTTTGAAGAAAACAAATGTTTGATGAAGGGGAGATCATCTGGATTTTCAAAATGGGCAGCAATGTATCTATATTCCCATCAATTCAGCAGATGCATAGTTTTCTTTAACTACGATTATGACCATTCCTAGATTTTTCATATTTAAAATACTTGGAAAATTTTGATTTATGTTCCAGACGTTGAGTACCTCCATGCATTTATATCTGGTGAGTCAAGTTCAACTTGTTGTCATTCCGAACAATGGCAGGTTTATACATTTATATCTAGATCTAATATGTCTACACTGTAAATTTAGGTAATTTGAATGTAATGGGAGAAGCTTGCAATGATTGCTACTTAGTGACTTTGAGATATTTTTACCATTTTTGCTCTTGGTTGGATAAACAAACATTTATGGTTAGGCATTGATAGTTTCCAAAATTAACTGCTATTGGTCATGTATTAAATTCCAAGTTAACCTTGATTTAAGTTGTTTATAGTTCTATTAATTGAACTGGGTTATTATATTCATTGCAATTACCTTGCAGCATTATCTGAGGACAGGCACCTGCAAGTATGGGCCCACATGTAAATATCATCACCCTAAGAATAGGAAGGTTGATGTCTTGATGAATATTTTGGGTCTGCCAATGCGACAGGTACTTGTTTCTCTATTTTTCGCTTTCGTCCCTTCAATCCTCTTTCTTATGTCATGTTCAGTTATCGAATTTGTCTGATATAGGTAACATTTATGAAGGTAGATTAATGTAGTGCCATTTTTATGATCTTGATTGGGTACATCTCCAGGATGCTAGGCTCTGTCAATATTACATGCGGACTGGATTATGTAAATATGGATCTGATTGCAAGTATCATCATCCTCAACCTCCGTCAGCAGGAGCTAATATGTTGCCTGTAGTTGGACCTGCTTATGGATCAGGCGGGTCTGCAAATGTGCCTTCATCTGGCATGACATCTTTAGATGAACTTTCAGCAGCATCAATGCCAAAACAAACATACTTTGCTGGTTCTTTCTTTCAACTTCCACAAAGCTACATACCCTATTTTGTACCTCCTTCGCATGGATGGAATACATATATGGTATGTTATCTATGAAATAGTTTCTGTTTTGTCATTTGTGCTGTCTCTTCTCTCTGGCTTATCTGATGTTTGTCATTTGTCATATAAATATTAATTAATTGACGTGGTATCATAATATTTTAGTGCATCAAACTTTGTTTCTTGCAAAGAATACTTATGGGATCTTGAGCTATGAATGGAAGTGCTAGATTTCTTCTTATTCCTCATACTTGATCTATACCTTTTCAGTTTAGTTACTCGCTCATTTTATCCTGCTGAGTTACTACATGGTGCTGAATGCTCTCTTATTCACCCTTCTTTGTTGTGTTATTGCTGGAATATGGCATATTGATTTCTTCATTTGGTTGCTAACTGTTGAAGCTATTACACGAGAAAGTGATACATCTTCTTATTATCTTGAACTTTGGGTGAGATGATCATTGATAAGGTACTGGAGGGTCACATCATTAATGAGACATTGTCATGGACTAAAGTTTCCTATAGTGGTGTTCATTAATGAGAAAATATTCCTTTGGTCATAACCTAAATCCCAATTGTGCCACCTGGAACAGATTTTTTTTGGTTTCCCCTTCGAGGTGATGCTTTAGAAAAGATATGAAGCAACTAGATGTAATTTTTTTATAATTGGGTTTGACAATGCAAGATGGGTCTTTTTGGAATCAGTCCAAGCTTAGAGGTTTGGACAAATTTAATGGAATGTGGAATTAATCTGAAGCGCAGATGGGAAAGGAATCAATTTCCAAAGTTATTCATCATGAAATTTATGAACCAATCACAATTGCAGAATAGATCTGTGAAGTTTGTCTTGATAATTTTATGTTCTGATGAAGCATCAATAGTTGATCTCTCCATGTCATTATCACTGTATATTTTGCCAGTTTTTGGAACTGTTTAGTTCTTTGTTGCATATTATATGTGCAACTTCTGATATTCTGCATGTTTACCATCCATCACTAGGGAAGTGTCAACCCATTATCTGTTCCTGGTGTCCTCACTGCACCACCTTCTAATGGTCGGCAGCAATCAGTCACTAATCTGCCAGAAAGACCAGGTCAACCAGAATGCCGATATTTCATGAATCATGGGAGCTGTAAATATGGTTCAGATTGCAGGTATAATCACCCCAGAGAGAAAATGTCGCAATTGCCACCAAATTCTCTTGGACCCCTTGGACTCCCCATAAGACCTGTAAGTCGCTTCTTATTTTATTCTTCCTGGCTAGAGTGATCTTGTAACTGCCAGATTGATTTCAGCTATATTGTGAGTAAGAAAGAAACTTAAAGTTATAGATCATGATTATGATCCCATGGTCTGATATGCGGTTCTCTGCAGCTGAACTTGGAGATCCTTGAAGTTAATCATATGTCTGACTTTTATAGATCTTAGTTTACATCTATTTGCTACCGACTGCTGTTTTGATGTGATGATCAGCACTCTTCCCAAAGTCCTTAAATTGGAGCTCTGGGATGCTTTGGTTGCTTGAAACCTTCACTGTTTGCTATGGAATCTATTTGAATTTGTGCGTTCGTAGATCTATAAATGTGAATACTCGAGCTGTTCGACATCTTTTGCTAAAAAGTTATTTAATGCCTACAAGTGTCAGTTTTTGCACATATTGATCAACATTGCATTGAAAGTGTTGGGCCGGAAACTTGTCTTTTGTGTGTAATTTCTCCGCCAACTGGCATGCTAATATTTTTGTATTGAAAGTGTTGAGCTAACACATGAATCGATGCCTGTTTTAGTTTGGTTCTTTAACTAATTTATCCCATTTGAACAATGCAGGGACAGCCTGTATGCTCGAACTATGCTCTCTACGGCCTCTGCAAATACGGCCCTACATGTAACTTCGACCACCCCATGGATGGCTACTCCTACGGGTACAGTCTGACTGCCCCACCTCTCGCAAGTGTCTATGCATCATCCATTCCATATGGAATGGCCCCAGTCGTGCCATCTCCTAACATTAATGCCCCTCCGACCAAATCATCCTGGTTAAGTGACTGGATCAAGAAAGGAGCTGCAACTGCAAGCAACAAAAACCAGAATGTGAACGCCAAAGAAGTTGCCGCTGGAGATTCGCCCGACAAACCTGACTCCATCCCACATTCCCATTCCCATTCTCTTTCCCCCGAAGCTTCATCGGCTGATGTTATTGACAATTCTGATTGACAATACAATGCTTTGGGGTGGGAGGGGATGTTCACCCGGAGCCACCACTAACCCAACCGCGGGGATGATGTGGTGTGCTCCTGGTTTATTTTTGGCTCACCTTTTCCTTTCGTCGCTCGATGTTTTTCGGAATGGTATGTTGTTGCAACTATTAAAGATTTTTGGCTGGCCTCTTTTGCTTGTTTGGTGCACGGTAAAACCAGAAAGATTATCATCACGTTTTTGGTTTTATGTTTAATTCCTTTCAATTTGATGGATTGCTTGCTCCATGCTTCTCTGTTTTTGTTTAGAGCTGGTTTTAATTTTTGGTGGTGTCAATTTTACAGCAAGAAAATACCTGTGAGGTTTTTAGCTTTGTAGAATTAAAATGTAGGGAGGATATTGAGTGTATTTTATTTAATTTTTTTTCGATTTGAAAGTAAAAAATAGATCAATATCAAATCTTAATTTTTTATTATTTTTGAAATTTCAAACTTTTTTATATAGGAATAATAATTTATACTCCCTATGAAAAATTTCAGGTGTGTTTGTGCAGGGGATTTGATTTGAATTTTAAAATTTTGAGTTCAAATAATTACTTATATAAATAAAGATTGATATTTAATTTTAATATAATATAAAAATAAAAGTTAAATATTCCTATTTATTTTGATAATTTTGTAAAAAAAATCTGTAAATAATGTAAATAAAACAGAGAATCGAAACTAACGCATCCTTAACCATGACAATGGACCGGCGTCATAGTTCGGTTCAAACAATGGGCTTTTACTCTGTTCCATTCATTCTTATATTTCACAATAGCGATAGTCGGTTCTTCTGGAAGTCTTCCGTCGGGCACGCCTTTCGCTCCTCCGATCACTACAACGGATGGAATGCCCTCGGCGCTCCTGAATTCTCTGCCTCCCATCAGAAGAAATCTGATTCATCGAGGAATAAAAGGAGCTTTGTATTGGAGGAGTAATGTATAGAGGCATACCGCGTCTGAGGGCTTCGGGCTCTTCCCTTGCTAACTTTCTGACGGCTGCGCAGTTGAAGAGAAAAGCCTCCAATTCGCTGTCTGCTGTTCAGGACACTTTCTATTCCACTAAGGTAATAAATGTGCCGATGATTGTGGGTGTGTTCTGTTATCTTTCGGATCGGAGAAACTTGCGTGCGCTTTTGTGTGATTAATCTATAACAAGTAACGAGGAACAGAGGAAGTGTGTTTCGTTCATTGTCGCACGATGTTTTCTGCTTCATATGATTTATATGCGGAAGATGTCATGTTAGCTTTTTTTTGTATTTAGAGATATCTATATGATTCTTACTAGTATGATTTTACATGTGCTCTTGCGCACATAAATATTTTTTAACCGGTACTTTAGTCAGCGCTTGTTCTGTTATTGTTTGTTGTTGCAGGATATATTTGAGAGGCATAGAGTGGTGTTTACTATTTCCACTTCTATTGCATCAGTTGCCACAGCATGGGCTGGTATAAATTTATTTATATTAAAATAATTTCAAAAGTACTCTTATGCTCTTAATTTCTGTTAAGCAATTTTTTTTTCCTTCTAAAGTTTTTTTGTTTTTGCCTAATTTGCTTATGCATTGTTTTCATTACATTCTGGGTACTGATATTTTGTAAATGTGAAGAGAGGAACATGTTCAGTTGGAATTAAGTAAGTCTATTTTCATACAAACTACAAAGTTGTCATGTCAGTTGTGTGTATATGGCTATTGGAAAATGCAGGGTGTGGTCTTTTGTGTTTATGTTTTCGTTTTGTTTTTATGTTTTAACGTTTTTAGATGAAAATAGTAGTTGGATGTAATGTTTTATATAGAAAATGGCTTTGGATGTGAGGTTTTTGAGGAAAAATAATAAATTGAATGGTAAAAAGATGAGGAAGAAGACATAAAAGAGTTGAAAATGCATTAGAAGTGTTTTATTATTTAAAAGTTCTGATATCTCTATTTCATATAATCACATTGCTGGAGTACATCCAACTAGGCAGATTTGGATGCTGCTGTTATTATAATGTGTGTGCGTTACATGCTTGATCCTTGGTTTGTCTGGGTAATTCTGTGGAATTACTTAAAGTTTGGGCAGTCAATCACTTGATTCCATTACAATATAGCAACTACTCAAAATGTTATGTACACTTGTATTTCTCTCTTGAAGATTTTTGCATCATTTAACTTGGAGTGATCCAGGTTATTCTATACGCCATTATCACGAATCAAGGGTTGACCAAAGACTTGAAGCAATTGAAAAAGCTGTAAGTTAGTTACTATACATCTACATGCTTTGTTTATCCTTGCTAACACCTGTCAAGTTAGTGAGAATCTTAATATCGCTGTTGGATGTTCGCTTTTGTGTATTTATGGTCTGAAGTATTTAGAAATTGGATGTGTTTATAAATAATTTCCCTTTGTATAATTTCTTACTGTCATCTAGTAGTATAGCCACCTGTGTTGTTAAGCAGTAAGATAATGCCCTTATTAGATAATTAATTTTTCATGCTGTATGTGATCTTTGAACTTGGAGTATGGTGGATACTGGATAGATTTCAAACGTGTGTGAATGTCTTAAGCAATATATACTGAACTTGAAGCTTTGGATAACAAGGTACTAAATTGTTCAGCTTTGGATAACAAGGTACTAAATTGTTCAGCTTTGGATAACAAGGTACTAAATTGTTCTGGGAAGCGACATTTCATAGTAAGAACTCCAATTGTTTAGCACTACTAGCTTTATTTATACATTGAGCTCATGATTTACGGTGCCAAACTTCTTTACTTTGTCCTATCCAAGTGATTCCAGACACTGCAAATTCCTCCACATTCTTTGGCATTGTTTGCAATTTTTATTTATTTATTTGCTTTTAATTTATTTAAGATTACAATAAAAATGTAAGAGCTAGAGTTAGAAGTAGTACTTGGAGTTTATGCTTAGAACAAATTAGTGATTTAAGTTGTAGATTTTATGTTAAGAAAACATTTGCTCATTATGATTTATTACAAAGAAAATTTCAATGAAAGGTTCCATGGAGAGAGTGTTCGGGTATAAATTACTGTATTAAGGATTAACTTGTTTTAAGAGTTTGCAAGCAGTGTCTCTCCATAGAACTTTGTGGTATCCAATTATTTAGAACAATTACAACCTTTTCAATTACAGTCTGTTTTGAAACTTTCCTCTGTTGGTTTTTTTGGTTGTTGAATATGGAATTATACCTTTGTTTTGGCAGATGAAAAGCAGCTATCAGATACAAGATCCTGAGCTTAAAAGGCTTGTTTCTGGGACAGTTAGTTTTCCAGCATTTCTTGCGACTGCTGGAACTAGCTTGATTATTGGGTCAGTTAACTTGTACTCTTGTTTGTGCTATTTTAATCCTATTATACTGAAAAATTCAATCTTGAAAAGGGAGATTGTTAATATTTGTTTGTTTACCTTTCTTCAATCAGCTAGTTCATGTCTTTGTTAGTTTGGCTGGATTTGAATGGCGAAAAACAAAGTATTTCCTTTTTTGACCTGCGAGTGGATATTAGAGGAAATAATTGAATATTTTCATAATGTGTGAGCTGTAATATTTTTTATTTGAATTATGAGTATGCCACTAAATTATGACATTGCTGTGAAAACCTTTTTACTTTTTGGTAAGGATCAAAATCAAAATGACATTCTATTATAAAGAGATTGGTTAATCTTATTTATAAGAAAATAAATCAATGGAAGATGGATATACATATGACCATAGGTTAGTGAAAATGTTCTATTTTACTAAGACCTAAGGCTTCTAAATGTAAATTAATATAGTTTTGAAAATGTATGAAGTCGGCAGTTATTATTATTATTTCGAATTGATGAGAAGTAGGAAACTTTGCTAATATTAATGCCCATATGTGCATATATGTTTATAATGGTCATCCAGCATGTTTTCAATTTTTATTTATTTTTTCGGAAGTTGTACCAATTGATTACAAGTTTGATTTTCAGCTATGGGTTAGGTTGGCGAGGCGGGGCTTGGTACACCAACCGGAAGTTGAGAAGGGAACAGTTGAAATTGTTGGGGCAAATAAAACCAAGGAGATGGCCTCTCAAGTTCTTGAGAAGGCCATTGATGAAGCTTCGACAGCAAGAACCTTCCAGTAACATCTCTGAACCATTACCCAAGGATGCGTCCGCTGCAACTACAATTTGATTGATCGTGCTTATTTATTATGACAAGTCGGCATCCTTGAGTAGTCTTTTGACAGTCCAGTGGAAGCATCGCTCTGCAGCAAGAAATATGCATCTATATGCTTTCAGGTAATGCATTCCATTGTTACATTAATTAGTGATTGCTTCAATTATTAAGAAGAGGATCGAATTTGGATCCATTGCTTGATCCAGTTGGGTTGTGAAGTTTCTGCTAAATAGGAATGATTTTGTTTTTATGATTAAATTACAGTATGTGAAACAAAATGATCATGCTGATAAATAAATTTACTCTTGATATAGTAAAGTTATAATATGTCATTGGAGACAATATTTGTTGACTGATTATTTAATCCTATCAGTGAATTGTTAAACTTGTTTTGGGTGGATTCTTTCATGAAATATGATACTATTGTTTCAAACTTTGGCCACAATACTTAATAAGTACATATAAATTATACATATATATCCTCAAGATTATTTTATTCTTCCTCGTAACATTGCCCAGCCTTAAACATAAACCAATGGAGCAACAAAACTTCCTACATCAATCATATTACAACAGCAGATGTAAATAACAATATAATAATAATAATAACAACAATAATCACACATTAATTAATTAATGAAACAAGAACAATAATACACAAAGACGACATAGACATATATATTATTAGGTAGCGAGTGAAATTGAAATGGGTATTAGGTGATGAGAAACTTGTGCAGAGAAGTGTTGAGGAGATGTTGAGCAACAATTCTGTTTGTCTGCTCCGAAGGATGAAAGGCATCCCAAAACACATACTTGTTCGCATCCCGACACGTCATCGGATTTCGCTCATCGCACGTAAACCCCATCTCGAATCTCCCCGTCGCGCAGCACGCCCTCTCCGACACTTCAAATCCTATATATATATATATATATATATGAAAATAAGAGCATGTATTGTCTGTTCATAATTAAAAAATGTCTTTTTGGGCAAGAAATATGTACCATAGGAGGCCGGGTTGTCAACAATTTGGCGAAGAACATAGTAAGGATTCGAAAAGACCAATTGCAGGCCGGGGATATCTCGGTTGAGCTCGCCCACCATGGCCTCAAGCTTCTGGTTAAAGCTCTCGGCGACCACATTGTACGTCTCCATGCACTCGTTCCCATTCGCAATGTTCTGCGTCCTCTCCAACGGCATGCACCCCATCGGCGGCAGCCCTCCCAGCGATATCTTGTGTGCGCCCAGGCTGTGGATCTCCACCACAAAATTCCTCGCCAATCTGATCAGGAAATCCTCGTACTCGTCCACCGTGTACTGCATTCGCCTCTGCGAGAAAGTGCTGTAGTAGTTCTCCAGGAAGTCATTTGTCCCCATACTTACGACGTACAGCGCATTCACCAGCGTCGACAGCGCCCGGAAGTCGCCCACGTGCTCCCGCAGCCGGCTCCGGTACTCCTTGTAGTATTCTAGCTCCTTCCACATCGGGATTACGCCCTAAAAAGTTTAATATTAATATGATATTATACGGAAAAAGAAAAAGAAAAAAAAAAGATATTTGACTTTCTTTATGACTAGTGACATAATGATGACAGATACGGTGATAAATTTTAATAATACATGTAACAGTTAATTTTAGCAAAATATGGAAAATATAAGTGAATTAAGCCTTACTTACTTACAAGGACATCAGAAGTGGCGTTATCGTAACCGGTACCGGCGGAAGCAAAAGTTACTCCGACGGAAAAATCAGACATATTATAAGCGGGGTCTAAATACGCCGGCACGACGGGGCGCAACCCGACGCCCTCGGAGATGAAGTCCGTTGCAATCCGGCCATTGCAGAATCTCCCGGTCGGCCTCCCACCGGCAAAGTCACGACCGTATGGTCCAAAGTTGCTCCGGGCTATTGTCGGGACGTGGTTGTTGTTGCCGGCGTCGACGGAGGAGTCGCCGAAGACGATGATGGCTGGGATATTGGCTGTCGTATGAATGAGAAAATGTGCGAGGAAAATATGTAGGAAGAAAATGAGGATGTAAGAATAAGATTTAGATTCCATGATCATCGATAATACAAAGGATGGATGTGATGTTGTAATGTGTTTTTTGGTTTTATAATGTGAATGGAAAGGGAGAATTGGATTGAATAGCATTGATGTTGAGCTACATTTGCTGGACATTTAATTAGTCATGTCATGTGAACTTTTCTACTTTTATTTACTTGTGTATTTAGTTTTTCTTGTATTCTACAGATTTTTGCTTCTTTTTTTGAAAATCTTTTTAACTTTTATATATATATATATATATATATGTATTTTCAAGTTTCAAATTTAAAATATATAATAAGTAGACCTATATTTTATGTAGGGACAAATTCTTGTTACAAAAATTAATTCATTCATATATGGTCAAGCCCTATATATATAGATAGATATGTAGATATATGTCTATATATATATATATATATATATATTGCTTGTTTCATTATTTTTGTCTACACATGTAGGGACTTCATGACAAACTTATATGGGTGTGTGTGTAAACAAGAAATTGTAAAAATAAAAAATAAAAAATAAATATACAAGGACAATATCTATGTACAACACACTAAAACAAATTTGTTGGGTCTTATGTTGTTAGAATTTGTGGTTTAGGGCACTTGGTGAAATTAGTACACATATTCATCAGTTGAATGTATTAATTGTTTTATATATGTTGAATTATTAATTAATTTGATTTTGATAATCAGTCACAGTATAAGTAACTATTTTATTTAAATAGTAAGTTGAATATGATATTTTATATATATAAAAAAATGATATATTTATATTAAAAAATCGTAAAAACTTTATCTGATCCACCCCACCTCTAATTTCGACAGCAATGCATATGGCAAGTATCTATACATACATACGTGCAACAATTAATTTACAACAATTTCAATGCTACACTACAACTCAACTACCAACCGAAAAAGTGACAAATGTATTTCTTTGCATTATTTTATTTTATATATTATTATCTAATTTATAATAAAATAAATTTTTAATCTTATTATAACTAATTTTTATTTAAAACCTCACATTTAAATATATTATATCTATATATATATAATAAATTCAAATATACTGGTACAAACAAACACTTGCCATATCATATTAATATTTTGTACAAAATTTATTTGCTATGAAATTTCATTCATATATATATATATTAATTTGATTTTGTTTTCATGTATAAATAATGTCTAAGATGTTTTATTAGAAAAAATAAAAATAAAAATTATATTTTTATTAAAAATTACAACAATTGTATGTAAAAAAAATCAAAACTTAAACTTAAAAGAATATAGTCATATATGTATGTGTTCCTTTCAAAGATATTTAATTAACTTTTTTTCATTTATAAGAAAGCAAAAAAAATAGAAATTTCTCTTTTGCATTAAATCCTACAACAACCTTGGAGGTGATACACACACATTTATATGTAACTGGGGTGTATTTTTATTAATTTTATTAGTCATTTATTTATTTGAGAGGTAATTTTGAATATACATCAAATATTAACTTTTTTTTTAAAATAAAAACTATTTTACTAATATGAATGCAATACTCCCTCCGTCCCAGATACCGTGCATTAGTGAAAATAATTATCCTATAATATAAATAATTATAAATTAAGATTAAGATAACTAATTAGTTTAATTAAAATTAAAAAAGTAAAATTAAAAAATTTAAAATGAGATTAAAGTGTGTAATCATTTTCCAAAAAAGAAAAGTGACATGGTATATGGGACAGACAGAAACGGCAACTTGAACATGGTATCTGGGACGGAGGGGGTATTATTTTATATATTCATATTAAAACCAAGTTACCTAAATTTGATATTTGAGAAATCCATTATTATCTTATGAATAATATTAAACCCACAAAATGAATAATTAAGGCCTAATATTACATAGAATAACATATAAAAATTGAAATGAGATTATAATTAAGCATAGATATACATAATACAAAAATATAATGCTGGTAGCTTGGGCATTAGGTATATATATATATATATATATGTATTGTATATTAAACATCCATAATATTTTGATGTTGATATATGACATAAATAATAATAACAATAATAATTCTCTACCCTATTTTGCAACTAATAAATATAATTAGTGTGACACATGCAATTAATTAGCTCAATTATTATATGATTAGTTGAAATGTTATTTTTAAAATCATTTTCTTCTTTATGGGAATCATAATTTTGGACCACATAATTCATTTATTTCACCGTTATGTAAGAACAGTCTTAGCAATGACTTCAATACTATTTTTATTTTTTTTTTTAAAAAAAAACAATGTAAATATGTATTATGATATGTTCTTTTGAATTTTGATTATAATAGAAAACTAATATAATATTTTATAAGAAAAATAGTCCCAGATACTATGTCCACGTTGCCGTTTCTGTCCGTCCCACGTACCATGTCACTTTCCTTTTTTGGAAAATGATTACACACTTTAATCTCATTTTAAATTTTTTAATTTTATTTTTTTATTTTAATTAAACTAATTAGTTATCTTAATCTTAATTTATAATTATTTATATTATGGGATAATTATTTTCACTAATACATTCCTAATTATCTGTTAATTACACCCTTCCTAAAATACCGTGTCTACAATATAGCAGACACGGTATCTGGGACGGAGGGAGTATATTTTTATAATAAAATTGCATGGAAGTTTATATATATATATATATATTAAAATTTTGATCATAAAAAAATAAAATTCATTTATTGTAATTTCTATAAGTAGTAATATTTTGCTCACACTACTGGTTAAGAACAATATTTATGTAGCATAAAGATATATACAATATTACTCATGATAGTTTATATATGTATAAATTAAAATTGTTTTACTATTGATTTTTCATATATTTTAATAAAAATAATTTATTTTTTAAATAAAATATTATATTATATCGCTATTTAAATCAAAACCTAAAAAAAAAAAAAAACCAAACCAATGTGATGTAACCATTGCAAACAATATATATTTGAAAGAACTCTTATTCATTCAATCATGTCACAATAATTGAAATAATTATACATACAAATGATCGTTCTTTTCATACAACACAATCCAAAATAATGTTCCAAAATTTAAAATTTTTTTGATGCGTGCATATATATATATATATATATATACATAGACACACATATATCTATTTGTATGTATAATTCAGTTGTCCTTTCCAACGGTCACTTGCAAGCCATGGGAAGAAACATAAGGAGCATGTTTAGATGTCAACAATTTTCTTCCGCCGCGGCATTGGTTGGCGGCTTCGCAACCCCTCGTGTAGGGATTGACTTGATTCGGCGGCGAATGAACTAAATAAATAGGGTCGCCTTTTGTAAGACCTCCGTATCCTATGACCCTTTGTTCTTCTGCCGAGGTTGGCGATGTAAGAAAAGCACTCGCCACAAGGAAAACCATAGCCAAGCCCATAATAGTCTTCGCCATTTTCGACGAATACAAGCTTGCTACAAGAGTGTATTTCCTTATGGCTCTTCTTATTATTGTGTCCTTTAACTTATTTGCTACCTATTGATCCAACATCATGCATATATATATACATATATGTGCAATTTGGGACGATAAATTTGCATAATTTTACTCATTTGGATTTGAGGCATAGAGGAAATTACGGAGTTTTTTAAAAAAATATTGAAATATTTGTGAATCAGAATGAACTTGAGTGCCGAAAATAAATATACATGCAATACTATTTATAGATGTTTTGTTAATAAGCTAAGAAAGAAAAAAGTTTAAATTAGCGGAGTGGATCCGGGGGATGAATTTAATCGGCACCATTAATTAATTAAATTATTTATTTGATTAAGTAATTGAGTTTAAATTAATGATTAAGATTAATTTCTGCTTATGTATGTCGAATTATTATTCAACTCAATAGCTTAACTGATCCCTCGTATTATAGAGCAAAATGTTAATATATTTCTACATATAGATAATAAACTATATTAGTAGTGTTTTTAATTTTATATTTTAGCGTTAAATAATAATAATAATAATAATGTAGTATTAAATAAATATCATTAAGTAGTCCAGTAAAAATGATTTGGTGGCGTGGAGTAAATTGATGTGGGCTGAATTAGGAAAAATTGTAAAAAATATTTCTACGTATATTTCATTATTATTTTTGTCTTTTATTTATTTCGCTGACAATTCTATATATTTACAAACGTCGCTATTTCTATAATTTGGCCACGCGTGTAGAAATAACGAGTTTTGTAAATATTTAGAATATATTTTATTAACAAAATAAATATAGGATAAAAATCATAATGGGGTATACGTAGAGAATATTTTTTACAACTTTCTCGGATGAATTATATAGGTGTATTGTCTATGCACTTGTTTTTGCTTTTGTGTTTAGGTTTGAATTTGAATTCAAATATTAATATTTTAAAGCGATATTTATAATAAATAATACTCCCGTTGAAATATTTAATCTCACTTTTTTGTATGTTTACAAGTGAATATGATTGAAATTTTCGGACGGATGAAGTAATATATTTTTATTGAGAGTTATAAAAAAGTTACATACAAATAAAATCGAAATGAAATACAAAAAGTTTGCTTGTTTAGTGTTTATGATTTCAAAATTTTTTGTTGTTAGATTTGAAAATTTGTAATGATGTTATTAAAAATAGTGTTTTGTGGGTTTAAATTGTTGGCTTTTATCTCACACACACACATATATATATATATATATATATAGTTATTAACTTTGTTAAATGATATGTATTCAATTTGTAATATTTTGAGAGAATGATATTGAGTGTTTTTAGTTTGAAAAAAAAAATTATTTTTTAGCTCCTTAATTGACTTTTTATTAGATTATTTTGTATAGAAATCGTGGCGTAAGTGATTTTTTTTGGCACATTGATCATCCGGTGTCGGAGTGCACACATGGCACCGTCTGGCATGCCGAAGCACACATGTCCGTCAAGTGGGTCCATCCGGCGAATATGTGGAATTTTTTTCAGTTATGTAATTGACTTCCCTTATCATTTTAGTCATGTAAGTGATTTTTATTTATTTATTTTACATTTATTTGATGGATACGTATGCTCCGGCGTTTCAAGTGGGTGTCACGTGCACATCTCTAGACCGGAGAACAAATTGTGCCAAAAAAATTTACTTATGGGTTAATTTCTATAGAGATCCGGCGGCTACCAGACTAAAATGATAATTAACCGTGTGATTAAAAAAAATATTTTTCTCAAAAAAAATGTTACACCTCTTTTTAACATATAATTTAAACTATTTATCAAATATAATTGAGCCATATTTTAAAAATGTAACAATAGAGGAAAGAGTTAACTCATGCACTACTAATAATACAAAAATTAAGAGTGTCTCTTGTGTCTTTTTTTTTTTCATTGTAATTGTGAGTATTTTTATTTCCTATAATCAAATCTCAAGATATGTTTTTCATTTTTTATTGTCTTACATGAGACCAAATACTACAACATTATTTTGTGACATAAACATCAATCAAGATTATAATCTCATACAACCAAATAATATATATATATATAGTTTCGATTTGATATGTGCATATCGATCATTCATCCTATACCATTATTTTGTATTGTTAGCATTCAATGGAAAATTAACGGGATAAATATTACGTAAAAATTCATTTGCTAACAATTTGATGATGATCATAATACGGTAAGAAAATCTTTATTACTCTGAGTGAAATTACATATGGTATGAATAATTGATTTTCCGAAGAGCGCTAAACATCCATCCAATCAGGACAATCTAAAAAAAAGTATGGATGATGTCTCTACGTAACAAAATAATTTATATATCTCAACTCTCCGTACATAAAATTCAAACATTATAACCCAAATAACAATATAACATCGGATGTCTTAAATATTATTATTGTAATTAGTAGGAAACGTGTGAAAAATCGGAGGAATGATAATAATAGGAAGTTGGAAGGTTAATAATTTTCTTGCAGGGCGAGCTTGCCCGATAGTTGGTTTAGCAATATAATGTTGTCCTCCAGGAAGACCATTTTTTATGAGGTGTCCGTATCCGAGGTAGTTTGAGCTGTCTTCCTCTGCCGAAGATAATGATGTAAGAAAAACACTCGCCACAAGGACCAGCATTGCAAAGCTTGTCATCATCTTCGCCATTTTGGATATGAAAGATACACCTTAATTGTAATAACTAGCCAACCTTAACTTCCTCGTGATTTCAACTGTGGGTTGCTAGCTAACAATTGTTCGAAGCAATATATAGACGCAATAGATGGATATGAGAAAACGACTCAAAATGCATCAAAATTAGCGGCTAAAAAATGATTAGTTTGTGAAATAGATTGAAAATTTAAAGATACTATTTATAGTTTTTTTTTTTTTTTTTTTTTTTGTTTAAATTCATACAAAAGTGTCATTTTTTTTAAAAAACTATGAATGTGTGAATAAGTTGTACTAAATTTATTGTCATGTGTAATTGTTCGGTAAGTTGCAATTTAAAATTTTGTATATATTGTAAACTATAGTTGAGATATATATGACTAAATTCTAATAAAGCTACTCTATTAATGGCGATTTCTATAAAAAGATTTGAATATAAAATATTAAAAATATTAAAACAAGTATTTATGTTTTTATATTATATCAAAAATTTAATTTACAAAATTCATATTAATATCTATTTATATTATATTTAATTATTAAAAAATTTCTAAAATTGAAATTCTCAAACAAACACACCTTAAAAACCAGCAAAGCTGATTATTAGTGAACATATCTTCTAGTGGATTATAAGAGATTTTAATGCAAATACTTGTACCTTAGGTAAGTGAGAGAATATGAGTATCTTTATTTTGTATTTTTGGATGAATTTATTTTTTATATTAAATATAAAGAATTGTATTGGTAATATTAAAAATAAAAAATAATAATATTTTACGTTGAGTTATTAACTTTCTGTAAATATTGTGTTAATATGTCTATATAATTAATTTTTTTAATAATATTTATAAAAAATTGTGCCGTTAAAAAATTCAAAGTGAACAAACTCTATATCTAAATTGAAAATTATTATTATTATTATTGAATCAAACAAGTTTTATTTTTATTTTTCATTTAAATTTTAAGAGAGTAAAATTAAATTTATGAATATCCATTCTTAATAATCATTAAACAACTTTTCAATTTCAAAACACAATAAACTTAAATATTCATCTTTGTTTTATTTTAAAATAAGTCTTTTAAGTTTAAAGTTTATATAAATGTATCTTCTAAAAGAAATATATATAGGAGCACATATTCAACTTTTTAATAACATACCTTCATATTCAATATTAAATTTATTTATTTATCTATCTTTGTTTTGCTATGGGACACTTCCATAAACAATTTGCTGTTATATATATATATATATATAACATCAAAAGTCAAAATAAATCTAATTAAAATTTATGTTAAGAAGTTTTCAAGACAAATGGCAATGTAGAGTATGAAAATACATGTAATTGTATTAATCCAAATTAAGAATTACAACCCTTTATTCATATTTTCCCAAACTCTACCCCACAAATCAAAATAATTGAATAAAAAAAAAAAAAAAAGAGAGAGAGACAAAGATATATATACATTGATACTCTTCAAATATGTTATTCTTAAATTTATCAATATTAATCTCAGATATTGACACAATATGTATTCAATAGTTGACAATCTTCAGTGAGTCTTAATTATGGCCACCACCGCCGCGACACTTTTGGCCAGCTTGACAACCCCGCTTGTAGGGATTCACCGGAATCGGCGTAGCATCGGGAGGGGAAGTTTTCGGGAGGGATCCATATCCGATTATTGTATCTTCTTGTGACGACACGGCAAGAAAAGCGTTCGCCACAATAACTAATATGAAGAAGCTCATCATCATTGTTTTCGCCATTTTAAAAAAAAAAAAAAAAAATCCAATCAATTTAATCTTATTGTTTGTTTTTTCAAAGATAGTATTTGTTAGTTTGTTATTGTTTTAACTTAAATGATTGAACTTCTATATATATATATATATATATAGATATGTGAGCCGTTGACAATATAGTTAATTTTTCCGTTGAAATTTAATGGTTTGTAATAAAGGAAAACAATCAACCACACGACTAAATATATATATATATATGTATTTCTTAAAGGATAATCTAGTGGTTTGAAATTAATATAATCGTGAAAATCATGAGTTCAAATATCTGACATTTATAGATCTTGCATTGCCTACCTAGTTTGTAGTTATTAAATTTGATCGGAGATTTACTCATTGCACACTTGAACAAATTTATAATCTCAAAATTATGATTTGTTTCAAAATTAAGTTTATTTTTTATTTAAATAATATTTTAATATAATATTTTTATAAAATAAAATAATATATTTTGATTCGAGTTATAGACTAAACAAATCCTTAATTTTAGAAATCACATCAACTCACATTATAGTTTCTTGTTTATATTGTCCTTCAAAAAATGAATTCTTCCTAGTAGAATTTCAACTTTTTTTCTTGTAATAATAATGAAAATCATTGAAAATATATATATATATATACCCCTTGTATTTTTGTTTCGTTTTTTTATCATTTCATATCTATTGTTTATAATATCACTTTCAATATTATTTAAAAATAATATATTTTATTATTGATTGTATTTAATTTTGATTTAAAATTTGATTAAAATATTATTTTGTGATTAAAATTTGATATATTAAATCTGATTAAAATATTAGAAATAAAAAAATCAAACAAATCCGTTGGTTAGAAAATAAAAAAATCAGTATTTAGATGTATAAACAATTTTCATGTTTATAATATATAAAATTTAATTTAACTGGGGTCAGTATATAATATGCTGTTAGTATAAAATTAAAGCGATTGACCATATATCTGGATTCCAGATAATTCTACGTCAGCGCAGACATAGCAATACCTGCTTACGTTAGTCTGCCGCACACTCTTATAGACTAAAGTGCGCATGTCCTAATCGGCGTATATATATTTCTCGTTTCTCCTAAACCCGTTCAACAGGTAAAGAAAGAAGTTTTGTCTTGGTGAAGAAGATATCTCCAAATCCTCAAATTTAGGTATGTTCTCTCCGATTTCTTCTCAAGATTGTCCAATTAGGTGTCCGCGTAGCTTATTCGATTAAGGCGTCTGAAGTGAAGATTTGATGTTGGATTTTGTTTTTTTGCGCAATTTTCTGTATGATCGTTCTTTCTTGTAGATTATTTTGTCCTTCCAGCTGAAGAAATGATCGAATTTTAGTCCTCTAGGTTATAAATGTGATGCAGTGGCTAGTGAATTTGGTGAGTGTGATTGAATTGCGATTTTGTAGGTTTGACATTGATTGGAATATTATGTTTGGGATTTTGTTGGCTTTAGATGCATGATTCGACTTCTTGTATTGTCCTGCTTCATTTATCGGATTTTTACTGTCAGTTTCCAAAAGTAGGGTTCTTTATCGGTGAACCTGCTGTTGGTAAGAAATTTCATTGGAGCATATGATTCTATGCTTATCTCTGGACTTATTTGTTTAGGCCACAAATGGAGCAGCAGCAAGAAGTGCAAAGTGTCCTGGTGGTGTGGAGAGGACAAAGTTTTGTTGTGGAGATGAATCCAAGTGCCACTCTTAAGGAGATGGGGCAAAAATTGCAAGAACTCACAAATGTCGAGGGGGATACTATGCGCCTATTTGTTCCCTTCGAGAAGAGTTCAAAAGTGTTCTATCCTTTTTCGAATGAGCATTCTCTTCTAAACTTGGAATCAATATCAGTTTTTAAGGTACTAGAAAGTATCCATTCCTCTTATGACATGCATAGTGTCTTATTAACATGATACGGTGTGTTCCCATATGCATTGATGTTGGATTTAGCTTTTGGCTGCGTAAATATCCTGAGCACTATTAAAACTAGTCTTCTAATTTGTGTTTCAGGGAAAATCTATCCGAATGATGGGAGTGCCCAAAGATGAGGTTGATGAAATCCTACAAAATGAGAAAGCCAACCATAGAATCGCTGGTTTTGATGAAGAAGAGAAGAGAATGAAGCAGAGATATGCTTATGGATCCATTCCAACACCGAAACTTCCTCAAGGAAACTATATCTTCTGCGATTTTCAAACACTTAGCCTTCCTGGAATAGAGGTAAAAAATCAACCATTCCTTGACTTGTTTAGTTGTTAGGCCTTCTATTTATTTAATAATTGCTTTTAGTAATTTTGCAGTTTCAAAGATAGTTGTGACGAAGATATTTATTTTCATACCTAAATAATGTGAAAAATGAGCTTCTTTCTAACTCAGATAACCATGAATTAGTGAGTTTCAAATCTCAGAGCCCTTAGCTTATTAACTTTTGGGGTTAGGTTCTTGAGGATGGTTTCAATAGTCTTTATTTTAGGACTTTTCATTATTCTTCGGGTTGTCTCCTGCTCTTAGAATGTTGGTAATATTTTTCCTGTCAGATTAATTTTTCTCTCCCTAATATCTGAAATTTTTTGTGTAATATCATCATGTTAAAATATATAGTTGGTATTGAGAACTACCGTATACTATATCTTGTTGAGAACTTGTTTGGAAATCTACAGTTAAATCCTCCTGCGTCAAAGGCTCTCAATTTGCTGCATAAGCTTGCTTCTGACCCAGGAATTGTTGCAATTATGAATAAGGTAAACCGTATATGGTCCTGTATGTTGTTTATAATTCTTGTTAATCTGTCACCACACTCTTCTGCATAGTATTCTTTTTTATCTGTCATTACGATTGCTTCTTACTGTTCTTGTAATGCTTGAAGCATCGGTGGCGTGTGGGATTGCTGACCGAACTGGCACCAGTTGGGTATGTCGGAGTGAGTCCCAAGTGCATCCTTGGCTTCAATAAGGTGTGGATGCTCTTCCTCATCTGCACGTACTCATCACTACTTTTGTTTCTTTTTTTGGTTAAATCTGTTGGTCTGACCTTTTCTCAAGTTTGTGTGTTTTAGAATCATGGTGAAGAAATATCACTGAGGCTTCGGACTGATGACCTCAAGGGTTTTAGAAAATATGAAAGCATCAAAAAGACTCTTTTGCATGAGCTGGTATGTTATTATGATTTTCCATTTAATTACTCTCTCTCAAAAGAATGAACAGAATTTTCTTTAAAAATTTCCATATTAGTATCTACTCAGTTGAAAATGTGGTCTAACTTTTCTCAGGCACATATGGTCTTCTCCGAACATGATTCAAACTTCTTCGCTCTGAATTCACAGGTAGTTAAGCCATTTGTCTATGTCCCCATTGTGTGTATGTATGTGTCCATAGGCTACTCAAAATTCAAATTTTAATGAATTTTGTTTTAATATGTAGTGTAACTTTATCATGAAGCTATACTCAAAATTTCTTTGCCTCTTATGCCTTGATTAAAAAGCTTAACAAAGAAGCTGCTACTCTTGATTGGACAAAATCGAGAGGCCATACTCTGAGTGGATTCTCCTATTCAGGACATGAAGAGGAGGAGTTTGACACTGGTAGCAACATGACTTCACATAAGCTTGGAGGGCAGACTTCTTTCCTTCCTAATGCCCGGGCGGCTTCAGTGAATGCAGCTTTTGAGCGTTTAGCTAATGCATCTACCAACTCTTCAGGATCATCTGAGGTATGATAAAGTTGAAGAACTGTAACCTTAGTATTTATCTAAATTCTATGTACCACCACCTGAACTATGTTAAAAGGATGGAATCTCAAGTTAAAGATGGTGTGCAGGAATCTGGTGCTTTACAGGCTTCTGATGTCGATGGCAATCAGAATGGGGAAGAGCCTGATATTGACGACTCTATACTTGAGCCTGATATGGAATCACAGCAGAGTCATGTTGATATGAATTCACATCATGAAGAAGGCTCATTGCTGAAGAGGAGTGAGCAATCTGACATTGACGATTCCAGGATTGGCCACATGGAGGTCACCATTCAGGAATCCAATCTTGATGATTCTGTAGAAGACCGAAATGAAATGAGAGTTCAAAATGCCGTCCAACCTGATGGAATGAATATTCTTACGTTAGAAAACACTGAATTGCGTGGCAGTTTGAGTACTCATCTTGATGGACTTCATCCAAATGATTCTACAGCCGGAGAAACGCAGCTAGAACATGATCCTGTCGAGGCAGCAACTGGTACCCAAACCGTTGAGCCTGATCCTGACAATCTCGAGTTGCAGGTTATCCAAGATCCGGTTATCATTTTCTGTAATCATCTGCAGAGTGCAATCCAGTCCTTGAAATATGAAGCTAAGCCCTCAGAAGCTGGTACTGTCCTGCAAACTTTAATTAAAATAATACGGTAAGGTTTTTTATTGGAGTTATTCATTCTTACTTATTAGTTTAGCTTTTGGTTCTCTCCGTGTTAAAATATTTACTGTTTTACCACTTTGAATGCCCCTGCAGTAATATAATCGAACATCCGGAGGACATGAAGTTCAAAAGGTTAAGAAAGGTAAGTCGTTGCAATCAACTAATTCCTACCATAGAAGCTTACCCTTATTCATCTGCCCGTTTGTGTTGATTTCCTTGCAGGCGAATCCGATGATACAGAAGAATATTCTTACTTACAAAGGTACGAATCGTCCCTATGAATGTTTCTGCATCTTCAGGATTAACCTGAAACATGTTCTTTAAAACAATTTGAAAACACAACCGAAGGCATGCATTGTTAATAGTGCACTTTGTGTTGCAGCTGCTGTCAATATTCTAACACTTGTCGGCTTTTGCGAAGACAATATTGTGGATGAATGGGGAAGGGCTGAAGTCTTTTTAACCTTAAAGCGAAATGACCCAGGCTTGTTATGGCTGACAAAATCTTCGCTCGAGTCCCATGTCTCATAGCCTTCGAACGAGGTAGGCAGCAATGTCGCAATCTATTAGGTTGCAATAATTTGAAATTGTTGAAAGGGAACACATTAACGACTATCAATGTACAAAAACAGATCTGTGTGCAATAAAGGAAGGTTTATTTGTATCCATAATTCCCTTGGTGCAAAAACAGCTAACAGAACATGCTGGCAAAAACAGTTCTTAGTTCAGATCCAGATAACATTTAGATTGCAAACTGGAAATTCGAGATGGCAGTCAGACATTTTGATTTATGAATCATGTGATCAAGCAGAAGAGCAAAGATGGATCGGATCAGCTAAGTTTACATGAAGAAATAAACAACGCGAGCGAAGCATGTAAGAAGTATACTATAGTCGCCAGCCTTGGTTACGGTCCAAACATTAATTCAAACAGAGAAATCTTTGGAGTAAAACAAGAGACTACTTCAAACAAAAGAACTTTGGAAGTAAACAAGAGACGCGGGGGACAAGGAGTTGTCTGAAACCGAAATCCAAGGGTGCCTTCTGTCAGTTCAGTATGTGCAATGAAAATCACAATTCTCTCCCCACTTTAGCACCCCAACTTTCATGTAAAAAGTCATCATAGTTGGAGACAAATCTGACCTTCAACCATGTTCAAGAAACCTGTAATGAGGCAGAGCAGTCAAGGACCTTCCATGGAGATGTCATTAACGGGAGAAGTATTTGAATTGGCGCCGAATTCGTTGTTTTGTGCAGTGGTGTTTTGACTCTGCCCGGCTCCAAAAGTGAAAACCTGGGGGGTGTCCAATTGGGGACGCAAAAATATTGAAGCACTCGCAGTGTTGCTGAAGACCGGAGCTGTGACTGGCGGATCATTTGGCATTGAGTAGCCGAAGCTGAATGGTGGCTGGTTAGGCATGGCGACACTGCTGCTCTCATTTAAACCAAAAAGTTTCTGTTCAAACTCCTCTAATTGCTGGGAGACATCTGGGAATCAGTAGAATAAAAATTAGGTCAGCAGTGGTATTACAGAGATCCATCGGAAACTAAGGATCCCCAGTATTGTCAGTACCTAGGGTTAAAGGAAGTAATAAATTACAAGTGATGTATACAGTTCGAAAAGGCATCCAAGTAACTCTGTGAGTAATTATTCAATGAAAGCTTTATAAATGACAGAAGTATATTAACAATCTGTAGGCACATCCAGTCAGATTTTGTTTGCATTCGGAGAATGATACCATGAAAGAATTTATTCTCTGTTTAATGACGGCATTAGCCATCTTACTATAATACCGTACCTTCTGCATTTACCAAATAGAATTAACCACCTTCACTTAATACGACAGAAAACTTCTTATCACTTCTCATTAAATTTTGGATGAGGTGACAGTAGAAGATGAAGAATTTTAGAATTTAAAAGGGAAATGAAATTCGATATAATCCAACTTATAAAATCCAAAGGGTTAGATAAATTTTGCAGACATAAATCATTTTACCAAATACTAGAATCCTAGCATCTTGCACTTTGACAGTATATTGCATAAAATACCATGGATCCTGCAGAGGCAGCACTGCAGGCAGTAGCACATGGGATTACTTAACCTAATTGTGCCCTTCTCTCCTTATTAATTCTTGATTTATTAAAGACTAATTGTTGGAAAGTCCTCTTAAGTAATTGTTATTTTCGATTAGTTACAAGTAATGGTACTTACAGTTTCACCAAAGTATAAGTAGTGTCAGTTGGGGACTGGAAAACCTACAGTATTATCAGTGTATGGTGGTTCCCTGTAGTAGATGTATTTTCTTTCGTACAGATTTTTGTCAAATATTCCTCCATAAGCGATAACATTTCCAAAAAAAATAGAAAATGGTGGATGATGTATGATTACAGCTTATGTAAGCAGTAACAATAGCAAAACAGAGCTAACCAAACCTGGATTCAGATCAACAGATGGTCGCCGTTCTTTCACCCATTGGTAACTCTGTGCAAGTTTCCAACCTTTGCTTTTCATTAAATAGGCCATTACTATAGCAGGTGACCTGCCATCAAAACACAACAAAAGGCATTGCTTTTTGTTTCTATTCAGAAAAGTAAAAAAGTTGGAAGCAAACATACAAGTTTGTTGCAATTAGATCATTATATTATACTGGTTATGCTATGACTCATTAACCCCAAGTCCCTAACTAATTGCAACAAGAAGTTGACGTATTCACAGCTATTTTAAAATGTATAAAAACAAAAGATTAAGCCTCCGCATTTTCTGTTCTACACAAAAGAAAGGAGCGACTAAAGAATTAATAAGAAAAACTAACCAGAAGAGACAAAGTACAGCAAAGATTAGTAACATTTCATGGCAATTACTTCACCTGTTTTTACCAGACATGCAATGTACAAGAACCCGAGCCCTATCTCGTTCACATTTTTCTGCACAAAGAATTGGCAGCAAAATAAGCTCTTCATATATATATATATATATATAGTCCTAAATGTCACAAAGCCGCAATCAAGCACAGCCACACATTATTAATCAAAAAGAAACAAGGATAACAATCCATAAGTGATGAGCTACCATAAGTCCCCAAAACAAACAAGGAGATCTGAGATCGATGGTACTTAAAACTTTTCCCTTGTTAATTTACAGTTCATAAAGCCGAAAATACAGTTTCTGGTATCTTTGTGATTTATATGCATTTAATATTCCATGTCTTTTTTTTTGTTGTTGTTGATTGTACTTATGTAGCAACAAAGTTTTTATACATGTTATTGAATGAAACCAGCAAAACCTAGAACCCATATTTTTCAGAAGTAGTCCAGACAACAGGATATCAGCTGCAATGAGACAAGGGAAAAGTGCATAAATAAACTAACATCAAATTGAAGGAACTTACCTAAAAATTGGATTGCATCATCAAACGGCAATTTTCTATCATACTGGAGACAGTGATAGGTAAAAGAATTTTTGTACAAATTTTGACAAGCAGGTACAGTCTGCACACAGAAAAAGAAATTACAGTTAATAACAAAGAGAATGCTACAAAGTTCTAAACAAAAGCAACCACGTTCTAGAGATATGAAAAATCCACATCTTTACATATCCAAATAAACTCGGAAAGCATAAACAGCATACCTAATAATATTCTTACTACAAATTGCAAAACTATACACTGATGTAGATCCCAGCTCAATAAAAGGCTTCCATATTTCGATGAATAAGGTGTCAGAGATTGGGAGGGCAGAGGGGGAGAGAGAGAGAGAAGGGCAACCTACAAATATACCTCCACTTATCTATAGTTGTTAAATTTGAAAGAGCGCAACCAAAACAAAAATGCTGAAATTTTTGCTCCAGAAAACAACCTAAGATGCTGCAAAGATACTAGAAGTACATGAAAGAAACTAGCTAAGCACCACAAAGTTGAAAGACAAAATTTGTCTTTCAGATATATTCGCCAGAAGGAAATTTTCAAACCTCAGATTTCATATGAGTGGAAATAGAGAAAAAAAAAAAAACACTTGTTCCCATTTCTTTTTGTTCTATTGATCTTCTGTGACCTCAGTGTGTACCATCTTTATTGCATGATTTGCATCTTAGAATCTAGGGTTTCAGAGAATTAACAGAACCAAGAAACAGACAAAACCTCAATCCTTGGCTTAAAGCAGAGAACAATTATTGCTTGTATTCCTCGCCCAAATACTTGAAGAAAAAAGTTGCAAACAACCGAAATGGAAATAGAAAACTAGAAACTTTCTTATATTCTGCAGCTATGGAGTAATTAAGCATTCCATCAACAGGCTACTTCATTTCAGTGCCCTAAATCAACTAATGGTTCGTTCAAGTCTGTTCGATCAGAAATTTTAACTTATGAACTCCAAAAAAAAAAAAAGGATTCTTAATCTGCCACACATAATCTTAGGCACACATCAGTTCTGGAAAAATCCAACACAAGTTGGCAAAAACGAGCCAAACCAAAAGAAATCGAAGCTTCACCCTTCAAAATTAGGACTAAACATCACATAGCCAAATAAAGAAATATCCTTACATTGAGAACACGAGAGATGCCCTGAGTTTTGAGAAGCTCGGCGCGGGCAGCATTGTCGTAGCTCCCCAAGTATAAAAACTCCGGCAAGATCTCGGACGGAAAGGCGCTGAAGTGAACTGTGGAGGCGGAGGATTTATCGGAAACGGCGGCCATACGGTGTCCGCAGATGCCGCACACCTCACCCTCCTCATACTTGTGGTAGTGACCACAAACCCCGCACGGGTTCTCCCGCTCCCTCTTCCTCATACTCGGCGATTCGATTCGATTCGATTTGATTCGATTCCGATCAGTGGACGCAGAGAGAAATCGGAGGGAGGGTTTGATCGGAAAAACCTTTGGGAGTGTTTTTGAGCTGTTCGGAAATCGAAAGGATTCTTCTCTTACTTGCCTGCCTGGGTTTTGTTCCTTATTTATTTATTTATTACTATAATTATATTACTATTACTCTACCTTATAAACGCACACAAAATTGACGTTTGCTTAATCATCATTAATTATTTTGTTATTAATTATTATTAATTCCATTTCAAATATTTACAACGGCTTGTAGCTACAGTATTCTATCGTTTAGGCATAGATGATTTTTTTTTAATAATTTAAAATTTATTAACAAATATAAATTAATTTAATAAAATTTTATAATTTTTATATTTTTTAAAAAAAAATTATAAATCTTTTGTCACTAAACATATATTGTTGTATATATTCAAAATTCCTATTTTATTAAAATTAATTGTAAATAATAAATATATTTTTTGTTTATTTTTATTATATAAAATTTTATTTTCTTACAAAAATAATATCTATATTATATAATTGAAATGTGATATTTAAATTATTTAAATAGCTATTTTAAAAAATTAATCATATATTTATTTTTTTTAAAAAATAATAATAACATGGCTTATATAAAATAAATAATAAAATAATACTTCTCTCAATTCTACCTAATTTGTCATCTCTAGTTAATCATATATTAATTTGAATATTTATTTATAGTAACTTCAAATATACACATGTGTATTTGTTTGGATTTTAAGTAGAAAATTTCTGTTTAATTATTTAAAATTTTGAATTTGAATAATTATATGATGTAATATAAATAAATATTGATATAATATTTTAAATGTAAAATTAATTTTTAGTATATTATAAAATAAATATTAAAAATATATTTGATTTAATATTTTTTAATTTTATTTTATTTTTTATTTTGATATAAATAGTAGAAATCTTTCAAAATTCGTAGGACATAACCATAGTTTGTTTACTCACGTATGTATAAATCATTAGGATTATAATAAATGAATATTAAAATTACATTATTAAGTAGTAATGCTATCAGGGATAGATATATTTGCAATCATTACTATTTTAATCATTTAAATAAAAAAGTAGATATAAAACTAGTATTTCCTTCTTGCATATTTGACGGGCATATTTATTTTTTTATTTTATTATATTTAATATTAAAAATATTTTTATTTGTAAAAAATGTTATACAAATGTCATATTCTATTAGTACTATAAAATATTAATTAAAATATATTTTGTATTTTTTTTAATTTGTACTAAAGTTTGATATAATAATACTCTGTTTGTATCTTAACGATCTATTATTTTTTTTATTTTGGTTCGTCTCATAATAAATTATCCATTTTTTTTTTAGTAATTGTATTTTGTACTAACATTAACATCACCTTTACAAATTACAGTATATTACACAGTAAGATTATTCTAGTTTTTTCTATTTTATTCATACTACACATCAATATAATACTAATATTTTTAAAATTATTTACAAAATGCAAACAAAAAGATAGATAAGAGACATAATGAGTAATTAATATTAAAATATTAACATATAAAAAATAAATAAGACTTTTAGAGTCGAACGGAACAATACTCGCTTAATTTATAAATTTTTTTTTTAAAAAAACTAGTTAAAAAGTACTAAAATATTGTCAGATAGGCTCATGTAATACATCAGAATCAGAGTTGACATGGACAATAAATTTTAACACCAAAAGTTGAAATAAAATTAATTACATATTTATTAAAAAAGGCATTCCAAAAATATTACTCACTTTCCTTCATTTTGAAAATTTAAATTTACTTATTGCATCATTGTATTTGACGTTAAAAATATTATAATATTTATATAAATTACAAATATCATTATATTTGTATTATAAGACACTATTTATATAATGTTTTAATATATTAATTAATATTAAATAATCAATACTTAAAAAATAAATGTAAACTTTAAAAATAGACAGAGATAGTATATTGTATTAATATTTAAAAAACATCACAGTCAATTAAGTGTGTTTATTCAACAAAGTGTTTGATAATATGATTTTTAATAAATATTAATAAAAAATATAATATAAATATATATATTCTATCAACTCACAATAAGTCAATAATTTAAAATAAAATACAAAGTGAATTAGTGAAAAATATATAATACAAAGTGAATACATCCATCCATCCATCCAACATCATCTAAATAAATAACTTAAATCTTCAAATCCCGAAGAAAAAAATGAATCTTATATATTTAATAAATTCGATAATATTACATTTTTTTTGTAATAAATAAATAACTTAAATCTTCAAATTTCGAGACTGAAAAAACACATCCTATGTATTCAATACATTTTTTTTAATAAAATAAATCATTTAAATATTCAAATCCCGAGGCTCAAAAAACACATCTTATATAGTCAATGAATTCGATAATATTACATTCTTTTGTAATAATAAATATTATCCATATAATCTTACCAAAAATTGAATCGATACTCCATAATTTATTAATTTACGATCAAGTCCATTGATCGAGAACTCATGTTGAATTCCATAAATATATATAAACTTACAAGAAGTCAATAACTAAAAATAAAATACAAAATGAATTACTGAAATATACACAATACAAAGTGAACACATCCATGCAACGTTACCTAAATAAATTTCTTAAATCTTCAAATACCGAGACCCAAAAAACACATTTTATATATTTAATGAATTCGATAATATTAGTATTTTATTTTGTAATAATAAATATTATTCGTATAATCTTACCAAAAAATGTAAATCGATACTCTATGATTTATTAATTTACGATCAAGCCCATTGATCGAGGCACTTATGTCGAATTCCATAAAAATAAATAAGATTGAATTTAGGATATAGTAAAGTGACCATATATATAACTTTTGTTTGTTATGATACTTTTTTTAAAGAAAGGCAAGATTATTTGGATATATTTGGTAAAAAAATCTCAGAAAAGGGGCCATTTAGAATATGGCAATAATCACGGGGTCAAACTATAATATATCGAACTATAACAAGATTTAGATTACATCGCAACGGGTCTCCTTAATAAAACCCGAAACTCTAAACATCAGCAAACACATTTAAGGCAATCCATAGTACGAAGAAATTAACAAAATACCGAACTGGTTTTCCTAAATCCGCCGCTGTTTCTTCTCAAGTCGTCCGTATCCTCCGAAACCTTCGTACGACGCTGTTCAAGCTCCGCCGCCGCCATTGGCCCTCGTGTGGATTTTATTATTCCGGTCGTATCTATCTATCTTGCGCCGTTCCCAATTTCGTGATTTGGGCGCCCATCATTGATTGTGTAGTGGGTAAGTGGATTGCCCCCTTTTTCTTGAAATCGATTGTTGATTGCTATTTTTTTATGCCCAATAAGTATCTTGTTGGTATCTGATTGGAATTGGGATTTCCCCCAATTTAGGCGAAACCCTAATTTTCCCTACTTGTGATTTTGGGTTGATCGCGTGCAATTTACCTTAATTTGATGAAACCCTAATTCAGTGCTGCAATGCTATGCGTAGCTCGAGTCAGCTAATTGTTCTAGGTGTTAAGAAAATAGAAAGCTTTATGGTTGAAGTATTACTTTTGGTTGCATAACTCGATTGCCACGCGTACTCGGGAGATTGTTTATTTTGGATCAGTAATTCTAATTGGTTTTCTTGGAAAGTGTAAAGGAGAACAACTTTTTGGGAGTTTCATCCTCGGTTGATTATTTTGTTGGTGGCATCCAAACCTTACATTAATTCGAGTTGGATTATTAGGGCTTTACTGATCCAGTGAATGCTTTCTTAACTGAAAGCTATTTTTGATTTGGCTGTCACTTTGAATACATTCTTTATTATGCTATGTATGTAGAACTTTGGAAATTGTTGTTCACTGACATCTGATCATAGCTATAAGAGATAAGTGCACGTGGCGTCTGTAACTTGATTTTATTTATTTTATTTTATTTCAGTTGAAGCTTTTATTTGTCCGTGGGATGTCGAACTTGATGCATGTTCTGAATTGGAAATAGTTTTTTTATGTTTGCATGTAGAAGTAGAGCACATTGAATTTGACAGTGAATATTGAACACTTGTATTTAGCAGACAGTTAAGACATATTGATGACCAACTTTTGCCCATTAGATTACATGTTTGTCATCCTGAGTTCAGATATCTAATGGTTCTTTTTATGCGATAAGGGATGGCTTAGTATATTTTCAATGGAAATTCATTTAAAGCTTGATTAAATTTAAATGATAGGATTTTTGAGAAGTATAAGTGAGTTTATCAAAATTCTAATTTCTGGACCATGAGAGTATGTATTTGGAATATGTTATCACGGCCTTTCTTTTAGAACATCCATCATGATAATTTATTGGTAGATTTCACAATCTTCCTTTAAACTGTATTTCTATTTCATCTACGTTTATAAGATTCTCCCGGACATTACGTTACAGGCCATACATCCACTTTGGACCTTGTTCTCACTCTCCATGCAGAGATGACTTGAGCAGACAAAAAGCACTAGTCCAACTGATGTGTTATGGTCTTTATTTATAAATGGTGGAAACTTAATTTCATGCAATGAATCCAGAATGAATTTGCAAACGCAACTCACTGGACAAGTATCAGGTCAGGCTGGTAATATGCTGCCTGGGCTGCCTCAGCCGAATGGGAATCCGATGCCTGGCATGGTGCAGAATCCTTCCCACCATGGTGTTCCAGTTACGGATCCAGAATATACTAAAACTCGCAGATATATGCAAGAAAAGATGTAAGGGCTTCTGTTATCCATTTCTGTGGATGATTGATTCTGCTTTAAAATCACAGAAAATGGGTTTGCTATGTTGCTACATCACGATCAAGTACAATATCAATCAATACAGAAGCAATTTGTTTTGATTCAGAGTCCTTTGTGCGAAATGAAGTTCAGAAGATTATGTAGTTTATTATGACCTGCCTGAACTCATTGTTTTCCTGTTAGTTTACATATTGCCTTCGATCATATTTTTTCATACAATCTTTCTGTTCTGGCATTACAGAAGAAAGGTTGTTGCAAGTAGAATATAGTTCCCAATCTGTGTGCCTTATTTAAATAATTTGTAGCTTTATTTTTAATATGGCAAGTGGTAAATCATATCATGTTACATGCTTCATTTCTGTTAAAGTTGCACAGTTTCTTTTGATATTCCATGGATATAATATAATGCCTTACACCTCATAGACACAATCTTCCACTTTGAAAAATCTTGTATTATATGTGTTTTAAGCTTTACATTTTGCTTTCCAGCTGGGAATTCCTCATACAAATGCACCGGCGGCACCAATCTCATGAGGTCCCTGCTAAGAAAATGCTCGATTTAGTGAAACGCTTGGAAGAGGCTTTGTTCAAGAGTGCTCCTACAACGGTGCGTTGTAGATTTGTTTGCGTTGTTAAATCCATTGCTTTCTAACTATTAAGTGCCTCTTGTGTAGCCCGGAAACATGAAAACATTTACAAGTTGATGTTACTTAGATGTTTAAGACCTTTGGATTGTTTTGATACATGCTAATATAATATTTTTTAGGTAATTGTTATTAATCCTTTATGAAAATATGTTCAGGAACGCCCTCTGCAGAAACACCACATTAAACTAATAATAAATAAATAAATAAAAAGAATCCTCGTGTATATTATGATAGTTCTACTTACTTCCCTGAAGGTTTATTGGTGTTTTTCTTGGGCTTATGGATTTTTTTCCATGCTCATGGGTTATCTAGTGTTCATTTTCATGGGTGTAACTTGCAATTTATCAATATTATTTCCATTTTAATGGTTTCATTTGATTATTTTTCAGGAGGAGTATGTAAACTTGGCTACATTGGAAAGCCGGTTGCATTATCTGATAAAATGTATGCCCATGAGCAATCACAACCAGCAGTACTCGCAAGCAAATTCTTCTTCATCTGTCAGTACTATGATTCCAACTCCTGGTTTGCAGCAAACTGGAAACTCTAGCCTTACTGGTACTCCGTCTGTGGATAGCTCTTTCATTGTTAACAATAACTCCGGCATGATTGCATCCTCTACCACCAATTCCGGGAACTTCTTACCTACTGGAAATGGATCTTCTGCCAACATGCATGGTGGTTCTTTTAGTTCATCTGATGGTACTTTTACTTGTTTTGTCTATGGGATTAACTTTACTTTCCCTATCACTTGGCTCACCTAACTAGTTTTTTCAGGACTGATGGGTGGTGGATATCAACAGTCAACTTCTACTTTCTCTGCCAATTCTAGGGCAAATAGCGTCATCACATCCATGGGTGGGCAGAGGATGGGAACTCAGATGATCCCTACTCCTGGATTTAATAATTCTAATAGAACCGAAGGAAACAACAATGCCACTAGCCAGTCATTCATGAATATGGACCCTTCAAATAATGTCGGTGCTTTTTCTTCTGTTGAATCTTCCACACTTGCACAACCAATGCAACAGAAGCAGCACATCAGTGGTCAAAATAGCCGCATTTTACACAATATTGGTGGACATATGGGTAGTGGAATCAGATCTACTTTGCACCAGAAGTCCTATGGATTATCAAGTGGATCCTTAAATGGAGGAATCGGGATGATGGGAAACAATATATCTATGATGAATGGACAAGGAAGCACAGAGGGTTATTTGACAGGAACGATGTATGGAAACTCCACCAAACCCATGCATCAGCAATTTGATCATCCTCAAAGACAAGCAATCCAGGGTAATGTTGTATCTCCTTAAGACATAGGTTTATTCCACCAATATGTGTTTGTATTTGTGTTAGAATTGAATTTGGATTCAATAAAGATGTCTGCAGTAATTTTGATAATTTGATGTTTAAAATATGATTCAAATTCAAATTAGTTGTCTTGAAATTGAGTTTGAACCAAGTTGGTTCTACAAATATTTTCTGTGGTCCTTTTATATAGAGTCAAATTGTATGATTAATTTGGTGTATGACTAAATATAGTAATCAACATGAGTTATTGATATTGGTATCAAAATGGATGTTCACAAAGCACACTAATTTATGATGGGGGTGATTTGAAAATGGATTTTGTATAATTGCTCACATTACTGAAGGTATTGAATTGAGATATCTTATAAAACCATGTTCTGTGATTCAAATTCATGTATAATTCGTAACTATTGATTTTGTACACCTCTGTGTGCTTGCATAAATGTGCTATGCTGTAGGTATTTTTAGTTTATTCTCACTGCAAACTTTCTATCTTTTAGGTGATGGTTATGGAGTTGGTGCTGGTGATGGTTCAGGGTCTGGAAACATGTTTATTCCTGTGTCATCTGTTGGATCGATGACAAACAATCAGAGCCTGAATCCCATATCTATGCAGTCTATGCCAAAAACTAATAGCTCTGTGATGATCCATCAGCCGAACATGCACTCTGCTCAACAGGTCACAACCATGAAGCCTCAATCAATGGACCAATCAGACAGAATGAATTTTCAATCACAGTATTCTGGGAGCGAAAATCTTGTACATTCTCATCAACATTTTCAGCAGCCATCCAATCAGTTTCAACGCCAGCAGCTTGTCCAACAAAGGAATACGCACAACCAGCTTTTTTCTAAGAATGGCACTTTTGGACAATCTCAGATGTCATCTAACATCATTTCCGATTCAAAATCTGGACATGTTGATGAAGGTTTGCAGTCACAAGTATCTGATCCGTTTCAGTTCACTGATGTGCAAAGTCACTTCCAACAGAACCACATGGATGATCATTCTAGAACTTCTCAGCTTATTTCACATTCATCTGATCTACATAACGTTAGTTCATCGCTGAATCAAACATCAGATCAGATGCAACAATTATTGCATCCACAAGAATTTGCTTCTAACGCAAGAAGTGATCTCGGTGGTTTTTCTGGTGGCATTCAATCAGATGTGGCGATGCATGGTCAATGGTATTCCAAGCAGCAGGATGTATCAAATGTATCGGGGAGACTTTTACATGATCAAAATGTGCAAGAGGAATTTCATCACAGAATAATTGGACAAGACGCAGCACAGCCCAATAATTTATCATCTGAAGAATCAACAATTGGCCAACCAAATGCTTCTAGATCTGCAGAACCTCCAAAGCCAGACAGTACTGTGTCTCGACCTAATACCGTTAATCGTGAACAGCAATTTAAGAAGCAGCAGAGATGGCTCTTGTTTTTGCTGCATGCACATCGATGTCCTGCTCCAGAAGGGAAATGCCCAGAGACTAACTGCATAACAGTTCAAAGGCTTTTGAAACACACAAGACAGTGCAACTTGTTGCAGTGCCCATACCCTCGTTGCTCTGCTACTAGAGTTTTGATGGGTCATTTTAAAAGCTGCCGTGATACAAGTTGCCCTGTTTGTGTTCCTGTGAAGAGTTTTGTTGAACGTGTAAGTACGGTATCTGCCAATATGGATTACAGTTCACGGTTGCCTAGTTCTGTGAATGGCTCTCGTCAATCATACGAGACTGCTGAAAGTGCTGGAAGATCAACTTCTAAGGCAAGCCCGATGATAGCTGAGAGTCCAGAAGATCTGCAACCTTCTATTAAGCGCATGAAAATTGAACAAGGCTTCCTACCTGTAGTTTCTGAAAGTGAACCTGCCGCTGCACGTGCTGCTATTGTAAACGAGCCTCGTGTCAAGGAAGCGCACCATCCTGAGCCATTTCACGGATCTGATATTACTATGAAATCTGAAAGTGCTAAAGTGAAGATGGAAGTTTCAGGAAATGTTGGCCAATTAAGTTCCAAGATTGTTGAGACAAAAAAGGATATCATCAAAGATTCTGATGTTAAAAGGTCAGAAGGAGATTTTATCACATCAAACAGCATTGCTGGATTTGGTGTACAGAAGACCATTGAGAGTGAGAAGGAAATAATGGGGCAGGTGAAGATGGAAAATTCATCATTACCTTCTGAAACTATATCCAAGTCCGGGAAGCCAAAAATAAAGGGTGTATCACTGACTGAATTGTTCACCCCAGAACAAATTCGGGAGCATATTAAAGGTCTTAGACAGTGGGTGGGACAGGTAAATACGGCACTCGGATATGATCTATTATACCATGCTAGTTATTGCATTCTTATTCTAATTGATTAAATTGTTTCACATGTACTGCATTCTTATGTTCTAAAGCTCTCTTATGTTATATACTATTAATAAAGAGGAAGATAATGTAGAAATCAGAATTAAAGAATGCCACTATATCTTGGAAAAAGCCTGAAAGTTTTGTGTTATGGCTTTTGGATGACTGAGTTAATGTTTATAAATGCAGAAGAGAACAAGCACTTATTCCATTACTTGATAGATATGCTGGCATTTAGTTTTGGTTATTAGTTTTTTCTGGGTTGTAATCTCTCCTTATGTTGTGCTAATGTGCTTATGTGGTAATTATATTCTGTTCTCCTACATTTTTAGAAATAGGAAGAATTGCATGCATTATAATGTTATATCTTACCTGTCAATCTAAAACTGTTCCCAGGCTGTTTTAAATGATCAGTTTCTATAGCATCCAGTTCTTATTATCTATTCAATTTTCTTTTGGTTTCTCTACTCCATTCCCCCTTTTTCCTCCTCTTGTATATGATGGTGTTGAACATCTTTTTTTTTACACAGAGCAAGGCAAAAGCAGAAAGGAATCAAGCAATGGAACATTCCATGAGTGAGAATTCCTGCCAATTGTGTGCAGTTGAGAAGCTTACCTTCGAACCACCGCCGATATATTGTACACCTTGTGGCGCTCGCATAAAAAGAAATGCCATGTATTATACCAGTGGGGCTGGTGAGACTCGTCATTACTTCTGTATTCCTTGTTACAATGAGACCCGTGCGGATAACATTCAAGTTGATGGACTTCCTATTCCAAAGTCAAAGATGGAGAAAAAGAAGAATGACGAGGAAACTGAAGAATGGGTATGCCTCATACTTGCCTCCTGATGTTTTGCACATTATTAAAACTTCTGTGTAATGCTGAATCAAGCATTGTTTTTTTTTTTTTTGTAGTGGGTTCAATGTGACGACTGTGAAGCTTGGCAGCATCAAATATGTGCATTATTCAATGGTAGAAGAAATGATGGTGGGCAGGCTGAATATACCTGTCCAAACTGTTATATAGAAGAAATTGAAAAAGGATTACGTGCTCCATTACCACAAAGTGCTGTTCTTGGGGCCAAGGATTTACCCAGGACGATTTTGAGTGATCATATAGAGCAACGGTTGATTGCAAAGCTGAAGCAAGAAAGGATGGATAGAGCAAGGATTCAGAACAAAAGTTACGACGAGGTAATCTAATCATGCTTGTGTGTGTTGTGGGATGGGCTTTCAATGTTTGGCAAATATTACAACTGAGTTCAGAGATGCTTAGGGAAGCATAACTGGCCAATATCTTATGCAATTTTTAGTGGAACATATCTTTTCTAGAAAGATATTCAAAACACTTGAGTGTTTGAACGAAGCATGTTTCTTATTTGATTGTTCAAGATTAACACCCACTACTATTTTTAGACTATATTTTCAGTCAGTCAATATTTAACATTTATCAGAAACACAGGCTAAAATTTGTAACATCTCAGAGGAATATTTAATACTCAGTTTCAATCTTTTGAGAAACTAAAAGTTCTATTTGGAGGCATCCATAATCATTTTTGCAGAATGCTTTTATTGATGCTTATGTTGAGATTTTCTGGCTTAATGTGTGAAAGCATAGTGTTCTGAATAAAGTACGTAGTGTCTTGTTGGGTTGATTTGACAGTACATAGGGCATAGGGTTTGCTGAAATTCCTCTCTACGTATGAATCAAATATTTTGGAGTGATGTGTATTTGGTAGCCTGATTTTACTTTGTGTATATTATCACTTACATGGATATTATCATTTTCTCAACTTTACCAGATTCCTGGAGCAGAATCACTTGTTGTAAGAGTAGTTTCATCAGTGGACAAGAAGTTGGAAGTTAAGTCACGGTTTCTTGAAATTTTTCAGGAGGAAAATTATCCTACCGAGTATCCATATAAATCTAAGGTTAGTTCTGCACCTTGTTTTCCTGATTACTAGATCTAGAATTCTGGACCTGATTAAATTCATTGAATGAATTCAAATGCTCCGTGAAAGTCTTAATAAATTAATAGTTGTTGTAAGAGGAAGCTATTGGCGTGTCACAAAATTTGTGTACATACTTGAACACTATGCTTGGATTTTTTTGGGTTGACATTATTTTCTGCACCACTGTTTAATAAAGGAGGTTGATAGTGCTTTGTTAGTCTGCAGAAGCATTTTCGACTTGAAACATGAGGTTTTTTTTTTATTTTCCAGGTGATTCTATTATTTCAAAATATTGAAGGTGTTGAGGTTTGCCTATTTGGCATGTATGTCCAAGAATTTGGTTCTGAATGTCAGCAACCGAATCATCGACGCGTCTATCTCTCATACCTGGACTCAGTTAAGTATTTCAGGCCAGAGGTTAGAACGGTGACAGGAGAGGCCCTACGGACATATGTGTACCATGAAATATTGGTCAGTTTCTTAGCCAATCAATTTGTAGCTGCTAGTTGTGGTTGGGTATGTTATACTTAATTATTTTATTCTTATGTTTTCAGATTGGATACTTAGAATATTGCAAAAAGCGTGGTTTTACGAGCTGCTATATTTGGGCTTGTCCCCCTTTGAAAGGAGAAGATTATATTTTGTACTGCCACCCAGAAATTCAGAAGACGCCGAAATCTGATAAGCTTCGGGAATGGTAAGCCTTATTGTTGTGTAGTCACGAACCTTTTAATAAATTAGCATGTCCATACTTGCAACTGTCTTACAAGGTTTGTATCATTGTATTCAGGTATTTGTCCATGTTAAAGAAAGCTGCAAAGGAAAATATAGTCGTTGACCTGACTAATCTTTACGACCATTTCTTTATTCAAACCGGGGAATGTAGAGCAAAGGTAACTGCTGCCCGGTTGCCGTACTTTGATGGAGATTATTGGCCCGGCGCTGCTGAGGACATGATCTTTCAACTGCAACAAGAAGAGGAGGCAAGGAAACATAATAAAAAGGGAATTTTGAAAAAACCCATCAACAAGAGAGCACTAAAGGCATCTGGCCAAACGGATCTTTCAGGAAATGCATCAAAGGATGTGCTGTTGATGCATAGGGTAATCTTGAAATAAAAAGTTTATTCTCACAAGCTTATAATCTTTTGGCCCACACTTTTTTTCATTATTGTCTTTTTGTTTTCCCCTATAGCTTGGAGAGACAATATTACCGATGAAGGAGGACTTTATCATGGTTCACTTACAGCACGCTTGCACGCATTGCTGCCTTCTGATGGTGTCTGGGACACGCTGGGTTTGCAAACAGTGCAAAAATTTTCAGCTATGTGAGAAGTAAGATTTTTAACCAGTTCTTGGATATAGATGATAAAAAAATGCAATTATGCTTTCTATACTTACACTTGATGATTTGATTATGAATGTGTTTTTCAGGTGCTATGATGTGGAGAGAAAACGCGAGGACAGAGAAAGGCATCCCGTCAACCAGAAAGACAAACATGGACTTTATCCTGTGAGTTTTGGAGTCGTAGCTTTTGGTTTTTCAATATTTCGTGTTGGTTGTTATTTACACCACCGAGCTGTTGCACGGCTGCAGATTGAAATCACAGGTGTCCCGGAAGATACAAAAGACAAAGACGAGATTCTTGAAAGTGAATTCTTTGATACCAGGCAGGCGTTCCTCAGCCTTTGTCAAGGAAACCATTATCAATATGATACCCTGCGTCGGGCTAAGCATTCCTCCATGATGGTTCTCTATCACCTGCACAATCCAACTGCCCCGGCTTTTGTGACAACATGCAACGCTTGCAACACTGATATAGAATCCGGGCAGGGCTGGCGCTGCGAGACATGCCCCGATTATGATGTGTGCAACGCATGCTATCAGAGTGGAGAATTCAATCATCCTCATAAATTGGCCATTTATCCATCCAACGATCGCGATGATCAGAACAAAGAAGCACGGCAAATGCGTGTTATGCAGGTAAGTAAAGCCTGCCTTCACACATTAATTCTTAGTCGTGTTTTTTGTTTCCAGAAGACGCTTATGTTAAGTTTGGTCTTTACATAATGCAGCTAAGGAAAATGCTTGATCTCCTAGTGCACGCTGCCCATTGCCGTTCAGGATTCTGCCAATATCCAAATTGTCGCAAGGTGAAGGGACTGTTCCGCCATGGCATGGGGTGCAAAACACGAGCCTCGGGAGGTTGTGTCCTGTGTAAAAAGATGTGGTATCTCCTCCAACTTCACGCCCGTGCATGCAAAGAGTATGAATGCACTGTCCCACGGTGCAAGTAAGTCTCCAAACACATCATCTAAGTTCTACCAACACAAACACACCAAATAATTAATTATAGAAAAAAGAACGTATTTTTATGCAACTACCACTGTATCTGATTTCGACTTTAATCCTTGTAGTCGAAAAAGCAAGAGTATATCTTTAGTTATGATCAGGGGAACTACACTAGAGCTTGGGGGCTCAATTGACCCCTAAGCCAAATTTTTTATGAATTTTTTAGTATTAAAAATATTAAATTTTATGTATTTATATACAATTTGTCCCTCCAAAACTATTTAAATTCATATATAATTCTTATCATTATTATTTATTTAAATTTATTAGCTAAATGTTAAATAAATTATAACATTTTGCTCCCCGGGATCTAGATGTTAGTTTCGTCACTGGTTATGATATTGATGAATCTACTACTACTATTTTATTGGTACAGAGATTTGAAGGAGCATATGAGGAGGCTGACACACCAGCAAGAGTCTCGAAGACGAGCTGCTGTTAATGAAATGATGAGGAAACGGGCTGCCGAGGTTGCCGGGAGCTCGTGATGTAAGTAGGAACATACATACATATATGCAACACAATCCCTTCCATTCCAGTCCAGATTTAAGCAGGTTGTTGTGCATAACTACCCACTACATTATTGCAAGTGTAGAAAAGGAAGTTCTATATAGATGAGGATCCTGCCAACTAATTTACTTTAATAACTTAAAGTGAAGGCGAAGCGAAGAAGAAGAAGAAGAAGAAAGGAAAGTCCGGGTCGGGTCGGGTCGGGTTGGCCTTTCATTGTTACATAGGCTATTCTTTGATTTCCTTGTATTTGATCTCCATTGATGATGATGAGGATGATCTATAATGGTGTGTGTTTTGTGTTAGTGTTACATAGATGAGATGGGTTTGGTTGGTCGTCTTAAGCATTGAAAGATGATTGATTGATCGATTGTATGATATTTTGCAAATTACAATTTTAACTTTTCCAAGTGTTTGTAAAGCTCCCTCCCTCTCTATTTCTTATTCATTTATTCTCTCATTCATTGCCGAGTTTTTGTTATGCATTCACGTGACAATAGTGTTGACAGTGGAGGCAGACAGACTAGACTGACTGACTTCCACAAGACAAGATTTGCTACTTTTGGAGGAAAGATAAAGACTTTCAAGGATGATGATGATGAATAGTTTGTTCTTTAGCTACGGAAATTAAAAAATAATATTATTTTGGATAATAAAAAAATAAAATAAAAGTACTATAAAAATATATATTGAATAATTAATAAATAATACAATAATGAAGTAGAAAAAAAGGTAGTGATAAAATAAAAATAATAAAATTATTTATTATAAATAAATTATACTTCCTCCGACTAAATACACAATCTCAAAAATTCAAACATATCGGTGGAGTTATATCAATTTGGGACATCTGGTTCTAAGACGAAGAAAGTATATAAATTAAGGCGTATAATTAAAAATAATAATAATAAAAAAAAAATTATGGCGGGCTTTAATGAATATGTAATAAGGACCAAAATTATATAGCAAGTGGAAGTAATGTGTGAAAATGGATGAGTCACGGGCTGCACTCTACTGCACCTCACTTCACTATATGTCAAAACTAGCTTTGAATTGATTCCTCCCTCTTTACTTGTGTTCTGATTTTTCTGATATTTTGTCGCCCCAATCTTCTTACTTTTAATATTTTATAATTAAAAAAAGATGTAGATACATTTATCTTTATCAAAAAATATATGGTAAGTTTAATAGATAGTATAAAAAAGAGACAAACACACACTTGGCTAGTAGTGTCCTCCATTCTCAAAAGAAATTGATCTTTATCACTATTACCAGCTAGCTTCTAACCCTTTTTTTCTTTTTTTTTTTCTTTTGTCTAATATGATTATCACAAGTTGAATTGAGTTAGAGTGCATGAATGAATATGTGAGATTGTCTATATAATAGAATTACTCTTCCCTTTGTAGAAGAGCCTAAAGCAATGAATGATGGGGAAGTTATTTCTCATTGTCCTCACCTTGGCCACCTTCTTCACCTTTCATGTCTCCCAACTTCAAGCTTGCCCGTATTGCCCATACCCTACCCCCCCTACCAAACCACCCCATAAAACCCCTCCTAAGCCTAAGAAACCACCACCCCACAAACCACCTAAGCCTCCGGCCACCAAGAAGCCTCCACCGCCGCCATGCCCACCCAAGCCCCCTAAGGTTAGCCCACCCCACCACACCCCCAAGCCTCCAAAGATTAGTCCACCCCACCACACTCCCAAGCCTCCCAAGGTGAGTCCACCTCACCCCACCCCCAAGCCCCCCATCACACACCCTCCAACCAACCCCAAACCCCCAATAGTGATCCCACCAATCACACCCACACCACCCATAGTGAACCCTCCCACCACCCCAAAGCCCCCTATAGTAACCCCACCAATCATTCCCACACCACCCATAGTGAACCCTCCTCCAATCATCCCCAAACCACCAATAGCACCACCACAGCCATGCCCTCCTCCACCACCACCACCATCACCACCACAAGGGCAGGGGACATGCCCCATAGACACCTTGAAGCTGGATGCATGTGTGGATGTGTTAGGGGGGCTGGTGCACATAGGGATAGGCAATGCCAAGGACACCTGCTGCCCTGTCCTGGGAGGGCTGGTGGGATTAGATGCAGCCATCTGCCTCTGCACCACCATTAAAGCCAAGCTCCTCAACATCAACATTGTCATCCCTCTTGCCCTTCAACTCCTCATCGACTGTGGCAAAACTCCACCCTCAGGCTTCCAATGCACTGCCTGAGCCTGAGCCTCAACCTGGATGAACAAACCAACAATCCATCCATCCTCTATCTACCTATCTTCTAATAATACTCTATTAGTTCAGACAGACAGACAATGGAATTTGTGTAGTGGTCAGGACGTTGTTTGTTTGAACTCTGACAGGTCTGAGAATAACAAGACCATGGGAGGGAGAAGGCGTATTATATTATCATCAGCCAAGAACAAGTCTTGTAGTGAAAGACACTTTTGCTTCATTGAATTCTCATTTTACTTCAACAGTGTGCACTTTAAGAACTGTTTTGTGGAAATAAATGCATTCTATGCCTTTGTGCTGTGAGGGGTTTTTTTATATATATTGATTATGCTCTTGTCATGTTGTTTCATTGTTTTTGCATATGTAGTTCAATTGGAATATAAGAGTGGGTGCTAGTAAACTGGTGATGACTTAGATATATTGATACTTATTTTTTAACTAATTGAATAAGTATAAATAAAATGAATGCTCATATATTATCATATACACAAACTAAGACCAGCAGCTAAGAAACTCTACTCTACTCTACTCTACTCTATCTTGAACAACACACATGCTTTTCTGCCACGTCAACAAAAAAATAATTATATTTATATTATGATTATTTATTCTAAAATTAAATAAGAATATATTGATATCTATCATTTAATAGAAAAGAGTTTTATAAAATATAAACATGTAACGATAATTTGGAGGAGTTTTTTTTTTTTTTTAATACCTCCACTGTGGATGCCCTAACATGAGTGAAAGGATATCTATAGTGCTGATTTTTATGTGTGATTGAATACATATATATATATATACACTTTTATAGTTAAATGTATATAAGCATTTAATTGATCTACCTTGTGATTCAATAAATTTTTTATATGCCATGAAACTATTTACAACATAATTTTAATATATTTCACCTATAGTTTCACAAATTTACACAACAAACTAAAACAATTTTTAATTTTTCACTACATAACCCAAACTTATACTTCAAGTCTAGCCCAAACATTTATTTACTAAAATAGAGACAAAACTTCATATTTTTATTAGGTACTTGTGAGCAAATCTAAATGTTCACCTGTAATTTTGTTTTTTTTTGGTGTTTTGAATTTTAATATTTTTTTTACATGAGAAGTTTATTGTATGTGATCTAATGATTGATTGGCATGTCCAGACATTTCTAAAAATATAAATAAACAACCTAGTATATTCATCTGGGTATTTTAGTTCATTGTCACCAGCAATATGCAAATCTCATGACTTATTGATATTATCAAACACAAAAACATCAACATTCCAAAGGTTAAGTGTATTAATAGCACCCAGGTACCAAGTTTTTAATATGACAAGACAAACTATGTGCACATCATCTGTGTCATCTAGTTCGCTATCAACCTGAATTAACAGAAAAAATTTATCCGAATCAAAACACCACCAAAGACTAGATCAGCATCCAAGGGTATATACCAAATGTTAATGTTATCAATGACCAAAATCCTACCTTCATGCCATCCCAAGTAAACCAAAATCAAATTAAATATACGTGTATGAAACTTGAATGCTCTTTATGTTTTTCTTCATAACATGGTTGTTCATATATAAATTAAGTTACCTGAGGAGGATCATTTCCAACTAGAGAAGCAGACTACGCACTCGCAGCATCAAAACAGTCACGTGCAGATCTTTGGGTCGGAGTAATTGGGTGCATCACAGTTCACAGTCTGCTTCCAACAATAGTGAAATACCTCTGGCAGTTCAAAGCTCCAACGATTCTATATTTCACGCTGGAAAGTAACAGGTAAACCAAATATGAGCAAATGGAATGCCTATCAGCAGCCTGACCTTTGAACAAGACACATGGCATGAGAAGCTCCACATGCAACACAAAGTACGTTGTGCCCCCCAAGCCCATCATCTTCTGAAAGAAAGTTAAGCTCGATAGGTGATGACTGAACCTCTGGAAGTCCTGGAACCCCTAGTTGATTATCGGCAGCATTGCCCCACATATACAGCTTTCCCTTATCTGACCAACAAAGGAACTTTTGTCATCTTAAATTTGCTTTCTAATTACACAACAAACCAATCAAGAAAAATTGCATATTAACATCGTTCCCTGGAATAGTTGTGGGCTTGTGGCATCTTGGAGGACTTTGTCTTACCTGTTACAGCAGCAGATGATGAACCTCCACAAGCAATAAAAGAGATCTGTTCATTGGATAAGCCCTCAACAGGTTCAGGAACCTTTCGACTATGTAGAGAAGAATGACCTAGTTGACCATGTCCGCCATGACCCCATGAAAGAACTTCTCCTTTGTCTTATATATGTTATACCAGATATAGAAACAGGTAGAACACACGATATTCTTAAATATCCGCTGTGGAAACTAAGAGACATATGGATTTATAGACTTTAGGATATTGCACAGACAATACCTGTCAAAGCAAGAGAGTGATATCCACCACTAGCTATTTGAATTATACGAACATCTTTTAGGCTAGGAACAGGTTGAGGCCTCCAGCCACCAACTTTATCACCTCGACCAAGCTCATAGTTAGAGTTGGCTGTAAAAAAATAATCACACGAAATAAATAATTACATATTTTTGAGCTTTGGATGAAAATTGGTTTTCATTTTCTTTTCTAACTTCTGGCTTCTCGGGTATTGGGAGTTCACAACTAGAGAATTTCAACTCTACTATAAAATTGATAAATGGCAATATGGAAAACTTGATTCCAACCACCTTGCTTGTCTATTCCCTTTAAGATTCATTAAGGCATCAAAGTCTTTACTTATTTCAAATATCAAATTAAATTGTGTATCAAACAAATCTTCAGATTAAAAAAAAATATCTTACCACCCCAATTCCAAAGCTGCCCATCCTCAGTCAATGCCATTGTGAAAAAACCACCACAAGAAACAGCAGCCACTGGCACAGGCAATGCTTTCACTTCAGAAGGTGTGCTGAGGCCACCAGCATGATCTGGGCCACGTCCAGGACCAAGTCCTAATCTGCCATCACCTTCATCTCGTCCCCAAATATAAAGTTTGCCTTCATCAGAAACAAACATAATATAATAAGTAAAGCTAGCCTTGCAAATATTCAGAAGGTTAAAGTAGCACCTATAAACATAGCACAAAAGATACAAGCACTCCTATTAATATAAAGTAGCACCAATTTTATCCATTACTATTGTCATTCTCAATAAAACCTTTAAACCATTGGGAAGTTGCAGTAATAGAACATTTCAACCAATATATAAAGTCACCCTTCCATTAGCAGGAACCAAATATAATCTAAAAGTTCAATTCTCCATGGAAAATAAATCACCAAGTATATGAAGAAAAAAAGAAAGAAGGCTGTAGAAGTAGAGAGCAGATATTCAACCAGCTTCTGTGATAGCAGCCGTATGTGTACCACTTGTTGCAATATGAGAAATCTTTCCATCCCAAGATCCCTCAACCATTTTAGGTAACAGCTCTCTGTGATACACAGAATGTCCAAGAGCACCAAATCCACCGTAGCCCCTGAAAACTTCATTGCGTAAAACAAGTATCAAGATGTGAAAACAAAAATACAGCAACGCATTGTGTTCGAACGCAATGGATGTTTGATCTTAATGGCAGACTTTTTGCCCTCATCAATGGCTACAACAGTGAATTGAAAAGGACAATCGAAATTGAAATAAGAGATACTGACCAAGTGAAGACCCGGCCATGGACATCTAGCGCGACAGAATGGAGGCCGCCGAGAGCGATGGTTCGAACATCAGACTCCAAATTAAAATTTGGCGTGGGAACAAATACTGGATTTTCATGTCCGAACCCTAGGCGACCACCGTCCCCTTTCCCCCACATCCAGAGCTTCCCATCCACCACCAAGCCCGAATGGAACAGGCCGCAGGAGATCCCGACCTCGACGCGAGAGGTGAATGGCTGAGAGAGACGGCCAGGGATGATGCCGGAGAGGGAGAAATTAGGCGGCAGGGATAGAGTAGAAACAGGGGAAGGGTACATCCTGACTTCCTCGATGCCGCCGCCGAGCTGACCGGAGGCGCCACGTCCCCAGGAGAAAAGCTGTAGAGTGGTGGATTGCTGGCCAGGGTGCTCCCATAGAAGAGGAGGAGAAGCGGCGGTGGAAAGACGGCGGCAGTTGCGGGGAGAAAAAAGAGTGAGGCGTAGAAGCATCGGCGGCGAGTTGGGGTTTCTTCAGGGTTTTAGTGTAACTTCAAATTTGGCGTTGACAGAGAGAAAGACTTCCACGATTAGAGAGAGATTCTGACTCTGACTAAACTTGCTACCAATAAGAAAGTTGTGTTTACTGTTTACGGGAGTATGGTTTTTAATTGTCATTTTTATTATTTTTAATAAAAATAAATGTTAGATTGAAATTGTTTTATTTAAATTAAAGTGTAAAATTAAGATCAAAATACATAAATTTCTAGATATCAACTAGAAAATAAAAAATAATAATAATTGAATCGAATAAAATAACATTAGGTCGTTGCATTAATAAATCAAATTAAAGCAATATTTGCTATATATCTAATTAATCTTAACATTCAGTTGGGATTTCAATCTTCCGTTTAAAAGACCTTTCTTTTTTTCTTTTTCTTTTTTTTTCCAGCGGTGAATAAAGTGTCTAAAAATAATCTTAACAGACAGTGAACTAATGGCCAAAAAAAAAAAAAAAAAAGTAAAAGTATTTTATGCCGATTTAAATCACAATGATTATTCATGTTCTATACATTGACAGGATAGGATGGTAACGATATATTCGCCTAAACATAAAAAATACAAGTAAAAGTCGTAGCTTTTACCAAATTCCCTTCATTTAATTTTAGAGCACACAGCGTTGCACACAGGTTTAAATACAGGCATATTCATTTTTATAATTACATATAAACCTGCCACTCACTTAAATAAATTAATGTAACATCGCTGCGCCTAAAGGCCTAAAATAAGAACGAGCACTAGCAGACAACAGGAGGAAGGAGATTCCCCCAACCAAAATAAAGAAGACAACAATGAATATATAATAAACAAATGGAAACAATATATATTTATTTCATAATAATAATAATCTGATTTAATTCTAACACCGTTGTAGACTTGTAGTAGTAGTCGCTGAGTAGAAGAATTATACCAATAGTAACTACAGCATCCCGCCAAGAGGTAGTACAACACAACTACTCGCACTGCATCTCTCCCTCCTCAAATCAATCAACCTAAATATTTATAATAGAGAGAGAGAGAGAGAGAGAGACGATTGATAGACTTGATAGAAGCAAGAAAATTTGACCTCCCAATATCGTCCTCATGCCTGCTCTTTTTTGCTTCCTTCCTTCAATTGCCGGTGGTGGAAAATTCACATTTCCCATACTCTGCAGATAATGAACATAGCAAAATAAATTTCTTCCTCCCTCACATATGCATGGTAGTTGGTAAATGGTAAAACAGTAAATGCAAAATGCAAAGAAACAATTAAAGAAATTGTGTATTGACGGCAAATGCGTCCAGATCCTGTCAGAAAAGGTGTGCCCCCGTCACGTGCCACACAAATTACCTGTCCAACACCCTCCTCCCCCCCCCCCCCCCCCCCCCCCCACTGTCCTCCCTCCCATCATTCAACAATTTATTATTCATATTCACCCCTACCCCCCACATGTTTGCCACAACCCCTTCCCCCCTCCACTACTATACTACTACACAACAATAAAATAAATACATTAATATAATCCAATGCTAATTCTAATTCGATATGCATAAATGGTTGATAAAGCGATAATGATAGAGTAAAATATGATGTAAAAATGTCCGAAGTAGGGTACTCACTGGGCTGTTCCGTGACGATGTAGGCGGCTCCGCCGAAGTAGCAAGTGCCGATGGCACGGCCCTTCTTCTGGTAGTAGCTATTGAAGGCGTATGACGCATGTGCCTCTACCGTGTTGGGATCGTAACACGTGGAACCTGGCTGGATCTGATGGCAATTAGCCCCTCCTTCCCCACACGCATAGTCTAGGCCTGCTTGCAGCTTTTCCTTCCCCGCGTCTGCTCTCGCCACGCACCAGCTCTGCCCGCTCGCCGTCGACACCCTCTGCTCGCCGCCGGGGATCGATGATCCCACGGAGTCTCCATATTTCTTCAGTCCCTCCGTCGTGAACGGAATGTCGTATACCTTCTTCTCGTCGGGGTAAAATAGCCCGAAGTTCCTCTCCGACGTAGGCCCGAACTTTTTGTTCTCGTTGAAGAGTGCGAAGAGGTAGACGGTCAGATTCTCGTGCGGGCGGAGGGGAGTGCCGCCTCCGGTGAGGACGCGGCGGACCAGACCGCCGTTGTAGGCGGCGGCATTCTCGATGCTTGCGCCGAGCTCGTTTTTGTCCCCCCTTGATGGCCATCCGGTTTCGCTGACGATGACCGGTACATCGTCGTATTTTACCGCCGACATTGCGGCGAAAACGGCGTCGATTTGAGCGTCGAAGAGGGAGAAGTATCTCAGGCCATTTCCGGCGTCGACGACGCCGGGATTCTGCCGGAAAAGCGCGTAATCGAGAGAGATAACATCAGCATTCGATTCGTAGGCGAAAAAGGGGTAGACATTCACCATCAGAGACGATTTGGTCCGCCTGAGGAACTCCAGCATGGGCTTGAAAACGGATTCGACCAAATCCGGCCGGAACGAGCCCGCTGAGGACGGGTAGGAGTTATGCAGGGCACTGAGCGCAATAGGCGACGAGACCTTCACCGTGCTATGTAGGTCGTACTTCATCAGCGCTTTATAGATGTTGTACATCGCCGGAATGAGGTACTTGGTAGTGTTATGAGTATCGACGAATACCTCATTCCCAACGGCGATGGCTTCGATGGCGGTGGATGGATGGTAAGCGGCGACATTCTTCTGTACCCAAGCGTAGGCGAAGGAAGGGCGCCCCGCTGTAGAGGAAAGTAGTTCGTTAGGGAGATTGACGGTGACCTTTATACCGGATCCGGCTAATGCCTTGAGAACCGCCGGATCGGAGTCGTAAACCTTGACACGGTCCAATCCCTGAGACCTCAACAGAGCAACCACCTTGGTTGCGGAAGGGAGGTTATTAGCTATTCTGCCATAGTTCACTCCAATGGAGCCACAATCTGCAGCAGCAAACACACAACAACAAAAAACAAGAGCGAATAAAGCGTTAAAGCTACATTTCCCGTAGAATTTTGGAAAAAAGCGAAAAAGCACAAGGCGGAATGGAATATCAGACAGATATCCTCCTCGACCACTTTGAAAATAGAAAACCACAAGTGGATATGCATTCCGTTCCAATTTCAGCATACAACAATAAGGAAAGCAACAGCAGGTTCGTATATGGCACAGAATGAATACCAGCTGGAGCAGCAAGGGAGAGGATGAAGGAGACAAGAGAGATGCAGAGGACGTCCATGAGCGCGAGCATTTGGGGCCGCCGGAGGATGGAGAAACTAGGGTTTGCCTCCAGTTGTTATGTACAGCGGCAGCGAGTGAGAGCAGACTGAGCAGTGGTGAGTGGTGACCAAAATGAGATGTATGGATACAACATATACTTATTTATACTGCCTGTGTGTGAGAGGAGAGGAGGGTTGTTGTGGGGCCCGCCAAGTTGGAGGAGCACCGAGCACCTGCACAGCACGTGGTCCCGGGCGATGTGGGTCCCACCCATGCGGGTCGACTCGACCGTTGAATGGGTGAGAGTACCGAGGGTCGCGATTAGGTTGTAGGTACACGTGGCATCATCTCAGGCTGCCGGGATTTATTATTTAACGTGTCTATTTTTCTTTTGACTACTGTCGTCGTGGTGCGGATTGTTACTTCGCAATGCCAGCCTGTGCAGCAGTAACTATTTCTATTTGTTTATGTTTTATAGAACCCTGAACTTCTAATTTATTCGCTCTTATTTTAAAAAATATATTTACTTCGTCCGTATATTTTTTTTTATTTGTTTTATGATATATTTTAAAGTATTTTTTTATTTTATTAAAAATAATTATTTTTTAAATCAAAATATTATTAATTTTATCTAAATTACAAATATATTATTATATAAATAATTATTTTTATATAAAATTAAAAAATAAAAATATTAAAAAAATTTTGCATGTTTTCATTAATTAATAAAATTTTATTATTTGTTAATTTATTACAAAATTCTAAATAATTCATTTGGATAGACGAAAGGAGTATTACTTAATAATAATGAATTATAATTTTTTATTTTATTATTTTTTATATGATTAATGATATTGATAATTTTAAATAAATTTAATATAGAAAATTAAAAAATTAGAATATATATTTAATTATTTTAAAAATTAAATTATAATAAAAATATATACAATATATATTATTTTTTTAATAACTATTTTTTAATAAATAATATTGTATATTAAATATTAATTTTTATAAAATAAAAATATATATATACTGAAAATCGTTCGCCTAGCGTGATTTGCCTGTCGGATCTAATTTGCAGGGTATTAGGTTCGGCCGGAGATTTATCCGCACTTTCGAGTAGCGATTGCAGATTCCAACGTTATCCTGAAATATTAATATTTTTATTATTTTTACAAACAATCAATATTTAATATAAAAAATTATTATATTATGTATATAATTTCTTATAACTCATGTAAAAGAAATATACAAAAACACTAAATATACAATTTCAAAAAATGACTTTTCCGTTGGTTTGTAGAATATTAAATTCAACCGAAAGCTTACCCATTGTGCACTTTCGGATAGCGGTGCGGATTCCCATATCATCCAAAAAAAAAAAAAATAGGTAGATTGTGAATGGATAAAAAGGGATATGGTAGAATCTACTCTCACAACCTCAACTTTTGTTTCCTCTCTAAAGATTTTTAAAAGATAGCTATACAAGGAATGTGAGACAACAATAAAAGTGGTCTGGAGAATCCTAGATAGAATATTATTTAAGTTTAATTTTTTTAAAAATATCATAACGCAAAATATTTAATTATAATCATGTTGTTAAAATATATATATATTGATAAATGGATCAAAATACATATGTAAAGAGGCTAACTTAAAAGTTTACATCACTTTTTCACTTTTTTTTTCCCCTCTTTCTTTGTGTTGGTCTTTAGTTGAAAAACAAGGAATTCAATAAAGATGGTAACATATTCCTTTCACAACCCCCCAAAAAAACAATTCTAAATAAAAATAATAAAAAGGATACACAAAAAAATAAATAAATAAATAAATTGTATGTATGATTTCAACTCATGAGTTGCTATGCTAAAAATAGAAACATGACCTCAAGCTACTAACTTAACAAATTGGGAAGATGAATAGATATGGACGGCCCAAAATGAATCAAAGAGATGGGCCCAAGGCCCAGCCCGTTATCAACTGAATCAAACTTAATATTTTTAATTAATATGGAAAAAAAATATTAGAGTCATCTGGTATTGTTTTTTTTTTTTTTTTTTTGCTAGGAACATGAAAATAATTTAGACAGCGTAATTTAATTCATAGTACATATAATTGAAATTATTAATTTGGGATGGGATATTTCAGATCAATTAATTATTTAATAGCAGAGTGTTGGGAATTAAGTGAAGCAATTGAAAGCTTCCACCTAATTAAATGTTGATTATTATGGATCATCATTACCTATTAATAAATAAATATATATATATATATATATATATGTAAACAAACACTATCATCAACACAGAATACGCAAATAAGCCTAAAAATTGACTTCACTTTAAAGTATCCAAATATTAAATTTTATTTATTCAAAATTGTTAAAAAAAATTTAAAATTATCACTATATATATTTTAAAAAGATGGGATCGGATTTTTACTCAATTTTTTTTTTTATCGTCTGTCGGTTTAGATCTGAAGGATCAGATATATTAAATAATGTGACACACACATATTGGAACCTTCATTGAATATACTGAATCCAATTAAAACAAATAATAGTTTTAAATTAAATATTGAACTTTAATTTCAGTTAGTTGGTAGAGTGGGTTTGTCTGATTTTATTTTTTATTATTTAAAAAATATAGTGTTGGAGCTGGGCGGGGTAAATAAACATTTAATAGGGGAAATTTGGTAGAATGAAAAACTGAGGGGAGGTAAATGGAAAAGAAGAAAACCTTAGGGGTGTCACTGTGAACGGTTGCCGTACCTGATTGCTTTTTGGACGGCAGCAAACAAATAACAATAATATTAATTTATATTAGAGAGATTGTTGAATATTGACTCACATTGCTAAATTTGGAATCTCCCCTAGTACTAGAGCTGGCAAAAATTGACCCGACACGATAATTCAACATGATTCGACACGAAATAATTGAGTTTGGATCAAATATTTCAACCCGATTATGTATACGGGTTCGTGGGTAAACATGTCGGGTTAAGGTTGAGGCTCTCAACTCGAATCCGATTATAATATATTAATATTGATTAATATATTCATTATAAATGTAAAATAATCATAATTTAATAATTTTCTCATAAATTAATTTAAACTAAGTTCAATTTTAAATAATTCAACATAATTTACGGGGTTAGAGTTGAGTAATTTAATCCGTTTAAAGTATTTAACTCGACACGAATCGACTCATTGTCAGCTCTACTTAGTACATAAGGGTAAAGGGCCACTCCACCTATTACCAATTGGTTTTAGGTTGGATGTCCGGATCCATTCTTTAACAAATATACAACTATACATACAAAACTCTATACATACATTTTTTTTCTCATAACAATAGATACTTTTCTAGTTTTGATATAAATACTTCATCCTTCCCACCTGAATTGAACCATTTGATTATTAACACAATATTTAAGATAACAATATTTAATTAATTAATAATAATTAGTTATAATATTATTATATTAATTTTTTATAATTAATAATATTTATAGTTTTAAAATAAATTTAATATATATGATTTAAAAATATATATGATAAAAATCATGACTAATTATATATATTATTAATTATACAAAAAAATAAATATATGATAAAATCATAACTAATTATTATTAACTAATTAAATATTTTTACTTACTGTATCTTTAATCAAATAGTTCAATTTCGGTGGAATGGAGGGGAATATATATACACAGACAAGAATCGGTGCGATTTAATCTCACTGTTTCTTTATATATCTCAGTGGATGAGAATTTTTTTGTCTGTTTCTAACAGGCCCGTTCATGACACGTCGGGACCCGGAGCGAAACTTAAAACAAAACCCTAACAAAAAAATTATTTGTTTAAAAGTTCTCTAATAGTTTTGGAACAAACTTAATTAAAAATAAATAAATTAAATAACAAAAAATCTAATTCTAAAAAGTTTACATTAACTCGACATTTGAATCAAATTTATTGAACTTATATATTTCTTTCATATTTAGCTTGATCACTATTTTTATTACTAAATTTTAATAAAAAAAAGCTATTTACACTGCATACCTACAAAATATAAATAAAAATACATAATATATTATGTAAAGTTACCCATCTTAACATTTTTACATGCAACATTATTGATAATATTGTCAACTACAGTAGTTTATAGCATTTATTTTCAACAGATAGCCTATGTAAATTATTAAATATTTCTTGTGACATAGTTAACTTTAAATAAATTTTCAATAAAGTTAATTTAGAGAATTTTTTTTTAACAGATGTTACTGTTATATAAATTGTTCATAAAATTTGATACGCAATTGAAACATTTAGGTAACAATAAGTTGTTTTAACGTATTCAAAGTATTTGAAAAAACAATACAATCGTTTTTAAGCTCATTATAATTTTAAGAATTTAAGTTTTTTAAAATTACATAAAAATCCAAAAATACTATTAAATTTATATAATTGTTTAAATATTTCGTTTAAGGATGCAATAGACATATTTATACACTAACTATAAAATAATTAATTTTAAATTATTATTATACTTTCATTTTTATTTTCATATTTACTTGTCACAATTCTTTTTTATTTTTATATATACATTTTTTTAATATAATATTTTCCCGTCCAGAAATTAATGTCTTACTTGTCCAATAATTATTGTTCTATTTTTATTTTTATACATGTAATTTACTTTTTTATCCTTACTTTATCTATTATTTTTTTTTTCTAGACAAATTCGTCAATTCACACCAAAAAAATCAATTAAAAAAAAAGTTTAAATATCAATTAGTACATTAAAAAATAAATAGTATAATATATATACACATACGTCAAAAGTCCTAAAATATTGGGCCCCTTCCTGGGCTGGCCCTGGGCGGTCGCCTCATGGCCCAGCCCAGGGACGGCCCTGGTTTCTAAACCCTAATTGCGAAGTATCGGTGCGGTGGAGAAAAGAAGGAAGGGCTTGCTGAAGGAGGGGGGAATTTTCGTTTCGTTGTCTATCTGGAACTGGAGTCGTTGTCATGGAGAGATCCGACGCCAAAGATTTCAATGATTTCGTCGACCCAATCGGCAGTTCATCTTCTGGTTGGTACCTCCTTACTCCT